CAAACCCTACCTTCCCAGTCTTGCTCCAGTGGACTGGTGGTCGTGCTGGTGGTCATCACTCCTTCGAAGATTTCCATCAGCCTATTCTGCAGATGTACAGCCGTCTGCGCAAGTGCGAGAACCTGATTCTCGTCGCAGGTTCCGGTTTCGGTGGTGCCGAAGACACATACCCATACCTCACCGGATCATGGTCGACCAAGTTTGGTTACCCGCCCATGCCATACGATGGTTGCTTGTTCGGCAGTCGCGTTATGACTGCCAAGGAAGCAAAGACATCGAAGATGGCCAAGCAGGCGATCGTGGACGCTCCTGGTCTCGATGACAGTGACTGGGAGAAGACCTACAAGGGCCCAGCTGGAGGTGTCATCACTGTTCGCTCTGAGATGGGTGAGCCTATCCACAAGCTCGCCACGCGTGGTGTCATTTTCTGGCACGAGATGGACCAGAAGATCTTCAGTCTTGATAAGGCCAAGCGTGTTCCCGAACTGAAGAAGATGCGCGAATACATTATTGAGAAGTTGAACAAGGACTTCCAGAAAGTCTGGTTCGGTAAGAACAAGAAGGGGGAGTCGGTCGACCTGGAAGACATGACCTATGCTGAGGTCGTTCAACGCATGGTAGACCTCATGTATGTCAAGCACCAGACCCGTTGGATTGACCAAAGCTTGAAGCGCTTAACCGGTGACTTCATCCGCCGACTGGAGGAGCGTTTCAGCAAAGCTAGCAGCGAGTCATTGATCCAGAACTACGATGAGCTCAACGACCCCTTCCCAATGCTTGAGAAGGTCTTCAAGGCTTATCCTGACGCCGACAAGCAGCTTATCAGCGCCCAGGATGTGCAGCACTTCTTGTTGCTTTGCCAACGTCGTGGACAGAAGCCTGTTCCATTTGTTCCTGTCCTTGACGAGACATTTGAGTTCTTCTTCAAGAAGGATTCACTCTGGCAATCTGAAGATCTTGATGCTGTTGTTGACCAGGACGTTGGCAGGACATGTATTCTTCAAGGACCCATGGCCGTCAAGTACTCCACTAAGGTCGACGAGCCTATCAAGGAGATCTTGGACGGCGTTCACCAGGGCCATATCAAGTACCTTTTGCGCGACATCTACGGTGATGACGAGTCGAAGGTTCCTGTCATCGAGTACTTCGGTAGCAAACTACTAGCCCCACCACAGGGTCTAGAGGTTGATGGTCTCACCGTATCAGAGCTTGAGAACAAGGTCATCTACCGCCTCTCTGCTGCTCCCAACGCCACAATGCCGGAGGTACACTCATGGCTACAGCTCCTGGCAGGCACTAGCTACTCATGGAGACACGCTTTCTTCACTGCAGACATCTTCGTGCAGGGCCAGCGTTTCCAGACCAACCCTACGTCTAGGGTCTTCGCGCCCACGCCTGGCATGGTCATCGAGATACAAAACCCCAACGAGCCTGCCAAGACTGCCATCATCGTCAAGGAGCTACACCACGGCGGCAAGTTGATCAAGACTGTCGATGTCAGCTTTACAAAGGACAGCGAGATTTTGCTCAACATCTACGAGGAGCGTACCGCCCTCAAGCAAGCTGTTGCGTTGCCTTTCCGCTTCACCTACCGCCCCAACGTAGGCTATGCGCCTATTCATGAGGTCATGGACGCCCGTAACGACCGGATCAAGGACTTCTATTACAAGGTCTGGTTCGGAGATGAGGAATGTCCATTCGACGCGTCTGTCACTTCGCGCTTCGATGGTGGCCGTGCTACCGTCACAAGTGAGGCCATCAACGACTTCGTCCACGCGGTCGGCAACACAGGTGAAGCCTTTGTTGATCGACCTGGCAAAGAGGTTTATGCTCCCATGGACTTCGCTATTGTCGTCGGTTGGAAGGCTATCACCAAGCCCATCTTCCCCCGCGCAATCGATGGTGACCTCCTCAAGTTGGTCCATCTTTCCAACGGATTCCGTATGGTCTCCGGTGCTGAGCCACTGAAGAAGGGCGATGTTCTTGATACCACCGCACAGATCAACGCTGTCATCAACCAGGATTCTGGTAAGATGGTAGAAGTGTGCGGCACCATTACGCGCGACGGTAAGCCGGTAATGGAAGTTACCAGCCAGTTCCTTTACCGCGGTGCATACGACGACTTTGAGAACACGTTCCAGAGGAAGGTCGAGAAGCCCATTCAGCTCAACTTGGCTACCAGCAAGGATGTCGCGATCCTGCGGTCAAAGGAGTGGTTCAACTTCGAAGAGCCTGAAATTGACCTGCTAAACAAGACATTGCTCTTCAAACTTGAGACTGTCGTCCGATACAAGAACAAGACGGTCTTCTCAGACATCGAGACTCAGGGAGAGGTCTTGCTCGAGCTTCCAACCAAGGAGGTTATCCAGATCGCCTCTGTTGACTACCGATCTGGTACCGCATATGGCAACCCTGTCCTCGACTACTTGGAGCGCAACGGTGCTGCGGTCGATCAGCCAGTGCTTTTCGACAACGCTATCCCACTACACGGCAAGACTCCCCTCAAGCTCAAGGCGCCTGTCTCCAACGAGAACTACGCTCGCGTCTCTGGCGACTACAACCCCATTCACGTCTCTCGTGTCTTCGCTAGCTACGCTAACCTGCCTGGTACAATTACCCATGGCATGTATTCTAGCGCAGCTGTCCGAAGTTTGGTCGAGACATGGGCCGCTGAGAACAATGTTGGTCGTGTCAGGAGCTACCACGTCAACCTTGTCGGCATGGTGCTTCCCGATGACATGCTTGACGTCAAGCTTCAACACGTCGGTATGGTATCTGGTCGTAAGATCATCAAGATCGAGGTCAGCAACCAGGAGACAGAAGACAAGGTCCTTCTTGGTGAGGCTGAGGTCGAGCAACCCACCACTTCATATGTCTTCACTGGACAAGGTTCGCAAGAGCAAGGCATGGGTATGGAGCTTTACAACAGCAGTCCCGTTGCCAAGGAGGTCTGGGACCGTGCTGACAAGCATTTCATGGATAACTATGGTAAGTTTGAATCACCTTACTTGTATCGTGCACATGCTAATTCACAATAGGCTTTGCCATCACCAACATCGTAAAGAACAACCCGAAGGAACTCACCATTCATTTCGGTGGTCCAGTCGGTAAGGCTATCCGCCAGAACTACATGTCTATGACCTTCGAGACTGTTGCGGCGGATGGCTCCATCAAATCCGAGAAGATCTTCAAGGAGATTGACGAGAATACCACATCTTACACTTACCGGTCACCAACTGGTCTGCTGTCAGCCACTCAGTTCACACAGCCTGCCCTGACACTCATGGAGAAGGCGTCTTTCGAAGACATGCGTGCCAAGGGCTTGATCCAGGTCGAGAGCACATTCGCTGGACATTCTCTTGGTGAATACTCTGCTCTTGCGGCCATGGCTGAGGTCATGCCTATCGAGAGTCTGGTCTCGGTCGTGTTCTACCGTGGTCTTACGATGCAGGTCGCTGTCGAGCGTGACGAGACTGGTCGTTCAAACTATTCCATGTGCGCTGTCAACCCCAGCAGGATCTCCAAGACCTTCAACGAGCAGGCACTTCAATACGTGGTCGAGAACATTGCCGAGACAACCGGATGGCTTCTGGAGATTGTCAACTACAACATCGCCAACATGCAGTACGTTGCTGCTGGTGACCTCCGCGCTCTCGACTGCCTTACTGGCGTGACCAACTACCTCAAGCAACAAAAGATCGACATCCAGGCGCTCATGCAGACTTTGTCACTGGAGGAAGTCAAGAACCACCTGGTGGAGATCATCAAGGGCTGTGCTGAGCAAACAGAAGCCAAGCCCAAGCCGCTCGACCTACAGCGCGGCTTCGCTACCATCCCGCTGAAGGGTATCGACGTACCCTTCCATTCCACCTTCTTGCGTTCTGGAGTCAAGCCTTTCAGGTCTTTCCTTCTCAAGAAGATTCACAAGACATCCATTGACCCAAGCAAGTTGGTCGGGAAGTACATACCCAACGTGACTGCCAAGCCATTTGCGTTGACCAAGGAGTACTTTGAGGATGTGTACAAGCTTACCAACTCTCCCAAGATTGGTAACATCCTAGCCAACTGGGAGAAGTACGAGGAGAGTGGCAAGGAGGAGACTAAGACCGAGGCTGCTGCGTAAAGATCAGCTTGTGTGTATATGTAGATATGGGGTCCATGATTCGGGCGTTTTGGCGGTTCACAAGTAGATTGGCCATTTGATATCCAAGTTGGAGGCTTAGATATGCTTCTCATGATAAAATTTAGTAATCCGTTCATTCAATACATTACTCGTATGGAAATCAATCGTGATGTCGTAAAAGCAGAGACACAGTCATCAGGAAAGATGCGAAACCATCAGATCCAAGGACAAACAGTACAGGAGAAAGCAATTGGAGATTTGTGAAATTTCGCGACATGAGGTGCCACACCAGCTTCACCACGCTTATGCTACCTGACCTAACCCAAAGCCAGGCCTACCCTACCACAATCCTAAGTACGTGAATACAAAATGAAGTAATACGCTTATCCAGACGAGTACAAAGAGGTTCAAGAAAATCATGATAATAAAGAGCGTTTATCGGAACAGCCCCCGTTTCCGCGTTGTCCTCCCACTCTCCAGCACAGGTGCCCCTTCTTGTGCCGTACTGGGTAGCGCGGGCATGGTATGCGCATGAACCAGCGGCGGCGCTTCAATATGCCTTTGTGAATATGGGGTATGACTCTGATACGGCGTGTGTTGTTGTTGTGGTTGCTGCTGGTATGGTGGTAATTGCTGCCAGTTTTGCTGATAGTTTTGTTGGTAGCTGCCACTCGGTGGGGGGAAGTTCTCGTGGTTTTGTATGTATCCGTTGCTGGTTACTCTGTGTGGAGTTTGTGGGATGAACTCGCTCGGCTGTTGTTGCTGATGGTGGGCTTGTGTTTGCTGTTGTTGCGAACGGAGAAGGCCGAATGCCCAGTTTGAAAGGTTGAAGCCGCCGAAGATGACAATGGCCGTGAAGATCTAGGGGAAAGGTTGGTCAGCCAAATGGCCCTTCATGTTCGGTGTAGGGGTTAAAGTCGGAGTCTACTCCTTCGACCCCATAGTGATGGGTGTATCGGGGGCTTTGAAATTGGGCGCTGCCGCGCTGTGCATAACCATAGGATTGAGCATAGTGCTTGCAATCATACTTGCGCATCCGTTCGTCCCTATCTCGTTGGTGTGCAAGTTTGAGAGTGCTTGCACACACATTGAAAACAAAGCAAAGAAGGCAACATACCATGGACTTGTAGCTGAACTCCTCGACGAAAGAGTTGAAAATCATGGCGAACGTCTTTGCCGTCACGCTCGCGCGTGCAACCTTCTTCGGATCGCGGTTCATGCACGTCTCCCAGACACCGCATGCCTTCTCCATAGCCGGTACAACCTCTTCCGGTCGACAGCGGTTGCGATTGTACTCTGTAGCGCAAGCAGCGATTTCGACCATTATCTCTGACGCGTGTTTTGAAGATTCAATGTCAACGTCTGTCATCACGCCGGCCCAGGCGGAGTAAACAATGTAGATGAAGAGGCTACCAAGGAACATGTTGACGGTGAGTTGGAGGTAGTATGATAATACGGATGGAAGGTTGGGATGCGCTTCAACCCACGAGAGGAAGCCACCCACAGTCATAGCGAAAGTCTGCTGGACGGGCCCCGCCTCCTTCGGAGGGACTGGTGGGCGTCCTCGTTCGTTGTCTGAGTCGTCGCCGTCCTCGTCATGTATAGCAGCGCGTTTCTTAGACCGTGATCGCTCTGACCGGCGCTTGACTATGCGGTTCTCAGCCTTCTTGGAGTAGTACTTTTGCGGCATGTCCTTGTCGCGGGGCTCCTTGGTGGGGCTCGGACTTGACATGAAGGTTCGCTTGAACCAGCTGTCTCGCCGACCGCCCTTTGTGTCGCCATTGCCTAATCGGCCCATCTTGTTCGCCAATTGTGTGTCTGGTGTGCCCGGGTCGCTGTCTACTTGGGACGTGCCGGGTGTCTCTCCGCCGGAGCTGAAGTCGATATCGTGTGAGGGCGTTCGCATAGACCAGGGACTTGGTTGTATATGTGCCGGCACCGAAGACGCTGGTGTTGAGGGTAATGACTTGCTGGGGTCGCGGCTGAAGTATGTCATGCGGTTGTCAGGGTCGCGCAGCCGATTTGGTGTTGCGAAACCGCTTTTTGACGGTGAGTCTAGTACTGAGTGTGGACCTGGCTGGCCAAACGAGGGCCCTGAAGTCAGCGGTTCTGTTTCCTCTTGTGTGTCTTGTCCGAAAGCAAAGGATGGGTCTGAAGACTTACGCTTCTTTTGCTGGCCGGCTGCGAGGAACGGCGATTGAGAGTCGATTGGTCCTGTTTGATTCGTCCACTCAAAGTCCATAGGCGTAGTCGAAGGGCGGTGACTTCGCGACATTGTGTTTGTCAGCCAGAGTATAGGACGAGTTGGGAAAAGGGCTCGTTGCGTGAGTTGTGGCGTGTCTCGCTGTTGTTGATCAACACTTGTGTTTCTAGGTTCCCACGTTGCGGACTTCCGGCGCTAGTCTCGATTTGGCTGACTACAGTTGCAAACAACGTCGCGATTCTAATTGAGGCTAGCAAGAACGAGTACTGATTGCTTTATATCTTGACAGAGGTATGGTGAAAGTAAGACATTAGAGTCATTGTGAGATGACAGAATGCACCAGCATGTCTCAGCAGCACCACTCGGACTTCACCCCGCCATCTTAGATTTCTCGTCAAAGAACATAAATCAATTCCATAGTCAAAGGTATTCTACAGGTGAAGAGTGTGAAGAGTAAAAATCTTGCCTCTGAAGGCCCTCGCCCAAATTATGTGAACCAGGAACACGCTAGTATAGAGATGGCCGCCTCCATCTCCTAGGCTTCCTCCCGTGCGCATGAACATGCTCATGCAAAGTAGGTCGTATAGATGAAAAATCCTCTTCCGTTTCGGATAGCAGACACAAATCGGCGTGCTAGACTTTTCCGTTATCCTCTCCAACGTGGCATCTCTCAAAGCAGCCTGATATCCGTCGTTGCTTACGCTCCTTCTAGGCAGGCGTAAGGCCAACCTGTGTACCGTTCATCGAGCACAGAGTCAGTGTCAGGCTCTCGCGCCACACTTCGGGGTCTCGGCTCTCCATAGTCTTGAACTCTTGCACCATTCGAACCGTCACGTAGCTCGCCTCGGTGAGCGCGTACTGCTGGCCAAGACAGATGCGTGGGCCGCCGTTGAAGGGCAAGTATTCCCAGCCCGGACGAAGGGTCTCCCATCTCTCAGGCTTGTATTCGTCTGCATCTGGGCCGTAGAGATCGTGGCGACGGTGCATAGTGTATGGCGAGTATCCGACCGTCGTTCCCTTGGGTACGAATAGGGGCGCTTGACCGTCTGGACCACCACCCCGGGGCAGTACAGTGTCACGGATGGCTCGACGAGAGTTACCAGGTACGACTGGATGAACGCGGAGTGCTGTTTGTAATTAGTACGTCGATAGTTCCAGTTCCGAAAGCGAACTTACATTCGTTGAGGCACCACTTGAGGTACTTGAGGTTCCTCAACTCTTCATACGTTGGTGTGCGACCCTCAAGCGTTGCAACCTCATCCCTCAACTTGGCATAGATGTCAGGCCTCTTGGCAATCTCGAAAAACATGTTACTGAGCAGACTGGCAGTCGTATCACGTCCTGCAAGCAGGATATTGATAAGTTCTTCGCGGATCCTCTTTTGGTCGGTAGTCTGCTTGGCGACCTCTTGAATGAAGTAGTACTTTTCGTCCTTGCTTCCAGCACCCTTTTCAGTGTCCAATTCTTGTCTGAATTGCAGAGCGTCAGCCACAAACTTGTCAATGTAGGCGTGACAGATTTCGATGGCCTTCTTGCCCTCCTCGTTCTTTCGGAATCGATCGAATATACCATAACGGGTGCGGATCGTGATGTCCTCCTGTGCGAAGTTGAACGACTTGCTGAAGATTAGATCCTCGTTATTGGCGTCATCTTGGCCAACCATGCGGAGCGAGTTGGTAGAGTGGTTGAAAAGAAACTCTGTTGCGGTATCGATCGTCAGGCGGAAGAAGAGCTCTTGCAAATCGACAGTCGAGCCATCCTTGGGAATATGTTTGAGCATAAGCTTGAAGTGTCGCTCGAAAGCCTCAATGTCGGCGACTTGATCCCTGGCGAAGTTGGGCCGCAGCAGGTGACGGCTGTTAGCCCATCGCTCGCCATCCGCATTGAAGATACCGTGGCCCAGAAGAGGAGTGAAGGAAGCCGACCTATGTATAAGGCTGAAGTCCTTGAACTTCAAACTCAAAATGGTCTTGACGTTTTCTGGTTCACACGTCGCAATGAAAGGCTCTGTAATTATCCTGTTATGGAAAGTATTACCGAGCCGCTGGAAGCGCTTTCGGTTCTCTTGTAGCAGAATATGGTTCTTGCTGTTGTACGCCATGGCCTTCACATTGTCAATTCCGAAGATGGGATCTTTGTGGAATTGCGCCGTGCATGGTTGGCAGCCATGCTCTTTCTTGAAGCGCTGGCGCGCAAGGTAGAGTGTGATGCGGGTGTATAGGATATAGGAGATGGCGGCTCCCGCAACAATGAAGAGTAGAGGTGACTGTGCCATCGTGTTCGGAGGTAGAATGTAGTTGAGAAGACCGTGCTTGACGACAGGTTTTAGTGATGACGTCGAGAAACGAGAATCGAGGGCAGCAACGCTCTTGCAGGTGATTCTCAGGTGCTTCAGTCCTGGAAACTGTGTTCGCCTCGTGGAGTATTTAATTACAATTCCGCACGAAGGCAATTGAATCGTCGATGCGGTAACAGGGTCGTTACGGGGGTATACGACACAGCCGCTGTCAGCTTTACCTAGGTTCGTTCTTCACCAAGATCCTTTCTTCGAGCCAAGTCCAGGTATCGAGCAACCCTAGTCCTTGTTTTCTTCCCCCTCAATTCGTTTGCTAATTACAACCTCTTTTTTTTACGTGCCAAGAATGTCAGTCGGTGGGTGGGTGTTCGGCCGAGCTTAGCAGTTGGACGTTTCTGTTGTTTTTTCCGCTTGCTGCAGTGTTGTTCCAAGGTGTCCGATATTGCCAGTACGCGTCCGTTGTTCGTCCAGTACAGCCACAGGCGCAGCCAGGTATCTTTGTCGCAGGTATTGAATTTATACTATCAGCCACCAGGGCAAGCCAGACTCTTATAGCACACGCCTCCGACGTCCGAAATTCTAGTGGTTCCACAAAGCATCGTTTAAGACCCCCTACGGCACATGTAACGATTTTAGCATTCAGCTCCGACACGGTGCAAAGCGGCGGCCGATTGCTGAGGTCTTCACCCATTCACGGGCGGACGTGCTCGCGGAGGCTAAAGCGTGGATTTTCGGTGATGCCGTCTCTGCTGCATCCCTGCTCTGCTCCGTTGCCGAGGCTGAAACACGGGAGTCGTGATTCGCCAATTTCAATACAGTAGATCTGCAACTCGCATGTTATGCTTAATGGGGTTACTACCCGATGGTACATCTGCATGCTCGGAGGATTCGGAAGATACTGTGTGTTGGGCAGAATTCACGTTACAGGCAGTAGGAGGATGTTGCTGATTGCAGACAGCGTCCGAAACCTCAAAGAAGGAAATCTTAGATCCTCGGAGAAAATATCCCTGTGTAACACCGCTTTGAACATAAAGTGCACAGTCAGATCGCTACTCCATCTTGACGGAAATGCTCAAAGTAGTAAGTACACAACAAGGATGTATGCTAATGTCTTGGAAATGCTGATTGTAGCTCTAGTACACGACATCCGTGTGCGAAGCTTTTTTGGCTTACTCTTGGGTCTATCCAAACGGCCCGCACCATGAGGCATACTCCTCTTCACATGCTATTTCCGAGTGAAATATGTGGATCACTAATCCGATGAGATCCACTTCATGTGATTGATCGTTTCGTTCTCCAAGTACTCATATACCTGCCCGTAGTCTTTGCACACATGCTTCGCATCCCACCCATCGCTTCCGCCTCGATCCTCTCCGTGTGCATCGCCTGGGAAACTTGTCGCAGCCCCTTCTAATGCCACGTCTCCCGCGCACATTATGGCCTGTCTAATATATTCGAAACAGTGATTGATGTGCCATGGCATCTTGACAGGGTTCGCAGACACTGGCGATGCGACCATAAGCTTCATGGAATTGTATGCGTCCAATATAGTGTATAGACAGTGAAGCTGATGCGTTACGGATGTGGTGAAGACGGTATGGTTGGGGTAATCGTGTATCGGATGCGGGACTAAATATGGGTGTACGAAGTCAGTGTATGTTTCACAAGCATTTCGCACAGGGACTTACGATTGGAATATTCGGAAGGATTCTTGACATTGACGTAGCCCAAGCCCTCTACCCAAGTTGTTAGTACCGTGCGATTCTGAGAGTAACAAGTAGGGCACAATGTACCTGGTACGATGTTTAACCATGCATGCTGCGTCTCGTTGCTCCAAAACTCTGTTGCATCTTCTGGGGCGAAAACCGGATCGGGCTTGAAGCTCACGATCTGTTGTGAGAATGTTGGGGCAAACCCCGTGATATCTCCTGCGAGCTCATATTCGTGGCTCTTTGCATGTTTTTGCCATCTCTTCTCTACCAACAATCCTGCGATGACGAGAAGAAGTGCTGTGTCTATTATCCATCTGTAGCCTTTCACTCTCTTCCATACCGTCTTGTTCCGCCGTCTTCGCAGGGCTGCTTCTTCCGCCTCCCAATCACCAATCTCTGTACTCGAATCGGAGTGGTCGTCGGTGTTGTGTAGAGAATCATATCATTGGTCGCGCTTCAGTCTGTCATCCGTCGCGAATGCCATGATAGAGACGTCGTGACTGGATTCGTGGGGTGCGAATGATGGCATCACTGTGGCTGTAATCTAGTAAGTGTATATGGGTGAGTCCATGGAGACGGTGGTGTTAACGCGGCATGATGCTCATCTGCCTTGATGCTCAAACGCTTGCTGCGACGCCAATTGTTAGATGAGACATTACAAGGCATGGAAGGCCACAACGATCATCGTCATGGTAGACCCTAGATCATTAGCAGAGAGCAAAAACCTTAGCAGAAGTATCAGTTTTCTATACGCATTACAATAGTGGGCGCGTGCAGGTACAACGCGCTGCATTGCATCTCCTGATGGAAGAAGGTCGAGACGAGTCGTGCTATGCGCCAAGAAAGGTGTTGTGATGACTAGAGATCAATTGGATGCTCAAACTGGTGCCTGAACATGACGCAGTCGAGCTTCATTGGTGCACATGTTGGAGTGTTGGAGTGTGGATGGCTGCAATCCAGCGACGACCTCGGCAGGTCTGTGGAACGATGATTGCGCCGATCGGCGTCATCGTACGCCGAGCCATTAATCCCAAACATCTTTCCAGCTTCGCTCAGCATCATCCCCTAGCATCCGCTGACGGCGAGATCAAGATCAACGCATTTCAATTGACATTACACTCTAACGGCTGCTAATCCTCTGTAGAAAGTGTTACAAGAGACCAATATTACCTCACATCCGGTTTGTATACTCACTCAGTCCCACTCCCCAGCCAACATCATCCGTCTAGCTATAGACTCGCTCACTCCACTATCCGTATGTGGCGTTTGTTGGCAGCCTGTTGTGGTGGTTGGGGAATGGACGCTGAGCTGTTGCTTCCAGGCGCTTGTGTAGCATGCTCTATCACAATAGGCAGTGTTACTGCCGAGATGTCCTCATCAGCAAAGAGTCCTAATGCTTCGGCCGACACTTCTTTCTGACGCGAGACTGTCCTTGCTGCTGATGCGGCATGGTTTCTTGCATGCATGCGCTTCTTTTTCAGCGAAACAGAACTTCTATGCGCAAACAGTTCAGGCGACACGCTGCCCGAATGCACAAGACGAGCATGTGCAATTGTAACAGAGTCGCGATGATCGCGAAACTTGGTATCTGCTTCGTCAAGGTTCGAGAGGTTTCGAATAACTGCTGATGGTTTCGTTTTTCGTCCTCTGATCTCAATACTGGGCACGACAAGAGATTGCTTTAAAGGCGGTGACCCCGCTCGTGGACTGTGTGGTGGCGTCTCTTGTAAGGCGTCCCGCAACGATATCTCCTCACACGACACAGTCCTGGTCGTAGGCACACTTGCAGGGCGGGATGGGATGCGAGAAGGCGCGCCGCTTGTCATCAGGCTGTTTGGAGGTACTACTGCTGTCGGGTCTCCCTCGTCGTCCACCGTGCAATCATAGCGAACAGCCCGGCCATCGTCATCGGGGAAAACCACAATAGTAGGCCTGAAGCTGTCCGATGGGCTGTTCCAGGTTCCCGACCATCCTGCAAGCTTCGAGTTGACTCGCTCAAGGCCACGTCTGGCGCTTGGATCAATACCCTCTAGAGCATGACTTGCTGACGAACTCCGTCGCCCTCTTGTCCTGATGGTATGCTCATGTGGAACATCGTTCCAAACCACCTCATAACTGCCACTCTTTGTCTCAACAATCTGCATGGTGGGTGTTGCCGGATCAGCACCGTCATCATTGGCGAGGTCTCCCGCGTTCCACGATGGCGTAATAGCGATGACATGTACGTCCGTCCGCGTAGTAGCTGGTTCTGCCACAGTGCCTTTGGCTGTACTTGTTGTGTTCGGGTAAGACGGACACCGCTTGACTGTCTCTGTCTGGTTGTTGGCAAACTTGGCACTATTCCCGCAATCATATATCGGCTTGGCTGAGCTTACTGGTGTGTTAATTACCTGAGGTAGCGAGAGCGACGGCTTTGAGCCAGTCTCTTCAAAATCGACGGTTTTGACACGACGTAGAAACTTTGGCTCAAGACTAACGGCATTCTGCTGCAATTCGCCTGGTGGTGTGGTTGTGGTACTCTTCGCCTTTTTCTTTATGCATGGCTTTAGCGTCATATTGTAGGGGCGCGTCCTTGGGTTCGCAAGTGCTCGCGCTGGATCCGGCTCTGAGCTCGAGCGCATAGCAGTAGATCTGGTAGGTTCTGGCCTTGAACTCCTCAAAACTCCGTTCCCAGTCAGACTAGGTTTACCGGGTCGTTCAATAGCAGGTTTTGTTTGCTCAACAAGTTGCTTTTGGAGGCTCGCAGATGAGATGGCTGGATCATGATAGCGGGACTTAAGTTCATGTCGAGAGTTGCTGATGGAACGCTGGGAGGTAGGGCGAGGAGGCTGTAACCTGGTGCGTGTTGGAGACGGGATTGTATAGGCTGTGCGGCGCTCGTCTTCCCTGAAGCGTACTGCATTCAGCGCTGCAGTTGCAGTTGAGCGCTCGTTTCGCACTTGACTAAGTACAACCTAAGATGTCGACGTACGAAGTCAGTGTATGTCTCACACGCAGTTTGTACATGGGAGTTTTTACTAGTTCACTAGCAGATTTCTTCAGTGAGTGTCTAGGAATCGTCTTCGAGAAAGGTCTCGCTGATAGTCCTGTTCGATCATCGCTCCAAGCTTCCGCATCATCGTAAACAGTCGCTGTCAGAGTAGGGTACAGCTCGCCCGGTTGATCAAGTGTAGGAGGAGGGACTTCGTGGGGTATAGCGCTATCTGCGGCGAGGTATGAGGTGAGTTTTGTGATTAGTCCATCGCCAGACGTTCCAAGCATCGTTGGTGTGAGATACGATGGATAGTAGTGTCAACCAAAGGTTAGGGAAGATATGCCAGCGTTTGTATCCGAGCATAGAAAGGAGCTACGCTTATCGTTATAGATGGATTGGAATATAGGAGTTCGGAAGTCAGTGATGTGAGGGTCCTAGGATGAGGTTTCCATCGCGGAACGACGTGTGTGCAGTATCAGGCAGGGCAAGCATGCAACAGATAAATACCGGACATGAAGTAAGAACGATACACGAGGCAACGAGAGTCCTTACTGTCCCCGAGACCAAAATCGTTTGACTTTGAGAAGTCACAGCTGGACGAGCGTGCCTCCATCGTATTGACTAGAAAAACTGGGGCTTCTTGCAAAGCTGAAGAAGCAAGGAAGTGCTCGCTTTGGTGTTTGCAAGAATATGTTCACAAACAAGATATGATCACTGTACTGTCACTGCTGCCTCTCTGTGGTTGTACAATATTCATCCTTCTACGCTGGGTGAGTAGAGTTGGTACCTAACCTAGGTATCCTTCCAGGGTCATCAGCAGGGAGTGTCTCTCAGCACTGGCCGGCATGAGCATCTGGCTCCGTATCGTATATTGATGTCAAGATTTGAGTCGATTGCCGTTGCCAGAATTCCAAGAAATGTGAATCTAAGTACCCATCAGAGTGGTGTTAGCTCACATGCAGCCTGCCCAATTGAGTATAACGCCGTCTAGGCATTATTGCCGGCCAGCGACTCATAAGAGGTCCTCGAACAACGTGCGTGTTCACCTCCGCAAACGTCGCGTCATCATTGGGGGATCTACAAGCAACCTGAACTCCTACAGCGCCTGCTGGTATGATCTAGTGACATCCCAAGAGAAGGGTTTCGTCGTACATCCCGCTTCTTCGACGCCATTTGCTTCTTCATACGGCTCTCATGAACGCCATGCCGCAACTAGAGCTGTAGCCTCATCGGTTACAGCCAAACAGACAGCGCACGTGTAGCTCGTTTGTTGAAGATGCATGCAAGATAGCCTTTGCTCCTGTCTGTCGGGTCGCGTCATTGCGGGATGGTCCTCCTGCTCGCAGGTATTAATATATGTTATTAATCTGCTCCAAACTCCCCTGTTCAGGCACACTACAGTCAGTTACTTTTCACGATGCTGTTCGCCGCTTCGCTCAGCCTTTTGGCGCTTCCGGTCAGTCAAGTCATTGCTGGCCTGGTCATCACTCGTGATGATCCCGCGAATGCGGCAAATACCACCAACTGCAATGGCAAGCTGTATACCTACGAAGCGCTCGCGGGTTACGGGAAACTAGTTAGCGACGCCCGTGATAAGTTCGGCGACACCATTGGTGGCATTGGAAGTGCTATTGCATTCGAGAAGAAGTCTTGGAAGTACAAGAAAGGCGCCTACCAGGGTGTCGTTTGGGGCCTGCCTGACCGTGGCTGGAATACTCAGGGTACCCAAAATACTCAGACTCGCATCCATAAGTTCAGTGTCACCTTTACACCAGTCGAAGCGACCCTCGAGAAGCCGGCCAGTCCGAACTTTCAGTTCTCTTACGTCGACACCCTTCTCCTTACCGGACCTGACGGTACGCCTTTGACAGGTCTTGACCCTACTGAGACCATCACTTATCCAGGGTTTCCTACCCTTCCTCTTGCCAAATGTGAGTTTTGCGATCATATTCTAGCCTACAGCGCTAAACCTCACAGACACCGGTAACGGCTTTGGCCAGAATGGCACTGGCGATGCCCGTGTTCCGCTAGATACCGAAGGACTGGTGCTCGGAGACGATAAGTCTTTCTGGATTAGCGATGAATACGCCGCCTATGTCTACCAATTCAACAAGAGTGGCAAGATGATCAAGGCCATTCGTACTCCAGAGTCCTTTGTTCCCCGTCGTAACGGTACCGAGAGTTTCAACGCGGCCTCTCCACCAATCTACGACCCAGATCTTGAGATCACGCCTGAAGACCCAGACAGTGGCCGAGGCAACAATCAAGGCCTGGAGGCTCTGACCGCCAGTCCAGATGGCAAGTATCTCTACACCATGCTCCAGAGTGCTACAATCCAGGACGGTGGCAGCTCTGCGAAAAAGCGTCGCAACACTCGCCTTCTCAAGTATCGCATCAAAGACGACACAACCACGCTAGAGGCCGAGTATGCTGTTCAGCTTCCTGTCCTACCAACAGGACGCGTCGCTAGTCAGTCCGAAATGCACTACATCTCCGAAACGCAGTTTCTCGTCCTAGCACGCGACTCCAACGCCGGCCATGGCGCAGAAAGTACGGAGTCCATCTACCGCAACGCGGATGTAATCGACATATCCAAAGCTACGAACGTTGCAGGTACAGCGGCTGATGCCATCAGTGGACAGATCGCAAGCAAAGATGGCGTGTTGAAGAGCAGCATCGTACCTGCTACCTACTGCCCATGGCTTTCTTACAATAACAACGATCAGCTGGGCAGATTCGGTCTCCACAATGGCGGCGAACAAGACGCAAACCTGCTGAACGAGAAGTGGGAGAGCTTCGCAATGTTGCCTGTTAACAAGGATGACAAAATCGGTAGAAGCGAAAGGCAAGATGAGGATGAAGGAAAGCAGTACTACCTAGTCTCTTTCTCGGACAACGACTTCATCACTCAGAATGGCAAGTTGTTTGCCTTTGGATCCATGGCTTCATACTAACAATTTGTAGGCTACATCAACTTCGGCCAAAACAAGTACGTGGACGCGTCGGGCTATAATTTAGACAACCAGGTTCTGGTGTTCAAGGTCAAGCTTCCGAAGGGAGCGAATCCGTTGTAGACCCACATGGTTCATCTGCACGACCAATGAATGCAGCAGTCGCCCACGCGCAAAAAAAACTTTTTTCTTTCAGATATCCAAAAACATACAACAGCGGGGATTCGCTAGTGGTCACCCACCTAACTACTAATCCGCCGGTACACTGCTTGTATATGGCTGAGCGGACGGGAAGCCTAATTTTCAGTGTCCTATGGTCGTATGTGGAAGAAAAACTTTTTAAAAATGAATATCAAATATCATCATTGTGGAGCGGAAGCGGTAACGGCATGTAACATGTCAGAGCTTATCTTGCCATACGAATATGCCTGAGGGGTGACCTTCCTTTAAGAGAAAGTTGTCATGAAATGTTTGGTCGCAATCGAGTTGCTCGACTTGAATTCATTTTGTGTACCCTGACCTTTTTTATGGAACAGAACTTGCTACTGCCTTCGACGCTAATTACTCTGAAAGGTCCTAGTAACTTTGATACATCGTCACCCTCGCCACTCGGTCAAAACGAGCGGGGGGAGCATTAAGTGAATGAGCATATCCGAATCATTTTGAATGAAGACATACGAATATGATTTGTGCGACAGCCCTGCGTAACGGAACCCTTCAAGAATCATTTTCCAACTTTAGATACTCTCTTCTTTGTCATCTTTAGCCTTCCGTTTCGCCTTTCGCTTGAGTTGCTCCTTCTCTGTCTGCTTGTACATGTACCATGCACCACCCAGCAAGCCCAAAATGATTGCCGCTGAAATCGGACCCATGACTCTCCATACTGCTCGCTGATTAGTATTTCCAGCATCACCAGTGAATTCGCGGACATTCATCCCATAATATGACGTGAAGAAAGAAAGCGGCGCCTGTGAATGTGAGTATGCCAGTTTTCACGTAATCCCGTCAGGGAAGGATACATACGAAGAAAATGGTCACAATGGTAAAGAGAAGCAGGATCTGATACTGGGCCTCAGTTGCGTCTGCTTGTTCTCGGGCTGCATCAGCTTGCCTATTCGAGTAGTGGGCTTCCTTAAGAGTTTCCTCTTTCTGTTGCAGATCGAGCAGATCCTTAAGCTAGGCGAGTCAGTCGCTTGGTTTGGGTTGAACATATATTCTGCGAGTGAATGACATGCAGACCATAAACTTACGCTGTCTTTCGTTCGTTGAGCATCCGCGGTCATGCGTTTGACCTGCTTTATGTATCTCTCAATATCTTGGGTCTTGATGATCGAAAGTTTCTCCTTCAGCGGTTTGTACCGGTCTTGATCAGATATACCCCAGTCTAGATTGTCGAAAATTTTGACTGCTGTATCTAAAGCGTCCTTTTGCGCCTCGAAAAGGCGGTTCATGCTGTTGAGCTCGTCGATGATGTCGGTCAGTTCAAGGGCGAGCTCGACTTGGCGCTTGGTTTGAGATTCACTGATGTCATCCGAATTGGACTTCATTTTTTCTGGAAGATTCGGAAGAAGTTGGTTTGCGCTTCTGTCTATCAGAGTCAAGTATGTTAGAAGAGAATAGACGAACGAGGACCATGTTGGACTTACTGCTTCTCCGATGGCCGCACGGAAAATGCTCAAAAAGTCAAGTGATTCTTCAGTCCTGACTCTAAGCATGACGTTGACAGCCTGATCTATGATGAGTCCTACGTAGTTACTTCTGTTAACCGCCCAATCAATGTCTTCACTGTTTGCTTCGTCAATGATTGCTTGACGTAAGTCTGCTATATCCTCCAGATCTTTCTCAACTGCACCACCTTCCCTTTCTTTTCTGGAGAATGAAGTGAAGATAGTCGTCTTGATCTTATCAGGTGTGGTCGAGTTGATGTCGTGGGTCTCTAAGAGCCAAAGCCATAGTTGATCAACCATGATCATTTTCTTTCCACCGCGTGCGTCCTTGGGCGTATTCTTGGACACTACTTGATCCTGGTCTCTGGAAGATGTCTTACGTAGGCTGGAATAGAAAAACTGATCTAGACTGCGTCTCGGGTGCAACGAGGACGAGTTGCTACTATCTTCCCTCATGATTTTATAGATGGCTTTTCCCTCCTCTGATAAATTGTCAGGAATGACGGCGGTCTTTCCGCCTAGCATAGCATTTGAGTATCTTGCCCGCTTCATGAAGCACTCAGTCGAATCCCAGTGCATATACGGTAGCTGGAACCTATTAGTCGAGTGACAAGCGATATTTAAATATAGCTGAAGCGTAACTAAGCGAGGAAAGACCGTGACTAACATATATGACGAACTGAGTGGTTTGCATGTTGCCACGGACAAAACATGACGGCTCGAAGTAGCGGGAATGCGGAAGGTTTTGTTGCTTTCGCTCATGAGATAACCAGTATCTTTGCTCGGTTATCAGAAGCTCTTGGTTTGTCTGTTGATCGCTCACAATTTTCTGCAAGCAGGGCTAGAAGGGTACTTAGTCATTGGGCATACAATCTTGACCTGCATTAAAATTACTGACATTGACCCAAGCTGTGTTGTTTAGCGGAACATGTAACCATACCAGTGGGTCAAGATCATCGTCGGTAGATGTATCGTTGATATTGCTTAGTAACGCTGTCAAGCAATAGAGTCTTTATAGATACGAGATGCACCGCGATAGTGGAAGTAGAGGTATATTGCCTTGTAAGACTAGAGACGAACCGCTGTCGAGCCACAACAGCGGTAAGGTAGGCTAATATACTGCGATTGCTTGGCATACCGGCCCGAACGGGCCCGGAGTAACCTGGTGCCTGACAAACGCCGTTGGTGATTTAGGCATCATATCAGACAACCAACATTCTTCCGTCTTGGAAATTGTAATTTGCTTGAACAGGTGCACATAGCCCTTGAAGTCGATAAGTTTGGGAGCTGCTAACGAGATTGCGCTAGTTGGTGGGACTGGTGCAGGTGAAGGCCTTGGTATAACTGGCATCCGAATCTTAGGAAGGTGCATGACGACGTTCCGCAAGCACTGAAGCACTAACTTGTAGGTAGCACTTTCTAAACCTGGAGGCATCACCATCCCGTTATGCGAAGCTTGTAAAGCGATGATCCTTTCTCGGCGCATGTTGAGTGTCGCTTGCTCCTTAGTGACAACCTTGATCGGGGTCAGTAAAGGCATTACGAAGTGTGCAGTAGCGAAAATAGATAAGGGATTCTACCACAGTATTATTCGTCCCTAAAGGTGAAGCAAGAGTCTCGTAAAAGCTGTAAATCTCATATGTTGGCTGCAAGTGCATCCATGACTCGTTTGTGAACTGCACGGTTGCCGAGTCCTTAGATAACGCGTCGAGGAGTGCATTGTTAAACCCATAAATTCCTGTAATCTTGATCATCCTCCTCAAAAGCATTGCCATTTCCGATCCGCGATGTGGTGTGCCTTTAGTATTTGTCAAAAAGTATCCATACTGACTTGCCACACCCCCACTTACCAAAGAAAAGGATTGCAGCCGTGCGTTCATGAACCATAGACCTTGCTGACTTTGAACTCTGGGAGAGCATCTACATCATATTAGGGGATAGTTCGGGAATCTGTATGTGTGATTAGCGTACCTCTTTGACCAGGATTCCACCGACATTGTGGGCGATGAATATGATTGGGCGAGGATGACCTTCGGTCTCTAGGTGCTACATCTCGAGTAAGAACTGGTCCTTGAAGCTAAATTGACGAAAGAGTCCTCCTCACTAGTTGTATTAGGTTGTGCAAATTTGTAGCATGATCTCGGAGAGACAGGTGGGTCCTTCCTGAGGAAAGCCTGGTAGAAGCATCGTACCCGTAACTTAACAGACGGCATTCTGGAAGATCTCTTCCCAACCCATCTCTTATCCAGAAGAACGGAGGATTGACTTTCGTGTTGGTCCATGTACGCATATAATGTCCATCGAGTCCATGAACAGCTATGATTCTAGAATTCTGTCAGTCTCCTATTCTCAGAGAGAATCAGCTTCGTGTGCGCCCGTTGCCTTGAAGTTTGATCTCGTAGTTGACTCCTGTAGAGGAAATAGACCTAAGCTATCTGCTTCGCTTGAACCAGGTCTAGCGCTTGACCGTCCGCTGTACATGGTCGTAGCTCGTCTGTCGTGGAACTATGCAGATGAAGTGAACATGACTTCGAGTTGGGAATTTCAGATGCGCAATATACGAAGGGCTTGATGCGCTGTACAAGTCTAGAACAAGCTTTGCAGGAGTGGAAGTGGGAGTTCTGGATCCGGGCTGGTCCTGCTTCGTGGATTTGCGCTAGCATTACCGGTACCAGTACTGATACGACAGCGTTTAGCGAAGGCGCTTAACTTCCAGCACCAACTTCTGTCTATCCTGTCTAGCATCAACCGCATGGCATTTTTCTGAAGTCTTTAACAGCCTTCAATTAACGTCATGTATCATGCCAGGATTTCCCATAATTCGATTGCGCAAGAGCCAGACTGAAGCTGACACACGACGTGCGAGGTGTAGCCATCCCGCCCACTGCTCTAAACAGCACGCGTGCCCTGCGATTGTCCCCTTGTAGTCCAGCCATTAGGTCCTTCCGATCGGCGATGTTCCTCTCGTCAGGCTGATTCCGGCCCCATCAGCCCACTGCCGGTTCCCCGGATAAAGTATGAGCGCGCAAGGCTGAGGACAAATTTGGCCCCAACTATCAGTTCACAGCCTTCCGGATCCATCGATTTGCGCTTCAGTTCTGTAATTATCATCCCTGCCATCCAAAAAATCGATAATCATCCCCTATCTGCTCGAGCGGCCAAGTCAAGATGGCCACGTCATGTATCGTGCAGCACAAGAAGCCAAAAAGTAGGCAGAGGAAAGCCTTGATCTCATGATTGTGTAGTCCGTAGCTGAAGACAGGGGCATCTGGACCATGAGTTGTCCGAAGCATCCGAATGGCGATAATGGTGTGTTGGCGGAAGTGGATAATTCAGAGCAGAGTATAGTAAGTGTAAATATATAGGAAGAGTCTGTAGTATCGTAGAGTCCGGCATAACACCGTAGTATTGCGAGACCTGAGTTTGTGGCTGTGTCAGTCGCATTAGATGATGACTCGCAGGGCAGTGCTATTAACGAGTTGGCGAATATGTTGGCCGTATTGGCGAGGTTAGAGGGTATGGCGACCATGTTTGCTGTGGTCTTCGACAGTGTTTGGGATATGTGAGCTCTGCAGATGGGTTACTGAGGGAAGTATAACAATCGCTGGTCTTTTTGTTGATATACAAAAGACTTATATCTAGCGATTGCATATGTTCGACGCCTAATGCGTACCTTATTGTTCGTTGGGTTGAGCATGTTACTGTGTAACAAGGTGCAACCTATGTTCCAGCTGGCGGCTTTCCACGTTCAAACGCACAGTACACGCATGCACTCACAAATTCATAAAGCTATGCCAGGTGAAAATCTTTGATGATGTCACAAGACAGTAGTGAAGGTTGAAGCAAGGTTTAAAAGTAGTATTGGAGATGTATGCATACATACAAACGTACACACTTACACACAGTAAGTTGAGAACATAGAGTATGACCCACATCAGAAGGACCGTGACCAATAACAACATACACTCAACCAAAACTTAGAACAAGGTCCCACCATGAACAAGCCCATTCAACAATAGCCAAAGGAATGCTTTTCGACCTGCATGTCTCTCAATCTCACAGTCGCCGGCTATACCCTTACTCAACCTCTGAGGCAGAACTGCCTTCTTCATCGGAAGAGAGCTCAATATAATCCCAATGGTCTTGCTCAGTCGTCATGTCTTGGATTTCCTGACCAATGAAGACCTCATGCGTCTCGTCCTCGCTAAGGTCGTTCGTGGTACGCTTTTTGGGTATAAGAGTCGTAGTACAGCCACCTCGAGAGTTGCGACGGTACTGAGTCCTCTTCGATTTATCGGCTTGACTCGTATTGGCGGAATCCTTTCTTGAAGCACTGCTTGCAGTACTCATCTTCATAAATGCATCCGAATCTTCACCCTTCTCTTTCGTCTTGTCGTTTCAACCTTTTCTCTTGCTTCTTGTCCAGCTCATTGTCGAGTCTCTCTGCAGCAAGCCTCATAGCTTTCCCTGCGTCATATCCTTCTGCAACAAGCTCAAAGTATACCTTGGAGCACATTTGGTTGTGGGTGACCATTCCTCTCTTCGTAGCGGTAGACTTGCTCAAGTTGTACGGCTTACGAGGCTTGTACTTCGACAAGCCGGGTGCTTCTTGGCGGACAATGACACCCGATGGAAGATAAAAGTCCATCTCTTCATGCTTACCAGGTCCATTCTGACTAGATCCACATCCTGGACAGGATTTTTTATCGCCCGCTAGGTAGTACCGCCCAAGAGCGTGGTTGACATCGCATCGCCAGGCATGTTTCTCGCCTGCCTTTCGCTTTTCCCAGTAACAGCCATCCGGAATCTCTTGACCATGCTCCATAGTGGCTGAACCGCTGGGGTGGGGACCAAGATCGAGCTCTGGCTCTGGCGTCGGTTCGGGTGTAGGTGCTTTTGGAGACGGCTTCGGTTTGATGTACTTGACTACTGCGTTTACACCCATCTGTCGAGCTTCTTCTTCAGACGCGCCAGTGTTGGTAGCTTCCCAGTAAGCATCTTTTGCAACAGCATTGTGGCAAGGACGGTCGGACTTGCGAGGTTGGGCTGATTGTTTGGAAGGTTTCCAGCGCATATCTGGCGCAGGTTGAAAGTAAAAGGTTCTCGGTGGCATATAAAAGTCCATCAAAGTAACACGAACGTTATCACTAAGAGAGATATTGCAGCCTCTACAGCTTTTGCGATCTCCAGCATTGTAATAGTGTCCCATTGCGTGCTTGAAGGCACAACGCCAAACATGTTTCTCGTCCTCTGAAGTTGGCTCAAAGCAGGCATTAGGAGGAAGGTGTTGATGTAGTTCCAGAGTTCTCGATCCATTTGGACAAGGAGGTGGTAGCTGGTGAGCAGATAGACTCGTACCCCCTGACTGAGTTACGGGGTGTCTGCAGGATTTGGAGGCCGTCGTCTTCTGTTTTGCATAGACATTGGCTGGGGTGTGCTCGACTGCGGTTGTATCTCTCTTCCTCTTCCTCTTTGGACGTGCCGAGGGCGCCAATCTCGGTAGCTCGGCCAAGGCTAGGTGGCCTGGGATCGAATCTGATAGAGCCGTTGTTGGGTGCGTGAGGCAATCATGCGACATACGCGGCTCGGGCGTGGTTCCCTTAGTAGATGCTGAACCACATTCTTTCTGAGACTGGTGGAAAGGCCCGACGTGCTCCCAGTGTTGTTCCCTGGCTGTAATAGTCTTGACCTTTTTCTGGTAGTCGTGTGCGGTAGGACGGATACCCATAGAGATAGCCACAGCAATGGCTTGCTTCAAACTTTGAACTGCACAATCGAGAGCCTGTGGTGGGTTGCCCCAGTTCCTTGTCAGCCTCCGCTTGTGATCGTTGATCAGTCTCATTCGCCAAGCATGCACCTTTTCTGCATACTCGATGCTTTGTACAGGTGTGCCAGAATGATCGCTGTTAGAGGCTTCAGTATCATGATGGCCGAAGAGCTTTTCAAGGTGGGTAGGGGGTGAATACGATATCCCCCTGTGCGCATAGGCTGGAGAGACAGAAGTTACGGGCTTTTGGTTAACACTATGCAAGTCTGCTCGGTGGATGATATTGACTGGAGTGCTTGTGAGGGGCTGAGATACGTGGGGATTTGAGACTGAGTCCAATGGCACAAAAGGAAGCCAGTTACTGCGGGGTATGGTGGATCGCTCTTCTCTGACAGCTGCTCCAGGCATATTTTGGCCCTTACGCTTTTTGGATGTTGACAACCTGACGGCACGTCCAACGGGCAAGGCTCCACCGGAGTTTACATTTCGAAATACCGTATTGTTAAAATCGTCAATGTCTTCTAGAGCACTGGCCTGGTAGCCGAGTTCGTACTCCTTGGTTGAGTATTGCACCATTGCAGGATTTGAACTGGCACGATGCCAAGATACGTTGACTGTGTCGGCCACAGGGATGAGGTTACTGGGACCGTAATCGGAGAAAGCTCTCGAGTCGAAGGCGTGTACATCGAGGAATGGGGTGCCATCCTTACCATCTCTTGCGAGTAGGTGAACCGTGCGGCAATGAGCGTTCCAGATCATCTTTTTCGTGATACGATTGATCTCAGAAGATACCGACTTCATGTACTCTACAACAGTTGGGAGACCACTAGTTGACTCCTCGGAACATTGGGCTATGCGGTCGGGATGCAAAGCATGTGCTATAAAGGTATTCAAAACGGTAGCCTCGTAAGCCTTCTGACTGGCTTGATAGAGTGCATAATTCATGTAATCCTCTTTGGAAGGTAAACGACGATTAAGGTGAACACCTATGCGAGCTCGCTGAACACGCGTAGGGCCCTGAGACGTGCCGTTGCCGTTCACGGAAGCTATAGACTGTGAGTCAGCGGCTTCCGTTTAGACTGAACTTCTTACCTGGTTCAAGCGGAAAACCGTAGGGTATCTGGTTTTGATTGCGATTATCGGATACAAATAGTGAACCTTGACCACTGTGAGTTTCCGCAGATGGGCTGGGTTGAAGTGGATGAGCAGTGGTCTCGATGGACTTCTGAGGTGGAGTGTGGAAAGAACCGTCACTCCAATCGATCTCATCCTCATCGGCATAGGTCATGATTATGGGGGAATCGTATGGAGTCAGAAATAACAAGAGATGACGTTATGCCGAGATAGAAGAATGGGGGTATAAGAGAGAGGACGACAAGGTTGACATACTCTCGTCGTATAAACTACAACGCGAATCGGGTGTATATGCAAACGACAGGCATAGTTCGAGAGTGCGATTCCGGTCATGCCGGTGTATGATCTTGATGACCGAGGCTCCAAGACGGAGCAATTAGAATGCATATACAGCGTTTGCTGGAATCGCAGACACGGACCGCCGCCCAAAAGCCGCGTCTTTTGCCCGATGCACAACCGAATTTGAACGGGAGATCCACTGAATCGGTGATTGAACGCTGTTAGTGGGTGTAAATTCGGTACTGCGACATGCACATGAAGCTGCTGTTTGTTTGATGCCCAAATGTGTCGGTATGGCTAGGACGTGTACCACATGCTCTTTCGTGAGGGTAGTCGTACGTCGACACATGGACGTGAGAGACGGCATATTGGATGCGAGGTGCACGGGGGTATGTGTTGCGATCATTTCGAAGAGGTGATTCTGTGTAAACGCATTCCAATCCACTCATATGTGCTGCAAGAAGCTGACGATTCCAGACCGGCTCTTGTAATCGAGGACATGTAATTCAAACACATTGATTAAGTAGCTCAAGGCATAATCGTGCTAGATCATACATTTTCGCCATATAGGACCACTCTCCAATGCTGCAGTGGTACGGTAGGGCGTCTGCCCGATCGGCTGCGACGTCGACAAACAAAGGCTGAGCTTTGATCTCAATAATCTGAGGGAGACAGATATTATTCGCCTGGAGAGGTGCTGGAAGAAGATATTGTCAACCCTACATCGTTGTCGTGAAGAGTTGCTGGTACGGAGTGAGAGCTGGAGATGGCTCAGACGATTGCGCACGGGCCACTGGACCCTGAAACTATGTCTATGTGGCATTTCGGGCATCTTAGAGCGTCCAGCTCGAATTGCTCTCTCCATATTCAAAATGGGAAGGAAGCACGTGTCTTCGCTAGCCTTTATACTCCCTCTCTTAGCCAGCACTGCAGATGCGGCATCAGACCCCGCCCGGCCGCGGGGTGTTGGTCCAGAGTGTATGTTGCACCCGTTACAGCTCATGTAGAGCTTCCAGATACACGACTACGTGTGACTAACAATCAACGTTTAGTTGCAAAGTACTACAAGGATGCCGAGACATTCACTTGTATCTCGAATCCGACTATCAAGCTCCCAATTGCACGCTTGAACGACGACTACTGCGACTGCCCCGATGGTTCTGACGAGCCAGGCACCTCAGCATGCTCCTACCTCTCACCCCTCTCCCCACCACAACCCTTGGGCTTCCAAGGCAAAGATGTCAATTCTACACCTGTCCTGCCTGGCTTCTACTGCAAGAACAAGGGCCACCAGCCGAGCTACATTCCTTTTACGAACGTGAACGATGGCGCATGCGACTATGAACTATGCTGTGACGGCAGCGACGAATACGAGCGTGTGGGAGGTGTCAAATGTGAGGACAAGTGTGCGAAGATAGGGAAAGAATGGAGGAAGGCGGACGAGACGAGACAAAAGAGCCTGACTGCTGCAAAGCAAAAACGGAAAGAGCTCGTGGCTGAGGCTGGTCGCATGCGGAAGGAGGTCGAGGACCGCATACAGACACTCAAAACACAGATTGAAGGCGCGACACTCAAGGTAGATGGGCTGACAAAGAGCCTCGCCGAGATCGAGAGGGCGGAGCGAGGCAAGGTCGTCAAAGGCGCAGGAAAGGGCGGCAAAGTCACGGTGCTGGCCAGCCTGGCCAAAGAGAGGATCCAAGAGCTTACCGAGAACGTCAACCGTGTGCGAGATGAGAGAAATGCGGCACAAGCAAGGATCGAGGAGCTCGAGGGCATGTTGAAGCGCTTCAAGGAGGAATACAACCCCAACTTCAACGATGAAGGCGTGAAGCGTGCCGTGCAGGCTTGGGAGAACTACGCAGCACAGGAACGCACAGGCCCCAACACTGCTTTGGACCGTGACCTCGATGAGATTCTCAAGCCAGATTCTGAGAGCGCTATCAAGTGGGAGGAGTTCGAGACGGTTGAAGAGTCCGACGTGGAGCTCCGTAAGTACCTTTTGGTTACACATCTTATATATCCACTGATCATAGAATGCAGTCTACAAGTTCGAAGAGTACCTTCCCGACTCTATTCGTAGCTGGGTGGACAGTAAGCTTCGCGACTTGCGTGTCATGCTCATCGAGAACGGCATCCTCGCAGACCCTACGTCTGGTGATGCCCCCGAATCCAAGGCCGTCACCGACGCCAGGTCGCAGCTAGACTCCGCGAAGAAGGAACTTGAGGGCGACAAATCAGAACTTACAAAGCACGAGGACGATCTCACCAAAGACTACGGCCCAGACTCCATCTTCCGCGCTCTAAAAGACCGCTGCACATCGACCGACTCCGGCGAATACACATACGAGCACTGCTTCCTCTCAAAAACCACCCAGAAACCCAAGAAGGGTGGTGGTCACACTGGTATGGGCAACTTTGCACGCATTGAATCCATCACTGTCGATGAAGAGCTCCCTGCCGACGGAAGAGGTTTGGGCAGTGGTGAAAGAATCGCAATCAAGTACGAGAACGGCCAGCATTGCTGGAACGGACCAAACAGAAGCACCATGGTTATTCTAGCTTGCGCCGAGAATGACGAGATCTGGAAGATTGTCGAAGAGGAGAAGTGTGTGTATCGAATGGAAGTGGGTACACCTGCTGTCTGCGGTATTGAAGTACAAAAGGCTGCGCCGGCGCACAACGAGCTGTGAAGAGATGAATCAATGCTGCAATGAATTCGGCAGGTAAGCATATTGATGTTCTGGAACATGTATTGCTGTCGGGCGACCCATGCGATAGCATGTGGAGCGCATTTGTAGTAGATAAGAACGCAATTACCACCAATCAGCGTGCAGCTACACAGTTTCTGGCTTCCCCGCTTTTGCGCTCTCTTGAGCCAGATATATCATTTGTTCCAAGCTATCTGTGTAAGGAGGAAGTAACACAGCGCGGTGCCATATGTATATAGTCATGTGTCTGCGGCTTTACATCAGCTCGCATTAGCTTTGCAGGTCCGACCCGTAAGCTGATCGACAATGCTCTGAGGCACACAGCCAGTGATCTAAGACACAGCTTCGTGAATGAAGAGCAGAAAACAGAAGTGACTTGAACGTACAGCGACCTCCACAAAATGTCAACCGGAGACGAACCGACGAAGACAACTTTCAAGAACCACAAGGCTCTTCCGATTGCGATTGTTGGCGGTGGCCTTGGTGGCCTTGCCCTCGCAATCGGTCTCCTCAGATATGGTGTAAAAGTACACATCTACGAAGCTTCCCCAGCCTTCTCCGAAATAGGCGCGGGTGTCACATTCGGCGCCAATGCCACGACTGCATTACATCTTATCGACCCTCGACTGCTGGAAGGCTTCATGAAACACGCGACCTTCAATACCAACCCTGAGCGGGATAGCACTTTCAATACAATCAGATGGGGCATGGACGAGAAGCGACCTCATGGATCTAAAGCTGGGGATCTCGCGTTCCATCAGAATGACACACAGCAGCCAAAGGGTGCGCTGGCCGGACTTCGAATGCGAGGTCGGATACACCGAGCGCGTCTGCTAGACGAGATGGTCGCATTGCTTCCCACGGACGTAACAAGCTTCAGCAAAAGCTTCGAAAGTGTCGAAGAAGCGGATGTTGGAGTGCTCAGGCTAAGATTTACTGATGGGACGACTTCTCTAGCCAGTGCAGTCATCGGTTGTGACGGCATTAGAAGTAAGGTACGTCAGTTTGTATGTGGTCCAAACATTCAGGCAAAGTATGCCCATGAAGTAGCGATGAGAGCTATGGTTCCAGGAGAGGAAGCCAAGAAGGCACTAGGAGTAGAGATGGCTATGAACAGCCAGCTGTACTGTGGCTACGGAGGCTACATCGTCACGTACCCTGTCGAGCATGGCCAGTTCATCAACATGGTCGCTATACCACATGATCGATCATTCACCAGCACTTGGGGCCAGGACGACTGGACAGTGCCGACGAATGGGGACGAGGTTCGCGAAAAGTTCAAAGAATGGCATACGTCGCTCATTGATCTTATCGCGAACCACAATCTACCATCAAAATGGGCACTCTTCACTCTCCAACACAACGCACCATACTTCAAGAATCGTACATGTCTCCTAGGTGATAGCGCACACGCCACAACACCTCATATGGGAGCTGGAGCCGGAATGGCTATGGAAGACGCGTATTTACTCAGTCACTTAATCGTCGCCGCTGGAAGTACCGAAAACATTGAGGCTGCGTTCAAAGCGTACGACGCCGTGAGGCGACCAAGAACTCAGGAATGCATTCAACGGAGCATAGACGCTGCTCTGGCATACGATTTCATGGTCGAAGGAGTAGAAGATGATATGAGCAAAATCGAAGAGAAGATCAAGGAGAGCTTTCAATGGCTCTGGTATGAGGATCTGGAAGTGCAGTTGAGCAGTGCAAAAAAGCTCTTGGAGGAGTGAAACGGGGCTACAAAGATTCGGAGTTGTATAGCTTCGCTGGAGCAATTGATACCTCTAGTTTCTGCAGCTTCTCTCTTTCCCCTATCATCTACCTCCTCTATCTAATGTTGATCAGTATTCGCTAAGATAAGTAGTAGAGCTTCGGCTGACAAATGCAGATGACGTCGTAAGCTTCGGTGATACCGCCAGTGCCGCCACCAATCTCATGCCCTGCCAAGCTCAGGTACCATCTCGCTTCCAGCGGCTTCATACCTACATTCAGACGTTCCTTACCATACACAGGCTAGATAAGCTTTAGAACCATGCATACCAGGGTCCATACCGTCATAGAACGCAGCAGAAAATTCTACGCGATTAGTATCGCGCAATTGCCGAGATCGACCGATCGATGTTTACAAACCATCAACAGGATGTAGTTAGTATGAGGCTTATATAGGTATTTGACGTCTCTTCATCTTCATCACTCCATACTCTTAGCTGTTGCCCTCTTTCTCCCCCATTTCCCTACATGTCGGACGAACTCTCAAACCTTCCCAAATCAAACACCCACAACACCAAGATGTCTGCCGAACGCCTTTTCCAGCCACTCAAGGTGGGCTCTATGGAACTCAAGAACCGCATCGCAATGGCACCTTTAACACGGTTCCGTGTTAACGACAACCATGAGATTCTGCCCATGGCTGCACAATACTACGGACAGCGCGCTGTCGCACCAGGAACTCTCCTCATTACGGAAGCTACTCTGGTTTCGAAACAATCTGGCGGTTACGCCAACGTACCCGGCATTTACACACAGGCCCAGATCGACGCATGGAAACCAGTCACCAAAGCTGTGCATGAGAAGGGCTCGTACATCTACCTCCAGCTTTGGGCCCTTGGACGTGTAGCGAACAAGGATTTTGCGCAAGCGAACGGCATTACCGTCAAGTCCTCCAGTGCAACATCCCTAGGCGAGGGTTACGCAACTCCTAAGGAGATGACTGTCGACGAGATTAAGCAGAGTGTTTCCGACTATGCTCAGGCAGCTAAGAACGCTATTGAAGCTGGCTTCGACGGTGTAGAAATCCACGCCGCGAACGGCTACCTCATTGATCAATTTTTGCAAGACACTTGCAACAAGCGCACAGACTCATACGGCGGCTCCGTCGAGAACCGCTCCAGGTTCGCCGTCGAGGTTACTCAGGCTGTTTCGGAAGCCGTGGGCGCGGACAAGACCGGTATCCGGTTGAGTCCTTTCTCAGAGTTCCAGGGAATGAAGATGAAGGACCCTATTCCCCAGTTTACTGATATCATGAAGAGACTGGATGCATTCAACCTGGCCTACCTCCACCTTGTCGAGGCTCGCGTATCCGGTAATGCCGATATTGAGGGATACGACTCCCTCAACCCCCTGTTACCCCATTACTCTGGAAAGCTGCTCATCGCTGGTGGGCTTAAGGCTGAGGATGCAAAGAAGTTGGTTGAGGAACACAAGGACCGTGATGTTGTAGCGGTATTCGGACGGTACTTCATCAGCACCCCTGATATTGTTTTCCGGATAGAGAAGGGCATTGAGCTCACTCCGTACGACCGCGACACCTTCTACGTCCCCAAGAGCGAGAAGGGATACATTGACTATCCTTACAGCAAGGAGTTCAAGGAGGCGCACCCGAACTTGTAGACTACAGCGTGAAAAGATACCCAATAGAATTAGCCCATATGGTAGCATAATGGACGAATACTCAAGCACATCGAGGCTTTTGCTTGCATTCAGTGACCGACATGTTGTCGATACGAAGATTAATAGCAGATATGATGGTGGATGAAGCGTTGTTCAAGTGCTGATGTACGGTAAACAAGAACGGCAACTTCCACAATAAAACACAACAGATGACGTGGATGCGAAAGTAGCTACTGCTGCATGCAACGTGCTTCGGAGCAAACCTCGGTAGTAGGTTAATATATTTGGCGGGACTTCACCCGGGGTAAACATCCGAGATCCCTGATCCCCTACGGTAACTCCACACGAATTCCCCTGACACCTAACCTCAGTAGGCACGAAAGCCTCAGAAGCTCGACCAAATGCGAGAGTGAGCTGTTTCACTGGATTTTGATTGGATCGAGAAAGTGTTTCAGACACTCAACTACCTTTATCTATGGATTTGCACATGGCCGTGCCTTCCATTTCCGGAACTTCTTAGATTGACACTTTGCCAGCGTTCAAGCACGGCTAGTATCTACGGGCAACGACCTCACAATGTTTCGCGCTACTGAACATCTCCCCACGAGCATGGCAGGCCTATAAGAGGGAAGGGGTTCGCAGAAGACTGTTTTCTTACGGACTCGCAAAACATCCAAGATGCACTTCTCCACCTCCGTACTCGGCAGCATTGCTGCTATCTGTGCAACTGCAAATGGCGCTCTTACTCGTGTCAACGACTTTGGAGCCAATCCTTCCAACCTCCAGATGAACATCTATGTTCCCGCCAAAGTCGCAGCTAAACCCGCCATCATCCTGGCCGTACGTGCTTTCACATCCTTGCAAGGTTTCTTCAATAAGCCTCACTCTAACTCATGAATAGCTACACTACTGCGGCGGCACTGGAGAAGCCTATGCTCAGTCCACGAAGTACAACAGTCTAGCTGAGCAAAAAGGTTTCATCAATATCTTCCCATCAACCAAGAAAGACAACAACTGTTGGGAAGTCAACACCGCCAAGGGCCTCTCCCGTGATGCCGGCGGCGACAACCAAGGCCTAAACAACATGATCCAGTACACCATCAAGAAGTACGGTGCCGACCCGGCCAAGGTTTTTGTCACTGGAAGCAGCTCCGGATGTATGATGACCAACGTCATGATGGCGACCTACCCCGATGTCATCGCTGCAGGATCATGCTATTCCGGTGTCGCAGCAGGCTGTGTAGCAGGTAGTCCCGGCGCCAGCCCCAGCACTGCAGACCCGCGATGCGCAAACGGTCAAGTCATCAAGACGCAAGCGGAATGGGTTGCGCAGGTCAAGGCCATGTACCCAGGCTACACTGGCACCTATCCTCGCATGGCGACATGGCATGGTACCGCTGATACCCTCGTCAAGATCCCGAATCTGGGTGAGCAGTTGAAAGAGTGGAGTGGGCTGCTGGATGTGTCGTTCACGAAGAATGTGACGAATACCCCGCAGAACGGATACACGCAGATGGTGTATGGAGATGGAACGAAGCTTGTTGGTTACAGTGCCTTGAATGTGGGACATACTGTGCCGGTACATGAGGCGGAGGACATGAAATGGTTTGGACTCTAAACGCAGGAAAGTCGACTGTCACGCAATGTGTTCGCCCAATTCATTTGTATATACTTTCTAGTGTCGTTACGAGGATCAAGGATATTCAGAGTCTCTCGTTACCGGAGGAAACCGAAAGTTATGAGAAAGGTCAACCCGGCATCGTTCCTTCTACATGCTTGTTGGTGTAACTATGGAATTCTTGCCATGGAATCTTTTCAGTCGTATTCAATAACCTTGGGTGGTCTCAGTTTTGCTGCCAGTCAGAGAACTTTGATGCGGGGTAACATACATGCCCAGGTGGTGAATAGATGATGAATCTAGCGAATGCGAACTTAGACTGGAAACCAACACTAGACACCTGGTAGCGAATGCGGAGTCCTTGACCTGCGCCACCAACCGCTCGCACTCGCTAGATTGACGGCTCGCTATTGGGAGTTCTTCAACTTGAGTAGTAGCTCTGCGTACGGTATCAGTACACTACGCCCTGTCTCTACATTCCTTATGCATCCTGCCACCTGAACCTGTCTTCTCTGCTATCTTCGCACGATCGTGAGTTATCGCCAACGTAATGCCAATACACTTGGCGCCATATGAGAGGGATGCTGTCACTCTCGTTGACGGTGGAGCGGACACTGATGCCGGGACTAGCCAGGCCAGACCTCTCTCCAGTCCTTCTTCGACAGGTGTGCATGCATTGATTTGATTGGCGTATGGACATTTGTTGTTGGAGTAACGTTGATTCTGCTTGCGACTAGCTGGGGTGGTTCAGCTTATGTTTGGGGATCTCCAGCAGTCCTGATACCGCTTGTTGGTGGGCCCTTCTTGCTGGCGGTCTTCGTTTTATATCAAAGATATATGGCGCCAGGTCGTTATCTCGCAAAAATACTCCAGCGTATCATGCCTGTGGTACCATATCAGCTCTTCCATGAGAAGGATGTGACACTGGTGTGTTTCATGTCTGCAGCGACCGATGCAGCTCTGTATGCCTGCTTTTATTTTGCCAGCATCTACTTCACTCTTGTCAAGGGATCCAATGGTGACAAAGTTGGCCTCCAGCTTCTGTTCTATGTCCCTGGCATCGGCGTCGGCGTATACACTGCCATCCTCATGTGCAACGTGTACCCGAGACAGACCATTTGGCTCTTACTGATTGGCACATTCGTGGAGACAGGTAGCATTGGAGCTCTTTCGTGGGCTATTAGCGCTCGCAAAAAGACAGCCGTCAATATTCCCATGGGTATCGCCGGGTTCGGTACTGGCATTCGCTTCATGCTTTGAAGTACTCTAATCGCGAAATCTTTCAAGATTGGCGGCGACAGAAGTTTATTGAAGTGTAAGAAGCTGGTCCGCCAGCTAAGGAAGCGTTCTGCGGATTAGTGAGGCAGATTGGCTAGTCGCTTGCAGCTGCCCTTGAGGGTGCCTGTACGGGTCACCCCTGGTAGTCGACCTTCGGTATCATAGCCGCACAATATCGCTTGAGGAGAGGCATAAAGTCACAAATCAACCATTAATTCGTTCCAAGTGACTATTTAGCCATACTGTGGAAGATGGGCCCCATGTTCTCTTGCCAAGTATCTACAATCTTATTTGCGGGGCCAGCAGCGATCATCTCATCTCCTTTCTTCCATTTTCCTATCGTTTCCTCGGTGAACTCCTCCACACTCAACGCAGCTTTGTTCTTCTCCTTTTTATTGTCATCTGGGTCCTTCCTCTCGCGATGTAAGTCTGTCGCTACAGTGGGTGGCGCAATCTCAATGACCTTGATCTTTGTATCTCTTAGCTGGGCTCGTAGATCCATCGACCAGAAGTGCAACCACGCTTTTGTACCGCAGTATACGGGATTGATGATAGAGAACGGCACGAATCCAAGAACGGAGGAAATGTTGACAACCAGTGCCATTGGTCTGGATTTGAAGTGTGAGAGCAGATGAAGTGTAAGGTGCATTGGCCCACGGATGTTGATATCGACTTCCTGGTCGGCTTTACTGCCGAACTCCTCTGGATCCATTTCATTGACGTCGAGCGGCCGCTGCACACCGGCATTGTTGATGAGACAATCGAGGTCAGGATGCTCGGATATCAGCTTCTTGATGAAAGCCGGAATAGACTTGACGTCTCCAGTATCAAGCACGTAGTAAGCTGCTGCTCCAATCTCTTTTGCGGCTTCTTGCAGTTTCGACTCTGTGCGGCCGGCGATGATGACCTTCTTCCCATCTTTTATCAACTGTTGCGCAAGCGCCTTTCCGATGCCACCGCCACCACCTGTCACGAGGGCGGTCTTGAATTCGTAGTTCGTAAACGACATGCTGAACGTAAAATTTGTGGTTTTTAGAAAGCTGAGCGAGACTGTTTAAGACGCTATAGTGATACTTGCGAGTTGGCTAGCTAAAGACTAAGTGCCGGTGACGTGCACTTGAGGCGGCGTCGCTGATGATTTATGTACGTCATGACCCCGTATCAGTAGTGAAATCTTCTATGGTGCGCAAAGTACTGACAATCGCTGCACTTGCTCAACTCAGTTTTGCTCTGAATCAACTGTCGATGAACTTGTAGCACCAACTGCTGTAACTTACACAAGGTAGCTAACGACTATTAGTATGCAGCTTCTGACCACGGTCAAAATCCCGTGTCCACTAAACACAAAGAGAGACCCGTGATTCGCACGAAGTTATCGCGGACTGTGGACGCGCAGTGGAAGGAGCAGCACTGCCGCACCCGAGACCGCAGCATCCACAACCTCATCTCCTCTTCACCTGACAAAGCCCTGACAAACTCCAAAATGTTCCTGCGCTTAGTCTCGACCCACATTCGGATATGCGAATCACGAGGTCTGGATACTGTTCCATGCGTCATGCGACCCGAAACCGGCTTGGCGTGATGTGGGGTAGCCACGCACAAGTCGCCTGGATACCAACGGGATGTCCACTCTCGATGCGCCGAAGTGCACTGCCGTACTGTAAGATTACTAGGATACCCGGGACGAAGCGGTCGCAAGAGCTTATATTAGATGCAAGCCACACTAGGTGATGTGTATCACCCATCTTTTGTACAAGCATACTTCGAGCGGGGTAGCTACACTTGAACTATCAGCTCTCAGTGATAACGGCGAGAAAACTCTAAGATGACGGTCTCGGAGACAAAGGAGTCAAAATGCGATGTGTTAGTCTGCCGATGTCAAACTACCTGAACATGCGACTAACAAGTGAGAAGCCTCATCGTTGGTGCTGGTCCAGCAGGGTAATCATCACTGTCCTAACCAACGTCTTTAGGATACTGACGAGATCTCAGACTGATGCTCGCAGCTTGGATGGCGAGATGTGGCATCGACGCTCGCATCGTCGACAAACGTGGCACAAAGATCTACTCAGGACAAGCGGATGGTTTACAGCTCCGCAGCCTGGAAATCTTTGACAGTTTTGGTTTCGCCGATAGAGCTTGGAAGGAAGCAAATCACTTGATAGAAGTATGTGCATGTGATTTCCTGTTAGAAAGAAGATTGGACTATTGAATCTTCGAACGTTTGTAACTTGGATGAATTTGACTGACCAGTACTTAGTTCTGCATGTGGGTATGTTGTTACATTCGAACAGATTTCCAGCCTTCCTAACACTCGTAGAACCCCGGCGAAGACGGTGTGATACGCCGCTCAGATGGGGTGCCGGATACACCACCTGGTCTCTCTCGATTCAAGGAGATCGTACTACATCAGGGACGAATTGAAAGATTCTTCCTTGACCATATCAAAAAGCACACCAAGGATAGGCTGCATGTCGAGCGTGCGGTATTGCCCGAGTCGCTCCATATCGCGGAAGATCGGGTGGATGATCACTCTTCAGACAACTATCCCGTCACAGTCCAGCTGCGATATCTTACCGAGGACGAGGCCAAACCGGCTCAAAGCAAGGGTTCCGGAATCAATGACGGTCTTTTCAGGAGTAACCTGGCAGACGATGATACCGAAGATCTCATCGCGAATAGCCGGCAAAAGCAGGGTAGCACGGAGATTGTAAAGGCGAAATATGTCGTAGGCTGCGACGGTGCTCACAGTTGGACACGAAAGCAACTAGGCTTTGAGCTGGAGGGAGAGCCCACAGACCACATCTGGGGAGTATTGGACATTATTCCCATCACCGATTTTCCGGATGTTCGCAAACGTTGCGCCATACACAGCGAGTCTTCAGGATCAATGATGATCATTCCACGTGAGAACAAGATTGCCCGGCTCTATATTCAGCTCACAGAAATCAAGCCCGATGCCAGTGGTCGAGCGGATAGGTCGAAGATCACACCTGATACGATCATCACAGCTGCTCAAAAAATCATTGCACCGTATAAGCTGACGTACGAATATTGCGACTGGTGGACAGCATACCAGATCGGCCAGAGAGTAGGCAAGAACTTCCATCACAAGAGCCGCGTGTTCCTGGCTGGTGATGCTGTACATACGCACTCACCGAAGGCTGGCCAGGGTATGAACGTCTCGATGCAGGATGGGTACAATTTGGGCTGGAAACTGGGCTTGGTAGTGAAAGGTATTGCTCAACCATCCATTCTAAAGACTTACCAGTCCGAGCGGAGGCGTATCGCGCAGGATCTGATTGCGTTTGATCACAAGTTCTCAAGGCTGTTTTCAGGGCGGCCGGCTAAGGACGTCATGGATGAGGAAGGCGTCAACATGGACGAGTTCAAGCGGGCATTCCTGAAGGGTAAGGACAAAAGTTCACGGGCGATTGACCTTTGCTAACAAGATCTAGGGCAGCTATTCGCCACGGGACTCTCAGTCGACTACGGCACGAGCATGTTAGTTGGCAAACCAGGCAACGCAGCAGATCAAGGCGATGGGACAGACGTATCCTCAAAGTTCGAAGTCATCGGCAAGCAAGAGCTAGCCTCAGAGACAAAGTTAGGCATGCGTTTCCCAAGCCATCAGGTCATCAACCAATCTGACGGTCGAGCCTGGGAGTTTCAGCAGAAGCTGAGAAGCGATGGACGGTTCCGTATCATCGTATTTGCCGGCAACGTCGCAAGTCCAAAGCAGAACGCCCGCCTCAGAAGCTTCTGCCAAGGTCTGTCATCGTCATCGGTACTGACGCCGCATCTCATCAAGAACGTGGACGTGCTTACATTGCACTCGTCCAAGCGCAAGGAAGTAGAACTCTTGCGCGACTTCCCAGATATACTGCACCCCTTCGATGCGAAGACTGGGTGGGATTACGATTCGGTGTACGCGGATGACGCCAATCCGTTTGAGGGCTTCGGTAATGCATACAAGGGGTATGGTGTCGACAGGGAGACGGGTTGCGTGGTTGTTACGAGACCGGATCAATACGTTGGGTACATTGACACCGTCGACGAGGAGGGGTTCAAGGGTATTGAGACTTACTTCAAAGGGATATTGGCATCGTAGGTACCTCTTTGGAGTACGGTAAAGTACGGCGAGAGCGAAGACGCTTGTTCCAGTACTTCACTGGGACGTGGTCCGGATTTGAACATATCGAATATCGCTCTTCTTTCCCACCCAATTCCGGCAAGCCGGAAATGAATACATGTGTCTTACTATGTTGAAAGGTTTGCGTGAAATCTTTATCTCTATTGTCACCAACTTCCAACGAGCTGTCGATCGAGTTTCGACCCCGCGATGCAAACATGGACGCATGCTAGGACGGGTTGCAGAGTTAGAGCGTATGCCGCACGGCGCATTAGGTACCCGCCGTACTCGATGCTCAGATCGCCTCTTGGTACCTGATAATTTTAACCTTGGAACTATCGAGTCCATAGATCGACAGAAACATGGACTCCGGTTGGGACGGGTTAGAACTCTCGGCGCGCGAAGGATCAGCCCTGGCGCTTATCAAGCTACACATTGGTCCCGAGTTATCAGAAGGCGGGGGAAAGTAAAATACGACAAGCTTGTTGCAGATAGCATGTGCTGCATGTCAGTGGACGATGAGTCGGAGCTGCTCAGTCTCATGCGCCTTGTACGACTCAAAGCCATCTGTACTCCATTGAAACCAGTCCGCTTTGCAAGGCTCCTTCGTGGATATCCAGATGGTACATATTTCCATGCCTTCGGGAGGGTTTCTTTATATTGCTGCATCCTGGCTACTGGAGAAGCTTTGTGAATTTCTTGTTAGACAGCTTTGCTTGTGACATTCGATTCTCGGGCAAATTGGCTGTTGCCAAATCTGAAGAGATGTTCTCTTGTGGTTTCTGTTGTGTAGTGGGACTTTGTAAGCGTAGAAGTAGGTACCAGAGTAGCATATGATGTGGGGTAGATGACGAAGATGTAGATAATGTGCAATATGTGCTGCATCTGATTCGCAGTGTGCCATATCACCGTATCTACTGCCACGACGAGCCATTCACGACTTCTGTAATGTAAATGGTAGCTGGACAAAAAGATACAATTGAGGGGTGAATATCCCAAGTACAGATTCTTGCCAGGCCAAAGCTCAGCCTCACATTTAGCATTTGGTCGAGTAAACGCACTCTCGCCGATTAAGAAGTGCGGTCATTCTTACTGACGTCAGGCCAGTCTGAAGTCGAGAGCTACTTCAGGGGGATGTTTGTGTCTTGGACAGAAGCAAATGCATATGCTCAACACACAAACAAGTCGTAGCTTTGGCGGTAACCTGCAAACACCCTGTTCGGCTGTGGTGGGTTCATCTGACACGCTCTAGACCTAGTACGAAGCCGGCAAGACCCAGTAGACATTTGCCTCGACAACCGATGAGAAACCCAATAGTGCAGGCCGTATCCCGGACCAATAGAATACGACAGGTGAAACAGTCGCACGCGGGTCCGGACGAATTACACATGGGGTGGTTGAGGTATCACGGTCTAAGCCACATGGGGCCGCATCTGGGGTGTGTTCCTGGGCTGGCAGGGACAGGGGTATGGCGTTACCATAACAACGTCCGAAGGAACAACAGCGTGGCATGCGCCTCCATCGCATCACTGCTGGGAAAGTAGCTATTCCACCCTTTTTGAAGACATCCATATCGCATTTTTGCCCATCTCAATCACTTCTCGGGTTTCACGAAGAACGACGACACATTTCTTATACCCATTTCTGTTTTCGCGGCGCATATACACATGATGGACGGGTCCACACCGCACAGTGGTTCACACTATGGACGGCCACCTGCATATGACTATGATGACGGCTCCCCTCAGCAACTACAAGGAGGATCAACAATGCGCTTGTTGACAAACGTGGATGACAGCCAAAGCTACATGCCGTGAGTATTTGTCTTATTATCTCTCGTTCGCTTGCGTCCTGCATTCTGGACCCAATCTCATTCCCCACCAGAAGACCCTCATTCGAGGACACTTCAAACATGTCAATTGCCAACAGCAATACGGCCGATTTGGGCGAGCGCATGACCATGTCAGAGGTGGGCAAGCAGAAGGCTGCCGAGGCGGACATTCACGACTTCCTGCGCGAGGCCGGCGATGCGCTGAGTTCAACGTCGAGCGCGGCAGCAGTGCCCACACAGATGCCGCGAAGGAAGACGCTCAAGTCGCAACTCGCAAACTACACGGCGCTTCCCAAGACCGTACAGTTACAAGACCCAGACTTACCATTACGTGATCTCCGCAGACCTCCATCGCCAGTATCGCGAACATACCACCCCACATCATCCTCAGTATCCGGCCTGTCACGGACGCCGTCTGTGATGGATACTGCACCAAACATGCCGCCGCCAGAGGACGATGGTTACGTTCCCTACCGGCGGCCGTTATCACCCGACCGGCCATACTCACCCACGCGCACATCAGACGACTACTCGCGGCCGCCAGCTTCGGTCAACTCATACGAGCCATTGGACCTCCATGGCAGCCCACGGCCAGGTAGCCCTCAGCGACCACTACCTCCCGCGCCCTTGTTCACCCATGGCGCCAGGCGCGACTCTCGCGGATCTGAGGGCACGATGGACATGACCGATATGACTTCAATTCCCATTCACGACGATGACGACCCCTTCACCGACATTGGCGACGACAGACCTAACCTGCGATCGCGCGACTCATACATGACCGACGACACATATACGGACATATACACTGAGATAGACGAGAAGGCAGAGCACTACGGGCCAGCTCCCGATGGCGCACAGGAACGACGTGGAGCGCGAGACGCAGTAATGACGAAGAAAGAGGTTCGCCTGATCAACGGTGAACTCATTCTCGAATGCAAGATCCCGACCATCCTCCACAGTTTCCTTCCACGACGGGATGACATCGAGTTCACGCACATGCGATATACAGCCGTCACATGCGATCCAGATGACTTCATCGACCGTGGCTACAAACTACGCCAAAACATCGGCAATCAGCGGGAGACGGAGCTATTCATCGCTATCACCATGTATAACGAGAACGAGATTGACTTTACCCGAACGATGCACGGTGTCATGCAGAACATCAGCCACTTCTGCTCGCGCATGAAGTCAAGAACTTGGGGAAAGGACGGATGGCAAAAGATCGTTGTGTGCATCATCGCGGATGGTCGTGGAAAGGTTCACCCCCGAACTCTAGATGCAATCGCAGCAATGGGATGCTTCCAAGAGGGTATCGCGAAGAACCACGTCAACCAGAAAGAGGTCACGGCTCACGTCTACGAATACACGACTCAAGTGTCCTTGGATTCAGACCTCAAGTTCAAAGGCGCGGAGAAGGGCATTGTGCCCTGTCAAATGATCTTCTGCTTGAAGGAGAAGAACTCGAAGAAGCTGAACTCGCATCGTTGGTTCTTCAACGCTTTTGGACGGGCACTCAACCCGAACGTCTGCATCCTACTCGACGTGGGAACTAAACCTGGACCCAAAGCTCTCTACCATTTGTGGAAAGCGTTCGATACCGACTCTTCGGTTGCCGGAGCTGCTGGAGAAATCAAAGCAGGTAAAGGCAAAGCCTGGCTTGGTCTCCTCAACCCGCTTGTCGCATCGCAAAACTTCGAATACAAGATGTCCAATATTCTCGACAAGCCATTGGAGTCTGTGTTCGGATACATCACAGTCTTGCCAGGTGCGCTCTCGGCATACCGTTACCACGCGTTGCAAAATGACCACACAGGTCACGGTCCCCTCAGCCAGTACTTTAAGGGAGAGACGCTCCATGGTCAGGATGCAGATGTTTTCACGGCAAACATGTATCTGGCTGAAGATCGTATCTTGTGTTGGGAGCTTGTAGCGAAGCGTAGCGAGCAATGGGTTCTGAAATATGTCAAAGCGGCGACTGGCGAGACAGATGTGCCAGGTAAGAACATACACCAAAACTTTATCGACCACTGACGCTAACACATCGCAGATGCTGTACCCGAGTTCATTTCCCAACGTCGACGATGGCTGAATGGTGCTTTCTTCGCAGCTGTTTACTCGTTGCTCCATTTCAAGCAAGTATGGGCGACTGACCATACGATTGGGCGCAAGATTCTCCTCCACATTGAATTCGTGTACCAGTTCGTGCAACTTCTGTTCACGTTCTTCTCGCTTGCCAACTTCTACCTGACATTTTACTTCGTTGCCGGCTCATTGTCCGACCCGGAACTCGATCCCTTCGGCCACAACATCGGAAAATACATCTTCTACATCCTACGCTACACATGCACCCTGCTTATCTGCATGCAGTTCATCTTGTCTATGGGTAACCGTCCCCAAGGTGCCAAGAAGATGTTCTTCTGGAGCATGGTCATGTATGGTGTCATCATGGCTTATACCACTTTCGCTTCCTTCTACATCGTCATTGTCCAGCTCAAGGATCCGGAAACACCAAAGACGATAGGCGCCAATGTCTTCACCAACCTCATCATCTCAACTGCGACAACAATTGGTCTATACTTCCTCATGTCCTTCATGTACCTGGATCCATGGCACATGTTCACGTCGAGTGCGCAATATTTTGCTCTTCTCCCATCCTACATCGCCACTCTCCAAGTATACGCGTTCTGCAATACACACGACATCACTTGGGGAACCAAGGGTGACAACGTAGCGAAGACGGATCTGGGAGACGCCAAGGGAAAGAACAAGGACGTTGTCGAACTCGAAATGCCATCAGAGCAGTTGGATATTGACAGTGGTTACGACGAAGCCCTCCGGAATCTGCGTGATCGTGTCGAAGTACCTGAGCCCCCAATCTCCGAATCGCAGCAACAGGAAGACTACTACCGTGCCGTACGAACCTACATGGTCGTCATCTGGCTCATCTCAAACGCCATCCTCGCCATGACCGTCAGCGAAGCATACTCGGACCGCAAAGTGACAAACAACTTCTACTTGACCTTCATTCTCTGGGCTGTCGCTGGTCTTGCCTTCTTCCGCGCTATTGGATCCACGACTTTCCTCATCATCAACTCGATCCAAGCGATCATGGAGACAAAACTCAAGTGGCAAGACAAGATTGACGACAAGAAGAGCAACAGAACTGGTCTTGGAGGCGGTAGGAAATATGGTAGAGGAAAGTGGTGGAAGTTCGGATTTGGCGGCGGTGTGTCATCGAGTTGGTTCTCTGGTAGTACAGTATCGAGCAAGCTTAGCAGTCTTGCGCCTAGTAATTGGGGCGGAAGCAGTGTCGGGAGATAACAACAGTACAGTGGGTAAGGGTTCGACGGTAATGTGGTGTGTGCTATGATTTCACGATGTACTGATCTTGGGCGTTCTGGATATATACCTTGGGATGATACCTGAGCTGGGCGATTGAGCCCACTCTACTGTAGTAGCAGACCGCTTTTTGTGAATAATAACGATTCTTTTATGCTGTCTTCTGTCATAAATTATGTTGCGCTTATCAGTGAAGACCTGATTGTGTGTTCGGGGGCAGACGCGCCATGTCAGGAAGCGACGCTAGGGTCGTGTGTTTACATGCCACTCCCGCTCTCATCCCGCCGCACGCTCAACTCCCCACTCCTACTAAACTTTCGGAACAGAACGAGATGGCGCCCCGAAGCAAAGCTGCGAACATTTCGTTTACCGTCGACTCAGCCTCGGAAGACGAAATGACAGTCGACGAGCTCAATGGGCTTCCCACACCCGAATCCAACAGCGCAAACAAAGCGCCGGCGCGAAAAACGCGTGGAACCGCCGCGCAAACGAAGAAAACGACTCCCGCGACAAAGGCAACTGCGAAGGGTAAACCGGCGACGCGTCGAACGAGTGGCACCAGTGCGGCAGCTATGAAGAAGAGCGCGGCGGCAGGCGCGAAGAAAGTAGCGGCAAAGGGCAGTCGCAAGGCGCTGGTCGAACCCACTGAAGACAATCAAAGCGATACAGAGGAGGTGGAAGATTTCGAAGAGCAGGAGCCGGTTGTGCAGGCCAAACCGGCTAAGAGGGGCAGGCCAGCAAAGAAGGCGCAGGAAGAGGATGAAGTCGAAGAGGCGGCGCCAGCAAAGAGAGGGCGCAAGGCTGTCGCGAAAGAAGAACCTGCGAAGAAGGAGACAAAGGCGAAACCTACAACAAAATCAAGAGGGACGAAACGCGCACATGAGCCCGAGGCCGAGCCTGAGCAGATGACAATCCCAGAAACACAACAAGAGCTCGACGCAGACCCAATGGATGTGTCCGAGTCGACTGAAGTCGACGAGATACCCGAAAGCATGCCCCCATTACACGCTCGACCCTCCGCACGTCGAGCCCAACCGAACAGTAGAGCGCGACGAACATCAGCTGGAGTAAGACGGACAGGAAGCGTGTCTGATTCTGAGCGGGACCCTGTCATGCGACGGAAAGTCGGCGATCTCACAAAGAAACTGGACGCTATGACAGCCAAGTACGAGACGCTCAAGGAGTCTGCTTCGTCAGGGAAGGAGTCAAACTTTGAGCAACTTAAAAAGCGGACAGACCAGATCGCAAAAGGTACGACTCAACAAATACAGGCCAACAGCGTAAGCTAACATATCTCTAGACCAAGATGCAGCCATCAAAGCCCTCAAGCAACAAATATCAGATTTCCAATCCCGCACCTCGGACCTCGCATCGATAAAGAAAGAGCTAGCAGCAGCCTCCAAAGAGTCGGCGCGTCTCGCTGCCGAAAACAAGAAGCTTGCGGATTCACTCACATCGGCGCAAAACGAGAACAAGGCATTATCGAACAAGCTCGCAGCAGCCCGATCATCAGTGCAGCCAGAGACCAAGAATGTGCCTGGCAGCGCAGTGAAAGCCAGGACGGCCGGCGTTGTCCTGCCAGGCAATGTGGAAGCGGCCAAGGAAGCGACGCTCGCAAAGCAGAAGGTCGACCTCTACAGCGACCTTACAAACCTTGTCGTTCTGGGCGTAAGGAGGTCTGAAGACGAGGAAGATATTTACGATTGTCTACAAACAGGACGTAATGGCAGTAAGTCACTTTCCATATGTCTTCCAGCATTGAATGAACAACATACTGACCATTTCCCTCCAGCACTACATTTCCACCTCACGGTAGCCTTGAGCGGTACATCCTACGAAGACACGGAGTTCATCTACCAACCTTTGCTCAACGAACAAAGAGACAAGGAGCTCTTGGATTTACTACCTGACTACCTCACAGAAGAGATCTGTTTCCCGAGGGCGCAAGCGGCCAAGTTCTACTGCAAGGTTGTTGATAGTATGAGTAAGAAGATCATCTTGGAGGAGGATCAGGATTAAGTTCCAGGAGGTTTGTTTGCACACTTCTGGTTATATGATGGTTATGACGGCTGCTTTATACCTTGGTCTTGAGCGCATGCTTATGTCTATATTCTGCTTTGTAGTATCGAATACCCAGTCATGTTCATACGGTCGGAATGGCAGGGAGCAGTTTGTGTGAGAATGGATAGGTCGTTCCAATGCTTGCTTGTTGGTACAATTGGCGTATCTACAGTGTTCCACATCCTTGAAGCACGCACGCGGCTATCCGAAGTGGTCTCGTTGCCGCATCGTGTTCTCGTCCACTATCGTCATTGCCCCAGTCCGAACGTCATGTTTATTGCTTTCCTTGAACCTTGTCGGCGGCCTTCTTGACGTACTCCCTGATATGTTGTTAGCCCCGGTCTTCCGATACAAGCGTCTCTACTCCGCTGCTTTCGCAAACAACTAGCGGCATGTCACTTCCAGGGTATGTGTACGCACTTGACGAAGCTCTCCTCCTCGCTGCTCTTTGCGTTGATCGGGGGAGTGGTGGGGTCCTCAGCCTTCTTGCCGCCCATGGAGAGCGCGGCACCGGTGAATGTGACACCGAGGGTGGCCATTGCGAGCTAAACACAGTACTTGTTAGCCCATGTCCCAGATTGTAGTCCAAGTCGTCTTTCTAGTTTCGCAAGTCCCCCATGAATGGTCTTCAAGGCATGCGCCATGAAGCGCTCGTCCAATGCTTCCGGTCACTCCCCCAACTAAAGTTTTCTTCCTCCACTACATCTTTAGGGAAAGAACGTACGACGTGCGATCCGACCTGGCGGCCCATAATAGTGTACATAGCAACCATCTTTGCGGTATTTAAGGATTATCCGTGCCGTAAGCGGGGTGATGGGGCGTCAATGGATGGAGAGAGTCGTGGGGTGGAGCGATGGTGGTTGCTGCGCTTGCGCGGAGCTCTCTTCGGAAGAGAAGATGGGGTCTTGGCGGTATGTGGCCGATCTTATGTGGCTGGTGCAGCCCAGCACAGCCACAACGATTGAGTGGGTGTGACGTCGAATAGAATGCCGAGGTGTGCTCTGGTTAGGGTAGGCAGTAGTGGTACCAGGGAAGCATGGAGGTCTACGCTTGCGCACCTTTCCAGGATTTGCTTCCGCTCTCTTTTGTCCGTCGTTCGAAAATCCGAGTAAAGGAAGAGACCGTATAGCATATCGACCATGGCGAAAGACGACAACAAGAAGATCGTAGAGGTCGACGGCGTACCAGTGGAGCGTCAAGGCACCCGACCGGATTTCTCAATTCCACCAGCTAGGAAACAGCTGCCGAGAGAGCTTCAGGACACGCTCAACGATGAAGAGAAGTTGTGGGAGGTGCTCTACGATGGCGAGTATGTATTGATTCCTCGATTGCCTTCTATACCCTCGTCCCAACGACTACCAGCTATGCGCCGGCTTTCTTCACGTTATATGAGCCTAGCTGACAAGACTACAGAGGTGAAGATACAACAGATACATCACTCCGCTATGCCGCGTACGCCTCGCGAATCCGCACCATTATGCTTTCTGCGCACCGCTATGTAGCCTACACCTCCGATATTGGCGAATCCTTCCGTCCCATCGCGCATCCTTACCTAGTCAAGGGTGCCTACGGTATATCCTGGCTCTACCTTACCGGTGACGTCGCTCACGAAGGCTACAAAGCCTACTGCCGCAACCAACGTACACTACATCCCGAGAAGTACATCGACGAAGCAGCAGATAAGAGTCTGGGAGAAGCAAAGGACAAAGATCTCGCAGCCACAGGCAAGTGCGCCAGTACAGGCATATTCGACAAGGTGCAAGATCTGGCGAGGAATGCTACAAGTACAGAGGGTGTCAAGTATGGTGAAGCCGGGAGCGCATTGACCGGTGGGCAGGTGGTTGCGGGAAAGGTACCAGCGATTGAGGACTACAGGGCTGTTATGGCGCAGAGAGCTGTGTTCCAGGCTGTTGCTTCTATGGGTCTACCTGCTTTCACTATACACAGCATTGTCAGGTACTCTGGGCGTGCGCTGAAGGATGCAAAGAATAAGACGCTAAGGACTTGGGGTCCGATCGGAGTAAGCAACTCTCGGTTATTTGATGTTGATGCAATGCTAACGGCGTGCAGCTTGGTCTCGCCGCAGTCCCTTTCTTACCATTCGTTTTTGATGAACCGGTCGAGCACGCCACTGAATGGATCTTTTACAATGCGTTCAAGACGTTTGGTGGTGAAGAAGCGGTCGCGGGCAGACCGGCGACTGGGGTTAAGGAATTGAGAAAAGAAGAAACGCAATCGAACAAGCTGAAGAAGGAGTTGTAGAAGGCTCTTACTATGGACGCACACCATGTCTTCATAGACGTCTGTAGATGCACGACACATACAAATAATCCACTCAGTATGAATGTACATATTAAATCCTTCTTTGGAATTGATCGATTCACAGTTACAAGTTCTGTGTCCAAAAAATACTGATAGCGAGAATACCAAGTGTAATTCGACGAACTACACGGTTGTCTTTGCGACAGACCAAGAACCATTGCCCCAAGATGTCAGTTGTACTCGTCCTCAAGCCTTGCCATTCTTACTCTGCTTCTCACAAGCCTCTGTAAAGACGTTCAACAACGTTGGGAAATCACACACATTCATCGACTCAAACGCACTCGTGGAGAAGAGCTTCAGTGCAGTCATACGTGGACTCTTAATTCCAAACGCGAGCTTGGCAAGGAACCTAGGATCATCGCGTACGCTGATCTCCTTCAGTACCTGCTGAACCTTTTTGGGGTCGGGAGGTTGTGGCGGCTCGTCGGGTAGTACCACTTGCCTGTGTGTCTCACACCACGTGCAATGTCCACACTCTTCTGATATATCAGAGCTCTCTCCGAAATAGTCCGCAATAGACCTAGACAAGCAGCGTTTGTCGGTGATAAGGTCGAGTAGTGCTTTAGTCCGGGCAAGGTTCTGCTTTTCGGTTTTTTCCATGGTTTCATCAAGCTGTTTGACGATTTTGTCAATCTCTTCAGGTGTGGACGGTAGAGGTCGCTCCAGACGGTATATGTTCTGTACGCCCTCCTTCTTCAGCTCGATCGCACCGCGCTCGTTCCACTCATCCATTTTACGCACTAGATCTGCTCGGGGGATGCCAGTCGAATTTGCGAGATCATCCAAAGCGATGTGTGTCCATTTGCTACTCTTGACTGATGCCCTGACAATCGCGGATGCCGCCGGCGACCCATCGTTGCGCACGATGTTCGGATTCTTGGTGATGTAGCTATATTTTGCGTAGAGAGCCCCGGCAGAACGGAAAAGTTCGAAGTTCAACTCCATTTGGGCGTACAGAATGCCGAGAACAGTGGCTTTGATGTCGGTATCCTGGCCTTGTGTGTATAGTGAGAGTGTGAAAGTGTCACCCGCTTTGAGCTGCGCACGAGCTGCCGAACATATATCTTGCATTAGAGACTTCAGTGAGCGTGACGAAGGCCGATCGCCGTAGGTGAAAATGTTGCGGAGATAGAAGTCTTTGGTCGAGAGATAGAACATACACACACTCGGCTTACCGTCTCGACCAGCTCTGCCGATCTGCTGACTGTACGATTCAATACTGTCAGGTATGTCGAAATGAACGATGTTACGGATATCTGGCTTGTCGATGCCCATACCGAATGCGATTGTAGCAATAACGATCATGTCCTTGCTGACGAGGAACTCATCTTGCGTTTTGGAGCGCAGTGCCGCGGGCATTCCAGCATGGTAAAACCTGGCCTTGAAGCCGCGCTTTTGCAGCTCTGCGGCCAGCGTCTCTGCGCCTTTCTGAATCGTCACGTACACGATGGTAGGACCGGGGTACTTCGCAAGATGAGCAGCTAACTTTGATACGTAGTCGGCGTCTTTGCCATTTGCCTCAGCTAAAAGACGTAGGTTGGGACGATACATGGTTGTCCGGAACAGGCCTTCTTTCGGTATGGAGAAAGCAGCTTGAATATCTTCGGCAACCTTTGGCGTTGCTGTGGCGGTTAGGCACACAACTCGCTCAACCTGCGCTTCTTTGGCAAAACGAGAGATCTTGAGGTAGTCAGGGCGAAATGAGTGGCCCCACTCCGAGATACAATGCGCTTCATCGACAGCTAACAAACGGATGCCTCCAGGGATATCTTTGAGTGATGCAATGAAGCCCTCACTATTGAGACGTTCTGGCGCGCAGTAAATAAGATCTAAGTGGCCTTTCTTGAGGTCATCTTGTGTAGCCAGGAATTGGTCGCGAGAGATGGACGAATTCAGCACAGCAGCTTTGATGCCGCGGCGCAAAAGGGCATCGACCTGATCCTTCATCAAAGCGATGAGCGGTGCAATGACCAGGGTGACGCCGCTTTGGTCAGCGGTCCGGCGACCAAGCTGTGCATCTTGATATCTGAACGCCACGGCAGGCACCTTGGAAAGTTAGACGGATGAATCATTGCACCAAGACATGACTCGCCTGATAGCAAAGACTCTTGCCACCTCCAGTGGGAAACACAACGACCGCACTGCCACCATCGAGGAGTCGAGTGATAGCTCTTTCCTGTTGGAGCCGAAAGCCATCGATGGCGAAGCGTTCCTTGAGGATCCGATTGGCAAGAATTGTGTTGGCTGAAGGCGTGACGATGGCACTATCCTCATGTCTGTTTCGCTTGGGTGAGGAAGCTTTGTTCACACTGTTGAGGGTAAGTTTGCGCTTTCCATCTGGCACAGCATCTGTGGTAGCGGCGAATTGCTCTTCGTCTTCAGAGGACCAGCCGAACTCATCATTGCCCATATTAACGGATCAAGGCAATGCTGACTGGCAACAACACACCTAGTTGTTGGGAAGTAGGTGCACGGCCGTCGATTGTGGTCGAAAGTTGCTATGCTAGCAACAAACCAAGGTCGCGACTTCATCCAGTTCCAGGGTTACACGCCAAGAGATTCTAAGCGCGCTAGCACGTGATCTGAGAAATGAACTGACCGCTCACGCCAGGCACAAAAGCGAAAAGAGAGGATGGATTGATGTCTCACGACACTAGAGCGAGTACAAGGAACATGTTTGCGAATAACACCATGGTTCGTCCAGATATCAGCACGATGGAACCTCGGTGCTTCAACAGCGACATCTGCTAGGCAGCAAAGCTCACGTCTTCGAAAAGCGAGTTGGCGTCCACATTACCTGCCATGCCTTTTCGGAATGTCTACCACGATGTCTTTTGACCTTCCATCATGTCTGACTGGGATCATCGATGCTTGCATTTGCTTTGGCATGGAAATCCCGGTCTGACACGCCGGAAGATGCTGCAGGGCCACATGGGTTGGGCAAGAGTTGTTGCCTCAACAGCAGTCGGTGGAGAATTGGGCCGATACCGACGATCATCTTGGACCCTGAAGGCGACGCTTTCGCTATTTCAATTTACTGTTGCGGTCGAGATTGAACTAGCGTCAAAATCAGAGCTTTACACTCGCCACGGCAACCAATGGCCGAAGACGTCCCCTTCTCCTCTATGCTGATCCGATATCCGACGCATCTACGTTTAGTCTGTTACTGCGGCCATCGAGGACTGGAACGGTCCGACTCAACCCCACCTACCACGCATACAGTAGTTGCCATGCCACACATTGGTGCACTTCCCCGGCCCTCCAGCCCAGATCGCACATCCAGGGTACGCCAGCATACTACCACTGACAGCGCACGAACACTCCAACTCGCTCAACTGCATCCTGGGGCATACATGCCATATTCACCTTTTTGGCAACAAGTTCGTGAGACTGTCTGGAAACACGGCGGTCTTGATTTTCCTAGTGGCGAACTTGAACAGCAACTTCCTTGACAATATTCCCGCTGGACACCGCCCCTTCCATCGCATTGTTACAACGACATCTTGCACAATGCGCTGAGCGCCGAGCCTTCCCCCAAGACCGTACACTACCCGACAATTCAATCGCCTGTTATTCGTCATATATTCCATCGAAATTTGTTAGAGCCTATTCGAAATGCCGTCGGCCGAGCGTTCCAATACACGCTTGCTGGACTTGGAGGACCTGGACGCTGATACCGCGCCGCTATTCGTCATTAAAGCGGGTGATATAGCGTTGGGTTTCGACTTTCTCTTCTGCAATGAAGTATTCCGAGAACTCCGTCTCAGCAATCCCATATTGGCTAATGACAGAGCCGCACTCCTCTTCCGCTCCTGGGCGCAGGCTTTGGGTGAATACAAACCTCGGTATGATTTTGGTGGCCGCGTCTGGACTGCCGAAATATCGGGGCGGAATGGCGGTTGGAAGGTAGTGAGAGCGATAGAATCCGACACGCAGCAGCAGGATTCACCGCCGTTGGAGGACAACATGGATGACAACGATCACTTTAGTATTGGTCAAACCCCGGTCTTCACACGATCGAAGGCACAGTTGGTTAGCGAACTCAAGCGCGACAGAATGGCATCACTCAAAAACATACCATACACAAACCTTCATGCCAGATGGGAAAGTATCCAGACGATGATGGAGATGAGTGATGTTGGCGTATTTGAGTACAATGCAGAGGGAAAGCTTTTACATGCAAATGAGGCATGGTATAGGCTGAGGTAACTTTAACTGCAACGTTATATATTACTGTATTAACAATATTCAGTTCCCAACCCAGAGACGCCAAAGCTGACGAGTACTCATTCATGGATCTTGTTTATCCGGATGACCAAGCACTAGTAATGTCCATGTGGAACACGCTTGCCCAAGGAAAATCCGTTACTTTTGAGATGCGTTGGAAGGCACGCCCAGGGACGAAAGACACTGCGCAATGGGTACTCTCAGCTTGTGTTCCCGTGTTCGATGATGACAAGCGATTGATCGGTATTGCGGGCAATACAATAGACATCAACGCACAGAAGAAGTCACAAGAAGCAGCACAGGCGCAGGTGTATGTACCATTCGAAGCATACATGGTACACATATACTAAGTTCATGTTTAGGGAAGCACTCGAACAAGCGCGGCTGGCAGAGATGAAGTTTGCGCGATTTGCCCAAGTTTCACCTACGGCTATCTACATATACGTCCCGGAAAGTGGTAAGTAGATCTTGCCCATTGTATATCATATGCTGATATTGATCTAGGCATGAACTTTGTCAATGATCAGTTCTTTGAGCTTACGGGTCACGCACATGCTCCAGTCAACCAATACGAGTGGTTCGATCTAGTCTCTAACGAAGATGTGGCGAGAGTGCAAAAAGATTGGGAAGTTATGCTCAAAGGTGGTAAATCCAATGGAGTGCAATTCCGTTTGAAGAAGACATGGGTCAACCAAGATGGCATACGGTCAAACATATGGGTGCAAAGTTCGAGCTATCCAGAGCTGGACGAGAGCGGAAAAGTGATCAGTACGATGATATTTCGTTGCACTACAACTTATGTACTTGCTGACCACTCCAGGCATAATGGGAACATTATTCGACATATCACAGTTCAAATGGGCGGAGAGCGTCCAGCGGCGCCGCATAGATGAGGCGTTGGAAGCCAAACGACAACAAGAGAAGTAAGTTCCCACGCACTCTCCGACTATTTCTCACTGACCAAGGCAGCTTTATCGATATGACATCGCACGAACTTCGCAGTTAGTGTTATCATTGTACGAATTGCATGTGAGACACGTACTAACGTCCTTCACCACCGTTTAGATCCACTGTCAGCGGTTGTACAATGCGCCGACTCAGTCATCGCTTCACTCCAACAATTATCCGGACGCCAGCTCGCAGCATCAAAACAACCGTCCGACATCTCCAGGGCAGAAGCGGAAGTTCAGAGCTGCATCGAATCGCTTCTCATCATTGTGTCGTGTTCGATGCATCAGAAACGCGTTATTGACGACGTACTCACCTTGTCTAAGCTTGATTCTAACTTGATCCTGATTACGCCGATGCGTGTCCAGCCTGCGGTCGTGGTGTCGGACGCGGTAAGGATGTTTGAAGTCGAGTGCAACCAGTCAGGTATCAAGCTCACTTTCCACGTTGATGAAACTTTCAACGGCATGGACTGGACAATGCTCGATCCGTCGCGTTTGCTACAGGTTCTCATCAACCTACTGTAAGCAGCCTTATCTTCAGTTGTCATGCCGTTTGTTGACGTAACCAGTACCAACGCCATCAAATTCACCAAAGACCGCCCTCAAAAGGCTATCACCGTTACTATCGGTGGTTCCTGGAGCCGCCCACCGAAATGCTGGAACGAAGTAACCTTCACCGATGATGAAAAGCCCAAGACCGATGTTACAGATAAGGCAGAATGGGGTGAGGGCCGTAAAGCGTTCCTATGGCTCAAGGTCAAGGACACTGGCTGCGGGATGACCACGGATGAGCAAAAGAAACTCTTCTCCCGTTTCTCGCAAGCCACGCCGCGCACACACATCAAATACGGAGGTTCGGGGCTAGGCCTGTTCATTTCCAAGTCCCTCACCAAGTTGCAAGGAGGAGCTATCGGGGTTCACTCAGAAAAGGAAGAAGGATCGACGTTCGCGTTCTTCATCAGCGTCCGCCTCGCGCATTCACCAGCTGACCATGTCACCGCTCGAGCGGTACAAGCACGACCCGTTCCTCGTAGAACGATGACAGGCGAGGAAGCCATGCAAACGATCAAACTCAACGTCTTGATTGTAGAAGACAACCTGGTCAATCAAAAGGTGCTTCGAAAGCAGCTGCAAAAGTTTGGTTGGAACATCAGTGTGGCTGGCAACGGCCAAGAGGCGCTGGAATGGCTGAAGGACAGTGTCTATTGGCGAAACGAGAAAGACAGCTCTACTACTGAGCACAGACACGAACTCGACATCATTCTTATGGACATTGAAATGCCCATCATGGATGGCCTTACCTGCGCCCGCTTAATCCGCGACTACGAACACCAGGGCCTTCTCGTGGCTCCGTCGGCTCCGCATTCCGCGTCGCCTACCCAACCTCGCCACAACAAAACTTCGTCTACTTCATCCGCTTCCCATGAAAGGCCTGACAAACAATCCCTTCGCCTTCCTATCCTAGCTGTCAGCGCGAATGCGCGCATGGAACAGATTGAACAGTCGCTGGCATCGGGCATGGATGATGCCATCTCGAAACCCTTCCGCATACCGGAACTTTGGCCCAAGATCAGAGGGTTGGTGAAGAGAGTTGCTGATGCTGATACGAAGTCCAGATCTTGATTTTTCTTGCGCATGGTTTTGGGTAAGGGTTGCACAAATAACATGGCGTTGCATAGAAGCACAAGCATGGATACGCCGTTTGGTAGTTTTAGTAATGCAGTGATTTTGATGTCTTGAAAGAATCGAACGCGGGGAGATGTGAGAGTACAGAAACCACTACAAGGTAATTACAGTATCATGTTCACTTCTCCAAGGTCGCTTGCGTTCAGAAGAGCCTCGAGAACGATCAATTCTTATTGCGATGCTTTTGAATTATGGAAGGACCCGACGATCTTCAATGTCAAGGCAACACCAGAGTCCGAACATATATACTACCAGTCCTCCGGGTGCTCGCACTCATAACTCACTTCGATATCCAGATGTCCTTCCGCTAGAAGCCAGTTGATATACCCAAACACTTGTTCCTCGGCTGGCATTGTATCAAGCCGATCCATCTCGTCGTAATGCGACATCGCAGATTCTAAAGTCGCTTCGAAGATCTCCGGGTCTTCCAGGACTTGTAGGCTCTCTCTTCTTGGCAAGGGTAACCCCAGCTGACAGAACTTGGCATGTTCTTTATAGGCATCGTGGATGTCGATGACTCTTTTCATCCACTTGTTTCCGATTGGCTTTCTTGGGGATTCGGAATATTCGACCGAACACCTTTGTTCGAGATAGCAGCAAGTATGTTCACCATCCAGGTAATTGAACAGTTGACACCGTGTGAAATCATACACATACTGCGCTCTTAGAGGTTCAGGCGGTTTTACGTTTTCCATCCATTTGCGTACAAGAAGTTTGGTCAAACCAATGCCGTACTGTCTGCTATCGGATATGACCTTGACGGGTGTGCAACCTTTAGGGGAGCATACGCATGTGCAGTCATCATACGGTATGCCCAACTCTTTTTGCACTGCTTCCATGTAGCGTTCGTCTGTAGGTATTACATCAATTTTATGTGCGAAGACAGCACCGGGATACCCCAGTCGTTTGGCGTATAAATGGAGAGCAGTCAAAGGCGCATCTTCATGTATCGATTGCAATGGCACGCCTCTTTCTGTGAACCAATTAACCATCTCGAAATTCGCGCAAAACCAGCTTTGGAGAAACGGCGTCACACCGCATTCGTCAGGAGTGTCAATTTCGCGAAACCCGGCGGCCCAAAAAACATCTGCTATTTCCGACGTTAGACATATCTGACCATGCATGTCCGAGAAGTTATAGAAGCTTTCTCCATCAAGTTCCAAAGCCTCTGGGACATCGATCCCATATGATAAGAGCATATCGATGATGAACGGCGCCTTTTGTTCGTGCAGTTGTCCGGACGTCAAACCAAGCTTGACGAATACGGCTGGCGGCAGATGCGAGTTGGCCAGATCCAAGAGACGTGTATGACGATCAATGAGCGCCGGAATAAGCAGATCCAAGATTTGAGATCTTTGTGTATCTTCTAATCTTAATGCATGTTGCAAGAGGCTTTCGTCGTGTGGGGGGTTGAAGAGCCCGCAATCTGCGCGGAGCAAGCATCGTACGGAGTCAGCAATGCCCAGGGTTACGGCTAGATGTATAGGCCGCCGACCGTGGCTGTCTTCGGGGTTCACCTGTACACCCCTGTCTACCAACAGGTTTAGTCCTACAGGCCACAAAACAGCAAAATGAATCGGAGCTAGGCCATTCACTGAAGATCGACGATTCAGGCTCGAGAGCTTAGTCTTTTGGACAATGCGTCGGAACTGTTTCTCATTTCGTTGCAAGATTAGCGGCACAAGATCCCCAAGATCCAAAACTGGAACATATTAGGGGTTTTATGGAAACTGGCATATTTAGCGGAAACTTACTATCAATCTGATCTTCGAAGATCGTTAACTGCTTGATCTCAAGAGGAAAGCGAAGGCATCGGAAGCTCGGAATTATGTTTTCCACGTAAGGTCTCGTAGAGTGGCCGCCAGCATCTGTAATCCGCTCAAAAATTTCAAGAACCTGTGGTGTTCTAGCCCACTCCACGAGGGAGAGGTTCCATGCAATAGGACCTGCAAGTTGATCACATGTGGTGCCTTGGCAGTCTCCTCGATACTGAAGGCTGTCGTCGTGCGTCGGAGCTCTCAAAACGTTCGGATCGGCACCCATATCCAACAGGAACTGAACAAGGACAACGTATTCATCCCCTGGCGTCGAGATGATTCCAGGGAAGGCAGTGAATAGCCAAATGATCTTCTGTAATACAAGTTAACTCGACAGTACAAGCGCTGTACGGCCGCGCTGCCTTACATTCAAGACGGTGTTCCCATTGCCGTCGGTGTCGAGAACCGAAGCCTCTTTGCTATTGAAAAGCTTTTGCAGTGTGACTTGAAGCTGAGGAATCAATATATGATGCTGTCCGTTCTTGTATAGTTCCTCTTTGGTGTTCGCAATCGCACGAAATGCAGGCGAAATACTTGAATCAACAAGCCTGCTTGTACCTATCACGATTGGACTAATCGAGAAGGGATTCATGGTTGACCAATTCCGTACTCGGGTCCCAATATCAATGGTACGAGACACAAGCCAAGACGGAGGAACAATTTGCATGGTGATCTCGAGGCTCTGTTCCGAGATCCGATGATCTGGGCAGTATGAGAAGTGTTGCGTCCGGAAGGTTCGGGTGAATTGAAGGATAGACAACGGCTGCCAGCGGCGCGCAGTATTGACGGTTCGACACCTACATCTCTGAGATCTACGAGTAGGTTCCAGAGCGCTTCGCTGAACCCGTGTGTCTGATGAGTCGACACGTAGTTTGCCCACGACAAAACTATCCCTCGTACCTAGATTGGCTCTGTCTGAGTCGACACCTAGCTGTTCGATGGCCCGAAGTATTTGCTCGGTGTTTGAGAGAATCATGGCTGTTGTCTGACCGCTTAATTCCTGTGCTGTTGTATGCGCATCGCGGTCTATTAAGAGACTCGTCGAGTGAGACTTTAGCTGTTGGAGGTCTTGTATGATTTGTTCGGTCCTTTCGGAAGTGGTTGATAAGTTTCGGTCAATCTGTTCGACGTGAGGTAATAGCTGTGCTGTACTTAGTACGGCTGTCCTCGAGGTCTTGTCGACTGTCTTCATAAGCGCCAAAGTCTCCCCAATCTCGAGTTGAATTTGATCAGTAGTCGCCGCGGTATTTGACGAGAGCTTGCTGCATACTAGTCAGTGCTGTGGTGTTCGGTCACCTACAGAAATTCTACTCACTGATTTGCTGCATTCAACCACAACGAGAGAATACTTCTCTTTTGTTCAAGTCGATCACATATATGTGCTACCTCTTCCTTTTTGCGGAGGGAACAGATACCACTCCAACCTCGTTGCAGCACTCCATCGTTCTTACGAGCGAGCAGTCCTCCCAGCGTCTTGTTCAACTCCTCAGCAAGGCCAATGTACTCAAGCAGAGGTGTATCAAGCGCCAACGATGATGCTGTTGTCGCAAAACCAGGTACGTGATCATTTTGTATGTGCTGGGCAATCTCGATTTGCTGGTGTAGGTCGGTCTGCAGTTGAAGAAAACGACGCGGCACGTTGCGCACATCTGAGCAAAAGTGTTCTAGACAAGATGAAAGTCGGAGAGCCACATCCACAAACTGGACAACAGCGGCTGTAGCACCTATCACTTCCGCCATTATTGCGCCGCGCTGAAGTGTTACGATGGACGATGGAAGATATGAGGGCCAGCCTGGGGCAACGGGTTCATATACACTGGCGAGGCAGACTGACCTCAGCCTCAGCAAATGAAATGCATATACGTACATATGCATAGCCTTCGCCAAGCACGGCTGGTCACCATGTGATGCTGGACATGGACCTCAATGGGGACCATGGTAGTAGTCTGCCGGAACAAAGCCGTACAAGACTTCCGCCAAATGTTCAGGTCAACCTGTAGCTACTTGTGGAATGCATCTCGATACGTGGAGCTGCCATCGCGTTGAAATGGAGGCGATGTATGGACAAGGCTGAGATCAAGCCTCTTCTCCGGGCGAATGAAAAGGAGGAGCTCAAGTTCTGATTTCTTCCTGAGATCTAGATCGTGGACGAACGATCCAGTAAATACACGGTCATGTTCTGCTGTTTGCTGGATACATCGATCACAACGGTGGAGACGGAATCTGATGGTTGTCGTGAAGGTAAAGCTAGACGCGAATTGATGGGATGGCAGCTGCTGGACCCTGGCGCTAGCGGGCGTAGATGACTAGCGCTAGTCGCCCTTCATCGGAATCGCCTTCCGAAGATGGCGCGGCGACAATCGTAAGCTCTTGGTAGCCTAAGCGGCCTTCTCGAGGCTTCTCATGCTTGCTCAGCTTGTCTACTACACATTACCTTCGCCTTCTTCACTCTCTAGCATCTTCCTTACTTGTCCCTTACTTATATATTGTCCTTGTCTCCACCACAAACATGGCGACCAACGAATCAAGCTACACAGAGATGAAGGGTGATTTAGAAGCTATTGGGGCGCATTGCCAGATGGAGTACTGCAATGTACTTGACTTCCTACCGTTCCGATGCGAGAGTTGTCATGGGTAGGTACATAACACGTACAGCATCCGAACGTGTTGTCATACTAACAACCCTAGGAAATTCTGCCTCGACCACCGCACCGAATACGCGCACAAGTGTCCTAAAGAAGGCGAATGGGCGAGACAAAAAGCCAAGAATAATCAAGCCTCGTCACTATCCACTCCCAAACCGACCGTCTTCAACCACGACCAACAGTGCGCTGATCCGTCGTGTAAGACGTTGATTGATACCGCCCGCGCGCAAGGCGTACACTGTACACGATGTAATCGCAGATACTGTCTCAAGCATCGCTTCGAAGAGGACCACGACTGCAAGAACCTCACACCCATCGGTGCGCGACCGCAAAACTATGTACAAGCGCGCACGCAAACAGCGCTCACAAGACTGAAAGCGTGGGCTGAACAGAAGAAGAAAGATGACGAGAAGCGGAGATCTGCTCCTAAGAAGACGGGCTTCCTGGGGATGGGAAGGAGTTCAGCGTCGTCGGCGGCAGCTTCAGCACAAGTCGAGCTCAACGCGCTCAAGCGTACAGCGAAGGGCGAGGCCAGCGTACCCCAGGAGAAGCGGATATACCTCCACGTCGAAGCGTCCGCCGATACAACAAAGGCGAAATATCCAACGGGAAAGTTCTTCTACAACAAGGAGTGGACTGTGGGACGCGTGCTGGATATGGCGGCCAAGTCATTGCAGGTTCAAAATGTGAACAACCGTGGCGGCGGTGAGGAGGAGAAGTTACGCGTTTTCCACGTGGAAGGCGGACGGCTGTTGAAGTTTAGCGAAAAGATTGGCGAGCCGTGCAAGAGTGGGAATATGATTGTCCTTCTGCGCGGCGTAGGATCAGGAGAGGCGCCAGATTTGATCGATTTGTAGTTGGTAGTGAGAGTGGAAGCATTGCATGGCATGGCGTTTAGCGGCTGGTTTTCGCGCTGGAGATACCCAGGTGCTCATGATGGCACGAATGAACGAATAGACGAGTGATCACATACCTCTCACAATGCTGCTTGGGATATCAAATACATGTGTATAGCTGAAAACCTGCATATCGACACGAAGGTGCCTTTCGGCATTGCGACTGCGTTTCAACACGCCAGTAATACATATACAAGCCGCCTACAAACAGGAATCTGTAACTGATAAACTTGTTATATTTATGTTTAGATTTATATTGGTTCGGTACTGGTACAGCACTAAAGTGGGCGTCGAGCACTTCGAACGCCGGTGTTGTCACCTGTCCTATGTGGATGCAGAACCCAGTGTAAACGCCAATCCCATCGCTATATCGCATGATGCATGCCCATGGTATACAACTGCCACCCTTCCTGCTTGGATGCTTGATCAGTCCGTGCCGTGCGCTTGGCACACGTATGAGTCGTATGCTCCTGTCCTACCCCACCGCGTTCTTGTCTCCGCGACCAAAGTATCCTACTGGCGTGTTGATATCGAATCTATGTCGTTGTGCGACACTTGCTGACCGATCTGTGTGGAGCTTTATTGACGTATGGCTGCACGTGTTCGTCTCTCGCAGTGGCTCGTCGCTCGCTCAGTCGTCGTCATGGTCACGGTTGCGGCACCTCAGGCCGTGTATCTTCGTGCCCCAACCAATGCTTCCAAGGTTGTTTGCACCGTCGGATATTGCTAAGTACCGATCCAGGTTGTCGTCGCCATCGCAGTCATAGTTGCTGTCAGAACGTCAGCTGCCAGCCCCCCTCAAAGCCCAGCCCTCCACTTACTCATAGAAGCGACAGTTCCAGTAGTCATCCCTCTGTAGCACAGTCGGGACGTCATGTCCGCCTACTAAGATGCTCTGTACGCGCCCATCGATGCTATTCCTGAGTCAGCGCAGCCGCCCAGATGCCGCGATACGGGTGGAACATACAGATTATTGTCCAGCGACAGACACTGGTTATTATACGCGTCCACACTGACCTCGCTCAAGAACGAGGGCGCAGCAAAAAGCTGTACTTTGATCTTCCCGGAGGTGATGGTGTCGCCAGCCAGCACAAAGCCCGCCCAAGCCAGAAGTAAAGTTGAAAACGGAACGAGGCGGCAGCTACTGGGCATCATATCGCCGGCATCCAGATCACGTCCGTGGACGTTGTGGGGAGGCGCAAGTTGAGAGTACAGTGGTTGGTGTAGGTGAAGGAATGGCGTGGAGCGTGGAGCGTGGAGCGCTGGGGTGCGTCCAGCAGGAGAGAACTGGAGTTGGTGGATGACGGCGGGTGGGTGGGCCATGTGAGCGAATCGTTGGTTGGGCGCTGCACCGCCTCCTCGCCGTTATATCCGCACGGACGTCACAATGGATGATAACCTCGCTAATCTCCTATGACTATGCACATGTCATATTCACAATTCGCCCTGTATTACATGTTAGTGTTATGCAGACTGCGCTCTTCTTGTACATTGAGATGCAGTATGCCTGAGCATATGCACCTTCTCTCCACTCTCAATTCGGATTCCCGGCGTCACATGCTTTTCTAGGCCCAGCATGGACTCATCAGAGTCCGACCAAGGCCGACAAAGAAGAAATGAAAGCCGTTTCGAGTTTGTGACTTCGATTGTCAAAGAGCTCCCATTCATCGTTGCGACGATTGCGACCTGGAATCAGGCAAACCGCAATCACCCTAGTGCATGGAAGGTTTTTGGAAAAGCTACCATACAGTCCAAGCACCCAAGACTACAAGAAAGTCTCCTTTCACTTCGGTGCGAGAAGACCGAGGTCGGCATTCGTTCCATAGCTGCTTGATTTGCGGATTTTATCCTTTCATGATAGAAGCCACACACTCAAACAGGACATCATCCTTGAAGTACCAGCAATTACATACTTTTGACAATGTGCTTTTTGCTATCATTTGGTCATATCTTATCCATATTTGTACTTTTATAGTAGTATCATTATTTACCCCAGCCTACAACACATCCCTAGTAACAGTGAAATTCGTCGTCACAATCACAGCATCTTTCCCATCTTGCACTCTTGTCTCATCAGTCGCTCCAGTTGGTGCAGGGCTAGCCTTTCGGTCCTGATTGTAGGTGTGCAAAGTCAGTATGTGTCTCACATGCAGTTCGTACAGGGACATTTCTTACGAGAAAAGTAAGTTCCATCTCATCATCGTCCAATGTACCGCCCTGAACATGGGAGCTATGCCCGTGCCCCTTGCCTTTGCCACCAGTAGCCTTGCCAGATCCAGCCTGCAGGTATCCAGAATTACTGCGGTCGTACGTGTTGTTGGGCGTTGTTTTGACAATGAGCGCTTTCAGGGATGGAAGTGAGACGACAATAACGGCTGTGCACATTTCGGCGGTGCACCACAGATCTGTAGCTGTGTTAGCCAAGATGATCGTAGAAAGGGGCCAGAGGAGGTGGTGACTTACTTCCATCGGCATCGGAAACGTCGTAGTCCATGTTGTATACGATGAATCGGGCGAGACTGATCGCCATCGTGATTGCGCCGAGAGAGAAGATACCGACCAAACCAATCTTTTGTCGTCTACGGAGCTTCAAGCAGTTGAAGATAAAGAATGGTAGCCCGAATACTAGTTGTCAAGATATCTTAGCTAACGTCTTAAAATGAGACTTTAGAACCACTTACGCAAGAGATCAGTGCCAAAATTGAGTACCCAGTTGACTAACAAGTTGGAGTAAGTGTTCCATGTTGAGTTGAGTTGATTCTCGATAGACCTTGTGAACAGTCGACGTTAGCTGGAAGAACACTTGGCTGTGATAAACATGCTTTGGTCGTACCAATTATCCGAAATGTTGGGTGCGATAAGAGTATCCATCAATATACTGGCGATCCAAGTGAGGATCACGATTACAGTGGTAACATAAACTGCGATTCGGAGACGTCTGAAGCCTTGTGGAATCAACCACCAGTAGAAAGCCACAAGTGAAGCTTTGGGAAAATACAATCCCGTATCGAAGAAGTAGACGGATACGAAGACAACCTGTCGTCAAAACTAGTTAGCCTACATGTTCCACCGTACATGCCACATCCTGTACAGCCGACGTACCTTTAGGTATGCAACGGAATCACTTCTCGTCTCCTCATCCAGAGGATGGTCAATCAGAATGTAGAGCGCTTTCGTAGAGCAGGAAAACCATCCAAATGCACAAATCATTCCTCCCCATACGAGATAGTCGGGTAGTGTCAACGAGCGCCGCTCTACAATGAGACGAATCCAGCATCGTAGGATCGTGACAGCCAGTGCTAGACCGAGCAGAATACCCTGGATAATCTGTGGATGATGAGTGAGATGTCAGGATATTTGCGCATGCGAAGGTCTTACAATGGAAGTGATTATCTCCATGGCGTCGAGCAAACACGCACACGGTGCGTGTGTGGCCGGCGGGGGTTTGCTTTACCCCAATACGATCAGATGGAAGGAAATGTATGTGAATACGACTGTAGTCTCTACTTGGGGTCGTTTGACATCTTGACACCTGCATACACCGGGCAGCGCGAAGACAAGGGTCAGGGTTTTCCCAGAAGGGGCGGCGTTATCGCGAATCCGAACTGGTGGTATGGTCAAGCGTTTTATGCTACACATTGGTATCATGAGTCGCATAGTCCCAAGCGGCTGGTAGCGTCATCCTTCCGTGCTGATCAGTAGTCGATCAACCAGCTCCGCGGGTCTGATCTTATTGCCGTTAAGACAAACTCTTTTGCTAGACAGGCCGGCAGTCTCTAGATGTGTTATTTGCGCCGTTGTACAAACGTCCACCAGCTTATCACACACTCGTATAGCCAACAACTTCAGCATATTGCCTGGCATCGGGTGGCGTCTCAGACATGAGCGGAAATATCCCCCATCCCGTTGATCATTTGTTCAAACCTGGCCGCGTGTTCTTCAATCTATATCGACCGGCAGGCATGGTGCTTCGGCGTTCCTGACTGCCAGAGGGCAATGAAACTTCGGTACCAAACCTAGATAGCACTAGAAGAAGGCGGAAGCGGCTTGGGGATCTCAAGCTACGAATGAGAGTCCTGGAGCATACTGTGAGCGTGGTAAGCTACTGGCGGAAGCCATCAGGTACTGCAGCATCCTTGAGTGACCTTGTCGTGAAGCTACCGCACGCGCCAGGAAATTCCTGGAACGCCCTCGTGGCGTTTGCCCAGACGCTCCGGTATTGTCCTGAATCGAGCTGGAAGCGAAAAGAGACGCATGCAGCACAGCCCGATAGCGATTCGAAGACTTGGCGATTTCGCGGGGTTGCCTCCGCCCCGAACGCAAGTGCTTGCTATTGTTGCGGTTGACTTTCCCTTGACAACATCGGTCCTATTTCACACTCATGAAGCGACTAAGAACGTGTGGCGGACGTCTGGTACGCCGTAAGCCTAAATGTTTTTACCCATGGTATGCTGTTCGATAAAGGCGATGTGTAGCGCCATGGTAAATTTTTTGTTCCTCGAACAGCCCAGATCTCGCAACGAACGCGCTTTGACTACGGATATTTGATGAGTGGGTCGACGGACTCGCGGACAAGAGGTTGGTCTGAGCCCGAGGGTACTGTACCATTTGCTGGTTGGCGTCATAGTTTTGCTCAGGCCATCTCAGGGGCTTTGCGCTAGAGAAGGTGACGCGACGCCAGCAAACCTTATAGTACCACCAATTTGGTTTCTACGTCCGGAGGTCATGTTAATAGGCGCGGAGATGTCCATAAGAAGGAGATCAAAACGGAGCGCAACGTCCAATGTCGCAAACAATCCTGCAACAGAAGCGCAAAATGTTGACGCTCCCCTTCCATTCTAGAGCCCGACCGCGATCCAAAGGCCTTTCCAACCGACAAGCAGGGGAATCGTAGAGGGCGTTTTCGACTCGGCCATCCGTGCAATCGTACACATGCTCGTTAGAGCCTCCAAAATTCCGACGCGTTGACAGTCGGCTACAGTTAGCAGGCCAATCTACAGAGCAACGGTCTTCGATGAGTGTAGTGGGAGAATAGATGTTGGGGTTGACGGAGGCTTGACGCTGATGGCGAGTGAAATCAAGAACATTGATCAAGGCTCCTTGCTGAGCAATGGTATCTACCCTCAAAATCTTTCGCGATCATGTCTGAACGAAAAAGACCATTTGGGTTCACTACACTACATATGGCGTCAGCTGGTACGAGAAGCGAGTTAAGTACCATCCAAAATGTGCGATAACGCGTTCCGTTTAGAAACGTACGCATTGAGCCCCTTGCTACACTGTCCTCGTGATCTGGGGAACAAAGAGGCTCACGTTGCTCGCGTTCCATGTGCGCGCCGCGGCACGTTGGCAATCGCACACACGACAAGTAGAATGACACAAATTACTAGCAGCGAAACACAGCTCTGATGCGACATGTTGTGTAAGCGCGAACGGTGGCTGAAGTGCAGACATCTCGAAACTTTGTGCCCACGTGCGGGGTGCATGAAGCTCATTCGTCTGTCAGCTTGTCCGTTACTGTGATCTTAGGATTCACCCAATTTCTCTTGGACGAGCGCGCGAAAAATGGCTCCGTGTATCCAAGACCCTGCACATGATGCCCTTTCTATACCTCTGTTTGGTAGCACGCTTGCGGTTTGGAAACGGCTTTCACAGTTATACGGATGTCATCTTAATATTCGAGTCGACCTATTGGAAGCCTGAAGTGATCTTCCATACCGCAAGTCTGCATGTACGGCAGGCTGCAAGGCATTTGAACCTTCATTTCGAGTACACTCTTCCACCCAGCGCTTTCTGAACATTGTTCCTAGCCTGGCAGCGCGACCTCACGACCAACATCGCTTCGATATCCCCGAACGTACGGCTTCAACGATCCACGAAGATGCAGCATGACGAGGAGCGATATGCGGATGGCTTTGCTGAATACGGCAGCTATTTTGGCGGACCATCATTTGACTATCTTGCGCCCGCTCAGCCAATTTCTCCAACAATCGCAGGAGCGTCTATCGAACATGCCTCCTGCTCGAAACACGCCCCTCACGATACTGCTTACAAGGCGCCTGAGTACATGAAAGACGAGGACACTTTCCCGTCTGCGTCACCCGTTTTCGGTTATGATCCATCTCTGAAGTCGAACAGGGCCCACTCAACGTCGCGTATAGCACCTGTACCACTAAACCATCGTCAAAGAGCCCCGAATAACGATTCAGCAACTTATGAGTTCTCTCATCTTTCGAGCAGCCTAGATGCGCAAGCTTCTAGAACGTATTCATCACAGCACATACCCGAGTCTTCGCAACCACAACCTCTACGCTTTCTTAAACGCGCGTCAACAGCTCCTCCAACTCCTCCGATGTCTTGGGGTAGTAGTGTTAGCAACGGAGATGGCCTCTCCGACCAGATGCAGTCCATGTATATCGCTCCTGAACACCCTGGAGCTTCCAATCCAGCACCAGAGCCATTGAAGGTAGCTCATGGAACCTTTGAGCATATCACCACTGCCAGCAGCATGAGCAGTAATCGCAGCTCTAGCATCATTTCGTCGCCCATGCAAGGCTTGCCTGGTAGCCCTTTCCAATTATCACAAAGGGGTTTCTCCATTTCGACCATGCAAAGCACAGAAAGCGAGGCACTTGAAATGAATCCTAGCGATGCTCAAGCTGAGATAATGCGTAGACTCAGCAGAAAGAATGATGGATCAAGTCGGACGGGTTTCTCGTCTTTCAAGAAAAGCTTTTCACTTAAAAGGGCTGCGACTTCGACAAAACCGGCTAGTGGGCCATCACAGGACACTTTGACCGACGTTCTTGAAGAAGTCGCTGCAGAAGGCAGTCTTTCTCTTGTCAAAGCAGTCATTGGCATGGGAGCCGACCCTATATATCGATCGAGCGGTAGATTGAAAAGAGTAAAGCACGAAGCTTTAGCAAAAGCTACCTTGAGTGGGCGAGCAAAAGTGGTCGACTATCTTTTGAGAGAAGGCGCTAGCTACGGAGAGACCACGAAAGGAAGTAGTTATACTCCAATGGATCGCGCGATACTCGCGGCTGCCTACAAAGGGCACGCGGATCTTATAAACTGCCTTGTAGCGTCGCACGAAGCAAATCCAATGGTTGAGCAATGGCCGAGGGAGATGTATGACGCTCAACATTATTGGGCGGAGAACCAAGTCAGACTTGTGAAAACTAGTCTTCTCGACGGTCTTTCCAAATGGAAGAATGTTGACCAGGGAATGAGTACACTGAAACTCATTATGCAACATCAAGACTTCGACCCCACGGCTTTAGTTTCCGGCGTATTCGACAACAAGAGTGAACTGCAAAGTGCTGAGTTTGGGTACCGTCCGTGGCAGACGACATATGAGTATTCGGTGCTATCTTGTTTCGTCCGCGCAGGCTGGGCAGACGCGGTGGAAGAGATGCTGAGCATAAAGGGCATGCCAGAAAACTACGAGAAAGAGGATGACGTCTTGCAATATCAAGGAAAGGTCACGCGATACGTGTCACCAATCAACGCATTGACGAAAGAAACATGGGACAAGCGACCGGAAGACGCACTTCGCATACTAAGACTACTGATCGACAGAGGCTTCAACCCATGTCTCGCACAACGCACCGCCACCGATCTGGGTTTAAGAACGGCGATCGGACGAGCGCTTTCAGCAGATGCTGCGCAAGGAGTCGAACTTATCTTGCAGGCCAGGGGCGGGCTAGTACGAGAAGATGTCTTCTTCCGTCGAAACAGAAAAGAGATCAAAGCCCTGCCACTTGCTGCTGCTCTCTCATTCGACTCTCTGGAAACAGCTCGCGTACTTCTTCGGGCAGGTGCACATCCCCGCGACCCAGCTTTTGAGGATATGAATGTACTGCAGTTCGCCGCCTATCACAGCAGTGAAACCAATACGTCGATGCTCGCGGAAATGATAGGCCTTGCTCCAGAGCTGACATATGACGCATTAAGCTTCGCCATTAAAGGCATTAACAAAGATGCGGTACGTGTGCTTCTAGACACCATCTCCGCAGCCGCCCGACGGGGACAGATCGCCGCTCTGCCGCCCATTCACGATATGCTCCTCCACTGTACTCCTCCCACTAAACAGGAGCCTAATACGCAATACCTTGAGCTCATCGACATGGTGGTTCAATGGGACGTCGGATATGCGCTACAACGTCCGCAACTTCCGGCAATCTTGTCGGCGATTCGGAAAGACAACTACATTGGTATGGAGAAACTGCTCCAGCTTGGCGTAGTAGATGGTAGCAGCCTAGTGTTGAACAGCAAGGCGCAGCCACATGGAGAGTTAGGGATGTGGACCATGTTGGAATGCTGTGAGTTGACAGATAGGAGTTCGGAGTGGTTGGGTCTGTTGAGAAACTTTGGGGCGCCATTGTATCATTGACGCCTTGATATGCTCCAGGTCTTACAACCCCTGGATTCCACAATCTTATTCGTCATGTTGCTGGCTTTGCTTCGCTGGGTGACCCGTCTCCTTTGGTGTTTATAGTATGGTCCGTGGGTGCTGCTGAAGGCAATCCAGACGCTGATTCAACTTTGGGCTTCCGTCCCCATTTACCCTTGAATTTTCCTCCTTGCTGCCTAATTCTCTCTTTCTTCGTCTCAGCTACCCATTCTCCACGAAACCTCTGTCTAGGCTTCGTTTCGTTCTCTTGCGCCATCTTCCGCTTCATGCTTTCTTGGCGCCCATTAACATGCCCCAGGTTAACCGGATTAGCGGCAACCCACTTCTCAAGCTGTGGTGTGAGCTTTGGACCCCAAGTTGATTCGCCGGCGTCCAGCTCTGCGAATGTGAGGGCGGAAACGGTGTCTGGAGATGTGAGTGAGGAATCGATGGTGAAATTGGCTTGCCGTGTACGATTCAGAGAGGCCATGTGTGAAAGGGTGTTGCATGCAATACCCAGATCGTGCGCAAAGCTGCGAACGTAGAAACCGGAGCACACAGTCAACCTGATACGCGCTGCAGGTGCTGAAGCCGGCTCTTCTCCGCCAGGAAATGCGAAGGAATGCTCTCCCGCATCATACCAATCTAGCAACATACACTCGTCGACGTGCATCTCTCTACTCTCTAACTCCCTCGGTAATTCCTTGCCTTGTCGCACGTATTCGCAAGCCTTGATGCCATTGATTTTGAGCGCAGAGTATACAGGGGGGACTTGCTGGATGGTTCCTCTAAATTTTCCTAGCTTTTCTTCGACCATCTGACGAGTGACGTGCGAAGTGTTTGCTGTTTCTGTAATGGTTCCCGTACAATCGTAACTGTCGGTGCTGGTACCGAACAAGACAACAGTTTCATAAGTCTTGTCACAGGCCAAGAACTGCGACAGTGACTTTGTACCGCGCCCGATCCCTACAATGAGCACGCCTGAAGCCAAAGGGTCGAGGGTACCGCCATGCCCCAGACGGAAGACCTGGTCAGACGATTTGCTGGTACGTTTAGGTTGGTGTTTGAGCAATGGCGCAAACGTAGCTGATGGAGCGAACGTTGACTGGAGATTGAGAAGGACATCTGCAGAGGAAACATGTGCAGGTTTAGCTACCGCTATGCGAGGTTAGAAACAGGAGGCGAAATGGTGTTGAAGTGGCTTACCAAATACACCTTCTAAGACTCGCTCAGTCTGTTCTCCAACAGCTTTCCCGTCCTCGTCTTCCATCGTTAGGCAGGTCACGTTACGTCGCGTTGGTGGGTGATGGACCTTTTACGCTAGAGGGAAGGAATTGCTCTAGATCGCTGGGCTAGCGCGTTCTGAACTTTACCCCACCGCACGCCCTACGCCTTGTGAGATACTTGTGCCTTGCATTCCTCAGATATCGGTCAGAGAAAACCCGAGGCTCTTCTGGGTGTATCGTAACTACTCGCTAATCCAGATCTATTCATATCCTCGTGGTGAAGTTAGAGTGGCACGCCGACTTCGGGCTGGTCCCTCCGTCTGACGCCATCTATCTACCCCTCTGCCGTTCTCACCAACCTCGATACCAAACCGACATTCGCGACTACCGAGGATATGGATCATCAACGAATGGACGACTGGGAAACGCAGGTCTGGAATGAGGACACTATTGACCCCTCCTGGTTCTCCAACTTCCTGGCAACCGATGCTAGCCAGGATGCACCTAACCCTGCATCTGGTGCGCCTGCCGCATTCAGCGTCGACGACGACTTGGCAATCGACCCGAACTTCCACGATTTTACGTTCGAGGACACATCACAGCCAATGAGCACCGTAACTTCACCAAGCTATCTGTTCGATACATTCCAACCGGCTGAGTTTCATGAACGCCCACCAGCGCAACGGCATCACACACTCCCTCGCCGTCGAAGCAAGTACTTTATGCGTAGATCAACTGGTACCGCCAGCCCGATAGTGATACCCAGTGGGAGTCCCCGACACGAAGAAGGTCAATCATTAGCTATTCAGCGGTGGCGGAACTCGCCACCTGAAGACGAGGCTGCGTCACTGTCAGCCATCTACCACGCCCTGGAAGACAGGCCCGTAGGTATTTCTCCACGTATCAGCCGACCGTCTAGTCGCGACGCATTTCGCAAATATCGGGGACCTTCATCAACGACCAGCCTCGACAGCGCTGCGAGTGAATCTTCATTGCGATCCGTGAACTCGAGCCACTCGGCCACGTCACAGTCGAAGCGTCGCAGCCAGGCCACTAAAACGCGGAACAAGGGTAGAGTAAGGGGCAACAAAATGAACGACCCAGAGCGCATTTTCAAATGTACATTCTGTTGTGACACCTTCAAGCATAAGTACGACTGGACACGCCACGAGAAATCCCTGCATTTGAACCTTGAAAGCTGGATGTGTACGCCGCACGGAGCCTCTGTGGTGCTACCCCTAACCGGGAGAGTACATTGCGCCTACTGTAGTGCACTAGACCCGACGCCTCAGCATTTGCAGCAACACAACCACGCGGCATGCACCGACGGCAACAATACTCCCCGTATCTTCCACCGAAAAGATCACCTCACGCAGCATCTTCGCCTAGTACATGGACTTGAAACATTACCTCTAATCGACGACTGGAAGCTTGAGACCATGCCAGTAAAATCCCGTTGCGGCATATGCAATATAAATATGAATAGCTGGGATGAGCGAGCGGACCATCTAGCTGCCCACTTTCGCGAGGGCAAGACTATGGCCAATTGGAAAGGCGATCACTGCTTCGAGCCTGCTGTGGCCGCTCGCGTCATCAACGCATTTCCACCTTATCTACTTGCCGAACAAGCCAAGACTGTCGTCCCTTTCTCAGCAACCAATCCAGGTTCGATCGATCATACAAAGCAGTTAGTCTCCCGCATTCAACTTGAAGAGCTAGCGCCAGAGCCTTCTACAGAGACCGCACATACACCTGATCAACAAGCCTTTGAAGACTCCCTGGCGGCTCTTCGAGAATTGTCAACACAACACGATCATGACTTCGCTACCGTTCTTACACGCCATCTCAGTCGCTTTGCAAGACAGCAGATGTTATCAGGCATTATTCCAACGGACGAGATGTTTCAACGCGAATCGCGAAGATTGTTATACCAGGATGCGGATGATGCGTGGAACCAAACAGTAGCTGATAATCCGAATTGGCTACAGGACTTTCGTCGTCGTAGTGGGCTTGAAGGAAGCCCCAGTACATGATGTCAGTGAAACTCTGCTGTAGCTCTAAATAATCTTTCCAAATCCTCTTGGGAGCTTGTCCATACTATCCTTCGTTGTTTTAAGATTTTGGCCGCCTATCATCAAATAACACCGCCCTGCAGAGTAACTCGGTCCTTGAGATATGATAGATCAATACTGCTTATCTCCCCAGCTCCTTCGAAGAACTGCAACGCGCGCTTACCTGTCCAAATTGGGTTTTCATCGCCTATTTCAATAGTTAGCTGGTCTGCTCTAGCTTAAAATGCAACTAGAAGTCACGTCGCACGTAAATAGACTATGAAAAAAGAACTTCTTATCAATCCAGTGTCCAGCCTTTGGAATCGCCTCAGCAACGAAGTCATCACTTATCCTCGACCATATCTCCTCCAGCAGCGACACAGGGGAAAAACTCGCTTCGCCACCCAATGCCAGCAACGGCATCTGCAACTTCTTCCCGCTACCGAACACCGAAGCGAAGTACTCCATACCACTTCTCAAAAACCCCGGTTTGGATATCTCATTCGTATAGCGCTGCAAGTGGTCTTCGTTCAAAGCCGCTGTGCCGGAATAACTCGCATGGAAGAAGTACCAGCTCAGCATCTGCTTTTCGCGCCCTTGAACGAAGAACTCGGCTGCATCGGGCACGCCAAAGAATGAGAGTTGCCAATTCTGGTATAGGCTGGGACTCGTTACCTGCGCAGGGTACCCATAACCTGGCAGAACGTATTTGGCGAGAATGATAGCTTCAACGACCGAAGGACGTTCTATAGCAAGAGAAGTTGCAAGCCCCACGCCTTTGTCATGCGCAAAGACATATGCAGACGTGATGTTGAGGTAGTCTAGAACGGCTTTAAGATCGGCACCGGCAGCTGCAGCTGTGTAATTCTTTGATAGAGGAAGCGATGAGTTTCCGCAACCGCGTATATCCGGGGCGATCACAGTAACTGCTTTCGTATTAGCCTACAAGCCATCTGCGATTGGAAATACTGAACCACATACAGTTCTGCGCCAAGATTGGTCCGATGGTATGCCACGTTAGTGAGTGCTGTGGAAAGCCATGCACAAGGAGAACGGGCGGTCCTTCGCCGTAGTAACGAAAATGAGTGGAGACGTCGTCAAGCTGGATGCGCTCATGCTCATAATCATCAAAGTTTGACAACTGCGCGAGCCCAGGCTGCGACAGAGCGAAGGTGCAAATGCTGATGATGCTGACGAGCTTCATGGTGTATGAAATTCAAATTGGCTATGCTAGAGAAAACCAACGTCAGCGAACGCAACTTTATCTTTTCTTCACATCGTTGAGATGTTAGGATGAGCATAAGCTACATTGGGCTTTTCGTCATTTCTTTCACATTCAATGTTATCGTTTTGCTACTCTTTCCTACCGTGATGCATGATCGTCCTTGGAGAGTCACAAAGAGCTGACTGAGCATGTAAGCCCTATCGGCCTTGAGCATTTAGCTTACTAAACTCGGTCTACCACGAAACCGATGCGAAAGCCTTTTGTAAGCATGCACGCAGAAGGAGATATTTACTCGGAAAATGTATGCGTAGGGCGATACATCCAGGCCATGTGCTTTGATTGGCCTTGGTTAAGGTCATCTCTTGGCCCCTATGCCAAAAGCATCTTACTAATCATTCATGGCGTTACAATTCGTCCTTTTCATTTCCATCTTCTCTCGATATGCTCTTCGCTTCGAATGCATCTCCCTCTTGCTTGACTCTCCGCAGTCGAAACACTCGCGCAGCATGGCTCTTCACATCTGCCTTGAGTATGCCACCAGCTTTGACCACGCCAACCTTCTCGCCAAACAATCGTGCGTCTTCTTGGACGAGGCCTTTGGCGTAAGGGATCTCAGTAGCGTTGTACCAGTTGGCTTTTGATAAGGTCGCTTCTCTCTGCACATGAGTGTCCGCGTTCAGTAGCTCTTCAGCGGTGGCTTCGGACATACGATGAGCCCAGAGATCATGGATAGCCCAGTCATACTTTACGTGTGGTGCTGATCCACCGGGTCCATATGGTATGAAAATCTCAGCGAGGGAGACGCTCATCTCAATGTCCTCACCACCAGCGTTGAGAAGTATCACGACTTCGTCTCCATTCTGCAGATGTCCGGCCCAGACGTGCGTCTCACCCACGCCCCACTCATCTTTCGCTACACCTTCTATGTCCCTTCGAACACGCGTTACACTTCGTCCATGGGGGTCCTGGCTGAGCGCAATGATGGCAGGGTTGTTGATGATGGTAAGAGCAGAAGCTGGCATGTTGCGCAGGTCGTTACCAAGGAACAGTGGAGATTTGAGAGCGGCCCAGAGTGCGAAGTGCGCTTTGTATTCTTCGTCGGTCATACCGCCTTGCCCGACCTCGAGCATGTCAAGATCGCTCCAACCACCGGGAATGCTGCGGTCGGCAAAGGGAGCGACTTTGTTGAGAATGAAAAGTACTGAGCAGTGTGTGCCTGGTGCTACGCAGTTGACATCGCCTGCCGCCAGGGTGTTGCATCCACAGAGATCATCAGGACGTGTGAAAGAGTCGTAGATGTCGCCTGTAATCCGCCAACTGTTGGATATGCTCATCCCCCACTATGAGAGGTCAGTTTATGAATGTCATGGCGGGCTAGGACTTTCATTGTGCTTACTGTGTGAACAAGGTCCTCTCCCCAGTTGCACAAATTGAGGAGGATATTCTTCCCTGTCGCTTTCAGAGCATCTGACATGGTTTTGAAGCGATTAAACGACACTGATGGTGTGCCAACGCGGCCCATGTGGTAGCAGCTGTCGTACTTCAGCATGTCGACACCCCAACCCGCAAAGCTTTTCGCATCGTCGACCTCGTGGTCTAGTGACCCCTCTAGTGTATATCAGCATATTACAAAAGGCAAGGGTAACTGGTCAATCATACCGAACCTCGCACATGTCATCTCACCGGCGCTGCTGTACATGCCGAACTTAAGATCTTGACTATGCAGATGATCTGAGATAGCATTCAAGCCGTTGGGGAACTTGTCAAGCGCCGGGTGAAGCTTTCCTTTCTTATCTCGACCTTTCGGATCTTGCCAACAGTCGTCCAGCACGACATAGTTGTAACCCAAATCTCGCAATCCTAGGCTTAAGATCTGTGAGGAGGTCGTGAGGAGAAGGTCTTCGGAGACGTCGCATCCAAAAGCGTTCCAGTTGTTCTTTTCTAATCAGTGCTAGATCTGAAGTATCGTTGAGGGATCTTACCCAGCCCATTGGCGGCGTAATAGCGAGACCGTTGTTGATGGCCGTCGCGCTTCCCAGCAACGTCGTCACCACGAGAATGCTGCTACGTGACATAGTCATGATGAAAGTATAATTTTGTTTCTCGACAAGAGAAGCATCATCAGCGTCTTAAGCAGTCTTCTAGGTATGTACCATCTCAAGTGGGTCCTAGGTGTGGATGAATGGACCCTTGTGCCAAGCCCGCAGATTTGGTTGGAGCATGTCGGGGGCTCCGCAAGGGCAGGAAAATTGGTGAGTTTTCCGCCGCTAAAGCTTGGCGTCCATCACTACCCCACCATATTCCGATGGGTGCTGCTGACTCGAGCTTGCACGATTACAGAGATAATCCTGAATAGCACGATAGCGGGGATTGTCTGCTTAACGCAAGCAGTGCTTCGTACTCAGGATCATTGTCCCTCGGCTCGAGCTCCATGTGAGGCGCGAATTGAACTAGGAAGCGCAGCAACCATCGATCAAGAACGAAGCTGGTTTCTTTGCTTCGAAGGCAAGTTTGGTGAAACGCTCGCAGACGGCTCATCGCGCCGTCAACACTCGGCCAATACGTTTTCAAACGCAGGAGTATCTCAAAGTTGCGTTCCAATCTGGACTTCGATAGACGTATCTCGCCTTCGTCGCCAGAAAAGAGTAGAGTGTGAATTTGGACGGTAGAAGCAACGACGAGAATATGCGAAACTGCCGAATACAAGACTTCACTACCAGGAGTAGAATGCGAGCGATAGACGAGGGCGCAGAGCCGGGCGGCATGCTGTTTGCAGGCGTCAGCGTATCGTGCAGAGTCGGTTGGTGCGTCAATCGACAAAGACAAAAATTGATAGTTGAGAAGCAATCCGTAATGGTAATAGCCCAGATATACAGCTACGAACCTGCAGATGTGAAGGTACCAAGTCAGTGTATGTCTCGCACGCATTTCGTACAGTCACAACTTACATACGCCCAAGGCCACGCGATGCGAAAGCTTCGAGGTTTGCTGGCGTATCACGCATATGGTGCGGAACTTCCTCCAACCAGACGTCAAGATCGCGGGAAAGTTCACGTATGCCTCTTTCGAGTGGTGGGCCTTCGAGATGTTCTGACACGCACACTCGATTGAAGTCGATGATTCTCGCCAGAATGCGATTGAGCTTGACCATCTCAGCAAGGAGGGGGGAACTAGCACATAGCGTTTGGTCGCTAACATCTCCTCTTAGACCACTGCTCATCGCCGAGAATGGTATCTCATCCACTGGAAGCGGCACAGCGCTATCAAATGGCATGATACGTGGTAGTCTCACTGCAGTAGATGACCAAACATCTACCATGCATAGAGTCCACCAAGTTCTGATGTTAACTTCGCGCTCCACCAAATTCGTGACAGGACGATTCGAAAGATCAAGAGCTAGAGAGAGCCTTCCGCCCATACTGTAGTATAGGTTTTCAACGTCTGTCTCACCACTCGCAGCAGCGTATGCTCCCAGCAAAACGCATACCTGGACAGTTGTAGGAGTGAGCTCGCGGATGCTAAACAGTCTCTCGCTTGCTGAACGATAAACCTCGCCTCTTTCTCTTGGATCGGTTCCGTCAAAGAACTTGTCGGTAGAGAATCTAGCGGCAAGCGCAAAGATAGCGAAGAGCACTATAGGCGGCACCCGATTGTTAATCACGTCGTCCATGAATGACGCTTTGTGATACATGGAGTGAAATTGGTCATGGATGTAGTCGAAATACAACTCCACCAAGGCTCGCCCTAAGGCAATTGGTGGTAGATCCTCGTAGTCTTGATTTGGTGGTGTCTTGGCTTGTAGTGAGAGAGCTTGCTGATTCGTAATACTCTCGTGAAGCCTAGCCCGGCGATTGGCATAGTAGCCTCCTTCTGGGGGCCCTCGGAGACAGTGTAGACCATGTGACAAGCAGTATTCGCACACCGTTGCCAACCGGTTTGTCGGATAGATGCATTTGCGCCGACGGGCTCTTGAACCAGATTAGCGGGTGCACGCCTATACCGACTAGGACAGCGTATGGGTGGCTTACCGGCATGCACTGCATGCAGATGGTTTGCGCATCACCAGGTCCGAAGTTGCGCAATAATCTGGGGATGAGGAGCGGAATACTGGCGGAGAACTGGATGAGTGGGTGAAAGATGAAAGAAGCGGGCCTGCATGACTCGCACGTGCCTCGGGACGACTGACCAAAACTAGAAACGGCTACGCTGAATCAAAGCACCTACCATGAAATTTTTAGCGGCGGTATATTGGCGGAAAAGTCTCTCACGATCTAGTGGTGGCCGACTGGGCAAACCTCGCTGTTGTTGTGATTGGCCTTCTTTGCGCACTTAGACGCCCCATCTATCCCCATGGGCACTCTGTACGAATGTTCTGCCATGTGTTTCCCCGCAAGATAACCCGCTTTTGCCCCTTCTCGGCCATTACCGGGGCTTAGACTTCCAAGCTCTCGGGCTAGCCCTTCACTTGTGGCATGGCTCCTGTAAAGGGTTCATCTCTTTGACTATGCATACAAAGCACTGGGGTCTATATAGACCGCAGATCCGTCCATGTGGTTGAGCTGCATCTTTTCAACAGGTCAATACCGAACACCATCATTCCTGGTCCCTCGCATACTCTGGAGTCAAGTCCAATATGGCTTCAATAGAGAAGACCACTGGCAATGTGGCCGCCGAAAGGGTTACCTCAACCCAAGGACACAATGCCGTCGACGACACCAGCGCGGCCATCAACAATGAGCACAACATGTCTGTCAGGCAGTCCTTGAGATTTTGGTGGAAAGCGATCGTATTCTCGTTTGTCATATCGCTTTGCGTTGTGATGGAAGGCTACGATACAAGTCTCATGAACAAGTTTTTCGCGTTCCAGCCCTTTCGAAATAGGTTCGGCGATGAGATCGACGCCGATGGCAACAAACTTGTCTCCTCGAGATGGCAGACCATCATCCTGAATGGCACCCAGGTACGCATATCCCCAAGGAAGGTTTCACCTCAATGAGCTTTACTGATAGATACATAGGTCGGATGCATTCTCGGTCTCATCATCAACGGCTACATCACTGAATGGATCGGATACAAGAAGACAATGATCGGCAGCATGTTGTTCATGGTTGGCGCCATCTTCATCCCATTCTTCTCTACGGGACTGGAGATGTTCCTTGTTGGAGGTATCATCCAGGGTCTGCCATGGGGTGTTTTTCAAACACTGGCAATCTCGTATGCTGCGGATCTCTGTCCTACGCATCTGAGAGGATACATGACTTCGTGGATCAACATGTGCTGGGTCATCGGTGGTCTTTTGTCTACTGGTATCCTCACTGGACTGATGAAGAACACGACACAATGGGGATATCGCATTCCGTTCGCTCTCCAGTGGATCTGGCCTATTCCCATCATTCTAGCCACCTTCCTCGCACCGGAATCACCTTGGTGGCTAATCAGACAAGGCCGCATCGACGAGGCCAAAGCAGCAATCCGCCAAATCACTACACCCACAGATGGCATTGAATTCGATCTCGATGCACATGTGGAGATGATGGTTGTCACTGACCAATACGAGAAACAAGTCGGCGCTGGAACCAACTACTGGCATTTGTTCCGAGGAAGCGACCTACATCGCACTGAGGTCTCTGCCATGGCCTTCATCACTCAAGCTCTCTGTGGTGTCCCCTTCATGGGCTTTGGGTAAGTCTTTGCATGTGCTGCATGTAAGGTATATACTGACTTTATCAGAACCCAATTTATGCAAGGCGTAGGACTTAGTCAAGACGACTCCTTCCACCTAACCATCGGTCAGGACTGCTTGGGCCTAGTTGGATGCTTTATCGCCTGGTGGATCATGACGCGCTTTGGCCGACGGCCCATATACCTGGTTGGATTGTCTGCCATTTTCATCATACTTCTGATTGTTGGTTTCATCGGACTTGCACCGCCCTCCAACAAGAGTGCAAGTCTCGCTGGCGGTGTTCTAATTATCCTTATGATCTTCTGCTTCCAGGTAAGTCTTTATACTCCATCAAGCAGCCAATCGCAAGCTAACACTGTCAGCTTTCTCTAGGACCCATCTGCTACTCCCTTGCAGCCGAAATTCCTTCGTCGCGCCTGCGTGTAAAGACCGTCGCACTTTCACGTGCTTCCTACAACTCTATTGTTTTCATCACAAACACAATCATGCCGAAGATGGTTGGCAAGAACGACTGGAACTGGGGTGCTAAAGGTGGCTTCTTCTGGGCTGGCATTGCGCTTCTGTTCATTGCATGGGGATACTTCCGCCTTCCTGAGCCAAAGGGATTCACGTACTCTGAACTGGACCTAATGTTTGAGCACAAGGTTTCTGCACGCAAATTCACGCGTGAGGCCGCGGACGCGCTGAAGCCAGCCTTGACGGACGCCGCAATGCAGTATGAGAAGCAGAATGGTGTTGAGCGCGTAGAGTCGCATGCATAAGCTCGCTGATTCATTGTCGAGATAGCATCGGCGGTTTTTGCTGTGTTTGCAGTCTTTGACACGACTATTGACAATAATATATCTAATTAACAATCGACTAAATCCAATACTCCATGTGCTTTCTCTACCTCTCTTATTGCCAAAACCTCATTACCTCCTCGTACTTCAATTCTCCCCTATGCGTATCGTTCGGCGTCGTAATTTCACTAGACGCGGGTTTTGTCTCTTCAGTGGTATCCATACCCCAGCGTTCGAGCTCTTCTTGACTTTCTGTCCAGTCATCCTCACTTGCTTGTGGGGTGGCGACAGGCTTCTGAATTGGCTGCAACTGTACGGGGGTACACACATCGCTGCATGAGTAGAGCGTCTGCCGTTGTGCGCGACAATGACCGATGATGTGGTCGTGTTGATTTGTTGTCAGGACGGCGGCGGTGGTTGTGGTGGTGGACACAGTCATCGAGAGGTGTGTTGGAGTGATGAATGACTGGTGCTCGTTAAGCGTGTCGGATGATGGTAATGTATGTATTGTAGTAGTGGATATGATGGTGATGTTGATAACGATATGGGTGTATGTTGCCACGATGGCTTACCTTTTATACAATGCTGCAACAATATCCAGCACGGTTGGTCTCACCACCATGTAGCACTAGGGAGAGACTAAGAGGCACGAGGTGACTTTGCTCAGCGTGTTGCGCGTGTGGTGTTATCTTGTTGTGCTAATTTGGCAATAGTGGTGAGATCGAAAGTACCCCCATGCTGGTGGCACCACCTCAGCCTCAGTGCGCTGTCCGTTTGCATGGGGCTGAAGATGAAGCCCAACAACAATGCTGCAAAATTAATGGAGCAACTCAACTGATGATTTGAGCATGGGACTTTTAATGACCTTCGCCAGTGCGTGTATGTGAACCCTTTTATTCAAGCAGAGGTGGTAATTTGTGTAAAGATTGGTGGGGGCTATGGTTGTGCAGCAGCTGGGCAGTTAAACTCATAAGGTAACATCATTCGACCTCTGCGAATGCATCACCAGAAGTTCTTTGTAAAGGAGAGTTAAAGCAAGAGAATTGATTGTAAGCTAATTAAGGGCAAAGACCGAAACATATGCCATTCGGTGTAACGCTATGGGTATCCTAAAACAAACGAACTCGTGGCGACGGAAAGATTCAACACGCAAAAAGATAATGAGGTTGCTTCGCGTTCATTAGTCGAGATGCGAAGAGTCAGAGACGGGTGGTGATGGAGGCTGCGAGGCATCCAGGTACCGACGCTTGGCTTCTGGAAGGTCATCTGCGTCCTCGTTCGTGCGCTTTTGCGACTCAGCCACCGAGCTAGCCTCCGACTTCTGCTGAGACTCTCTGAAGTCCTTCTTTTTAGTAACGACCCTCTTCCACTGCGCTATGACGCGCATGGTGGACGCCACTCGCTCGAAGTCCGACGTTGGTGGAGCAGCCTCAATACCCTCCCAATCAACCCTTCTCAGGCCGACCATTGCCTTATTGCCGAAGGCTTTGGATAGAGTTTTGGTCATGAAATCAATCTGCTCCTGGTTCAGTATCGGATCTCGGAGACCAAAACGCAACGTCAAATAGCTTTTAGGCTTAGGCCGCCAATTGAACGCATTAACTTTCGATGGCTTTAGAGGCGCTAGGAAGATATGCTGGTCGTTATGTTGGGTGCTCTTGCCGCGAGACCATATCTGCGAGGGAGTGTCTTTACGCCTCGGATTCATATTGATACGCTGGTATAGACGAAAGGTCGATATTTGTCCCTCGGGGTCCTGGTCGTGAAGCTCTTCCAAGGCGTCGATGAGCGCACGGGTATATGAATTTTTGCCAGGCGCTTCGGTCAACTGGTCAATCGCGCAGGCGCTGAGCAGTTCAAACTTCTTTTGCCCTTCCTTGCCGGACTTGGCGAAGTTGCTCGAGTAGCAGGTGTCCAGGATGGTCAGGACATCGCTCTCTACGTCCTCGTGTCGCAACTGATCTTCGGCCTTGGTCCAGCTTGCACGAGCATTCTTGCGAAATCCTCTACCATACAATGGATTATTCCTGAGACTGCCCGTGAGCTCCAAGCACTTCCTCTCCTCGTTGTAGACGCCGTGTCCCGTGTAGTAAACAATGAGCAGATTCTCAGGTCCGTCGTGATCGCGAAGGAAGCCGCTGACGTAGGAATCGAGTTGGAGTTGAGGTTTGGTGCCGACATGCAGCTCGACGATGTCGGTGTGGTAGTGAAAGCGGTCATGGAAAAGGGCCTTGAGTTCTCGGGCCTAGCCTTGGTCAGATGGTGGGTGCCCAACGCGTACTTTGATTCCAACATACCTCATCTCCGGTCTTGAGTTCGTCCAGCTCATCTGCCCACTTAACAATCAACACTGCGACTTTGGCGTATCCCTCGGGCAGGTCCATGTTCTTTGCGACGGCTTCGGTCCACCATTCCTGCATCACAGCCGCCTGTTCCTTGTAACCAGCGTCTGCCGTGCTTGGTTTGCTGCCCACCACAGGCTCGCCATTCTGCAAAACTGCGCCATTCTGGCCCGGTTCGTTGTCAATCGATTGTATCCGTATGTCGGCATGGATGACTTGGTTCGGATATGGGTTCACGGTGCGAGGAGCTATCTCAGCCGCCATTGCGTCGACAACTTGCGCCGTTGTGCTCGAAGAAAGAGCCATTGGTTTGGGAGGCCGTGAGGCTGCGAGGCTCGAGGTTCACGGCGACAGGCCATGATGAGTAGAATCGTTCGCAGCAGCTTTCAGCCCCCATATTGGGTGGGACATGCAACACGGTTGGACAAGTGCGGAGACGGCAGATGCAGCCTCAGGCCGCCAATCAGCACCTCGCCAACTCTATCGCCAGTGTTTGGGGGCCAAAACTGAGCCTCCACCACCCGAACATCGACACCAACTTGCTAGGATTATCTGCCTCTGCATTTGCTGTTTAGGGCGATGAAAGGTATGATGCAATGAGCTCATCAGAACCATACCCGCAGAGTGGGTTGTTATGCCGTGTCGCTCCATCTGCATGCAACATTGCTAAACCGCGGCTGTGCAAGCAATATGAGCCCCCAACCATAATCCGCACCGGTCGCGACCTTCTGTTGCCTAGGGCTGCGGCAGGCAAACCATCAAGAGGCCAGCAACAAGGACTTCTATAATAGCAGACATCTTTCTCATCCTCCAGGGCACAATCCACAAGGCTTCCTGCCTCACATTTCCAAGAGCTAAAATCACGATGGCGACCACGATCGAAGAACAGCCTATGCAGGCAATCGAGGTTAGCTGCCACGCCGAGGGATTCTCTGCTTCACAGGGCTGACTATTAGCCTCAGGACGAGTACATGAACGCAGCATCGGAAGATGCAACTCCTGAGACCAAATCTGGGGTACTCTTGAACCCGAACGCTGCTGAAGTAAGTCTTTGTCAATAGGTCCAGGCAATACGCTCTGACTCTGTCTCAGTCAAACGCGCGCTTCAGCAAGGGCCAAATGGTGCAGAAGCCCGTATTTGCAAATGGTGAACGAACGAGGGGTGTTTTCACCGTTTATGCTAGCAGGTACAACACTGCCAAGGGATATTTTGAGTATCAGCTCCGAGACTTCTATACCACACAGATGGAAAGTGGCTGGACACGCGAGAAGGAATTGAAAGCTGCCAGCTGAGCCGTGCTACAATGGCTGAGGCTGAGCTCACCGGAAAGTCACCAGGCAGCTGTGATTCAGATGCGCGCAGCCAATTGTGCAAGGGGCGTTCATGGCGTTGGGGCTGAGTTCTACGGATAGGGCGATCGCCCTTGTCAACTTCGTTCTTTCAATACTACATACACTGCTCTCTTGCCACAGTTTGTTGAGCCACAGTTCACCTTTGATGTCTATCTGAGCGGTTATTGCTTGTGCGCAAAAGTTTTCGTCTTCTTCCTATCGCTTCTTCGCTTGTGTGTGGCCCCCGCCAACCTCTGTGCACCATCATGGCCCCTCTTCGTACTATGACCGGGGATACTTTCACCGATGAGAAAACACCTCAATCGCCAGTATCGCCTACGAACACCGATGCGACTCTAACAGGAGACTTCATTGAGAGCACCGAAGACAGCCACTCTACTATCCAGCCCTCGGTACGAACAGACTCAATCGATGTTGAGAGTGCACAGCCTCGTAGGTGATCCCACACGATCCTCTTTGGCCCCCAAATTATACTTGCCCCACCATATCTGGCGCCAAGGATGTTCAGTCAGCAATATACTGCTACACGTTAGAGAAACACGCTACGGTCAGCTCACGCGTGCATGCCATGACGATAGGGTACTAGATTGATTGTGTTGTGGCCTAAAGGCTGGTTGTAGGTGAATGGGGACTGACACGGCTTCAGAGAACAAGAAGCGACCAAAGTTCTTGCGAAGAATCACAGTCCCTTTCCGCTCAGAGCCTGAACCCGAATATGTGACTGAGAACAGAACGCGAACACGTGAGTCACTCTCTGGATAACATTCCACTCACCACTCATGACTATCAGTGGAGAAAACACCCAATGGCTTCCCGAGACTTGCAGCATTCCAATCGAGTGAAGCCAACTTCTCACTGTACCGATCCTTTAGCTATCTGCATTCACGTGTCCTGCTCGACTTGCAAGATGAGATCACAACACTAGAGAAAGAGTTGGACGAGATCGACTGGGACGATTATGATGAAGATCCCGTACGTTTGAAGTCAAGGGACTTTGACGTCAGTCAATCTGATGGCGAAGGAGAGCCCCGTAGCCGACGAGTTATAATTCGAGAGATTAAAACTAAGCTGATGGAGTACGGTATGTACATGTCGTAGCAACTAAGCTCGAGCTCTACCTTACGAACCGCCAACTAATAGTTGTATAGACGAGGTTCTCATCAAGGCAAGGACTCTGGAATCATTTCAGAAGCCATCAGACCGCAACTACCGCAGCGTACGACGCTATTGTCATAACCAAAAGCCGCTCTTGGATGCCGAGATGGACGCTATCCGCAGCAAAGAAGACATCGTTTCATTGTACAACGGTCGCGAATGGGCGACCTTCGATGGCGGTGTAGAGACTCTAATCAGCCAAACGGACCGTCTCTTACAAAGGATCTTTGGTACCAAGGCGCCTCCACTACAAGTAAGCAGATGGTCAGTATAGTACATAAAACAGCGATACTAACGGACTAGCAGAAGTACTTCCGTACCCCAGAAGCACAAGAGAAGACGTCAGACCCCTACGTCTCCTTCTACAGCAGCTCCCGCATTGACAAGCTTGTCAACATCCTCATCACATTCGTCATATTCTGTCTCCTTGTTATTCCTGTCATCACCATGTACCAGTTGACCAACACTGCCGCACACGTGGTGACGGACGCTGCAGGCAATGTTACCACAACAAGCCAGGTCGACATTGACAGCAGAGACACATTCAACGCGGTTGGTGTACTGATAGTGTTCACTCTGCTTTTCAGCGCGGCGATGAGTTTGCTGACAAAGGCGGCGAGACATGAGCTTTTCGCGGCTTCCGCAGCATATTGTGCGATCCTGGTTGTATTCATCGGTAACTTCACTGGGCCTGGCAATTGAGGTTTCTTTGCGGGGATAGCAACGAGAGCTACTTGCCTCGAGTTATTCGGATGTCTCGATGCTGATATGAGTACAAGCTACTTGTGGGTATGCCAAAAAGCACGGAGATTCATCAAGCCTGTCCGTTGTCCCATCGCATAGTCTCCTGACACTATCTTCCCAACATCTATAGATTGCTTTGCCGATCAAGCATAAGCACCATCAGACATACGAGCAGAGGTGTAAGCCTTAATGCGAAACTATCCCCATTAAGCTAATGCACCGCTTAATCTCTGCTCCTTAGCGGGGACGGAGCATAAGCGACCGCGCCGCTGACAAGCACAAAATTTTGGGAGTAACAAGAGCGAATACCATGAGCAGAGGGCGTACATTGGATTTCGCGTATATTAGGCCACCTCTCTTCTGGCTTACTATGCTTTTCGGTAAAATCAACCCCGCGAAAATCATTTGTTGGTAATGACCAACGGGATTTTCGGGCGTTACATCTGTACGAGAGCATGTAGAATCTGTATCACGCCGCTTATGTTTCGAAGTATCTGCGTAGAGTAGGATGTTCTGGCAAAACTATATATCGTATGGCATGATGCCCTTCTTCTCTCTTACATGATTCTTGACAGGCTCCGCATCTTTCAGAATGTCCTCCTCAACAAGTCTCTCCACGGCACAGCCAAACACACCTCCTCGTGTACCCACGGATACCGTTATACCGCTCCATAGTCGCGATGACACAAATCAGAACAGGAACATTTCCGTGGAGTTCACCATGCGTTTTGACGACGTTCTTGATTCACAGAAGCTCGTTGATGCGCTATGGAAATTGCTCGAGAGGCCTGGCTGGAAGAAACTGGGAGCACGACTGCGTCTTAACACCACGACTGAGAGGCTCGAATACCACATACCAGCACAGTACACTAAGGAACGTCCACCGATTAATTTCACACATCAAACGTATGACATGAAGCTTGAAGACCATTCCATCGGCCGCAGATTCCCGGTCGTAGATGAGCAAGACGATGGTATCCAATTCTTTGATGTAATGGACTCGCTACGTGGGGTTACACAGACGGAAAACAGCACTGTTGTGTTGGACGACTGGATCTACGCAGATAAAGCGCAACTGGGTTTGCATATTGCGAGCTTCCAGGATGCGACACTCGTTACCATAACTTGGCTACATACGTTGCTTGATGCGATGGGACGGCAAGCCCTCCTAAGAGCGTGGCAGGCGGTTTTGGAGGGTAGGGATGCTGATGTACCGGAGTTCTGGGGGTACGATTTTGATCCGCTAGCGCAACTTGGGGCGCCTCTCGGTGAAGACAAAGCGAAAGTAGAGGATACGAATGTTGTTGATGCGAAGGTGGAAGAGAAGAAAGAACAATCTTCGTCTCAAGCCTCCGAATCAAAAAGTGCACAAGGCGCCCGCATGCTTTACATGCCCGCATCTTACATGGCTCGCTTACGTACCGAAGCGATACGCGATCTCGCCTCTCTTGACACCTCACAAATCACTTACAACACTTCAAGCTCTTCCGAACCCAAGCCCTTCCTTTCCGACGGCGATATCTTCTCCGCATGGTTGGTCCGACACCTCGTATCATCCGATACCACTCTTCTAGACTCCCCACCTACTCGACCAGTCATATTTGTCAATGTCTTGGGGATGCGAGACATTCTATCGACATCTACATCCAAGTACGAAGTCTTAATTCCAAGAGGAAAAGCATATATCGGAAATTGCACGACCGGCATCGTCTCCCCGTTCAGTCTAGAGCAATTCCTGAATATGCCATTGGGCCACATTGCGGCTCGCATACGCAAAGATCTTGTTGAGCAAGGGAACAGGGAGGCTGTGGAAGCTTCTCAGCGTGCCAGCCGCATCGAACAACAGACTAATATGTCGCCACCGGATGCGCAGACAGCACCAGCAGTGTTCGTATTCACAAATTGGGCGAAAGCGAAGTTGTTCGAAACTGATTTCAGCGCTGCCATCGCCTCTCATAATGGCGACCAAGTCAAGCCAGTCGACAGGTCGATCAAAGGCAAGCCAACATATATTAACGTATACGGCACTGATAGCCGAAAAACTGGTCACGGCGTAGGTCCAGGAGGCATTGGCAACTGTGTAGGTAAGGATGCGAGGGGCGGATATTGGATTGGAGGAATTTCCTCGGAGGAGTGTGTGGCAAGGTTCGAGAAGGCTGTGTTGGGCGATGCGTAGACCAGCGGATAACTCTAATGGAGAGCGGTGGTATTATTCGAGGCTCTCTATTACGTAATAGCGATATACGTAGAGTCATTCACGCTTGATTCTGCGACGTGTAGTTGGGTCGATTATGTATGCCAAAACCGTGGTGGAGCCTTGAGGTGCGTGCCCGTCGCGCCCAAGGTGCAATGCCCAAGCAAGGTTAGTCCCTTTCAACCAAGATGAGATCATCATAACGCCATAGCGAATCCAACGCGAGATACCCATGCATTTCTTCATGAGACAGGCCAAAAGCGACTAACAACCAAATCCTAAGAGTCAGGAACGAAATGATGCAACTCGGGAGCAAACTTGGAACATGCATGCATCAATAACACATGACGTCGCAATATGCTCAGTGGCCGCCGCATCCTTACGCCAACTGATGAAAGCCTTGTGTTTCAATGAATATGACTTAACTGATGTATTAGATGGGGTGAGTTTTTTTTTAGCGGTATCCTGGGGAACAGGGTGATGGAAGCAGACGCGAGGAGCTTCCTAAAGACTGCCAACATTAAGTGGAGAAGGTAGCTACACTAATCAAACCTTGTTGGAAGTGAACGTGAATATGCAAGCACTTTAAAAACAGTATACCATAATTGGTGTCTTATGATGAAAACAGTTTGTTGTATTGTGTTGATTAAATGCTGAACTCTTTTGCCCAGTAACTACAAGAAACTCGACCGACTTGCGCCACCACTAAACATGAACTTCGTGAGGATATAGTACAATACTGATACAACTCAGCCACCTTACAAACACGTGCTTGTTTGGTCGCTGAGCTAGGAAATTAGGGAAGCATGCGGGACATGCCGTGTGCACCTCTGAACGCTGTGCGCTTAATAGCGAACGCCATCGGCTGCCATCCCGTTTTGTTGCTGAGCGACCTTCTCCTGCTCGAGCCTGTTCCTTCGGCGATGATCCTTAATCTCGTGGAAAGAGGCGGTAATGGCGTGCAGGAGCCTGAGAGTTGGTTAGAAGCTGCTGCTACAAATTTCCAGTATGGACAACTTACGTGCTGATGATGGCCAAGATGAATGTACCCCAGGGTAAGTTGCAAGAGTCATCACGGCTCGCAGTCTCGCCAGTAATGGTGCTGGGGTTTGCGCCGTTTACAAGACGCCTAGGGTTGTAACAGTGCCTGGCACCGGCGAGGCCTCCATTCGGACGCGTCAAGACAGCGACAGCGATGAATGCACCGACAAAGAGCAGGTCGAGAAGTACCCAGATCCACCTCAGCGCTCTACCTCCAGGGTTGGCGGACTTCTTGATGCAGGACAGTAACGTAGTGATTAGGGTGTACAACACAGCGGCAGCAAGGATGCCTTCAACAGCGCCATAGGCACCGTTTACGCCGCGGCGCGTCTTGATACTGTTGACGAGGCGGTAGACCTTGTACAGGCGCTGACTGAAGATGCCAAGAGAGACAACGGACGAGATAAACTGCAAGACGCGGGTAAGGCGCAACAGCCAACGGTAGAAGGAGGTGTTCTTGAGTTTGTCGGGAACAAAGCGTGTGAGCAGACCGGTTTGCTCTCGCTTGTCGATAGCTGGATAGTCGGCTGGGCCATCAATTGGCTGCTGTGCACGAACCATGATGAAATGCTTTTAGGTATCGATGTTGATGGTAATGTTGGTTTGGAGAAGCTTGTTGATTGATGTTAGAGCAAGTAGAAAGCGTGTGAGGCAATTCTCTTATAGTGCTGAAGACGAGGTGAGTGCAACGTGACACGAAGGCCACTCTTGCTCATTTGACGCAATCGTCACTTACCGTCACTGTCACCGTCAGCCAACCCGCACCCAGATTAAACTTGGGCCCGCGGAAACGTGCTTGGTCTTGTTGCACGACAACGACCGTGTTGCCCTTGCGTTTTCTCGGCGCGTTATGGTATTGGATAGTTTTCAAACGCTAAGCCACAATACTGGTATGATTGGTGGCTGGAGAGCGGGGCACGTGATGACGCCAATGCGAAATGCGTCACTGACATTTTTCCATGCTTTTCTTTGAACCTGCTCCATAATCCCAATCAATCCTTTGCGCGTCAGTTCCTTGCTGATCTTCAATTGTTTTTCCAACGTGGCTGCAGGATCGTTCGATCCCAGAGCAAATTATCGTAGAATGACGAACCCCACCTGCCGTACTGCCGTAAACGCTTGCCTTTTAGAGTCGGTCATTGTGAAGCTTGTTTCTGTTGCTCCAAGTCACAGAGGAGCGATGAACCCACCTCCCGATTTCCCAACGAATACTCGATTGCGCGAGCAGCCGGTGACCAGAATCCTCCTCTATCCAAGTCTCAGGGAATGCAAAAGTGATCGTACGGAAAAGTTCTGGATCCTCGTCCTGTCGATCTTGTTGTGCGCTATGTAAATCCCAATCCGATCCATCCAACGCTAAGTGCTACCCTACGATGTGCTGCGGACTAAGCCATACGTCTTATACGGTGTAAAATCTGCACGCACACCCGGCTTCAGCTTCTTGTGGTGTTCGATGCCGTAGGTAGGCGACTACAATCCAGACTTTGGCTATCTCGTCACAACTTCCACCTCAGCTCCGTTGATTCTGAGTCATCTTCGACTTGAGCAACACGAGGCCGTTTGGTTTGTACGCGGCTTCAGAATTGATGTAGCAAATCCTGGTGCTCTAAACGCCACCGCCGTTTCGACGCCGCTCAGCATCCTAGGGAGTAGCAAGGCGTAGCGCGGACGCAATAATGCTCACAATGTCGAAGACACATCCATTCAGTAGGTTCAAGAGGTTGGGCGTCGTTTGCGTCGTACGCATGTGACAAGGGATTGAAAACACCATGTCGTATCCCCAAAGGTTGTAGAATCCTCGTGAGGTGGTTTGTCCTATGGAATGCAAGTTATGGCTCAAACACCTGTGTCACGCCTTGTGAAATCCAGTTCCTTCCACATTTCTTTGTCAAGATAGAACTGTATTCTGCCGATTCTTTCCCCTACTCTCTCAGTGCTCCAAGTGCGAGTCCACTCATCGATATAGCTGCTCAGTCCACGAAGGTAGTGTTCTGACTTTGCACGGTCGATTGGGTACAGTTGCTCGAAATCGAGGTGAGCGAGACCTTGAATCTTCCGTGAAGGCACTACTACTGGGCTTAAACTCTCATTACCATTTCCATATCTTGACGTGTCAACAAAGATTGCCACAGTATCAATCTGAGTAATGGGCAGATCCTGGCCATCGTCTAAATGGTCAGACAGATGAGCATCTAGAGGTGGGTCGACCCAAATTTCTAAACCCTGGAAGACCTTTGATATGTGCTTGTCTATGCACACGTCCGTTTGCGAATAAAGCAAGAAGTAGAGCAATGGGGCTAGAAGTACCTCTGCAGCAAAGTTTCCCATAGACAGATCAAACATGTTTTGCCCAATGTCATCATCCCAACCCGTTTGCAGGGACCGCTGTCCTCCGGTACAGCAGGGTATGATATTGACATCTAATCTTTCGATAATTCCGTCAAGCTTGCGTACGGGAGCAACGCGTGGTGTCGGCCAGAGCCAATGATCGTTTACAACTGCGATGTCGACCTCGAAGTTTCGCGGCGCTTTTGAGAGGTATTCAATAGTCTCGATGTATATTCTTCGGTTGAGGAGTAGCAGATTTATGACCTTCGGACTTTTCAAATGATCCAGGTTGGGTATGCAGTACAGATTGCGTTGAGAGGTGTTCCACCAGTTGGGCCGATAACGTGTGCCGTTCTTTGGTTGCACAGTTGGCGTTGAAAGCACAAGGTCGATGATATTGAAGAGCAGTTCGCTCGGTAAGTCCAGTAAGCCAACCATAGCTGCTGTCTGCTAGGAATTGCGACGATGGTGTAAGAATGAAAGTTGACGGGCTATTCGCGTCGTGTACCAGAGCCTATGACGCACTGACCCCACTTGACGCTCGGGCCGTTGGAGAGCTTCCGCGCGTTGCTCTCATCTCACCTAGGCATGAACAGCCCTCGAATTTGTTGGAGTCATCTTACAGTATGCCCAAAATGCTGTTACAAGTAATCTTCCAACAAGATGGCGCATTCGTGTAGCGTCTTGTTTCGATGGACCCGACTCTTGTGGCGCGAGACCCGTGTTTGGTTAGCGCAAATGACTCATTTTGGCTCACTTGGCCTGCGCCTCACGCATAAGGCTCAATGACTCCAGGAGTCACATATCCCGCCCGATCAGGAGATAGGGTGATACACCGGGTGGAGTCAAGTGTTTGGTTGTGATTTATATAATACATAAAGGTCGCTAGATACTTGCAAGAGCGCAGAATAGTCAATACCGTGGTCGTTCTTTACGTGTTCAAGATCCCCTTTGCAATAGCTCCTTGTGCATCTCCTATACATTCAGATTATGGCGTTTACCGACCAAGCTCCACCTGAGACTAAAATGTCAACGACATCATACGACACGGCGTTGTGCATTGTTCCGCCGGTCTCTCAATGCCGTCACGTTGACCCTTTGCGGGAACTTTACGACAAGGCTTACGGAAAGGCAAGTTTTGGCCCAACTACACATATGAGAGACATACATTGACCTTGTTCTTTCTTATCTGCAGTGGCCACCGCACATCAACCTTATTTATCCTTTTGTAGCACCTGAGCAACTCCCAAAAGCACAACAACAAATTCGAGAGTATTTGTTAGAACATCTTGACCAAGGGACTCCGATTGATATAGAATTGGTTCAAGCCGGTGGCTTCGTTCAAAAGAACAATATGACTGTGTTCCTTACCGATGACGGGGGCGAGGATGATGATTCGCCTCTCGTGTCGCTCCGTACGACTGTACTGCAAGCTTTGGGCCAGGGACCTGCTCGATCTACACCGCATCTTACTATTGGCCAATCGCAAGGCAATCCTCTGCTATCACAGTCGTACCTCCTAGGCAAGGCGCGTTTACTGCCTGATATGCGGTTCCGCGTCGGCACGCTTGCTATCCTGATTCGCGAGAGGACGACTGGCACACACCCAACGGATCACATGAGACTGTATGGAACTATCGACATCGGGTCTCCGGAAGATGTCTGGAGACCTCATAGCTCGGACTACTGGGTGAAAGCACCCAGCTCAAATCTGCCTACGGTTCAATCTGATGGCGACAGAGGTCAGCAAGAGACGGCTTCTGACGATCACGAAATGCTAGCCGAACCAGCACTCTGCTTTGATCCAGTCGAATACAAATGGTCAGCATACACAGGTGAAGACAAGAGCGAGGCTGAAGTCAAGGAAATCACTGTTTCGAGCTACAACGTCCTGGTAGATACCGAGTATCCGCCAGACCATGATCGTGATCCGTTGATTATCAGCACTATCCTGTCCGAGTCAGCGATAGCCGACGTACTAGTGCTACAAGAAGTCTCCGATGACTTCCTTAGTCATCTACTGCGGCTTTGTCCGGATGTGAAACAAATCGCCCAAAGGTATCCGTTTGTTTCGCATGGACCACCCAGGCAGAACGATCTCGGCCCCCTTCCTAGTTTGCGCAACGTCGTTATTCTAAGTCGCTATCCGTTTCGCTGGCACTCGGTTCCCTTCCATCGCAAACACAAGAGTGCTCTTGTTGCACAGTTCAGAGGCGTAGCGACGTCTAGCTCTGCGGCTTCAGAGGGTCTGGTTGTTGCTGGCGTGCATCTGACTGCTGGCCTTACTGACGGCTCGGTTGCTACCAAGAAATCTCAAATGGGGACTCTAATACGTTACTTGGAGCGACACTACAGACACGAACCATGGGTAATTGCCGGCGACTTTAACCTCGTCACGTCGACCTACACCATCGAGACCTCCGCGAAGAACCAGTCCATATCCAGCGAGACTGTATCCGCACTATCAGCAATCGAGAGTGAGATTCGGGAAGCTGGGTTGTCTGATTCATGGTCTGTCGCACGTGTCGAAGGAGTGGACCAAACAAGTGTTACTGAGCCTGGTGATCTGTTCGAGGGTGAAGAGGGAGCAACGTTCGACCCCCAGAACAACCGGCTTGCTGCAGGGACAACCACCACTTCGCATGATCGGCCACAACGCTACGATAGGATATTAGTCCGGCCGCAAGAATCGCTCCGTATAGCCCGCTTCAACCATTTCGGCGTTCCGGAGATGATTTACGGCGAGCAGGTTGTTGCTAGTGACCATTACGGCGTGAGAGCAAGGATTCGATTGATGGATACGGCGGTATTGAACGACAGGAGTAAGGATATGTCGTCAGAACAGCCTATCGTTGAATATAAGCGAGCAACGGGAGCCATGACAGACACCGCGAGCTTACATTCTGTGCTTGAGGCACATGATATGTTCCCAAACGAGAAAGAAGTGAACGACTGGCGCGAAGCATTCGCCAGCCTCCAGAACATCTTACTTGGTACATCGGACGATGCGAACCCAGTGCAGTCTGACATACCGTTGGTCATAGTACCGGTTGGCTCGTACGCGCTGGGTGTATGGACGCCAGATTCAGACATTGACTGCCTTTGTATTGGTACCATCAGCTCGAAGACCTTCTTCAAGCTTGCTCGGCAACGACTTACCAAAGCCGAAAGTCAAGGTGTTAGGATCTTGCGGAAGGTCGAAGCTAGTACAGGCACCATGCTCGAACTTTCTGTCAACGGGATACTCATGGATTTGCAATACTGCTCTGCGCCTCAGGTCGTCGAAAGGTGAGTCTCACATAATAGTTATTCCGCAATGATGCTGACAGGTAGCAAACAGGTGGCACGAGTTCCGCAACATTCCAGCATCCGACCCCATCTTCAACCTTTCTGTACTTTCACTTCGCAAACTCAAGCCTTACCGCGATCTACTCTACATTCAACGTACATTGCCCTCGCCTTCTGCGTTCCGCCTAGCTTATCGTTGCATCAAGCTATGGGCTATTCAGCGTGGCATCTATAGTGCGAAGTTCGGTTTTCTTGGCGGCGTCCATATCACGCTCATGCTTACCTGGATCTGCAAAAAGCTTGGACAAGACTCTGGCTCAGTCACAGCTGCAGACATAGTCGCGAGTTTCTTCCATTATTACGCTCACTTTGACTGGACGAACGACATCGTCTACGATGCTATCCACCACAAAAAGCGACCGCGTTACTACCGCAGCACAAGAGAGCCAATGGTAGTGCTGGGCTACCACGCACCCAACTCTAACATCGCCCATACGGCTACTGTCCCTGGCTTGCAGTTGTTAGTCAAGGCTTTCAAGACCGCGGAACAGCAGCTATGCAAGCTAGGGATGACGTGGGAGGCGTTCTTCGGTGCACCGTCAACTTCGGAACTAGCATCAAATCTCCCGCATGGGGTTGCAGACTTTCTCCGCGCTTACAACAGTTTTGTCAAAGTTGATATACAGTTCTGGGGCCAAACGTTGGCGAAGGGCAAAAGTTTAGTCGGCTGGGTCGAGTCTCGGTGCATATCACTCGTCATAGGTAAGCATTCTAATATCTGTACTTCTTGTGCAATGGTTGTACTAATTATAATAGACATCCACAAAGCTATACCCAACTCAGGAGTACAGATCTGGCCGGCCCGCTTCGTTGATGGCAGTTCGAAAGATGTCAGCGATGGCAAAGAGTATCAAGGGAGTTACCTAATTGGAATCTCAAAAGCTGAGAAGGCCGTCTCTGTGAAGAGTGTGGAGGAAAAGCAAGTGGCGAAAGAGGCTCTGGAAAAAGTACTGGATCGTTTCTTGACGCAGCTGCAAACGGACGAGAAAAACTTCGATTCAAGTACGTCTTGGATTGATGCCTCGATAGTAAGATCTAGCGAAGTCAAAGACTTGGAGTTGGATGATCGGGAGTGGGGTATCTATGCTGCAGAGATGGATTCAGACTCCGACGACGACGAAGATATAGTTGACAAAGACTTTGAAGATGCTGATGAGATAAAGCCCCAGCGTGCCATACCTCAGCGTCCAAAGCCTACTTCGACACCTTTGTCGAGAACCAAACTACGTCCTGCCTCTGACGTTCTCAATCGCCTACGCTGGGATCCGAGTCTTGATCCGAGTGATTACATTATTGGATATGAAGACCGCTTCTTGGGCGCAAAAGAGACTGGACTTGAAAAGTGGAAAACTGAGCAAACGGACGAGGAATTCATACCTCAGCATCGGATACTTTACTTCAAGAAGAAGGGTAGTAAGGACGGAAAGGGTGATGTAGTGTGGGAGAGGGCGACTAGGATAGACAAGGTTTTTGGTAGTGGACTTGGTAACGGAGAGTGAGTCTCGACCAGAGATACGATATACTAATACACCGGTGTTACTAGAGATTTTTGTGTTATTCTTAATGTACAGAGCCGACCTCAAAGCCCCCCACTCTGACCATATCAACGCTAGCGGGTGAGAATTAGTGACCATTGTGTGCACTATTGCGCACGCAGTCTTACTCGCACTCTGTATCACGTTGTAGAGAGGTATGGAATTGTCGATAGCATTCGCATCCATGGAGATGAATAAGGCAAGCACAGTAGTTTACCTCGACCACCTCGCGCTGTGGAAATCTTGCAGGCTTCTCTCCGCGACACACATGTATTCTTAATGGTGTTCGGCCCGGCCCGCTTCGTATAAAAGCAGTCTACCCAGGCCATCTGTGACTGTCCTTGTAGCTACAAGCTCTCTCATCAGAATAAAAGTCCTTAAATCTGAACATCATCCAGAATTCTATAGTTGTACAGCCCTCAGATTCCAGCGACATAACCTTATTTTCCCCGGGCAGTCAGATTTCTAGAAGTGGTGGCTGCTAAAGTCTCGGCGCTTGGCGTGGTTTCGGATTAGTCGCTGAAGTTTGGGTGGCACGATGTATAATAATCCAGGATACCATCAACAAGGTGAGTTTGCGTTGATGGCTGAGATATGCACGAGAGCATGCGCTTTTAGGCATACAGGCTTCTAGGGCTTACCAACGGTCGCTCTTCGGATATTGGACTTCGGTATCGATGTAGGCGACTGGAGGTGGGATAGCGGATTGTGGGGAAATCTAACCACAGCTTACTGCCAGTTCAGCTGACAAACATCATCATTAAAATTGCGATGTCCTTGGTGTAAAAAGTAAATTTCGACCAACTTCAGCGGACCCGCTGGATGGCAGTCTCTACGGTCAGCTGCAAAGTCTTTGGACAAAACGTCTGGGCAACTGGTGTAGATTGCGAGGCTGTTTGTGTAACGCGGACCGTGTTCGGCGGCCGAAACGCTGGCTGCCCGGGCAAGGCGTAGGATGTGAGGCATAGGTAGTAGGTTTGAGACAAGGCTTGTCGAGCTTGGACGCCCTGCATGGCGCGGGTTGTTGTTCGCTTGTCGGCTTCTGTCTCCTTCTTGGTCTTGCTGGATGGTTCGCGCGGAACGGATATAAGGTCGCGTGCAGCACCGAGAGATTGGTGGAGGGCGGAGGATTGTGCGCTAGATCACATTTAGTCAAGCCTCAATTTTGCATCACGCGGCACATGCAATCCTCAGGTACTGTAGAGTTGGGGAAAACAATCACATCACATAGTTCAAACAGAGACACGTATCGTCAACGAAAAAAAAGAGTTCATTTGGTTGTACCTAAAATCATCGAGTGTGCCATTTCCAAGCTCCGAACGCCACTGCCACTGATCGTGCAGCCGAAGCAGATGCTAGGTATCTACAGATTCCAAAGGACACTTCTCTGGTCCTTGGCATTGACCCAAACATACTCCGTACACCTTGGGTTCGCCTTACTCTTACCTAGTGTAACGGCAAAGAGATTGATCTCCATCCACACGGGTCGCATGCCCATGCGCTCCAACCTCTCCCACCAAGTTCTGAACCGCCCAAAGTCTACGTTGCCCCCGGCGTTCGCGTTCTCAGTGTTGATTCCGTCGCCGAGATGGAGTTCAATCATGACCTGGCCAATAGGCAGGACAGACTTTCCAGATGCTGTTTTCATGTTGTCGAAAGCGTCCATCATAGTGTCTAAAGCGTCGTATTCGCTACCTTCGATATCAATTTTCAGGATATCGATGTAGGTGTGGTTGTTTTGCTTCATCAAGCTAGGAAGAGTCCAGAATGGCGGCTCGGAGTCATGCTTGTCCTCTTTGCCTAGCCCGACCTTCTTGAAGAAAGTGCGATGGCGGTGTTTCTCTGCGATTTGCGGACCCCATGCGTCAACGGAGAAGTCATAACCCCAGATACGGGCGCTAGGAACACGTTCGAGCATTTCGGCTTCGAACGAGGATTCACCATTGATGCCGAAACTATACATGACGAGGCCGTCTTGTGCGTTCGAGAGGGGTTCCTGCGATCCGATGGTTGCGGGTGCGGATTTGGGTGCGGGAAGACTCTCATAGATGTTCATCCCGCAAACCCACTTTCCTCCGTCACCGAGTCGGCCGACACGCTGGATGTCGTGGGGGCATGTCCATGTCGCTGGGAAGAAGTCCCAGATGGTGTATGGGTATTTCAGAAAGTCCATTGGGAAGAATGGAATCTTCGGGTTGTCCGGATGCTGCTTCGCCATCTGGTCGCGAAGCTCGACGCTCTTCTTCCACGACTTTTCTGACAGTGCAGATCGGTCTTTTATCCATGCTTGGAGTATAGAGGAGGTTTGCGAAGAGCCCGTTGATGGAAGGACGGGCAGGTAGGGAAGTAGAGCCGTACCAGCGGATTCTTCATTGTGGAAAATGACGATTAGGAAAACGACGACAACTATCCCAGCGAATATGCGGGCTGCCAGACTTGTAAGTAAATTTCCAAGCATGAAAGAGTTGACTGAGCGTACCACCGAAAGACCTGAACATCTTTGCGGGTAAAAGAGTGATGTTGTAGATGGTGGGAAGAGTTGAGCCAAAAAAGACGGTGATATATAACCTCTGAGTTGAATCGGTGGAGGTAACGTTACGATCGCGTCAAGCGTACACAAAAGACAAGGCAGGAAGAAGGGAGGAGCAAACAAAAGTGAAGCCAAGTGCTCAGAAGATTCACGTAACGAGTAGACCCTCAAACAACGCTCCTGGTTTGGCCGCGTGATGTCGGCCCTTTCGAATGTGCCAAGGACGTGCGAAACGACAACAGCGGAACAACCAACAGTGTTACGTGTACATCTGCCGAGCGCTTATCGCAACCAAACAACAGGTAATGCCCCGTTACAGATTTAGCATTAGTCGAGCAAGAACGTCCATGGGCCCGTGCGGCCTTGATCATACGAAACCCCGCTCAAGCCGCACGCCGCTATCTTCGCACCATTGAGAGCTAGGGAGTGATTAGTGGATGACGGGGAAGTTCGTTAGCCGCACGACATACGATGGAGCGGCGGAGCACATGTGGGTCGGCTGATCATCATCAAGTCTTGTTTCGCTCGTGTCTTTGTCTCGATGTTCTCCTGAAAAAGGCACGTGTTTCAGGACGCACCTTCCAAAGACGCGTCGCAATGCATGATGTCATGGATCTATTATCTATGGAAAGGAAGTGTGGGTATTGTATGTGTAAATCACTATTTCGCGATGTGGCTATCTTGGGTATTGCTCCGCTTTGCGCGAGGCTTGTTGATGATGGTTATACATTCCCGAGGTTATGTTTATTCTTAGCGCCATGCAGATTGACTAGAAAGGAAAGTGGAGAGTATAATGAGATCATGTCAGTGTCTTGTGAACGACTATTGCAGCCGCCACCAGGAGCACACTGCAAGTGGTAAACACCGTATCGCGATGCGCTTCGCCTGGATCGATAGTTAGTTCTTGGCTCTCAGATCTGGACAAAAAACTAGTGCTTACCTTCTTTCGTGGTACTCAAAGCAAGCACAACAAACACGTTCAGTGGAATTCGAAGAATGCCGTAAATGCTGGCTCTTGAGCCGTCCTCAACAAGCTTACTCTTCAACGAGCCCATTGCGGGGTAGTAAACTCCGCAGCATAGCTCGAAGATGCAGAAGCACCATAATGTAACGCGCTCGTCGCGGAAGTGCCCAGGAACAAAGAAACAGGCGGATGAAAGAGCCAGGATGCCTGTCAGCATCTTTTGCGCCGGCACAGGTGTTGCAGATGTAGAGAGGTGTTTGTAAAGTAGGGAGCCAAACATCATAGAACACATCAAGATGGCGAAGATGAGACCAAAAGGAAGTTCTGCTAGATATTAACTTTGTCATGTTGCCGTTAGCTGAATAGAGTGTTGCTTACCATCTGTTGAGCCCGCCAGTTTATGGCTGAGCTTCAATGCTGGGAATTTGAAGAAAATGAACAGGAAAAGGGACCCCTCGAAGAATCCTGATACCAATGCGAGCATCATAATGTTGCGATCTCGCAGAATCGTTCGGAGAGCGGACGTGGCTGGAGGAGCTGGAGTAGCCTCTTCCTGCTGAAGCAGCCCCTCAGTCTCTGACGCTCTCCGGCTGCTCGTCCCATAGTTCTCTCCCCAGTATCTTGAAATAGCAAGAAAAGACAGGGTCAAGCAGCCAATGGAAGCCATGAACGGTGCCTTTGCTGTGCCTGTCATTCTGACCGCCCATTCAGCGAAGATACCTGCACCGATCGCTACACATGTGTTGGAAGTAGTCATCGTGCTAAATATCGCGCTCAGATGGGGTTCGCTGTCTGGGAGCATGAGCTGGTTGAACTCAGCGACCATCCAGCTTTCGAAGACGCTCCAAAGGACGGTTCCGCACACACCACCCAGGATGCGACCGAAGAAGAGAACGTAGATGTTGTCGGACAGGAGGGTGGCGCATGATATAGAATAAAGAGCGCAGTATCCTAAGCATGCTGTTTTGCGCCCGTATCGGTCTGCGAGTGTGCCTACGAAAGATGCGGATATGCCGGCCGAGATGAATCCTATGAGGAATAGGAATGCGACTGTTTCTTCGGGAAGTCCTTTCTCGTCTACACTTGAATCAGCCATGTAGGCCAGAAGATGATGGTTGCTTGAACTTACCCTTATAGATTGGGTATATGTATGGTCCTTGAAGCCAGTCCGCCGCATTGACCAGCAAATAAATAGGAAAGAAACGCTTCTTTAACTTGCTCAGGCCCTCCATATCAGGCTCTACATGTTCGTGTTCATCCTTCTTGTCCGTAGTCACGGTCTCTACGACCGCCGCCTTCCGTGAGCGGTGCGACTGGTAGAAGGCGAGTGCATTGAGCAGCAGCGATCCAGCGAATGTAGCTCGGTAAAGGTCCATGTTGAATGTGGACTAATGTTGTTGAAAATGAGCGAAAGGCGTTGGTTGGTTGTTATGAAGTGTATGACCAGCAAACACGGAGGAAAGTAGAAGTCCAAAGACCTCAATCTGTCAAGAGGTTGTAAACGGCGCTAGTTCCGCAAGGGTCCGGTGAATGGATTGGATTGGAGTGCTGTTGTCCCGTGCTAACGCCGTCCACGTTCCCACGACAGGAGATGCGAACACGGTATGCTAACTTACAATGGTTGCAAATAGAACGTCGGCCTCGTGCACCAGGACAAGCTGATCCCAATCAAGACTTGCGGAGCTGTGCAAGACCGGGTACCATACATGGGGCCACCCTCGCGGTACGGGCTGACGATGGCCTTGGACGTATTGCGCGTCAATAAGTGGAGTGACACAGCACGGCGTTTCTGAAATGTGGGACACTGGGATGCAACAATGATGCAAGCCCGTGCCCAGGTCTTGGATGTGCGGGGTCAATGCACGGTCAGGGGCGGCAGGAGCAACCGACCGCAGCTTCGCACGCGAAGAGCTGCCGCGTGAAACCTAGGAGGTTGGGTTTCAAATACGACCATAACGTGCTCTGGAAGCATTCACCCACCCTGACTGCGCACAACGACCTCCAGGACGACGGACTCTGGACCTTTGCGGTGTCAAAATATGTTGACTTTGGAGGTAACGCATCATGAGAGCACTCAGAGATCATGCATCACGTAGATGAGGTTTTGTGCATCAATTCCTGCATGTCTTAGTACCTTAAGCCTATTCGACCTTCCATGAAGATTCCCATCACGACTCGTCTTGTACACCATCCCACCTTTCGCTTTAACCACCGGACGAGCAGCATTGCGCCTTCGACCTCAATCCCTCAAAAGGGCTCCGCTCCAACGCGCGAACCTTCTCGACACACGTCTTACATGCCAGCACCTCACAGCCGGGACATCTCCTACCGCCGGTGTGAACGGCCATGCAGAATACGCATTGATCTTCGTCACCAGTCTGAAGACGCCACGCTGTGCTCTTGTAGATGCAGCTTTGTTGGATGCAGGGGTGGGACATCAGGACGACCATGCCATGTGCCATACCTCCAGGCTTAGGAGTTGGAGCGCCACTGTTGAGCGGGCTGGGGAGCACTTTAGTAAAGGCAAGGTATGAAAGAAATGAGTCCACACACCTCTCGTAAATCTCAGGGTGCCTCATACAGTAGGCGGCCTCCTCCTTCTGCCAAGCGGTACACGCCTTTCCCAAGAAGTACTGCCAATTCGGCTCGTTGGGCTTACGTCGCGACTTGACAGGCGGTGGACTTGCTCTAGGGGCTTCATCTTGGGTCTCAGCGCCATATCGGGTGGCATATGTGCCGCACAAGTTCTCTTCACCTTCATCATTGTTCTGTTGTTGAGTCGGAACCTCGGTCTGGAATTTTGTGCGCCAGTAGGAGCGGTCGTATTGAGCGCGGTACTCAGCATTGGAGAGCTGTTCGAAAGTTTCGCGGACGTGGCGGAAAACCGTGGCATCCGCTACTCCTGACTTGTCAAGATGGTATTTCTTAGCAAGGCCCTGGAACGCCTTCTTGATGGCTCCAGTGGAAGCGCCAAGTTCGAGACCGAGGTCCGCATAGTAGTCCTTAAGAGAGTTAGAGGACATGGCGGCAGAGGTTCGACAAAGCGGCAGAGGTAGCAAGAGCTGAATCAAAGCGAAGAATGAGGCTGCGAGTAACTGCGAGTACTTGTGAGTTTGGTCAAAGAGAAGGAGTGTAATATTGAATACCTAGGTAGATCTGATCCATCGCCCGCAAAGATAGTCCTCTTAACCCGCTAATCTCGATATGAATTGATGCCTGTCAGGCACCAACGATACGAACAGTCACGCCTTTACCTCTGGCAGGTGCGCCAGCCGTAGAAGACTGAGAGTGCCGGCAAGCAGATTTCGACGATTCTATTGGCTACGCGGCCGTTATCACGTAAAGGGCGGGTCACGCTGGTTGTACAGACGATGAGTGTTGAAAAGAATGACGCGGTTCAGGGGCGGAAAAGAGCTCTGTGTGCAGGCATTGCCTTAGGTAGGATAATGGTATCTCGGGTGGGCAAACGGTCCTGTTCGCGCGATATCGCGGAGTCATGTGACGCCAGAACTACGGTCTCGGGATCCCGATGCAGTGCGATCAAGAGCATAATGGCATTGTGCACCACGAACAGGAAGTTTATGTCATCGAGAGCAGCCGTGACTCCCCTAGTGCACCCGTTCGGTAATCCAAGGATAGATTTGATCGCGCTTCGGAGGTCGCCAGACGCAGCGAAGAGAAGGTTAAAGTCGCGGTGGACAGTGTCGGTCGTGTCTTCGTGGTCTTTGATATTCAAGATATCAAGCGCCGGCATGCTACCCCAGAGATACTTCAGTGTAACGAACGTTGTGCGAGGCGGGCCATATTCGACCAAAGCTGACGTTCGAACCTCCACAAACCACCAGGGGGCATAGACCTACTTCTGCGGCAGTGACAATGCTCATGGGGTTTCATGATAGAGCAGGAATGTAGCACGGGAGCAGAATATAGTAATTATCGAACAGGATCATGTCAAAAACAAAATTGAACTGGCCACCGATGGTATTCTTGCTTGCAGTAATCTCGGCTTCACAGACAGAGTTGGCAACGACGCTTCCTTCTCGTCACCACTATACAAGTCTCTACAACGATTCGGAGCATTTGCTCTGGTGTTCTTCACCGTACTTTCTGCATTGATGATACGACACAGTATCTCCCACCACTCCTCAGTCCAGCAAACACGACAACAAAACGGCATCGCAGAAACCCACTCGGTGTGTCTCACGATATCGAAACCGGCCTAGCGACCTATATTTTCCCAACCAAATCCTTCTCTCCGAAGCCGTCAGTTCCATACACCAAGGTGTAGTCCAACCCATGACCCACGTACGCTAAGATACTTCAAACATCAGCCTAGGCACCTGCAGCGCCTCGAACACGCTGACGAGCCACCTACAGGTCCGGTCCTACCCACTTGATCCTCCAAGTAACTGAGGTCGCCGTGGTGCGCCCCTGGAGGTACCGACTTACCCCGACGAACTCAGCTACCAGTCTTGTACTCAGATGTCTAGCTCAAACATCCCTTCAAGTGACACTACTGTAATCAAGAGCCCTGCTGGATATCTACTAGAAAGGTGATGGAGTCCAAGTTTAGTAAGGCGAAAGAATTATGTGGACATGTACCCTTCCCTCGTTTCCCTACCTAGACTTTTAAGCTGTAGCATCTGGTTTTACAACATACTATTCTGACTCCATGGACGCCATGTGATCACTCGGCCGAGGTGTACATCGGTAGCATAAATGACAAGTGATGCTTTTAGCCCAGCAACCCGATACACCTCAGCTCTTTGGGAATACGGTGATCAGTTTTTTTAACGTGAAAACTACAGATGGCCCTGCCTGCCCTCCATGATCGCTTACAAAACCTTTTCGACCTAACATGTCCGATCAAGAACCTATCTTGTCATGGCGCAAGTACTCGAAAAGCTTCTCGAATTGCGAGCCATGGTAGAGAAGTATAACCCCCACTTCCAGAATCGTTTTCCTCATCTAACACAGGCCCTCTAGTCCAAATGCCGAAAAGGTCATCTTCCTCATCCGCAAACCCTACCTTTGTGGTTCTACACGCATACAAGTACACAAGGATAGCTCTTCACTGCGAGAGGATCCATACCGACACGGTGGACCTGACAGCCGAACAACCAGGCGTTATCAAGGACTACGTTACTACGCTTCACATTGGCGACGTTCCCAACCTACGAAATTCGCCCGATGGCAGTTCATCCATGTTCAATCTCGCCCAATCACGGCACGATAGGCTAAGCGGTCTCTACATATCTTGCGGCCAATCGCAATACTCAACGTCCTGGAAGGTTGTTTTCTGCGCAACCTTGAACCTCTTCCATCACACCTGGCCAGGCGATGCGCGGTACATTCCTATAAACGACGTGATCAACAATATCTATCGCTTTTGTCCGCCTACTGACCCTTTGCGCCGATTTCTCGCAGAATGCTACGTGGACTTTGCCACCGGTGACTGGATCCCTCGCGAAGAGCAGTATGGCCCGGAATTAAGTAAAAAAAAAAGTCTTGATAGGTGTGTTGTTCCGTCGTGACCTTCCGAAGTATCTTTCCTGAATAACCCGCGGGAATATATCGACATCAAGGAGCCTGAAACGCTCACAATGAAGTCCACATGCTGAATGATAGTATAACTCACAAATCCAACACATAGCTGACGCTACCACTAGACCTAGAAGGAAAGACCTCAAGCGTGGCAGGGCTTCGATGTAGGCGCCACAAAAGCGATTCGGTCCGATTGAGGGACCTCCGAGGACGATAGACAGATAGCAGTGGGGTTCGAGGTATCTCGATTGGTTAGATGGTACATATAATGTAGTCCCCAGTGGGGGTCCGGGGTGTAGTGAGATACCCATCACAAAGACACCGCTCCAAAATGCGGCTGGTGTACGTCAACACGTGTCTCTTTCCTAGTAGGCCACGAGCACACATCTGCCAATCGAACATGTAGAGATTACCGAGACCATCTCCTTCTCAGCCTCATCTTTCTTACTGGTTGTTTCTGAGATGCATCTCAACGCTCGTCACGGAGGTTAATCCCGCAAGTATGGCGTAGCTCGGCGAGCAGCTCACGTGTGCGACTACGAAATGACGAACCTTCATCCCTCACCCAGTTGATGGCGCGTCCTTATTCACAATGAGCAAAGAGTCTCGCGATAATGATTATGAGAGAAACCCGATAGTTGTTCAAGCACGTTGTTGTGAGATCTGGCAGCTTCGCGATACTGTCAAGGGGTGACGTCGCGATGATCAAGAAGATCTACACCGAATGACGTTAGCGTGAAACTTCACTCGCCGACTCTCCAATCGGTGCAGCGATCCATGTTTTCTTTTCCCACCTTATCAACATTCACGAAAAAACATCAGTCGTGACAAGAGTACCGAGACATAGTCGTGGGGCAGACTTGATACCTTTTTGCTGCGACGTGCAAAGCGCATTGGAGTTCGATAGAACGCAGCGTCTTTTTCCAACGAAGCTTCCACGGACCTGAGGCTTATCCACTTTCGTCCAGTGCGACCTTGGAAAGGACCCGCTCACTCAGCCCCGTGCAGCTTACTGGACCTCCCCTATCACTATTACCTAAGGCTGGCAGCAGCCTCACATGTCAGGCCCGACGTCAAGCCCAGACTGGAACAGAAGCGGCAGTCCCGCCTACGGCACCTTCGTTCGACCACCGTTCAATCCGAATCCCACCAAAAGTCATGACAGCAATGACAGTGCTATTGCACCCTCCAACAATAGCGGCGACGGAGTCTCACCTACTACGCGCAGACCGTCACCAGAGCGGAAGCCGTCAAGGCACATCGAGTTTAGAAAGTACTTGAAGCGTCCCCATATGATGGAAACGCAGAGAACGCTGAGCGATGCATTGAGATCGGCAAAGAGTAGAGAGGAACAGGAAACATTGCTTCCTGAAGAGGACTATGCCGGTGCCGACGGATGCTTCAACGGTCAAGGCGAGCCGATGGTTACGAGAACTGCTAGTGCGCCTGATCTGAACAATAACAAGAAGACGTATTTCAATATTCACAGGTATGTCTAATGCGCCAGGTAAGAAACCGAGTTTTGATATTAATCATGCCTTAGGATACGACGTCTTGTCCTCGCAGTGATCGAGGATCCATACACTGTAGATCAGCTCCGAGAGCCTCGCATGAACGTTCTCATCGTAAAACCACTGGTGGATCGCCTCTACGACGAAGAAGACATATCCATTGTTTACTGTCTGCTCGTCAATCGCATGCAGTTCCTTCGAGAGCAGCAGTTTCAGCAACACCATCAGACTGTCGACCTAACGCGCGCGAATCTATGCGAGCTGGTAGCCATGAAAGTGCTCCGGCGGCATGATGAAGAGTCTACAGGAAAGGCTGGCCTATTACTCCTAGCACAGATTATGGTAGCGCCTTTCCAACCGTTCCAAGGCGCGCCAGATCAGAGCTGTCCGCCGCGTCACAGTTCAGAATACCAGGGCCAGGGCGATTATGAGGGTAAACTAACGGCGCTGGAGGTGGCTATTGTCTCTGAGAGCAAAGTATTGCTAGCTGGTTCTGCGAGCCAAAAGGTCATCGATGCTATCTATCGGGGACGCATCGTGTATACCCCGACCGTATACATGGATATCATACCAGATCATTACAAGCATAAGCCCATCTCGCTTTACGATCCACGGAAGGCGCCGACACTAAACCAGTACCGTCTCATGGTACCGAGAACACGCAACATCATCGAAGTAGTACAGTTCATCATACTACTCGCACTATACTGCTGGTGCATGACCATGCGAGAAGACCATTTTCTAACCGGCGCAGAGATCGTGTTCTTACTCTACGGTAGCGGCTGGGTGCTTGACGAACTAATATCATGTCTGGAGCACGGCTGGGAGGTACATACTCAGGAGCTATGGGCCTTCTTGGATGTCACGTTTGCTGGCATCTTTCTCATATATCTTGGGATGCGGTTCCATGGGTGGATGATGGGCCAAGACGAGACGGGTAGACAAGCCCTCGACGTCCTGGCTATCGCCTCGCCAATACTATTTCCGCGCATCGCATTCAATCTTATGCCCGAGAACATGCTTTTCATCGCACTTAGAGCGATGGTTAAGGAATTTACTGCATTGAGTCTGATCGCCGTATGGTGCTTCGGGGGCTTCCTTTTGGCGCTTAAATGGTTGAGCATCAGCAACCCTGCGGTCGGCTACGAAGACTCACCAAACTCGATCACCATCTCAAAGTGGATGCTATGGATCTGGTTTGGTCTGGATGGTACAGGCATCGATGAAGCTCCCGGTTTCCATGAGATACTCGGGCCCACCCTGATGGTCATCTACGCTTTTCTGGGTAACACCCTATTCTTAACAGTATTGGTGTCGATCCTCTCCAACACCTTCAGCAAAATTGCAGCAGATGCGACAGCAGAAATCCAATTCCGTCGAGCGGTGCTTACCTTCGAAGGCGTAAAATCCGATTCTCTATTCGCCTATCGCCCACCTTTCAACCTATTCGCGTTCATCGTCTTACTTCCTCTCAAGTTCATTCTGTCGCCACGGTGGTTCCACAAGATCAACGTCTCAGCGATACGTATCTTGAACTTTCCGATCCTCCTCGCTATCTCACACTACGAGCGACGCTACTTGTGGAAGCCACGTCGCCAACTCAGCATCAATGGCCCCGGACCTTCGAAACGTACAACATGGCTACAAGATGTTGGCTTCTGGAGGAGCTGGAAGCAGTTGAGTCCGCATGCCGATCTGCAGGCTGTGTTTGAAGAGGAGCCACCAGCGGATATTGTGCAAAGAATCGAAGAGGAAGATGATCTTGAGGACGCTATACTCGAAAACAGTTTTGCGGCGACGGGCATGGGAGCCAGGAGCGTTAGTCCAGGAAGTGCGATGACAGGTAGAAGGAGGAGGTTGAGTAGTGTGTGGCCGGGACCGGGCTCTTAGCATGGGTTTCGGCAGTCTACACGCTAAGACACGATGAGAACCTTTGTGATGGCTTTTGCACACCGACTATAGCGACTTTCGGTACCTCATATTCTTTCATCAATTCAGACCGTACACATTCTCTCGTGCACATGCGTGTTTTCATGTATCAGCGCCTCGTATGCTGGACCCACAAGAAACGTCGCGATGCAGCACCCCACTCTGTACTAACTCCGGGGTCCACCACCAGCGTCAAACTATTACCCCCAGCTTATTGCACATCTTCCCCATCGAGGTAGCATCGCGACGATAGCAGAATTCATTACCCCCAGCTTACCACACATCTTTGTCTATTGAACATCCGCGGCCTTGCAGGAGTCTTTCTCTGGTTCGACGAAGCTGCGCGGCCGATCCGCATCGCACATTCATTCTCCGACGGCTAACCCCAGTAACGCCTACGGCCGATAAGAACCAGCACGACAGACTCTGGAAAGGGAAGATCTCGCTTTTGAGTCTGAGGAAAGCAGAGTGACTCATAGTATAGTGCCTGATTCTGGAAGTATTTCGCGACGCTGGTGGTCCTGGGAGCTATATAAGAAACGCTCCTGCGGCTTCATAACAGTAACACGACCACAAACATCAACACTAAACCTGACAACCAATTGAGGCAACTCCAATCTGAATATCGCCTAGAACGACAAGATGGCAGACATCAACCCTTTATCCTCCTACCCGCTCCCCTCACACGCCTCTCTTCTCTCACAGTACCTAGGCCAGAAGCTGGAAGATCTCCCCACTCCAGCCGTCGTCCTTGACCGCGCCATCATACGACGCAACTGCGATGCCATGCTTAGTATTTGCGCAGAACTCAAAGTAGGGTTTCGTGCGCATGTCAAGAGCCATAAGACCCTTGAACTATCAAAGATGCAAGTCGGAGAAAGCGGTCCGGCAAACTTCATCGTTAGCACGATTGCTGAGGCAGAAAACCTGTTGCCAGAGCTACGCGATGCGCAGGGCAAAGGGAGAGAAGCTAGTGTATGTATTATGAGTTTCATTTCTTGGATACATCTCTAGGACAATTCGCGTCTTTGTTCGCATTCATCTCATTTTTCGGACACCGTCACTCATAGATTTTGCCCAAAGAGTCACAACTGACGCTCATCTAACAAGGTCCTGTATGGCGTGCCAGTGCCTCAATCCGGAATTCCGCGTCTCATCTCCCTAGCCTCGAAATTGCAACCCAGATCTGTCAGTGTCATCATCGACAACGAGAATGCTTTTCTCAAATTCCACGATCGACTCACCACATCGGAGACCAAGGTTGAGATGGGAGTCTTTATCAAGATCGATACTGGCTATAAACGCGCTGGCGTCAAAACCTCGTCTCCCGCATTCCCTTCGCTCGTCAAGACAGTAGTTGAGAAAAGTCAGGAACCAGGATCTGGATGCTTCATGCAAGGCTTCTACTCTCATTTCGGACATTCGTATGCCGGATCCTCGGAAGACGATGCCGCGAATGGGCTCATCGAGGAGCTGGTGGGCTTGGAAACAGCAATCAAGGCTGTCCCAAAAAGCTGCAATGAGAAGTTGGTGCTGAGTGTGGGCGCGACACCCACGGCGACAGCAGCACAGAACATGCTGTCAAGCTCCAGCCCCAAGGTCCGGGAATTCCATAAAGTGCTTGGACGTCTACAGAAAGACCATGTTGTTGAGCTGCATGCTGGGGTGTACCCGGTGCTGGACTGCCAGCAAGTCGCTACACACGCAAGACCATCTGCTTCTAGCGCAGCCACGTCATCCTTCCAGCCTCTCGCTAAATCGAACATTGGCATTAGGATGTTGGTCGAGGTGACAAGCGTGTATAACGAACGATCGAAGCCTGAAGCCCTTGTGTCAGCTGGCTCTCTCGCGATGGGTCGCGAACCTTGCAAGTCCTATCCAGGGTGGGGTACGTAATCTCTATGCCTTGACTGCATGTGAGACATGTACTGACTTCGTACACCGACATTTAGGAATCGTCACACCTGTCCTGGGCAATGCTTCTGCTAAGCACATATACGACGAGCGAGAAGATAAGACGGGATGGATTGTAGGACGCATCAGTCAAGAGCACGGAATTTTGACATGGGAGGGGGAGAGGAGCGAATGCAACGAGTTGACAATTGGTGACAAGGTTATGGTTTGGCCAAACCATGCATGCGTGGCTGGTGCAGGATTCGGATGGTATCTAGTGGTAGACTCGGAATCGGATGGAGATAGGGTGGTGGATGTCTGGATCAGATGGCGGGGCTGGTAAACGAAGTTGATAGCAATCCGAGATAACTCATGCTCTCCATCGTTCTTCATGCCTGGCCTGCGCATGTACTTGGAGGCCTCACGATGCTGACGCGGCCGGTCGTGAGAGGCAGCTGACGACTTTCGCCATGTTTTCTTCCCGCTTGTCATGTATCTTTCTGCTGGCCTTTCTGCAATTCTCGATGCACCCGATCTGTTGTGAGACAATCTGCATTTCGCGATGTATGAGTCCGGTATGGGCGCACCTTGTTCGTTGTGGTCGGATCTCGGTGACGGGATGGAAAGACTACGTGTTGCATCATTTGCTGCTATGGCGTCGCAAGAGGGTAGTTCGTGCCATTGTTTTTTGCAGTCTGGGCCATGTCGATCTAACTTTCTCTCCCTCGGCGGGCGAAAGGCAATCTCTTTCTCAGTGTCAAAAGTATGTCGCACGGGCTAGTGGGTGGAAGGAGCAATTGTCATGGTTGCGACGTGAGGTTTGCGTGTCGCGTGCACTGTGATTGGATGTTGGTGCCTTACTCGTCAGGCACAAGCACGACTTCACAAGTTTGCGCTTGCAGCCCGATTTTGAAACTTCCCGCTGGGATCGGCCAGGCACCATAGCGCTCGTTATACTTACGCTCGAAGCGATTGATGACGTCTGCTGCGCGATGCGCCGTTTCGCTGACTAGAAGATCAAAGCGGGCCATGATTAGCCTCGGCACTTGGTGTGCCCGTGGACGACGACGGCAACATGGCGGGATCGTCGCTCAGGGCAGCCATGGAAAAGCTTGGAGGCGTTGCTTGGTCTGGTACACGCGACTGCATTGCATCTTCTAGCGCACACAGAGGGCCTGGCCTGGCCGGGGTGATGCGTGATGCGTGATGCGTGATGATATGGCCAAAATGCCTGCTTGACACGCTTGCACTCAGCTAAAGGTGGCAACACAGCCAAGGAAACGGATATCTGTAGTGGTGCGCGCCGCTGGGGATAGCCAATGTCAAAGTTTATTCTTGTTTGAGGCTTGCTCGTCTACTTCTAGTCGCGATAGCTGTGTGGTGGAGAGTAGCCATGGCTTCCCCGCCCTGCCTTTGAACACCAACCGTCTCGGGCACTAAGGCATCCGCCAAACTTGTTCTAGTCAAGCCTCCTGCACCACCTGCAGACCTCCTGGCGACCAGAAACCCCCGTCTCTGTGCCAGATCCCCAGGCTGATCTGTGACCTGTGACCTGATGACTGACGAACCGAAGGGGTCGTTGAACCTTGGGACCGTGTCCAGTCTTCTTTCCGCCATCTCCGGCACGTTGAACATTTCCATCCCCTGCGGCGTCGACCCTCTTCACACAATGCCATCCTTCACCATGCGTCTTTAAGAAGGCCCGACGACGACACACCAGCGCCCCCGGACCCTCCCACCCTGTGTTTCGTGCTTATGCGCAGTCCGGGTCCTTGAACTGCGAGTTGCGGCTTGCATTGGCTTTGGCTGTTGTAGCACCATCATAATCCGAGCTGATCGAGAGACATCGACTCGGTACCTCGCCATGGTTCCTTTTCGACGCTTATCGCAGAGGGGCCGTCACAGCTTCGAAGACCGCGACTCCTACGAATGGCAAGACGAACGAGACAAACGCATCATGACGGCCACTTTCCCCATACACCCGCTCTCGTCCATGCAGGCACCCTTTGAGGAGTCCATGCTCGATGCCACCGGCGAGACTGGCCACGTACCCTTCGTCAATCCCAAGAAGAGCGTCAAGACTCGCCAACAAATGCTGTGCAGAGAGGAGGGCGCCTCGGAGCCCTCGTGGAACTTCACATACAACTGTCATTGGAGGAATAATCAAAAAGGCAAATTTCATCCCCTGACAAAGACTGTGGCGCAGATCATTTTCGGTGTCCACCTACTGCATCAGCATCTGGAGAAGTCGGTCGCCGATGTAGCAGATATCCTGCTAAAGCACGTCAACGAGCTTGACAGTTTTCTGCAGCGTGCGAATGAAGACCTGGAAAGCAGCATGAAAGACATGCTCTTCCGGCATAAATGCTTAAAAGTGCCCATGGAACACGTAAACGAATTCGATCGCCTCCTCGAAGACCGTTCGTACCGCGCCCAACTTCTCGACGGCAACATCGTAATCGAACGTACCATCGGGCGCATGTCGCAACTGCTCAACGATTACCTGATTGATATAAACGTATTTCGCGAAGCCAACCAAGAACTCGACTTGTATCTGGGCGACGTAGGGGACGCGTGGACATACCGCAATGAGGATATTGGGCGCATATACTCGGCCATGTGTGGCAATACCGGCGGCTGGTCGCAGTTTTTGCAAAGCCTTGTAGCAAAGGCTGAAAGACTGGGTGTTGTGCTCGTACAAGTGAGCAGCTACTGCAATGAGATTGAGAAGCGCTGTGGTGCCGCAAGTCGCCGAAGTTTGGTATGGCCGCCTATGATCTTCTACTCCGTCTCAGCATCGCCAGCCGGACTCTATGCCTGAGCTTTGTTAACGACTTTAGATTGCAACGCGTACGTCGTCACGAAATTCATCCAACTCCCGCGAGGCACGTCCGTTTCGAAACTTTGCCAACAACAAACCTCTCCCTACACCTCCACCCGAGCGTCCACCATTCATGAGCGCTTCGACTTCTGGTAGGGAGACGCCCGCTAGTTTCGGAACCCCCCAGCGGCATTCGACCATAAGAGCAAGACCTCAACAACAGCCCGAGATCACGAACGTGTGTGATTCCGCCACTGAGACGCCAAAACGAAGCGAAGACTCCTCTTCCGCATCAGCTGTTTCCAATGCTGATGTGGATGTGCGACGCCAGGCCAACCAGTCGGGATACTCCCGTGATGCCTGGCACAACGAGGAGCAACGTGAAAGAACGACACCGCAGGCAGAGTCTAGTCGTACAAGTCAGCTCTTAGGACATCAGCATAAAGTGTCTTCGCCATCTAATCTATCCGCAGAAGAGAGCTCACCGGCAACGAAACGTCTATCAGCCAAACCGCAAAACGGCGATTATAGCCCGCCTTTGACCGGAAAGGACTCGGCGTATTCTTCTGTATCAGGCGCATCGGCCATGACACCGGGCTTCCCGTCGCCACGCTCAGTATCTTCCATGTCCTCTCGACAAACTGCGCAATTTGGTCTATTCCCCAGCAGGAACCTAAGCACGCCGAAAGGTTCGATATCAAGTCGACTAAGTGCCAGCTCTCCTGCGTTCGATCGTTCAGAACAGCATCCTAAACCTGCAGATATGCCAAGCCGTCCGCCGACCTCTCTGTCCACCTTCTCAGATGCATCGACCAAGCGGCTATCGAAGCGAAGTAGCTTCTCATCTCTCAAACGGCTATTCACCAAGAAGAAATCTGGCGATATAGGTCCTATTGCTGAGTGATACCCCCCTAGTTTGATCTTTGTTATTCCTTGTGCCATCCTTGGTCCTGTTGTTTGGCGTTGCAAGGCTATATACCCCTTTGACTCTGCGTTTCTGTGTATTGCGCAATCCAAATCTCATAGTCTCTACCGTGGTTCGTGCCCGGTCTTCCCGGTGGCTTGCTGGGGCTTCTGGATGTATATATTCTTGTTCGCGTAGATTTGATGCGGTAACGAACAATGTGCAATGGCTTTGGTTTCGCATGCGGAGATGGTTGCACCAGAAGGCACAGTCATGCGGATGACTCCGGAGATACGGTTGCCCGTTTTGCTCGCTGGGGATAGTTTGCGGCGGTCGTTGGGTACTGTGTATATCTTGCGTACAGTGGGCAGGCGACGCGCGGGAAGGAAGCGCGATGAGATACTGGCTGCTGGCTGTTTTGTTGGTGTCTCGCTCGGTGCTCCTTACGCACAAGTAGGTAGGGGCCAGTCTCATATACATCTCTGCCACTGACTTTTTCTGCGTCTTTTCTGCATTCTTTCCATCGTCGGTATCCATGCCTCCTCCTCGAGAAATCTTAGTGAGGTAGCTCCTGTCGTAGTAGACGTGAAGTAGGCGCCAGTCTCGCCATTAAAACAGCGTCCCCACCGAGCCTCCTCCGTCTCCTCTACCTCCCCCACCACAACACCTATATTCTCAACACCACTCTCCTTTTGGCGGAGATGTTGGTGAAGGTTGTGTAAAGGTCACTCGCTTTCGTCTTTCTTGGATATCTGCCACCTTGTGCAGTATCGCCTCTTTTTTTTTGGTCATACCAATAACTCCTACATCTTTCTACAGCACCGCAATCAAGAGAGCAACAGCCGTGACAGCGTCGCTCTCGCCCTGCGTACAGCCTTTGATTACTCTCTCCCGCTCGGCATCTCTCACATCAACAGCACTATGCTGCTCTCTGAGCAAGATCCGAACGGCGGCGGCCGCATGTCTCGAGCCTCCAACATCTCCGCCCTGAGCCGAACATCAGGCAAACCCGTATCGCGGGCACCTAGTTCTGAGATCCCACCTGCTCTCGATCGCGGTGTTTCGTCCATGCTCCGCACTGGGACCGAGATGGGCAACGTCGGCATCGGCGCCCAATTTGACGACCTGTCTGGCATTAATAACATGCAGCGTCCTATACGCTCGCGCGCAACCAGTAGGATGTCGACAGCTTCTTCCATGTCCAACGCGTCTAGCCGAGCTAGCAGGCAGCTTCGTCACTTCCCTTTGTCCTCTTCCGCACCACGCCAGCCAATGCTGCATTACGGGCAGCAGTATGTCGCTGATACGCTCTCTCCAACGACGATGAACGCCGCCAGCTCATCACCTTTCAACGGAAGGGACAACCGCGACAGGGACTCGCATCGCTCCCATTCTATGACGCATACTATACAGCCACCGAAGTACGGCCTCGTGAGCAACAGGTCCCTTACTAGTCTGCGCCCTCAGCCAGCATTTCGGTCTTCGAACTCGTACAACTATCCAATCTCATCGGGGGGCGGGCTCAGGCCGCCTGGTTCATACCAGAGATCGGTCTCACCCGTCCTGGGCGACGACACCAGACTACCCCCACAGGGATCACAAGCCTACGACGACGAAAGACTGTCTTTTGCTGGCCCACTGCAAGGTTACAACAACCCAGTACGCACATACTACAACCATCCGCAGCAGCATGCTGGACAGGGGCAGGAACATCGTGGCTTCAGCAACCGGCATAACCCAGGGCAGATGAGAGCCATGAATCCATCTTCCCAATCTACAATGAGTCTCGGAAATCGTGCCGTGGAGGATGACGGGTTCCCTGTCTATGGCGGACCAGATCAGCTCAGGCAAACACAAAACTTGAACAATGGGCATCCCATCTCTCGTAAGGTTCTAGGCAACTTCATCCGCGAGCCTCGCTCGGAAGATCGAAGGGACGATAGGCGTAGGGGTAGTGACTTTCGTTCGGAGGCTCCACCCTTGCCGGTCGACCACAAGCACCGCATTGCCGTCGAACAAGCTAGTCTTAAGAGGTCTGCGCCTGCTTCCATTTCCAGTTTTAACACAAACTTGCGTACCGACTCAGACGCACCATCCTCCGACATGGCCCTACCGCCAACTCCGAAAGATGGTCACCTCATGGAGGTGCACCGTAGCCTCGATAGAACCAAGGTTTTCAAGGTCGCCAATACGAACCGCATTGTCATCACAGAGGAGCCTTCATCGGCGCCATCCTACGGGATGAATGGACAGCTTGAACGCAATGAGCCTGAAGACCCAGGAGCCGAGACTATCCCTGTTGGCTTCATGGACCGGACCAAAACCATCGCCGAGCAGTTTAGCCCCACTGGGGCGGTATTGAAGAGTGATCCTTTTTTAGGACAAGAGGCACAACCAATGTCGATGGAGGTCGTGTCTCCCCAGTTATCAAACATCGACCATATCGCAAACGACGTTGCGGAACTCCCGGCGTCCCCGGTAGCTCGCCGTATCACGAGGAATTTGATCCTAAGTGGACTAGAGGCTTCAACGACGGACGATATCCAGTCTTCCATCAAGTCAACAAGCTCTTCGGGGCAATCTCTATCGCCACCAAGAAAGCCCCTAACGCCATCAAAAAGGTCACTTATTCCAAGGCCTCTGACCCCAAGGTCCTCGACACTGTCAAAGACCAATAAGTCTACTCATTCTGACCACCTACCTGTTGAGAAGTCATTTGCATCTGATATGCTTTCCAGAGCCACGCCGGATCCGACAGACAGCCGACGTAATCGTGGTAGTATCTTATCAGAAACGGGATCTAGCGTCCTTGACTCGTCCACTCTTGAATTCGCAGTTCGACACTCCATACCAACAGCCAAAGGTGGTGGCTTCGGAAATGAGCCTGGTGTCCAAGCCCATGTTGTCACAAGCATTGCAAGCCCCGGCCACAGTACCGAGGATGGTATGTCGGATGTTCTTGCAGGCTACCAAGGAACCGATTCTAAGAATGAGACCGACGCTCTGGTACAAGGTGGGATGACCAAGAAAGATAAGAGCGATGGGCAAGAGCATACGGACGTTTCGACAGATCAGGATATGAAACTGTTGCCACTTGCCCTTCGTTCTAGAAGCAGCCATGTCCAAAAGTCGTCCGATGAGTTGTCCTTCAAGTCGTGTACAGATCTGCCAGAGGCATTCTTGGAGTCAGCATCGTTCCAGCCAAGGAGGAACCTTGACGAGGATTCTTCTGCGTCCGCGATCGATGTCGCGCCTCAGCGAGATGGGCCTTTGAAGGAATTAGATGCCTGCTCTTTTGCGACTGCCGCAAGTCCTATCCGTGCTACTTCTGTACCGCCGTCTCGATTCCCCTCGTCCAACCTAGGGAACCTGGTCATGAGCCAGAGCAGGGCGACTACTGAGATGCCTTTGTCTAAACCATCCTCTATTATACTTCGTAAACAGCCGCCGGTACCCCACCGAGAATCAAGCTTCTCGATCGTGGCGAACAAACTGCGGACCAGCTCAAAGCAGAGTATGAAGCAAGGCTCGGTATCGGTATCTGGTTCATCATCCACGCTTAGCACCACGCACCTGCCGCCAGTGGTCCCGCCTCGGGAGTCTTCTACTTCCAAGGAAGCTCAACGTGTGCACGCTGCAGTCTCTTTCTTGATGCGTCCTCTACCATCGCGCTTTGTTAGGCCTCGGAAGAATTTCGATCAAGAGGATCTGCCGAGGTCAGATGAAACGATTTCAACTGTTCGTGACTCGAATCAAGATACGAGCGGCGCCTCAAGCTTCAATGGGGTTGTAAGCTCACCACCCCCTGTCGTGGAGGTAACTACGACATCAAAAGTGACATCGTCCAAGCCAAAAGGGGTACCTGCCGCGAAGATGCGGATCATCACTTTCGATACTCCGGAAGCCTGCAACCTTTACAAGATCCTTGGTAGCAGCCCGATTCCTGTTGCGCAACAAAAAGCTTTCAACAGCTCAGATTCTGCCATTATCGAACCCTCATCTGTGTATTCGATCCAGGATAGCTCTTCAAGTTCCCATGTAGACCCTGCGGATGGAGTTGCGGCGACCCCGGAACCTAATCGTCGCGACAGCCAGACTACCACACATATAGAATGGCATCGCTATGCGTCTTCTGCTACAGGTGGCGGAGCTCAGCAAGTGCCGCTGCGGCCGCCAAGTGGTATTGGAGCTCATCTCGACTCTTCGTCCTTGACTCCCTTGACCAATATTCAAGAGGATACTACAACGGTCCTCAGACTGTCCGGGTATAGGTATCCTGGCCCTTCGCGTTATCTGCCTGACCTGAAAGAGGAGTCGCATGAGGACTCGAGCCTCAACACGAGTGCGAGCAACCTGAAGAGCTCGAGTTTCCGTTTTCCATTCGGGGCGCCGTCGGGTGTTAGGGCTTCGGGAGAGGATCCGGTCAACTTCTCGAGAAGATCGTCTATGGTGTCGCATCGCCGAAGTGTTATTGGTAGCAATGTCGGCAGCACACTTGGCCTGGCACACGGCTTACCTTCGATGCGATTTAGTCGAATGAATCTGTTTGATGGTCTGACCGACGAGCTTGGCCTTCGCTACTCAAGGTCAATGGAGGAGGTGCCCAATGCGTCGCAGAGGTTGAGCAGAGGTAGTCCGTTGCGGCCTGCATCAGCGGGTGATGTCACAGGTCTGCGCCTTTCTCTCGCCGAGTTGGATGAGGCTCAGCGCTCGAGGTTGTCAAGGCAGCTTACTGCCATGATGAACTTGTTCGCCATGCATCGTGCGCGTTCGCCGGAGCTTATGGCGGAGATTGAGCGGCTTACTATACCTTCTGTTGGAAGGCTCACACAGCGCTTCTCGGAGTTCTTCCCGTCGTTGAGGGAGTACTATCAGTGTGGTGACCCGGTTGAGTTCCCAATCGAGGAAGAGATTAAAAAGCACGCGTTGGATGAGATTCACGAGATCCATCCGACGCAAAAGCGCTCCTATGCTCGACTTCGTCCCATGCGTGGAGTATCCCACATGGTTGTCATCGAGGATGATCTCTACATTGAGATTACGAGCAAGGAGAAGGGACATGGTAATCCAAGCCGTCCCGAAGATAGGGTTACTGCAAACAGCGCTAGTGAGGCAGATTCATTTGCGGATAAGTCGACCTACGAAGACGACGTGACTAGCACCCCAGCACACAACAAAACAGCTCCGCTTCTAGAGCTTCAAGTTCCGTCACCTGTTGTTCTACGCCCACACTCCCATACAGTCGGTCCTCAAGAGCTTCGCATCTCAGGGGATTCGGCTCTGTCATCAAGAAGGTCTTTGAGATCGATTGTTTCCACGCCTACAGCGACCGAGACGCGTCCTTGGAACTCGGACAAGAACTATCCTTGGGCAACGTCAACAAATCCCGCAATCGACATCTCTCTCCCTTGTCCACCCGCTGCAAAACACTCCCCTCGCCCTGGTCCCTCTCATCTCCGCAACAGACTCTCTGACACGTCTACTGCAAGTTCCTTTTCGACTGCGCAGACAGCTACAGCATCGCCCTTTGGGTCACCATCCGACAGCACCGCACACGCAAGTCATCACCGCTTCAGCGCCTTTGGCCGTAACGGTGATCAGTCGCACGCAGTTGGAGAACGCTATCCCACATCCGCTTTGTCTCCACCTACAGCTATCTTCCGCGATCACCTCTCTGCCTCGGATACTTCTGACGACGAGCATTACGATACCACGCACAAGACCAGGCTCTCGCTGCGCAAGCGGTTTTCGTCAACTCGCAAAGCTACGTTTGACAACCAAACAAACACTCGAGCTGGCAGGAGCAAGACTAAAGCACAGGATCTTGCTTCGCCCGAGTCCACCAAGCCGTCAACAAATTCAATCCTCCAGGATTGTGTTGACGAAGCTCAAGCGTTCACGTCATCCACTACCGCAAACCGGCATACCTTCCGTGACGCGGAGGGTATGAGAGCAGTTGACTACCGCAAACAACGTATCATCGACCGCATCAAGACTTGGTGGCACAAAGGCTCGCACCTGATCAGACAACTGTCAACCCGCAAGCAGTCCACTACTACTGGTGCTACAACTGCCTAACAGCTATCACCATGGATATCGAGTTCACCCTGCTTATCACTCCCTGTGGCCGGATCTACGTGATCCACCACAATTTCCGACAGCGCTACTTGTATCCTCCTAACACTCCCCCCTCCCCTCCACCGCCGCCGCCCAACACGCCAGAGCGGCAAGAGGAGACGAACGTTGGCATGCTTCTTCTGTACTTGGCGGCATCTCGTCTTCGTCACCCTTATCACTCCCACTCGTGCGGGTTCTGAAAGGCTTTTGGTGGTTCTTGGCGGATTTCCCCCTCTATGAATCATGTATACTAGGATATGGAAATGGGTGGTCTTCACGGGGATATGACACATGGTCTTGAAAGTTCATAGCTAGCTGACGAGCACTTCATAGTAAGAAAGTCCGGATTATATAAAACAATGTCTTACTTGATGACATGTGATGTCTGTAGAGCCACAGTAGTCGCTTGGATACCTCAACATCTTAACACATGTACATGGTGACTGTGTTGAAGATGTACAGGCCTCGTTGTCAGATTTGAGGTTGTGAGTCAATAATGCTGTGAAGGTCTACGGACCCGGCCGTGGCACATGGTATCATGGAGGTGGATACGGTGATGTGCAGCTCTCCATCTACTATGGTTCTAGCTACAAGTCGACACACGGGGCTTCGAAGACTACCAGGCCACTGTTTTAGAACTTGAACGAGCGTCAAGTAATGCGTTGAAGGCATACAGGCGTCGTTACGGAAGATAGAAAGATGGACGGAGATATAGTATATTGAAGTGCTTCATTGTGACTCTTTAGATCCCATCACATAAGACCGACGCTCCATCTACAAAAGTGCATACGTGCAGTGACTAGCTTCAAGGGTTACTCACCACAGCGAGTGCGGTTCTATCCCATTTTCCACTCACTTTCGCAGCACATGGTGTATGAGGGCAGCGCGCTTGATCTTGTTGCGGTCTATGCGAATATTTGGAGTGGTAAGTAAACAAAACTCTACGACATGCTAACGGCAACGGTTGATATTGCACTAAGCGGGAGTTTGAAATCATCTCTGCAGCAGTACGGACATATCAGGGCGGAAGAAAGAGGGCGTGATCGTGCGCTCGAGAGAAAATGGGGCTATCACACACATTGATGCCCCGAATACTCCACGTATTTTCCTTATTCATAGCGATAGGTGATCATGTTCGTAAGCCACCACGAGCTGGTCCTCTAGCAAAATTCAAACATGTGTGGGGTGTGCAGTCTATCATATTTGGCTCGAATAAGCCTCTCACGATCAAAAGCACACATCTCCAATGTAATAGGCAATCGTGTCTGAATCATTCCATTTCGTGTATATCCAGCTTCTAGAGCTGTTCATAACCACCTGTCTGTTCAGACCCTTGACACTCCTTAATAACCCTTGTACGGACCAAGCCCTTATGCGGCGATGGTAACCTCAACCTCGACACCGGCCTCGATGTTGATGATGATCTGCTTGACAACCTCGGTGGGAGCGTGGAGGTCGATGAGGCCTAAGGTCGCGATTAGCTGCTGTCCAATTGACTGTCTAGAGCGGTATGCACTTACGCTTGTGGATGCGCATCTCGTATGTGTCCCAAGTCTTGGAACCCTCACCGCAAGGGGTCTTACGGGTGGTGATCTTCAAGTGCTTGGTGGGCAGACGGACGGGACCCTTGACGCGGAGCTCCTTGTTCTTGGCACGGTCGATGAGCTCCTGGCAGACTTTCTCGAGGCTCTTGACGTTGCGGGAGGTGAGGGTGATGCGGATCTGGAGACGCAGTCAGTAAACAGCGTCGTGCGCATCGAATTGAGGGGAGACTTGCCTTGTGGATCTTGGGACCCTCACCGAAGTCCTTCTCGGGCTTGTTGTAAGACATCTTGTCGGGTTGGAGTGTTGATTTGTTGTAGGTACTGAGTTAGATTCCAGTCACGACCTGGATCCTCGATCGCGGTAATGTGATGACTGGGGTGGCGTTTAAATTTGCGACGGCGTTCAAAGTCGTTAAATTCTTCGCGATGCGCAATTTGGATCTGTGGGCGATGAGCGCCAAGATTGCGGACGCTAGAGTCGCATCGGGTATCGCTCCCTTTTGATCGTTCGGCAGGCGGGCCCATGAGCCATCATGACTGCATGACTGCAGACAAACACCAGAAATTGAACCCTTCATAATCTCCTCTCATTACTGCTACAGCACGCTGCATCTCCCAACTCTATCTCCACCTCGAATTCACTGCATATCCAATAGTAATGTCGCTACCCCACTTCGCGCCTTTTCCAGATGCAAAAGTCAGAAAGAGCATACTTCCCGACGAATGGCAATTATACCTGGATTCCTGGACTTCGTTAGCTGAGCTGTACCTGAGACTCGGGGATCAGCAGTTCTCGGCAGCAATCAAAGAGGATGGCTCACTAACACAGTTTCTACTGTCTTTCTTCCATGAGCTGGCCCTGGACGATGAGCTAGCATCCAAAGTTGCGTCATTGCGAAAGAAGAATTTCTTTTTATTACACAGGATCCTTTCAAGGGGTGAGATACCCAATTCTTTGCTCAGCTGGTCAACTCTGTCCGATGTTTGTCATGCATATACCAAAAGCGAGCAGTTCCGTACGCTCTTGCAGGGAGCCTGGAGACGAAACGGTGCCGTAATCGAGAAGTCATTACAGACTGCGAAAACATCTTTCATCCGGAATCTGGAATCTAAGCGACCGGAAGAGGCCGAGAAGACACTTGATCGAATCGCACCTCTTCTCAGGGCTTCGTCAGACGCCAGCATCTTCATGCTCACAGGGTCCGATTTCCTCGATTCTTTGCTTGCCGCGTACCCACAAGTACCGCAGTCAATGCAGAAGAAGCTAGTCACGACTGCATATATCGGCCTCATAGCTGCACTAGAGGGACCAAAGCCTAATTATTCGTTGCTTTCCGATCATTTGTACAGCCTGAAATCCAGCGAAGAGCAGGATCAAAAGAATGGGCCTGGGAAAAAGACGTTGGTTGCTGACCTTGTCACAAACACACCGTTGCTCGAGAAGATCAGAGAAAAAGCTACTACTCCGGAAGCTGCAAGAGTAAAGAATACTGCAGCATCATTAAGCACATTTCGGCAATCCGCTCTAGCTCGACCAAAGAGGCTAATTCGACGGAAAGTAGATAAAGGCAAAGCAAACGCGGATCAAGATAGTTATGGACATGGAGCATTCACTGGCGAGATTCATGTTCATCGCATGAGTATGATCAGTCAAATACAGGACCTCTTTCCAGATCTTGGTGCAGGCTTCATTGTGAAGTGCTTAGACGAGTATAACGAAGACATTGAGCAGGTCACTGCGCATCTCTTGGAAGACTCGCTGCCCCCACATCTCTCCGAGGCAGATCGGAGCGAGAAGCTGTAAGTTTTGTCCTTTGATATCGCGTAATCCTGATTCTAGGCATCGGCACTAACGAATTCTAGGCCTACACCAGCGACATCTTCACAACCGCTGCCACCACCGAGATCAAGCCAGCATATTCCAGAACGGCGCAATGTGTTTGATGGTGATGAGTTTGATAAGCTCGCAGTTGACACATCTCGGCTTCACATGGGCCGAAGGGGTCAAGATCTGAACGCTGATAAAATTTTGTCTGACCGCAGTAAAGCGCCCGCCAAGTCAGCAATCATGGCAGCTTTGGCGGCCTTCGATTCGGATGACGATGAGCGTGATGACACATATGACGCGGAAGACGTTGGTGCGTCGGTCGACACTGCCGCGCATGGCCCTGGCGAGGACGCCGACCTTGGTGACAAGAATGAAGAAGCCCTGTTCCGCGCCTACACCATGACACCCGAGCTGTTTGGTCGTGATTCAGAGCTAAGGAGGGGCAAGGCTAGAGCGGCCCTCAAGAACGAGACCGGTATGACCGACGAGGCGATCGAAGGTTGGGCCATTATGATGGGACGCAACCCCAGGCAATTACGGCGACTTGAAGCGAAGTTTTCCAATTTCCAGGGTCAGCAGCGGGAACTTCAATCAACAGCATGGCGGGATAGCCCGGCAGGGTCTGGTGATGAAGCTAGTGGTGACGGGCAAGGTGGTCGTGGCGGAAGAGGCGGCGGCGGCGGCGGTAGGGGTAGAGGTAGAGGTCGCGGACGTGGTGGTCCAGGTGGTGGACGTGGTGGCGCTAGCGTCGCGGGTCCTGCTGATGACAAAGGCACGCAGATATCGCGGCAACGAAAGGAGGCCAACAAGGGCTCAAGCGCGAACCACAACCGCAAGGCTCAACGTGGGAAGAAGATGGCTCGAGCAGGATTTCCGGCCAGTTGATGGAATTTTGTATCTGCACAAATCTGTAGCCTATGGAACATGGTACATGTCTTCTTGCGCATCGCGCTTAGAAACGCCCATTGATAGTGCGATTATGACTGAGGTCTAGAATCAGAGAACTATACACTCTTCCATACTCGATCATCACACAGCTGCTCTTGCAGTTTCAAACCACAACAGCAACTCAAAGCAAAAAAATGGTGTAGTAATATCAGGAGTGTTACCAATATCTGCAGCGTTCGCCATATGAAACAACCCCGCACTTAAACCCAAAATGTTACCCAAGCCACCCACCCCCTCTGACAACCAAAAAAAAAGACACACGTCTGATAAGCTCTCCGACGGGGAATCGACTGTTGCACGATTAGAACAAGTTTATCACTACTCGTAATTGGTTTGCACATACACCCCGGTCTCCCGCGCTTGTAATCCAGAAGATTTGACAAGCGGAAATCATGACCACTAGACCATCGAAGATGTTGCTGTTGTCATAGTATGACGTAAGCAGATGGTTGTTTGTATGATGAAAGGAAGGGGAATTTTTGCATATATGAACCCCCAAATGCTTTCGTGATGGGTTATGCCCTGGTGCCCATCCGATACAGCGCTTGCGATTGGTCAGGATGCGGGTTCTGCTGAATGATGATTTAGTGATGCAATCCGGACTTCCCGACATCAGCCAGCCAGCCAGCCAGCCAGCCAGTCAGGGGATGCGGGGTCATGAATGTGACATTAGTTGGCTGATGCTGCGAACCTCAAGAACGTACGGCTGCGCAGAAACACTAGTACCAAATACAACGGCAGTGTATTATAGTAAACATGGGAGAGAAAATATCCTAGGGCTTCTAACTCTTATCCACCTTTTTTTTTTAGAGTGCGAGAGGCAAACATTTGCCCCTTTATCCGCTTCTGCGCATACGAAGACGCTGATTCGTCAGGCTTCTGGGCGTAGTTCGGACGCAAGAGCTTGTGCATTTCTCCCCCAAGTGAAAGTATCGGGGCTCCTCAAAGGCATCATCAACTCACCACGCTTCGCGTTGCGTATTTTATTTGCAAACATCTGGTAGCGGTCGGCTTCACTAGAATTTACATGAGTTCATGATCGATGCATTTAGTCACAATTTGTCGTCATGTCCGTAATGTTATTGCATCTACCTAATGTTCAGTGCGCATCCTGCGCTACCTCGAGTATCCTCGTGAAGTCATAAGTATCGTACACATCCTCGATGCCAGGCCAATGTAAGATGCAGCGTCACTGTTCAAAGTGGTCGCAAGTGCCCATTGTTGTACTTCCAAAGCTGCTCCAGGCATACCGCAGCAGCAACATACTTCCAGCTCTTCAAACTCCGGTAGTTTTCCCAGCCATCTGTTTCCAACGCTACCATGAAGCATGCGACTGAACGTGGCAATGCTTCCGAATCATCATCATCAACGTCCCAGTCTGCATCACCCTGAACAATCCTCCTGGTCATGTTGCTAACGTCACGATTGAAGCGCTCTTGGACCTCGAGGTTGGCCTCGCGGATGTAGCGGGATGATGCGCGCTCTTTCTTGCCAAGGATGTTACCGCTAAACACCTCAAGCTCGGTGAGAGGCTGGCCACGAGTCGGACGAAGCGTGTCCATAATCTCGAGCAGATTCTCCTCGTATGTTTCACGGAGTTGTTCGGCGAAATCCCAATGATGTTCCCATTGCACACCCCGGATTTCTCGGATCACATATCGCTCAAGCTTCTGCACCAGAGACTCGCCACCCCAGCGGCGACGAAACGTTTCAAAATCATTCTTCATCCTATCGAAGAACTTCTTCTCATCAATGTCGCGATAGAGGACTCCTAGGATTTTATTACTTCGATAATACCGGGCTCGTGCTTTATCTGCGTCAAGCACACTCACTCCATCAGGATCGTCGATATCTTCACCCTCTAGCTCTTCTAGTTCAGCTGCACCCATCTCGTTGATGACTAGGTTTGATCCAGGCGCCATAAAATCTGGGCGAATATGATCAGTACCTCTCGGTATCTGGGCCATCTCGGCAGGAATGCCAGACTTGCTAAAGTCAACGGCGTCGGATGCGAGCTTGGCAAGAAGCATACACTCTGCATCTCGAGTCCCAGCAGGCGCTTTGTCTGCGCGGATCTTGTGCTTGTTCGAGATTTGGCCTAACCGATCCATGTTCATATATTCGATAAAGAAGTCAACAATATCATTAGCCTCTACCGGACGCCCTAGGTCTTTGGCCGGTGTCGATGGATAGTCTGCAGGAGGCACGGTAAAGTCAGGAACGAGTCGCGGATCGTTGATGATGTGAAAGAGATCTCCGTCGAGGTCTAATTGTGGGTTTACGAAGTCAGTACCTCCTCACACGCAGTTCATACAGGGACATTACTTACCACCACCGCTCAGCTGTGAAGGCAGGTCTCGTAGGCCTTGTTGCGAGAAAACGACGCAGTTATGAAGTGCACGGAGGGGTGAGTTGTCCGGAACATCGACAGCGGTAACAAGCTGGACGTCGCCTGGATGGAGCGCTGGTGCCCTGGTAATCACCACCCGATCACCAACAAGAGTAATTTTCTTTAGTATACCACTTGTATTGTAGTCTTGTGTCGCGATATAGACTTCACCTTCGCGCAGGGTATTCGTCTCATCCATGATGCCGTAGAGTAGGTAGCCTTTTGCGACAGGAATTCGTGCACGATACTTCAAGCTCCGCAGATTTGACATGGCTGCAACCTCTACAATATCGGTCAGAAACCGATCTGCGTGGAAAGACAGATTAATCTGATGCATCAGCTCGAACAGCCTTGGAACCTTGGCGAACACGCCAGAGTGCGAGTATTCTGACAATTGTCAGTATAGTCTTTACATAGTGCCTCAACCCGACATTCAAAAGACCAAAGTCTATGATGGTCTCTGGATCCGGTACGTTGGGAGAACTCACCAAGAAAACTCGCCGCATTGATTGGATGCTCCGTTATGCGCTTCAAGGTATTGACTGCTTCGTCCTGCACCGCCTTGAAATTCTTTGCCTGGACACCAAGATCTTCTAGGATCTTAATGAACTGATGGTTAAGGAACACCGACAAAGGTTTGTAGGCAGCTCCACAGAGTTCAAGATCTTGCCAGCTTTCATTGGCGATATACTTGGTCATGCTCTTTCGAACGTGTAGCTGCTCGCCTGGAAGAGACTCATCGAGCGACAAGACACCCTTCGCACCTCGGTAGCGTATCTGTAGTATGGTCGGCCTGTGTTGTCTTCGATCCGGAGGTAAGGCCCTCCACACTTTGCGGATCAATTTGTAAGAAATCGTTCCGCAACCGTCGCTAAATGTCCGACCATTGCGCACAATGTCGTCCTTGGTCTCGGTGACTAAGGCAGTTGGTGGAATTGGAACGGAAAATATGGTGTCTACGTTTTGGTGTACGCAGTCAGTTCATGTTTCACAGACGGTCTGTACAGGCGCGTTACTTACCAGAAAAGGCTTGGCCAATTCTGCGGAGGTGGAGATAATATGTCAGTACATGTCTCATGCATTTTGTACGGTCGCAACTCACCTAGCCGCGCATTTTGCGCTGCAATGAATGTGTGTAAAGTCGCCTAAATCACGTATAACATCTCTTGCGCAAACGATCACATCATCCTTCGCGAACGGAGCCATGAACCAAGCTTGATGGGTACGAAGTGAGGCGTGGGAAAATCCGAGAAACTGGAAATTCTGTCCGGCTACTGAGATACCAGCCCGAAGGATGCTTCGAAAACGTTCGTACACCGTTTCCTGCGAAGCTCGTGGATCGTGAAATACCGACAACCCGTCCTCGTCGGCGAAGAATACACGCATGAAATACTTGCTGTGGGTGTCGTATTTTCTCAAGATACGATTGGAGACGCCCCAGTCAGGGCCGCGCAGCAAGATACCTAGATGTAGTTTTAGCTATCTAATCTGGGATGTTTACGATTGTGATGTGTAGAGAAGCGCATACCTGTAGGTGTGATTATGGCTTTATAAGTCAATACGAGGTGATGCTTCTTCTGCTTGACATTCAAATCTCGGGAAACTTCTTCAAGGGCTTCGATGTCTTTAATGCTCTCATTGAGAAAGGCCACGAGTGTACTGATTTTGAAGTTGTCCGCTTGAACTCTTGGAGCGGGTGTAGGTATCTGCTGTCCGAGACGACGAACTGCCCTCGCAGTAAGGTCGGCACCATACTGCCTAGCAATACGTTGCACATGCGGTATGAGTTCTATCATCTTGGATGGAGTAATCGTACCCTCTAGCACGAGCGCCGTTAGTTGATAACGAACCTGGAAAGCGAAGGATGCTGGCACAGAAGGGCCGTAATCGCGAAGCTTGTTTTCGACAACCACATACTCAGCCTCGATGCTGCTCGTCTGGTTGGGGGGGACCATGGTCTTCCAACAGTATGCTTTCTGTACCGAGAAGTCCTTAACGAAGTTCCAAGCAAATCTCGTGGTTTGAGTGTCAGGAAAGGCAATCTTGTATACCATACACAAAGCGGAGTTCTTATCATTCGATTTGCTCAACGTGCAGAGCCTTTGCAGACGAAGGACCTTTTTCTGTGGCCTCATATTGAGGCTCGCTAACATGGAGGAGATGTCGTTCGGTGCTTGCTCGCCGGTATACAGGTGTAGGTCATCGGTCGACTGGATATCATAGAATTTCGGAGGCGACTTGAGAGTGAATGTAATCGTTTCGTGTTTGTCTTTGTCGGCCGACGGAATCGTGTGCTCTATGATTGCGTAGGGAATGTCGATTCTGCAGTGCCAGTTGAAGGGTTCGGCAGTACCTGCTTGGAGGTATATCTGGATAAGTCAGTGAGCATACTTTTAGCATTATAAACAATCTCGGAGAACATGCTTACCACTAAAGCACTTTTGCCAAACGTGATGAAACCTTTTCTTCCATCCTTGAACTTCTGATCGAACACGAGCTTGCCGAAGTGATTATAATTCCAAACACCTGTCATCAAGGTACGAAAAGACAGCGTTGATCGCCCTGAAGGCCGCTCAAGTTTCATTATAGGTGCCTGGCTTCTGATCTTCAACCTCTCCGCCTCTTCTTTCTCTTGTAACGACTTGATCTTGAGTGGATCAAATTGACCAGGCTTGTTGTTTAGGCGAAACTCGAGCCGTTGACCTTGGAATTCCAGAGGCTGGCGCGCTGCGCGACGTCCCTGACTGCCATAACGTTGTAAGAATTGCTCTCCATTGCTTGCGCTCGGTATGGTGAGTATGGCGAAGTAGGGTTTTCCATTGTGTCCCCCATACTTTCGGATGTCAAACGCAAGCACGTCTAGTTTGAGAAGTAGATCTTTCAAGAAGATCCTCAACTCGATGTCGTTAGCGTTCTTGGGTACCTAGATTCGTGGTATCTGGTTAGCGAATGGTTTGTTATTCGCGCCCGATACTAGCTAGTCTAGTGCCACGCCCCGGGGGCTATCAGCCTTGTTTCAGCATGGTGACTTACCTTTGGAATATAGATATCCATCGTGAATGCCTACTGCGCCTCGAAAGGCTGGTCCGCAAGACGGAGAGCGAGAGATCTAGTAGCTGCACCAAAGATCGCGAAAGCCAGGTAAAAGTGTAGGCGACCCAAGGCAAGAAGAGGATACAGCTCGCAGCGAGTTGGCCAATTAGGAAAGTGGGGATGGCGCCAAGGACCGCGAGAACCCGTGGACGCGTCCTCACGTGCGGGGTTTGGCTTCACTTTGGATTCGAAGCACGACGAATTACTCTTTCGACGTCCCTTACACCCTCTCATCTCTACTCATACAATGCAGCCATACGCATCTGGACATACCCCCACGCAGTCACAGGCTCATATCTCTTTGGCTTCTCCTCATTCCAACATCCCGGCAACGCATCAATAATCGTATCCATGTTCGGTGTCGCAAACACAGGAATCGAGTAGCGATCTGGTACTACCACTTTCCTGTCATTACCTTCTGTGGCATTTTGAAGAGCGAGCGGTAGTCCAACACGATGCACACTACTTTTCCAGCGATCATTACTCCACCTTGCCATTAGGTCCCCAATGTTGACTAACACGGTGTCTTCAATAGGCTCTGCCGCGCGGAAAGTACCTGGTTCGGCGGGATTCTCTACTTCTAATCCTCCGACGTTGTCTTGGAATAGCAGGGTTAGAGTGCCAAAGTCAGAATGTGAGTTGATCCTGCTACGCTCGTTGTTGCGTAGCTGATCAGCGCTAATGGAGGGGTAGTGAAGGAGCCGGAGTTGGAAGAGCGACTCCGAGTGTGTGGAAGAGAGACCTGGCTCTGGGACATTCAGGGCGATGGAGAGAGCGTCGAGGATACTGTGAATGAGACTGGCGCATTCAGCGAAGTACTTTTCCATAAATGCGCGGAAGCCAGGGAGCTTGTCTTCTGGAAGCCAGATATTTGGCTGTGCTTCGTCATCGATATTGCCTGATTCAAAGGACTCTTTGTAGTCAGGTGTCTGGATCATATCAGCATATATTCTGAACATTGATAATCGTGTGAGCTTACCTCCCTCAACTTGTTCAGCTCATTGGTATCATAAACCCCTTGACTAACCTTCTCCACGCCCGGCGCCGAGTACCCACGATGATGGCTTCCACCCGGTGGATGAGGAGATAGCATCTTCGTCTCAAGTGGCAAACAGAAGAACTTCTTCGACCAGGAGAAACATTCCTTCACCATCTCTTTCTCTACACCATGATTACTCAGATACACAAATCCGACCCTACAAAACGCATCGTCAATCTCCTTGGCAATTCTCTTCTTATCGTTCTCTCTGCCGTACAAGAAGGCGCCAAAATCTACGACTGGTATCTCGGTCATGTCAAAAGAGAACTTTGTGATAGGCTCTATGCACCGTCTTGTTCGGGCGACACAAGTAAAGTAGATGAGGGATGATTGTTTATGATGAGATGGCAATGAGGCAGGAGCTGACTCGCGGGTTGCTTCTTATTTAGGTAGGTAGGCAAGTACGGCAAGGTAGCACAGGAGCGGGGGAGGGGTAATCGATAAGACTGTCACATTCAATAATTTTGGCACTAGCGACGTTCAGAATTCGAGGTGGTTGTCGGTGCAAGCTTCTGATTTAAGATCTAACGAGCAACAATGTAAGGAAAACTCTTGCCCAACGTGTAACGCTAACATGGCGTCGTCGTCAAGCGAAGCCAAATATCCATGCTATGCATACCAATTATACTGTATTCAGCCTGCCGTTTCGTGTCGTCCCAATAATGCTTTCCTAGTCCATCCATCCCATTACCGGACTACCGTACCCGATACCCTTTGATTCCACCGAGTTATCCCTCCCACCAACAAGTCGTACCTGATTACCAGCCCCCATTTGAAGGAATGATGCCCTTTCGCATCGCATGCTTACGACTCTCCAAACATATCTGCCACTCCTGCTAAGCCTGGAGAAGTCCCTCTAACTATAGTTGGCTGCTGATCCACACTCATATACTGCTCCATCATGGCGGACCTGGGCTTGGCCTTTGGTCTGTGGATCTTGCCTTGCTCGTGAATACTGACACCTTTGATGCTACTCAAAAGATCGAGCACGATACTGCGTTGCATACGTTCGTCCGACCTGTTGGCGGCGCGGAGTTTTGCAAGACGGCGGTCGACACGGTATTGGTCACCCATGCCGGGTAGAGACAGGATGATCGAGCGCGGTATGTCTTCGTCCAGGTGGATAATGCCGGCAATAAGGGAGGCAAGCTCCTTCTGGCAATCCACAAAGTAGGGCTCGTGGAGGGACGTGATAGCTGACTTGAGTATATCGTTGCAAAAGTAGTCGCGAATTGGGGATTTCTCTTTGAACTGTAGAAGCAGGGTACGCATTACACGGACGATTGTGACGACGGACCTGGTATCTCGAACACGGATAGTTGAGTTGCAGAAAAGGAGGATGGGCTCGAGAACTGCAGGAGTTGCGAGGATGAAGTCGCACATGGGCGGTGCGTTGGCTTCCTTCCGGCCATGCTCATCGTGACGGGCAAATTCTGCGATAGGGTTAGCCTTTTTCCCTTTACGGCTATAACTTGGAGGCCGGTACTGAAACCGTATTGAATCCGCCAAAAGCATTAGCGATAGAAGCACCACATGCGTTCAAAAGCAATGAATAACTTACCCTGCCTCGAATCGAGCAAGACAGCGACAAGCGAGACAGACGAATAGGTGAGCTGACGTAGTATGCTTTCCGTCTTCATCTCGTCCGTCAAGTTGTCGTTGTCCCCTGACTCCGCCACTTGTCGGGCAACCTCATTCCACTCTCCGGAAATCTTTCGATCGAGCTCCCTGAACAGCCCTTGTATCATGGGTGGTAGGAAGTGTGACCGTAACCGTGCTGGGCAACCTTCAATGAGATGGGTAGATACTGTCAGTAAAACGGATAGATGATGCGCAGTCAAAGCGCCAGCATGACCGAACAGCGCTTGACTCAGCGGCCCCGGCAAATCTTGTATGCCATAGAAGAAGTCTCGGAATCTTGTCAGCGAATAGAGTATGTAGTACGAGCTCTCTCTAATCTGTCGTACAGTGCCTCGTACTGTCGATGCGAAACCCTCATATGTCGACTTGGAACCACTGACTCTCGCAAAGAAATCATCTCTGCTCTCCGTCGATATGCCCGCTTGCCAGAACCGGTCCGTCAGTACTCTCCGAATAACCTGCTGTAGTTCTACCGGCAAGTGTGACCAATTGCTTTCAATGTCATTGAACGCTTGCGCATGGCTCACGAGCTGAAGAAGGTTGGGAAGCAGCACAGGTATGACCTCAGCCCATAGTATTGCCGCGGTCTCATACGCAGCAGTACCATCGCGAAGCTTCTCCGTCGACGCTGCCAGTAGCGTCTTAGTGAGTCGCAGTGGGAGATGTTGGGAGCGCTCAAGGATTGAGGCCTGCAATGCCTGGCCATCACTAGGCAGTTGTTGATCAGACCAATCCTGAACGCCACGGAAGTTGTTTGCAGATAGAAATTCGGGCAGTTGACCCATGCCCAACACGCCACAGAAAGATTGGAATGAAGAGATAGCCTCGGTGAACTCATCGTTGCGCCAAGCATCCTTGACGCTGTTGAGCATCTGCCTCATGCGCTCTTCTTGTGTGGCGCGTTCTAAAGTTGTACATCTATGTATGATGATGAAAAGGAAAGCGGAGTACGCCATACGCTGGCGTTCGTCAGTCGTTGGATCATTTATCATCTCATCGACCTTTGCCTCTAGTTGCTCGTAGACGTTCATAAAGTCGTCAGCAAACTTCATCGCTAGTTTCTGCATCTCAAGGCTGCATATGCGCTCGAGGTCTTTAACAGCATCGGAGTATTGTGGGTAGTTTGTATCATCGGCTAACCGTATTGTAAGCATATACTCCAGGAAGGTAAGAGCGAAACCTGGCCGGTCACCGAGAGCCTTTGTTGAAAGTGTTGCCATCAACGAGATTATCTTCCTCCCGACTTCAGGGTCGTCAAACGGGGCGTTCAAAATTTGCCTGCCCCACTGTTCGAGCGAGTCTTCCAGAGTGTTGCGCGTCCTTTCATTCTCTTGTGCGTCTTCGCCTTGCCCTTGCTGCCACTTCATGTATCCCTTCAGTGCAGCTTCGATGACAGTGACTTGCGCATCAACCTGAAGAACTTGCGGAGAATTCTTGGTGAAGGTTTGACGTTGGAAAGAGGGCTGGCCATTGTACAGGTTATGAAACATGTTTGTTGCCTGGGCAAGGATATGCTCCATAGCCTCAACGGGCGTCTTGCGAACCAAGACCTCGATCACATCTGCGCAAAACCGGCGGTAGTTGCCCAAAAAGGCATGACGCTCAGGCACTGTATCAATATCTTCGTTGAGAAACTGCAATGTGACGTCTTCAGTATCTTCGGGCAATGATTCGTATCGGATGAGTCGGGCGCAACATGTCTCGAGTAGTCCGCCAACCATGGAGTTGACGACATCGGAGTCTCGCACAATGCTCGATCGTATCAACTTAGTCCAACAATGGAGGACGGGTATAGAGACGACGAGGCTAGGGTTGCGCATAACGTCGTACAGGAAACCGAATATGCCCGCTAGGTCGCTGCCATCGGGTATAGATTGGGGCTTTTGCTCAATGAACAGTCCAAGGCTATTAGCCAACTGCTATCATTAGCAAGACATTACAAGTGGGAAGAGCCGCTGGAGTGCCTACTTCGGAAAGTCTCTTGCAGAGCATATATTTCTGGTCATCTATATCATTCACATCCATATCCGTGAGCGTCCAATTGTATACTTCTCGCAGGAGCGAAACACTGCCAGGAGTGAACATGGGGCATACAAGCTCCACAAACTCGTCGTCGTGTAGGTGGGTTCGGTTATAGATGGCTTGGAGAGTCTCGACGGCGGCCTGTTTGCGTTAGCGGCTGTGTGTGTATTAGCTAGCTAGATGCGACTTACAATCTGCATCTCCACGGCTGGGGTCGCCAGCGCCTTGCAGACAGCCTCGATGACTTGCGTCGCAGCAATGGCCTTGGGCATAATCCATGGCATAGCCGCCTTAAGCGCATGCATGGTCTTGATCGCGTTCGCTTTGACAGCCTCTTGGTTCTGGTAGTCCTGCCCCAAGCACCAGCTCAAGTTGTCGCATAGCCTCTTCAGCCACCCTTCGTCTCCACACCGCACATCAAGACTCTTCTCGCGTGTAGGGAGTTGTTCTTGTATGACGGCGAGCGGTGTGAAAATCTCGACACATGCTCGTCCCAAGTCGCTACCTCGAAGGCCTGCTGTAGCGTCTTCGCGGTTGAAGACTTCCTCGGAAAGTGTTTCCAGGACGTATAGGACAACAGCCTGGTGGTGTAACGAAGTGGTCCACAATGAGACGAGTAGCCGGTCCATATCCAGCCACTCGGCACCCCAACTGCGTTTCGCAACTTCTGTCCATAGCTGCGCGATCTTGTTCCTGATGAAGACCGGCTCGCCTTCGGACACATTTTGTGCAAGATCGATCGCATAGCCCCTCAACGCTGTTCCCTGATCTACTGTGAAATCCTCCCAGCTGTATTTTATCGAGTATTCCAGCATAGTAAGGCCATAGTAGCGGAGCGGAGCGGGCTGCGAGCGGTCGAGGGCGAGCGTGTGACCATGGGAAGGCGCTTCGGGGTGCCGTTTTGCTTGCTCGAGGTATTCGGTTGCCTGTCGGCGGGTATCATTGGTCGAACTGTTTGCGTATATGGCCTGCAGCGCCTCTAATATCTGGGAGAGGTCTGAGTCTCCGTTGGCGCTATGGTGTTGGTGTTGCGCTCCGTCGCCGCCATTTGTTTGCGGGGCTTGGTCTGCCCCAACATTCATCTTGGAGACGGCTTCTCTAGCCTTGGCCCGTGAGATGTAAGGTCGGGTAAGTCTGTTCGAAAGCTAGCTCGGGTATTAGGGAAATGTCGTGTGTTTGTTGTTCCGAGTTTCAGAATATTCGGGCGGAGGTTGCTGAAAGCGGAAGATGTAGAGGACAAGGATCGTGGGTCAGGAAGCTTTGGCGCCGATGTCTAGAACAAACCAAAGAAGATGGCGGTGTAGCGTGTAAGCCCAGTTTCATTGACTCGCTGGCCCGAGACGTGGTGCACTTTGTCCCAACGATTCAGATAGGCGAATGATGTTTATATTCACTTCGCACGTTCCACAGACGCGTTTTGCAGGCTGCAGTCCCAAAGGCACGTCACGTCGACGCGATGTCAGCTGCTTTGCCGCCAGAACTAGGCTTGTCGCTTCCAAACTAGTCTTCATCGAATATCGCTATGTACACATCCAAGTCTGCCGCAGATGCCCCGAAACGCCTTGACAAGTACATAAAGTCGTCCATCGCTCACGTTTACCCAAACAGATAATATGCACAAAAACTGCGCTGACTGCGTGACCTGAGCATCAGATGACATTGCATCACCGTGCATTGGCCCGAATCCCCCACCACACCAAACCCCGACATCGCGAATTTGTGGCACTACATGACAACGCAAGTCTGCTTCTGGCACTGTTGAAGGTACCCTTCATCCTCTTCCGTGCCTAATGCGCTACCCGGCTTTCGCACGACGCCTTTGACGGTGATGACTTGATCGCCTTCTGCATGCCACCATCGCAGCGTCTGCTGTAATGCACCGTTCGTCTCCTCGGACGTGATGGTCCACTTGCCACCGCTGACTTCGACACTCGTTTGCCCTGATGGAAAGTGGAATTCAGGGAGGTAGCAGATCGTCGGGAATTCTTCTGCTGTCGAGCTTGGCGCAGAGAGCGCAAGCTTGAATGTACAGTTCTTGAGATCGAAACCATACGATGAGATGTCTCCGTGAACTGCAACAGGAGTGGGGCGAATAAAGGCTTCTGCTGCGCGTAGACCACGAACATCGCCATCGTCCTTTTTCGAACTCATGCGTTCTGGCGTAATGGTTTTCTGCACGTTGGAAGGACTGATACTCAGGGTATCGGTCGATTGCGCTCTCGAATAGGCAGGTGAATTGGTGTCTAGTGACGCACGAGAGTCGGCTGGTGAGAAAGCGCCTGCTGGGACTGCTTTATCGTCCACGGAGTAAATAGACAGGTCCTCACCGTTCCAGAGATCGCCCCAGTAATGGCAGTTCTTGTCTTTGTTAGCCAAGCTTCAACTGTGCATAGGACACAAACTTACATTTGCGACATATGTCCATAACGCGAATCCGTTAGCTTTACTGTCTTCAAGTGCAAAGTGGTTCGCATCCAGCGCTGCTATCTGGCTGCTGTAGTTGCCTGTCTTGTACGCGTACTTGTCGTCCATGTCATATGGAATGCCGATCTCAGTGAAAATGCAAGGATGAACACCCGTGTACTCTGTACCCTCGTCTCGAATTGCCTTGAGCTGATGCGAGAAGCAGTTTCTGATGGCATTCTCTCCAATCTTGATCGCAAACGCTGGTGTCAGATACTTCCCTCGCAGAACACCAAATACGTCGACGTTCCATACACGGTTCCTGTGTGTTGTTAGATGAGATGTGATGTGATTTAGCTTGACAGAACATACCACTTCTTGGTGATCAGTGTGATGCCATCGTAGAAGTGCGGTGAGAAGATCATGTTAGGGTCGTCGTCTTCTGTGCCCTTGACCTTTGGTGGTATCTCCAGTACTGGAGGCTGGAAGAACATCAGGGAGTCCGGGAATATCGACTTGACCATCTTGCTGTACGCGCGGTAGTGCGGTAGCCAGTAGTGGTTTGTAAAGTACTCGTAATCAATCTTGGCCCCATTCCTAGGATCGATCCCGAAGTAGTCCTTCTTCAGAACTGTGTCAGTTGCCGGATCCCAGATGCCGTGTTGCGCCCACAAGCACTCGCCCAACTTCCACCCCGGATCGCGTTTCCAGCCGTATTTGGTGTCGTCGTAATCTTTTGATAGCCACGCTATAGTGCCCTGGGGATCCACTAATATCGAGCCGCTCTTGTACGGTCCCAAACCGCCAAATTCCCAAGTCGCGACCTCGCAAGCTCTACCCGATCCGGTAAGTATCGCCTGCCAAGCCGTCGGTGAGGTACCCTTTTGTAGTTTCTGCTCGCTCGGGATCTGGGTGATGTCCTGGTAGCTGATGAGGCCTCTGTTGGGCTCGTTCATGCTTTCCCATCCGATGACTGGGTCATGCCACAAGTCACCCGCTTGTTGTATCCGCTTCGCGAGATGCTCGCATGCTCCGATATAGTGCTCTTGCAGATAGTCCTGAATGTTCTTGCCGTCCATGATAGCCTTGGGCGCAAAGTCCCTGCCGCCGAAGAAGAGTGTCCACATGACCTGGTTTACTAGTCGTGTGTAGTTGGTGGTCCAGATCATCTTAGGAAAGGTGGCAGGGTCGGGATATGTATTGTGTACGAGGGCAGCTTCGGTAACGGCGAAGTGCTCGGGATCCAGCCCACAAGCATAGAGAGTCCACATGGGTGCACCAGAACCTCCAGAGAATCGTGACCACTATGCGATGTATTAGAGAAGAGGTAACTGAGTGTATTATAGCGCTACCTACGACATCCTGGTGAGGATCCATGAAGATGTAGAAACCATACTCCTTTGCCTTTCGTAGGAGAGAAATGGTGTGGTCTATCCAGTCCTCGTCGTACTTTCCTGGACCCGCGTGCTCTATGGCTTCCCATGTGAAGACATAGCGAATGGTGTTGTAGCCCCAACTACGCAATCGCGAGAAGTGTGTAGCTGAATCTTCTAGGGAAAACGGCCGATTAACAAAGGAGACGTTGTCGCCGTCGAAGAAGTTGTCTGGTATATGTGATGGTTGATCTGGCTTCGCAGGGAACTTGGCATCTGCCGCACAGTTGATACCGTGCAGGGTGACTTCGCGGTTCTGAGGATCGCGGAATATGCGTCCGTCGATGCGTAGCCGAATAGAAGACATTACCGACGAAGTGGTATGGGAGGAGTGAAAGGGAGGGAAAGGAAAATGGTGCGCAAGGCGAGTGTGAAGGGGAGCTAGGTATGAGGTATGCGCCTCTCTAGTCCTCTAGTCCTGATGGCGTAGCGGCGGCGGCGTTCACGGGCATGTCATCATCCATGCCCCTGTCCGCATTAGCGTCTGGGGTCCCAATGTCCAGGTGGCCAGTGCGCCCCGGCTATCATGCGTCGCTGAGGACAAGTTGCAATTGTTTGAGTGAAAGACCAAATAAAGACACGACTCGCTCCTTCCATGACCTGACCGTCGCACCTGCCGTTGCTTCTCTGCGCCGGCTCTATTACTGTCTTCCCACCATCCAACCTACCGTCACTCATTCATAGCAACCTCAACACCAACCCACCATGATACTCCGACTCTCCTCCATTGCCCTTGGGCTGCTCCCACTCGCAACCGCACTCTCCGCCTCGGACATTCCCGCGGATACTCCGGTGTCGCAGCTGATCAAGGATGCTAGTGTTCAACTCGCTACTGGCAACACCCAAGACGCCCTCCTCTACTTCGACGCTGCCATCACCCGCGACCCGCGCAATTACCTCACCTACTTCAGGCGTGGCGCCGCTTACCTGCAGATCGGAAGGACGGCACAGGCGCAGCATGACTTTGACAAGGTACTGGAACTGAAGCCTGGCTTCGAGGGCGCATTGGTGCAGAGGGCCAAGATCAGAGCCAGAAAGGCCGACTGGGCTGCAGCACGGAAAGATTATGAGGCTGCGGGCAAGACAGACGCGATCGCGCAGTTGGAAGAAGCACAGGGCGCTGCTATCATGGCACAAGAGGCGGCAGACAAGGGCGATTGGGATTCGTGCATTTCAAATGCAGGCACTGCCATTGTAGTCGCAGGCGGAGCATACGACATCCGCAAGACAAGAGCACGCTGTCGCTTCGAGAAGGGCGAGGTCATCGAAGGTATCAGTGACCTACAGCATCTCCTACAGATCAACACCGGCGACATCGAACCCCATCTCCAGAGCTCCGCCATGGCCTTCTACTCACTGGGTGAAACCGACAAGGGTCTCAAGCACATCGCCCAATGTCTCCAATCGGATCCCGACTCGAAAGCCTGCATGAAGCTGCGAAGAAGAGAAAAGAACCTCGACAAAGACATTCAAAAGGTTCGCAAGTTCTTCGAGAAGCGCCAGTTCGCCACCGCCTCGAAACTCCTCATCGACCGCGGCGAAGAGGACCCCGGTCTTCTGAAGGAGGTCAAGCAAGACTTCAAGGACTATACCGAACAAGGTTACATCTACGCCAACTCACCTAATGGCCTTTACCAAACCCTCGTAGAGATGACCTGTGAAGCCTACGTTGAAATGAATAACCTGAAGAAGGGCACGCCATACTGTACCGAAGCCCTGCAATTCAACCCCAACTCGCTACACGGTCTCATACACAAAGCACAAGGCCAGCTCGAAGCTGATGAGTTCGAAGACTGCGTTCGTACCCTAGACCACGCCAAGGAGCATCACCAAAGTCAGAAACTAGATGAGCTGCACAACAAAGCACACACACTGCTCAAGCGGTCAAAGACAAAGGATTACTACAAAGTCCTCGGCATAACGCGTGATGCAGACGAACGAGAGATCAAGAAGGCGTACCGCAAGTTGAGCAAGATCTACCACCCTGACAAGGCTTCGGCCAACAACATGACACCCGAGGATGCGCAAAAGAAGATGGCCGCCGTAAACGAAGCCTACGAAGTCCTCTCCGACCCTGAACTCAAGGAACGTTTCGACCGTGGTGACGACCCTAACAACAACGAGCAGCAACAAGGTCACCCCTTCCAGGGCTCGCCGTTTGGTGGTCAGCAGTTCATGTTCAGGCAAGGTGGAGGCGGTGGCTTCCCCGGTGGTGGTGATAGCTTCAAGTTCCAGCAGGGTGGCGGATTTCCTGGTGGCTTCCCTGGTGGGTTTGGTTTCTAGACTACTATTGCTTATCACATATATGACTTGGAGTTTGGGAGCATGCAGAGTGGTCAGTCGGTCAGCCACAAGGGTAGAATATTTTGGCGTTTTCAACTGTATGATATCGTTGCTTCGGCGGTTAGTATTGAGTGATGAATTATGGTAGCTAGTAAGTGAGAAGATATCTTTTTCATGTCGACTTGTTTTCCTTCTCACTTTGTGTCATTTCCCAGTAGCGTTTTTCTCTAGTCGCAGCCGTTTGTGGTGCGACTTGTATCTGAGTAAACGAACGTGAAGGTACTCGTTGTGTCCCATGTATGTGTATGTTAACAAAAGGTACAGCGAATAGCTTTGGAATGTGGGATGGCCTCTAGCATCTGGTGATACAGCTCAAAACAAACGAGCTTCTTTACTTAGTTTCCTTGCTACCAACACGGTAAGATTCAGGATTCGCGAGCCAGAGCCTCTGCACGAAGCCGTCGGGTGCGCCTCGCTTCGCAATGAGCCCGCGGACCAGATCGTTGACGAGGTCGGGGCAAATATTCTCAATCAAATCTGTAAGCCCAATCCATATTGATTTAGCACCAAACACCCAGAAGTCTACCATCAGGCGTCGCGCGGGCGAGTTTTCAAAGGTACTAGCGTAATTTGTCTGTATCATTGTATTCCCAGGAAATCTGTTGTTGATATGTTTCTGACGACTGATGAAAGCGGCGCCGATGACATCCTGGAAGGCAGTGTCCATGAGTCTTTCCCCCACGACATAAAGACAAGCGAGATAAAGGTAGCGCTGATACTTCCCATGATATAAAACGTTTCCGGTGTACAGCCACGCACAGTATCCTTCGAAGATCGTAAGGTTCACGTCGGACATGTCGATAGGCTTCGTAGCATCGGTGCGCTACTCCGGTTTCATGGCGTTCTGGAGGAATTTGGAACTTCTGGTCAGGATGGCGGTATGTACGTGCAACGACGAGGTCTCGTTGCGGCCGACCTGGTCAAGCACGATGGCGCCTCTTAAACGGTGGCGCCGTTAGTAGTTGGTATGTGAGACACCGCCATAAGCAACCTACCGTCTCGCTGAATGTAGGGACTGTAAATTGTACCAACCTAATGTAGGAGTCGGTCCAGGCAAATGAAGACTATGGCTTACACAGGTAAGCTTGCGCGAGTGTTTGACAAGAGATTTGGAACAAGAGGATGGTGGACAGAAAAATGCAAAAGAGAGAAAGTATGTTCGAAGTCTCACACTAATCCGTCTGCCTTCACCTGGGTATAGATGGACTATTTTAAGCAAAGTGAGGGTGAGCTTTTGATGTCTTTATTTACGCACACTGTAGTTCCGTTCTAACGTTCCATTTACGAAGGCTTATTCAAACGCGCACGCAACCATTAACGGCAGTATTCAATTCTCCTCGTCAATATGTACTTGTGTACCACTCCATCGCGCAGCGAAGTGACATGCATATGTGCCCTTTTCAAGCCTCCGACATGTCCATCTTATCCTGGCCGGAAAGTTCAGAGATGACCTCGTCGGCTTCCTGTTCCGCCAAACTGCTCTTGAGAACAACAACCTTTCGTTGATATGAGGCCGGCTGCGAGATCCATGGTTTGTCTCCGGATATTTTTGTTGATACTCGGTTTTCTAGTATCTCAGGAAATAAGTCGTTGAGAAAGGGCTTAAAGGCTGGGTTTAGAAGTGCCTTGCTAGCAGACCTCAAGTTCAAAGCACTTGTACACGCCCACATGTCAATTAGAAGACGTCTTGCAGGAGATTTCTCAGCCGTTCCATCGTAGATGATCATGACAGCGTTCAGGCTTGGCAACGTATTCAGTTGTCTCGTTCGAGAGATTATTGCCCCGATGACTGCGTTCTGAAACTCAAAATCGACGATCTTCTCCCCCAGGACGTACATGCGGGCCAGATACTTGTAATTCCTTTCCTCTGGGCAGGTTGGTGGAACGATTCCAGAGTATAGCCACTAACAGTATCTCTCAAAGATGCGGGGCTCCTCGTCGGATAGGTCAATAGGGCGAGAATCGGTCCTCCATTCTGGCTTTGTGGCATTTTTGAAGAACTCGGAGCTGTTGCCGATGAGAGATTTGTGTACGTAGAAGACTTGATCGCCGGCCTGAACTGCGATGGTTTCACCAGAGAGACTAGAAAATCAGCCACTGGAAATTTGAGCAGCCGTATGCGCTCACTCACTTTGGTAGCTTGGAGGTCAACGTAGACCGTTTGGCTGAGTCTGGAGTCGCCATTTTGCTTACTGCTGCAGATCAGATTCAATACCACACACAGTGGCCTTCTCGCACTCACTTTCCAGACGTAGGCGCCGGAAGCCCACAGCTGCAGGCAAGCAGTAATATTGTGTGGGAAGATAGTCGTGGTCAAGGTATTATCTGCAGACTAATTTCGAACTGCGACAAGATATACGTGACGTGTGGACACTACGTTTCTAGTGAGTTGTGCGCTAGAAGTTAGAATATTACTAGCTGGCTTGACAAGGTCGGTTCGGTGGTGGCGGTGGGAAATCAAGCATGAAGTGAGTTGTTGGGGTCGTCAACAGGGGATTTATAAGTAGGGAGGGATTGGAAAGGTGATGATCGCTTTTACCCATAGTGGTACAGTGAAAGAACTCCGCTTTCACTTGGTGTTGTAGCCAAATACCCCCAAGAACCCTTGTTGCTGGCGATTGGGTATACCGTGGAGCATTAGAACTCGAAAAGAACCAGTTGCTCCACATCCGAAGGTCAGGCTGAGGCCTTGGAAGTACGAAACTAAACGTAGTACCCTCGGTGGAACATTCATAGCGAGATGTTCCCTTGATAACGTAAATTTTGCATGATGAGAGATCAGAGAAAGTAGATATCACGAAAACAATCAATTTCAAAACACTAAACATTACGAAACCTCTTCTACCTGGGCATATATGCTTTCATAACTCGTCCTCCCCTAACCACCTAACAGTAAGATTTTTTAGTGATCTTGGTGATAAAACCCTGGTGAATCAAGTCAATGTAACTCCAGTACTCGCGCTGAGTACCGTCGCCATCAACCTTGGCGGTCGCATAAGAGACGCCGTTCCAGAAAGAACCACCGGCCAAGTACTTGTTCCACGCGTAGCGCTGAGCATCGAATATGGTCTTGCGGGTGTTCAGGGTGTTGTTGTAAATAGCCTGGAGCGACCATTCGCCAACAAAAACAGAGAATTTGGTCTCCTGGGTGATATACTGGGCTTTGCCACATACAGCGGGGTTAACGTAGCCAGTGTAGGTGCCGGCAGCGGCGAAGTAGTAGATGTGCGAGTCGAAGACAATATTCTGGGATGCCCATGAAGCATTCTTGAATCATCATGGGAATACGCTTATCCACCTTAGCAATCTTCTTAAGTACACCGTCGAAGTGGGTGTTGATCCAGTCAGTGCCCTTGGTAGTCAGACCAGCAGCAGATCCGAAACCAGCAAAGTCGTCAGAAGCTTCATTGATGGGTGCAATCGTGAAAGCGTTAATGTGACCACTATTCTTGATGAAGTTGAGTACACCATCGACAGCTTGGAACGAGTGGTCAAGGTTTGTGGAGTTTTGGAACCAGTCCTGGTGGAAGAGTGCCTCGCCAATGTCAAGGTTGTTCACACCACCGGGAAGCGAATGGAGACCGAAGATGACTAGAAGAGCTTGTTAGCACTGTCCTCAGAACGTGAGCTTGAAATATATCGACTTACCGTGCATATTGTACTTGTTGGTGGCATAGTCGGTAATGGTCTTAAGTAATTTCAACTGGTTGCCGTGATGAAGCTGGGAACCAGGAATTTCGATGAAGGCAGCGTATGTGAGCGGGATACGGAGGGTATTGACACCGACGTTGGCAAGCTCGTCAATAGTGGTGGTGTTGATGAAAGACGCATAACGCTCCTCAAAGACTGAAGCGCACTTGCTGCCGAGATTCTAGCAAAGAGTCCACTCATCAGGAGCACTATCGCCACCCACTTCAGACTAGGGCCGTGGGTTTGCTCTTTCTCTAACCATCCACCTAGGTTGGCACCGTTGGCCTTGAATGTCTTCCGGTTGATGAAGTTGCCGCCGTTGACACCCTTGCCCCAGGTGATGTCGTGGCTGTGGCGGATGGGGCTCAGATCAACAGCTGGGATGCTGAACGGGCACTTGTCGTGGAAGGGAACAGTGGCGCCGTGGTTAGCACCATCGGTGTGGAGGTGGATGCCGAGAGAGGACAGCAACTTGTTGTTGTCGTTGGTGAGCAGCAGTGACACTGCCGGCTAAGACAACAGTGGTGAGAGCAGCAGAGACGCGCATCTTGAATAAAGGTAGACAAAGAATGTGTAGAGTTAAGATTGATGGGTTCTGAGCGAGCCGTGGGAACATGCCGGTCATTACATATACGTGCTACTACTAGAATCATACTAAAGGCTGATTAGGGTATTGAGTGACGATTTGCAAAGTATGAAACAAGCTGGCGTGGAAGTTGAAGAGTCCAACTCTGTTGTGTCCACTTTAGAACCTTCGCCACTTGTAGTTGGGAGATGGAGGTATCTGGTAATACCATTGTCAAAGCAGGAAAACATACGACGCTGAGCTTGTTGGCTAGGGTTTCGACGTCACAAGGCTTTTTCATATGATGTTGTCGTACAAACGGTATCTGCATTACGCTAGTATCGATAGATGTGCACGAACTCTCGTCAGAGAAGAAAGTGTAACAGAAGAGTACTTAGTCCGCTTCGCCGAAGTCGCTATGCCCGGTCTCGGTCGCGTGCTGTATCGCACCCCGTTCTCCAGCCCCCTTCCAACCACACTTGTTGCACTTTATGTCGAACTTTTGTGTGTCGGTGAAATAATGTGCTTTCTGCAGCTGCCCACAGAGTTCCCTCGCCGCCTCAAGAATTACGTTATCCTTCGCGTCGAACAGCTTGATATCTTGCGAAGGGTCCTGAGGTGACACCCCGTTGGGAACAAGGGCGATGGTGTCGTAGTGAATTCCAGAATATACTAGGATACACCGTCGTGGTCTGCCCTCGTTGAATCGATCTACCCGGTTGTCTTGAACGTTGACGCTGGCAATCTCGATATCGAACTCCTGAGACAGAATGCTGAGTTCGATGCCACCACCCCACGAGTCAGAGTATGATATCCACTTGCAGTACTCATCCGGAGAGCGTTGCAAGATCGCCTCATTGAACTGCTCCGGGTCTCGTTGTATAGCCTGCGCAACCATCGATCTGAGCTCGGTCATGGAATCGAGGGAGTCGGACAAGACGGCACTGCCGACTGCTCGAAACATACAAGAGTTGTCATCGGGCATAACTCGAAGGACCATGGTGCCACCACGGTCGGGTACTGGAACTTCGGGCGTGTCCTTGAGCGCGGAATTCTGCTTCCTTTGAAGTGACAGCGGTGCTGCCTGAGATGTGGATGCTTGGAGTTCTTGTTCCTGCTTACGCTCACTTGGATCGCCCGTAGCTTGTGCAATGACTATGATGGATGCGCCGTTTAGCTTGAGATCGATGTCTTTTAACAGCGTCGACATGCCGTATAGCGAAGGATCGAGCGGTTGTGGCGGATGGTTCCATTTCAGCTCGAAGAGTGGCAGTTCTGTCTTTTCGCTGATAGAGGAGAGAAGGTCTGAGACAGCGGCGTCATCGTTGAGTGATATTGTGTGAGTGCCGTTGGGCGCGCGTAACCGGATGCGGATCGGCATGATGTGATGGGTCGACTGGAATAGCTGAGGATAGGTGGTATAAGTACGCAGAGTGGTATCGAGTATGGGTGAGGGAGCTTCGATGGCGTAGCGCGTGATAGCAGTCGACTGGTGGGGCGATTTAGCGGTGGAGAGCTGTTAGATGGAAGCTGCGATGAGTGAGTTGATGTATGAAGAAGGAGAATTTCACGATTGCGCAAACACGAGGAGAGCTTTGTTAGAAAAGGATCGTTTGTCAGCTACGGAAAGACGCTACAAAGGCGACAGTTGGCATGGGACAAGTGGCATGGCGTAGGTGAATGTTCCCGAATCATGGAGGTAGGCCGAGCCGGAGATGGGTGGCAGGGGTCGGCGAACGGCGAATCCAAACTTCCGCCCCAGAGTCGCGACTTCCACATTCACGACGCGACGACGACAGTATCAGGCGCACTAAGGATACCACAACACAACAGCATCGAGTGGATTATCGCAAACATGGCGTCCGGACGCGCACCAAGCTCTACACCGGTGCCTACCACCGAGACTGCTGAGTCCGCTGGCGCTACGTCGACTGTCACGGCGCAGGAATGGGAGGCCATGTCAAACCTCCTCAAGAATGTATACGACTACAGGATCGACGAGTAAGTATTTGCGCTGCTTGTGCAATGCTTTCTTTGGCTGATCAGTGCGCAGTGGAACATACGATCCCACGAAGCTCTTCCAGCGCAAAGTGAACAAGCGCGCTGTGCCCGACTACTACGACATCATCAAGGAGCCTATGGCCTTGAGCACGATAAAGGCCAAGATCGCGCAAAGAGAGTACAAGAACTTCTCTGAGTTCGTACGCGACCTGGCGCTGATTCCCCACAATGCGCAGGTGTATAATAGACAGGACTCGCAGGCATATGTGGATGCGCTTGAAGTAAAGAAGGTCATCGAACGCGAGTTGAAAAGGCTGGTGGATGACAAGATCGTCCCCGAGACAGTCGCTACCCTACCGTTCCTTGGAGAGATCCCTGAACAAGATCCGTTATTACCAGAGGAGGAAGAAGAGGAAGAGGAAGATGAGGACGAAGAAGAGCTCGAAGTTGACGAAGAAGAGGACGATGATGAAGAAGACGAAGGCAAACGCAAGAGGCGGCGCGGACCGCGATCCACAGCTGCCATCACCAAGCGAGAAGGTGGCTCAAGAGCAGCAAAGGAGGACGCCAAGAACGACGACCCAGAATCGCGAAAGAAGCGCGGACGCCCGCCGCGGGTCGACACACCCATGGAGGCACGCATCAAGACGATTATGAAAGCCATAAGGAAGCCTCGAAATCAGCTTAACAAGCTCATGGTCAGCGCATTCGAGCGCGTCCCCGACAAGACGGTCATGCCCGAATATCACTCCGAGATTAAGAACCCAATGGCCATGGACATTCTCAAGCGCAAACTCAAGCGAAAGAAGTACAACTCGGTCGACCACTTTATGGTGGACGTCGAGCTCATGTTCGAGAATGCAAAGCAGTACAACGAGGAGGACAGCCAGATTTACAAGGATGCTGTGCATCTCCAAAAGGAGTCGCGCAAGGTTGCAAAGGCCGAGAAGGAGAGGCCGGACACCGACTACGTCATGGAAGAGGGACGTATCCCCATGCCTAGCGGCATTGTTCACAATGGTGAGCTGTGGAAGGTCGGTGACTGGGTGCATATTCAGAATGCGAATGACCTCACAAAGCCAATTGTGGCCCAGATCTATCGCACCTGGCAAGACGCGAACGGCGGACAGTGGGTGAATGCCTGCTGGTACTACCGCCCGGAGCAGACTGTGCACCGTTTCGACCGGCACTTCTTCGAAAATGAGGTTGTCAAGACTGGCCAGTATCGAGACCACCGCATCGATGAAGTAGTGGACCGGTGTTTCGTCATGTTCATTACACGTTATAACAAAGGTCGTCCCCGTGACTTTCCTTCCGACAAGGAGATTTACGTCTGCGAAGCTCGATACAACGAAGAGAACCATAAGCTCAACAAAATCAAGACATGGGCCAGTTGTCTACCCGACGAGGTGCGCGACAAGGACTATGTTATGGATTTGTTCGATGCGCCTCGAAAGTTGAAGAAGGTACCCAGCCCGATTGCGTACTTGCTCAAAGACGACCAAAAGGAGGACGACGATCTTCCAAAGCCAGAGTGGGGTGCTGAAAATGCTCCTCCAAAGATTGGCGCCGTGCATCGTCGTCCGCGTGACGCTAAGGTAAGCAAAAAGTACTCTATATCACCATGAAAACAAATGCTCACAGATCTTGTAGGATTCACCACCACCTGAACCCACCCCACCACCTCCTCCGACACCTCCACCCGCGCCCGCCATGCCCACCCCAAGCCTACCCACGGCTTCGTCGCACGGCTACGAATCATCAAGAAACTATCCCATCGCGCAAGCCCCGACCCTAACGCCAATGCCTGCTCCAACACCACAACAGCACCATGTTGGACCAGCATACACGCCAACCCATGCGACACATTACCATACCCACTCTCAATCACCCGCTCCACATATGCACCAGCAGGCAACCCAGGCGCCTGCCTACCAGCCTATCACGCCACATGTACCATTCACACCCCAACCAACTGCCCCCATGCAGGCCTTTCAGACGCCGCGCGCTGCGCCAGGCTACCAACAACCGTATCCTCAGCAATTGCCGCTCAACTATAAAGCCCCACAGCCTGTAGAGGTCTACGTCATGGCCGACCATGCAAACGCCAGCATACCGCTTGAGATCCGCGAGCAGTTCCAGCGCGACGAAAAGGGCCGTGTCCTCTTCTTCACCGCGCCGCCGCTCAACGTGGAGCAACCGCTGACTAAAGATGGACGTGCATTGGGACATTCGGCTCGCTACCTTGCCGCAAAGGCAAAGAAGGAAGCCTCAAAGCGCAAAACTGGCGAAGCCAATATTGACGAGAGCGAGCAAGCAGCTAAGAAGGCTAAGGCTGATGAGGAGGATAAGTTCAAGAAAGCTGTGTCGGAACTGGGCACGAAAGCACTGCGGGCGCTAGAAGACCAGCTCGCCATTGCTACAAAGGCAGATTTGGAGGGTCTGTTCAATGGGCAGACGGAGGAAGGCATTTCTAAAGTGCTCGATCAGCTCACTATTGCTCAGAAAATGGCTATGCAGCAGGAGCTGGAGCGTGAGATGCATATCAAAGAGCGTGAGGAGAGCAGGAGGATAGCGGTCACCGGTATGACGGCGCGATTAGAGGAGAAGTACTGAGGTACTGTGTACGATCCATTGTATTTGTGATATCCAGTGTACGGTTACAGAGTGATTATGGCGTTTTGCTCATCAGCGGTGGTTCGAGCCCTACATGAATACATGGTGGATATTCTTCGCTATCTCCAATTGAAACTTTCCGTTTGGAACTGGCGTATTCTTCATTTTCGGTCTAATTGACACGAGCTTCTGTGTTTACCAGCTGTCGCATGCTCCTTTTGAAAGACTCTTCACAAGACCGGTTCTAGTCAATCACTATGCGCACTTCCCCTGCCGATCTGTCTTGGTACTTCCTCCAGGTTTCCAGATTTAGTACAACATCGCGGCCATTGTCTTTTGCCTGCTGTAAAAGGTAACCCACATCGGGCCATAACCCTTTCACGGCTTGAAGCGGAGATCTCCAGTCCCCTCCAAAATTCGGGTCCGCTCCATGTTTCAAAAGAAACCTGACTCCAGGCAAGGTATTGTCGCCATATCCGCGATAACCCGTTTTAGCTGCATGCCACAACGCGGTCACAGGTTCTCCAGTGTTGGGTATGCTATCAACGTAGGCGCCATGTTGAACAAGTACCCGAGCGAGGTCGTAACGATGGTGTCTTATCACTAAAGTAAGTGGTGTCGAGTCTCCAATTGTTCCGTTGGGATCTAGGTAACCGTCCTGAATGATTGCGCGTAAGACCGAACAACTGCCCTCCTGCAGCACGTACTCCGCCTCATACTTCTTTAGTCCCGCAAGTTTTCCATCGTCGTCCTTGTTCATTTCCAGCAGTCTCTTCATAAATCCATTGTCAGCATGCCTCGCCACCTCCTTAGTCAAGTGGAGCCAACTGGAGTTTTTGACTCGCGATGTAAGAATGCATTCATCAAGCAGAACGTTTCCAGATAGCCTCGCCCCTTTGCGCATCGCAGCAATAAGCCCGGCCCCGTTGGCGGGTCGGGACAACTTGTGAGTTTCTCGGTCTGAGGCTGAGAAGGCTGTTATGATAGCTTTGACCACTTCCACTTGATCGCACGCTGCAGCTGCCTCTAACGGACTGGACAAGCAGGAACAGCTTTGTCTTAAGCGGTCGGGGCTGTCCGCAACGAGTTCTAGAAGCTTCGTCAATTTCCCCGTTGCGGCCAACGCTGCGGGTAAGTCATCTTCGATATCTGGCTCCTGAAGGTCAGAGTAGTCGCGTAGGAACAGGCGCCATCGAAGTTGCTTGTAGTACACACTGGACAGAGCCGTGCATATCTGCACCATGTATTGCTTTCGGAAGTCGCCCAAAAGATCAATCTCTTCAGGTTCCAATATGGCATCAGTGAGTGTCCGCAAGTATTCGACTATTGGCAAAGGCGTTTTCTGTCGTCGGAGGGCCTCATGACTTATGATGGTGCCACCATGTTGAGCAAACAGCTTCTCAAACCTCGCGTTATCTATGGCGGTGAAGATGTGGCGGTCCACTGGACTGGGTAGGTTCCGCTCATTTTCCGAGTATGCGATGAGTGGTTGTCGCTTCAAGACATCTTCTTGGATCTCATGGGCAAATAGTTCTATGCGCATAAGCTGGATTTACGCCGATCGTGTCATTGCGGCGTACTGCAGACAAGTCGGTAGTCGGATACCCATAGTGGGCCAATTTCGCCAACCAAGAAGCTGATGATCCGTTGAATCAATTCTGTCGGAATATCTAATAGTTTCATGGTATGTTGTTGATGTTTGATAGGAGGGAAAGAGGTGTGGCCAGTTAGTGACGCGATGGTGGGGCTTGCGGTACTTAGGTAATTGCCACCACAACCTCTACGACTTGTACAACCTCGATGTCTTTCTTCGGTGAACACTTTGTTAGTCAATTTTTGCAATTTATTACAAGCTTGTAAACTCCAAATATGCTAGTGTTCAACGCTAAAAACTCAAGCCATGAATGAACTTGTTAGGAATCTATTGGGTACCTCTCGACATCTACCGGGGTTGGGACGGCGTAAAGTATGGAAGAAAGCCATTGGAGACATCTCACCAAAGCAGAGCAAGCATTTGATATATATATGAGACCCAGATTCAAGCCCGTGGTTGCTGACTGATCATAGCAAAGAGATGAACTCCAGTGCTGGTGATAGCACCCACAATTGATTCACCAACAACCCAGCAATCGCCGTCACAGTCAGGCTCCGAGCCGTCTAGTTGACTAATAAAACCGATCTCTCCGTAATATGTTCTGCCACTAAGAGTTTCGGTACTACCCTGTCTTCTTGCTCGATGTTGTTGCTTCGGCAAATCGAGAGTTGTCAACACTAGCCAAGCCAATGCCGGAAGGAAATCTTGTTTTCGTATTTCTCCTATAGATCAGGACGTTTGAGATCCTCCTTTCCGTGGTCTCTTACTGTCTCAAGTAAGAAACGACACTTGCCATATAGTTTCGAATCCGCGGTTGCAATTGCAGATTCGCCGTTCTCCCCATGAGAATTAGGGTCCGCGCCGTGATCGAGTAGAAACTCGACGTCCTTTACGTGGCCATCATTTGCCGCGCTCCATAGGACATTGTTTCCATCTGGCGTGATACTGTCGATCTCTGCACCGTTTTCGATGAGAATGTGTGCAATGTCGTATCGTCGTCTCCGAAGTGCGCATTGGAGCGGGGTCTTATCAAAGTTGACTTTATTTGGTCCTATGACACCATCTCGGAGTACTAGATGTATTTATATAAAGTCAGCATACATCTCACATGAAGTCCATACAGGTACACTTACGCAGGTTCCATATTTCAGTTCCACCTCGCCTGTGCAGAGTCTCCATAGTTTGAAGATCAAGGCTGTAATGTGCTTTGGATCCGTCCTTGACATGCGCTATAAACCCGGGATTATCGACTTCCAAGATGCGATACAACAAAGCTGTATTGCAGTACGTGACAGCATCGTTGACAAGCCAATCACCCAGTTCAACAGGTGCAAACTTGTCGAAGAGCTCGTTTTTATCGCGAAAGTCGAATAACATGTTTCCAGCAACATTCTTGTGCAAGCGTATGGCTATGCATAGAGCCTTGCCAATCTTCCGGGCAGCGTTTCGGATATCCTTCCATGAACCGGATTTGCGCTTGCCCTTGACATTGTCTAGGAGATATCCGAGTATACGCTCAAGCACCGTATACTGTTCCGCTACGATGGCAGCTTTGAGTGCACTTGGCAAGAGGTCGTGACTTTGCTTGAGGAGCATAGCTGGGGTAAGATTGGGCTCTTTGAACAGCGCGGTATCCCCAGATGCGGCAGCAATAGCGGGCATCATGTCCTTGAGGGAGCACGGTCGCTTTTCTTTGTTGACAATTTCGGTGCCTTTAATGTATTTGTGCAGATATTTTGGTTCCAGTCCCATCATGCACATGCATACGACCATCATTCTCGCAGGATAGAGTGTAGGATCTGGTTCGGACGCTTTGGTTATAGCTCGGACGAAGTCGATGACTTGGTTTCGTATTGTTTGGCGACGCATAGCAGCCTTATGGAGTATCTCTCCACCATATGTTTCGAAAAGACGAGTGGAGTGAGTGTTCTCCAGGAATTTGGCGAGGTTGACTGGAACAGTGGCTGAAAGAATGTAAGCCCTGATTGTGTTTGCGAACGTTTCTGCTTTCTATCAACATCTTCGAGTATTGGGCTTATGTATTGCACTTACTGCAAATAAGTCGATATCGTACGACATCTCGCTGCCCAAACTTCTTTGCAAGAGCCGCTATGATTTCCTCGAAGACCTCCAGGGGTAGGTCCAACAGCAGCATGTCGAGTTCCCCAGGAGTTACCAATCGTGAACACTTGTGCAGAGAACCGCTCAATATTTTTGTGGGGGATACTTCTTAGGTCGTCAAAGATGATGATAGATTCTGTATGAGGTAACCTGCATGGTCTGTGGGGCTCTAATCCGCCTTCACCTTCGGGTTGTGACTCTTACTTGAGAAGTCGGTCAGCGATCACAATAATCCCAACAAGTTGGCGGGTAAATGAATAGGTAAAGGCCACTTTCTTGATCAGCATAAGATCCTAAGCAATCTATAGTGTTATTTGTGTTATTTTTTTATTAAATATTGAAGCGTGTGCTAGTGGGTTGAAGATTAAAGAAGGAAACGTAGTAAATACACGCGTCAGGCTGTCAATATCATCCATGAGAAGCGATGATATGGCAGTAGTATCAAGCTCAGTATTACGATACATATCCGACTCGAACAATGGCGCATTACTACCGTATCGGACAGCACCAATCGCGTTCCTCTAATGATGCGCAAATATGACCACTGGTTTGACGGACGAACGAACGTACAACATCTGCCGGAAGCAACCCGTGGTCCGGAGAGTTCGATCCATACACGCCTGATAGTGCTACTGAGCTATTTCCCCGCTCATTCGGCCTCTTCCCAAGCCTTTCCTGCGTTCACCTTCGCTACCATCTCAACTTCCGGCATAAGCGCTGGGCTCGTATCCTTCACTATCTGCTCTGGCATCGGTGACTGACGCGCGATACGGTAGTATCAGCAGGTGAGGCACATGTACGGTACGTCGTACAGAGCTCAGAAGATAATGTAGAAAAGCGCGTAGATACCTGTTGTGATGTCAGAGACTGACCATCATGGACCCTCACTGACGCGCCGAACCTCCAGTCCAAGTATGAATTTTGCCATCTTGTTCTTTCTCACATTCCGAAAACGCCATGCACTACTTTCGGATAGTTGGTTGTCCAATCAACTTGTCCGATAGTGAGATTTCAGCAACTATCAGTGTATGACGACCGGATCGATCTTCAATTGCTCAGAGACTTTGTAACCCGCAGACATGTGGTTAGTGAGAAACTGTTGATCTTCTAAGAACGCCGATCATGCATTCGTGGGGTGACTGGGTTCGTCAATCTTAGTAACATGTTCGGCTTGTTTTGAAGTCATCTCTAAACGTGTCGCCAGCCACGGTCAAAAGAGTGCAGCGTCTCTTCTCAGCTATCACTAGCCCCAGCATCATGCAATCGATCTACACGCTAAAGTCTCAATGTTCGAGCAAACAAGTAAACAGCCTTGCAGAATGACCTGAGTTCATGTCTTGAGTGTCAGCGTCGACCTTTTTGTACCGGTGAGATCAGATAGTGTATCTTGGACCAAGACATTCCGGGAATACAAGTACAGCAAGTCCGGCTGCTTCCTGGGACCAGCAAAGCTTTTCAACTAAGGTTTGCCAGATCTTTGGACGGGTTCCGAGATCATGTCTCGACTTATGCAAACAGTTGGACCCACCATACTTCAGTCTGTCCGAGTAAAAAGACTCACAAATTCAGGCGACCTGTAGAGTTATTAGATCAATAGGGGCGAACATGAGTATATAGGTGTCGGTTTCACTCTCTGATATGCCGCACAAAAGACATTTCCAGACTCATCATGCAATACACAGCTATGGTATTCAAGATTCCCTTAGTTACCAGCCTCGTAGGCTCCGGGCTCCGCAAGCCTGGCATGATCCTCAACTGTGCAGACAACCTTCAAGGTAACCATTCAACTCCTTCTGTATAAATTTTGCTCATCTTCGTTCAGACATCTGCAACAATATGTGCTGTGGCGCTTACTGTACTTGATCATCATTCGGAGCAACACTGAAGTATGATCGCTACGGTGGTACCGGTAGACGCGACAGTGATATCGGAAAGGCCCGTCAAAGGTCCGCTGGCTGTCTTCCTAGACCCAATTGTTGCAGTTTAAGACCCTGGCTTTCTGGGCGCGCCTTGCACAATCATTCATTGACTTTTTTGTAGACTAATGGTGGCAATCCGCGAGCTGGAGAGAACTGTGATGAGTATCCATTCGCAAGTACATCAGATGCCAACAAAGGTGACCAGGTCTCCAAATGCGTCATAAGCAGGCACAATGCCAGTTAGTTCACGCTTTACCGAAGCGGAGTTGCAACAGCCAAACCAACGAATTTATCATGTATAGACCACGGAAATATCATCTAACAGTACTACAGCAATTTTTGCAGTAGCCAGCTGTGCTCATTCATCATCGGCTTCGGCAACCATGCCGCAGCTGGCGTTCGATACTGCCAGGCTTACAACAACCCGCACGGTAGATGTTTCAATGACCAAATGACAATGATAGGCAAAAAAGGAGCCCCAGATATACGTCCCGCAACGAAGAAGCGCTCTGAGCTCGAACTCGTGACCCAGTGTGCGCTGTTCCGAATGCCTAGTGGTATGGAAGTTCTACTACGTAAGTTCCCTGTTTGCGCTGGAGACCTGTATTCATTCACGCCTGTACTAATGTGCATGTAGCAATCGACACATTGCTTAATACTACGTTCGTCCACCCAACTGCTCGCAACAACACCATGAAAGCGTGGGTCGAAGACAAATGATGAGGACGAATATCATATCGACTGGGATTTCGCCGAGGATTTTGTCGCTACTAAACTTGATTGAAGTCGCTTTGGTACTGTTGCTCAATCTAGCAGGCTTTTCTATATTCTTCAAAACATGTGCTTTTGTCTGAGCTACCATTTATGTTGCGCTACACCGTCGTCACTCATTCAACCATTAACTTCAACCATATATTACTGTGTAGTATTTAAACCAGAAAATTGTTGTTATTGAACGAGAGATGGAGGACAAAGCCACGCCGAAGAAGCACTGATGATGCACTATGACCACTACATGATCGTGATGATGGTGCTTTGTCTCAAGATGTTGAGGGCCGTAATTAGTGTTGTGAATGTAATAAACGTGAGCGCTGTTGTGTCTTTGTCCATGGTTCGCAAGGTCTTTGGCGTACCCAGATTATCGAACGCAGGGGTGCAGATATGTAGCGGCTGTCATTAAAACAGATAAGTATTGAGGGTATACTACCAAATGAAGATACATGTTATGATACTTCGTGTCTTTGCTTGCCATGGTCGTGACCGAATGCGCCTTGCAACCAAACCAAACACGCTTAATCGCAAAAACGCCAACAGTACTGCGAGTCGTACGCTCATTGTAACGATATGTTAAAGTTATGCAACGCTAATTGAAACTAACCGGCAAACGCGAATCGCTTGAGGCTGAACATCGGCTTTCGGGGCGAGCACTCACTTTCGGCTTCGCTATCCGGCACAAGGAGGTCTTCGCTCCCCTTCAGTGATGATCTCCTTCTCTTCGCAGGCGTCATAGGAGGTGGTGAGCTCGCGGCTACAAACACTTCGGCCTCCGTGGCAGTCCGTGTAGAGTTTGTGAGTTCAACTCCTTTCCCCTTCTTGGATGGTGTTCCAGGGAGAATGGATTCTATACCAGGCACGGCAACGGACGTGGGTACGGATTCCTGAGATGGTGTAGGTTGCCAGGCCTCAGTAGGTCGGCGGTTTAGACGGCTTTTGTTGGCTCGTGGTACCCCCGGTGATGGTGAGGGAGATTTGTAGGTGAACTTCGATCGCAGTTCACTCATCTGGGATGAGATTGCAGCGCTAAAGACCGTCTCAGGTTCTGGCGAAGATGCCGGTGTGAGGGTACCGATAGTATCCTGGGATTGCGCAGTGCTGCCTCTAGAGAAGATAGTTGATTGTGAGTCGCTTCTTACACTAGACTGGGTATCACTAAAGACACGGAGCTTCTTTTTGGGTTCAGCCGCAGCTTGTTCTAGATCAACCACCTCGACCATAACCTCCTGAATGGAGTCATCGGAGTAGAGCTCGAAATCCTGGTCGGTCTTTCTCCTACTCTTCTTCGCTCGGTGTAACGTTGGGCTTGGCTCTGGCATGGAAGATGTGAAGAATTGACTCCTGACGACACCCTCACCGCCTGCAGTAGAGGTCTCGGAAACGGAATCGGAGCACAGTCGTTGTCTCTTAGAAGGATGCGGAACCGATCGTCGACCGGTAGTTGGATCAGTCATCGTACGTCGGGGTGGTTGAGGCGCCGTACTTGGCGTTGGCGGTTGCGGTCGCAAGCGTGAGATTGGTGCAGGTACCGCAGCCCAACTATTGGAATCTCGTTGCTGTTCCAACAAGACTTGCTGACTTGGTGATGGTGTGAACAGATTCGGAGACAACTCCGCCAAAGGGGTACGCTTGGCCTTGAAGAACGAGTCGATCGGCTTCATACCTTTCGCATCCGGTGTCTGGACGACTGCTGAGGCTCTGCGAGAGGGGACAAGAGGTTTTCCGCTCGGTTTACTGCTGCTGATGATGTTCATCGGGAGTTTCGTACGTGGGTATAGATCGCCCTGTGCAACACCCATGGCGATATGTGAAGGTACTTCCTCTCCAATGTAAGGCATATCGGCAAGGTTGACTCCCTCTTCGAGTGGCGTAAGATTGACCAGCTGTTTTGCGACTGGACAGTAGACCCATTGGTAGAGGAAGGTTTTCTCTGCTTGATCGAACGATGCCATAAACCCAGCTGGCACCTTGAGTTTGCCGTCAAATTGAGCAGCTTTGACAAGACGGTCGACAGTCTTGTGCTTTCGTAGCATTCGGTGGGCAGTCTTGAGGCCCAGTCCACCAATACCTGGTAGGTAATCGCAGCCGCTAAGGATGCACATTCTTCGAAAATCAGCGTCAGACCAGCCCACCAAGCTAACCTCCCTACAGGCGGTGAAGTGATTCCTGTTGACCTCGATGCACTCTCCCCATTTGTCAAGCTTTGTTATCAGACATTTGACGCCAAAGACAAGCAGGTCCGAATCTTCGGATAAGACCCCATCGATGATGCCCTTCCGCTCCAGGTATGCCAGCTGCGAGTCAGCCTCGTAAGGCGCGACGACGTACTGAACATTGTGGTGCTTCAGCTCTTCGATAACCATCCGCGCCATCTCGGGTGTCACGTCCACGCTCTTCTGTAGTTCCTGTTGCGCTTGGGCTACCTTGCCGACCTTCAGGAGTTCCAATCCAAGTCTTTTGCCCTCATTTCTCCTTTCTCTCCGACCCTTTTCTGTGCCAGCTTTGCTTGGTAAGTTGTCTCCATCGAATACAAGGTAGGGTGTGACGCCGAAGTGGATAAGCATGCGGACGCGGTGCATGACAAAGTCGACATATCTGGGATTATGTTAGCATATGGGCGTCATATACACGACGCATTAATGCATACTTGGTCGTCGGCTTCTCGAGCGCCAATTCAACGGCACAGGCTGCGGTACCTCGGTGGAGCCAGCCATACGTATCCACGCCAATCGTCTTGCCAGCGTATTTCTTGAGGTCACATGGTTGTTGAACCGATTTAAGTAGTGGAAGTAGGCCTTTTCCGGGATTAGCATTGTAGGGGGAGTGATTGGGTGTACTGACCTGAGATACCCATCTTGTACCCTTTGCCGCTCACGCGTCCGGCCTATACAACGGACTGAGACGCACCAACTACCGCAACATGTTGTCGTCGTGGACCGGCGATAGGAGAAGAGAAGCTCTTGTACACTTGTACACTAAAGACAAGAGAAAAGGATGCGCGTTCACGATCTAAAGTGTGGAGCAGTCATTGATCGCGGGTACACGAGATGACAGGAACGCGCCCCGCTAACACATGCCCTAGTCTATATCCGTCAACTAGCGTGATTCCGAACGCCGACGCGCCGACGGATATCCAAAATTTCTTACTCCAGCACCAGCACCAAATCAAACATCAAACATTCAAAATGGTCAGCAATCGCCTCGACAAAGTGCACAAGAAGATTACGAAGAAGAAGGGCAAGAATCCCAATCTTCATGAAGGCAGTCGGGACACGAAGCGGTTACAGAGCGCAGCGCAAAGAGACGACAAGCTCAACCGCCTTACTAAAGTCCGAGAACACCAAAATCGTCCATACCGTATGCATACAGTTGCCAGTAGGTTGATATATCATAGCTAACGCGTGACAGTTTTAAGAATAAAATCGTTCCAATCATATACCACAGAGCACGAATCACCACTCAGTGTACCCGAAGTCCAGGCTATGATCGAAGACTACCTAGGTCGCGATGATGAAGAGCTGGCAAAATTGAAAGCAGAACGTCGTCCGGGACGACCACCAAGCACGCGTCAAAACCTGCTGGAGATTAACCAGAAAACCGAGCAGGACGAGTATGCTTCCGGCTTCTGGGTACCGGACCTTGAGGACGTTATCAACCTGAGGAAGTTGAAGGAATGGAACGGTCAGTGGGCCCAGCTCGCCACGCTCAAGTTTGCCAGGATCTCGAAGGGAGGGTTCAGGAAGGAGTCTAGCTTCCCACCAAAGGGCATGTCGTGAGCGAAGGAGACTGTTTCAACCGCGGCCTCGAAAGCTTATCCAGAAACCGGCACGCGGCGCTCGAGGAGTTCTATCGGTCGATAAGCGACTGTTATGCATTTTCGGTACTGTCAGTGTTTAAATGGGGATCGATAGTTTTCCCACTAGTTTCTGGAGCCTTCCGCGCTTTTGTCGACAATCTGGCGATCTTATTTCCATGAGCGCTAGTATATGCAGTCCTTATCCAGGGTGGGCTGTCTGCACAGCGCGCCTGTTCCCTAAGCATTCTCGGACTACGCAGTAATCCGGAGAAGATTGAATGAGGCAAGCTTGCAATGAGCACCCAAATTTTACCTACATACTGTTAGTGGGCTTTCTGGAGGCTGATGTTCGAAAGCTGGTGCGTCTGTGGACTCACGGAACAACCGACACCGATTTAGCAAAGACGAACGCAATTCGGGAAGGCTCAAAAATCTACGCGCTGAGGAGCAAACGCCAACCGTGATCTACATCGAACTATAGCCGCGTCAAAACTTTCAACGACAACGTATGTATACCCAGAGAAATCTACTTTACTGCGTCTTTCGACTAGTTTGCGTTTAACCATCCTATAATCGTATCCTGTTTACTTGTATTGTTGGAACGCAACATGCCAAACATTCATCCCCTTGATCCCGTCCCTCAACAATGGGATAATCCTCGCAAAATCCTCAGTTTTACGAAACTCCATATGTGCTTCCACGTTTGACCATCCGATGAACCCGGCAAACAACTTCCCGTCAACACCCTCACCAAGCTTCTCATGCTGATGCGGTTCAACACTCCATCCGCCAATCAAGCCTTTAGCTCCTGAGTTCGGTATCTCAGAGGCCTGGGCGCAGAACTTAGAGAACTGGGAACTGTATTCGTCTTGTGGGTAATCGGGAGAGAAGAAGCCGTTCAAGCACTCAGTGACAGGCATGGTGAATGGGTTATCGGATCCAGGCTGTTCCGCCGGGAATTTTACGTGGAACATTGTTAGGTCGCCGGCTACCAGTTTCTCCATTATTCTTGACACGAAGGGCTGGTATCCTGGAGTTTTCTCAAAAGTTTTGTGAGCATCGATAGATTCCCAGTCTATAATCGATCAGCAAGGTGGAAACAGCGGTCGGCTGACCAGTGATGAAGTGAATACATACCTACGAGCATCTGGACGGTATCCGGGTTCTCAATCTGTCGACCCCAATACAATGCTTTACAACCAGGCTGTTTGGCAATGGTACTCAAGGTTGAGTCCCATACTTTTTTCGCCTCACCCGATGAGAGATCGAGACCAGGCCTCATAGGCATGTATACGACCTCAGTAGCGTTTTCAGACATCTTGGGTTTGGGTATGTAATCGACGATTATTGTTTGAGTATAGAGCAGTGAGAAAAAACAGAGTGAACAAGAGAAACACTAAGCAGAACTTGTGTCCTGTGTATGAAGTTCAAAATAGTGACGAATGTGAGAAGAGAAAGAGAGAGATGATGGTTTTCTATGGTACCTGAATGTTATACGCTACGCGTATACAATGAGCTGCTTACCCCACATTGACGTAGTGGGATGGACCGAAGGCGGGGCGGGCCAACAAAGTGGGAACTGCACACATCGTCAAAGGTCGCTTATTAAACATCTCATTCTGTTCTTCCACATCCATACTACGTCTAGACTGGGTGCGCATAGAAGAAGGAATCGTCATCAAAAATGCCGGTTAAAAGCAGAGTTCTCCGGCTTAGATACGGGAGAACGATTAGGTAACGAAGCCGCCCAATGCCATACCTAATGAGGACTTACACAGTAACTCCTCTAATGGCCGATCGGACGCATTAATGCCCCGAAGCACGGAACCGAAGGTTCAACTGGCATTATAAGCCGATCGCTAACCTAGTCTAACCCCGAGTACGCTTCAAAGCATGCGTGCTAGTAAATGCCTCAATCCAAATCATGCGCAAAGAAATCCACTCCAGATGTATCAGCCCTTGCGATTCCAACGCCGCGCCTGTCCCGTACTCCCGTTCCTGTCGCTTTTGTATGCAGATGGAATGCCTCCAGTTTTCAACATATGCCGGCAGGACGCGCAGGCTATAGTATTGCAGCCAGGACATTGCTCTGCAAACTTGAATAATGATCGGGTACAGTGCGCACAGATGTGATGACCTTCAACTTTGTTCCACCAAAGTCTGTGGTTACAGTTACTGGAGCTCTTCTTAGTTTGAGTTGGTCTTCTCGCTCGCTCCTCGTCTGCTGCTTGTTTTCTCACTTGCTCCGCTTCTTCTTGGTGGGCTTTACATCTTGCTTCCCAGGCCGCACGTTCCTTTCTCTCGCGCTCTGCAGATTCCCTTGCTTGTTTCGCTTGCTCTTGCCGGAAACGCTCTGCCGCTTCTTGAGCAGCTTTGTTCCGCTCAGCCTGTTGTCTCGCCCACTCTTGTCGTTGAGCTTCTTTGGCTCTTTCTCTTGCAAGTCGTTCCATACTCGCCTTATGGGCCTTCTCAGCCGCTATTCGTTTATCTTCTTGAACCTTTCGCCGCGTGAGTTGGTCTTCGAGTTGCTTTAGTTGTGCTCTTGCTTTATCTAGGGGTATCTGCTTGATCCGAATAGCATTGTCCGCGTTGATGGAGGCTAACCTGATCTCGCTCTTCTCCTGCTCACTCAGTCTCTTACTCAAGAATGCAAAGAAATTCCAGGCGTACGGAACATCGTTCGCTAGTTTCGTGCGATTGTTATCAATTGTCGCATTGAGACGGTCGACTTCGGCTTCGAGGGGTTTGATGATATTCTGAGATCGTCGGATTTGTTCTTCGTGGGATCTCTCGAAGTCTAACCAGTCTCGTCGCTTTCTGTCGCTTTCTGCTTGCGCACGAGCTTCATCTTGAGCTGTTGTGTCGGGACGCGGGGGTGGTTGATAGTTTGACTGTGGGGTGGACGTAGGCTGAGGGCTAGGTCGACTGCCGAATGATGGCGCCTTTAGCTGTGGTCGACTTCGATCGTATTCGCCTCGCTTGTCTGCGTCTCCAAGGACTTCCCATGCTGCATTGATCTGTGTCTAGTGTTACCATTGCAAACTTCCTGTTGCACTGTTCTCTCAGAACGGTTGCTCACGAGCTGGGTCTTCGCGGTTGCGTATCGACATCCGATGTTCTTATCTGGATGATGCAATCGTGCGAGACGGCGATACGACGCCTTGATCTCATCACGAAGCGCGGTTGGTAGCACCTCTAAGGTGACGTAGTAGTCGTGGGTGGGGGCAGGAGGAGCCATCCCTCGTGTAGACTAGCTGTTATAGTCGATGCCCTAGGAGGTCATAATATCTAAAAGTGTTCGATTCGGACAGATTACGATTGAATGGAGAAACAGTGCTGGAAAGATCCAGCATTATGAGGAAACTGGAGTTGCAGCCTGGACGAGGCTGTGGGTTCTAAGCGCTGTGGCACCGCGACCCATTTACAGACCGCTAGAGAAGGTGAGAGCGAGAGGAAGAATGATTCGATGTCAGTCAATATCAACTAAAACGTAGCGAGAACCCATGGTTTGCAGTGCCCACTATGTCTATGCAAGGTGTATTACATTTTCCTTTTCAGTCCCATATGCATGCAATCGCTATCCAAACGTCCCAAATAACAATTACGCTTAATCATACACAATCATAATCCAACACCTGTATTGACAATACCACACCTCAATTAACCTTTGTGACCTTGATTCCACGATCGAGAAGCGCATTCTTGAGACCCTCAGCAACCTGTTTTCTCGTCCTGGCGGTCTGTCGCAAGCTGTCGATGTTGTCATCAACCAGGTCGCTCAGACGAGCAATTTCTTTGCCTGTTGTCGGACTGCCTTCGGGCGTATAGAACAAACCATAGCCCTTGCTAGGTGTAGGCGTAGCCTCGACGTCTGGGGTGAGAGCACGACGGTTGAGCTCGCTCAAACTCATCTTATTACGGTTGGTTGGCGGCGTAGTGTACGGTGTGTCAGCAATGCTTCGGCGGAGATCAGTGCCACGAGATCGGCGGGGCGTGCCGGCGTTGCGTGATGAGGATGAGGATGGACGACTGGAATCTGAGAGACCGATCTTGCGCATTTGTGCCTCGAGGACGAGAATATCATTGTTCTTCTGCTCGGCTAGGCTGGCCAGTCGGAGGACTGTCTTCTTCACAGCTTCCATGGATGGCACCGCCTTTGTACTGCCGTTCTGGGCGTTGTGCGAAGCTAGACGTGAGCGCAACACTGCAACAGCATCTTCGGCCTTGCGTAACGATGTCAATAACTGGGCATAGTCGTTACGCAGGGCTTTCTGCCCATCCGCAAGTTCCTTCGGCAACGGTGCCTTGCGGAGTGCTTCTGCCTTTTCGGGGTCTTTGCGATTGATTATTTGGCGGCGTATATCGTTAAGACGAGTCATCAGCTTGGCTTTGTCGTGAAGTAAGCGAGCAAGCTGTGTAAGCTTGACGAGCACGTCTTGTACGCGTCCAGCATCGAGCTCTTGCTCAAGCTCGTTTTCAAGAGACCGTAAGGCTTGAATCTCACACAGTGTGAACTTCTCGAACCACGAGCCATGAGCTCCCTCATCTTGAACATCATCCAGCATACGTCGATCAATTTGGTGATCGGACTGAGGCTGCAGGTGATATTGTGTGAACGATTTGATGGATCGTGCGTTCCAGCCAAGTGCGTCTACCATGCCGTTGATGTCCTTGTATATCAACTCGATCTGGGCGGCGTGACCGGTCTTGCTAGGCGACTTGCCACCAGTGTAATTTTGGTATGCGACGAACTCCTCCAGGTTCCGGCTGGGTTCAATCGGCTGCGCAAGCTGTGCCCGCATCCGCTCATCTTCCTCGTCTTCAAGATCGGAGACCTGTGGTTGCGGCGTAGGTGGCTTGGACCCGAGCATAGATGAGCTTAGTGAAGCACCCGGTGCGACCAGAGGTTCTCTTCGAACACGAGAAGCTGAGCTTGAACGAGCTGGACTAGGCGAGCGAAGGTCTTGGGCGCGGTTTGCCGGAGGCGGAAAATTTGGTTTCGCAGGCATTGATGACTGAGGGCCCTTGGTCGGTTGTTGTCCAAACAGTGACGAGCCTGCGAACGATGGCTGGTTGGCAGCAGGTCTCGAAGGTTGAGAAAACAAGGAAGGCTGGGCGGTTGAAGCGTTGCTTCCCGACTGTGATGTGGCGCCGGATTTCATGGTGGGAGGAGTCGGCGCAGGGGGGAAGAAACTTTTCGACTGATTCATACTGTCTTGGAAGGTCCAGTTACCTGGCTTCGCAGCTTGTGATTTTGATGCGTTGTTTGACGGGAATGTGTTGTCGGCTTCTTCAACATCGTCCTCATCCTCATCGGAGAAGTCTTCCTCGTCTTCATCTTCATCCTCATCGCTCTCCTCATCGTGGTCATGGTCATCCTCATCCTCGTTGTCAATAGGAGATGCGTCAACGGAAGAACTAGGTGCTTCTACTTCAACGCCGGGACTGCCGGCGAGTGGAGGCAAATCATCGCTAGTCGACTTCGGCAGCTTGGTGTTGATGAAATCCGGAGGGAGAGGCGCATCGTCAGACTTCGAAGGCTTAGCCTTGGTGAAGTCTGGTGGCAAAGGCGCGTCATTCACCGGAGTAGCGGCCTCTTGTATGGGTGGTGCAACCTTGGGAGTTGCGCTCTCTTTTGCAGGGGTTTCACCAAATAGTGGCTTTGGCTTTGGCGGCGATGCTGGAGTAGTGGAGACGTATTGTGGAGGAGCTTCACTCGCTGGAGTAGCAGGCGGCTTCATGCCTGTCTTTCCTAGCATATTGGCAAAGTCACTACCGAAGAACGAGCCATTGGCAGGAGCCGCCGGCTTCGCTGGATCGTCCTTGGCTGTGCCATCGCTTGCAAAAGTAGTGCCGAGCTTGAAGCCACCTGCAAGACCGAACAGACCTTGTGATGGCTGAGTTTGTGGTGTAGGTGTAGCTTCATCCCTCTTTCGGTCCGTGTTTGCGGAGCTCGTGTCGGATTCCTTCGACTCAAACGAGGCCGTGTTGAACGAGGATTTATCTGGTTGTCCAAAGATTGAGCTGCTCTGCTGAGCGGGCGTGTTTGCCCAAGAGGGCAGGGACGACCCAGTACCAGAACCAACGGTCACGGTAGAACCAAAGCTCGGCTCCGTCTTCAGGCCCGCAAAACCAGACTTCTGTTGCCCTTGTCCAAGTGATGCAAATCCTGAGCCGGTTTGCGCGGAGTTGTTGCTTCCAAAGCTCGAAAAGGAGTTTGACCCTCCAGTACTTCCAAACTTGGCAAACCCGGACGAGCCACCAGCAGCGGCCGAAAAGGGATTGGATTTTGACTCGGAGGATTGTGCAGGCGCTCCCCACGGCGATGCTTTGTTTCCCATTCCACCCGCTGCCCCAAAACCGGAGCCACCAGCAGCGCCCACAGTGGAAGGTGCTCCAAAGGCAGGCTTTGCGGGATTGCCGATTGCAGAAGATGCTCCAAAAGCTGGCTGAGAAGGCTTACCAATCGAAGAGGGAGCACCGAATGCAGGCTGAGAAGGCACACCAAAAGCTGATTGAGAACGCGCGCCAAAAGCTGGTTGAGCAGGCTTGTCGATTGAAGATGGAGCACCGAATGCGGGTTGCGTGGGCTTGCCGAACGTTGGGGCAGGCAGATTAGTAGCAGCAGTACCGAACCCGGGCGTTCCGAAGCCTGGAGGTGTAGGCTTCATCAGAGCGGGGGTTGGTGTACCGAAGCCATTTCCAGTGTTACCAAACTGGGGAATGCCTGATGTTCCTGGGGTTGCGGGTGTTCCTACGGACTTGCTAAAGGGGGTAGAGGTAGCGATGGGGAGTTTTGACGCAGGAGTAGAAGCCCTCGGAGTTGATGAAGACGGGTGTTTGGTGGCTTCACTGTTGAAGATGAGACCAGGGTAGCGTTCGCCAGCCTCAATAGATTTATTCCAGACGACCCACCAGGCCGAAAGAAGACCTTCATGGGTAAGAGCCATGTATGCAGGCAACGGCCACGGCGCCTCGTTGATCTCTTCCAACGCGGGGATGGGGCGCAATATCTTCTCCTTACTTGACAGGTCAAGTGCCTCCCCAATGAAGACGCTGTCAAGTTCAGTGTCTCCATAAGCTGTTCGCGGTACCTGAGCCTTTTTGGTGTCGTCAACCCCCACCAACATAAGCTCGTTGCAATTCTCTTGGTGTGGAGAAATCTTGTTGCTTGTCGAGGCTAGTATCGCAATGGAGTCTGCGTGGGAGGAGGTAATGATGAGCATATCGTCGAGATCGGGCTTCCAGTTTTGCAGGCGCGTGGACGAGATGCGTGCGGGGAGTAGGCGGCGTGGAGGTTCGAATGCCTCGGGGAGAGGATCCCAGGCAAATGAGTGATACGTGAAGGATCCCCAACCTTTGGCAGATTGTATAACGCTGTACTTCTTGGGTTCTGGACTGTCCTGGTCTTGTTCTTTGAGCGAGTAGACAGCCAGGAACTCTTCGGTTTTCAGCCATGACACGCCCGTCACCTCGTAGTTCTCATCCACATCTGGAGGTCGAGGAATGACACCCCTTAGCTCTCCACTGGTCATGTGTATGGCGCAGGTGCCATCAGTGGAGCCAGAGACTACGGCCTTTCCACGCGCGCTCCAAGCAGCGCAGTTGACGTCGTGTTCTCGGATCGCCTTTTTGGCGCCATTTCCCACGTCGCATATTTCGAGCTTGCCAGAATCAAGGACAATGGCGAAGTACTGTTCGAATTCAGGAGACGGGTTTGGTAGGAGTGCGCGAATGGTCGTGTCTGTTCCCAGTTTGTTATCTGCATCTTTCTTGCCTCGGCTGACAACGTCGGCGACGCTGTAGATAGCCACGCCACCTCCAGCTTCATCGGATGTGACCAAGAAGTCTCCGTCGGCAGAGAAAGCGACATGGCGTAGGTTGGCAGTGGAGATGGTAATGTCGGGTGCGTAGTCTGTTACTACGTCAATGTCGCGGTCTTCGAGGCGCGGGTCATCGGGCTTCTCGATGGCATCGGCGGTAGTCTTGTTCTGGAAAGCCTTGCGCAAGGTGTCTGTAGATGTGATGACGAGGACGTTGGGGCCAGCGGCAGCGAGAAGACCGGGTTTGGAGGCGACGGAGAGCAGGTTGGCGGAAGCAGGAGGGAGATTATCGGTAGGCCATGGCTGGGGGAGGATCTTGACCTTCTTGGGGCCTTGTTTTCCTTGGTTGAGGACCTTGAAGCCTAGATGCTGTGGTTGGATTAGTACAGTCGCATGTCGGTCTGCAGCAAGCTATAGCTACCTCAGTTTCGACCTCTGGAACCTCAGGCCCAGCCTCGACAGCCGGCGCGGGAATCTTAGACATTCTGCAAGACTTGCAGGCCGAACAGGTTCTGGCGCGTAGGAGGCTCGGCTTGGTGTCGCGCGTAGGAGTTCTCAGCTTATTCATATATGCATCGGAGGTCGTGCACGATCGCGCGTGAACAGGGTTGGTGTGTGTTGGGAATGAGCAAACAGGCCGCTATAGGCTAGGCGGGAGGCGTTCCAAAGACTAAAAGACTATTGAAACGGCGGTGATGTAAGGAGGAAGTGCCTGGCGCTCTGATAGTTGAGCGACAAGCATGCGACCATTAGCTCGACACTTTGAAGCGACGCGCTTTGTTGTTCTGAGAAAGTTCCCGAGCTAGTGGAGCTGCAAGGCCGCGCCAAGCCCATTCCCAAGCTCCAGGCACGACAGCTACGCAACCTCACCATCGCCGCCGCCGCCAAAACAATCCCCGGAAGAGACTCGCAACTTTCACATATACACACACACACATACACACGCAGATATACGCCGTCTCCGCAACAAATACCCTCGACTTCACCGGTAGCCTCACACACACACCATGGGCGGCTTCGACTTCTCCAACCACAACCGCAATGCGGCCCTCCACGCCCAGGGTATCCCGCTACCAAAGGCGACGAGCACAGGAACAACCATTGTGGGATGTCTCTTCAACGGCGGTGTGGTAATTGCTGCAGATACCCGAGCTACCAGCGGTCCTATAGTAGCAGACAAGGTAGGCTTGTCCCCGTCATGGACACAGCAATCGCCATGCATCTTGGTCTGACATATACCGTAGAACTGCGAGAAACTCCACTACATTTCCCCTCACATATGGTGCGCTGGTGCCGGTACCGCCGCCGACACTGAGTTCACCACCGCTATCATCTCCTCGAACCTCGAACTGCACGCCCTCTCCACCGGCCGCAAGCCCCGCGTCGTTACCTGCATGACCATGTTGAAGCAGCATCTGTTCCGCCACCAAGGTCACATTGGCGCTTACCTCGTCGTTGCTGGTGTTGACCCCACCGGCGCACATCTCTTCACCGTCCACGCCCACGGTTCTACCGACAAGCTGCCGTACGTCACCATGGGTTCGGGTTCATTGGCTGCCATGTCCGTCTTCGAGACACAGTGGAAGTCTGATCTGTCAAGGGAGGACGCCGTCACACTCTGCGCAAACGCCATCGAGGCGGGTATCTGGAACGATCTGGGTTCAGGTAGCAACGTGGACGTAGCCGTCATCACAGAGGACAAGACCACATTGATGAGGAACTACAAGACACCAAACGCCAGGCAGCCCAAGCAGAGGAACTACAGGTTCCAGCGGGGAACCACGGCGGTGCTGAACGAGAAGATCATCACAAAGGAGGAGATCAGCAAGTATGTTACCGTACATGAGCTCAAGGATGGCGATGTAGCTGGCACGGCCGAGACCATGGACATAGATTCGTAGGGGTGCATAGGTGACATGGCGTTACGAACATGAATGTGTGTTATGCGCCGAATCGGGGTTCCAGAGACGGGCCCTCTCAGCCGGATAGCTAAAAGGCAATATGATGACGATCAATGAACCACTTCACAGACATTCAGAGCAAGCATTAGATGATGGCAACGTTCAGTCATGGCATCTTTTGAGTATTATGTTACCTAACAAAACAGAATGCATCTAAAGCCCTCACTGCAGGCAACATTGTCCAACATCTTCATCTTATTCCTGTCATGTATCTGTCATCTCTAGAACACATTGCCTAACGACACCTCTTTTCGACAATACCAGCACCATGCTCCTCGTACTCCTTCTTCGAAATCCACAACTGGTGGAAACTTCCCAGACTAGCTAGTATACTGCCGCCAATCCAGGCTGCGTACTTCCTCTCCACAACGCTACCAGGTGCAATGAGCTTGTTCCTGGTGCTGGGGTAGATGGCATTGATCTCGTAGTTGAGGCGTTCGTTGAACTTGTAAAGGAGCGTTGAGCCACCTGTCACGACGATGTTGGAGAGGAGAAGCGGGCGCTGGTCTGCATCTACTTGTTGCACTGCGGCTTGGACCAGTCTTGGGATAGTCTGCTCGGGTTTCGGGGCGGGCATGGTTTCGCTAGCAAGCGCGGCGTTGTGGTCGAATAGACCCTCTGCGGCGCGGAACCTCTCGATACCAAAGACCTGGTTCCAACCGTCTGGCATTTCGAAGGGTCGGCCGGGCATGCTCTTTGCGAGCTCTTCGTTTGTGCTGAAGCGGCCGGGTCCGGGCCAGACCTCTACAACCGACTCCTTGAAGGACGTAAGGATGCGCTCTTCTTCGTTCAGACGGAACGAGTCGTTGGGTGGTGTTTCAAAGGTTTTGTAGGTTGCTTGGGCGGGTGCGCCGGCGTCGACTTGCGTTTTGCTCTTGACCATGTAGTGTGGTGTCAGTGGTACTTCAGGCTGGGCTTGCTTGAACGACGTTCGTATCTGGTCTGAAACGAAGTTTCCTGCTAGAGGGGATTTCTGAACGCCCTTTCGTAGCACCATGCCGTCGAGTACAGGAGTAACCGATGTATGTGACGCGCCGACGTCGATGATGATGCCCGACGCTTTTCCTGATGCAAAGGCAGCCAATACACCCGTTTTTTGCAGGAAGAAAGCTGGCGTGCCCCAGTCCTCCATGGCAATCTCGATGTACTTCTCCCGTGCTTTTGCGCTGTTCCAGCCTGGTTCTGTGACGAGCAGCGGGCTGTCTTCCAGAGGCTTCTCGTTGTTCTCTAACGCCTCCATGTCCACGTCCATACCCTCCCCATTTCCATTTTCGTCGTTGCCATCGTTCAGCCCGTTCTTCGTAGGGTCGGTCGGTTTTGCGCCGGTGAGTCGACTCGTGATAGCATGCTCCCACAGCTTGGTCGCGGTATCCCAATCCTCTACTATGCCGTCTGAGCCCCAGTAATTCTTAATATCCAGGCCGCCGATGGGCGCATGTATCGCGTTTTCGCCAAAGAGATGTTCGCCTGAGGACGTCTGGCCGTAGAAGGAAGGGCAGACGGATTTGGGTACATCCTCGCCAGCGAATCCAGCGCGTACCGTCGAGTATCCGGGGTCCAGGACGATCGCAGAGACCTCATCTATAAACCTGGATTAGCATGCGCTCCGTATAAAGCTTCGTGGAGCCTCGTATACCTCCGGCGTATTCTCCCGCAGCTGGTGCGGCCGATGAGTTGGGAATGTTCATTGCGCGCGATTATCGCAATGCGCAAAGCGTTGCAGCAGGTCAATAGTAGAGTGTTAGATCAATTGACGCTTGATTATGGGTCTCTGAGGCTACGTGGGCGCTGTGGTTGGGCGGGCAGGTGTTGGTGTTGGAGCGAAGCTGTCGCCAGACGCGAACTCCAAAAGTTGAGGTTGCGGACCTGGCCTCTATCACCGCACCTGTCCCCCGCGCCTCCATTCCGCACAAGTCAGGGACATACATGCAGGACTTTCAAACACCAGAAGATGAAGAGATAGTGTAGGCAATACAATGGCCCTCAAATTTATTCGCCAGCTCTACTCGCTGGATACCCTCGATACACGCTTCATTGTCCCGGCGACCGCACCCCCGAAAGAAGCGCTCGAGGAAGCCAAACTTGATCCTGTTGGACCAGTACCGGTCAAAGATGGTCGGGATGGGAGTAAGAGCTCAGAAAATAGAAGTCACCCCCCATTATGGAACACGCCGGAGTTCTATTTCTACTACGTGGTCATTCTGACTAGCGTGTTCTTCATGTTCAAGTTGGTGCTGGATGTGTCTCAAGGTTCGTACAGCATAGCAGAAAGAGGGTGAACTATGTTGACTGTTTGTAGAATCTCATCCAAACTATCCAAAGTTTGACCATCTACTATCCGATGGTTGGATACCTGGACGCAAAGTGGTATGTTGCACCATTAACGATCACATGCCATAGCCTAACTTTACAGGACAACACTGATGCTCAATACGGCGGTTTCCGCCAGAACATTCCCTACCTTTTCATCGTTGTCCTGCTTCATCCTATGTTGCGTAAGGCCTATGACCTGTTCTGGAGGGCGGACACGTATACTCAAGTCCGGCCTTCGACAGGCAACGGAGGCCTTACCATGGGCTTGACTCCCAGTGCTGCAGCAGATGCTCGCATGAACCAACGAATTTCCTTCGACCTTGTCTTTGCTGCCGTTTTCCTCGCTGCTCTGCATGGCTTTTCCGCGTTCAAGATCCTCGCCATTCTGTATGCCAACTACTGTATCGGAACCAAGCTTCCTCGACAGTATGTACCAGCTGCCACATGGATCTTTAACGTCGGCACTCTGTTCGCGAATGAGTTCTCAGATGGCTATTCATACGCCACAATCCTTGGCACTTTTCTCCCATCGACAGTATCCGAGAAAGGCCAGCCAGCGTCCAATTTTGGCCACACCCTCGATAGCTACGGCGGCTTAATACCCCGGTGGGAAGTCCTCTTCAACTTTACCATTCTCCGTTTGATAAGCTTCAATCTTGACTACTACTGGAGTTTAAACTCTCGTACTAGTAGTCCCCTCGAAGTACTTTACCCATCCTTCTTTAGTTCGATATAGCTAATAACATCAAGAAGAAACAACTCGACCCTTCCAATCTCTCCGAGCGGGATCGAGTCACTATACCTGCTAAACCTACTGACTATACATTCCGCAACTACTTCGCTTATGCCATGTACTCGCCTCTCTACCTTGCCGGGCCCATCGTTACTTTTAACGATTACATCGCTCAATGCCGGTACAGACCTCACAGCATCACCACCAAACGAACCACTCTCTACCTCGTTCGCTTCATCGTTGTCCTGCTCACCATGGAAATCATGATTCATTACATGTACATGGTCGCCATCTTCCACGCCAGACCTGATTGGTCGCAGTACACACCAGCCCAGCTCAGTATGTTGGGCTTCTTCAACCTGAAGCACATTTGGCTCAAACTTCTCATTCCATGGCGCTTCTTCCGTCTCTGGTCGCTGATCGACGGAATTGATCCTCCCGAGAACATGGTCAGATGCATGTCTGACAACTACTCCGTCATGCATTTCTGGCGCGGGTGGCACCGCAGCTTCAACAAGTGGAGTCTGAGATACCTCTATATTCCGCTGGGTGGAAGCAAGGGCGAAGGCCTGATGGGCAAGGCAAGGTCAGTTGGAAATTACCTGGCCGTGTTTACCTTCATCGCGATTTGGCACGATATCCAGCTTCGATTACTGATGTGGGGTTGGCTTGTCACATTGTTCGTTCTTCCTGAGATCATCGCTTCGTACATCTTCCCAGCGAGGAAGTGGAAGAATAGTCCGGATGCCTATCGCTGGCTATGCGGCGTTGGCGCTGTATTTGAGATCCTGATGCTCATGACGGCCAATCTCGTTGGCTTCGCGCTAGGAGTAGATGGTCTCAAGGACTTGGTTCGTGGCATCGTGGGGACATGGTCTGGTTGGATGTTCCTTGCCACGGCTTGTGGCGCGTTGTTCACTGGTGTGCAGTTTATGTTCGAGTGGAGAGAGAAAGAGAAGCGGAGGGGGATCAAGATGAAGTGTTAGACTTCGGTGGCGCATTGTCTTAAGTACATTACGATGCTGAGCCTATGGACTACTTCCTAGTTACCGATGATTAAATCTTGAGATGCTTTTGAAAACAATATGAGTGGCTTTATCGACACGGTAAGGTGAAGATGACATTGGATCCTGTGACTAGATTATATTGTTCGAGACTTGCAGAAATGTAAACGCAGTAAACAATTTAGTAGGCAGTCTTGATCTTACCAGAGCAGAGTGGTTGTGGTTGTTGCCTGCGCGAGCAAAAAGGCAAAAAGAAAGTGCAAAAACAGTGTTTCGAACCCACAGAGGGTGAGGTGTTTTCCAAAGATTGAGTAAGTGCAGTGTTGTGCGGGACTCGCGGTCACTTCTGGTAAAAGGCAAGAAATGAGTTCGTACAAATCCTCGCACTGCACATTAAGACTCGCAAAATATTGCGTATATATAGTGAGCGAAACTCATCGTCAATGTGGGTGCGCCCAATGGGAACGCTAACGGAAGCGAAGGCCAGTGCAGGCGGCGAAACCCACGGTCTACAACGAAGACGCAAGGGCTGGCCGTGCACTGTTGCCTGTGCGGATGCAGCTCGAGTCGTGCTTCTTGCTTCACTCGCGCAACTGTCGCGATCCAACTTGCGGTCTTGTCGCGTCTCGATTTGCTAGGCAGTCAACGCGGATTCAGGCACGGAAAGGGGTGGAGGTGAGATGGCAGATGCCCCGCGCTTGATTTCCAGGAGGTTTGACAGCTTTGTGGCGGCACACGTGCCCCGCTATCAGGCCGACTCCAGCCTGCGGGTCTCCTTTTCGTCCACATCCCAGTTCCCATCAACGACTTCCATTCAGTGCTCCCTAACAACAGCATGATGCAGGCATTCTCTCATACCCTATGCGTGGTTTGTCGGGTGCGCGTCCAAAGTTCCTCACTTTACTCGTGAGGACTGCATTCATGGCAGGCCGTCGTCTCCAACTGGTTTCAAGTGAGTAACATCATCTAGGCTAAAGGCTTTCTGATCCTTCGTTTTTTCTTGGGACTGCATCTCTCACCTGCAAGCTCCAGAACATTCACAATGCTGTTGTCAAGGCGCGCGTCGTGGGCGCTCGACCAAACGGCAAGCACTTCGTCTCATTGCGAATATGTAGGAATATCGTTCGTAGGTTCTCGCGCTCAGTAGCCATCGTTCCAGTCGTAGTGCATTCCACACCACACCACTCATCCTGCGCCGGGTTTACTATTCTCATCCTCGGACAGATTTCGTCTTATGTTCGCTTTCCAACGACACCCTGCATCTCATTTTAATCTATCAGTTCATCGAATCCAACGAGAAATTGGTATCACAAGCCGACGTATTTACCTCACGAGAGAACTGGTGCAGCAATCTTCACAACTCGTATACCAACAGACACTTACCTCGCAGCTAATACCTATGCCTGTCGCAGCATAATCACATGCTCTCGTGGCTGCATTTGCACACCAGGATACATGCGAATATACGACCTGGTGACTTGATTCGGCAAGTCTTGGTGTATCTCTTTCTTCATAATCCCTATCTTTGGCTTTTCTTTCCATTTACATATCTATGAAATCTTTACCTATGGAGATATCGACTGCATTTCTACATCACTTGGTTCAATACTTGGCTACTTTCTTCATCGCTATTGATGTTGAGAAGCCACGTGCCCATCAGTTCGTCTGATGGGCAGGTTGCCTGTTCTGACATAAATTGTTTCCTTCTCCACTTGGTATTACTCGTTGAGATGTTTGTAGTTCTGCGCCTGAGGCAGTTTGATGTTTCATCCCATGTTCCCTACTATAAGTTCCAGTCCGCGTTTCACCCCACATCTTCTCATTAAAGGCAGTCGCGACCATGATATCTGGACCCTGTAGAACGATCTCCTTTGCCGTTTGTCGTCATTGCTCAAATGGCGCTGGCGCTGCCCGAAAGACGCTAGCGTGGGCAGGTACGGGTACCATAACAGCGCATAATCGTTAACATCACTTACTGCGCTTCCCCTTCAACGCCGAATACAGTCTCTACCGTTCCCTTTGGTTCACAGCTTCCCGGCATCGACCCAACTGGACTCTCTTTCCTTTCTTTCACTGCAGGCAGTCAGTCGCTCATTTCTCAACCCTATATCTGCGCTACGCTGTACTCACCGAGTCTCATTCAAACACCCGACAACATTCCCACAAACAGCACCTTTACGTCATACACACAGGCTAAACATTCCATAACGCTCGCTTCATCATCACCATGAAGTCCATCGTTTTAGCGAGCGCTCTAGCAGCTGTCAGTCTTCTTGTGGGCTCTGCGAGCGGACGTCCTCTCAGTGAGTTACAAGAGCAACCAGCAGCAAGCTTTTTTCCTAACAACCTGTAGACCACAAGCGCAAGCTTGTCACCGAGGTGGTATATGTCACCGAGACGATTGCCGAAGCTATCGTCTACGTCGACGAGGCGGGCGCGGCTTATTCAACCACAACTTCGGCGATACTCACTAGCTCTACCTCTGTAACTGTAGCCGCAACTACAGCTGAGGCAGTACTTTCAAGTTCCGAGCCTCCGCAGACTTCATCGCCCGTGCCAGAACCAGCTTCCTTACCTACCTCATCAGAAGAGCCGTCGTCCACGCTCGCTTCACCTTCAGCGGAGCCTACTGCTGTCGATGTCCAGGATGCGACTACAACACAGGCGACCCTCTCTACTCCTTCCGAAACCCCACCTGCGGCGCCTGCTCCCACACAAGAGCCTGGGCCTACACCGCAACCATCGTCTCCAGCTGGTATCCTGCCTCTGGGCATAACTTGGGATGCCTACACTGGCTCCGCCAACTGCAAGACTGCGGATCAACTCGCTAGTGAATTCAGTAGGATGAAGGATTACAAAGTCATCCGCATATATGGCATGGACTGCAATCAGATTCCGCTTGCAGTTCAGAACGCCATCAAAAACGGTCAGAAGCTTATGGGTGGCGCATACCTAGATACCAGCGGTGGCGGCGAAGACCTCAGCCAAGTCATCCAGGCCTACAAGAGCGCCATCGATCAGTATGCCGGCGGCAATTGGGATGTTATCCAACTCTTCGCCGTCGAGAATGAGCGTGTCAACGAGCACAGAATGACATCCTCACAAGTCGTTGACGCCATCGGTCGCGCTCGCAGTCAGCTGCAAAGCGTCGGTTACAACGGTCCTGTGGGCGCAGTCGAGACCGCACCTGCTACGATCGATAATCCTGCTATCTGTGGGGCCTCAGATGTGGTCATGGTCAACATCCACGCTTTCTTCGACAGAAACACACAGGCTCAGGATGCCGGTGCGTTTGTCAAGAGCCAAGTTGAGCGTGTGAAATCTGCCTGTGATAACAAGCGCATCGTCGTCACCGAGTCTGGTTGGCCTCGCCAGGGTAATGCCAATGGCGCTGCTATCCCCTCACCTGACAACCAGCGTATCGCTCTTGAATCGATCCGTGCCAATTTCAATGGCGACATGTTCCTCTTCAGTGCCTTCGACTCGGGGTGGAAGGCAGACTCTGCATCAACCTTCAACGCTGAGCGTTATTGGGGTGTAATCGATTAACTGTCCTGAAGAGAGCTACCACAACTTGTTGGAAGGATATCGCGTCTTACGTCTTACGACATGCATCTTTCTTATTGCATCTCCCAACAAGCAAGTTTATACACCCATCACTTCTGCCATCTTTCTTGCCGACGCACCCGCGGCCCAGTGCTGCGTAAGTGTGTATGGAAGATCATTTCTGGTGTTAACATGCTATGGGTATGGATACGAGAAACATACATCATGTAACATAGATACCACAATCTCAAATGAATGAATGTTTTCAAATCGATTATGTGATCTGGCTTGCACGTGGGCTGCTTATTGTACGAGTCTGTGTTGTACGACTTTCTATGATTTGCTATATAATACCTCATGTGTCTAATACGTAGATATCAGATGTTGTCGTTTTTCTTTCCTCTATGTTTTTTGCCTTCTACCAGCCTCCATACCCTTTATCCTCGATTGGTCTATTTAATACCCTAAATCTGCAGCGGTCTCCTCCAATGCCTTGACAAGTCCATCCAACGTGCCCTTGATCAATCCCCCATTAACCACAACCCTAAAGAATTTACCCTTGTCACCCGGCGCAAAGTCAATCATGAATCCTCTGCTAATAAGCCTACTAGCAATCTCCGTCGTCGCCTTGCTATTCGCATCCGCCTCTCCCTTCAGTTCCCCTCCCCTGGCATAATAAAAGCACACCTGCAGACACGGCAGCGGTTCCGGACTAATTGTCTTGAAGTTGCCACTCTCCTTCAGTTCCCTCAAAAGATACTCTCCGTTCTCGTATCCACGGGCCACCAAATCGCTAAAGTGCTGCGCACCGTAGTATTGCAAGGCTAGGAACATCTTGAGCGAGTCAGCGCGACGACCGCATTGGGGGGTCAGATCAGCGAGGTCGTGGATATCCGCTGCATCGGTTCCCGGCGCGTTGTGGAAGAGGTAGCCGGCAGGTAGTGTGAGGGCACGGTGGAAGGTGTTCATGTCGCGGCCCAGGAGGAAGGAACATGTCACTGGTACACCGAGCATCTTGTGCGGGTTGATGGTTATACTGTCGGCGAGTTCAGCGCCCTTGAGCCGTGACTCGCGGTACTGGGCGTTGAATACTACACTTCCACCCCACGAGCCGTCAATATGGAACCAGAGGTTTTGTTCTTTACAGATCTTGCTGAGAGCGGTGAAGGGGTCGAAGGAGCCGAGGACGGTGGTTCCGGCTGTTGCGTTGAGTATCAGTGGTGTTTCGCCGCGCTCTTTGCTTTCCTTTACGCAGCGTTCAAATTCGGAGGGGATCATGCAGCCACGATCGTCCACGGGGACCGGTATGACGTTCTTGGAGCCAAGACCGAAAAGGTTGGCTGCTTTCTCAACTGAGTAGTGGCCGTGGGCTGAAGTGAAGACGGTGAATTTGTGAGATCCGTTACCGTCGGTTTTTGTCTCGGGGTAAAGGGTGTTGCGAGCGATTACTATGGCAGAACTGTTTGATGCGCTGCCTCCTGGTTGGGAGATGCCTCCTGAAGTGGAGGAAGGAAGGCCAAATAGTGAGGCTAGATATTTTGTAGTCCGTTTTTCGACCAGTGTTAGGACGGGGGAGACTTGGTAGACGTGTGACTGAGGGTTGTTAGTCGTGTCGTCTTCATAAAATCTGGAGGGCAAAACATGCATTAGTGTTCAATACTGCCAATAACAGCTCACTGACTACTCCCACGGCATTCGTACTGGCGTACAACTTATCAAGAAACCCTTGATCCCATGTGTTCACGGAGTATTTCAAAACACTTTCCACAACCTTTAGCAACCCATCTTTACCGGCCCTCTCATCGTTGATTTCCAGCTCCTCCCTAAGGATGGATTCCAGCTTCTTAGGTGGGTGATGCTCCACTAACGTGGTTCTGGGCCCGCCACCTTCGATCTTCAGTCCGTGGCCTGTGTGCTTTGTCGCTGCGTCTTCGTCTGCGGAGCGGATAAAGGGTATTATCAGCTCTTGAACGGCGTCGAGAAGCTATTTGTATTGTTAGCAGGCATCTCCATAGCTGATCCCTGAATTTCGATTGGTATGTGGTGATGTGATAACAGGTGAGGGGAATAATGTGAGTTCAGGATGTTTCCGAACATGGTCGGAATGCTCTTCCGAAGCACCACTTACGTCTTTGACTTCATCAGCGCGATTGAGTGGTTTTTCCTGTAGTGTGCGAGCCATTTCAAGGTAATTCTAGAGAGATTATGGCAAATTAATATGAAGATTGTCAAGAAAGCAAGTTTGGTTCACGGTTAAGATGTAAGATGAATGTAGAAGAAGTCACAGTGTACAAAGAAGATTGCTAAGATATCGGCGTTAGCGCTGACATAGAAGAATGACGAACATAGAGTCATCGATTGTGTCTACTCGGGGTATAAGCCCACATTCCTAAAACGCGAAAGTTCTCATGCAATTAAGCCACTAAAAGGTATCTAGAGTCGTCGAATCAGAAAAATGCGTACTCAGGACCCACCCAAACCCTGCTCGAAAAAACGCCGTTTTTGCATGCCTCATTCTCAGGAACGGTGCTGAACATATGAAATCCCTGTACAAAAACGGGATGAGACACTATTATTGTGCAGCAAGGCTCTTTGCCTTGCTGCTGCTGCTTCCGTTGCTTACGCTGCTGTTTGTTGTCTGACTCCCCTTCCTCGGCTTCTTGCCATCCTTGGCTTGTGCGGCCTTGGCAGCGGCGTGCTTTTGCCGTGCTAGTTCGATGGCGGTCAGATGTCTTCCCTGTCGATGGTTTTGCGGTGGTGTTGCATCACCATTTGACTCTGGGAAGCTCTGGAAGCCGTCATTACCGGCTGTGTAACGCGATTGTGTGACCCAATCACCGCGTTTGCGTTTGTATAGATCCATGCGCCAGTTTCGCCAGACTGCGCGACCCACGAAGGATTCGCGTAGCGAGTTCTCGTTCTCAGCCAGCTCTTCAGCAATGCGCTCGCGGATGAAGGCGAGGCCAGCTGTACCGTGCCATATGGCGTCGATTACATGAGACGCGGCAGGGTCCAGTGCGAGTTCACCAATCTTGCCATAGAACTGTTGTATCATCTTTCGTCGAAAGATAACAGAAGCATTCTTGGACATCAAGGCTGCTTGAAGCGTACGCGATGCTGTAGAGTCGCGGGCCAGCTGAATCGCGAGTTCAGGAGATAGGTTGGCAAGAGAGTCAAACACGAGCTGACCAAGGGGTCCATCCACCGTCATCATGGTTTGTGCCAGCAGCGAACCATGTACCTTTTCTGGCGAATGCTCGTGTTTGGCACGAGGCTTACCATCCTCCTCACTGAGCTTGAGGATGCGTGTAACTTCAAAGCCGTTGGAACCGGCATATGCGGTCTCCAGCTGGGCCTTGATAGGCGAGCAGTCTATCTCTCGAGCCACGCATCGCTCAATGAGCGTCTTGATAACTCCTGTCCGACCACGTTCTACCAGGCTAGGAATTTGGTCCACGATCTGACGCATAGCCTCGTCTAGGTCGTCCTTGCCAAGTCGTTCCATGATCTTTCCAACCACGTAGGCTGCAATCTCATTGCGTGCTAGCGTACCCATTCGCTCCTTGAAGAACTCTCCGTAGATGGACTTGAAGACCTTTCCAGGCGCATTCTCGATGATGACTTCTAGCAGTCTGGAGCCAATAGTGTCGTATACAAGCCCGTTGATCAAGATGGCGCTTTCCGTTCCCTCAGCAATGGGATTGTCGGGCAGTAGTCGGTGGATGATGGACTTTTCGTCCTTGGCCCGCGACTTGCCAAAGTGGGAAAGCTCCAGCTTGAGCAGCAGTTGTAGGGTGGGACTACCGAGTGGGTGCGTGGTAAGAGTGCGGAGGTAGTGCGACTCAATCCCGGAGACACTCTCGGTAATGACCTTCTCCAGCGCTTCCGAAAAGCTTTCGGGCACGGCTCTCTCTTCCAGCAAACGTTCTTGCTCTTTCTCTGCGCCTGAGACTGTGACCTTTTCCTTCTTCTTGCTCTGCATGGCCGATTTGTTCTGTTTTTCAAGCGGAGCGCCCGACAAGATGACCAACAGCACGCGTAGCACATGCGACGCATACTTGTCCGTCATTAAGAAACCCATGTAGCCTTCCAGCTCGCCCAGCGTGTATAGAAACAGATTCTCCATGGAAACGAGGACCTGGTCGGGGTCAGACGACGGCGGCGTTTGTATTTTCTCGGGCTTGATAGCAGTCTCTTGGGTGACGACGGGCGCAGCTTGTATGAAGAGGGCTTCGCAGCAGTGGGAGGCGAATCGGTTCTGGACGAGGTTGAGGAAGCTGCGATGTGTTAGCATGTTGGATGCGGAAAGAGCGACGGCGCACATACTGGCCACTGAACTTCTGGAATAGGCCCTTGAGCTGGTCTGGCGAGGAGAGAAGGATCAGCCGTTCGAGCAGGCGCGACGTTTGGCTGCTCGCAATCTTCAGTTCCTTGCCATCGGCCTCCCTCCAGACACTGGCGAGGAAAATGTCGCGGTCTTGATCGCTCTCGAATTGGTTCAGCTCGAGCATCTCGTCGGCCTTCTTGAAGTACTCCTGCTCCTGCTCGTCGAGCATTCCGTAGAAGGGCGTCGCATCTGGGCGGGCGACGTCATGTTCGGCGACATGTTGGGCAGGGTTTTCAGCTTCGAGCTGATCGATGTCTTCTTTTTTGAATCGTTTTGCACTTGCATCGTCGTCGACATCCCTCTTCCGCTTCTTCTGCTCCTCGCGACGACCGCGCTTCTTGTGTTCCTTGGGCATGGCGACTGGCGATGACGGCGGCGCAACACAAAAAAAGTTCGCAACTTCGGCTAACGGGTGGGGAGGTCAGTCTGCAGTGCTCTCGCGATTGTGCAGGGCAGGCCACGCAGTAAATAGACACGAGCAGAACAGAGGCGCCTAGGCCTCGGAGACAGCGGTACAGAAGTTTACGGGGGCGTGGGACACGGCAGTGCTTGCATTAAGGATGTTCTCCAATAGTGGCCTGACGCACGGTTGGATCTTGGATCTTGGATCTAGGAATCGCTGGGATGATCGATCGGGGACGCCACAAAATCGTGGGAGGTGCCGCACGAACCACCCAGGCCCTCCTACCGACGTCGCCACAGCTGCGTAGTGACATGCCTAGGCGCAGGCCAACGCCCACCAAATTCAAACATCGTACGAGATGGACGACAACCAGACTCGCGTCGCCGACTTCCTCGACGACAAGCTCCAGAATGCCGCCGACCTAGACGAGCTCGACGCCCTATTGGCTAACATCACCACGCAGCATGGCCTCCTCCGCCAGCAGCTCGACGACGCACAGCGCGACCTACATACGGCCAAGGAGGCGTCGCATTCGCACCATGGCGACCTCACCCGGCGCGCCGACCACTTCAAGCACGAGCAAGCCGATATTGACCGCCGCTTGATGGTCATCACTGCCTCCGAGACGAGTGACGATGCCGTGCCCCGCTTTGAACAGGTCCTCGACACACTCCACCGCCTCGATGTGGCCCATGGATACGTGCAACTGCTGGCTGAAGTCGACGTACTCAGGTAGGACAGCCATTGTGTCTGATACGGCCTCGTCAGCTGATCCGTCGCAGCAAACAAGCCCAGTCGCAGCTCCAGACGTCCAATGAAGCCGCCCTCGAGCCCTACAAACAGCTGCGCGCACTGCACACCCGCCTCATCAACCTCCAAGACGACGCCGAGGGCGCTGCTCCCCAGCTGCTCCACCACGTCAACACCATCACCCAGGCCCTGCGCACCAAGATCCTCGACGCCTTCTCCTCCCATCTCGACCGCGTCCTCAAGAAGATACACTGGCCCACGCCCAAAGCAAACATCCCAAGCCAGCTGCACGAGGAATGGGAGACTGCCATCGTGAAGCTGCTGGACCTGCAGCTTCCCGAGCTGCAGGGCAAGAGCTATGCCAGCGGGCCGGGCGACAAGGTCAAACTACCGCCCGTGCTCTTCCCCATTGAGGTGCTCGTGCAGCCGCTCGAGATGCGCTTCCGCTATCACTTCGACGGTGACAGGCCCACCAACCGCATCGATAGGCCAGAGTACTTTCTCTCTCACATTACCACGCTTTTGGACGACTACAGCGCATTCGTTAGTGACCATGTGCAACCTGTCCTACTTCGTCACTTCCGAGGCACAGATCTCGCACTTAACCCCGTCTACATTGATGCAATGTCCGCCTTTATAACCGCTCTACTGCCCATGCTGCGCACCAAGATTGGCTCGCTACTGCCCAAAGTCGCAGGCCAGCCCCAGCTGCTGAGCCACCTCATGCACGAGATAATGAGCTTTGACACGACTATCAGAGACATTTGGGGATATGACGGCGGCTACGGCGTTGACGGATGGAAGGGCCTGTCATGGGAGTTTCTTGTTCAAGGCGACTGGTTTGGTCGATGGCTGCAGGTAGAAAAAGACTGTACGTTGATCTGCCGCCCGAGGGACATCTCTCGGATCGCTGACTTCCGGTAGTCGCACTGTCTCGCTATCAGAACATTGTCGAGGCTCCAGACTTTGGTGATCTCGACTACGAGAGCGTCGATCCCAAAGCCACCAAGCCCACCAAGGGAGCGATCCGCGTCAACGACTTGCTTGAAACCATAACGGGCATGTCCTCGCCAGCCCCTCCTTTCCAGATCTGTCGCTAATCCACTACATATTGCAGATCGATACAGACCCTTGACATCCTTTAGCCAGAAGCTCACCTTCCTGATAGACATTCAGATTGCCATATTCGATAAACTCCACGAAAGGCTGCAGAGCAATCTGGAAGCGTATCTGTCCATCACCACGTCACTGGGTCGCGCTATGGGCGGTGTGACCAAGGAGGAACAGGAAAAGCTGCTTGGCGTTGAGGGACTGGAGCGCCTTTGCAAGACGTATGGCAGTGCCGACTACCTTGAACGGGCAATGCGTGACTGGAGCGACGATGTGGTAGGCTCTCACTCGCATAATTCTTGTGTGACACAAACGCCAGCTAACCCCTTGTTCCTTAGTTCTTCCTCGATATCTGGGAAGGTCTACAAGATCGTGCTCGTGGCCAGACTAGCAATATTGGTACCATGAGCGTTGCCGATGTGGCGGAACGCACATCCAAGAACGTTGAAAATGACGACGTCGACGGTGGCTCGCTCTTTGACGAAACAGCATCGTGGTACGCGCGCCTCCGCGAACGCAGTGAGAAGATTATCATCGACACGCTCAACAGCAATGTCCGTGAGGCGCTGCGTCCATATCGGCACATGTACGTTTCCACATTTGGACCCTTGCACCGTTGATCCGAAACCCTACATGTCTAAACCCACTTACTGACCTTGCTTTTTTTCTTAAACAGCAACCCATGGGCAACTCTAAGCGGCCCTTCCGCTTCCGCCTCGAACGCCACAGAACTCTCCCCGACTGCAGAGATCGACCCATTACTTACTTACCTACGTAGCACGCTAGCATTCCTCACGCGCGCCCTAGCATCCGCGCCGCTGCGCCGCATCACTCGGGCCGTCCTGACTACCATCTCGACTACGCTCTGGGAGAATGTGCTAAGCCGGTACCGCTTCTCTGCTCAAGGAGCTGCCCAGCTCCATGCTGACCTGGCTGCTATATGCCGAGTTGTGGACAAGCACGTGGGTACAGGAGTCGCAGAAGCGGGTCTAAGGAAATGTCTTGAAGGCGTCAAAATCGTCGGATTACCCGTAAAAGGCGGTTCAGCCTCGCAGGTTGATACTGCAGCAGGTCGGGGTGACGATGGTGGCGAGGATGATGAGGACTGGGATACTGGGGCTTGGGCCGCAGAAGACGGTGATGAGGTGCATGATGCTCCGCAAAAAGCAAAACCCGCCCGTGACACGGCGTCTGAGGCTAATGGAGGGGAACTGGGGCTTTGGGAGGTGGAAAGGCGTATTTTTGCGGACAATCAATCTGCGAGGGATGTGCTCGAGGACTTGGGATTGGAGCTTCTGAGTGAGACGGAGGCGCGGGCGTTGTTGAGAAGGAGGGTTGAGCTGGCTGGTTAGAAGTTGCAGGTTTCAGTTTAGTGTTGGTTTTTAGCGAATAGGTGGACGACGATGGACGAGTTTTGTACTAGCACGATTGGAAGATCGATATAATAACACGATAGTTGAGAAGCAAAGTAGTAATCCTTAGATTTGATACAAAGTTGAACACACTAGATTGTAAGAATCCATTGCCAAAGGCTATATACTAATGAGTGTGATGCTCAACATTAAGCGCATGCTGATTGGCCGTAAGCTGCTCACTGTTGAGCGTAAGCAGCTGTCCTCTTGGCGGGCACGTGACTGCGGCGTGGTTGCTGTGCCGCAGCCCTGCACTGTGCCGTGCAATCCTTCAAAGTGATTACGCTGACTCCCTAGGCATCTCCTCGGTTAGGTCGTAACAGCTAGGTACCACGGAGACGCGTTCGTAGAATTAATCTTACGACGTCGTACACTGTCGCAAGCGCGCTGAGTAACTAGCGTAGATAACTGTGATAGGAGACTATTGCAAGACTTAGTTCAACTTCATGAGAGGTCTGTTTAGGGTATTGTTGCCGGGTTATAGTCGTTGGCGCAAGCTAAGTCGCGATAACTTGGTGGGGTGTTGTGAGGAGTAGTTGGACAGGCACTGAGATATCGGTATAGGCTTGTATTGAGACGAATTCTTGAGGAGCTATCAAGCCTCTCAGAGGGATGATATATACCTACGTCACGTGATTGTGGCTGGTGTGATCCGACGGTGCCCCGAAGGGTTCCCGGTGGCTCACCAGTCTGTGGCTGGAATCCTGTGGTAATGGAACATCGTGACAGGTGTTCAGCTTACTGGCGTGTCCAGCTTATTGGTGGAACACGTTATTAAAAGGCGCTTAGCTCGGGCTTATACTACTTCTACTACAAACCAATTAGCCTTTTGTTGAACCTCTGCGGAATAGTGCACAAAGTGTGCGCAACAAGACAGTATCTTCACATCTACACGGCCTATATCGCTGCGCAATCGACCTCATTAACATGGTGTCGAGAGGCGCTACGATGACAGTTTGAGTATGACTGCTCTACCCGCTGGCACCCTGCCCACATGTGCAGTAGTCTAACGTGGGTTCAGATAGCGAACAATGTCTAGCGTAGGATCCCCGAAGTGCCTAGCATCCACTTAGTTTAGTCGCATGCACTTCCTCGACATGCAGCTTTTACAGCAGCCCAGAGTAAGCGTCCTCTACCTGCTTTGCTCTGTCGCGACTATGCTATTCTACTCTTGACACATCAAAAGTCATTCATACCTCGCTATTCCTAGGCTAAGCTACAACTGCAAACGCTATGCGGCTTCTCCACTATGACACGCTGGGAAGGCTCGTCTTGACAGATTTCCACGGCAAAACGGTCCCACCCTACGCCATTCTGTCGCACAGATGGAGCGACTCCGAGATTCTCTTTAACGATGTACAGAGCGAAGCTTATAGGGAGAAGGAAGAAGGCTATAGAAAGCTTGCATTTTGCGCCAAACAAGCAGCCCAGGACAAGCTGCAGTACTTCTGGATCGACACTTGCTGCATCGACAAGTGGAATCTCTCAGAGCTCTCAAAGGCGATCAACTCGATGTTCCAATGGTACAAAGATGCGACACGATGCTACGTCTTCTTGTCAGACGTGTCAGTGTCAACTAAGACAGAACTACTCCAACACAGCGACTGGGAGGCGTCGTTCCGTGCAAGCGCGTGGTTCACTCGAGGATGGACGCTCCAAGAACTGATTGCGCCAGTGTCAGTCGAGTTCTTTTCGTGTGAAGGATATCACATAGGCGACAAAGCATCGCTTGATCAACTACTACACGACATTACTAGCATACCGCTCGCGGCACTACGCAACTGTCCTTTATACGATTTTACTATATCTGAACGAAGACGATGGGCTAGAAATCGCAGAACAACGGAAGCGGAAGATATTGTATACTGCCTGCTTGGGATTCTTAACGTCTCTATGCCTACCGCGTATGGTGAAGGACAGGAGAGTGCACGAAGCAGACTGCAGACGGAAGTAGAGGCAGCTGGTAGCGCACCGTCGATTATCCCGTTCTCACAAAACCTCCGCTTCGTTAGTCGAGAGTCACAGCTTGCTAAGCTAGAAGCACAGCTCTTTAGCAATAAACAGACTACTACTACACTAGCGATCGTTGGACCTGGCGGAATAGGCAAGTCGCAGCTCGCGCTCGAGGTTGCACATAGAACAAGGCTGAACAATAAAAGCTGCTCAGTCTTCTGGATAGACGCGAGCGATAAACATAGTCTCTACCAGTCGTATGCAAGTGTTGCGCAGAAGCTTAGTATTCGCGGGTGGGACGACGACCAGACCGATATAAAGCAGCTTGTAAAAAGCTGTGTAGAAGAGATTAGTGCGCGACAGTGTTTACTAGTCTTCGACAACGCAGAAGACACTACTATACGATCTAGCGGCTCGTCTATAACAGAAGTCGCAGACTCAGCTGACTGTCTGCCGCAGTCTAAGCTATGTTCTGTCATCTTCACAACAACTAGCAGCGACACAGCTCAGGCGTTTGCTCCACAGGACATCATAGCGCTGCGAGAGCTAACGCTAGATGCGGCGCTAAAGATACTACAAGTTAGCTTGGCGAAGCCACTCTCAGACCCTGAGCAGCAGGAAGCCGAGCACTTACTAAGAGCGTTATCGTTTCTCCCTCTAGGAGTCATGCAAGCAGCGGCATGTATGAAGGCTAGCAGTATGACGGTGCAAGAGTACCGATCACGACTAGACGATTACAAAGAACTAGGTATTGAGCACAGCGGTGACATGCCTAAGGGTAGACTACAAGATTCTAGTGTGAAAGACCCTGTAGCTGCTGCACTATGTGTTTCCATAGACGAGATCTGTCGTAACAATGCGTTTGCTGCAGACTGTCTATTTCTTGCTGCATGCGTAGACCGAAAAGACATCTCGCTCGATCTTCTAGAGGCTGTCTCAATGCAAGGAAGAGAAGATGCTATCAAGATACTTGACAAGTATGCGCTCGTCACTAGGCGACCTGCTGAGTCTGCGCTTGACCTTCATCGACTAGTCCATCAAGCTCTACGCAAGCGGCTGCAAGTGCAGGGACAGCTTACACAGTGGACTAAACGCACTACAAAGCGGTTGCTCCAGGTGTTCCCAGATGATGATCACAGCAACAGAAGCAAGTGGCGACGACTACTTCCGCATGCCCAGTATGCTTTATCGCATAGTCCAGCAGATGATGACAACGAAGAAAGATTGCGTCTTGCATTGAAGTGTGCTATAGCTCTTTATAGTGACGGAAGATATGAAGAGGCTGAAGAGCTGCAGGTACAAGTAATGCAGACGAGGAAGAGAGTGCTTGGCGACGAGCACCCTGATACGCTGGCTAGCATGGGCTACCTAGCCGCGACATATAGTAGCCAGGAGCGATGGGAGGAGGCTGAAGAGCTAGAGATGCAAGTAATGCAGACAAGGAAGAGAGTGCTTAGCGATGAGAATCTTGACACTCTAAATAGTATAGGTAACCTAGCGTTAACATATAGTAACCAAGGGCGATGGGAGGAGGCTGAAGAGCTAGAGGTGCAAGTAATGCAGACAAGGAAAAGAGTGCTTAGCGACGAGCACCCCGATACCTTAACTAGTATGGGTAACCTAGCTGCGACGTACAGCAATCAAGGGCGATGGGAGGAGGCTAAAGAGCTGCAAGTGCAAGTAATGCAGACAAGCAAGAGAGTGCTTGGCGACGATCATCCTGATACACTAAGTAGTATAACTCACTTAGCGTTAACGTATAGTAACCAAGAGCAATGGAATGAGGCTGAAGAGCTGCAGGTGCAAGTAATGCAGGCAAAGAAGAGAGTGCTTGGCGACGAGCACCCGGATACGCTGGTTAGCATAGCCCACTTAGCCGCGACGTATGGTAACCAAGGGCGATGGGAGGAGGCTGAAGAGCTAGAGGTGCAAGTACTGCAGACGAGGAGAAGAGTGCTTAGCGATAAGCATCCTAACACACTGACCATCATGCACAACCTGGCCTTCACGCTGTGGGCCCAAGCTCGTTACGAGGAGGCTCTTGCATTGATGCAAAGATGCTTCCAATTGCGCCAGCAGGTCCTTGGCGAGCAACACCCTTATACACAGTCGTCGCTTGACATGCTAAATGGCTGGCGAGCGGAGTACAGCGACAAAAATCCGTAACGTTTCCGTTCTATGCAATGTAGACCTTAGAACTAGATGCTATAGATCACATAATGGAAGTATGGCTTCTGAGGGTATCCAGTGATGCAGTAGTTGTGTGTACCACGACATTTCGCGAATAACTTTAATTTAATCATTATAGCGAATCCAGGCAGAGCGACAACAGACCTAATTGTGCTAGGCACGAGTATGAAGCATTGTTATCTGCAACGCGCAGGCACGTATGAGGCTGAACATTCATCTTGCCCGAGTGGAAGCTTCGAGCAATAGCATTGATGCCTCTCTACAACATGCAACTCCAGATTCAATGTACTCTGCAGCTCGGCCAGATAACAAGCACACAACTGCATGAGATTCAAACACCGAGCTCCACGGCTTACCTGCCATGGAAAGAATCCTCTCAACAAAATCGCTTATGCCTGCTCGCTCCGCCACCGTCTCCGCATCATGCACGACACGCAAAACCGACCCACATCTCTCGTTCCGCTTTTCGGTCCGCTTTTCGGTCCTAATCTTGGATAAGAATCCATTGAGAAACGTCGAGATTTGCAGATCATGCTACTCATGCTGCGTCATACCGGGTAAAGTCTCCTTGTATTGAATGGGGTGATGTCATAGGTATGCGAGATCGTCGAACAGCGCTTGAACAGCGCTTGAACAACAGTTGAACAACGCGCTTCCGACGACCAGTGATGAAATGTTACGAGAAATCATGTCTCCGTGTTGTTTGATAGGAGCGATTCCTTATGCTCGATGGATAAAGGCTGTTGTATCCGCAATCCACGCGGCAACAGGGTCAAAGCCAAGTTTAAGTGCCCGAAAGCCAAGTTTTTGAAGATTGGCAAAGGATTCAAGATACAGAATCGTATGATAATGGATGTGCAAGGCTGTTGATAGGGCAGTTACGCTCGTCTGATGTGGCTGGTGGTTCACCATGACGATTCCCAGAATCATGTCCCGCTGCTTCCTACGTGAAGTCAGAGGTCCTACATAAGGAACTTGTTGACCCTGTGGTGCCATCATCTTTACACGCTTCAAGCCACGCTACAGTAATCAATATACGACTTAGCCACATTAAACTTGCGTTGCGATCCGGACATCCGTACTCGTAAGCCTTGAGCCCTGGATCGTACGAAGCTCCCGCTTACACTCGTCATACTGACCCTTTAGCTTTCCACACACACCTCACACGCTTAAGACAAGATGAATTCCATCCCAGGAAATGCCTCGCAAGAACCCACCAGCAACGATACATCGACGACGGGTGTTCAGCAGAACCAAGCGCAGCGGGAAGACTACCTCGACAAGGGTCTCGACGCCGCGGAAAAGAAGTTCGGAGGCGCCGCGGGTCAGGATACTGAGAAGAATCGGGGCGTTAACGAGAAGATTGTATGCCTCGATTTTGGTAACTTTCAAGTTGCATCAAGTCAAAGTACTAATGCTCGTGCAGACCGATGGCGCTCGTAACATGTTCGAAAAAGCAACCGGCAAGGACGTCCCCGACAAGTTCTCCAACTAAGAATCATGTGACGTTCAAAGAAAGGATGCACAAGTTGGATGACAAGTGGAACAAGTGCCGACCTTATCTTGAGAGGATCAACGGTACGATTGTTCCGCTAAGATCGCAGAGCTTGGACGAGCAGGACGCTGCCCACAGAGTAATCCAGCAACAGAAAGTGCAGCAACAACATGTTGGGACGGCACATTGATGACGATTTGTATATATACACTCACGACCCGTAATGAAGCTTCATGATTTCACAGTCTCGACGTTTTACTTTGTACATGCGTCAGAATATGATTAGCACCCATGACATCATGTCACACCGCCTACATACCGTGCTCAGAGCCGCAGTTCTTCGCCACAGCACGCACTGCAGACGCGTAAAGATCTTAGCACGTTACTACAATCCGCCGTATGCTAAGAGCTGCTAGCTGCCCACGGCCGGTTGAACGCATTTCAACGATCTCGCTGCCTGCGCGGAGAAATTACTGGAATGCGCATTCTCTACCTCAGAGTAACCTTTTGAATCTGCAGTCTTAATCTTTATTGTCTTAGCTTGCTTTGTAGCCCAACAAGCTCTTCGTAGATACGTATTATCACGGATGAACAGGGAAGTGATAGAGGAGAGTTGATTAACAGCACTAACAGGACGGGCGACCGCATGGCCAATGAGATAGCCAATGACGCGCTTTTTGTCGTTGGAAGCAGATATGCTAGAAGGATGAGAGCTTCACAATGGGTGCACGCTGGACCTGTTAATTTACAGGCGTGGTGAGAACATTCGAGCGCCAAAAACAAAAAGTGTCCCATTGAACCGTGCGTCCCGGCACGCTTGGATCGACGTTAGAACACGCACGACGTTTGCTCGTCTGCCTGGTCCGCTTTGGGACGCGTCTGCCTGGAGAGAAACTTCTGTGATGGGCCGATAGTTAATCTCTCTTGCGAATGTCAACCGCTCAGGTTACCGATTCAGAGAACATCCTCACCTTTACCTTGACTTGATAGCACCGTGATGGTGTCATACAGATTCACACGCTCAATTCGTGAATGGGAGCAGTACCTCACTAGCAAACACACAACAAACGTCAAGGCTAACGTGTGAATGGCATTGTACATCTTCATGCTACAAACAAGCTAGACTACCATGACCTGGTCCATCGCGGCCATCACGCCATCGATTTCATAGTCATGTCCCAACGTGGCCGTTACATCGTACCCTCTCACCCTCATCCCCGATTACTCGCCCCAAAACGCCATTGTAAAGATGAGTCCACGTCTCCAATGTGTAAGAGAAGCCTGGGTATCTCGAAAAGGGTATAAAGCTACTTCGGCTTCGACAACTCTACGCGGCGAAGCTAGACAGGAATGTCTTTGAAGTAATCGCACCTGACCCAACGCCTGTGCTTAAACGCACGATATAATGGACGACGGAGACGCTAAAACGCACGACAGAAATTGACAAATAAGACATACAAAGAAGGAGAAAGAAAACGTATAAACAGAGCAAAGCGAAGTAAGACAAGTACATCATCCGAACTGCTTGATAAGCGAGTGCAGAAGATGGCAGAAGAGGCCGTGAAGGTCCACAAAGAAGTTCTCCTGGCCAACAATCTCGACCAGGCTTTTTGCCTTCATCACGTCGCGGGACACACGAGGGAAGCCATCCGGGTCAACCTTCTTCGCAGACAGGAAGGAGGAGACGGGTGTGATGTTGCGGAAGTTGGGTGTGCTTGTAGTCGACAAGGTTCGTTCTTTGTGCCCCGAGGAGAAGTTTGGAGGCATTGAAGAGGCGGAGGTTCCAAGAGGAGGAGTGCTGCCGGAAATGGCTGTAGTCGGACGTGAAAGACTCTGCGACGCTGCGCTCTCACGCTCAAGGACTCTGTCAGCGAGGGCGATGATGCGGTTGGCGATTCCTTCGAATGTCTCGATGATCTTGACCATGGCCTTGGTAGCTCTCCGGTAGTCGCGACCAGCCATGGCGATGAAGGCATAGGTGCGCTTAGCCCCTCGCGAACGCGGATCCTGCAGACGAAAGACATAGGCAATGGTATAGCCAGCGACTGAGTCCCCAAACATGATAGGCCCAGAGGGCTTGCTGAGGGGGAGGACCTCGGTGGACAAAGTACGGATGCAAGTGCGTCGCAGGAGCGAGTAGGTGCTGGGCGACTGCGGCTGACTGGTGGAGATGTAGTTGAGTGTGTGGGTGTGTATGCCTCTCGACACGAGCATTGGTGAGGGAGGTATGGAATCCGGAAATGAGCCCGATGCGCCGCTCTTGAAGGAAGTCGACTGCTCGGTGTCTGAGACATCAGACGAATCAGCGCTACTGACATCATCACGGGAGATGGGCCGTCGCACTGGGTAGTTCTGAGAGCTACGCAGCACAGGACTGCCGTTCCTGCCTCGTCCGTCTTTTGTGGGACTACCAGGCGCGCCGTTGGGGATCTTGTCGCTGTACTTCTGGGGCACTACCATCTGGCAGTTCTCGCACGCGTCCGAGTCGGAGTCGATGGTGCTGCTGGTCCTCCTTCCGCCAAAGCTGCTGCCGGATGAGGAGGGAAAGCTTGGGAAGTATGGGTTATGCGTGGGGGAGCGCGGGCTGTTGGGTGGGGAGTCGAAGGGCGAGGTGAGCTGTGGCAGGCGCGCGTTAAGCTTGAGGGTGGTGGGCTGATCGTACAGGCCATTGTAGGAGTAGGCCGAGTGCGGCTCTTCGGAAGGCGGTGTCACACATGGGTTGCAGGAGCCGCAGGGAGAAGTCGAGGCCTGGGTGCAGATGATGGATGTCGGACCGTGGGTCTCGCAAAAATGTGCGAGGGATATCTGGAGGCTGCGTTAGCCGGGCTCTTGTCCGGAGTCGTCTGAGGGCGGGAGCGCATGACATGGGCATCCGCAGTCAAGTATAAGCGCGCGGGTGCTTACCGTAAAGTCCATAGTTCCTGCTCTCTGTCTTATGTCTATCGTCTCATGGTGTTCGCTATGGGTCGTGGTGGGTCGGGGTTGGTGGCTCAGCTGACAATCGATAGCCCAGAGGGGAGTAGTTGCCGCGCTCCTCGGGTCGGGGGCACTCTGGTGTGGTGGTGGTTGGGCTGTGAGTGGTGAAGGGAAGGAGGATGGCCAGGCACAGGTCCACGAGTCTTGGAGCACAGAAGGGGTGGCAGGGTCGCGTGGTGCGGTGGTTGAAGGTGTGGAGTGGCACTCGGATGGGGATTCTTGGTGTTGGTCGCAAGCCTTGGGCCGGGCTCAAAGGATTATATGGAACGGGCTTACAGCACAGCGCTAGGACTCGACTGGCATTCTGCACGGCATGGAACTGCCATGTAGACGATGGAGGCACGCATGGCGCCGACGACATAGCGGGTTTTAGCTCCCATGATGGCGACGATTCCTGGGAGCAATTACGGGGGGCGCGGACCAGCATCTTTGCAAGAGCCGACGCTACTGCGACCGGGGTGAATGCGGGCTGTTGTTGCGGTCAGTATCAGCAGCGCGCTATTGGCCGCCCAGCCACAAGACATCTTCACAACAACACACACACACACTTGACATGTAGAGGGATGCAGACATGCAGACATGCAGACACTTGACATGGTGTGACACGGGTGATTTGCAGCGGATGCACAGGATGCGTGCCTTGGATCGTACGACGTGTGATGGAGGGACACAGTATTGCAGGCACACGACGGATGGGCACAGACGAGCACATCCCAGCAAGGCGTCCCCCAGTAGCTGCGTCTGTCTGTCCCATTCCGCACAGCCAATCCAATCCAATGACGCAGCCCTGGCCCCATCCATCGCCCTCCGGTCGCGCCTGCACGCTGAATATGCGCCACTTCCCGATCCGGATGGGATGCGACTGCCTCTTCCACTACCGATCAGCGCCCTCAACGTTGTGCTGCTTTGCTTTCCTAGCTGACCGTTGCGCGTCATTCCTAATATGCCACGGAACAATTCCATTCCACTTTAACTCTCTTTCCGCCTTCTACTTTGGCCTGCGTGAAACCACTACTGTACCTCTGTCATGCCGCCCTCAAGCTCTTCATCCTGCAGCTGCAAGGCTTCGCAAGCGTTAATCCTGCCATCTTCAATGGTGGCATGGCGGTGGAGCGAGTCCGTCATCAGTAATTGCCCGCGCCCTCATTGACGCTGCGGCAAAGTCCGTTGGGTACCTCATTGGCTGTGCCCTCGCGTCAAATCGGCCGACTTCTTCCAAGCCTTCCAACGTGCTCCACCTCACACTACTATCGACGGTTTCCAGAAGACACGCACGGGCGCCTATGGAAGCTACCAAGTGGGCCCGCTCCGACGACGACTTGCCTGCTCGGCCATTGCGGCAACCACTCCAGGGTCTGGTCGCTCTCTGAGCCCTCCTTGCCTGCATCTGGTCCTCTTACCCGCCACTTACCCGGCCACTGGAAAATTGCAAAAGAAAAATAATCCGGGGAATGCAATATACACACTTGCCAATGACAACGCTCTACCAATCCCATTAAAGGCTTTCTATATGGTAGAATGCACAAAGACCGAGGTTTGGGTTGGCCAGTCCAGAGCAAAGTGGGTAGGCTTAACACCCTCCTGTTAAGGTCAAGCACAAATAGATTGCTAGGTCAAGCTTTCTGCTAGACACGAACGGAAACTGGTCGCATGCACCACGTTTTTCCAGCTGACAGATCCAGGGTCCATAGTTGCCGTCGGCCTTTATGATCTCCTAGGATTCATAGCGCGCTACGCGACCGGACCAGTACGTAATAGCTGTGGGCTGGTGGCATCGTGAAGCAGAAACTAAGCCAAGCCAGCAGGTACAAGCCTCAACAACTGATGAAAAGCGGAAATTGCACGGCAACCGACATGTGTCAAATCCCGCAGAGGAAGGTGCAGAGTTTGGCCGCTACAAAGTGTCTTGTCTTGGTACAATGCTAACGCGTTTCTCATGCCTCATGTTCATCGTCCGACTCGCCCCCGTCAGCGGCGCGGCCTCGCAGAATATCATAACCCATTACTTCGTTGATGAACTTCCTCGACATCTTCAGGTCCTCGTAGCGTATCCTTTCCTGTTCAGTAAACTCTCTCGCCCCCGACTCCATCATCTGAGCCATGAGCGGCGCCCAGATTTGATCGAGCTGTGTTATGCCAATCTGCGTACAGGGAATGTCATCCAGCAACGCAGGTGAGACCACGCCAGCATCTTTCCAGTGTCTCCTCCAGCATTTGCTCGTGTGGGGCGACATGTGCGTTCTGTACGCCAGGAGATATCTTCGCCGTTCACTATACATCGGGCAAGCGAGGAGTTTGGCTATCTGACCAGTACCACCTAAAATCAGGAAGAAGGCAATGTCCTCTGAACAGGCAGGCTGGTTGGACCACCCTCGCAGGAACTTCTCTACCGCTCCAGTATGACTTGATGGTCGTAGCTTCCGAAGCAGCACCTGCACAATGAAGCAGTACATGTAGAAGTACTGTAGCCGCAGGGGTGCGTCTAGGTTCTTCAAAATCTTCCTCTCCTGGTTTGTGATACCGCCTGTCGTACGGACATGGTAGCCGATACGAGACCGTGGCCGGATGTGGCCAAGATCTCTTTCCAAGAGTAGTCGTCGATGTTCATCTAGGAAATATCCAACCCCAAAGACTAGTGGAAGCATTCTCTCATACACGGACGTCCACAGCTGTTTATGTTCCATCGGCTCACCCACGAGGTGATTGGCAAGCTGCCGTGTCAGCCTGATGGTCGCTATGTGTCGCCGTCGCATGGTGAGTAAGAATGGCAAGTCGATGGCGTCTGGTCTTGGAGCCGGGTAAAGTTGCAAATGAAGATTGCCGAGCCGATGCTTCACCCAGTAGCGCACCAGTGCAGGCGCATTCTCTGTGACGAGCATATTGAGCACACGCGACGTTCTCCTCAAAGCAAGCAGATCCGCGACACACAACTCGCGCAACATGTAGATGTGGAGCTCATCTGGCAATCGGAATAGTGCATCTAGAAACGGGCTGTGTTGCGATGATCAGTGCCATCTCAAGCGTCGTCAAGGGGACACGGTGCGTACCTCGAGGGGTTCGGCGCTAACTCCTCATCTGCACCGCTCTTCTTCTTACTCCTTAGTGACGCAAGAAATCTACTCTGGAAGCCACCAGCCGCCTTCCCTAAGCTCGATCTCTTCTTCGCGATGGCTTTGTCCCCCGTCACAGTCCCAGATCGGTTTCTCGTCCGCTCGGGCGCTGCATGGCCTCGCTGAAACTTCTCCATGGCCATCTCGCGATCGGCCAATCCAGGCTAAAACACAGCCTCGTGGAAGCGGCAGCGCTCAGCGCGCGTTTTCGTTGCGTTACGTCCACGTCAAAAACTTCATTATCGCAATAAAGACTGCAGCATCCTTTGGTCGCACAGAAAAGTGTAGGGGAAAACGTCGAGTAGGTAGGTGGAATTGTCAGGAGCGAGACTGGACGCACATGTGCATGATGGGATGCAGAACAGATTGGCCTTAGCTTCATCCCAGCGTTCGGGCATCGGTAAACACGATAGGGCATGGTACGAAGCCTGGTCCAAGCCACATGGCCACGAGGGACACACGCTGAAACTCGGTGGATTTTCCGGACCCCCCTAAGAATAGGCCAGTCAGACGGTGTTGATTCTGGGCAAGGCGCCTCGCCGCGCTAGCCGTGGTTGACAGTTGCTTGACTCGCCAGTACGATCACAGAATGTCGTTGTATACTCGCGATCCGATCGTGCAACCACTGCGCGATTGTCAAGGTCAAGGTGCTGCTGTGCATGCCACTATAGGTGGACAGTCTACATATGAGCGCGCCATGCCGTCAGTGTGCATCTGCGACAGACCGCATCTTCAACATTAGCAGTAATCGTGCACAGCGTCCATCAAAACACAAGGCCAACCCTGTGATGTCAACATGTTGACATGGTGACATCTTATACGAACCATGTAGCAGTACCTGAATCTCTATGCCTACCTCAGCCACGGACAACTAGCTGCGTATCCGTCGCTTTCACCACGTGGCAGCCCAACCTAAGCGGCCGTCATTTTATGCTTCCCCTGTCGGGTCCCATTAAGCTCTGGATGGTATATCCTTATTCCGACAACCCACTATGATTACTATCCAAATATTCCGTATAAAGTCTCTCGCAGTTGAATCACTATTACTTTGCCGAATATGACGAATTGCGAAGTTGAACCAATCAACAATAAATCGACAAGATGAAGCCCAGTTTCATCGCAAACCCGTTGGGCAGACAAGATCAGATCTGCACATTCTCTTGTATGCTCTGTATGCACGCGTGAGAAGTCAAGCTCAGCCGTGCTCACTACGACAGTTGCCATGTGGCCTGACAGCAGCAAATGTGGTAGCACAACACCAAGCCACCGGGTTGTCGCGGCGCCATCACGGCGGTCTAAAGCGCGCAGAAAAGGAACTCAGTTTCTGGCACGCCAATGACGCCTCGAACTAGTTAGAACTCAGAGCTTCAATCCCGAGTGTGGTTACCAAGCTACCCCTCTGAACCCCACCTGCATATGTCAACAAGACGTAGCAAGCACGAAATACTTCCCATAACATCACAAGACTTGAGAGTCAACAGCTAGGTACCTACGCATATGTATCTCCCATACACCCGCTTTTCCGCAATGTCGTACCCCCGTCTCATCTTCCCTTATCTAAACTTACCCTGCATGCACATCCACATGCACATCCACCCTCCCGCTCTCCCTGGATAAACCCCTCCCCTAAAAAAAAATCCCTTCATCAAAAGTCACACAGCATAAACAACAATGCGTTCCACCACCTCGAGGCGACCCGTCAAACCCTTAGTCCTGCATGCCGCACAAATAGCCAACATGCCACCCGAAGGCTTCCCCGATCCTAGTACAGGAGGCAACGTGACTTGGAAAACTCTCATGTCAAATGAGAAGACTACGACAGATACTTTCACAACAGGGATCGCTACTTGTCCGTCTGGAAGCGTGATTGCTTGTCCGGCCTCCCTTTCTTCTGAATCCAAGTCTTCGACACCGTCTCTGTCCAATCCAGAATCACTGGGAGATGCAGGGTTTCTCAAGTTACATCGACATTCCCATGCAGAGATTTACCATGTGATATCTGGTTCTGGGGTTGTTTGTATTGATCAGCAAGAGCATGAAGTCAATACAGGCTCGGTTGTTTTTATACCGGGTGATGCGGAACACGGCATCTTCAACAAAGGAGATGGGGATCTGGTTTGGCTGTACGTGTTTGCTGCCGATGGGTTTGAAGAGATTGTCTATCGGTTTAGTGGGGAAGAGGGAGGAGGTGGGAGAAATGAGAAGGCGAAATTGTGAGGGGATTGTAGAAGGGAAGGCTATTCATAGCGGTGGTATGTGTCGGTGATAGAAGATTAGTAATTGTATCTGGGGAGTGGAGAGGTGTTGTTGACTGCTTTGAGGAACTCTTGGGTTCCCCTGAGAATAGACAGGATGATAGCGGTCATGTCGTCTCATCGACTACTCGTTTTCCCGCTATTCAGTCATCCCGCGCTATCAACAAATTGTATCCACCATGTCCTTACCAGATGTTTCTCTGCTCATCAACCTAAGATAACGTACGGCTTAAGACTTCTTCTTATGCTGAGGAAGCTTCAACTTGATCGGAACAAAGACGGCAGGCTCAGCAGGCACCTTCTTCTCTTCCTTGGTAGCTGAATCTTTCTTCTTCTCGCTAACAAAGACACGCTTGTCTTCATCGATCTTCATGTTCTTCATTCCTCTTCGGCGGTCGACTTACGCTTCAGATCGAGCATGAAAATATCAGCTCCAGCTTTAGTCCGGTCGGAGAGGATAGAGACATTTGGCTGCTTCGGAAAGTCCTTATCCTTGCCTTTGTTGACTTTGCCAGTGCCGTCGCTATCACCAACAACAGCGTTTGGTGACTTATAGTTGCCTCTCGTAACATGCACGTCTTCCATATTCTTGTCAGCTTTACTAGTCTTCTTCTTCTTCTTCTTCTTCTTCTTCTTCTTCTTCTTCTTCTTCTTCTTCTTCTTCTTCTTCTTCTTCTTCTTCTTCTTCTTTCTTCTTCTTCGGCGCTCCAGCTTGAACTTTCCCGTCCGCCGTTGCTGCCGGTATCCATATATCCCTTGCATCCATCTTGTCGAATACAGCGCTCCTGTATTCCTCAAGCCAATACTTGACCTCAAACGCAGCTTCTTCTGCGATAGGAAATTTATTACTCTTATACAGCATCTTCCAGTTAGGCGACTTGGGATGATGATAGACTATCAGCGCGCCTTGGTACTCCACACCATCTAAACGGCCGGTTGGTGTAGTAGAGGAGATGATGAAGTCGAGGCGTTTGGATTTGGGAAAGCGTTGCGCGTAATAGGCGTGTGCATTGGAAATGATGCGCTTCTTCAAACCGTGGAAGTAGTAGGCTGAGTAGGCTGAGTAGCCCTTGGGCGGGTGCGGGACGTCACGCATTTTCCTTGGAAGCTGATTTGCTGTTACTGGATCGATCCCCATTAAATTTAGGAGTCTACTTGCCTTGTTGGTTGGCCGGAGACTAGGAAGCGGTTTCGGATTCATGTCCTGCATGGGTCTGTAGTTAGCTATGGGGTCATCAGAACAGTAGTGTACCACAGGTGCATGGAAACATAGTTGAAGGCTATGTACAGGAGTTTTGTGAACACATGTCCATATCTAGAAGGGCTAGAAGCATCCGAGAACGTGCGGGCGATTGACGGTGATGCGCCTGGGTAGTGTAGTACAAACCCGACGTGAAAGTTCACTCCCCTTCACTCTTACTACTAGTGTACCCCCTCGCTAGCATGAGATAGTAGAACGAATAACATGCCATGACACATAGTATATGATACAGTGTCAAGACCAAGCGGGTACTTCATTACTGCCAACGCAGCATCTTGCTCCCATTCTGTTGGCGACGCTGATCCCCGTTTCTTCCATCGCGTGTCGAGATTTTCAGCTGTCGCATCGAACTTCTCTGGATATCTGCTCGCATTGAGCACTAGTATACGCTCCCACAGCGTCAGTGGTTTTCCGTGTACGAGTAAATCGTCATCCGCTCGATCAAGTTACCACTGTAAGCAGCTACGCAGCTTGGAGCACGACGGGAGCGGGTTGGGCAGGGGCGGTGTTAGAAATGTCGCTCGGTCATTCGCCAAGGGCGTTAAGTCAGACGTGATTGGGTCGGCCATGGTTTGTAGAAGGGCTATTCAGAAGGGCCTCCAGCTCTTTCGCAGATGTTGTGAGTAGAGTAGCATCCAGTGGTTAGCAAGTGGAAGTTGTGTCGATATGGTTTCTATAGTGTCGTAAGAGTAGTCCGAGAGTGAAAGGAAAAAAATTGGCCAGTAAAATGCGTCAGTCTGGAACAGGAGAGCCTCAAAACACGAGCACAAATAACAGCATACTTGGGATCGTGTTGTGAGTAGTTTCTATTGCAGTACCCTGGTGCCTTCGCAGATCTACTCTTTGCCGGGCTTCGATTGCGCAAGAGTATTTCACGTTGAATTTGAACTCTGTCGATCTTGTGGTCGTATCTGCACATGGTATACTCCGTAACTTCCTGCAACAGTGGAAACGATTTGACAGCATTGACTTGTTCTTGTTGTTCTCCCTGTTCGATTACAGGATTGAACGGCGAAGTCTCGTTCAAACGTGACGCGCAGCATGTTTGTGTCTTGGCAAGCCATTAAGAAATGATCCGTGAGATACCTGGAATACTATGCTGTTAGAGAAGAGCTACTAGTTTCGGGGTGATCGTTTTCGAAATGGTTGACGAGACAAACGTCATCATTGGGCCTATCACAATCGAAGTACAGCCCACAACTCAACGAAGGACGACATATATCCGGTATGAGGTAGGTCAAATCCAGGAGCGCATGCATGTAGGATATCTCAAGAACGTATGCAAGGCTGCTGATTGCACCTAGATTGGCACACGCAAACTATGTGGGTACATTTGCATTGAGCGTACGCGAGGCTGCATGTCGATCACCAACGGCTGCCAAGTGTGACGGCCCAACTTTCGCCCGGGCTAGAGATTCTAGCTTCTATATGCGGGCGACGGTTCATAAGCGACAGGTTTACCAGGCCGTTGGAGGAGGCTGTTGCGTGGCCAGACGAGATGCCTCGGTAGAACGCCCTGATAGCATTGGATCCCTTCGATCCTTTTTGCGGGGAACATCCTCGTCGGATCTTCTCTCGTCATAGAACCGAAATGACATCCAGTCCCATCTCGCCGGAACGCCGAATGACAGCTCAAAAAGTTTGATTCCACCTGTCAAACGTCAAACTACATCTATAGCTGAGCAAATACAAGACTAGGGAGATGTTCTTCGACTTCAGATATCTGAACGGCCATGCACAGCTAGCCACGTACTAATCGTATTCGCGCTGATTCTCAGCAAGCGAATCAGACCCAACACTAGTCGCCGAAGCTTCCGCCGCAATGACGCACGTTTGTATTGCTTCGGAAGGCCATCGGCACGGGAGTCAAGTTGGTTCCATTGACGGTTACTGTGGTGGAGGCAGCTAGCTGGGTTGGGGCGAGGCGGGATACATCTGCGGCTTTTGCGTGACCGCCGCAACATTACATGATGCTCATTGGGCTAAGCAGGATGACAGGAGTATATATGGATGCTCGACCCGTACCTGGTTGGCGGGCTCCCCTTGCGCAAAGGTAGACTTATTTATCGTTGCAAATCCCGAGTAGTTGGAGAAGATAGACGTTGGCACCTCGTCGCTACTCCTCTATTCACATCCTCATCTAGTTCGCCAATATGCTGCAACTCGCTGCAGTTGCAGCTTTGATAGGTGCTGCGTATGCACAGAACTCGTCGTTGCCTACTGTCGATCTTGGCTACGAGATTTACCAGGCTTCAGGTTTCAATGTTCGTCACTCTTCTTTCCAATTTTGATGTCGCCTTGCTAACTAATCCAGAATACCGGCAACTTCTACAACTTTTCCAACATACGATATGCCGCTCCACCTGTTGGGAACTTGAGGTTTGCACCGCCTCAGGCTCCAGCAGAAAACAGATCAGCTATCAATACCGGCAGTGTATCAAGGTAGGTGTTATGAGGGCGTACCTTTGACGCAATTATACTAACGTATACAGAATATGTCCTCAGGCTAGTCCCGGCTGGAACGCACTGGCGGCTCAGTCGTTGACCAGATATTTGCTCGGTCTTCCTGCTTCCAACACATCGTACTCGACAGCGGGGGCAAACGTCAGCAGCCCGGTCCCCGAAGCGGATCCCCGCGAGTCTGAAGATTGTTTATTCCTGGATGTCTTTGTTCCCGAGGACGTGCTAAGCAAAGCCGGGCAAGGCTACGGGGCTCCTGTTCTGGTATGGATCTACGGAGGCGGCTATACAGGAGGCCAGAAAAACTACAACCCGGCAGGTCTGCTTGCTGCGTCCGGCAACTCATCCAATGGTGACGTCATTTATGTTGCGATGAACTACCGTCTTGGCGCTACCGGCTGGATGGGTGGCCCTTCATATCAAGCGGAAGGAGGTGTTTCAAACTTGGGTTTATACGATCAACGATTTGCGCTTGAGTGGGTTCAGGAGAACATTCACCTCTTTGGAGGTGACAAGAACCGAGTAAGTCGGAATTGGTATCTGAATCTGCGACATGTACTGATTTCTTTTTCCAGGTTACTGTCTTTGGCGAAAGTGCTGGAGGTGGATCGATTATGCATCAGATTACTGCATATGGTGGCACTAACGGTTCAGCTCCTTTCCAACAAGCTGTTCCCCAGAGCCCCGGATGGCAACCGACAACTTCTGTTGTTACGCAGGAGGATGTCTACCAGAGGTTCCTTACGCTCACCAACACCACGTCTCTTGCGGAGCTGCGTGCTCTTCCATCTGAAGAGATCATGCGTGCGAATGCCCAGCAGATCATCTATGATTCTCCGTATGGCACATATACCTACGGGCCTGTGGTGGATGGTCTCTTCGCTCCTCAGCAGCCAGCCCAACTCTTGGCTCAAGGTCGATTCGACAAGAACGTACGCGTAATGGTCGGTCACAACGCTAACGAAGGAGCCCTTTTCACTCCTTTTTACCTTCCAAACGAGGACGCATTGGAAGACCAGATCGCGAGCGCATTTGCCAATGCTCCAAAATCGTCTCTAGACTACATCGTCGAAACCCTCTACCCTCCAGTGTTCGATGGTTCATTGGGCTACACCAACAACTTTGAGCGCGGCAGCCTCATCGTTAGTGAGGGTGTCTTCACATGCAACACCAACTACCTCTCCAGAGCCTACGGAAACAAGACATACTCCTACCTCTTTGCGATTCCTCCGGCTATACATGGCCAGGATGTTGGGTATACGTACTTCCAGGGTGGTGCTGCTTCCACTTCGCCCACTGGCGTCACTAACACAACCATTGCTATTGCTCTGCAGGAGTTTATCACTAGCTTCGCCGAGAACGGTGTGCCAGACGCCGAGGGCGTGAAGCAGTTCAACATGTACGGTCCGGATGCGAATGTTTTGGAGCTCAATATTACGGGCATTGAGGATGTACGCGACAGCAACGCGAACGCTAGATGTGCATGGTGGCAGAAGGCGCTGTACTAAGCATGAGAAGATGCAATATTGCCAGGTCAAACAGACAAATAACCATAATGAATCAATGACATTCACAATAGCATACGTGCACATGCAAAATTTTGTGAAGCCTAGCCTAGGCATGCTAATTCCGCAATCGCGATGTTCCTCCACCGTGCATGGCAGCACTCGGACCCACATCCGTGATTGGTTGATCATAGCTACGTCATTGTACAGCAGCTCTCCACGTCCACATGCTTTAAAGCTGTCTTCTGCCGCACACCCACAAGATCTCAATCTATCAAACCATCCAATAAATCAATCACCACCTCTCTCACCTCTACCAATAACTACATTCCCCTAAACACCAACAACCACACAACGAACCATCAATATGTTCCGTCAACAGATCGCCCGCCAGGCCCGCCTTTTCAGCACCACACCCGTCGCACGCAAGAGCCCCGTAGAGGCTATCAAGGATGCTGCCAAGGCCGTCGACAGGACGATTTCCGGAGCTGCCGTAAAGGGCATTGAGAAGGGCGGTACGTACATTATCCATCCATCACATTTCCCACCTACGTTGCACCGCCTGATGCTCTATTTTCTCTCATAGCCGAGAATATGACGACATCGTACAGTGCGCAAGCTTCAAACATACTAGCAAACGAGAAGACGGAGACTAACAACATGAACAGAGGAAGTCGCTGGCGCCGTTAAGGAGTCTGTTCCCGAAACGACCGGCCAGGCTAAGGGCCAGGCGAACGAGATAGCCGGCGAGGCCAAGGGCAAGGCCCAGGAGCTTAAGGGCGAGGCCAAGGGCAAGGCACAGGAGCTTAAGGGCGAGGCCAAGAGCAAGATGTAAAGACGTCGACGTATATTGGGAACGACACGTAATGACATGAGGGGGTCATGCTTTGTTGGCTTAGCTGCCTCAGGAAGGTCAAGCTTAATCGTCACGGCAGAATGAATGAAATAAATAATGTTTCAATGACGAAAATTTGGTCTTCGTGGACGGTGAAACTATATGGTTTTTAGTTCATAACATGCTGCTGACCTTGCTGTAAACAGGCCTATACCTCTAGGTCTCTGATGAACGATCACAGCTTCCACGTTTTCATCTACCGTCTCGCCCACGCTTATTCCGATGCCTCTACCACATTGCATTCCTGTACTATCTCACCGCCTTTCCTGCTCCATGGCTCGATCGCTGTCCGATCGCGAACTGGTCTCAGCACTGCATGCCGTAATGCAATACCACGCTGTCCCCTTCGCAATCTCAACTCGTGTTCAGGGTATGTGTTTCTCAAGAACGCTCTCTTCAACCAAACCAGGTGGTATGTACAAACATAGGTGCTCGTCTCCATTGCCAGAAAGGTTGACGAGTCGCGTATTTTAGCTGGACTAGTTATTGGTGTAGAAAGAGGAGGATTTAAGATATCTACGTGTGCTGAGCTGAGAAGTAAAATTCGGGAAAGTTGGGCCATTATATGACTTTGCAGGTTACGACAGAGATAGATGTTAGTGTGGTTGCGAAGGGTTGTGACGGCTCCTTTAATATATATCAAACGGCATAGTCCTCACTGGATTCATATAGCCATCACGTAAAAGCAGCAGCGTCGTGTGTCTAAAGAAACAAAGATCTCATATTGAACTACGACCCAACATCTTGCAGTCATCATTAAGTACCTCATCCCAGAGACCATTGACAAGGTGGGCGGGTGACAAGAGAGAGAAGCGAAAAGAATTCGAGAAGGAGATGGAATGAACGTCTACACCAATCAAGGAAAGTAGAGAAAGTAATGAGGCCTGTGTTGGTAAGATGCGATGACATGTCGTAATGCTTCATCCAATCGTTTTCACAAAGGAGCCATCACTGCGTAATCGGAACCTTGGTCCTCACATAAACCACATACCCATCTGCGGAAGTAGTTAGCGCTTGTTCTTTTGTGCATCGAATAGCAGCAGCAGAGAGTCTCACCATGCCTCTCTTCACCTTGTCACCCTGCATTTCGTACGTCTCCACAGGCGGCAGCGCGTACCCGCTCTTGGTCGAACTCACACTCGTCTCAAAAGTTGTCTGTGTGAGACTTCCTGTTGCGCTCGTGATGTCAGTGCTCGAGTCTACAGGGAAGGAAGTAGCGGTAGCATCGGTGTTGGTTGCTGAGCTAACGGGTGGGGTCCAGTAAGAGTAGCCTGAGGAAGTAGCGGTAGAAGACCCTACAGGGAAAGAGGTAGCGGTAGCGTCGGTGCTGGTGGAGCTGACTACGATACTAGTTGAGCTGGAGGAGCTTTCAGACACTAAAGACGTGAAGGAGCTCTCGGTACTGCTGACGGTGGAAGTCTCGGAGCTGGACTCGTTACTAGAAGAAGTTGAAGGTATGGATGAAGACGTCTCGGAAGGAAGCACGAAAGTGCTAGTGCTAGAGCTGATCGACTCAGTATATGATGGGGTCTCAGAGTCACTGGAAGACTCGCCGGACGACGCGGTTGTCCAGTATGAGTAGCTTTCCGTTGTCGGCGTTGGCTCAGGATATGTTGTGGCATCAGATGGTGTAGGAGTGAAAGAGTCTGTCACAATCGAGCTGAGTGAGTAGCTGTACGATCTCGACAACGTCGATGAAGCAGACCCGGTCTCGGACGCACTATGTACACTGCTGGTATCCTCTGTAGGCGATGGTGTATATGATGGTGTGTAAGATTCCACACTAGACAAACTGCTGGCTGACGAGGTCTCTTCGGAAGTACTTGGAGTGTATGAGGCCGAGTCAGTGGTGGAATACCTGGACATGGTGTGAGTTCGAGACCAATCGTGTGTGGAGGTACGACTCCGGCTGATTCTTGAGCTTCTAGATGACGTCGAAGCCGAAGTTGACGATGATACTGAATCACCAGTCTTCAATGTGGGTGTCTTAGTCGTAGTGTATGACTCTTCGGACGTGAAGGTAATCCAGGATATGGTTGATATATCGATGGTCGACGAGTAAACGGTATCGGTTTCAGTAGGATTGCTGCCGCTGCTGGTGGCGTGGCCAGGTGGAACATAGTAACCGGAGGACGTGGCAATTCCAGAAGTAGTACTGTTACCGCTAAATGTTGCGGTGGGATTAGTGCTCGTGTCGGTCACGGTTCCATTAGAAGGGTATGGAGGGGGAATGGTGATGACAGTGGTGGAAGCGATGACGGAAGTAATGACAGTCACGTTCGTACTTGGCCCTTCTATGGTTGTCGATGGTCTCGAAACATAGGAACTCTGTGAACTTGTCGAGTTGGTACTAGCTGTGGAGGTCAAAGAGGGTATTGAAGACCCTGGCGCGGTACCCGTGCCCCAAGTAGACGAAGCCGTGCCGGTGCTGTTGCCGTAAGGTGCGGATGTATCGTGGGGTGGCAAAGATGGGTAGTACCCGGATCCGGAAGAATGGGTTCCAGTCGAAAGAGGGATGCTCATTGATGAAGAGCTGCTACCCCAGCTACTCGCTGTAGCCGCGGTAGATGTAGAGTCTCCTGGCGAAGTTTCACTGGATCAACAGATCAGTTCAACGAGAATAGAACTGCATCGACTGATCATAACTTACGATGTCGGTGGGACAACAACCGACGTGATGACAATAGTACTGGTGTAGACGATTGTGGAGGGCTCTGGTGCTGTGGAATTCGCTGACAACGAGGACGTTGGAACAGGAGGAATATCAGTGGAGAGCGAGATGCCAGTACCAGTGGAGTATGTGTATGACATGCTAGTACCGCTGCTGCTTGAAGTCGGATAAGGAGGAGAGTATGGCGGTGGCGGTGCATACTGTCGAGGCCGCACGTGCTGTGGAAAGTTCACTAGGTAAAGCTGTTAGCTCATGTTGTAAGAGCAAGAGAAATTAGGTTCCCAGTACAACGACTTGAACAGTAGATGCTCTCGACGGCCGTGGTGAACTGGATACTTACATGGCGACTGCTCGGCAGCAACGAGCGTCAGAAAGGCCACCAACGGCATGCAGGTACTGAGCTTCATGATTCTTCGTAAGCCACGCAAAATTCCTATTCTAGGAGGTGAATGAATAAACGAGTGGTAATGGAGAAAGAAACGGGAGGCTATGTCTAGCAAACAATTACAACTGAAAGGCTTGTGCCTCAAGTGAGTGAAGACAATGATCTTATATGTGATTATGTTTGTTCCACCGCGATGGTACAATGGTGTGATCCTGCCAGAACTGTGCTGCAGCAACAGAGTAATCGGTTAGCACCAACACGGGCATGCAGCATAGCATTATGCTTCCATTTATGGTATCCGTCCCCCAAGTTTTCGGAAGTTCAACCTTGACGGCAGCCAACATACAATCTATGATGCCTATGTCATTTCATTCGACATATTGGGCTCGGACTCTTGACTTTGTGGAAGCTCAGAGTTGCAGCCGTCACCGGAGAAGAGACGTAATGCCTCGATAGGTCAGACTGGCTGAGGTTGCTTCGCAGCGATCCGTAGACAGGTTAGCTGGTGTGTTGATATGGATTGATAGTGTAACAACACGCTGATAATTCTGGATCTAACTCGAGAAAGTGGTTACAGGATGGTAAACGGCTAGAGTAGACCAACGTCACACTGCAGCGCAGCAGCCGCCACCGGTAGTGCAGAAGGAAGCGAATATAGAAAAGGCTCGAAGGAATGAGTTCGCGAATGACGAAGTGATCCAACCTACCGTTGTTGAGATCGAACAGATTGATACAGCCACTTCTCTGGGCATGGTATTGTTGTGAGCCAATGGACCGGCGTAACTCGACGTTGAAGAGTGCACCGGATTCCGTTATGCTCGACCATACTCGAATTCTAGAGGCGTTACAAGGGTGACGCAAGAATGTGAAGTCGGCTGGAACGCCGCCTGACAGACGCCTCGCAGTGTTTCTTTGCCCATAACATACACTTCCATATGGGAAGAGGCATTATGACCGGACGGGAGTGCATTTGATTAATCGGTATTCAGCCACATGAATATGGCTCATTGCAGGATCAATATGCATTTTGTTATTGCACACAGAAGACTGATCCCGCCATCGGCGTTGTCGCCTCCCACTCGACGCTGTTTGTCAGTATAGGTTGTGCAGTTTTCGGGCTCTACTAGAGCATGTACCAGTGGTACGATACAAGAGCTTGCTTGAGGAACGCAGCAGAAGGACCACGGACGACTCGAGGTCAGGGACTGCACTAAACAGCTTGCATATCGTCGAGTGGAAGCTGCCACGACTAGCTCCATGCACGGATGCAGGAACCAAATTCGAGTCCAGGGTCCTGCGTCTCACAGAAAACCCCGCGGTAGGACAAGGTGGTCAGCGCAACGAGCCGCGAGACCTTCCGACGGCCTGAGGTATGGTAACGTAGCTTGATAGCGAAAGAAAATCGAACGTGCTGGCGTAAACTTTCGTGCGGATCGCACAGGCTGAAGTCGTCGTTGCAATGGAACAGATCTGCTGGAAGCGTTGTCAACGGTACGAGGGTGCTGTTCACGACGCTAGCTCGTCGTTAGTGTCATCATGTGAGCCAGCCTATCTGTTCCAAAACTACCTTCGACTCGGCACGACCAGACTTGCGCAAAGGGTTACGAGTGACAAGTATGTAATTCGTCACGTAGCAGAACATTGTGCGTAACTGGGTTCCAAAACTGGTGCATGTTACCAATCACTCGACGGGCCGCATCAAGGCTGTTACCCGACACGGAACCACAAGCTGGACAGTCAGTGTTCATTGGTCTTCTGGGCTCCTGTTTCATCATCTTCTTTTGGCTTCTTAATCCTCGAACCTTAACCGGGTGTCAGCTCGTAGGGAGATATGTTTGTGGGACAAAAGAATAGTGAACAGTTGCAAACCTGATCTTGTTAATAATACGTCACATACATATCACGCAAAGCAGGAATGCAAAATGTATCGCATACAGCTGATAGCCGTTACAATTATGTATTATGCAGTAAGCACTTCGAGTTGAAGTGTTACTGAGAGAGGAGATCGCTATACAGGCGACAGCAACCTCAAAGCGCCTGCAAGGGAATACGCTTGTATCCTGAACGCATGGAGCTATTTCTTAGCCCATATGGAAACTCCACGCAACGCCCCCAGTCGTAACCTCGTGAACGACACTGTACAAAAGGTATCATGTGTGTGTGAAACCAGAACCGTTACCCAAGCGTAGCAAAGTATCAAGGCAATCGACGCACACAACCCAAACGGGGTCATACAAAGAAGCCTTTGGCCTCGAAAGAAGAAATAGACAAAGAATAGAAAAAGACAAGGATCCTAATCCCAGTTGACGAGGCTGTTGCCGTTGTCCTGGTCATTGGTGGACTGGTCATCGAAAGAATGTGTAAAGTCGCCGCCTTGGAAGTCGAAGAAGGCACTGTAGTCACCATTGCCAGGTGTCAAGAATGAATCATTCGAGTAAAAGCCATCAGAGATGGCACTCGGCATCGACGGTGATGTGGTGCCAGAGACAGGCTCGGTCTTCAGGTTAAGACCAGAAGACAAAGTCTGAGCGGAACCAGTAGCATTGTCTGACATGCTGGTGCTGTTCGGTGCCCGTGTAACCTTGTTAGGGTTGTAGGTGTATGTTGGAGCAAATGGCTGAGGAAGGTTGTCACTGCCAGCCATGAAGACAGCAGTGCGTGGGTCGTTCTGATCAAGGACTGATCCCAAAAACTGCTGCGACTCGGGTGGCATAGACAACGTCAAAGGGTTGGTGTTCAGTGCCTGCGAACTGTACGGATAGTTCGTGGGGCTGTAAGAATATGAAGTGGGTGAATTAGGGTCACTCTGCACAGGTGCAGCATCATGGACTGAAGCCGCATTTGGCGAAGCAATCTGTGGTGAGGATGACTGACGGTGCTGAAGCGAGTGTGCAGTAGGCGAACGCGATAGCGAAGGGCGCGTTGGTCGCTCTACTGTTTGGTTTGGTTGCTGGAAAGCTTGCGGCGGTAAAGACAGTCTCCGGTTTAGCTCGGTCTGCGGCGTCGTGGTACCTGCACTTGCCGGCTGAGCTGACGGATCAAAGTGCGATGTGCCTTGAGGCAGTTGAATAGAAAGAGCGCGCTGGTGAGACTGAGTCCTTTGAGGAATGTGATACGGTGACTGTCGGTAGCTCTGTTGAGGCTGAGCGGTAGTTGGGCTGAAAGGCTGCGTTTGCTGGAAACTCTGGGGCGAAGCCGGAGTAAACTGTTGTGGTGGAAGCATGGAAGGGTTCAGCCAGTTGTTTGCCTGGGGAAACGAGGCACCGTTGGCTGGATACTGCTGACCAAACTGCTGGAACGCCGGGCCCTGGTTCTGGTACTGCGACATGAACATGTTTCTGACACCGTGCTGTGTCGCGATGTAATCATGGAGCTTCTTGTTGAACATGACAGAGGTAGTGTGCAGATGCGCGTTCAAGCGCTGGTACTGAGTGGGCAGATCATCATCCTCCTCTTCGTACATCTCTTCATTGATGACATCCTGCTCAGTTACACGCAAAGCACGGCCTGTACGCTTCTTGTGAATCTCAGAAGCCCTACGTGCCGACTCAATGCGAGCCTCTAGACTACGATCACTGCGGCGTGAGGCAGCAATGTAAGCACTGTCGGGCATCAGAATTGGTTTCAAGTAGACTAAGTTGACATGACTAACCGCTCCTGGTTCTCTTCATGAGTGCGCTCAGTCTTGACCGGTCTGGCCGAAGTGAAGGTTCGACGTTCGGCAGGCATGGTGAGGTCCAGACAACAGATGGTGGATAAAAGCGTGGAGCGGCAAAGGTGTGTGGGTGGCGGTGGGGTAGCTGACAGATAGCGGTGTCAGCACAACAACGGATAGTCGTTTGGAACAGTTCGAGGGGTACGTCTAGCAACGACTTCGACTGTGAGGAATAATGGAAGAAAGAGAAAGTGCGAGGAGCGGGCGGGCAATGTATGTAAACGGAGAGGAGAAAAGTGGCGACTGTCCACGCGGGTGCGGATGTGCTGGGCGGAGCAGGCCTAAAGATGGGCCGAAAAACAACGGAGCTAGAAAGACGCTCACGTACCGCGACGACAGGGTTCGGACAGCACCCAGCTAGATACAGATACGCGACGAGTGACGTGAGGCACAGTAGCAACGGCCAAAGTTGGCCGCGGGTCCCAAAGGGGTACAAGATTGGTGTCAAAGTGGGAACTGGCGCTGGGGTGGCAGCGATCGAGCTGTGAGGGGCGCGTGTGAGTGGTTCCGATGCACACAAATCTCTGCTACGGGCCGGGGGAGGGTAAGCCAGGATTATCAAGTGGCGGAGTCTAGCGGACGAAGACTGGGTATTTCGATGGCAGTAAACAGTTTGTGCATGGACGCTTGCAGAGCAGATCGATCGTCGGGAGCTGGTATCTTGGGGGGGTGGATGGTGAAGCAGCGGATTGGGAGCAGTACGGGCGCGTTACGTCGAGGGCTTGCCTAGCACATGTTATAGCAACAATGGAAAGAAGCAATTGCAGTCTTCTGGAATCTGACCACACAATCAATCACAAGCAGCGGCAGGGCAGTGTGCCAGAAACCAGCAGTTCCCAGTCCCCACAGCACTTGTGCACAGCACCTGTGGACAGCAAGCAGCCAATGGCACCAGTCGAGGGCAGCGGCAGCAAGTCCGGCGTGCTCTGGAGGCCGGTCGGCGAGGTGTGTGGAGTAGGGGAGAAGGTTCGCGGCTAGCCCTGTGCCAGGCTCAATAGCTGCATATTGCCCTCGGCACCCGTAAGCCAGCGACAGGACAACACTACGCCCACGGCTTGGCCAACTGGCGATCGAGCACGCTAGCATCTCTGTGGCACTTCCCGCCGATAAACGAGACGCGTGGTTGAAGAGGGGGAGAGCCCACCTACGTCGCATCAACATGATATCACAGCTGGTTCCTAGGTGTTGCTATGCCTTGCATGGCATCTGGCTGGCGCGGGATTAACCATCCTGTCTCCGGGCTGACTAACACGGCCGCTCTGGCTCAATAGCTCTTACATTTGCGACGCGACGTTTGCACCGTACCCAACTACCATCAACTACCACAGTGACTACAATATTCTACTTTGGCCAGCCAGGAACACTTAATCAAACGTGCGCCGGCTATTGTGTGCACGGCAATCGCGATCGCGGCCGCAGAAGCTTCCGCAAACTGCTCAACCAAACGCGAACGCACATGCTCACGTAAAGTGGCCCGCGCTATGGAGACGCAGCCGTCGGGTTGCCGTTGGCTCGTTCCCGCCTGCGTGGGCTTCCAGTCGGCGGCTGATACTGTAGCGAGTCTAATCCTACGCTTATACCTGAATGGAAGAACTCGCGACGAATAGCCGTCTAACGCGAAACGCCATCATGTCGCACCTCGTCATGCCCCCCCAAACAATACCCAGCTTTGGATAACCTTACCTGCAGCCATGTAAAATGGCCAAAACGGCTGGTTTCACCGTGCTGCACAAATCTCATGACAGTCGATCGCCCAGGTTCAGGAACAAGGGGAGCCCTGATCGAAGGAAGAAAACTTGAGATACGCGAACCTCATATCGGGAATAGCTCCGATCTGATCGTACTTCTCACGCAAATTCGGAGCCCTGATGCGCCCTGAGAACTTTGCTGCCCACCGCCCAGGACGTGCGCGCCGATTGCTCGATAAAAACATGTCGCCGACTCCTTGGTCCACAACAATAACCACTGCTGGTGCCCCTCCTTACTACGCTTTCTGTACCAGCGGGAGGCCATGCGTCAGAAGAAGGGACGGCGCTCTGTCAACACAACGGTTAGTGCAATTCTTTCGTTCCCCAGGCTATTGGCACCATGGGAAATTGAGCCTGGTGATCTGAATTGGAGTATTTGTCACTATGGCATTCACCCAAGACCCGGCCGTCCGCCGACGTCACACGGCATGGCTTCTTCCTTCCATGGCTTCTGCCCCGCCGCAAGTGCCCACTACCAGATCGCCAGGATACTAGCTTCGGCCTGTCAGTGTATCAGCCAGTCAAAATCTGATAATCCCTGCCTCTTCATCAGACTTCAGATCTCATCTCAGATGAAATATCTCCGGCCGTCGTGCATCCCATCGGCTCTTCGTGCACCGAGTGGGCTAGGAAACATGCCGGAGAGTACTCAGCAACCGCGTCTAGATGCTTGAACTTTGCGTTTCTCTCAGCTTGGCTCCCTGCATCCAGTACATCGAGCCGACGTCGGGCTTGCCAGCCGTCAAACACACGGAATTGCTTTCGTCTACTGCAGGGCTGTGAGTGACCGTGGTTCTGGGTCCTCTACTTGCGGACTTGTACGGTTAACCGACTCCTTTTTCAACCAGACTTGGCACATTTCATTTCCTTTGAAGTAATCTTATGTTTTGAGATCATCGTGAGGTGACGCAGGTTCCACGTTGCTACGATGACTGGTACGCAACGCTCCGCACCAACCCCCGGTAAAAGTGACGTCGCGGAGGATTGGGTTGGCGCCATCTCACACCCACATGTGAAGGAATCTGGAGCTGGCGCACATGATTCTAATCCAACGTACGTTTAGCTGCATGATCTTGCATCCGAGGCGGCTGCGATATCCTTTGCGGCATCTTGAACGCGCTTCGTTACACAGCGGCTTTTTGTACCGGCATCTTGAGCAGCCACCCACCTGCTGGGGTTTCTGAAACCTCTCCAGCTTGTTTAGACTACCTTCGATTGGCACTATTGGAATGAAGCGAGGCTGCAACATAATCTGATCGTGCGGTTCGATAGTGGGACAACAAACAAGTCCAAGCTAATGCGGCAAGTGGAGCGCTTACGCCACGCCGCAGCACCCATGCCGATTGCCCTTTAATCTCCTTACTACTCCGCCGTTATGCTCCCCATGCCACTCACCAAGACTGCGTGATGACGGAATGCCCTCGAAATACAGCCTTAGGACACGGCTGTTCCAGATTTCTCAATTCCACGCCACAGATAAGTCTTTGATTGTTTCGAGTACACTGCAAACGGCAAGGCTTTGTGACGTTTATGCCAATTTGCTCCGGCGTGCAACGCCGCCTAGTTTTTGTAGGCTGTGCGATCTTTCTTCCTTAGTTCGGAAGGTCTGATCTCAACCCATGACCTCCAAATTACTACATAGTACACAACACCAGAGTGTAGAGCTTCAGTGCCATGCCGCTCCGCGGGCCCTAACGCACGGTGGCCGGTTGCACTCGCTTGCATGCACGTCTCGGTGATATGCTCCTCTCCAATCAAATATCCTTCTTCTCATAAACCCCTCTTCGAAATTATCGTTCCTTTTCTTTTTGTACCGTACGCGGTCCCGGGATCCCTCAAAAGCCCAAGTTGATGTGGATGCGCTTAATCTGCTGCATTAGCTTGCCATATGTGCGATGGGCTAGCTTACTGCAAGTCCTTCGGGATTAATTGGCTGATAGCATATCGGAGAGAACTCCCATCTGAGAATGCGCAATAGTTCCATCCAGGCCCACAGGCAGTTCGTTTATCGGTATTCGCAGCCATTTTCCCATACGGAATGCTTGAATCGCCATTCATGACTGGGTTCGCAATTCTGCGAAATGCGTTCTGTGGAGCTCGCCACCATTCGTCCTGAGATCGGCAGCACAGCCCCGCTGTCGGTTTTAATGATTCTGTATCTCCCGCAGAGGGACGATTGCTTCCGAGAGTTCCACGAGCGATTAAGTTTGTATAGGCGGTCTGTACAACGCGTTGTGTGCGAGCATTCTTTAGCGAAACAGCAGATGCGGTGAGGACAATTCAATGCCGCACACCCACTCCAGCTCAGATCAAGTTCTAGGTCTTTCTCAGTCGCTCTCTGATTGTGATGGTCTTCTTCATGTATTCAGTTTGTGGCCATCTGTCATAAGACTCTCTTCCCGCGCATCATCGCAAACTGCAATACCGTCAATTCTAAGTAACAATGCATGGATATTGCATGCAAGTGAGCAGACCGCTCCAGGTCTGCGGGTGGTTTATCTTAGAAGGCCGAAAAGGGTCCAGCGGAACGTTGCTTCTTCCCTCCTCTGTCCAACACCGCATATACAGGCGTCTGTAAACCTCTGGGCCTTACAGCTTACAGCACCCATCAGCCACGCTACGACACCGCCGTGTCCAGGCCACCGCCTCGGCCTCCTTCAGAGCCAATGGCCGTCACGAGCATATTCGCAGCACGGCATAAGCAAGCACGCAGTGCATACAGCTCGTATCGGGCCATGCAGCAAGCTCAGATTCCCACGTCCGATTAGTAGGGACAACGCAGCAGCAGCTTACTTTTTGGCTCTTTACGGCGGTAGGATGAAGAAGTCGCAAAGTTTTTGGAATACCCAAGGCACTGGGTAAATGTCCAAGCCTCTTGAGAGCCACGCGATTTGCAGCCACGTTGGCGTTGTCGCGTCATATCGAGACGGAGGAAACCTCCTGTATACTGCTAGCACCGGCCGTCCTCCGGACGATTCCAGTTGAACCCGCGGCTTCGCGCATTGTCTGCAAATGCCTTGAGCTTCCACGATTATCCATGGTTGGGAATTTGGTGGCTGATCCACATCCGCGGACCGCCTTGTTGAACTCTAGGCTAATCTACAGCATCGCGATAAACTTGCAGGAGCCCTCGAAGACGACACAGGCTATTTGGAGTGGCAGAAGTTACTCCTGCACAACAAGTGGCGACGGGGAACGGGTCCCCACGCGTCCTGTGTCCTTCACGGTCAGCTGACTGTGTGCTTGTGTTTAACATGGCACTTATGAGTGTTCTTCACAGGTTCTTTGATCAATCACCTATATACATACACAACGAAAGAGGTGGCGACAAGAGTAGCAACTGACCTGTAGCTAGGCCCCTTTGACGCAGTAGTATCTTTTCGCTGCTACAACCACGCACTACTGCACTCAGGGTCAGATTGTGATCGTCGAGCTCTTGAGTCTTTCCATTGTTATCACACTTCCGTCCATCTCTCTACTGGTCCTCCAGTCGCAAAGTGTATACGCATAGTCTATAGCATGAGTTCATGCAACATAGGACGGACATCAAGTCGTTCGTTGTAAGTTGACTGTAAGAACTCGTGCTCGCTCCCATGGTGTCGGTTTCGTATACAAGGTAAACCTATGTCTTGAGACAGCCGCTATATGCCAACCAGATTCAAGTGGTGGCACAACGCAATTAGTAAATTGCACAAGTAACTACCATTCCGGGTTGAAAATTCTGGTGTTCTACGTCAGTCACATCCTCAGGTAACTCAATGCATCAAGCAAACAGCTTCTCAGAATGCATCTTTAGCCCTTGACACATGTCCTCTCCCTGCATTCTTTCTGTTGTTTGTCTTCAACACGAGCACTGCAGAGATTCATGGCTAGGTACGTCATTATTCTGCCATTCTCCATAGTCACGTTTGTGGCATCTCTTCATTGTGCATGGTGCAATCCGGTGAGAAGGATAGTCGCATCTGTATCACGGCGCTGGCATTCTTGACCAAAGATGCCATGTTGCCGGGTCACTGGATGCTGTATGGGCAGGTGGTGACACAAAGGTCCCTTCCCTGGGTATCTGGCTAACCCTACAGAGCACAACAACGCACCATTTCGACCCACTCATAGTCGCGCCTTCACCTTCACTTTCGCTCCTGCCCACCACGCAACTGATTTCTGCCGTAATTACAAACGCTGCCAGCACGTCATATAAACAACATTTCTGTCCCCATTTCTTCTGTTCTTCACGACGCCCACTCCAACGCTCCATCATCTCTGCAGCTGCATCACTTCAAGTCAAATATACTTCAATCCAGCTCTACTTAGCTCCATCACCACCCGTAATTGAGTTACCAATATCAACATGTTCGGCTACAAGCTCCTCGCTGTCGCTGCGCTTGCCTTGGCTGTCGTCGCTTCTGACTGTGAGTACACTGCTCTACACGTTCTGCATCACACAAACTAACAAGTCTTCCAGTTGTCTGCGCACCCGCTGCCACCGTCACCGCTACTGTCACCGTCACCGAGTGCATTCCCCAGCCTGGAAAGCCGTCGTATGCGCCACCTCCTGCTGAATCGGCCATCTCCTCCGCTCTGAGCAGTGGCCTGCCTGTAGACATTACTACCAGCGTTATCCTGCCTCCTCCTGGACAGCCGATCCCCACTTCAGGTGCTCCTCCTGGCACTAATACGCTCATCGTCCCCTCTGGTGAGACCTCCGGCGCTTCTGCCTCTTCGACTGCGTCAGTTACTACGATCATGGTGGCTACTTCTTCATCAGGACGCCCTGGCGAGCCGGAGGCGAGCAGTACGTCCCCTCCTCCCGAGACTGCTGGTGCCGCTCTCGCAACACCTGTCGTCGGTATGGGCTCGCTCGTCGCCATGGGCGCCGCTGCCTTGGCTATCATGGCCTGAGCCTGCGCACACCCCCATTCATGATTTGATATATGTATTGGTGGTTTCTATAGGAACGGAGTATCATCCTTCGTCGGACAGCTAGCGTAGCATGTCTGTAGCTCTTCACGAGCCTAATTCCAAGACGGCTTTGTCACTACTTACTATCTTGTGCTCTACGATTGCTGTGACTGGATTACCTACTAAACTGGAGCCTAATGGCTCTCACAGCATTTTGTACAATTTTTTTTTCAGGTGAAGAACACTGGGAATACCTCCAGGGCGGCTTTACAATGGGTTTAGTGTTATGACCCGCTCAATCCACTCCACAACGACTCTTGCGGCCTCCTCAGGGCTCAGCAACGTCACATCCAGCACCAACTCCTCGATTACTCCAAAGCGATACATCTTGTCTCCCCATTCGCGTCTCAACTCTTCCACTTCTGCGACATCCACCAACTTTGTTGAGACGCTCCGCGTCCGCTCTTCGCTTTCTACTCTCTTCATGTGTTTGTCCACCTCGCCAAGTAAGTACAAAGGGGATGAATTCACGTCCGGCCTCTAAGGCGGAAACCCTAAAACCATGTGCGATAGCAACGTCGTTGGCGATCTCTGTGCGGCAATTCTGATACGACTTCTGTCACAGCGGGATGAGCCCATGAATTAGGCCGTACGGACCTGTGAATATAATCACATGATGCGAGTAAGCTGCATCGTTCACATGTTTGCGCACTACGCGGTCGCGTTCGGCTTTGCGTTCCTCAAGATATTGTGGATGTGTACGTGTGGGGGTACCTCGATGCTACGGGGTCGATGAGACTGTGATTGTCTATCAAAAATGACCTTTTGTGGTGGGGCTTTGGGTTTGTAGAAGAGTGGTGATGGTGTGGGCGATGGTGAGTTTACCGATTCCTAAGAGGGAATTCATGTATATTGTTGGTGCTGGTGCGGACGAACATGTGATAGGGTCAGGGTGCGGCATCGTTTTAATGTGCATGGTATGAACGATTGTGAGGGAGTAGGGATGTTTTGGTTAGCGAGACAAGAGCAGGTGATGGTAGATGTCCTACAGGGGAGCTGTTTACTCACATAAGGAAACTGCAGCAGTCTTGAATCGACATAGCAGAAATTTGGTACTAATGGAGAATCGAAGAGGAAGATGAGGAAGGGCGATGCATGAATATGGATTGGAATATCTCTAAAAGATGCTCAAAGTCTCTTGTGTGAGGGCACTTTCTATGCCAACATATACACCCCGTGCTTCCCACTCGGTGACTGCTCAAGTGAAGCGCTATCCCGCTTGTTTGTACCTCGTCCTCAATTCATCAATCTCACGCTGGAACTTTTCCATGTCGTCAAGGATATTACTCGAATCACTCCTTCCCTCGCCTTCCTTTCCACCGCTCACGTTCTCATCAAGACCTAGCCTCCTTTCGCTCTCCTCGATTGGCGAGTACAAAGCGTGTTCGTTTTCGCCCTTCTCGTCCACAGGTGTATACGTCCTTCTCAGCGAACTTTCACTGGCTACACTTGATCGCCTGTGCTCTGTGCTCGTGCGACGATACTCTGTGCTCGTTCTTCGGCTTTCTGTGGGAGAGGAGTAGGATACGTGAGGTCTTTGCTGATCAAGGCTCGAGCGATTCGATTGTCGACGCCTTGGTGGAGGCGGAGGTGGCGCCATGTTGCTCCCTGTACTCTCTCCTGAGACATTGCGATGAGTGTTGCGATTGGACGATATAGATGAGGTGCGGTACACACTAGGTGCAGGCGACGAAGGTTGGGACTCTAGAGTGCTACGACGAGATGACGGAGGCTCTGGAACAGATCTCGGTATTCGTCCCGAGCTTGACCTTTGTGGCAATTCAGTACTCGAAGAATTCGCGCTTGAGTTGCCTAGGTTCGCAAGTCGTGCGCCATGCCGTGAGGGTGGAGGAGGGGGCGGGGACTTTGCTCCAAATGATGGGTCAAGGGTACTTGGACCGGGGCTCTGTAGGGCATCGACTGAGTGTTGAGAGGATATGGTGAGGTTTGAACTGCTTCGCGATCTGTTGCCAGTAGTTGTAGTCTTGAGCTGACTTTGTCTCCGAGCCAATGGTACAGGCGGAGGCATCTTCTTCTGTCTAATTGGACCCTCTGATGGTGTTGAAGGCTGACTTGGTACCGGCGGTATTGGTGGAGACTGTAGTGGCGTGGTATTCTGAGTGCTGATGTGTAGGGACTGCGGCGCAACAACTGGAGTTGGCGGGAGTGGCTTATTTGTATCTGAACTATCCGTTCGTCTAATGGCTGGAGGAGGTGCCGGTTCTGTAGCGGCAAAGCTTTCGAACGACACTACCTGTGGCTGTCTCGGCGTGACGAGCTTCCCATGACGATGCTTGGGCGCAGGTGGGGGCTTCTTCTTGCCCTTCTTCACTTCTGACACCAGTCCCATACTCTCGTCGTCATCTGATTCTGCCATATCGACAGATGTACGTGGCGAATCAGCGTGTATCTCTTGTGGGGGTTCGAATAGCGATTGCCGTGAGACCGAGGAAGTATCTGTGCTACTGCTGGTCTCAAATTGCGCACCAGCGACCGGTTGCGACGCGCTCGTAGGCTGCGGAGGCGGGCCGGATGGTCGCGGAGTAGGCTTTCCGGTCATGAGTAGGTTCTTGAAGCTCTCTACATCTAGAGATGCCCTGCTGTTGCCTAGCATTGGTCTTCCCGTATTCGTCCGCTCCTCCTCGCTCTCCCTTTCTTGCGGTTCTAGCGACGCCAGTGTTCTCGAAAACGGATTCGCCGGTACATTGCTTGGCGATAGAGTGGCTTGGGGGTTGTTCAAATAAGGGCTTGGACTTGGGGGGACGTCCGCTGTTGCCATGGCGTCTTTCCCAATAACTTGGGCATTGGCTTCGCCCGCTGTGATTGAACTGTTGGCATAGCCAGCGGGTGTTACGGGAGGCGGTGGGCTTGCAGGCGGACCTTGGCTCGATCGCCGGGCCCTGAGCTCATTTAGAGTCACATCTTTGTCGTCAAATGGGTAGGGTGGAATTGTCGTAGTTGGAGACAGTATGCGGACAGACTTCTTTGTCTTTATCGGCGGCGGGGCGACATCTTCGAGCACTATAGACAATTACTCCTTGAATGCCAGCAGACGTAGAAAGGCAAGGCGAGGGAATACCATGGTCGCTGTCCTCCCTACGCGCCTCAGAGACACTGCTATCCGTGTTGATGAAGGAAGTCTGCGGGACGGCCGCGGGCTGACGAGGAGCTTGAGAAAGGCGGAAAGGGTTCCCGGACGACATGGCGGGCGTTAAAAACAATGCATTATTCTATGTACATGGAAGAGGCTTGGGTGAAGCGGTGAGATAGTGTAGCGCAAGAAATGCTGCTGCTGATGGTCGGTCGGCTCTGCGATTTGATCATCGCCGATATGCAGGTGCTGGCGATCCGGCGCGGGACAGCGAACAGACCCCACCATCGTACCTCGTACAGCATGACTGCCTGCCAATGAAGAATTGAATATGCATCTGTCACAATCTCGCAGACGGGATTCATGTCTCACAGATGAACCCTATGTGTGGTAACTAGCTCGTTTTACAACATTATCACTTTGCTAAAACCGACGGTTGCACATTTCTCCAGACGGTGATTGATATACAATCCTCTTCGCAGTGGCCACAGCTATCTTCGTCCATATCTATCTCTATCTCTATGACACGCTAGTCGACATACACATGCCACCCAGCCTGGCAGCCGAACCACTTGCGCGCCAAGTTGCCTCCACTCTCTGTCGGTTGACTGAAAGCGACTTTGGCCTTGTCAACGTTTAGCCCATAGAGGAAGTCGGATCTTGCGGATTCCAGCAGCCTGGTCGCAATGCCATTTTTTCTATGCTGATTTGAAGTCCATATACGCGATATGCCCAGGGTTGCTGCATCTGAATCCGTGCTGATAGAAATAGAAGAGCTCTGTGGCGCGACAGCATCTCCATCCTCTTGTTCAGGCGAAGTGGTGGGGTTTAAGACCCTATAGGCCTCCCAAATCCGCTCTCCCAAACATGCTCCTATGCACTTGTTGCCTCGAATGTATAAATAGATCTTGAACCGATCGACGAGAGGCGCGTTTGCTTCACATTCTGCTGAGGGCTGCTGTTTCGAACTAGCAGTTCCTCTTTCCGTCGCGTCTGCATTGGCCGTCCGACTCGTCTGTCCCCAGAGCTCATCATCTGATATTGAAACAGCCGCAAGCTCTGTATTCACAACCTTCAACACATCGCTCGCCCGGTTGCGCAGCGCCAGTGTATCCTTCCTTCCGACCACGGCAATGAAGCTCCCGTGACCACTCCATATCTCATTTTTCCTGAAGCGCTCAACGACTGGCTTGGTGAAGTCGACACCACCAAGGTTCATGGCATGGAATTTCTTGTGCAGCGCCGCGTCCTCAGCATGTGACGGTATGTACTGCATTCCACATGTCTTACACGTCCTCCGCGTCTCCGAGGCCAAGTCTAACTGCATCTGCACCATCTGCTTCTTTTTCGGCGCTGGCTTCGGCGGGCTTTGCGCATTATGACTTCGCTCTGTAAGGGCTTCTTGGACTGGTGTTTTGGGCTTAAGTTGCTTTTTGAATATCGAGAAGACTGGTCTCCGTTTTTGGACGGGCGGCGGGGAGCTGCACGGTACTGGGGACGATGGTGGACTAGACCGAGGCGGTTCGTCTGAGAAGACTGCAGGCGAGTCTTTTGGGCTGGATGGAGGAGGGGTGGAGCTTCCGCGTTCAAGAGACGAGACGATGGCTGCAGGAGCCACATCCAGTGACGTTAAGGTCGCGGCTTCGGTACTTTCAGTGGTGGTCTCGACGCGTCTTCGTTTGGTGGGCGGTTCCTCATCGTAGAGTTGGCGCTTTGTTTGTCGCGAGTAGGTTCTCACAACCTTCCTATAAGCTTGTTAGACGTGTAGATTCTCTTCAGTTGTACTGACTTACTTTGCTCCGAAGGACGACATGACAGCGCCGTTAGAATGCGAGGTAAGAATTCCGAGCGCTGGACAGCCCACGCGACTGACGCGTTTTAGCGCGCTACGCTAGTATCGCGCCCACACGACGTCACCCCTCTCCTCGTCACATGTTTCCAACACAACACTGTGATCCAGGGTGTATGTGACAATCGTCAAGTCTTGGATAAGCTGGTAGTTATGGCGGTATGGTGGCCGTATTTCGATGACAATCAGTGAATGCAGTCATCTCAGGCCACCAATCACCCCTCCCAACCAGGAAGGTGCGTCTGCTTCTCGCTATCTGGCCTGATCCTGCATCTTCGTATCACATTCATGAGGCAACGACTATCAAAAGATAAACCATTAAAAGTACATATACATCAAACTCTCTTGGTCATCCTAGCTTCGTTACATCCTCTCGTTTTTTGCACCATCCGTCGGTGTACTGCATCTCAGCCAACATGGCCGAACAACCGACACCAGCACAGACGAGCGCATCAGCTCCAGCACCCATAGTTACAACCACGCGTCTCACAATCCGCCCGATGCGGCTGGAAGATGCCCCGAACACAGCTCTCCATGCTAACGACCCTCTTATCGTTAAATACATGCGGAACACCTTTCCAAACCCATATACACTTTCTAGTGCCGAGCAGTGGATCAACATGAATCTCGTACTCCCGTATCAACACCATTTTGTCCTCTGTGAACGATCATCACCAGATGTCGCCATTGGAGGTATCGGCTTGAAACCAGGCATGGATGTGTATGCGCACACTGCCGAAGTCGGTTTTTGGGTTGGAAAGTCATTTTGGGGAAGAGGGTACACGACAGAGGCATTGGAAGCCTTCACAAGATGGTCGTTCGAGAGCTACGAGAACAACGGACAGCGACTAACGAAACTTTACTCTGGCGTGTTCTCTGGTAACGTGGCGAGCATGCGATGTTTTGAAAAGAATGGATATGCGTTGGAAGGTGTACTGAAGGGTCACGTTGAGAAGAATGGTGAGATCCAGGACGAGCACATGTTCGGGATGACGAAGTCAGACTGGGACAGAAGGATGAGCGAGAGCACCACGACCTAGCAAGTTGTGATATGCGGCACAAGGGGCGAGCCAGAGAAGATCTATTAGATTCCTTGTATGAATGTCTAAGGTCCCGGTTGAGCGATATACGCTTGAAGTTGCATGAGCAGTATCTCCACCGGTACGTTGTGTCTTGCTGCCTTCATTACGACACATCTCTCGTCAACGTACTGGCTGCCTTTTATCAATTCTTGCGCCTTGTCTTCTCCAAGCAAATCCGTCAAGCTGTAGACTGCAACCTTCTTCCCTCGCCAAACGGTGGTATGGAACTCAAGCTCTGGAAACTGCACGCGAGGTTGCAGACGAGAAACTACAGGACCAGTATACCAGTGCGGTGAGGAGTGGGTAACCCCTGGGGCAGCGTGAGGATCGAGCTTCGCCTCGAAGCTCTTGGTAAAGTAGTTTGACCATTTTTCCAGCTCAGTCATGTTCTGATCCACCTGCTTTTGCAAGTCATCCGCGCGAGTGCGAAGCGATCGAAATATGAGCACGCAGGAAACGTCTTCCACGCTCTCAATGTCCTCAGTTCGGGGACTTGCGACTGGAATCAAGCGGCCTCTGAAACCAAAGTTCCAGCTCAGCTTGCTGTCTAGTCTCTTACGCATGATTTCTAATACAAAGTCTGGCATGTCCTCCCTCCAAACCATCTTCTTCAAGTTGTGACCGCCAAACTTTTCCGTCATGCGTGCGTATAGAGCTCTCTCCCACGCCTTCTTCTTGCCCATGTGTGCGACGACCAGATGTTTCCCAATTAACCGTAATGGAGGACCAAGATGTTTCTTATCCGTCGTAAGAGAGACTGGCAGGAGCCACGGGTCTTTGGTGGTGGGGTGGGGGCGGGCATGAAAAGACACCAAGAAAGCGGCGGGGAGCAAGATGACTGTCGCGCGACATTGACGGATAGGCGATGCCAATGCGTGGGCTAAACTGTCAGATACATGTCTTCGTAAAAGTACAGGAATGTGCATACCGAATGGATTCATCCATAGCTTTTTCTGGAAAGGCGTAAACTCGGCAAATTTCGGTCGCTCTTTTGTTTGCTCGAAGCGTGATCTCTCCTCGACGACTATCGGATCGAGCAATGGCGACAGTGGGAGTTCTCTGGCTGTCTCGTCCTTACGGAGGCGGAACGTCTGGTGGGCATCCTCGCGTGTAGGGCCAAGGTCGCGACCCCTCAAGATGCGACCGGAGACGTGAGCGGAAGACTGGCGGCATTGAGCCCGCAAAGGTAGTCTAATGGGGCTCAAGCATGATCTCGGGCGACAAGTCCATCTGCCTGGCATCAGGCGAGAAAGATGGATGATTGTATGGTTCGTATGAGGTTGTGAGGCATCACGAAAGATTCCAAACGACTGCGGCGGACCTCCGGCTTGGCGCCCCATAGCTTCGTTCATGTGGGGAGGAAGGAGCTACCCCAACATCACACATGATGGCTTCTCTATTACGGCGGGCTACAAGGCCGTCAACGCTACAAAGCTTTTGCAGACATGGCACACGAGCAATGTCAAGCCAATTCGGCTTCCAGCCGCAATGGAGCCCACAGCAACAAGACCAACAGACACCACGAGCAATCTCACTACCTATACCCTACGTGACAGAGACCACTGTAAGCCCAGCAACGCTATTCTTCGCTTCCTATCTGACTTCATAGGGTGGAGGCTGGAAAACTTCCGACATCTTCTCTCGTCTGCTTCAAGAGCGCATCATCTGCCTGAATGGCGAGGTGGACGACTACATGTCCGCCAACGCTGTCGCACAACTCCTCTTCCTCGAAGCCGATAACCCCGAGAAGCCTATATCCATGTACATCAACTCGCCCGGAGGCAGCGTGAGCGCCGGTCTTGCCATCTACGATACCATGAACTACATCCGCTGTCCGGTCAGCACGATATGCATGGGCATTGCAGCCTCCATGGGGTCATTGTTACTTGCAGGTGGCGCCCAAGGCCAGCGATACATACTACCACACGCACGAGTCATGATACACCAGCCGAGTGGCGGATACCGCGGCAAGGCAAGCGACATTGCCGACCATGCCAAAGAGATCTTAAGGATTCGAGATAAACTGAACAAGATATACCAGTCGCATGTCACGAAGAAGAGGACGTTGGAAGAGATCGAGAAATATATGGAGCGTGATTACTTCATGGATGCGCAAGAGGCGGTAGATTTTGGTATTGTAGACAAGATACTGGAGAAGAGAGAGGCTCCAACCAAGGAAGAGGACAAGAAGTAGAAAGGATGACTGTCCGACAGTACGTGTCAGATCACGACCTGAAATAGTAGGAATGGAAACGTGTCCGCTACTGGTACTCTCACTACGTGCAGCGCGAAAGAGAAACTTCGTCATGCGATATTACAAATGCTTGAAAGTGCATATGCACTGATGACGCTATCTCGCAGATTGAAGCCTAGAATATCGAGACATGCAGAAAACAGAGGGTAGTCCGATGCCACGTAACCAATAAGCCGCAGGTCATGACTGCACATGCATGTCAGCCGCACCTCCAAGAACTTGCGCCTCATATCTTCCCACATGGTCTCAGCCTGGTCGACATCACAACACTTACTGGATAAGTCTGCAATATGTGGGAGCCTTTTGGATCGCCTAAACACAACGCAACAGGAGAGTGGAGAGGCGGACCAAATGAAAGAGGCACATTTGATATCCTCTCTACATGTCTTATCACTCTCATTCTGTGTGTGTGGACAGCACTGCATCTCAACATACCCGATCATGGAAAGACTTCAGTTACGCACATGGCAAAGAGAAAGACTGTATGGCTCGTCGTTGGCCTCTTTGCGCCAGAATTTGTAGGTACTACACGCAAACAACAGATGTAATTCGCCAGGACCACCTAAGAACAGTACTGAGTCAATGCCTAGATTGTCTTGCTTGCTTTCCAGCAGTGGCTCAGTGCGAAGCAGCTACAGTCAGAAATTGCAAAGATTGCTGAGCGGACACGCCCTCGAGATAAAATGACTGATAGAGAAGATATGGGCCCCGCCGCACATGTTGATAAAGAGGAGGGAAATAATACCGACTCTTACTCGATCGAAGATGACGTCTCTCCACGACCTCTCGCCGAATGGACGAAGATCCACGCGCATTACGCGCTTATGGGTGGCTTCGCATTTTCAACGCATAGATCAGAGATAAACATCCTACCGGATGACATCACGCGAGCCGTGCTCACAACACAAGGACTCTTACATATAATAAAGTACTTTCCCGACCTGATTCCCGATATTTCGGAAGAGGCAATAGAAGATAAGAGCAAAGCTAGTGCATTAGCGAAGACACTGGTGTGTCTACAGGCGACTTGGTTTGTCGTCGAGACCATCGGCCGACTTGCGACGAGTTATCCTATTAGTCTGTTGGAGATGAACACGCTTGTGCATGCGCTGTGCTGTTTGGCAGTATACATTGCTTGGTGGGACAAGCCCTTGGATATCGAGGAATCCACGCTCATACCCTGTGACAATACAAGGACGGAAAGTTTGTGTGCTCGGATGGTCGAGAAAAGCGGCCTGGGAGAGCTGCACAAACCCACCGAGCTCATCGTACTTCCTAAATTCTTAGCAGATCCTTTACCAGGAACCTTTGAGGGCGTTCTTGTCAAGGCTGCGCAAGACCCAGATGAAACAACCAACGGCATAGAACCACCAAACTCGTTTGAAGATTCTCGCAGGTCTGTGTATGCCTGGTTGCACATACGTACTCCCAAGCTTGATGCAAAGAATCAAATATATGGGCCGCACCATTACTATCGAGAGAATCCTACTTATGTACGGTATAAATCTCTTGCCAAATTACACGGCGAGAACAACCAGCAATACTTACCATACGAATGCGTGGTTACGAGCATCCCCGATTTGCCTCTTCCGAGCGAGCCATTCACCTGGTCGTACGCAATGACGCGGATAACCTCCTTCATGCAAAGTTGCTGGGACGAAGTGTTTTACCAATGGCTATATTCCTTCATTCATTTCAACCTCAGTCTCCAGCGGCCCCAAGTGCTATTCTGGCTTGGTGCGATGGCAGGCGGAGCATTTTATGGGGGCTTGCATCTACTAGCATGGCATGGTCCGTTTAACACTCGAGCCCAACAAATACTCTGGCGGATCTCTGGATTAATATTGGTCGGGCCCTTGCCTATCATACTCTTCGTTATGCTTCTAGTAGTCGTACGACATACTTACAAGAAGGTGGCGCGGCCGTTTCATCGTTTCCCAGAAGAGACTTTCGAAATCCCAATTCACGAGGAGGACTACAGAGACTATGCAAGACATAGGATGGAGAGGACGCCAATGAAAACGTGGGGTCATTGGATCGGTGGTCCTGTAGTCAAATTGTGCGTTCGTGTGTACGCCGTGGTTTACTTCGTTGCAAGAATATACATTGTGATCGAGTCGATCATCAATTTGGCGTACCTGCCGGATGGCGTGTACAAAACTCCTGATTGGAGCAATTACATGCCACACATGGGCGCTAGCTAGGTGTCTTCTTTGTGCTTTGGTTTTCTTTAGATTACGCAAGTCAGAATAATTATATCACACAATTCCTACGTATGCTTCGCCACTAACCATGTCTGAGCAGTAGATGCTAACGCATAACAAGATACTACAATCGCTTCTAGCCGGGATGGTTCTGAGTGCTGCGCCTCATCCCTGCATAACCACTGCGAGACGCACTGAGGCCAGGTCCAGGAACTCTGAGGCAGCACAATCGTTTCATGATCTTGAAGTGAAGCTTTGAATTTGGCTTGTTGTTTGTTGTGGTTACACACGCGCGCATGTCCGATACATAACTGAGACAATCCTGATCCTGACGAGGTGTTGTTCCCCATGATCATGTATAAGCGACACAAACAGTAGCCTTCGTTGTCTTATAAAAGGTCTAGCCATAGACTAAACTAGACAGAAGGATACGAAAGCCTTTTCCAGCTTATCATGTCAGAATTAAAATTCGATCTCAATAAACCACTAGCCCAGTCGCCGTTACCGGCATCAGTGAACAAGTCATCTAGCGATGCACAAACCAAGTCCAGGGTCAGACTAGTCTGCGAAAATGAAATGCTAGTGTAAGTGCGTTAGTCTGACAATCGCTTTTGCTGCTGACGGTCCGTAGTTTTGACACTGCTCTAACGAATATACGTGTCGGAACGGGCCATCATCGAATAGACTTTCTCGTGCACAAGCCGCTCTTAACCTCTAGATCGGAGTTCATCAAGCGTGCCACCAGCGAGGAATGGTACGGGAAAACTTTCATCGCAGATAATGTAGATCTACCGGACGACGACCCCAATACTGTGAAACTATACCTCAATCTGGTCTATGCGAATCAGCTAGTCATCAACGGTACTGGGCAGTGGCTGAAGCTGTGTCAGCTCTACGTGTTGGCAGAGAAATTACAAGATACTACGTCTAAGAATAAGATAATCGACGGAATGCTCGTCTTCTACCAAGAGCTGGTCAAAGAAACCCCACTGAGCGTTAACAGCAAACGTATGCTCCCGGCTGCAGCAACAGTAAAGCTGTATGAGGGTACGCCTGATCGAAGTCAGGCCAGGAAGCTCCTCTTGGATCTGTACTCCGACTTTGGCGACGAGTCCTGGCTTCGAAGCGAGCAGACAGAATTGCCGGCCGAATTCATCTGCGACGTTGCCGTCCGATTGTTGCAAAAGCGCACTTGTGTCATCTTTGGCTCAAAAATCATGGGCCCTTCGTCTCACTACTATGAACCCAGCGTATCTTTGCCGGAAAAGGCCGGCACCGTGACTGGGGAAATAAATGATGCCTCAAAAGACAGACAGAGCGACACGGTCAAGGTTGTTAAATTAGCGGAGGAGAATATTACAGAAAAGGACACAAATTCCAAAGACATCAAGCCAGAATCGAAACTCGGAAGTTCCGGCGCTGCAGCTTCTCAAGTGGCAACACCGGTTGCTGGCAATGCACTGCCGCCACTCAAAGGGCTCGCGACGACAGTGAAATGAAGACATTATCAGTGGTCAGACTTTGACTTTACTAGGCCATACAGATACAATACAAATGATGTGTTTTGAGTAGTTTCGCTGATGCGGATAAATTGTTCGGAACCTGCAAGCTCTATGACTTTTTATAGCATATGCCTGCGAGATGGCCTTGTTCCTGTTCAAGCACTTTGAACACACTCGGCCAAGGCACTCCAGCCGTCACTGCACCAAGGTGCTAATAAAATTGCCCTCTGAGCATCTCCTACATCGCCAGTACTGCCCATGGCACCTGCCAAACCAACAGCACTAAGCGTACCATTCGGTGGCGCGTTTCGCATCGCAGTTTCCTTCGCAAGTGTACTGGCAAACACATCACCTCCTGCAGCGTCAGCGAGCTCAGTCCAGCCGGTATGTTTCCAAGGCGCAAGCATGACACTGCGTCGAGCCTCATCCAGTTCTTGTTCTTCGCCACCCAGACTGACTGAGATGGCTTCGACAACCTTCTCCACCCGTGCAAGCTGTTCGTCGCTGAGCTCCTTGTTTGTGCGCAGCCGGTCTAGATCGTCTTTGATGGCTTCCATGGTTTCCAAATCATCATCAAGCACTGTCATTGCGCCGATGAGTGTCAACAAGCCGACATGACCTTCGTGCTTCTCGACAGCGGTAAAGAGTTGGTCGCGAGCCACTTGCTTCTCATTCTCTCCGCCCTTGGCCCAGAGTACTTCAGCGAGAATACATATGATGTCTGGATTGGCTCCGGTTGCCTCGAGCGACGTTCGGAAATACGGTATAGCGGCATCAAAGGAGCCGCTGAAGTAGTGTGCTAGACCAGCTGTAAGGCGAGCTGATAGCTTAGTCTTTGTAATTTGGTCCTTGGACAATGCAGACTGTTTCGCATCGCTTTCCAGTTCAGAGAGCAGATCTAGTGCCGTCTCGGCTTCTTCCACAGCTGAATCATAAGATCCGACAGCAAGGAGGTTGCGAGACAGGTCTGTCTTGGCTTGTGCAACACGAGCCAGTGATGTCAGCGACTCTGACTTTTCATACTCTTGCTCAACAGTCTCGTTCACAGCTTGCAAAGCAGCCACTGCTGCGTCATAGTTGCCAACACGCTCTAGGAACAGTGCCGCTAGGTGCTTATGTGGGACATCGTAAGGTACTTGTAAGTTGAGCTGTTGGAGCGCGAACAGAGGTTGTATGAGGTTCGTGATGTCGCTGGATGACGAAGGTGAAGAGACGAGGAAGTCGAAAGCTGAGACGGCGTATTGCCGTTTGGTCAAGAGCAGTGACGATTCCGAGAGCTCGAATGCGTGAGTGAAATGGGAGAGCGCCTCATTGGCGTCCCCAGTAAGTAACGCAATGATGCCTTCGCCCACCCAAGCTAACGAATAATCAGGATCTTGTGATTGTGCTCGTGAGAAAGCAGTGTGCGCAAGCTCGTGGTCATTTTGTAATAAGTAAAGCGCTCCAAGGTTCGTCCAAGTGTGCACACTGCGCTCGTTGAGATGTAAGGAACGAACAAAAGCATGTTGGGCGACCTTGGGGCTCAGTGTTGTCGTAATGACACCAAGCGAGTTCCAGAACTCAGAATTACCAGCTTCAAGTTCGATGGCGCGCTTAAAACACTTCATAGCTGCTCGGAGGTATGTTGTTAATTTGAATCCTTCAATGCCTTCCTGCTCCAAGCAGACATGCGCTCTGTACTCGGTCCAACCTAGGTTGTACCATGCCACAGCTTGTGCGTGAATGTCGTGCGCACAGCTCGATATGGCTCGCTTTTGTGCAAGTATCGAGGCTTTGAGTACTTTTGCGAGAGTAGTGTGTTCGTCTGTGGAGAGAGCAGTTAAAGCGTCCTGTCCGAGCCCATCAATGTCCTTGTGCTCGTCAAAATCGATCTTCATGTCCGACTTGCTGCGCAGCACGTTCCCGATCAACTCTACAGGGAACTGCTTGAGCTTTTCCTGGACCCAGGTGAACAAGCTGCATGCATCGCCAACAGCTTTCCAAAGGTTGAAAGCATCCGGCTTGTATTCGGTAATTGTCAGCGCAACCTCGATACCCCGGGTAGCGCTGTCGGCAGCCTCTCCGAAAAAGCCCGTCTCAATGCAATGCCAACCCTTTTCCACAAGTGTCTGTAGGAGTGCTATCGAGACACCGAACTCTTTCGGTCGAGACGCTAGTACTGTTTCATATCCTGCAAGAGCTTCATCGAACTCGCTCAATTCACGGTTGACATTTGCGAGCATGTACTTCGTGAACCATCCCTCTTCATCTGATCTCTTTAGTACGACGCCGTCTGTGGGGTTCTCTGCGTAGTTGAACGCGCGTGATGCTGAGTTGTACCGTCCAGAGTTATGATAGCTCTCGCCGAGGCCAACGTAGGAGTAGTAGTCATCCGGGCTAATGCGCAGCGCGGATAAGAAAGAAACGACACTCTTTTGGTATTCCTGCTTGTTCATCTGCACGACACCTAGTGCGGAGAAGGGCCAGCTGACGCCTTTCCGTTTTGAGCCTGGTGTTTGGCGAGCTTTACCAGAGTCTACCACTCGCTGCGAAACAACCTCAACAATGTCCCATTCACCTTGATTGGCGAAAAGGCGCGCTAGGCGCTCTGCTGCAACAACCTCGGAAGGCGATAGCTCGAAAGCCTTCTGAAAACACTGCCGTGCTCGTTTGCGGTCCTTGTTGTAGTCTTCGTAGAAGATGCCGAGCAGAGTGTATGCAGGCGCATAATTCGGGTTTGCTTTGATGGCTGCAAGCAGCTTCGCATATGTTCCTTGGCGGTCCTTCCTCGCAGCCTTTGACGGATCGAGCTCCCACAGACAGACACCTATCCTATAAAGCGTCTGCGCGCGGAGCTCACGGCCACGTTGCTTGGAGGCATCGAGCTGGGGGTAGTCAAGATACCCTTCGAGTCTTTCTAACCCAGTCTTGTAGTCGCCTGCAAGTGCTTGACACCAGGCTGATTCTGCACCTATGCGACCGTTTGAAGGATCTTGCTGTAGCGCCTTTTCAAGGAACTGGAAAGCTTGCTCGTATTCCTCCTCTTCCTCCAAGACCAGTCCGATACCGATGAGTGCAGAGGTGAACTGTGGCTTGCGCTTCAAGATGGATTCGAAGATACCCTTGGCTTCCAGATGATTCCTGGGGGCCTGATAATAGACTAACGCAGTAGCAAGCGTACTACTCAAAGCGTCGCGCGTCCTTTGGAACGACAAATCGGTTCTCTTTGCCTCCGCAGTCGCGTACTTCAGGCCTTTTCTTGTAGTTTCGACCGCACTTTCGTACTCCTCCAAGGACAGGTAGTAGTCTCCGAGCAAGCAATGTGTTAGTGGTGACTTCGCGGCCTCGACGATCCCTTCCGTCATCAACACCAAACAGTCCTCTTGTGAGACGGGCACATCTTGAGTAAGAGCTACCCCTCCCTCACTAAGGTCGGGCCCTTCTCTTGAATCGCCCTCTTCCGTAAGTGGGTATTTTGATATGCCACTGCTCAGCCAGCCTGTGATGACTTTCGTTAGGCCCTCATTGGGGAATAGCTCAACGAATTGCCGTAATGTCGAGATGTCGAGATCCAGCAGGTCGTGCGCACTGTCCGCGTGTGACGCCATGACAGCAACCCGAATTTTTTACCCAGTCAATGGAACGCAGAACGCCGATAGATGCTACAACGAAAGGAAGTAGAATTATCAAAAGCGTCTGGACAAGTAAAGGGCGAAGAATCGCGGCAGGCGAATTGCAGAAGGGTTGAGGTTGGTGTTTGTCTTTTGGTAAGGCTGAGCCCCAGGATCGACGCTAGTATGCCGTGCGTCATTGCTTGCTCTTTGAACGCTGCGAGCCCCACCAAAGCTTCCGCAGTTCAATTCACTCCTCATGGCACTCTCATAACACGAATAACACCGTACGGACGGCCATACCCCTGCCATTACTACCTGGATCAACGCCATGTCTACGAAAACCGCTCTCAAGGCCGCAAAGGCTGCTATCGGCGCAAAGGATTGGGATGAAGCAAAGAATCAAGCGGCAGCGGTGTTGGAGAACGACCCCCAGAACTACTTCGCCTATTTGTTCCTTGGACGCGCGAACGACGGCTTGAGCAGGTTTGAGGAAGCGGCGAAGGCCTATTATGATGCGACCAAGATCAAGCCAGAAGATCCGCAGGCATGGCTCGGGCTGAGGGGCATGTACGAAGGCCTCAAGAGCGCGAAGGTTGATGAGAATATCGACGTTGGCCTGGAATTGGCGCAGATCTATATGAACCTGTATGCATTGTAGATACTGGAGAGGAAGATGAAATGCTGACTAGAGTAGCGACGACGCGCACAAGTCTCAATCCGCCATCGACAAGCTCGTAGATCACGCCCGCGCACATGGCACCAAGACTCAATATGCACGTGCGCTCAGCACACAACTACCATCCTCACCCGTCTACTCGTACCTTGAAGGCCGTCTACCGGACCCGTCGAAAACCTACACGCGCATCGCCGACATCCATGAGACACAGGAGGCTTCCACAATCAAGCGGCTCATAGAAGAGAGACGGCTCCGCATCGGTGCGACATTGGAAAACACCACGGCCTCTGTCAAGAATGAGATATACGCTGCTAGCCCGCTAGAAGGAATATACGAGGAGATCATCAACTGGACGAGAGACGACGAGCTGAGGCGCGAGTACGAGGAAAAGCTGTTAGCTAGAGCGTACGATACGTTGATGGTGCTGCCATCGGGAGAGAAAGCGGAGAAGAGAGAGAAAGTCATGAAGCTGGCACACGACATGGTTGTCATCAAGCATCCAAATCTACTGGCCTGGACAATCGAATTGGAATGGCGGAGCGGCATGGAAATTGAGGCGTACTAGATGTGTTCACAAGATTTGGCATAGCAAGGCGTTTGGTGCATGGAGGGCCACTGGAGAGAGATTTGGCGCATGAATAGGACATGCGCCCCTAGGTGAATACAGACGGTTCCATTACGATAACTGCGTGCAAATTAATTCCAAAATTCAACCCCCAAACGCCGCCCATGTTTGCCTCTTTCTCTACGCGTTTGCGGCCCCAACGACCCTTCTTCTTTCTTCTACACTGAACAGACTTTCGCCTTGCTTGAGCGCATGAATAAGCATTGGCACGCTACTCGCTTTGAAGTCTTGCGCTTCACGAACTTTGTCCAGATCATCAGCGAACTCAGCTGCGACTTTGCGCAGATAAATGGCGCTGAACTCCTCTTGGGCCTGTTTGCTGGCCTTTGACGCTGCTTTTGCTGGTTGTATGGGAGCTGGTGCATCCGTCATAGCAACATCTTCATCTGGCTGAGCATCCGGTGCGCTGCCAGTTTTAGACTTCTTCTTCTCCTTCTTGGTGGGTGTTGGGGCTGGTGAAGTCTCCTTCCTCAAGTCAGCTCAGACGAAACCACTTCAACGCGACTATAGTACCTTGGTCTCTTCTTCTACCGCAGCCACCTTTCGGCTCCTTGGGCTTGAGACATCGCTGTCACTTTCGCTCGATGATGAGACTGCCCAATCGTTAGCGCATGCCTTGCCATTCACTCAATACGCCTATCGCACCTTCGGTCCTCGTTCTTCTCTTCTTCGACCTCTTCTTCTTCTCGACACCGTTTGCTCCTCTTTGCGCCGCCATTTTTGCTGTGTTGGATAGCGTTGGGAAAAGTTCGAGATGTGAATGTTCATTATCGATAAGGCACGTGCGCCGCTAAATCAAGGGTCTGCACTTTCCTTAGTCTCCCCAGGCCCCTGCTTCACGACATCAACACAATCATCATCGCAAATCGACTCTAAACTATCACATATTCCAAAAGTTTAGGAAGGATAATGTGCATGCTAAATATCGCTTTGCTATGCGTAGAAAGTAGCATAGTCGCTCGGGTACGAGATGCAAGTATCTCTGTCTAAACTAACTAGTAAGATCCATCCATAGATCTGATCTACAAGCTGTTTTCTATTGCAGCTAGCTCTTCCATAGCACTCTTTACATTTGTCTTGAGCGCCTCACCAACAGGCATGTATGGCCGCCTTGGGTTGAGCCTCTCCTCTGCACCCTGGATGCCGGCTGCCTTCGCGCTGTATTGGCTTACTGCGTGCTTGGTGGGAGCAATACCAGCCTTGATCGGGCTTTCTGCCAGTGCCGCCTTTCGATGTAACTCTAATGCTTCTTGTGTCTTGCCACTGGTATACAGTTCGTAGACCTTCGAGCAGACCTTCGGGAAGACGTTGCTGAATGCTGACACGCAACCTGCGCTTCCGACTGCCAGGCCGGCAACCAGCCAATCCGCCTGTCCAGCGTACGTGGAAAAGGTATCGCTCGGCAACTCAGCGCACAGCCTTGTGATCTTTGCTACGCTACCACACGTCAACTTCACACCGACGATCTTCCCTGGGTTTTGTTTGGCAAGCGCAGCGATCGTGACGGAATCAAGATCCACCCCATTACAGATACCCGGAAAGTTGTATATAACGATGGGTAACTCAGACTTCTGCGCAACCTCATTGTAAAAGGCCATGACAACCTCCTTGGATGTTGCAGGTCCATAGTATGCGGCTGGAAGCAGCAGCCCGTAGTTCGCTCCGGCTTCAATGGCATCGCTGATACTCTCCATCACCTGTGGTACGGAAAAGCTCGAGATTCCCACCATGAGGGGGTAGTCGGGGCCAACAGCTTCACGGGCACATTTAATCAATGCTTTCTTCTCTTCGCGAGTAAGCTGGAATGCCTCCGCATTCGATCCAAGAATGACTAGACCAGTGAGACCTGATTTAGAGAGGTATGTGAAGTATTGCTTTTGTGCCGCGAGATCCAAGGTTGCGGTGTCGCTTTCGGGGGTGTAGAAAGTTACTGCGGGGCACCAAACACCTGGAGCTGGAGGAGGAGCCATTATGATTCGAATTGTAAGAACTGGCCTTGAAGGTTATGTGCTTTCTTGGTAGGTTCCGGGGATCAAGCGGGGTGGTGGGGTGCAGGCGGGGCCGTAGATTTGATGATGTCCTGCCAGCGTTGTTGTGAGCAATTCGGTTTGTAGAATCCGGCAGTGTATGAGTGACAGTATATATAACACAGAGGAGTCGAGAAGATGTAGGGTGTTCATGCAGTATCGGATGGCATGCCGTGAGCCTTGAATAGCCGCCCAGGCGGAACGGCCCGACTGTCCGATAACGCAACCACATGTGTTCATCGAGCCTCAAGGTACTCTACCATCCTCCACTATTCTAGTGACCAGTCATCTTGACAGCATCCTCTCTTATCAACATCGATCTAATCGATTTGTGTGTATAGCATTGTAAGGGTTGTTTGAGGGTGGCCGGCCTATCTCTCACCTACTCCTAACCCCGCTGCTATTCGTGGTAGACTGGACCGCTCCCACCAGCCTTGAATTGCCAACGTGGTGGAAAAGCAGGATGATTACAGGCTCGAAAAACGTCATGAAGACAGTTGCGTCCGACATCAATGGAGAGAATTTTATCGGCACACCTGGTCACTCCGCAATATTCATCATTATTAATGCCTCTTGCTGCAGCAAACTCAAACCTAACGATCATGGTTCCTAGTGTCATAGCACTTCAATATATCGACGAATGACTCTCTTCTCAAGCGTGTGAGATGTTATCTTCGAGAAGCGATAGGCTTCTCTATCTCTAGCAAGACCTCGATAGTCGACTCTGGATCTATCTCTTACGACAATGAGGCCGCTGATCTGGTGATTGCAACGAAGACCACGACTGCCGATCCTGTCAACAAGCTCCGGAAACTTGCTATGGTCGTTTCGCTCAAATACAGGAGACGAATTCATGATAAGTTCGCACAAAGATTTCGACGAGACGTACGCAGAGCCCGAAGCATCGACGTTTCTCGCACCGCGTTTGTTGCCCCTCCAGCTACCCTCAATCCTAAACCCAATAAGGCTGACCATTTTTCCTCATGCCGCCCGAAATCCGCAATCGAGTCTATCATTATCTTCTGCCGAAAGTTACAACCCTTCGAAATGTAACTGGTCTTCTTTGCGCTTGCAAACAGGTCCATCAAGAGCTGCCCAGCATGATAGTCGTTACGAGTCGACGCGTATTTGACAACGTGGTTCATAAAAGCATCGCCCTATGCCAATCCACCGATCCTACCGCTGAGCCATTTGCGCTGATCAGCTCGTCACGGATTTAGACACACTTCCACCTCCGCAATATCAACGTCGGCCTCGGCTTGTACGTATTCGAATCGCCTCCTATCGACGCAGATGTGCGAGCCCCAGATTTCGACACAGCCTTCAGCTACCTCAATGAATAGCTGAGCCTGCACCTGCCTTATGTCACTATCCATATCACTGCTACGATCGGCAGTGATGCCAGTATTGCCGATCCTGAACTTCGACGTCGCCTTATCGAGGTATGCGTTCTCGCCTTCAGAAAATTAGAAGATACTTCAGGAGTCATTCTTAACGTGCAGCGCGTTATATTCGAAATTGGGAAAGAGAAGTGGGATGCTGTGGCTCTGGTATATCCTCCTATAGTGGTTTTCGTACGAAGTGCTTGCAAACAAAACAATACCAAGTTTGATCAATTGTTCTATGAACCTAGAAAGGAAAGTCAGCTTGATTTTGGGGATGCAACAATGATGATGCGATTGAACGAAATCGTAAAGAAGAGTCGGGAAGCTGCGTCATTTGGCATTTAGACTGTCAATCTACGACCGCATATTGCGAATGCGTGATGTTAGGGAATACAACTATACAGAGATTCAATACAAGATTATCTGAACATCCATGCAAGATTAGCAATAATTCGATTTGTGCGACTGGTTGGTACTTCTTCCATGAAAGAATGCCAGAGGTCTTAAGGTAGGAGCGAGGGAACCTGCAGCCTGTCTCGGTAGTTGTCCCATCCAGCACCGTCGACCCACTTCGACACGGAAGATGCGTCGCGGGGACCCTAAACTGTTAACACTGACGTCGAAATCATCGACGTCGCGAGTTGACTATGGCGACACCGACGATGGATGCAATCGTGAACAAGCACGTAGGCTTTATCTCCCGAATGACGAAGCTGCTCGACCTCTTCGTCACAATGCGCTACATCATGCCCACGGACGTCATCCTTCCACCACATCCACCAAGCGCTATTGCAACTACCACTTTCTAGCAGAGGGGATTTGATCCTGAGGTGATCGAACTGATGGAAATCCATGACAGCAATCCGCAGCCAAGTCGTTTGGGGATGGCAATAGTTTGGGACTGAGATGATGCCCCAGTCGAGAGCTGCGACATACTTTGCGGAATTTGAAGATTCGAAATTCCTTGGGAGAATCCGCTGGGGAGAAAAATTGTGGCGGGATAACGCCACAAAGCTACTTCCATCGTGGATGTTGCGGCTGACGGAAGGCAATGGGTACAGTGGGCAGTATGGCACAGATTTAATATACAACACTCAAGATCGTATGTTTAGCACCCATATGTTTGGAGAAAAGCACTAACGAGAACCAGAAACGATTGTGGAGTGGTCTAATGTAGGACGAAAGGAGTGGGATGAATCACCCGTAAGACCCGCAGAAACAGTATTGGACGGGATCATAGTCAGGTTCCAGAACCTGGAGTGGATACCCTACTGGAATCCAGATTCCTCCGACGAACCACCGCTACGGAAGATCTTGGAAGATCCAATCATCTTCCAGAACATTTGGCCTGGCGGCATTCGTCTACCTTCTAATACCATAGACGCAATCGACACCTTGCGAGCGCAGATCGGATCTGAAGGCGCGAATAGTCTTAGGGAGCAAACTAACATATTGCGGGCCTTCCAGGAAATGTACCGCACCTGCAGTTGGGGCTCTAATGACTTTGACGGCGAACTCTTCGACCACAAACGTATGCAGTTTATTCGGGAGATCAAAGAGCTGGGGAAGCGGAAACACCAAGCGCACAGGGGTTCGAGAGTGTCTAGGATACTTGGTCAGCACCCAATTAGTGAGGAACATGCAGCAGCGCAAAGAGCTGGCTTAGAAGCTGCAGTTTCAGAAATTGATTGTTTCTTGGCGCGTGTTGCTGGCGAGCATGCAATCTGACGAACAAGTCATGCATATCCGAAAACGCGTAATCGTTTACTCGCTTAAATTCGCTTTTATTCAAACTTTATCAACAAAAACAACGCTTAGATCTTGATACCCTCCAAGATTGGCTTCGCCTCCTCGCTCTGCCACCACCCGTCCTTGCCTCCAGGGAAGCTAAACTTGTCCATACTCTCAGGCTTCATCTCAACCGAGTAACCTGGGTCCATGGGTGTAACATAGTACCCGTTCTCGATTCTTGATGGGTGGAAGAAGTGCTCGTGCAAATGGTCAACGTACTCAAGCACCGACTTCTTCCCCGACACAACAACGTAGTCAATGGTAGAAAGATGTTGAGTGTACTCTGGCAGACCGACACCGCCGGAGTGCGGTACAATGGGAATGTTGAATTTGGCAGCCATGAGGAGGACAGCAATGACTTCGTTGACACCACCGAGACGGCAGGCGTCGATTTGGCAAATGTCGATGGCTCCTGAGGCGAGGAATTGCTTGAACATGACGCGGTTTTGGCACATTTCTCCTGTTGCGACGCCGATGTTGTAGGGCTTGAGGGCTTCTCTGATGGCTTTGTGGCCAAGAACTGGAGGAGTCAGTACACATTTGATACAGCATGGGTGAGTTGAACGGGGGATACATACCGTCATCAGGGCTGGTGGGCTCCTCGATGAACCACGGCTTGAACTCCTTCAACGCCTTCATGTACTCGATCGCCTCTGGTACACTCCAGACTTGGTTCGCATCGACCATGAGCACATTGCCCTTGTCGAAACCGATAATCTCTCGTGCGATGCTGAGACGCTGCTTATCTTGCGCAATGTCGCTTCCGACCTTGAGCTTGAAGTGCTTGTATCCCTTCGCCAGCGTCTCCTTGAGGAGGCCACGCATCTTGTCCTCGCCATAGCCTAGCCAGCCCGCAGAGGTGGTGTATGCGGGGACGGCCTGGCTGTCAAGGGCTTCTTGGAGTCGCTCTTTCTTACCAGCTTCGGCTTTGGTTAGGATCTCTAGCGCCTCCTCAGGGGTAAGGGCGTCGGTTATGTAACGGAAGTCGATCAAATCGACAATCTGTTGAGGTGTCATATCCGCAACAATTCGCCATACAGGCTTGCCAAGCGACTTCGCCCACAGATCCCAGATAGCGTTTACGACAGCACCGAGAGCGAGGTGGATAACACCCTTCTCTGGTCCGATCCAGCGGAGTTGAGAGTCGTTTACCAAGTGGCGCCATGTCTTTCCCCAGTTGGCAACAAGGGAATCGAGTGTGTGGCCCTTGATGCGGTCGGCGAGATAGGCGATGGCGGTGCATACGATCTCGTTACCACGACCAATTGTGAAAGTCTGGAAAATGTAAGCGACTGAGGAACGAATTCAAGCGGAGTTTAGAGTCTTCTGGGAACAGAACACCTCGGTCACGAGCGGTAAATAGAGGTAAGGTAAGATGGCGATGTAACAGGCATTTGAGGGCCTTGTAAGCTCATCCCCCATATTTCATATGCAATAGGGAATCGAGTTGGACTCACCATACCATGACCCTTGAACTCAGAGTCCGTATGTAAGATGCAGTAAGCTGAAGAGTAGTCTCCCGCTGCGTTCATAGCATCGGAACCAGTTTTGTCAAGGGATGTCTAGTTCAGGAAGGTCAGCTCTCTCTTCTTTATGCTCAGACTTTGAAAGATTGTGGAACGTACCGGAAACCGCACATCCCTCGTCTCAGCACCTGTGATTGTAATGACCATTGTGATGTCTTCGTTGCGTTGCTCTCAACGTTCGGAATAGTCGGAACGTAGCGTGAAATACCCCGCAAAGCTTCCAAAGGTTATGGTTCTTTCGAAGCAAAGACTTGAAGATGAAAAGTTAAAAGAGGATGGACAAGTCAAGATTGGAATTGATTGAGCGAAATACTTATTGGAACACAGGATCTAGACGGTCTATTTAACTGGCAAGGCATCCGGCGCAAACCTCCACGCACCTCCACACCAAATAGTGTCAACCGCCCGCGCCATCGTGAGTTTAACCCCACTTGCCCCTCATCATTCGTGGAAGAACTCGTCGCGCCACTTGTCTGGGGCTGCGAAAACCGGGGCATATGGCAGCGTTGACCACGGTTGCCGGCATATTATTTACCTCACACGTGAGCTTTTACAGTGCTACACCCCACGAACTATAGGGGACCCTTGCTTTGCCAGGCGGCTCCAGGTGCTTCGCACCTAGGCGAGAAGCTTGGGTTCAACCACCCATGACAATGCGTACGGTGCGAAGGAGAAATTAAGTGAAAAGCGGCCGCGACGACTAGGGCAAGTATGTCAAAATGAAGCCCGTCTTTTACTTGCTTTCACCATTTGTGTACTATCGTGGAGTGTGATCAAATACCGCGGCAAACAAGACTTACCGGCCGCGGGAAGGTATGAGTGGGTTCGAAGGAGTAGTCCAGCCCGAGGAGCATGAGTATCAATGTTGACACTCCAAGCTCATCATCAGTAAACGCAGATGAGCACACACCATACTGAAGCCGCATGCAACCACGCAATCAACTACCATCCAGCTTGGAAAAACAGTGGCAATAGAATGGGCCTGTGTATTAGTGGTGTGACGATCGAAAGTAAAAGGACGGACCTGGTATGACTCTTCATCCCATCCATACACCCATTATCTACACTTCGTTTCGTGATGCAAGATCCGAGGACCCTACAACGCGTCAATAGCTACCCAGAACAAAACCCCCAGATACTCACTCGCCCGATTTGTAAAGATTGCAAAAGCCACATCGGTGGTAGACAATGTCGAAGATGAACCGTTCTTCTACATGAGCTGGAGGCGACACGCTCACTTGATACCCCTCTTCTCCGTCTCACTGTAGTAGATGACCATGCGCCAGAGTTTCTTCACAAGAGCCTCTGCTTCGTCGTCGAGAGCCTGGCGAAATCGTTAGCAACACAACCCAAATACAATGCGATGGCAGAAAAACTTACCACTTCCAAGTTCTCCACGAGCGGTTGAGGCGCGCCCTTGCTCTTCAGGTGGTCCACGATGGCATCAACAAGCATTTCTTCTTGGACACCCGTGAGCTCAAGAACCTTGTTTCCAGCCCATTGCTTTATGTCCTTGTCGATGTTCTTCTGGGGCAAATGCTCCCAAGCGACAGGCCATTTCCAGAGACCTTCCTTATCGTTGGGGATGTCGCGTGCCAGCTGTCGCTGTGCTTCTTCGATCTCTTCTTGTGTAAGATTAGCACGTACGGCGGCATCGAAGTTGATGGGTACGAGAGTTCGCTTCTTGGAGCCGGATTGGTCAGTGAGATCTTCGTCCTCGAGCAGGTTTTCAACATCGGCCGCAGTTCGACGAGGAGCGGCAGTCTTCTCAAGCTTCTTGGCTGCAGCGCCAAGGGAGATCTTGAAATGTGCCGGTTCGCGCTGTTCCTCCCTGCGCATGAGCTCTTCGCCTTGCTCTTCCAAGAAGGCATCGGCCTGTCCACGGGCGTGATCCTTTTGCTTCCTCTGTGCCGCCTGCTCGCGACGCTCTTGCTCTCGATCGATGGCATCTTCCTTGGCCTCTTGGCCGCGAACTTGCTCCCGGTCGCGGATCCAATCGCTGTGATCGCGGTAGTAGAGGTCACGCCTTGAGGCTGCTTCCTGGTCATCGTCGAATTCTCGAAGTTGCTTGGCCTGTGCAGCACGAACTTTCTCGCGTTCCGCGTCCATATTCTTAAAGTAGTCATTTGTGCGTTCGACGGACGCAAAGGTACGACGCTCGGTTTGGAGCCAGCGTTGGAGTTGCTTCTTGTATGCCTCGTCAGCCTCTTCTGCTCGCTTCTTCTTGCGACGGCGCTCTAGCTCTGAATCACTGGCAGAGTCATCGTCGTCCTCTCGGTTGATATAGACGCCGTTATTGATAGCACCACCATTAACAAAGTTGACGCCGCCTTGATAGTCCCGGGGGAACTGGGAGCCCTTGGGCCCACTGGGGGCACCTTGAACACCCCTCTCTGCTCTGGGACCTAGTGGTACGCCGTTAGCGCCTCCGGGTCCAGTAGGGGCAGAAGGTGGTGGCGATGCACGCCTACCACTACGCTTGCGCTCCTCGGCTTCTAGCTCCTCTTCCTTCAAGAGTCGTTCACGGTCGCGTTGGTTAGAACGGTCGCGGAAAGCAGCAATCTCTGCAGCGACAATATCACGCATCTCTGCCGGAATATCTGCAAGCTCGTCCTCCCCGTTGGCAAGGTTGACAAATGCGACTTCTACATCTTCACCATCTTGTGCCTGCGCTTCTTGCATCATTGTGTCTCCTGCGTAGTCGACGTTGGGGGCGCTCGGTGGATGGAAGAAGCTTGCGAGAACGGAGGAGAGGGCTTCCTTTGCGCTGTCCAGCCTGAACTGAACCGTAGCTTCGTCTTCGTTTCGGGTCTTGCTCCATTCCTCTGCGTACTTGATCGAGGCATCATCAACCATGACGTGCAGCTTTGTTGTCTCCACCTCCTCTTGTTCGTCGCCTTCGGGTTCGGCTTTCGGCTTGCCGGGCTTTTGGCGCTTTGTAGGCACACGCACGTCCTTGAATATCTCAGCGGCTGTCTCCAGGCTCTGGGCGTCTCCAAACTCGGCGAATCCAAACGTCTGGGGCTTGTTGTTGGCATCGGTAGCTCTCGTCCAGCGAACGAGCTTTCCTGCCGTCTCCAGGATGCGCTCCATGCCCTCGTCGCCTCCGACGCCGTCAGGAATGTTACCAACGAAGATGGTTCTTGCAATATCTTCGCGCGATGGAGGATTAACGGGTTGGACTCCGTCTCTGCGATCGCCGTCTCTGTCCATGCCAAGTCCACGACGACCAGGTGGTGCTGCATTGTCCCTTCGGCCGCCTACAGGGCTCTCGACCGCACCACTTCGTCCTCCCTGTGTTCCCAGACGGATGACGGGCGCATTGAAGTTGAAGTTGGGCATGTTCTGGGGCGCTTGCCATCCGGACGGCAGAGCGCGTGGAGCATTCATTGCTGGTGGACCCTGGGCATTCGCGACACCCGGGGGTGCTGCCACACCGGGAGGGACAGCGGCGCCTGGTGGACCTGCGCAAGATTAGCTTCGTTGTGAGTATGGAAGTAAACTCCTTACCCATTCCAGGCGGCGCCATGCCTGCCATGCCTGGTGGAGTGCCTGCGAAGCCTGGAGGGCGGTTGTAGCCCGGAGCACCTGCGCATGTTAGCAGAGTTCGCGTCGCACAGAATCGCCAGACGTACCAGGATAACCGTACATCTTGGATGGATATACAGTCGCGGAACTCGATAGTGTTGTTTGGAGGAGTTGGTAGATTAAATTGTCGAGGTGCTCGTCGCGTGTTGCAGTGAGAGACAGAAGTCGCAGTTGAGATTTGGAGCTTCGAGAGACGCTCGGACCACTACAACGCCGACAAATTTGGGAACCGCGACCTGCATGACTTCCATCATCCACCGCAGCCAACCCGCAATTGCCCGCCGCCAGCACGTTGAATCACTCTCACCGATGCCAGGATCGTAGCAGGAACATTTGGAAATGGCCTCACGATCGCTGGGCGAGCGACTGCTCCGTCCCTCGTCCTTCTCACGCATACCGCAATGCTCAAGACGGACAACACCATCCTGGGCATGCCAACGGGCCATATCGAACACGCCAAGGCAACTTGCACAGCCACTGAGGAAAGACGATGCCCAAAAATATGTACCCGAGCAGGAAGCTCAACGACCACAAATCCGCCGCGTCACTGAGCGAGCAGCCGCAAGACCGCAGCCCACCCAAAACGAGACGACACAGACAATCGACTCCCTCTTCGGCGGCATGACCACGAACAGGGCGCCGTATATGCCACGGGACGCAGCGCCTACCTCACCAGCCAACCGCGTCTTTGGGGCCGACTTCGCAGGTACCAAGAGCAGACGGCCTGCCCACAAGCCAGGCCTAAATTTCGGCGACATGTCATTGCCCGAGGATATGATCAACCCGAGTCTTGCCAACAAACCTTCAGATGCGTCCTCGCTCGCCGTACAGCAGGAAGAGACATTCTCTCAGTTCCCACGCTTGAACCCCACATACGGACGTACTGTAGAGCTAGATGCTAGCCGCGGACGTGATATTGTGAGGGGTATTGGCATGCTGGGAAGTTTGATGGCAAGGAACAAAGTCAAGAGTGACTTCAACAAACAGAGGTTCCACGAGAGAGGCGGGCTGAAGAGGAAGCGGTTGGCGTCTGAGAGGTGGAGGGCGAGGTTCAAGAAGGGTTTCCGGGATGTGACCGACCGGGTGACAGAACTAACGAGGAAGGGATGGTAAACGCATATGACGCTGATTTCATGGGTTCGGAATGGCAGGGATATCAAGCATGTACGAATCGAACGTGTATCTATTGTACTATAACAGCATCTGCATAATAAGCACTGGGTGCTTACAGAATTGGTAGCTACCAAGACATTATGGTCATCTCCGCAGCACAAAGTAACGTTCACATGTTTGTGTTACGTGCACCTAACTTGGTCGTGAAGTGTAACGCTTAGACTGCGGAGCTGGGCCGGGAGTCTCTTGCCGCGTACGGGCACAGGCCAGGGACCTCGATTCGCGTACTAAACAATGTCCGAGTTGACACATGCACCTCGACCGTCGCAGCTGCCTTACGCGCAGCACCCGATACCCGTGCGCTGAGTGATTGAGTCCAGTCTTGTTTATATCTTTCTCGCCATGATCTCGAAACGACAGCCATCATCATGGCTTCCTGCCGTCGCGTTACTTTCTTTCTTGACCTCCCTCGCAACAGCACTAAGCGGCCAGGAGCCCATGAAGAGCGTGGAAGAAGCACGAGGGTACAATCCCGGCGAGATAATCCCAGTCAGCTGTTTGAACAGGACCATGTACGTGTCAACATATACATAAGAAGCCGCATGTGCAATTGCTAACCAAGTACCAGAGATACTGGTGAACATGTACGTCCCAAACACCACTTCGGAGCCCAACGAATACCCGTCAACTCCTAATCCGCATCCACTAACGCATTGGTTTCCAGATCACAGACGCAGCCGGTCACCTGCAATACATACCCTTCCCAACCTGCAACGAAACAGGCCAACCCCTCCACCTAAACTTCGGCGTCGAAAAAGACGTAAACTGCACCATAGACTTTGTGACGGACGAGTTCTTCCACCTCCTCGAATTCTACATTCACAACGACGCGCCGCTATCTTGCCGCATCCCCTCGAAACCCTTGCCACCATCCGTCATGGAAACAGAATACCGCGTAAGCGACGAGAGCACGCAGGAAGGCGCGCTAGGAACGCAAAGCACCATGTACACACCACTGATTATAGCTCTGGCGGGGACGCTGCAGTTGAGCCATTTGCATGTGGGGAATTATTTGAATCTGCTGGTCCATGCGGGTCCGAAGAGTGTAGCGCCGGGCACGGTGGATGCGGCGACTGCGTATTCTGTCTCGAGTCATACCAGGAATACCAAGATTACGATTGGTGATCCGTTGAGTTTGGCGTTTAGTGTGAGGTGGTATCCGAGCACCACGCTGCCTCCCGGCTGGAGTGGATATGGCGGACATATCTACACTAGTACCTTGGTGTACTGTTTCTTGAGTGCTGTAGCGAGTGCGGCCGTGTGTGTCGTTTACTTCCGCGGTGTTGAATTGCCGAGACGACTGAAGAGATATGCCACGGATAGGATGAATGGTGGTGGTGGAAGAGGATTTGGGAACGGAGGCAGTGGCTATGGATTGCCGGTCGCTAACGGGCGAGGAGGTGGTATGGGGAGTGGCTACGGATTAGGAGGGTATGGATATGGCGGTGGGGGTAAGAGAGTTGATTAAAACATCACAATTGATACATGTTGGGATTTACAGACATGAATTTATACTTCAATGTGTCCATTGGTATTTCATGATATCGATACCATCTACGGATGCTTCAGATACTTGCTACATGTTTAGCCTCCAGTCATCAAGTCATTCAGCCATTACAGCCGCTCGTAACACATCATCATCAGCCGCTTACAAAGAGGCCTTCTTCTTGAAAGCGTTGATGAGACCGCTTGTGCTAGCATCGTGAGAAGTAGACTCCTTGTCGTCGTCAAGCTCAGCCTGGATCTTCTTGGCCAGCGACTTGCCGAGCTCGACACCCCACTGGTCAAAGCTGTTGATGTTCCAGATGGCACCCTCGGTGAAGGTGAGGTGTTCGTAGTAGACGATCAAGGCACCAAGAGTGGCAGGTGTGATCTTGTCGGCCAAGATGGAGGTAGTGGGTCGGTTACCCAAGAAGGTCTTGTGAGCGACAAGATTCTCGGGCGCACCCTCAGCCTTGACCTCATCAGGGGTCTTTCCGACCATGAGGGCCTCAGCTTGAGCGAAGAAGTTGGATGCAAGCATCTTCTGGTGCTTGTTGTTCTCGACAGGGTTGTGGCTCTGGGCGGCAAGGATGAAGTCGGTAGGGATGAGCTTGGTACCCTGGTGGAGAAGCTGGTAGAAGGAGTGCTGAGCGTTGGTGGCTGGCTCACCGAATAGAATGGGACCGGTGGTGTACTTGACGTAGTCGCCGCTGCGGGTGATGGCCTTTCCGTTCGACTCCATGGACAGTTGCTGGAGGTATGCGGGGAACCTGTGCATGTACTGGTCGAAGCTGGACGATGTTAGATTAAGCGCATCTGCGAAAGTGACAAACTTACGGAGAGACAAGGTGAGTCTGGGCACCAAAGAAGTCGGAGTACCAAACACTCAAAAGACCACCGATGACGGGGATGTTCTGCTCAAGAGGAGTCTCCTTGAAGTGCTTGTCCATGGCATGAGCACCAGCCAGGAGCTGGTGGAAGTTATCGAAGCCAATGTAGAGAGCCACGCTCAGGCCAATAGCGCTCCAGACACTATAACGTCCACCAACCCAGTCGGAGAAACCGAACATGTTCTTCTTGTCGATACCAAACTTGGTGACCTCCTCCTCGTTGGTGGAGAGGGCGACGAAGTGCTTGGCAATGTCCTCCTGCTTTGCGCTTTTCAAGAACCATGACTTTGCAGTGTTAGCGTTTGTGACGGTCTCGGCTGTGGTAAAGGTCTTGGAGGCGATGAGGAAGAGAGAGGTCTCGGGGTTGGAGTCCTTGAGAGCCTCTGCGATGTGAGTTCCGTCGATGTTGGAAACAAAGTGGATCTTGAGGTCGCGCTGGGAGTAGGCCTTGAGGGCTTCTGAGACCATGACAGGACCGCTAATAAGAATTAGCATATGCTTCAAGGGTATCGAATAGAGCTGCATACAGGTCAGAACCACCAATACCAATGTTGATGATGGTGTCAATCTTCTTGCCAGTGTATCCCTTCCACTCGCCACTTCGGACCTGCTCGCTGAACTCCTTCATGTGGTCAAGGACCGAATTGACGTCCTCGACGACGCTCTGGCCATCGACCTTCATCTCTTGGTTGGAGGTGTTGCGGAGAGCGACATGGTAGACGGCGCGGTTCTCAGTGAAGTTGATCTTCTCACCCGCGAACATGTCATCGCGGAGCTTCTCGAGGCCAGCCTCTTTTGCGAGCTCGATGAGAAGCTTCAGTGTCTCCTCAGTGACGAAGTTCTTGGAGAAGTCGAACAGGATCTCGGAGTTCTCGGCATCGTTCTTGAAAGTACGGCTGAACTTCTCGAATCGCTGCAATCTCTTAGCGATGTACTAGAATCAGTTAACCTAGACCTACCTGAGGGTCCTTCTTAAAGTACTCCTTCAGGACAATGTCCTTGCCAAGCTTCTGGTGGTGGTCCTGGAGCGCCGACCAGGCGTTGAGGTCTGAAGCCTGTGCGAAGCCGGGCATGTTGTATTACGGGTCTAGTAGGTGGGTACAGAGTTTCAAACTTGGACAATTGGAGACAGGGACGGTCAATTGCAAGTGCGAGATGATGGGAAAGGTGTGAGTGAGGAAGAGGTGAATGTTTTCGCGGATGTCATGGGAGAATTGTAAGTCGCGCGGCCGAGACTCAGCCCCGCTTGCGTCAGAGCTCCGTTGAGGGAAGGAGGGGCACCACTTTTACCACGCGCTTGCTGTCAGAACATCCCGTTGGTTCCACTCTGGACAGCCTTACCAAAGCACCACAAAGCTGATCACTAAGACATGTGCATATCTAACTCAATGGGGATATCGACTTGATTTGCTTGCCTGAATTTAGGCTTTCTCACACACACAAATGCTGCCTCAAGCGCCGTGCCGTTGCTCCAGAACCCAAAAAGCATCAAAGAGCGCTGAGATCCCACCAATCACCATGTCTTCTATCTGTGGATCCAAAGCCGGCGGGTGTTGTGCTTGCAGTCGGCTCCATCGCCGTGACAAGCCACGCGCCTACTCAACGGCCATTCTCCGAAGCCGAAGTGTTGAGACCAGGAATGCACTATCTTTCCGTTACACCCTCGAATGATGGGTCCTTCACTGAACCACCAGCATCGCCAAGACCCGCAACAGGGCGGTTGTATGACCATCCTGCGAATTGCTGTTGCATAGTCTGCGAAAGCATAGGGCCATCGACATACGAATCTGTTGGAGCCTCGGAAGTGAATTCGCGGTCAAAGTTGGCAGTGTCTTTTGCGTCAACCTAAGTGTATGTTAGTTGTGAGCCTTTGATTAACGACAGTTTTACATACCACATTGGGCTTGAAGCTGGGCTCGTACTTCCTCTCGAGTAGCTTTCGCCAGTCGATGCTGTGGAAGAAGTAGTGTGCCTTGATCTCTGCAGCGCCCTTGGCACCCAACCGCTTCTCTGCGTTGCGGTCTAGGAGGCGAGTCAAGAGATCGCGTGCAGCTGGTGGAACAATCTCAGGACCGGGGAAGTGTAGAGGCTCGGTAAGAATCTTGCGGTACATGTCGTTGGTATTCTCATCATAAAACGGAGGTAATCCGGTCAACATCTCGTATAGGAGAACACCGAGCGTCCACCAGTCGACTGACTTGGTGTAACCAGCGCCAGTAAGGAGTTCCGGAGCGAGATATTCTGGTGTTCCGCAGAATGCTAAAAGACTGTTAGTTCTCCGGTTCAAGCCATGCTCAGACATGACTTACTGTTTGTCCGGTCCTCATCCTTCATGTCGAGCTTGCAGAGACCGAAGTCGCACAGGGCAATATGGCCAGTGTAATCGAGAAGGATGTTCTCTGGCTTCAGATCGCGGTAAATTACGTTGAAACCGTGTAAGCACTCGAGGGCGCATAGTAGTTCTGCAGCATAGAACCGAGCTCGGTTGATGTCGAATCGTTGTTCCTTCTGCAGATGGTGGAAGAGCTCACCACCGTTAACAAAGGCCAAAACAAGGTACAGCTTCTCTGGCGACTGGAAGGAGAACTTCAACGGTACGATGAAGGGGTTGTTGATTTGAGCCAAAACGGACCGCTCGGCGAGAGTATGTGCGACTTCGGATCGGGAAATGATGTGTGCTTTGCGAATAGTCTTGAGGGCGTAGATTCGGTGCGTATCCTTTTTCCTGCGCGTTGTGAGTATTTGATAATTCAGAAGAGCGCGTAAGCACATACTGCACCTGCATGACTTTTCCAAAACTGCCCTTGCCGACGACTTTGAGAAGTTCGAAATCGTCAATCGCAAGACGATCTTGGCGGTTCTCGACGAAGTTGACTCCGACCTTCATCTGACCACTACCAAACTGTACTGGTATCCAATCAGCGCCGGCTTGGCCAGCTGAGCCGTCGCCATTTCCAGCTTTGCTATCCGTCCTTTGCTCCTCGAATTTAGGGTGGACCTTGAGTGTTCCGATGAAGATGTCTTCGTTGCGACCAGCGTTGGGCGATGCGGAAGGGTTTCGGATGTAAAGCGAGACGGTGAGGTCGGTGACGCGGGACACATCGAACTTGTACTGGGTGTTGCTGCCCGCCCAGAGTGGGTTCTCTGGTGTACCGGAGACTGCGTTGATGAAGACCTGCTGCTTGTCGAAATCTACTAGGGCATAGGGCAGGTGTTTTGAGGAGTAACGACCGTGGATCGTAGGCGCGGCATTGATGCTGCCAGCAGCAGACTGCGGTCGGTTCGCGTAGGAGCCGGCGACTGCGTTGCGCGAAGATGAGCCAGGCCGCATTGATCCTGCTACGGAGAGGCCGCCACCCTGGGACATGGAGCCCTGGTGGTGACTCCCGCCGCTGAATTGCTGCTCGGCGCCCGGGGGCAGCGAAAACTTCTGGCCTTCATGGAGGGTGACGATCAGGATACCGGGGCGAAGAGGCTGCGCAGGAGTGGCTGCATTGGTTTCTGAGGCGGCTGGATTGGGTCAGCAGGAGGTGAGTGGGGGCAGAAGGACCAAAATACCGATGCCATTGTCCTTGGAGTCTGCAAAGGTGGTCGCGCTGGCTGCAGAACTCGAGGCTTTGGGTGTCGGCTGGTCACCGACTATTGTCGACGTCGACGACGAGCGACTGAATGTGTTGGCGAGGGGAGCAAGATGCGTCTCTTTGAGCTCTGCAGTACGTGTTAGAGGGACATGAAGCAGTAGAGACACTGGCGGTATACGCACTCTTAGTGAGCTTCCAAGACATGGTTGCGGCAGCTCAGCGGTGGGCAGATGCAGGAAGAACAGACGGATACCCAGGGTGCTAGGTAGCGAGAGTGTGGAGACAACGGGGCGCGGGAAGGCGACGAGGGGCACACCAAGGAGCGGAGGTGGTGCTGGCAGACGGTGAAGAGGCTCTGGGAGAGGTCGTCTATGGAGAAGGAGGGCAGATGGGACCAAGGTATAGGGAGCGGCTGGTGGCAATGTGTCCAACGTCCGAGTGCCCCAGGTCTCCGTCAATGCTGCGATGCTCAAGATAGGGTCCTCGTTTGAAGTTGTGTCATTGGGTCTCTGAAACTAGCCTTCATTTCGGACTGCCCACGCACTGACGCGCCAATCCTTTTCTCATTCCTTTGCAGTGTTTCGCGTGTCGCAGGACAAGTGAGAGTCTGCTTTTCTATTCTAATTCCGACTATGTTGCGCCATTGCGAGTGATATCGTGATTCGTGCCTGCCTATCCCAGCCTCGGCTGCAGCTGCCGCCGCCGCGAACAACGTCCGGCGTGGGCACGTCAACACCGTGACCTTGGAGCCCAACACAACGTCCGCTTGACGTCTGGACGCGCCATTCGTACCCAGCCGCCCGTCTCAGTCCAGCATTGTGAGCTGCGGCATTATATTACAATACATTAGTCATCGCCCAAGACCCCGACGCGCGCCCTTGCCGTGACTGAGTGCACAGCCACAGCTTCCTGTCTCACCCCAACCCTCCTTCACTTGCGCGCCCACGTCAATAGCGGGGCACCATGGGTGTCATCAAGAAGAAGACGGGCACGCGGGGTACTGAAGGCGGCACCAAGTACGTCTGCGATGTTTGTTCGTCCGACATCACGTCGACCGTCCGCATACGCTGCGCCGAAGACGTATGCAGCGAGTACGACCTCTGCGTGCCATGCTTCTCCGACGGCAAGGCCACACGAGACCACCAGCCGGCTAAACACAAGTTCAAAGTGATAGAGCAGCACTCGATACCCATATACACCGAAGACTGGGGCGCTGACGAGGAGCTGGCCCTTCTGGAAGGTGCCGAAACATACGGTCTGGGGTCATGGGCAGACATTGCGGATCACATAGGCGGCTACCGTGAGAAGGACGAGGTCCGCGACCACTACATAAACACCTACCTAGACAGCCCAAGCTTTCCCCTGCCCGAGCACTGCAGCAAGGATGACACCGAGCTCAGTACCCGCATACCACGTCACGAGTTCCAGGCGAGGAAGAAGAGGAGGATAGAGAAGAAGAAGGAGGAGGCTGCAGGCCGCGAACCCGATGCGCCCAAGCAGAAGCCCACGGCTAGTGTCCCGGCCTGCCACGAGGTCCAAGGATACATGCCCGGTCGTCTGGAGTTCGAGACTGAGTACTTCAATGAAGCCGAAGAGGCGGTGCAGCACATGCAATTCGATCCCGGCGATGGCTTGAACCCAAGGACCGGTGAACTGGAGCCGGAGATGGAGCTGAAAATGACCATCATGGAAATCTACAACCACCGCCTAGATGCTCGAGTTGAGCGCAAGAAGATCATCTTCGAGCATCAATTACTAGAGTACCGCAAGAATCAGCTGGCCGACAAGAAGCGAACCAAGGAAGAGAAAGACTTGATGAACAAGGCGAAGCCCTTTGCCAGGATGATGCAGCATGCCGACTTTGAGCAGTTCTGCAAGGACCTGGAATACGAGCACAACCTTAGGCAGGCCATCTCGCAACTTCAGGAGTGGAGGAATATGCAAATTACAAGTCTTAAAGCTGGCGAGAAGTATGAACAGGAGAAGCAGCAACGACAAACCCGGCCGCCTCCAGTTGGGCAGTTCGATCGCCTGGCGTCCAGTAGAATGACAAAGCCACAGCCGCCCTTTGAACAACCCTCCGCAGCCACAGCATTGCTTGCACAGGAGCTTCCTCTGCACGTCAAGCAAAACAGTGGCCTTACAACGCCACCTCCAGATCACGCTCAGAACGGCGTCAACGGTGCGAACGGCGTTCTGACACCACAACAATCCAAGACAAAGTTCGTGCCAAAGTCACTCCCCAACACCGTGCCTCTCAAGTTTGGCAAAGAGTCAAAAGCGGATCTTCAGCTGCTCAATGCAGAGGAGGTGGAAATATGCAGTACATTGCGTATTATGCCTAAGCCATATCTAGCGCTTAAGGAAACCATCATTCGGGCGGCTCTCAATAATGGCGGTGCGCTCAAGAAGAAGACGGCTAGAGAGATTTGCAAGATCGACACAAACAAGTCATCGCAACTGTTTGAATATTTTGTGCATAGCGGCTGGATAGCAAGGGCGTAAAGGGAATGCGCTGATCGCGCTGGCGTTCGGTAGGGAGACATGACCATATTGGCGGTGTTCAAGCAAGGTATACCCCAGTCTTGGGAAGGGAGGCGTTGTTGTGTTCGTAGATAGGTTCGCTGCTCTTTGTTGACTCTTACATTAGCCCTTCATCTTGGATATCTTGAACGCAATCGGGCAATATTGAAATTACTCCTTGATGCGGTGATGATGATGGTCCGTCCATGGCGCTACCCCAGCGACGGCTGAATACAAACAATAGCTCTCACTCCGCACTTCCCCACTCACATCCCGAACACGCGACAGGCCGCACCCAGCATGACCCTTTAGTTACTTTTTTTGCCATTTGGAGCATCGAGCCAAGGAAGCCTTCGACGGGCGGCATTAATTCCTGCAGCAAGCCTGACATCATTCGCTCGCTAGCGGTCCCTGATCAGCCCTCCCACCCAAAGGCAGCCTCCGTATCCACCTCCCTGCATGGCTACCAACTCGCGCTACTTCAACGATATGCCCGGGCTGTATACTCCCTCGCCCTCAAATGCACGCGCAAAGTCTCAAACGGGCATTTTTGACACGGCACCTGAAACCTCCGGCCACCTGATTGATTCACACGTCCACGAGACCCGCAAGCGTTCCCGATATGGCTCCACGGCGCACGAAGCCGCGATAGGAGGTCCCTGGGGGGAACATGACTTGAACAACACTCGCTTCAGCGACACCAGAAGTCCGCCTCCGCTTGCGAACGACCGCTACCAACTTGCTGGGGGTATGGATGGGACGCACAACAATACGAGACGAGACGGCGACTACGATGACTACTTCAACCTCCAGAAGCAGCGCGGCAACTGGTCCGTACCACCTACACCCCAAGTTGGCCTGTCGGGACAGATCGCAGTTGGCGAGATGCACACAACACCCAACGAGAGCAAATCATGGTCTATAATGGGTCTTGTTGGAGGAGTAGCTGGGAAACTTTTCCAGTTCTGCACGGTGCCTTTCCGAGGTTTTCAGGCGGGAGGAGGACCGAGATACAACATCGACGCGCAGGAGGAGGTCGCGGCAAAACTTGGGCTCCAAGACGACCCCTATCAAGCAGGTCCGGTGCAGCAACTACCCCCTGCCCCGAGCGACGACTATGGAGTCCAGTCCATAGAATCCATCACGCCCGAACGCCCCAGGATGGCGAAGCGATTGCGCACAGCAGATAACTGGGTCGTAGTTGGAACGAACCTGGAGACAGAATCAAGACCCTCAACACCGCGATTGTCAGAGCGAAGACTGCCCGAGCGATCGCCCTCATTGATCCCACGCCCTGTATCACGACCAAACACAGGAACGCCATCCTACAAGCGACCCTCCCTAATCCCAGTATCGCGACGTTCAACAGTCGAGAGACGATCTTTCTACGGCAGTCCGACAGCCACTCCTAGCTCACACGAACGAGCGCGCTCCTACAGTCGACTAAGCTACGGTTCACCAGCCATGTTTGAGGACAAGTCAAGCAAAACCTCGAGCCCTCTGCCGAAAGAAAGCCAACGTCTGATCAACAAAGTGCGGAGAGAAGAGATCGAGGAAGACGAGCGTATGCGCAGGATGAGCTTGCAGATGACTGCCATGTTAAGAGAAGCGAATGAGGCTCTAGGCTCTAAGTTTGAAGTGGAAGAGTACGACGATCATATTGGTGACAATCAAGGGTACAATCAGCAACCGAGCTGGTACTCATAAATGTATACAGTCGCCGCACTTTGAGCATGCGATTTGGCGATATATTGACTTTAATAACGGCCTCTTGGGATACTCGGCGTTCACACGGATAGGCGTATACCCTGATCACCATCGTTTGGTATCTGCGGCGGCTCGAAATGGGTCTTATACTTCGACATCCAATCAGTCAGCACAGAATGACGATTTTTAGAATACTACTTTCATCCTTCGCTTCATGTAGAAATCCGACAGCTATTTAGTCTTTAACTTGTATGTGCAGTTGAGGTATCGCGCTAACGCGGCAGCGGCAACCCTTGCCCAAGCGCAAGGATAGCAGTAGTTGGTCTCGGAGTCGCCTGCATCTTGCGGGTACCTGGGGCGGAAAGAGGTTAACGCCCAGGGTCTGTGTGGCTTGCTTCCTATAGTAAATCTCCTAAATTTGAGCCGCCCCGCACATGCAGTTCTTCCTGCAACTTCATCACATATTGCGGGTGCGCTAGTCCACATATGCAATGACAGGCAGAGTAAAGAGCCGAACAAGCAGCGGGCGCTTCAGGTTTCATCCTGTGGGAGGCACGGGTTTGGGGATAACGTACGTATAGGTACGAGAAGACATTGTCGAGATGCGCTGTCTGTAAAAGCATCGACGAACACAAGCAAGGAACAGAAAGAAAGGAATATCAACGGCTGCTTACAACAGAGATCTACCTGGCGACACAGTGTCGAACCGCCAGATGCTCTGACCCCTGTCATCATGGGTACAACTCGTTACCTATGTAGACTCTAGTACACGCTATAGAGCCGTTACAGTGCAGGACGCCGCCTTTGCGCCCTGCTACGCCGCCTTGCACTTCACCCATGCCAAAAGGAACCTTATAGTATGAGAGCATTCCAGACGTAGACAGACAGCACACATCGTCGCTCTTCCCTCAACAATGGATCGCACAGACCCACCACCATCGAGTCCGTTACTCCAACAAAAACGGAAAGGGCCCACAATCACCACCGAAGAGGCATCCGATCAGAGTCAGTCAAGGAAGGAATTCACAACGTCCCCCCGAAGATGCTTTTCAGGACTCCTGAGTGCTCTGGCTGTGATCCCGCGCGGTATCGCTCGAGGCTGGAAGGTGGTCTCTAATGCTTCACTGCGGTTGTGGAGAAAGGGTTGGACGGCGGAGACATGCAGTTGCATTTTTGCGCTACTATCATTGATTGGGCTTATTATTATGCTTATGGCGCATCAAGATCGTCCGCTACCGGATTGGCCCCAGATCGTCAGTATCAACTCTATCGTGTCACTCTTTTCGATGATGATTAGGGCTGGAGTGAGCATGGTACTTGCGGAAGGAATTAGTCAATCGAAATGGCAATGGTTCCGTAAAGCACGTAAGCTCGAAGACATGGCAAGATTCGACTCTGCAAGTCGTGGTGCATGGGGCTCTGTCTTGTTCATTTTCGGTCTTCGTATCAAGAAGCCATAGTAAGTGCACTTGAGTTTTGTTTAGATTTGCGCTTACATGTAAAAGCTTTATCGCTGCAATGGGAGCTTTTATCACCGTCATGTCGGCCTTCACTGGATTTGCAGCCCAACAACTTATCGTATTTAATGACTGCCTCCGACCTGATGAATCTGCCGCAGTCGGGATACTCAAATCCAACGCTTACAACGCAAGTGGAGAAAGGATAGCTCCCCAAAGGTTCGATGAGTTCCTTCCTATGAGTGTAGCTATAGATGTCGGGATACTTCAACCACTCGAGGATACAACTACCCTTCTTTCTTACGGATGTAAAACTGGCAATTGCACCTTTCCGGCTGCGAACGGATCGGCATACTCGACTTTGGCTACCGACTACTGGTGTGCAGATGCCACATCAGAAGTAGTAGAGTTACCGATTAACTATGACGACTCTGAATATTACGGCTATGTGCCAACCGAGTTTATGATCGGCATGAACTGTGGTGGCAGTCCCGAGGCATGTGCTGAGAAGAGCAGCACTTCGTTGAATAGTACAAACGGGACAGCTTCGCTCACAAGTAACTTCGATTTGACTATGAAGAACGGCACAAAAGCAAGGAACATTGGTCTTTCTCTATCGCTTTCCGACAATCCCTTTACTGACTCGCCGGTCAAGTTTTTGCTTGCTGGTTGGCCCGGGTACCTAGTGACTAGCGTAGAAGCAGCACAACTCGGATACAACGGCACCATATCTACAATAGGCATGATATACTTATCGAACTCCACGAGCCAGAGCCGCGAGTACAGAGCGATGAGATGCGGCATATATCCTACAGTCAACACATTGAAGGCAACATATCACAACGGTGTCTTGAAAGAAGAGCTGGTCAAGAGCGTTCGTATTGGCCGAGACGTCGCCTCTGGTACCAATACCATCTTCCGCCTAGCCACGAAACAAACCCTCCGCAACGGCACAGAAATTACCTGCGATGAGCGCACCACAGACACACCCGGCTATCTACCCGTTGCAAAAAGCAATATCGATGCCGCACCCATCAACATAACGTACCTGGCCATGGAAGGCCCAGGTGCGGAAACTGTATGGTACCCAGAAGATTGCGTTTGGGCCATGACAGCCACGGGTACGAGCGGTATACGGCAACATTTCAACGCCATCTACGGCGCGCAGTACCTCATGGATGTACAGTCTGCCCGCTATGGTTCTGCCTACATGCGTGTCTTGTGGAATAATAGAGAAATGCAAAAGGCGCCTCTTGACCATGTCGGCAGTCTCATGACGAACATAACTTCAGCCATGAACACCGTTCTGCGTACCCACGGCATACCGGGTTTCAACAATCCTGCTGAAGGGACAATGTGGTATACAATGACTTGTATCAACATCAACTGGACTTGGGTCGCCTTTCCTGCCACGATGATTGCGCTCTCGGCTGTTTTTCTCTTACTAGTGCATCTTGAGAGTAGGGGCGTGGAGAGCGAGCGGCTGTGGAAGAGTTCGATACTAGCAATGTTATTTTGCGAGATGGACGATGTGGTTACGAGTGAAGCTAGGCCGGTGGGGCGACGGCGGTTGGAGGAGGTGGCTGCAATTAGTAGTGTGAGTTTGGGTAAAGATCAAGGAAGTTTGAGGTTGGTTGCTAGACAGTCTTAACTGTATTCAGGCGCCTTGTTTTGATTCTAGTTCCTATATGCATCCCTACTGCCACTGCCTTCGCCTTGATGCGATTTGAGATCTTCTATCAGTACGCTCATGAGCTTGAACATTTCGCCTGCGAGCTTCTTCCCAGTTTCCCTCCATTCTTCCTCGCACAATCGTCCAAAGCGGTCGGGATGCCATCGCAAGCGCTCCTGGCGCAACCACTCGTAGCTATACAAACCGCTTGCTCGAAGTAGCTTTTCTACATCGTGTTGGCAGGCGTGTATACTATCTGGCTCGGATTTGAGTATCGTACACGCTGTGAGATTGCAAGTCGTAATCGTATTAGGCAGATAAGGAAACATGGAAAGCAACTTTGGCGATGCAGATGACGTACGTTGCAGTGGCGGTCTAGAGGCATCTGAACTACTGGACTGGGAGCGAACTTGGAGTTTGCGTGGGACTTTGGGTTTCGAGCCTCCGGCTGCTGCTGATGCGGCTGCGAACATGACTGCCGTTTCTGTAGACCACTTTTCGTAGAGTGCTTGCGTCGCAGCGCTGGGTTTCGCATCTGTGGGCGTAGTCGTACCATTGGGCATCTGTTCGCTCGACTGGGATGTGCTAGGTTTCGACTTCTTCTTCGCCCGGGCAAAGAAGTTGAGCGCAAAAGTCTCCAACGCTTCTTCGTTGATATCGTCAATAGAGCCAGCCCATGTTCCATCATTCCGAATTGCGATGAATTGGTCGGAGCTTGTGGGATCCAGGGTAATGAAAGTCAGATCGCTCCAGAGAAAACCCTTCTCTGCCTTCCATTCTTCTACCGTCTCTTTGTAAATATCCCAGGCATTTTCGTCGCCCAAACGATACACGACGTCGCCGTACTCACTCATGGCGAAGAACGCGCCTTCGGGGCCCCATGTTACAATGCGCGGCGGTCCTACGCGCCATCCGGAAGGTGTCAACCAAGACTGTATGGCATCCTCCAGGCTCGGCGGCAGATTAGCCCAACGTATAAGCTCAGGATGCCAGATAATGAAGGAGTCATCCGGTCCCAAGAAGGCACGCAGAAGTGGAGAATGCCATGTCTTGGTCAGGATATTCTGGAGCCGTGAAGGTATAGATGAGCCCCAGCGCAGACTGTTCTTGCCCGACGAGTCTTTGGAACTTAGGATCCAGGATTCGGTTATCGGTCCTAGAGCCGCCCAGTGTACTTCTGAAACGGTCCTACCAAGGAGTAGATCTTGGAGGCTGGAAGGGAGATTGCGACTGTTGATCGTTAGCCGTCGCGTAAAGGGAGGGAGGTTGGCAGCATACTAGTTAAGTCCCGCAAAGCTTTTTGATATGAAGCTGTCATCGGGTCCGAACGAAAAGAACGAGGTATTGCTCGTGGTACCACTCATTCCCGGCTGCGCGCGATTGGGTGAAAAGCGATTATGACGTCACGTACCCCTAAGGTGATGAAGTCTTTGAGGATGTAAACGACGCGCCTAAACGAGTAAACTAACATGCGCTCAACGTACAAGCGCGTGAATCTCTGACCGTTGATAATTTTCCGTGGCCCTGACGTCTTTACAAACTTGCGCGTGTTCCCCGACAACGGTTTCAGACGGTTGCTATCCTGTTTAGACCCTGGAAGCGATCAAGCTTGGCAAAGGCGAATGTCAACACAATCGATCGTGCGATTGTCTACTTCTTCACAATATTGCGGCTTTATAGCGACCCACTGTGTTCAGCGTCTCATACCGCTTCCATCGATCTAGACCGAGCGTTTCTCTTCTTAGCGAGCCCGAGTTTTCGGCGGCACATGTGCGATTCCACGTTTACGTTTGGCCAGCGCGGCAGCCACTTCTTTCAATGTCCATCGAGGCGAGAACAGTATGCTTTCATGTACGAAATGGGTTGGAAATACTATGCTGACCATGGCGCAGTGCACGTCTTCCAAGAAAGTTGGCGAGGCTTCTCAGCTCCTCACAGTTGAAAAAGATTTATCATGTGACCCTTAGTTTCGAGGACAGCTTCCTCCTTACCTGGCGTGATACCGATGGAAAAGACCGTGTTGAGAACTCTGGACTTCCGCCAGAGTTGGTTGACTTCCTATACGCTCGGAATCGCGATATTCCCAATATACGGTGTACGCTGGGACCATACAACACGTCTTTCTTCGTTCACGACAAAGCTTCGTATCTCTGGAAAAACCTCCCAGGAGCATTACTCGTTGCCTTACAGAACAACATCCAGGACGGGAGTTGGACTGATCGGCCACGCCTCGTAGCACTGGGTGCCGGAGACAATTTCTTACTAATAACTGAGAAGAACGCCTCAGTGTGGGATTTGCGACACTACAAATCTGCTCTTACATTCCTTGAGAAGAGCGCCATGTCAGATGTTCATAGCTTGATCCTGCATGCTTATCGGTACCAAAGCTTCGTCATGCAGTCCCAGGGCGGTCAACTTTTATTCGAAAACGTGCCGCCACATCAAGTCGTAGGCATCCAATCCATGACAGCACCGATCTTACAAGATTCGAAGAACGCGCAACGTAGAGTTCTTGCGCGGAGAGAGAGCGATAAGAAGGAGAACATGCAGAGAAGGCCTAGCGCTCTCCAACAGCGCGCGCAGATTCGGAGGGAATGGAGTGAACACAGCCAGGAGTTTACAGCACAGGCTAAGGGTGTTAGGCTGAGCTTTAGTCTCAATGTCAGTCTGGGTGGCTTAGCGAGGATGTTGGGGTGAGGATGACGCTAGGATACTCAAGCTCGCCTTACTCACGAGCTGAAGAAGATAACTCCATCGCACACACATCCGATATTCAGCAGCTTGAATTGCGCAAACTCGGCAACAACGGCAAGCCTGGGTAGCTGAATAAAGTCAAGATCTCGGGGTTGTTTTAATCGCTCGCAAACCTGCCTGAAAGGATCCACCCAATTCGAAATCTCTAAGTTATGAGTAGATGGGCCAAGGCATTGCGGTACTCTGGACAAACAAATTGCAGTTGTCGATAGCCCAGTATTGGTCATTGAGAAGCACCGTTGGCATCGAAAAGATGGGGTTGCGCCCAATCGAATACACGGGAAGTAGGAGGCGGACAGGGTGAAGCGAATTGGCTCGTAAGTCATACAGTGGTGTAGGCTCTCTCGGCACAACCAAGATCATCGAGACGACTTCGTTCTAGACTGCGTCCATGTCTGATTGTTCTTCCCATGACTTTGCACACTCATGGAAGAAATTTGAGTGGTGGTTCTAATGATCGTCAGAAATTGCTTCGGCGACTCGTAAGCGCGTCCGACATCGCTTTATACCAGTGGTGCCGCTCGGACTGGATATCAATGACGGCGGCAAACTATCTCGGAGCCTAAGCCACAGGAATTGGATGCCATTTATGAATTTGTGAAAGCATGTACGGATGAAGGGATTGTAACCCCAGGGATGGAACGACAGGGGCAGGCCGCCAATAGTAGAAGTAACGTCAGCTCTAGCTCTGAAAATTTTACTATTGCAGTTATGTTAGTACATCGACGGACGCTTCGGCTTAGTTTTCCAATGCCTTGACAAGCTATGTTTACGATGTGATGGTCACGATGTAGTTTCATGCTCTTGGTGACTAGTTACTGCTACGCCAATATATTTGACACGGTCGTCAAGGTAGAAGTCGCAGCTTCTGGAGTCATAACTGTTCCAGTGTTCAATCGGGTATCGGCATTTCGGTGCTTACCTTAGACGCCCTAGGGATCTATATACAACGAGGTGTTGGGAAATGCGGTAAGGTACCTAGGTATACACCGGTGTAGCCGGGCCCACCTTGCTCTTCGTCGAGTAGGTATTTCGAAGTTCTAGATCACACGGTGAGAGTCTTTAGGTATTTTCCAATGTCAGAGTTGTGACATGCGGCACTTGCCATGCCTGTGTACCGTAGTTCGGTCCCGAGCTGACAGCGATGACATCACGCTAAGACTTTTTCGACAGCCATTTTTGCGGGGAACCTCCGCATGGGCTCGGCCTCTCCACATTTTACCAGCAGCTCCACGCCTCTGATACGCCATTTATTGATGCCAAACTATTACTTGGGTACTTCGGGAAAGCTTGCCAAGTATGCCCATACGCATCGTGTGTGTTTTAGCAAGCCACGTACGTGTACGGACCGGTCTGCGTACCCGTACCACGCGGTACAATGGCAGGTTTCTTCGTACACTAAGGTCGCACGGTTGAGAGCATAAGTAGGCGGCATGGATGTATTCGTTCTCGTATCAGTTCTGTCTTTTCCTTCGTCGGAGTTGCATCCTAGACCATGGCCTCAATGCGCTCGTTGATCGCTACTCTCGTTGTAAGCGCGCCTTTAGCAAGTGCGCTGTACATCAATGGTAGCGTAATTGCACCTTGCGACTCGCCCATCTACTGTTATGGCGACTTGCTTCGCGAAATTGAACTCGCAAGGCCATTTGAGGATTCAAAGACGTTCGTTGATCTGTATGTAACTTGGAGGAAGACCCGGGTCTGATCACGGCTAATAAATAGCAGACCAACAACGCGCCCGCTGGACGAAGTGCTTGCCGCATTTGCCAACCTCTCGAGACCAATTGAGAACAATACAGCGCTGAACGATTTCCTGTCCGAATACTTTGGCGAAGCCGGCTCAGAACTAGAAGAAGTACCCAATGATGAGCTAGAAACCCAGCCAGACTTTCTCGACAACGTCAACAGTTCTGTTGTTCGAGATTTCACACGCCAGGTTATCGACATATGGCCTGACTTGACACGTCGATATGTTGGGGCTGGAAACTGCTCTGACTGCGTCAACTCTTTCCTTCCGGTCAATCGTACCTTTGTGGTAGCTGGTGGTCGATTCAGGGAGCCATATTACTGGGACTCATTCTGGATCATTGAAGGTCTTCTTCGTACTCAGGGATCGTTTACTCAGATTGCCGAGAACATCATCGAAAACTTCCTAGATCTTGTCGAAGATATTGGCTTCGTGCCAAATGGTGCCCGTCGCTACTACGAAAATCGATCGCAGCCACCACTACTTACGCAGATGGTTCGTATTTACGTTGAGTATACCCAGAACTATACTCTGCTCGAGCGGGCGATACCTATCCTGGAGAAGGAGTATGATTTCTGGGTGAATAATCGTACCGTGACACTCGAGCGCGCTGGTATGAACTACTCCCTGAACCACTATGCCGTGTCGAACACGCAGCCACGACCTGAGTCCTACTATGAGGATTATGTGACTGCCAACAACGCGACTTACTTCAACGAAGAAGGCGAGGAGTTCAACGCTACGCAGCCACTCAATGAGACCGAAATAGCGACATTGTATTCCAATCTTGCATCGGGTGCAGAGAGTGGATGGGACTATTCAGCGCGCTGGATTGCTAACCCATCCGACGCTGTCACCAAAACATTCTTCCCTCTCCGCTCGCTCAACACTATTGAGATCATCCCGGTAGAGCTCAACTCGATTCTTTACTACAACGAGATCACGATCGCTGAGTTCCACCGCCACCAAGGCAACTACACCGCTGCACGCGAGTGGGCTGGCCGAGCTGCAAACCGTAGCGAGGCAATGACTACCTTCCTTTGGTCACCTGAGCACTACAGCTACTTTGACTACAACTTAACCTCCAGCAGCCAGAACATTTACACCCTGGCCGACAACACAAGTACGCCACTTGCGCTTCAAGGAGCACCGCCTGGACAACAAATATGGTTCCAAATCTCTCAATTTTATCCCTTCTGGACAGGTGCCGCTCCTGATAGCATCAAGAATGACCCCAAAGCAATGAGGCGTGTATACGCACGAGTTGAAGAGCTTCTTGAAACCCGAGACGGTGCGATTGCTGCAACGAACCTTCAGACCGGCCAGCAGTGGGACGAGCCAAACGTCTGGCCTCCACTTCAATACATTCTTATGCAAGGTCTGCTTAACACGCCCCTCGAGGTCAGTGAGGACGACGACGAGCAGTCAACTGAGGACTACATTTGGACGCAAGACCTCTCCCTCCGCCTTGCACAGCGCTACCTTGACTCGTTGTATTGTACATGGCGTGTCACCGGTGGCGCGACCGACGAGGTGCCGCAACTTCCTAACTCTCAGGGCAATGGAACGATCTTCGAAAAGTACGCTGATGAGAGTACCAATGCTGCTGGAGGGGGCGGAGAGTACGAAGTCGTGGAAGGTTTTGGTTGGTCGAATGGTGTTCTCATTTGGGCTGCTGATCAGTTCGGACAAAGGTTGACAACACCTGAGTGTGGAAACATTACTGCAGCTGACATTGGGGGCGGAGATGCGAAGAGGAAGAGAAGTGCAGTGGAACTAAGCAAACGGGATGCCAGGTGGATCAAGAAAACGAAAGGGACAAGAAAGCTGAGGTATTAATGCTGGTGCGTACTTGTAGTCGCTGGTAGGACTGTTTACCACCCAAGCTTCTCTTCCACGATATATCGTGGTACTTGGGTTAATTCCATCCTATTTTGCTCAAAATTTTACCTCGATCCTCGTTGTTCTTTGGCATACGTTTCAGCTACAGATTCTCCAACCCTGAAGCGCAGCCGAAATTCTGCTACTAACCAACAGGCAGACGGTATCAACTCGCAATGCTATATCTGGAGTCGTCCTTGTGAGTAGAAAGAGTGAATAGAGACGCCGTGTCTGTCATTTAGGTTCAACCGCTTAGGGACAAAGAAACTAATCGTCACGGTGTTTGCTTTTTCTACTTCCGTCGTCCGCTTGAACTCCTTGCCACCGACTTCAGCGCGGGATGTTGTTATCTTGGGCTGCATATGGCTGTGAAACGTCGTACAATGCTGTACCACTGCTCGTCTATTACTACTCGTCCCGCCAAGCTCTGGAGTGCGCTGCAGTGTGTACATTTAGTAGACTGCTGGTCACCCTGATATCGTCATCAACATGGATATCCGCGTTTGTCTCGTCACTGCGGGCCATGTAATTATGAGTGGACACAAAAAGCGGACTGCCTAGAAATAGTTGTCGACATGGTCGACAATAATCTTTCGGTTACAGTCTATCAAGAGGTAGATAAGCCATGCCGCCGCATCGTTGTATGTAGGAACTGCTATGCACTGGGACATCTGCCTGTATTACGGTTCGCCGGTTCCTCCCGTGTTCATCATAATACACTACTGCTACAGGTAAAATGTCCGACGCTACGTACAAGGTTTGACTCTGGACGAGGACCTCAAGAACTGCCAAGCAAGCCATTTTGATGTCTACAAGAGCTCACGAGGAGTTGTTTGATGGCTATTGGAGAGCTGACCGAACCGAAGGATGATCTGCACGGGACAGGGGCGTCCAGTGGAGAACGCTAGATTGGTGCGGACGCTAGCGGGTGGATTGCCATCCCTGACAAGCTTCCAACATCTTTCTCTATTTGATTCAAGGCAATGTCTCCTTCAATGCTATGTGCAGTTGCAGCATTCGTATCGACAAAATCGCGGCATTGATCAGGTTCCGACGTATCTGAAGCCGCCGATCTATGCTTATGTTAAGGTGAAATTGACCTTTTGGACCAGTCCTTTAAAGTCCTTCTAGCGTCTTCACCTTCGTATCTTGACTCATGAAGTCATCCGTAGCGTCGGCATGTCATGCGAACTCAAACGCTACGGAGCAATCGCCATTATAGAAGAAGGCTAACAGTGGCGGCTGTAAGGGCACGTCGGCAAGTTTGGCTCGGAATTACGCAGCTACGGCCGAATTGAGATTCCTTGAAGAAGGTCAGGTGTGAGGAGTGGACACGGAGATCTGCAAGTGCTGGAGCGTGAACAAACACTGATCCAATGGCGGTCAATACTTCATCTCTTCTTCCGAGGCTTCTACAAGTTTGGCGGGGAGTGAATGATCGCTAAACAACATTGTATACCTTAGGAAAGGATAAATATTTGGAAGACATTCGCCATTTACAACGATACCTTTGAGCCTCACCATCGCTACTACTACCTCATTCACATTCTATGTCTCAGCATTCCCAGCCTGACAAGACATCAAGATGAAATTCTTCGCTCTTTCCGTGATGACTGCCCTTGCAGCAGCGTCGCCTGTATCTTCGACAGCTCAGTTCTCAGAAAACGAGGTCCAAGCTCGCCAGTTCGGTTTCGGCACGAGCACCAGGAACGAACTTGAGAACGGACGAGCAGGAGCTTGTCCAAAGGTGATTTTCATCTTCGCCCGCGCATCCACGGAAACTGGCAATATGGTATGTCGCGTATTACAAGCAACTGGAGCTGTATGACTGACATGTCGGTAGGGCGCTTCTACTGGCCCTGTAGTAGCTAGTGCTCTTGAGCGCACCTACGGCGCAAGTGGTGTATGGGTCCAAGGTGTTGGTGGCCCATACTTGGCTGATCTGGGCTCTAATGCCTTGCCCGGCGGTACCTCACAGGCTGCTATCAACGAGGCTGTCGGTCTTTTCCAGCAAGCAAATCAGAAGTGCCCTAACACCTCCATCGTTGCTGGTGGCTACAGGTGCGTACTTTCTTTGTATACCTTTCTACTCTGAGCTCTCGGACTAACATCTCAGCAGTCAAGGTACAGCTGTTATTGCGGGAGCTATCCCCAAGCTCTCTACTACGATTCGCAATCAGGTCAAGGGTATCGTGCTCTTCGGTTACACTCAGAACGCCCAGAATCGTGGTAATATTCCTAGCTACCCCAGCGATGACTTGGAGGTATATTGTGCTACTGGTGACTTGGTTTGTGTCGGAACGCTCACTATTACTGCCGCACACTTCTCTTACGCGGATGAGGCTGCCGGGCCTGCGCCTAGGTTCTTGCAGAGCAAAATCAATGGAAACTAAGATTGTAATGAGTTGAAACCGGAGTGTTGGATTAGAGAAAATCAGCGACGATTAATGAACTTTCCAAATCATAGTAAATCTCGCGGTGTTTGCTTTTGAAGGCTGTACGTCGTGTTACACACTCCCGCGAGAGAACATTAGTTGACTGAGTGCTGAGAAACGCGTGTACGTGAGCATGGAGCTGCAAATGCAAAGAAAGTGACCAATGAAAAAATTGCTACTTTACCTAATTTGTCATTGGCTGAGCAGCTTCACCCCTTATCGATATTGGCCAGCTTCCAACCCATCATGCTATGAACACTCGACTGAATCGCAGACGCATCGAATACAAGCACACACGTCGCGCCATGGATTCGGCGACCTGGTTGCATTGCACTCAGCGGAGGCGACGTGCCCAAGGGGCCGGCAGCCATGATGACCCAGCTCGGTAGCAAGCCAACAACACCTACCGCAAGCCGAACGATCTTGAACCGAAGGAGACACCTTTCCAACGAAAGAAACCGCAAATGTAAACACAAGGGTCTACCTCTTAAATCACATTCGAAATTTGCATGGCTACTGGAATATCATCCCAGCGACAGTCAACAAGCTCGTCGATGTTCTCATGCGCTTTACCTCCACAGGAGATGAGGCTACCGAGCTTCGGGAGCAATACAATTTGGATCTCATACGGGCCATCGTAGCCACTAATGATCGTTTCAGGGAAGATGTTTTCCTTTGGCTCAGGAAACATCATGTCGAGACACTCTCCCGATTTGTCTCTGACGCTCTAGCTGCGGCTGCAGCAGTCGGTAACTTTAGGGCCGTCGACCACATCTTGCACTCTACCACGGACCCCCTCAAGCAGCCCTGGTGTCACGACATGAAGTGCTTACCTAGCGTACTTCAGGCTGCAGCTAGTACAGGCAAGAGCGTAATGGTTGGGTATCTCCTCGTGAAAATGAAAGTGGGGCTGTACATGGACAAAGTCAGCTGCAAGATTCGGACAGAGAAAGACTGGCTGTCTTGAGCTGTTACACGATCGTTGGCGGTGGGTGGACTGTGACTATACGACGGAGTGGGTCGACGCTCCGATGATCATCAAATGCAATCATCTTGCGGAACAGTTATCTGAAGCCGGAAGCCTATCCAACACTGACATATGCAAGTTCATTGTGCTCATTAGCCTTAAGGTTATCCAGTCCTGTCAATGTAAAGATGGCATAGGACTGCCTTCACTGCCTTGGTTGCTTAATATCTTGTGGAAGATATCTCTGGGACTGATCAAACTCGAAGATGAGACTCTCAAGTGGAAGGAGGAGGCACAGAAAGCTTTGGGGTGGTTTCATGGTTTCTATCCACTTCATACAGCAGTACTGAAAGATAGAGGATAGTAAATACCGCTCCTTGTACAAAACATGTTAAATCGGCGTTGATCTAAGCATTTCTAGTAAGAATGGAACAAAATGGTCAAATGTAAACCGAGGCGCTCACGTACACGTTCTACGAAACCGCTCGATTCCTAGCGTTTATTGCTTACTTCTTGGCCCTGTAGTAAGCTGCTGTGTTGGCTTTCATGAGCACACTAGATTATTCGACACCTCCCTACTGCGAATTTTGGTGTGTATATGTTGTTGAATTCTCCACCGTTTGCATCGGTGTATGTCTTCTTGCTACTAATCCTCCATTTTCCAATTCCGGCGATCGCAGCACTTGTGCATTGTAGATCTCTAAGGATTTGTGTGGCGCTTTCCGTGAGGCTATCAAGACTCCACGTGCAAGCATTGCATTTTGACATCTTCGTCACTGGAGGTTAAAATAGTCTTACGTAAGGGCGGTCACTGCCCAGTGAGTACCTTGGCGTATGCTGCCATTTCTAACACGATGCAGGGAGATGTGGCGCGAATAATGCTCTCTTATTTTGTTTTGTTTTGTGGATGGCCTTTGCAAGATGACTGCGTAGAAGGCAGTCAAGGATTACCTGCCAAGCAGAAGGTTTTGATTGGGTCCTGATAGCGTAATTGAAGACCGCCTATATGGGAGGATTGACCGTTGGGCATCGATTATCTTGTTCATTTGCATTGCACAGCCGCGGCTGTACATCTGAACGGCATGATGACGAATGATGCTGAAAAGGCTATGCAATAGTCCAGAATTTCTTTGTAAGGTGTATCGGTTGGAGGGTAGAGAACTGTGGGCATATCAGCTTACAATGAGCCCTCTAGAGTCTCTCAGTCGGACACGCTGGTGAGGCATTAGCTTGCAGCAAATCCGTCGGCGTATCGATGTTATCGGCTGAAGATCGCTCGCCGAGCCTGAGAGAAACGTCATAGTTCAATAGAACGCAATATTGAGTTTTCGTTGTTTTGTTGTTCGTGGGGAAGCGGTGGGTGCCGAGTAACTTTAAAAGGCTGAAAGCCAGCCTCGCGCTAGATACTACGCTAGGCGTGTCCGGCAGTGATAGTCTACAACTCACAGCACGAACTAAAGGACATAATCCCAGTTACCTGGTTGGCAATGTGTCGCTTCTAGATCGGAACAGTTCGCTTCCTGGCGCCTTTTTCGATAGTAAAACGGGATGGCTGCAGAGCGTCCGAAATGGTGCTGCAGGTATACGGATCAGCGCAGCTGGATGTCGCTAGTAGTGTGACTTTTCATGCTATTTCCAGATACGAGAAGATGCTTCTTGAGATATGTACAATCGTTCCAGCATTTAGCGTGTATCTAAAAAAGATGGAAGTGTAAAGACAACACATGAAAGGAGCAAGTCATAGCTCCGCGCTTGTCTCATACGATAAAGCAATTAAAAGCGCGACTAGGTTGAATAAGAGAGGGGTATATCGAGATGTAAGTGTCAAACAATTTGTCCCTCCTTTTACTACCACAGGGCCCTGTCAAAAATCGCGTAGGGAGTCAGTATCTTTCCACTCCCTTTCAGAAAATTCTGGAAATTTTGGTAGGTCCAAAACTACGCAACCTGTCTCAGATAACGTGATATAAGGTGTTTGCTTCTCCCTAGTTTGTGCTTCCTGCCATATCGCCATGACAGCATCCCAATACCGCCGCGGGTCTGCCTTCGCATGCCCAACATGCTCACTAGTCTCGAATGGCACGTCTATAACAGAGATACCAGTGTTTTCGGATTGCTCCAAATGTTCGTATACATCTTGCCACGCGATTAACGTATCGTTCTTTGAATAGAGGTAGCAACGTGGCGCCGAGGGATCAAAATAGGTAGGATCGTTGATACGTCGTCGAGTTCGGCTAATGACGTTATTCTCAAACCCTTTGATACCGGTGTATAATATCCATATGCAGCCTAGCACTAGACTGGCGAACAATATAGCAATGTGCCGCAAGACCGGTATCTGGGGTAGTGACTTGTTGAGGGCTTCGCATAAACGCAGGTATCGTGGATGACCCGGTGTACTGTCTAGACATAGTGCTGAGACCGGAAGTCGTGTTCCAGTGAACCTGTAGTGAGCCTCTGCTAATTCACAGGCTTTGTTACTTCCACCTTCGGAAAAGACGTGTAGCAGAATACCATTCTCGGCCGTTTGGTCGGGCAGGTATTGGTAGTTGGAAATGCATTCTACTGCAGGTCTCATGCGCCACTGTTTGCGAGCGGAGTTTCTGAAGCAGAGATCTTTTGCGGAAGTGGTGATAACCATGATCCGTGTTGAAGGGAAAAGAGTTCGGTACTCTGCTGTATATTTGGCGATATATCGGTTTTGGGCTCCTGTCCAAGTGCATAGCAGAATGAGCGACGGTGCCACAAGGTCGTTCGACGAGAGACGAGGAAAAACGGATGCGGATCTCGGATCAAGCTCCCATATAGAAGGAGCAATGAGCTCGAAGCCTGGGATTGTTTCGTTGGTCGCCTTGCTGTTTGCCATAATACTCAGCGGTGAAGTGAGTTCCGGTACCGAGAGTAGGGATCGACAAGCTCAATGAGGCTGCTGGTAGTGGTTCGACTGTCTCGAGATATAGATGTGAAGGATGTAGTACTGTCCTGCTGGAACGCCAGCCGTGTCTGTCTGTGACACGCGCTTATGTAGGACCACTTCGAAACTTTGCATGCCATTACCACAGCTCAAGGCTGTTAACAAAGCAAAGAGGCTAAGGATTACGGCACGCAGGATGAATGCATCGTAATGCCACACGCTATGAGAAACCAAACAATCTGCAATCGGGTGCGTGCTGATGCCTATGACATACTTTGAAGGCGCTGAATGCAAAGCGGAAGCTTTCATACTATCGATTGACCTCTCGTTAGATTTCATCCGATTCGCTTGCACTCTCCTATCTAGGAACTAGTCAGTGAGCGACTGCAGCGGTTGACCATCGCCTGAAAAGAGACAAAATGCGCACACTCCGACTTGCGAAAAATCATGCGCAACCACGGTCCTCTTTCCGGTGCCGTTGCATGCGTTGGGACAGCTCCCAACGATAAAAAGCCTCTAGGCGCGGGTCTTGGGGGCGTTTGACGTCTGTGAGGCTTATGCACCCCTTCCAGAGTACTGTCACTACGTGCTTTTGCCATGCAAGCCACATTTCAGGTTGTTCGAAACATGGGTGCATGGGTAGTCTAATTGTGGAGCCGCATCCCCATGGCGCAGATCGCGAGCCAGCGCTAGCTGCATTGCCCAGATCGAGCGATATAATTCGTCGAGTCGGTGCGCAAGGCTGATACTGCCAGCCGATAACGTAGAAGGCGGATTTCCCATACGCTTACTACGTCGTCAGTTGTTTTTGGGATCTCCAAGTCGCTTTAGCGATTACTTTGGCATAATTGAGCCTCAACTTGGTCAAGAGCATGTGTTGATGCAGACACCGGATTCAATTGATCGGTCGCAGCAACCCTTAGATCAACAATCGCCGAAAAATTGAGATGCGCCACAACTGTTACCCCAACGGGATGAAGTTGCTTTTCTTACCGAATAGCTAGGGTAGCTTGGCCAGGCATGCGCTCGATCTCTGTGTGAAACGATCAGTGCCCTAAGTAGCAACTTCAATCCGCAGGATCTATATCTTCGGGATGAGCCTCATCCGTAGAAGGAGGGGACGTTCGCTGTACCTCAATCCTTCAACTGGAGGTCGACGTCCGTAGCTTGACCGACACACACACACACACCACTGTCGTTCAATCAGCTCCGACAATACCGTTCTACTCGTCCTGTCTCCACGCCAAGTGATCCTTTGACCAGTACTCTCTCGTCTTATCTCGCTCCCAAGGATGATCAGAGCCGTCCAAAACCACCGGAATGAGACCACCATGGATAGGTGGGAGTCATTGTGCGGTACTCCTACCGATGAGTACAGCGAACCGCCCAGTCCAATGTGGGACAGCCACACCGGTGTTACTACAGGTAAGCGTGTCTTACATCAGTGCCACGCAGTCGAACTCCCCATATCAAAGTACCGTATTGTGTATGGCGATGCTACTCGACCCGCACCACCCAAGTGTTGTTGGCCAAATCCGGCGGCCATAAAGTCTACTTGCGTCGAGTTCCTGGACACTCTAACAATCCCACTGAGAGTGTAAACTTACAGCAGAATTTTGTGCTGACTGTGCGATAGATCTTAAAGGTGGATTAGACCGGTTCGAAAAGCCTACAGTCTCATGTACCACGCGTCCAGTACATGGTGACACGTTCTCGGTAACCGACAACATGTCCAAAAGCAACATCGAAGCACAGGGGGAGATTCAAGCGCCAGATTTGTGGAAGCCGCAAAAGAAAGAGTTGGTGATCATGATCAGCTTGAGCTTCATATCGCTGATGGTAGCGCTGGATGCTACAATCTTAGTCACAGTATTACCTGTCAGTTGAGAAGATTGTTCCGTGATCTCGTCAAATTGTCCTAACATTGTATAGGTGATTGCTCAGAAGCTGAATGGTACTGCAGCTGAAGCCTTCTGGACAGGAACGTCATACCTGCTCACCTCGGCCATCTTCCAACCAGTCATCGCATCGATCTCCGCTGTTTTTGGTCGGCAACAACTCCTCATCACTTCGCTACTCTTCTTCACCATCGGTACCATCCTATGTTCGGTAGCAGACAACTTTACTACGCTGCTCGGAGGGAGATGCATTCAAGGAATTGGCGGCGGTGGAATTGTAACGTTAACGCAAGTCATCTTTTGCGACATCGTACCCTTGAGACAACGCCCGAAGTACTTCTCTATGGTTCTTGGGTGTTGGAGTATCGGGTCGATCGTCGGTCCAGTAGTCGGTGGTAAGCTTGTGGAAAGCACATCTTGGCGATGGGCATTTCACATCAATTATCCATTCTGCGCAATCGGCTTCGTTGTAGCGATCTTCTTCGTGCAACTTGATGCTGTGGCGAAGCTCACGCTTCAGGAAAAGCTCAAGCGAGTTGACTGGCTGGGTGCGGTGCTCTTCGTTGGCAGCATGACGAGCTTGTTGATTGGAATATCTTGGGGTGGCATCCAACATCCCTGGGACTCATCTGCAACTCTTGCACCCATCATCGTGGGACTTGTTGGGACCGTTGTGTTCGTCTTCTGGGAGTTTTACAGGAAAGACCACACTCTATTGCCGTTGGCAGTCTTTGGGAGTTGGAGCGCAATTGCCGCCTTCTACAATTCGCTGGTCAATGGTCTGCTCGTAAGTTCATCTCAAGCCCCTACCTAGCTATGTGCTGACATATCAAGCTCTTCACGACCTTGTACTACTGGCCATTTTATGACATGAGTGTTCGCGGAAGATATCCAACTCAAGCAGGTGTCGACATGTTGCCAGTCTGCCTGCTCACAGTTCCTAGCTCTGTCGTGGTGTCAGTCTTAACCACGCGTTTGGGCCGGTTCCGATGGGCGATTTGGGGTGGTTGGGTGATCACTACGCTTGCATGCGGATTGCAGATCATCCTCGATGTGCATTCAACGACTGTGGTTACATCAATTTTTCTTGCCGTTCTGGGTATCGGTATGGGCATGGTACTCACAAGCCTTAACGTCGGCATTCAGGCTATCTCCAAGCCGGAGGACGCAGCGATGGCAGCGAGTATGTATGGCTTTCTTCGAAGTTTAGGAATGCCGCTCGGTGTCGCCGTAAGTTCAACTTTTATTCGACTCCCCTACACGATGCTAACCCTCATCAAAGCTTTCAGGAACAATCTTCACAAACTCCATGTCGGACAAGCTCTCCGAGCTTGGTCTGCCTACAGCTATCGCTCATGATTCCGAGCAATACATCTTCGTCTTACGCACCATGGCAGACACTCCACAGAAGAGTGCCATCTTGTCAGCGTATATGAGAGGCTTCGATTCGGTTTTCGTCATGACCACAGCTGTCTCAGCTAGTGCCTTACTCGTTAGCTTCGTCATCAGAAAGTACAGTATGGACAAGATCCTGATCGCACAATTCTCCGCGAGATGAGTCGCAATCCGGTACCCGAATCCTGATTTTTGTGGTATTGGAAGGGACTTTTGTCGTCAATTCTCTTCTATATGGTAACGCAACCCCACAAGTGCTCCTTCGATGCAGCTCGTTGCATATGTTGTCGCATAAGAGGTTGCGCGTTGTTGCTTGAGTAAGGCTGATGATGTCACGCATTTTCAGCGCGTCGGTTTGGAGCGCTAGGCCCGTCTCCTCGCTGCAGGGCAGTGGTTACCCGTGTACCCGGTCAAGTGCCGGCGGACCTGAAAACCCTAGAGGGGCTTTCTCTGTTTGCTCATACGTCAAAATGTATGTTCTATGTATCTATTTTAGCCAAACATCGCTTGTAGAATCTACTGTACGATGGTACCTCCTTGAAGCTATATTTTACTAGTTGCTCGGCAATCTGGCACGCCTGAGTACTTCGCTGGAGGCTAGCAATAGGTACTCGTGAAGTTGCAGCAAGCTGTTCGTTTATTTTCTCTGTTGTTGCACAACGTATCTATCTATCGAACCTGCTCCAGTCAGAGTTGACAGTGTTGCGTTCATTGTGGCGTCCCTCCGAGATTTGCTCCCAAAAACCTTTTGAATCAGTTCTAAAAGACTACGTGGAGAGCGTCCCGTTCAAAGAGAGTTTTGGTGCTCGCGCTGTGTGTCGTAAGTACGTCTTCGATCGCTTCACCGAAGGAGTAGGACTGGAATCCTGTGGCAACATCAAGCTCCTCAAGTTGGCGCTCAATGGTAGAGTGAAAGTGCCTCCATTGTATTTGCCTTTCCTGGAAATGGCGGAGAAGACAGTTTGTTGGATGGCTGCTCTTCAGCAACCAGTGCTACTTCGGAGTTAGAAGATGAGGTTAGCGCAACACCATATGGCAGAGGAGCGTCGCCTCCCATGTAGTCTTGTACAAGGGGATACAGTTTTGGTGGGTGAATCATCACCCATACACCGGAAACGAAGAGTCTGTCTCTGGAATACTCCCATGCACTAAGTAATGCATTCGGTAAAGTCAACATATAAACATACAATCCCCTACTTACTCTCGTCTGCCGAATACCGCTTTGTGATTGTCTTTTGCTCCTTTGCGTCATCCCTCATCTCCTGCTTGATTCTGCTGATAGTACCCGCTCCGCCATAGATCATGGCAGTATATACCTGTGCCACACTCGCTCCAGCATCGAGGATCTCTCTCGCTTGCCGTCCGTTTGTGATGCCGCCCGTTGCGAATATAACCTTGCGTGGTGCGTTTGGTGCAGGTGCGGTCTTCGGTGTAGAGTGAAGGGTGATGGTAGGTGCTGATTCGGAAAGGTCATCGATGTTGGAGGAGAGTTGTGTTGAGGATGGTTGGTCAAGATCGAGCGTTGGCTTGGTTTTTGAAGACGCGGTGGAGGATGATGAAAGGTCCAGCTTTTCTAGGATGCTGGAAGAGGGCTCGTCACCCGTGCTCTGGCCAGATTTGGGCTTCTCGGTGCGTGCATCAGATGGCAGTGCGACGTGCTTCGGGCCTTGGTCGAGTGCTTTCCTGTATCTGCTGACTAGGGCAAGCGTGCGCTCGAAGGTTTGTGGTCCTGAGTATCCGCCTTGTTCGAGGAGCAACTTTGCCTCTGATTCGGCAAGTAAGTAGCCCTTGGGTAGTGGATCTGGTCGCTTCTTCGTCGTGTTGCCAACAATGACACCGTCCACACCCGAATCCCAGACGGCCTCGCAGATACCTGACACTTGCTCTTCCGTATCCTCATCGGGGCTGACTTTTACCATAACAACCGGCTTTGTCTTGCGGTCAATTTTCTTGACTGCTCCTACTACTCCAGAGAGTAGCCGTGTCAAAGGTTCGACGTTCTGGAGAGTGCGAAGGCCAGGCGTGTTAGGTGAGGAGACATTGACCACCAGGATGTCAGCATACTTCCCAACATGGCCCACGGCGGTCGCATAATCGCGCACTACAGCATCGATATCATTCTCGGATGTCGTCTTGTTCTTCGCAACCTGTACAGCCATAAGACGCCCCTTTAGCAGCGATCCCGGTGGAACACCAGCTTCGCCATCGAGGATCTGGCGTTCTGCGTCCTCGCCTATGCCAAGCCCAGCGTGGTAGGCAAACTCCCTGACACGGTGTCGTAATCTCGAAGCGACCAGCTCAGCGCCTTCGGAGTTGAATCCATAGCGGTTAATGAGAGCGTTCTGGCTGGGTATTCTGAAGACGCGTGGTTTCGGGTTGCCTTCTTGCGGCAGTAGTGTGACGGCACCGACCTCTACCACTCCCGCTCCGAGTTCAAATAGCGGTGTTGGTATTTCAGCGCCCTTGTCAATGCCAGCAGATGTTCCGATCGGGTTGTTCAATGTGTGCCCAAAAACTTCGACAGCCAAATCGCCCCGCGAGTCAGCCACGCCGCGTTCTCTGGGGTTCAAGCCGAAGCTGTGCAGCACCTTGAGCATATGCGTTCCAGCGTGATGCGCTTCTTCGCCATCTGGATATATCTGTCTTAGAGCAGGGACAACGAGCCATTCGTGGATGCTTGCGCGTGTGTCGGTGGCATATAGGTAGCCGAAAGTGCCACCAAGCGTCAGAAGAGTGCCGTATATGAGGTTCTTGGTGCGGGTACCAGTCGATCGAACGTTGGTCGTGGCTTCAGTGGCTGTCGTAGCATATCTTGTGGGGTGCTGGAACGCGCGATGGCATGGGCGGCAGCGTGGTATTGATGGCCGCACGCGTAGCGCACGAATGTTAGCGGCAGTATTCATGGTAAAGAGTGTGACAGGCAGCCCAAGCGACGCTCAATGGCTGCGCAATCGCCTCGTCGAGATGAAGATGCCGAGTTCGAGCCGTGGAAGGGATCTCGGAAACGACCAATGACGTGGGCTTGGCATCAGGTACCATTTTCGCGCTACCACCCATATCTTCTCCTTCTACCACCATCTCGCTTCATCGCCATACCATACACGGCGCCGAGAAACCGAGATACATTTGAGTAGATCACTACACTCTGGTTGCCTGGTTAACCGCCTCTTCTTCAAGTCATCCACTTTGCAACGCGCTCTTCTCCAACCTTCCTCATTAGCTCCATCACATCCATTCTCGTTGAACCTCCAGTCACGCGCTACCAATGAGTCTATTCCCAGCTCCATCTTCGCTTGGCTCAGAGCTTTTCAGGGCAATTACTCGTTCCCCACAGCATTGCCCTGGCCTCTTCATCTATTAGATTGCTCACAGCTCAAGAGCCGAATAACTAACATCTTGAAGAATACTTGCACCAATCACATTCTTCAGATCGCGTATCAAGACTATTCCGATTACTACATGCGTATAGACTTTGGAACAATGATGCTACCTGCTTGCGGGGCGCTGTGGTCCCACAAAACAAGCATTCTTAAAGCTTGTGTGTCTTAATCAGTCCTCTCTGCTCCTTACCGCACGGGAATCTCTTTATGATCGACAGAATGCTTCACCTCATCTTTCTTCGACTATGTCTTCTGATCGTACCAGCGCTTGCTGGGATGACCAAAACCGGCACTCTCTGCACCGTTACCCCGTCCGGCTCCAAGGATGATAGTCCTTCCATCATGGACGCCTTCAAACAATGCGGTCAGAACGGTCAGATCGAAATTACAAAAGGCGACTACACCATCGGTAAAGTCATGGACATCTTGACCCTCAAGAACTGTGACATTTCTATCCGTGGCAAATTGACCTGGAGCGACGATATTCAGTATTGGGTGCGCAATAGTGTTGGCGTGACATACGCTCAGCGGAGTACAGCTTTTCGTCTTGGTGGTGAAAACTTCACTTTGTTAGGCCACGGCGAAGCGCTCTTCTTCGGCAACGGGCAAAAGTGGTATGATGTAAATCGTGATGGAAGCAACATGCCCGGCAGACCGATCAGTTTGACGCTTTGGCAAGCAAAGAATGTATGGGTTGATGGAATTACCTGGAGGCAGTCACAGTTCTGGTACGTCTCCAGCGAAACAAGAGAACATAGCGTCTTAGGTATAAGCCAGTTGCTGATGACAGAACAGGCATACATTCGTCGCCCACTCTCAAAACATAACGATGACAAATCTTGACATGAATGCCACCTCATCTTCGCAGTGGGGTACTGTCAACACTGATGGCTTCGATAGCTGGAACTCGCAAGACATCGTACTGAAGAACTGGGTTGTAACATGCGGCGATGTAAGCCCTCATTGTCCCCTCCTATATTCCATTTTCTTACATGACCGAAGGACTGCATATCCGTCAAAGGCAACAGTAAGAACATCTATGTCAAAAACGCAACCTGCTACGAATCCGGTGCCATGGTCATCGGATCCATGGGCAACCCCACGAACGTCCCCGAGACCGTTGACGACGTCGTTTTCGAAGATATCACTGCAATTCATAGTTCCAATGCGGCCTGGATCAAGACGTATCCCGGCCAGGGCCATGTCAGAAATGTTACCTTCCGCAACATCAAGTTTCAAGACGTCAACCAACCCATATATGTTTCGCCGTGTATCTACAGTTACCAGAACTGTGATTCGAGTCGATTGAAAATCAGCGACATCACGTGGGAGAACATTACGGGTACATCGAGATATAACGTTGCTGCAGGTATCTACTGCAGTCGCAGCGCGCCTTGCACGGGTTTGAAGTTCAAGAACATCGACATCAAGCCTAAGAATGGGGGTACTGCGAAGATACTGTGTTCAAACATGAACAGCGACAGTGGATTGGCATGTACCGGGACGTGCCCAGCGGGATGGAAACAGCAGTTGAGCGGGAATGCGTGAGAACGTAGTATCATAGTCGCTATCAATACCATCTCCTTGCTTTACTCTTCTTTCTACGCAACGAAAATCTGCAGCTGCCTAGCCACTAATATTCATATAAAGCATCCAACTTCTTCTCATACAAATCTAACAAAGCCTTCTTCTGCACCGTTCCTTTGGCCGTTTTCGGAAACGGCTCCTCCACAACCAATATCTTATCCCTCCCTACCCGCGCATAAACAGGCGAGTCTTTGTTTACATCTTCTACCAGATCCCAAATATCACTTACACTCACTCCATCTTCCAATCTCACAAGCAAAGAAGCTCTCGGCCTTCTCGTTCCTACCATCGCCGCTTCCACCACACCAGCATGACTCGCAATCCTCTGTTCTGCTGCCGTTGGAAAGAACTTTTCGTTTGTGAGGAAAACAAGAAGATCATCCGCACGACCGTAGTGTTTCCACAGCTCTGGATTCTGAGGGTGTTGTATGAACAAATCGCCAAGTCGTCTTTCTTTTGCTTCTGGAAAAATAGAGAAGATGGGTTGAATGTAGCCATCGTGCTCTGTTCCATTGTTGCGTATCATGACGGCTTCGTACAACGTGACGCCTTCTGTGGATGAGGAAACAGGGTCGAAGTGAATGTTGAGAGCAGGGTGAAATGTGGTGTACTCCCAGTATGCGGTTTGCGATAGATCACTATCGCTACGACGGATACTGGGCCAAATACCAAGTTCCGTCGATGCCATGACGTTCAGAACGGATACCTGCGCTGCCACGAGTTCACTCGCTGCGCGGCTGACGCTGCCGCCGCCCCAGCCTACTTGTCGCGTTCTCTGACTCAGTCTGCGTAGGGTCTCTGGGTGTTTGCCCAGATACTCGAGACAGGGCGGCACTAGGGTCACACAATCCACTGCTTCGCCTCGATCTCGCATGGCGATCGTATCTAGCGCTACCAGAGCACTCTCCACGCCCTCAGCTGGCGTAGTCCATGTCGGTGGGTAAAATGGTGTTACACCGAGCTGCAGGGGAAACATTACCATACCGATAACCCCGCTGGCGTGGAAAGGCGGGAAAAGGAACATCGCTCGCATGGTTCTTTCTCCCATTGATCCATAGAGAAGTTCTTGCTCTAGACTGTAGCCTGATGGTGTGCCGAGGGACATGGTTCGTGCTACGCTGTTTGTCCAGTCGTGTGTCCAGAAAATGGGTTTGGGGAAGCCAGTTGTACCGGATGTATCTAGCGGAGGATGTTAGTGTGGGAAAGGTGAAGGTGAAAATAGGCGTACGTACGAAGGCAAATAAAAGGCTCGTGAGAGTGCTGTTGGAACGTCTTGTTGTATGGGTATGGCTCCGGGTTCGATGTGAGAACTTGCTCTACACTCAGTATCTGGACTGTCTTCATAGTTTTCTTCGACAGTACTTCGGCGGCAACTGGTATTGGTATTTCCGGTGTTAACATAACTTTTGCATTGACACTCTCGATCAATTTGATCAGCGCCTCGGTTCCATACCGTGGTGATGGGAGGAGCATCTATCCCTCTTGTCAGCCGAGTCTTCAGCTTCCATATTGCCAATCTTGAGAGAATGCCCACCTTGTAACCCGCGACCACACTTCCTAAGCACAACACCGCATAACGTATATCATTTGGTCCAATGTACACCAACGTCTGTGTCCCAGTCTTTTCTTCTTCGCTCAACTTCCCAACGTTCTCTTCTATCCACCACGCCATTGCATGGACAGCATTCGCTACTTCGGCGAAAGTGACCTTGCGATACCCATCTTCAATCTTATTTGGATTGATGGGAAATTCCGCATACGTGGCGGAAGGATATTGAGCTGCAAGCTTAAACAACGTATGCGGAAGAAGTTCATTGGTGGCCTGGGGCCAGGGAGAAGGACGTGGTGTATCCATAATGCGTTGCTAGGTTTTCACGATGTATGCGGAACGAGAGGAGCATATGAGGGGAATAGTTGATACACAAGATGGAAGGTTTTAGAGCCCCTCGTTTCTCCTCTCACCTCATCTCTTGCATGTACCCCATCATTCTACGCCCGACACTAGTCGTAAAACGGTACGAGACCCTCATGTGTGACCGCACGGCTGCATATACTATCCTGCATAACAAGGCTTTCCTAGCGTATGTGATGGAGCTTCGGCTTCACGACTTAGGTTAGAAGTCAAATTAGTATAGTCACGGCCACCAGTCGGAAGATCTTGGTGGGCTAGATACTGCATACTGCAGGCTGCCGAGGTAGCTATAAAGTAGTGTGGAGCTTGACAGGGCAGTATAGTGCGTACGTAAGCGAAGTGGGCCTGAAGGATCGACCAACCGACATGGACATGTGAGGGCTGACGGAAACGCTGTCGTCGAATTGGCATGCCGATAAGATTGGCTTTTCCGTCAAGAGCTGCAGATGACTCCAGACAACCAAGCGCCACGATAAGAGCTTGTCATTGATATAACAAAGCAGGGGAGGGAAAATATCTGAGCAGCTGTGGGTATAGAACTGGGATCGTCGCTGGCAAGCTTGCAAGAATGGAAGACAGAACATCCAACAAACGCCATCCAATGCAGACATGATAAGCTCTTCCAGACACTCAAATTGGGTAGTACATCTTAGGCTGAAGACAAGTGCGCCCATCGCGCATCCGGGTCTACCTCACCGTTCTCACTAGGATGTTGTCAGCGTTCATCCTCGACGCTCGCTCAATCCTTTTCTCACCCCACTCCACATACCTGCCACAATACACGCGGACCAATGAAGTCTCGCAAACCTACCAATCGTAAACCCATCCCGAGTTGGCCGTCATGAACTCCTCACAAGCCTCCTTGAGTGCTATATTCGGTCTCAGCTCACCGATGGTGAGCGTCTCCCTCGTCAGCGGGTCTGTTGGACTGCGTTTGAGATGCTCAATCAGCGTAGCGCGCTCGTAGGATCTGCCATTCTTGGTAACCACGGGATCATGCATGATCTCAAACGTTATGCCATCAACGAGGTAATCCGGTACTTCACGTTTCTGCTGATGTTCCGGGTCTGATATCGCGAAGGCGGTGCGTAAATCATCGCGCTTCTTCTCAAATTCCGTTTTGCGCTCTGCTTTCTCTTCCTGCCCGTCTGATCGACTAGTTTCTCCAGTTTCCATACGTGCTTCTATCTCATCCATGTCCTTTTTGAACTGTGTCTCCAGCATCGCTTCGAGATCGGAGAGGAGATCACCGCGCCGCCGTATTCGTTCTCGTTCGCGGATATCCCATTTGGCTTTCTTGCATTTCAGGACGAGGGCAGATATTGTGGCAGCGTTTGAGGTTTGTTGCGCCGAGGTGGTGCATAGTTCGTAGGCCATGAGGGCTGAGGAAAGGGCTTCGTTGGGGTGGTTTATGGCGAGTTGGGCTTGCGCTATGCTGTTCTTAGTCTTGAGGTCTTGCATACAGAGCTCACGCAAGAGTGATAATGCGGTCGTGGCGCTTTTGCGCGATTCCGCAGGGGATCAAAGCATACCGAGATAGAAGAATGCCTTCATGTTGTCCTTTAACAACTCGATACTCCGAATACAGTCGTCGATTACTCCTTCCCATTTTTCCAACTTTAGCCTGGCGTTTGCGCGATTCGTAAACAACAGAGGGTTTGCGGAGTTCTTCTGAATGGCCTGCGAGTACAGCCCCTCGGCTCCTTCATAGTCGCCATTTTTGAAGCACTTGTTGCCTGAGTTCTTAAGCTGCTCGGCGGCATATTCATTGCCTGGCGGAGGCATAACGGGGTAAGTAACCAGGCAATAGAGGGGGTGAGGCTGGAGGTTAGCCAACGGGAGTGATGGCGGACTTAAGCTTCAATGATTGGTAGGGCCGTGGGGGGTGGGGCGGTTTTGTTGCGCCTCGGTATGGAAGCTTCGAGACGACATGATGCTGATGTGAGCAATCCGGAGCCTTCGGATATCATCTGTACTTGCAGACAAGGCTCTGATCAGTGATCGCGAAATCGACAAGCATGGAGCACTGCATCGTTGTGTTTTGTAGGGCCAGGTTCTCTTTACTACCAATGCGCGCACAGCCACATCGCCATCACATAAGCGAGACACTGGAACATCTGTCGCGTGCTGTAGTCAGTCACAACATGGAGGGCATTCGACAACCGAAATTACAAATTACACTGCTACATAGTTGAAGTTAATATACACCAGACCACCATAATAAACTGATCCCTGTAACGCATATCTTAAGCACACAAGTCAAACATACCAGAGTAGCTAGTTCACCGAGTGGGGCACCGTCTTGGTCTCTTCTGTCGAGTTCACTACACCGACTCTGTGCGCCTTCCCTTCTCCCTCACCCTTGGAATCCCTTCTGTCCTCTTTGTATAGGTTTGGATAACTCCTCTGCCGCCGAACCTCACCTCCCTCGTCCGCCTCCTCAATCCTGTGCCGACTAGGCGGCGCACTCCTCTTCCTGAATCTCCTTACATCATCGTCGCTCTCGACGCAAACATCATCGGCTTCCAATAGTGGGCTCCTAGTCCTTCCCCTGCTCCCACTCCTGTTGCGTGCTCGTCCCCGGAATGTATGATCGGGCTCGGCATCGCTGCGCCGTCTGGTCTTCTTTTGGGCGGATGTAGGCGGAGACACGGACGACGTCGGAGAGGAGGGTCGATGGTGTTTGCGGTGATGCTCTCGGTATCGGGAGCCGCTGTTGCGGTCATGGCCGCGCGATGGTGAAGATGCACGGCGTGGAGAGTGCTGTGACGACTGCCTACGTCGCTTGAGTCGGCCACGCTCTTCTGTGTCCATATCTGGTTCGACAATAGTTGGTATGTCTGTTGTTATGGTTTGAAGAGGTGCAGACTCAGTCGGGGGGCCCGACATGGTGACCATAGACATTGAGATATGGTAGAACTCAGCTCAGCTGTGAAGAGTGGAGGAAAGTATGCCCAGAAACCAGCAGGTCTAGGCATATCAGAGCCGTAAAGTCTGAAGGGTGCATTAGTTCGCGCCTGACGCAGACGGGCCGTTTAGATGAATGATCGCCTGGGCCTGCATGTGAGCAGTAGTTCCAAGTGTCAGATGTAAGGCGTAGGGCAGGTGCGACGTCATTTGCCAAAGCGCCATAACGCGCTAGCCTGCTGGGGGTCGCTTCAGCTTCCATCGTCGTCCATCTCGCATCCTCAACACCACAATGAGCAGCTGGGTACTTACAAGTCCCAGCAATCTACTCGTTTGGTACCAAGCCCACTCTGATCTTATTCGGAGTTGTCGTAGATTTTCGTGTCATCAAATAGATGACCTTTCATGCACACTGTAAGTGGTGTGACGACTTGCTTGTGTTCAGCAACGCTCGTCGGATGCCATATCTAGAGGGCCAACATTTGATCGGGTGGGAACATGTAACGACCACGGTGTAAAGATGCCAGACGGAGGTATGACTGTGAACAATCGAGTCATAAACAACTACTCATTGACATCGCAATCCCTCCAGTCCTCTCTAGGTAAATTCAAACAGTTCTAAACAGAGTTAGGTTTTCCGCAATCATCCCGGCTTGCGACAAGTCCGGCGACCTCGGAGCCGCGGAACCGTAGCTCTTACGTCGCAAAGGCAGCAGCCAAGCTATACATTACCATTGATGACGGTTATTCCGGTCACGTTCAAGACGTAGTTCAACAAGTAAGGCCATTGTCCGACTACACTCTAATTGCACTGTTTGAGTCCAGAGCACCCTTTCTGTTGCAACAGGTATCGGTCGATCCGCCAACATATAGTACCGCGTCCTATGTAGAGATTATTCGCAATAGTGGAGACGGCCACCTTCAATATCAGGATAACATTGACCTACATTGGTACAAACGACTCGGGATAAAATAAGAGACCATGGAAAATATAGAATGAATGTGTAAAGATGATAATGGAGATATACGCAAACCGGTCAGGACTGGTATCGTCCAAATGGTCGCAGCAAGGCAAGTTAATGAGCGATATTGTAATGTACATAATTCACCTAGTCAGCACAAATCCATCATCTTTGCTACGACCATTCGCACGCTTCACGGTTCGGTAGACCTAGCTTCCAATGCAAACATTACTCCTTGTGAAGTCAAGCATTTGAACAAGACGAAAAGCATAGTATAATAAAGACTAGTATTGCGACGTGAAAAGAATCCTCGCTATGCGGGATATACACCCTTTTGGTAAAGATAGAAAAATGTCACACCTTGGGTGGAAAAGCGAAAAGAGTCGCACCCATAAACACCTGTCCAGCGCCCCCACGCTTCTAAAAAAGCACCAGTCACAACCTCCCCCAACTACGCATCATGCTGTTGTTGCAAACCATGATGTTCTTTCTCCTCACTCTCACTCTCCCTCGGAACAGCAAAGCTCTTCCTAATCGTCATATCCGCCTTGGTCTTCGTCATCAACGCATCGCGAATATCTTGTTTACTCCTTGCAGCCCAAGATTGGTAGTTCTTTTGGCTGAGCGGCCAGATGGGCATGTTGCCATCACGACGCATGAATTCGCGGGCGGCAGGAGCGGGTTGGGCGGTGATGGTGTCAATGTCCATTTCCAGTTCTTCACAGTAGGCTTCAAGGGGCAGGTCATTGACGTCGTGTCCGAAGGGGTTTTCGATTTCGCGGCCAATGGCTGAGAGACCGATACTAAAGAAGTTGTTAGTACAGTGTAGACTTGAGGGATGTCTGCTTGGCTGGGAACTTACATGATGTACGCGGCGAAGATACAACCTGGAATGGTGATCCAGCGGAGGTCATCCCAAAGTTGGAAAGGCAACATCATAACGTAAACCCAGGTAATTTGCGAAATGGCGATGGAGTAGGCGATAGGTAGGGGAGTTTGCAAAACACGGTCCATACCAGTCAAGGCCTCGTTGAGCTGTACAATACCGGTGATAGCTTGGTTCTGGTAGAGGCCAACTTTGAGCGTTTCGTTGTCGATGATGCTGTGGACGTAGCAGGAAAGGTGGTTCAGGATCTCGAGGGACAGGTTACCAAGAGGCTTCTTGGAGCGCTTGATCCTCTTGCGGGGGTTCGACTCGGCGAACGTGACACCAAGGTATTCACCAACAGCCTTGATCTTCTTCTTGTCGCCCGGCCTAGGGATTTCGAGATCGGCAGCGCGGGCAAAAGTATCCAGGTACTCGATGCGGTCGCGTAGATCGGGGTAGTCGATACCAGGTTCGAAGCGAAGCCTATGCTTGACAGAGCAGGCAAAGGCGTTAAGTAGGTTGAGCGCAGAGAGCTTGTTGAGTAGGTCTTCCTTTCCGAGATCACCTTCGCGCTCGGAAGTGTGGTACCAGATTGTTCTTGCCATGTTCTGACTAACGAAGATCAACTGACTCCAGTACTTTCGGCCCTCGGTATAACGCTCGTATGCAGTGCTTGTTCGGAAGGAGATGGCAAGACCGACGACGAAACCGAGAACAGTCAGAAGGAGAGTGCTGACTTTGAGCTCAAAGATGAATTGCGAGACGCATGTGATCAGGGTTGACCACAGAGTTACTACTGTGAGGGGTATTATCATCTTAGGAAAGACAGATCCGTGCATTCGCATAAAATACGGCCATTTGCTGTGCTTGGACAGGTCACGGGGACCAACCTATTCCTTACTGTCAGCGAGCTGTAAACCTGTAGCAATTGGAAACAACCCACAAAGTAGTCTTCAGCATCCAAGCTACCGTTGGTCTGCCTCCGTGAGGGGACCTGGTAGGTAACAGTACGGTGTCGCCATGACCGTGGTGATATCGGTCCTTCAAACTCCTCCTCTGGCTTGTTTGTACCGCTTGTTGAAGGTGGTATCTCAATATTATCTGGCCGAAGCGTCTTCGTAGTCGAAGCGTTGGACGCCGCCATCTTGTCCGTAAGTCTCGGATTTAGAGTAAGCAACCGTCCAGCAGTTGAAGTGGTGTATAGTAGTGATGCTTTTCAAAGGACAGGATATGGTCAATGCGAGCGAGAGTGTAGAGATGATAGAGCGTTTTTGTAGAGACTGGGAATAAGGAATGAAGAGAGGGAAAGAATGACAGAAGCAAGAGTATGTGAGTAATGAAGCAAGCGAGCAAACCCTCCCGTCAGGAGTAAAGATCTCCAACTCAATGTTTAAATATAAAACACGCGTATCTGCACCCTCGCACAAAAAATCCTCGTAAACCCATGGCGCCCACGGGGATTCGCTCCCGCACCTTTGGCAGCGCCATCATGGTCTAACATGCGATCCGCGACACACGTTGGCATGCAGGGGCCGTCGTGCACATTGTGCCCCTGAGCCAGACCGACGCGGTCTGGCCAATCGAGTGTGGGGTGCAGTGGAGTCTTTTCGTAAAGTTGACCATGGCGACGAATGACGGTAGGGGCGCAGCCTGAAGCAGCAAGGGGCGTGACGCGGAGGCTCTGTTTCACGAAACGCATTCCGCCGTGCCAAGCACGCCACTGAATGTGTTGGACGGAATGTAGTCAGCGCTGGTTCGTCTTACAGCTAGACTTAGTATCCGCCACTATGATGGCGCGTTTGCGGAGCGCTATCGATAGCGATCTTCGGAACACTATTGCTGGTGTGAAGGCGATTGCATAACAGGACGTGCTGGTGCCGGGGATTCGTGTTCGATCGACAAGACTTTGTGTCAGGAAAATGTTCTTGTCGATGCCCAGATGGCAGGTCTAGACTAGGGCGTGCCGAACCGAGGCTAAGATTACCCCTGACAGCATCGACGAATGGGAATGCTCGCGAACGATTCAACGTGAAAAAGCCTCGTCAGCAATTTCGAGAGCATCGGGAAACTGCTCGGGCGGGCAATTTGGAGATTGGCATGCAAGAAGGCCGTGGCAAGCTAGCTACCATAGTATAACGCCGCATCCGCAGCGACGTGGAAAAGTAAGACTAGCTCTACTCTAGCGACCCTCGCGTCGAGGAACTCGTAGGAAAAGATATGTCAAGCACGACGTGTGCATGTACACAAAGCCACAGAACGGTTTTGCTTCATGCGATCGAACTTCTAGACATGTCGAAAACGCACAGAGCCTTCACCAGTTGCTTCATCTCCGAGCGCTCGATCAGTGTTTCCACACCGCTACAAAGCTCTCCAACCAAGAGAGGAAGGGAAGCCCTTCGCTATTACGACGTGCCTATCTCCTCTGGATTCTCCTCATCTCGGCCCGTCCTCTTTCTAGCTCGACAGCCAATTCTCTCGTCTTGAACGTTTTTCCATTGACACAGATGCGGACTTTGTTGATCTTTTCTAATAGCATGCGATAGTATCGTGCCTGGTAGTCAACCGTATTGAAGTCGTTCGCAGTCCAGATCTTGTTCCACACATTGACTAATTCGTGGCTTATTATGACAATGGGGCTCTCTGGTCTGAAGTACAGATCGTAATCCATGCCGTTGCCACCATCGGGACTGGAAGCCTCGGAGGTATCGCGCAATAGCCCTTGAGGCAACAGGTTTAAGACAACTTCGTCAATAAATGTCACCTTTCGACTCCTGTGGAGGGGGTCCGGGCCTTGCTCGAATATGTGCTTCAGGACTGCGCATATTTCCCATGCTGTTTGATCAGGAGGAGGAAGCCCACCTGTTTCGGCTGGTGTAAAGAGGCGAATATCTATCCATAATTGCTCGATGCTCGTCGTATATGCTGGTGCTTGTACAGCTTTGCCGATAGCGTGGTGATAGGTTCCAGTACCAAGAAATAGAGATGCCCAGCTTGATAGGACCTTACTAAGCCACACGTCCTTGTTCTCATTTCCCTTTCTGGGCAAACTGTTCTTTTTCGTGGTGACGAACGGCATGCAGAGCCAAGTGAAGTAATACGTCCCATCAATTTCCAAACAATCCATGCATGCAGCAAGCTGCCTTTTCCGGTTCGCTCTTCCTATGATTTGCATCATTTCCTCATTAATTTGACGGTTACATGCCAGGAAGCTAGTACAGGTGGGTGGTGTGCCCTGTGACGCGATTAAACAGCCATTCTCCCATGGCCCCTCAGGTTCTCGTATGCGGCACCAGCCGGACGCTGATTGTGTATCCTTTAGGCTTGGGCGAGGTCGACATGATAGAAGCAGCTCTGTGTATATCGCATCGCGCAATTCGCGGGGAAGATCCAAGAACTGTGCCATTCTCGAATCTAAGTTTACTCTACCATTGTAGTCTTGCAAGGATAACAATGCAGCTGTCGATGTGGAGGTGCCAAATCGACGTTATCTCTACTGAATTGGAGCCTCGCTTGTCGGCCTCAGCACAAGACGTGATCCGAATCCGAAGTGTGGGGTAACACAAGGATGAATCATGCGTTTCTTTTCTTCTGCAGTGACGAGTCTGATGGCGTGCCTGAGGCTTGTTTCAGATGTGCAGGTACACCTTGCGATACCGCGGGACATTAAGTTTGAGGTGAGTTTGGAAGGTCAGTCGAAAGCCGTGATTTTAACAGCTGTAATGCGAAAGGTTGATGTGAATCTGGCCGTTCGAGCGGATTGAAGATTGCGATGCAAAAGTACCAAGTGATAAGACAGCTGAGATGTGCTGTGCTATAAAGCGAAAGGTACGGGATTCCGAGACATCCTATAACCACGTGGCGTCATGCTTGGCACAAGGCCTCGGACTACCGTCGGAGCGCGAGGCACGATCTTAGCATTGTGCACATACTCGAGTCAGAAAGCTTTGTCATCGTGTAACACGAGATTAACTATCTCATAGTTTTGATAACACACGGAATACAAGAAGTACCAGAAATCGGATGAAAGCTGAGAGGTTGATGTTTTATTGAACGGCAAGGAGATCTTTTTATTCCACAAGAACTCCCGCTAGCAACACATATGCTATGCTTATCTAATATATAACCGGACGAATATCACGTTAACATTGCCTATTTCTTATAAGAAAGACAATGACAGAGGTGACTGGGTCAGAGAGAGTTTGGAAGTGAAGCCGTCATGTCTCTCGACATGCGGAACAAGGGTATCACGTTAATCTGCTATGGCAAGCAGAACAGCGGTGACTAATGGGGACGGATGTCTATGACTCTGCCGGAGCCGGGACAGCCTCTGTGGGCTGACTTGGGACAGGTGCCTCTGCGGCGAGGGCCTGGAAGCCTTCCGTGGTGATGTTCACCGCACCAGCTTGTACGAGCTGTACACATGTTAGAAACTGAACAGAGTTCTTCGTCGAGAGAGCAAAACTTACAGCGCGGCTCAGATCATCCAGGAGATCTTCAGAATCCTCGATACCAACACACAGTCGAATAATGTCTTCAGGCATGTTCCTCTCCTTCCTGGTCTTCTCGTCAATGCTCGCGTGGCTCATGCGGCAAGGCATGCTGATGAGGGAGTTGACGCAGCCAAAGCTGACACTGATACCCCAAAGCCTAGCGCTCTCGACAATGCGCTCACTGATGGTCACATCGCCAGTCTCGAACGACAGCACAGCGCCAGCGCCACGTGCCATGCTCCAGTGCAAATCGTACTGTGGGTGTGATTTCAGACCGGGGTAGCGGACCTTGAAGCCATGGGATTCAAGGAAGGTGGCAACACGCATAGCGTTCGCTTGTTGCTTCTCCATGCGGACACCCAGGGTCTTGATACCGCGAAGTAGCAGCCAAGAATCGAAAGGTGATAGACCACAGCCGGAAGCATTGATGGTAAAGAAGAGGCGATCTCCAAGCGCGGAGTCGTTAATAGCAATGACACCTGCCATGAGGTCGTGATGACCGGACAGGTACTTTGTACCAGACTCGTAGACGATATCAGAGCCAAGGTCGAGCGGGTTCAGCAACATGGGCGACATCATGGTGTTGTCGACAGCTACTACTGCGGTAGGGTTTGCGGCATGGGCAATGCTAGCGATAGCAGGAATGTCGCAAATCTTGATCAGAGGGTTCGTAGGCGTTTCGAGCAGAACCATGGCCGTCTTGTTGTTCACGACTTCGCGTACTTTCTCGGGGTTTGTGGTGTCGACATGGTGCACAATGATGCCTCCGTGTGTTGAAAGGTACTTGAGCAGTCGGTTTGTTCCGCCGTACAAGTCGTCGCCGGTTACTACTTCGTCGCCTGGTCGTAGGAGGCGGGTGATGACGTCGAGAGCGCCCATACCAGATGAGACGACAAGCGCGCGGTTCGCGTTCATGATCTTGGCGAGATGTCTTTCGAGATGTGTTCGTGTGGGGTTACCGGATCGTGTATAGTCGTACTCGCCGCCGCCACCGGTTGCGGACTCCTGCTTAAAAGTCGCAGACTGCGTATGTTAGCCCTTGGCCGCTCACAAATGCCCGTGACAGCTCAGTGTCGCATACCTGGTAGATGGGCACAGAGCTGGCGTTGTACTGGTCGCTGCTCTCTGTATACACCAGTTCCGTCATGAGCGCATACTTCCTGCCGTTGCGGGGCGAACTCGGCGCAGGTGATGGCGGTAGGTTGTGGCCGTCAATGTCGAGCGGGATTGCAGCCTTTCCAGCCGCATTGGCCTTCTTAGAGCTCTCTCCGGCCATTGTGATAATTTTGTGTCCGCGTTGCGGACTTGGTGAAAGCCGAGTGGCGGGAGTGCACGAGTTTCGAGCTTCGCGTTGAGGCGATGACGAAATCAATGTATTTGGGACAAAGTAAGACCAAAAGCGAAGCGGTCTCAAAGGTCACGGTGGTTTAGGTGATGGGTGTATGAGTCCAAAGGGCAAGAGTATTGGCAGATGCCATCAAAGACATGTGGACGGGTGCGTTAGTCCCGTCGTGTGGGGAGTCACCGCTGGAATTGCGCCATCGAGGACAAATCGGCAGTTTTCCCTTGCTCCGAACATCGCCCGCGGTGTTTCGCCTCCGAACTGCGGACGACAGGGGCATTTACCCCAGATTCAGACAAAGAATCCATAATCAATCACACATGAACAAATAATAATAAAAAGACCACAAGTCCAATTTGCCTGGATATTTTTGACTATCTGATATGCGGGTATACCTTTTTCGAAAAAGTTGACATTACAAGATAATTATAGCCCTTTCCATGAACCACACTGCGCGCCTGAACCTATTCGCCGAGCCAAATGCCAGACCGTCCCAAGAAGTGCGTTAAAAATTGCAGGATCATTGAACAAAGACACAACAAAAAAAACCAGTCTGAAGCCATTGTAGCGCCCAAAAGAGTAAATTATCGGGGATTGATTGCAGGAAACGACTTCCTGACATGGAGGTTCATTTTGAACTCGAAGATGCCTTCCTCCGTTCCACAGTATAGAGTCCGTCCGTCCTGGCTCATGGCCAGTCCCGCTGTCCGTACACCTAGTCTTGCATCATGTGTTGTGCGGCTCGATCCGCGAAGGCCCAGGCTAAATTCATACGTTTCAAGGATGGGCTGGCCAGCACGAGTGATGCGCAGTCGTTCACGCGCCTGCGTCAATTGACGGATACGACGAAGCTCACTGCGGAGTTCGGGTGCAGTAGGGTTGCTGTCAGTGCCAGCCGCATGTGCAGTAGTGCTGCGGGTTGTAGCGCGTTGTTGCTCAGCAGCAAGTGCCTCTTCAACGGTACGCCATGCTTCATCTGTCGAAGCGACTATCTCATTGGTCACGCGGCGTGCGTGTGCCGGCACGGTGTTTGGTGAACGGGTGAGAGCAGTGTCAGTGATATTGGTGAGGGTGGCAGGTGCATTAACAGTGCCTTCGTTTATTGAGACAATGACTGAAGCGCGACGGTGAGGAGTTGTGCGCTCTTGAAGCCAGTTACGTGAGTGAGCCTGCCCCGTCCTCTCTGCCATGAAGCGAGCCATCGCATCAGCTACCTCTCGGGCAGTGGGCTCCCTGCATCGCGTTAGTCAAACTTCATCGCAGCAGTCAGGTACGTAACATACGGTACAGTGTTGAGTTGCTCAGAAGTTGTGTAGTTGATACTTCGGGGTATTATCTCTTGCTCGCGGGCCTCTTCACGTTGTCTATGACTTGTCCGTAAAGCACTGAGTACTTGCCTTTCGCGCGCCGTTAAGCCAAGTGGATCATTGTCCGATTCCACGACACCTAGTCGCCGATGGAGTCTCTGTCGCTCAGAGTCTGCTTCAAAGTACTCGTTCGCAGCATTTATGGCCGCGGTATTTCCCTCCGAGTCTAAAGCGCGTCGATATCTTCGGATGAAATCTGCTTCTCTGCGAAGTTCGTGCATTTCTGGGCTAAGATTGACGTCGAAGTCGGCTATTTCGACCGTCTCGAGACCCTCTTCTTTCGGATCCAGTGTCAGGGTTTGTTTAACCTTAAGACCAGCTCGCAAGTCAGCGATACATACTCTCCCTTGGTCTTCGCTCCAAACGAGGAAGTCCCATGGTGCTGGCGAAAAGTGCATCGTCCGTACAGCGCCGGGCCCAGTTCGGCTGTCTGGTCTAGTGGAACTTATCAACTGTAGGATTGCATCTTCACCATACTCAACAACCTTCAACAGTTCGACATCGAAAACAGTAATATAGCCGCATTCAGAGCCGACTGCACAAAGACGTCCCGATGGTGACCAAGCTGTAGTGAAATAGCCATCTGCATGTGAATGGGCGGGTCGGTAGAGAGTCACTTGCTTGAGTAATTCCCATGCTGGAGGTGTTGACTGTATGTGCTCTTCGTTTGTCTTATTGCTAGGCCTCCGCGACTTTGTGCGCTCGAAGAAATAACCGACAGGGGCGTCACCGACAGCCACCAACATTTGGCCGTCGGGCGAGATGGCAGCATGGTTCATTGCGAAGGGCAAGTCAAGCACCGCCAGCTCCAGATTTTGAGTCAACGAATAGACGCGCACCGTCTTGTCGTTGTTGGTGAGGACTGCGACGACTTCATCTTGACCGTCGCCCTCAGCCGGCAGTTTGTGTATGGATATGGAGTTGACGATATCGGTTCCGATCTTCTCGAGACGTACGCGCGATGCAGCGCCTAGCAGGGGCGGTCGAGGCAGGCGGTGTTCGAAATCCAAGGGCAAAGAGGCGTCGACCTGGGACGGGTCTGTTGGAGGAAAGCCGGTCACCTTGATGGCCGCGAAGTTGCCATGTTCTTCCCCACCCACGCAGACATAGCCGTAGCCAGAGGCAGTGCAGCGCGCTTCCCAGGGTAGTGTGGTGACGTGTGCCTGTGTTCGTGTAGCCGCATTGAGGCAGTAGACGGCCCCGCCGCTCGCATAGTAGAGGAGATCTGGCTCAGGGCAGGAGATGAAATGCCGCAATTGATAGTGTCTGCACTCGTCAGCGTCCGCCCGTGGTATTCGAGTGCATGGCCAACGCTCACGCGATAGGGATCTTGGTAGGGTAGTAAGCCTTCTGAGCCAACACAAATGTATCCGTATCTCTGCTCAGAAAGTCATCGACGGCCATAGTTTGCGGTCAAGTTGGAGAAGGCTGCATGTCTCTGGGACGGTAAGTGGAGCTTGTGAGGCTCAGCGGTAGCAGGCAATCTACGTCACAAGTCGTCTAGGCGCGGAAGTCGAAGTGTTTCGACAGGAATGCGGTGCAGATGGATTTCTAGGTGAGATGAGGTTGGTGTTTGTCTTCTACTGTGGCGCACGTTGGATATGTCGGAGGGAGGGTTGATAGAGTCGCAGTGTTTCGAGGTGCTCCAGGCGTCACCATGGTCAAGCATCTTCCCCACACGCGAGCCATGTGCGCCAAGCCCTGAACACCGCGACTCATGGTGAAAGTCATAGCACAAAAGCCAGAAGCCATCATCGCGTCATGCTTCAGCGTCTACCACTGACAGAGTCTGCCATTCGCCTCATCGTAACTCGGAGTTAAGTCGCATATCTAGTCAATTGTTCGTAGCAACTCGGAAGCACAGACATTTACAGCGGAACCTCGGGCGGCGATTTTACACCAAAACGAGCTAGAATCTTCTCCGAGAATTTTGTCCATCGTCAAAGCTTCCATCACTACATCATATATACCATCTCCCCTCCCACTCATCATCTCTACATCCAATCTTCTGTCGCTTGCATCTCCTCACGCAGCGTCTCACACATTCACAATGTTGTCCTCAAGATTATCACGGACTGTAAGTAATTGCATTTTTCCAACATGGTTCCAACATTCTCTGACCTCATCATAGTTTTTGCCTCGTGCGGCTTCGGCGGCGCGACGCACACCCGCATTCAGGGCTCCTGCCATGTTTGCGCGAGGATATGCTGAGGGCGGCGAGGAGAAGGTCAAGGGCTCAGTCATTGGTATTGACTTGGGTACCACCAACTCTGCCGTCGCTGTCATGGAGGGCAAGGTCCCTCGCATCATTGAGAACTCCGAGGGTACGTCGAGGATGATTTTTCAGCCACTTTGATCAAAATACTAATTCCTTCCACAGGTGGCCGAACAACACCTTCCGTCGTCGGTTTCACCAAGGAGGGCGAGCGTCTCGTTGGTATCGCCGCCAAGCGCCAGGCTGTCGTCAACCCTGAGAACACTCTTTTCGCTACCAAGCGTCTCATCGGCCGCAAGTTCACCGACGCTGAGGTCCAGCGCGATATCCAGCAGGTCCCATACAAGATCGTCCAGCACACCAACGGTGACGCCTGGCTCGAGGCCCAAGGCCAGAAGTACTCGCCTTCCCAGGTTGGTGGCTTCGTCCTTGGAAAGATGAAGGAGACTGCCGAGTCCTACATGGGCAAGAACGTCAAGAACGCCGTCGTCACCGTCCCCGCCTACTTCAACGACTCCCAGCGTCAAGCCACCAAGGACGCCGGTCAAATCGCTGGTCTCAACGTTCTCCGTGTCGTCAACGAACCCACCGCTGCCGCTCTCGCCTACGGTCTTGACAAGGCCACCGACAACGTCGTAGCTGTCTACGATTTGGGTGGTGGTACTTTCGATATCTCCATTCTTGAGATCCAGGCTGGTGTCTTCGAGGTCAAGTCTACCAACGGTGACACTCACCTTGGTGGTGAAGACTTCGACATTACCCTCGTCCGCCACCTCGTCGACCAGTTCAAGAAGGAGCAGGGCATCGACCTGAACAGCGACCGCATGGCTATCCAGCGTATCCGTGAGGCCGCCGAGAAGGCCAAGATTGAGCTGTCTTCTTCCTCCCAGACCGACATCAACCTGCCTTTCATCACCGCCGACGCTTCCGGTCCCAAGCACATCAACACCAAGCTCACCCGCTCTCAGCTTGAGAAGATGATGGACCCTCTCATCAGCCGCACCGTCGAGCCTGTCCGCAAGGCCCTCAAGGACGCCAACCTGAAGGCTACCGACATCTCCGAGGTCATCCTTGTTGGTGGTATGACCCGTATGCCCAAGGTTACCGAGTCCGTCAAGAGCATTTTCGGCCGTGACCCCGCCAAGTCTGTCAACCCCGACGAGGCTGTCGCTATCGGTGCTGCGATCCAGGGTGCTGTCCTTGCTGGTGAGGTCACTGACCTTCTCCTGCTCGATGTCACTCCCCTCTCTCTTGGTATCGAGACCCTTGGTGGTGTCTTCACCCGTCTGATCAACCGTAACACCACTATCCCCACCAAGAAGTCCCAGGTCTTCTCCACTGCTGCCGATTTCCAGAGCGCTGTCGAGATCAAGGTCTACCAGGGTGAGCGTGAGCTCGTCCGTGACAACAAGCTCCTCGGTAACTTCCAGCTCGTTGGCATTCCCCCGGCTCACCGTGGTGTACCCCAAATCGAGGTCACCTTCGACATCGACGCTGACTCAATCGTCCACGTTCACGCCAAGGACAAGTCCACCAACAAGGACCAGTCCATCACCATCGCCTCCGGATCTGGTCTCTCTGACGCCGAGATTGAGAACATGGTCAAGGACTCTGAGCAGTACGCTGAGCAAGACAAGGAGCGCAAGAACTCCATCGAGGCTGCCAACCGCGCTGATAGCGTTGTAAACGACACCGAGAAGGCCCTCAAGGAGTTCGAGGACCGCCTCGACAAGGCTGAGGCCGAGAAGATCAAGGAGAAGATCTCTTCTATGCGCGAGTTCATCGCCCAGAGCCAGTCTGGCGAGGGCACTGCCACCGCCGCTGAGATCAAGGAGAAGACCGACGAGCTCCAGAACGCCTCCCTGAGCCTGTTCGACCAGATGCACAAGGCCCGCTCCGAGAGCCAAAACCAGAGCGAGCAGCCTCAGCAGCCTGAGGGTGAGGGCGAGAAGAAGCAGTAAATGCTTTAATCGCTTAGCACTCGTTTTGTCTTTCTCGTTGATCGCTTCTTTACGTCCAAAAGCAGGCGTCTTGCATCCTGTCACGGTTGGTCTGGTTTAGGTCACGTTTAGACGTGTACATGTCCCTACACATGTTTGAGCATCTCTGTATCATACTTTCCGACGATTTCTCTTCTCACATTAGCGTTTGTTTTATTACCCTTACGGATCCTTGGTACACGTCGGAATAACGAAAGAGTGATATCCTCTGGTGGTCAGGACATGATGTGGAAGGGACGATATAATGGCGGAGCCAATGAGTGTACCATAGCCTAGAGACGCGAGATGGTAGCACTCCGCTTACTTCTCCGCTCTACAATCTACGATTTGAAATGTTCATCATCTGTCCATGAAGTGAAGTCTTTCTACGCTGCGAACTACGACTAGGTTACTCACGCTGCAAGTTTACTTCAAAGTAAGTGCTGTGCCCCACCATCTAAACCTCGGGATAAGTCATGATATCGACCCGCTAAGCTTACGTCATTACTAACCGACGGCTTCCGTACTTTAGCTATGCGCAAGGCCAGCCTCAAAGAAACTATCTCCACCTATGATTTCAACTCGAACTGTAGTAAAGCAAAGTCTCCTTATCGCACGTGGATCCAGCGTCACTAGATCCGTTACCACCAGGTCCATACACTATCTGTTCAGAAACCTTTCACCCTGTATATCTCAGAGGGAGCCGACTGGAACCGTTTATCAATCCTTCTTGAGCATTCGCCAAAGCTCCACGAAGGCCAAGCCCAAGATGACAGACGCAACTAACCACCCCCTCTCCGGCCTCTGGCAACCTACTCAACTTCAGAAGCTTCACTACGGTGCCGACTCGGTCAAACAACATCTCCTCTCATGTCTTCCAAAAGAGTCAAGCAAAGCCTTTATCATTACTGGAAACTCCCTCGCCAGCAAGACGCCCTTGGTAAAGCAAGTTGAAGAGCTTCTAGGAGACAAACACGCCGGCACCTTCTCGAAGATTGGCGAACATGCGCCCGTCGCTCAACTGGATGAAGCAACCGACCTAGTAAAGAAGGATGAAAGCGTCGACACAGTCATCTCCATTGGCGGCGGAAGTCCAATCGACAGTTCAAAGGCCATCAGCTACCGGCTGAACGAGAAGACAGGAAAATACCTATACCACATCGCCATCCCCACCACACTGAGCGCAAGTGAATGTACTTTCATGGCCGGCTACACACAATCCGACGGCGTAAAGACCGGTGTCAGAGCCAAAGAACTCGTCCCTCATGTTGTCCTATACGACGCCAAATTCGCTCTACACACTCCCGAGCGCCTATGGATGTCGACTGGTCTCCGCGCCATGGACCACGCTGTTGAGCTACTGTACCACCCAACAGCCACTGAGATGCCCACTAGATGGTTAACTCTACAGTCCGCAGCCACCCTCTTTGAAGCTCTGCCAAAATACAAGCAAAACCCCAAAGACGAAGACGTGATTACGAAACTTCAACTCGCTGCTTTCGGTTCCCTTGGGTTCCTGGGCTACAACGTCAAAGGTGGTCTTGGTCTTTCCCATGCTCTGGGTTACGCGTTGGGCTCTCCTTACGGTATCCCGCATGGTATCACATCATGCCTCACTCTCGGACATGTGGTCAGGCTCAAGGCTCAGGACCCCGCTGCTGCAGAGCAGATCGCTCGCTTGCTTCCGTTTATCGATGAATCGGCGTCTGGCGATGCCAAGGCTGATGCTGAGAAGGTTGGGGATAGGATTCTGAAGTTGGTCAAGGACCTGGAGTTGGATAGTGATCTGAGAAACTACAAGGTGGGCAAAGATCAGATTCCCATTATTACGGAGAGAGCGACCGGTGGGCAGAAGGAAGGCAAGGCTTATGATGCTGTCGAGGGGTTGGTTAAGGGGCTGTTTGTTTGAGTCGTTATAGAGAAGAATTTAGGACATGTAGTTACGCCAAATTGGCACGTTATTCTATGAATCGTCGCTAGTATGTAACATAATGGCTTCTGATCAGAATCAGATGATTACGAAATTTCTTTCCTGAGACGGGCCGCAGCTCTTAAATCTCCTCTGCTTTAGAAGCTCTTCATCTCCTAGTGTAGGATTTGCGAGATAAACCAAACCAATCATCTCGTAATTTCCATCAGATGCTGTGTGGGAACAAAGGGTAGGTTTATACCGAACAGTCCAGCTACGATACAACCTTCCAAGCCTCCAGACCGCAAACGGGACATAAAACTAACGATCCCAGTATCAGTCACGAAAATTGAAAAATTACGACTGTAGGACGTCATAAGATTCTCGAGTTCCCTGTCCTTTTTCCGAAAATCATCATAGAGCTTGTCTTCCAGCCCAAGGAAATATTCTAAGCATAATGTCAATTCCTTTTTTGTCCATCTCAAACGAGCTGCCGTAGCCTAAAAACACTGAAACAATGTTCTCGATTCCGGCTCTGGTACTATGATATCCTATGAATTCCTGAAATGCTTGCTGACATGCGCATCGTGAATCTGATCCGCTCGTACCATCAAGTTCAATACTCCCCAGAACCCGACCCACGGTTTCTAGTTTTAGCGCATCATGAGAGAACCGCGGAAGGGGGGACGATATATCTGATTTGGCGAGCGCTGCCTGTAGAACACTAAGAGGTGGTGAGATGGTAGGACCTGATCGCCGAGTCAACGCTAACGAGTCCAAATCAGGGAAGCATGAGATGTTGCGACCACCAGATAGATTTGTGTCACATCGATCCTGGAATTGAAGATGCTCAGTGAAAGATTCCTTCATAACTATCATTGCTGCTTCTGCGCTGACTTCTGTGAGCGTCTTTTTGTAATCCGGTATGATCGGTCGTGTGCCAAAGCTAGAGAATCCAAATAGGCCATAGACTCTATCCTGTGAATCGGTAGCTTGAAGATACATATTGTGTAATATGCGTTGAGCGAAGCTCGCTTGGAAAGAAGCGTTTCTCATGTCCCGAAGTTGTAGAACGGTCTCGGCTCGAGCTACCACTGCAGGAGGGTACGATCTGAAGTGGTAGACTCTTCTCCTAATGTTGACGAATGTAAAGGTCGGAAGGTATCGACACTGCAATGGAATTGCGGCACCCTGGATTCGGTCCTTTATCACTTCGATGGATAGCACAAAGGCATCCCATGTGATAATCTGACAACCACAATAAACAATAGGATCTTGCTGACATAGTGTCAACTCTAGTGGTATCCAGAGTCGTCCAAACCAGTTCCTGCATAACAGATCCTCCACTGCAGCAACAAATCGGTCTATATCGCATTTTTCCAGCGTCCCACATGACAACGTCTCGAATGCGAATTCACTGTCTTGACAAGGCCGCCCAAGCCAAATCAAGACTTGGTCTGCTGAAGAGTATATCCTGTTCACAAGTCCAACTTTATGGTTCCTCTCCAATGCGAGGTCTCGAACTATGCGCATTGCATCAATCCATAATGAAGATGACGCGGATTTATGCTGTCGTAGGCACCGGATAGCGACATCGAGATTCGCGGTGAGTCCTTCGACAATCGTTGCCAGAAACATGATTCCATGTTTACCACCCCTCTTGCATACACCAAAAAGCACATGATGCCGGCTGCCGAGCTCGAACGTTCGGTACCAGACATGCGTTTCGTATCGCCTCCAGCAACTCTGGCGAGGCCGAGCATTCGTGGTGATGATTATGCGGTCCAATGATTGTGCACTTACTCATCTTAGTGTTATCTTTTTGGTTTATTATCGTCTATAATACGGCAATGGGCATTAGCTTGCTGCTCTTCCACGTCGGTGTTGTGATGGGCGAAAAGATGTCCTCACTTCCAAGATTTTCTCCTGATCAATGGTCGCACTACTCTCGGCATTCGGTATTAGCAACATCCGACATTCACCGTACCAAACACGGGGGGTATGCTGGTCAAGTCCACACCATGACTAAAGTTACGGTGTCTTTCCACCAATTGTGAAATTAGGACTTTGAAGTCAACCGGTGTCTCGGTACTTGCAAGGCGCGTCTGAAAGAAGGAAACGGAGCCGCTTCGTGGTAGTTTATTCCTACGTACAATAAACCTACCAAGGTATAAGACCAGTGTATAGAAAATGCATTAACAGGACCTTTCGTCTCTATTGCATACGCAGCAACTATCAGAACTGACCATCTCAATGCTCACCAACTCTTTTGAAGACGAGCGTGCTTTCCGCAATCTTTCCTTCAAATGGTCAATCGCTTGGGATAAAAAGGTTTATACATCAACTTGGGATTAGCAAGAACCGTTTCATAGCAGTGTACTGACAATGACACTAGGACCTGTCAGCGTTTCTTGCAATAACAGCACCGGAGATAGTCGCCGACTACTCTGACTTTCCTGCCGTAGGAACAGTCCGAAAGTGCACTCCCGAGCAATTCTTCGAGGGTGCCTTCAGGGTGGAAGGTTTAGGGCACCCAGACCGTACGTCTCACTCACCCTCGTCCTCCTTCTTTCTCTCGTGTTTCCCTTCACATTAATTTCTCTATATTCTTACTAATACCACCTCAAGTCAAAACCCAGCACCTCCTTGGCGCCAGCATTTTCACACGCACTAGCGCCTCAGAAGCCAAAGGAATCTGGCAAGTTCGCGCATGGCATGTGAGAGAATTTGCTGATGGATATGTGGGCGAGTGGGATAATAGCTCGTTTCTGGAGTTCACGTACATCCAGGTCGAGGGTGGAGAGTGGAAACTTAAAGGGTGGAGGCCGCATGGTGGACTTGCCATGATCGGCAAACATGACGATATAATTGGGAAGTAGGCTTGACATTTATGGGGAGGGAAAGCATAATGACAAGATGTGTTACTAGAAAGATGATATACATACACACTCGATCCAAACAAGAGCGGTGACAAGCCTTGCCAACGCCGACGTTCCCGCGCACCCAATGACTAAATCAAAAATGAGAGCAGAAGAAAGCGAGTGACTAGATAAGAGGGCGACTCGTGGTACCTCAACCCCACTTCATAAAGCAACTTAGCTAGCAACTTCTCCAAGTACACCAGCCACGTAGCATAGTGCGGCGGCCCAAATGGCTGTCTTGACTATACCAGCTGCTTTACCGCCTTTCTTCCTGCCTTTGCTCTCCTGCTGGGTTATCTGTCGCTCGTTGCTGCTTTCCTCGGTGCTAACTACGCGCTCAGCAGCCTGCCTGCGCTCAGTGAACTCTTTCTCGAGTTGTTCTTGGCTCTCCTCTGGTCCAACGTAGCCAGTAGGCGAAAGGCGAGCTGTCCCGTCTATGGGGTTGATGTTACCCCTCTCTACCTTACTATCAGCGCCTTTTTTGTTGTCCGTTACGCTTGAGGTGTTCATCATTTCGAACGGTTTAGTAGACGACGTGGAGTTGAGGGCATCCCGAAGGATGAGCATATCCTTCTTCGCAGTGACGACCTCAAGGCCGTCTTTGATGTGTGGAATGAACTTCGCGGGCTGGTCGAGCTGCGATAACGCTTCGTGCAGTGGTATCATAGGTGAAACGCCACGAGGCGCAACTGACGTAGAGGTGGTGAGTGAGAGCTTGCCAGTCTCCGGATCATGCACAAGGATCGTATAAAGCATTCGTGATTTCGTCTCTGACACATGAGATGATGTGTCCAGAGGCGATACTTCAGAAACTGTCTCATCAGGCACCTTGCTCGGCTTGGGATCCATTGTGGCAGTTTCAGAAAACACAAAAGTGTGGGCAGCGGCAAGGGTGTCCTGTACAGTTTCTGTTGCAGTGTTGACTAATGCAACTTCTCCACTAGGTGCCGGGTCTGAGGCTTTTAGCTTGTTCGCCCGCATCGAGATCTCTTCTATCGCAGGATCGTCCTTCAGCATATCAAACTTCTTCACGTCATTGTCTTCCACGACCTTCTTTTCGTCAACCAGGATCTCTGGTTGCTTATGGTCAACAGTAATTTCTCCATACGTATCTTCGTATACCTTTTGAATGTCATCAGCGAGTTTGTTGTCATTAAGTTTGCGGGTCGCCTTCTCTTCAATCTCTGCTGCTCCTACTTTCCATGATGTTTCACTCTCTAAGCGCTCCAAAACGGGTCCGAAAGGCCTGAATAAGCTGTGGGCAAGAGGTCCTTGCTCTTCAAACGACTTCTTCGGTGCCATCTTCGGCACACGCGCGTATCCGTCATCTGAGAGCCCACGCATAGCGGACTTCTGCGCATCGACCTCGTTGGCGAGACGTTCTTCAGCAGCTACCTTAGCACGAAGCTGGGCTTTGTCGACCTCACTCATACCGACATATACCTTGGCCTGAGGTGGCTGCTCATTCTCCTGCGAATTTTCAACATCGTGATGGTCACTGAAGATTTTGACATCTTCCCACGTCTGCGGCGCAACGCCATAAACGAGCATGGCACGTTCCAGCAACCGAGATAAAGCCATCTGTGTGTCCCTGAGGGTCAGCAAACTGTTCGCGACAGCTTTGTAATTCGGTAGCATGCTTTGTTCGATTTCCGGGTCCTCGAGACGAGCCTGCAGACTCCAGATCAAATAACGTGTAAGGTGAGCATTCTTTTGCGTGATCTTTGATGCGATGCTGAGTCTCCGTTTGAACGCTGGGGAGACGTTCTTTGTTGCGTCTGAGTCACCGAGTTCCTGGAGTTGTGCGTATGCCTTGGTAAGATCATTGTCTGTGCTCTGGTACCTAAGACGCAATTCCTGGATAGCTCTGACCTTCTTCGGTGTCAGGGCATTCGACTTGCCGCTTCCGGAACGTTGTCGTAAGGCATTGATAGCAGAATCTAGTAGGTCCTCATCTGCTTTCATGCGCTTCAAAAGTAGTTTAGATGCTGGAATATCGGTCTCTAGATCTTCAATCACTTGCTTCATAGTCGTACGGCCCTTGCGGATACGTGCCAAGATCCTGTCGAAAAACAAGCGGGTTTTCTTCGCGTCTGCTTCCTCAGTCGGATCTAAATGTGCATGTACAAAGTCAGTACATGTCTCACTTGCAGTTCGTACAGGTATATTTGCTTACCTTGCCAGAAAAGGCTCGAGAACTTGGCACCGCTTTCTTCGAGCCATGATTTCATTCGCTCGACGCTGGACTCCAGCTGGCTTTCATTTGCCGTGTATGGTGTTTTGTCAACCTGTGTAGTTGTTCGCGGTTCGTTAATCTCCTGGAACTCATGCGATGTCTCTGGCTGTTGCATTTGTCGTTCAACTCGACGCACAAATTGGTCGTTGATGACCTTGGCCTCAAGCATCGAATCGATAACATTACGCTCCCTATGGGTCTCCTCAAAAGTCTTCTCTAACTTAGCTCGCTCGGCTTTTCGGAGCTCGTCGCTAACAACTCTGCTCCTTCTCGCGGCCATGTTTGCACGAATGTCATCTGCGCTCAAAAAGTCCAAGTCATCTTCGGGAAGCTGACTCAAGATCTTTGACGTAGACCGCGCAGATGCGGTAGTGCCTTGTGAGACAGGTTCTTGTTGTGATGAAAGCTGTTCTTGAGTGGCAGGTTGTCTTGTGCTTGCAAGACCCGGATCTGTAGGAAGCGACGTAACGCGATCTTCTATAGGCGGCACTGAGGGTTCCTTGTGAATCTTCTCAGTCAACGATTTCGGTACCGAGGGCTCGTCTTCCGCCACTCGTGGTGGGGTAGTGTTAACCTCAGGCTTTGCCATGAGATCGTTTGAAAATCTCCTTTGTAACGTAGTTTCTCTCCAAGTACCGATCTCAGTCGCACCATCGGTGTATTCATCGTTGTGTTTAGTCTTCTCTGTCACGAATTGATCTCCGAAGGAATACTCCGTAGTCGATTTGGTTTTGCCGGACTGTTCGATCTTGGTGGCCGCATCAGATTTCGTCTTCACAATGTACTTTCCGAAGGACTCTGTACTCTTCGGTGGTACTGGTTGCTGGAGCTCGTAGTTCTGTGGGACACTTGCGGGATGTGTAGAATTAGTCGAGCTTGTTCTAGGCTCGCTCAGCACTTCTGGATAGCGTTCGGCGGCCTTGCTATGAGGCTGCTCTCGAGGTCTCCTGAAATCTGAAGGCGACTGAACCCCAGTCGGGTCATCACGGAGCAATCGGCTTGTCCTGAAGGAGGGTTGTGGGAAGTGAGATTCTCGTTCCTTGGGCGCATCGGAACTCTCATCCTTGATCTCAACTCGTCTTGGATACTTGGGGCCTGAGCTGCCATCCTTATCGAGCTTCGACGACGATTTGGTATCGTCATGGCTCTCCATCTCTCTCAGCATCCATTTTGGAAAGCTTTTGCTGATCCATTCCCAATCTTTGAGCCCCTTGCCACTCAACATATCATTGCTAGCCCCGAAGAGAACCTGGTATGGGTCGTCCATCAGCTTCTTTCGCCACCGCTCGTATTGCTGTAGCTGCAGCCACTCGAGATAGGACATGCCGGATGGACGCTTGTTGCCATCGTTGTCTTCATGCTGGGCAGATTTGGAAGGCGTGCGAGAGAAGCATCGCGTGCGAAGAGCAGCCTCGTGGGACCGGAGGATGTTTTGCGCGTAACGTTGGACGGGAGAGAAGGTCGGGTCACGGCGCCACCAAGTCATATTCGAGCTTGGGGAATGATCTGGATGGAAATGAAATGTAGAGGATAGGCTGAGAGCCTTCGCCCTGTGTTTTGTCAGTATCAATTGATCATACAACATCAAGCAAATCATACCGTCTTATCAATCAGATATCTCTTGTCCAAGGCACCAACAGCTCCTCGGAGCTGGTCTAGGTGAACGGACAGTGGCTACATCAATAGCCGGACGAATGTAGCAGAGAGAGTAGCGGCACACTCAAGGCAAGAGCAGAATGCTACTAGAAACGTGTATAAGACAGAGATAGAACATGTAAAGGGGACGGATGGCTCAGGCCACCTCCAGGGAGTGATGGCGTTGCCATATCCCCGCGTAAGCTCCGCGCCGCTTATCATGTTTCGCGGGGTACATTACTACCCGCGTGATCGCTTGTTCGCGTCACCACTTCAAGGCGTCGGACATCTAGCACTCTCCACACTTTAGGAGCCGCCTTTTGCTTTTTGGTGGAACGAACATGCTGATGCAAGTGGCTGTGGACGGCTTTGAAATGATGGAGTTCGACGAGGCTTGACGTGTACCAAGTCGCGTCTCTCAGGCGATGCCGATAAGGCGATAAGGCAGCAGCGCCAAGGTGCTCCACCAGTGTCGACCCACAACCCGTCATAACTCTCGTCCTGCTCGACTACACATGATAGCGCATGACATTACTGGTCACTCTTTGGGCTGACAGAACTTGGGGATCCATTCAATCGTGTTGATCCTTAATCCTAATTCCGCGCAAGCTGATGATACATATCAGCCTTTGGGGCGTGCATTTGCTAAAGACTCTTCTATCGGATCTACGCTCGACGCGCATTCACCATACCCGTCTCGGCATGACATCCAATGTACTCGAAGAATTGCTGGTCCGACTCCAGCAAGTAAACCTCGTGGAACAACCGCAGAGACAACACATTGTTGAGCTTCTTCGCATACATCAAGAAGCCTCCAAAGATATTGATATGCGTCTGATGGCTCTTACTCCAGTATTCAAGAGATGCCAGATCATCAAAGTAGCCGAGACCGAAAGTCCTCTCGCGGTTTGCCTCGAACGACTTGGAGTCCACAACGTCCCACAAGTTCATCGCATAGCACCCAACCTCGCGACCTTCATCGCGCAGAAATCTCATACCCTCGATGAGCACAGGATGCATTGTATCAAGATAGAGCTTGCGCTCTTCGGGTAGCGTGTCGGACCAATCCTGACCCGATCGAATCACGCACAGGTTGGGCGTGCCGGGTATACGAACGCGTTTAGAAGCGTTGCCGTTGTCAGTCATGCCATTGGCGCTGCCATTAGCAGAACTCAACTTGTTGCCATTGAGTTCATTGTCTTGAGCAGATGCCAGCCGGTCGCGCATGCTACCCCAGTATGCGTGTTCTTCCATCTCGCCCGAGATCTTCTCCTGCATGTTGGCGGCTCCTTCTGGATTCTCTGGATTCGAGAATACGGTCTCAAAACGATCTATCGTTGGACGCAGGACTTCCTGAAACCAGCCATGTCCATCTTTTTCTCTGTCTGAACTCTGCCACCATGTATCAAAACCAGATTCTTGCTGCCACTTCTCGTGTAGGTCTGCGCTGCGCCAATATGCAACGACAGCGATGTTGTAGGCTCCTTTCTTGTCGACAACGGAAGCTACCTCCCAGAACGACGGCCGCTTTGACGCCGGCGCTTCGTTTACAAAATCTTGTAGCTTGAGAATAGCCGTGCCGTCATTGCTGGCGACAGAGATATATTGTGCTCCCATAATGGCCATAACGAGGTCGTCCATCTTGGTAGGAAACCTGGAGCAATATGCAGGGAACGGCGGAACATAGTTGGGCGGTGTGCTAACTGGGTATGTCCTTTCCTTGCGGAGGTGCTCTGGAATCGCGCATTCCAGCATTTCGAAGAATTTCTGAGACTATGTCTGATTGTGGGAACAGTATAGATCGAACTCCTGGTTTCTACTCGCTATGCTAAGGAAAGAGGTCAAGGGAGACATTCTACTGAGAGGCATCTTCGGGCGAGTTTTATCGTTCGCATTTCACAGCGTGCTTGAGACGGCGCGGAACGAAGGCGCGGAACGACAGAGACGCAAGCGTCTGAGTGGACTGGTAGAGCATTTCGAAGGAGGGGCTAGATCTCGGCTAGACCTGTCACATCCTGTCGTTCGCCGGCAGCTCCATCCAACGGCACGCCCACAGACTTGCGTTGAGGAATGCTCGTGGCAATGTGTTTCTTTTTATATCCAAAGACCCCACGGTCCTGACACTGACGTAGTGTCTGCGGGTATGCGCATTGAGGCACAGTCATCTGGAGATACTCGAAGCTACGGACAGATCCGAGATCCACACTTGTTACGGCCCCCATGAGCTTATGCCGTGCGCCGCTAAGGCATGAACGATCGTGTGCGGTTAGGAGCTATATTTTGATCAGACGCTGATCCAAGCTAATGTCTAGCCAACTGTCATCTCCTCCTCGTGAGGCGATGCGAGGAGAAAAAGCACATCCCGAACCAATCGCCTTGACATCGTACTAGGTATCGGGCCGCCCGATCTTCATAGCGATTTCCCAACCCTGCTCATATGTCCATATTCTTAGGTAGCGAGATGTACGAAATAGTCGATCATTCCCGATGCGAACGCTGGAACCTACCGCGCCTCGTCGCCTTCTTCGTCCGCAAGGACACCCATACCAATCGCTTTACACCCTCATGGATTCATCTACACCCGATTGATAGCCTCGATTTCCATCGTGTATCGTGTCTCTTTCGTTTTTTTAATCTTTTACTTTTTGTGCCAATACTGCTTGTTAAAGACCTTATTACCCTGAATAGGTTCGATCGGGACCCTCACCTGTCGATGCTCGCCCTAACAACATGTACAACCCTTTCACGACCGAAGCATGGATCGAATATGCGGTTGGAATGGTCATCATACTGTGTCGGATCATAGCGCGTTGTCGGCAGATTGGATTGAACTGGGATGGAGATGATTACTTCGCCGTACTCTGTGCCCTCTTCTTTACCGCTGAGCTCGTTATGCTAGAGCTCATCGGTAGATACGGTTCTATTACAGGAATGAGTAATGAGATCGCATTGGAACTTACGCCTGAGCAAACCCAACGTATCGTTGTGGGTAGCAAGTGCCTTCTTGCTGGATGGATACTGTATACCACGTTGATTTGGTGCTGTACGTACTGCCACCGTGCAACAACCACCTTGGTAACTAAACATCCACGGTCAGAACCGCTGTACTAACGATTTGGTATTACAGTGAAAGCTTGTATGCTTTTCTTCTATAGAAGGCTCACGTATGAACCTTTTCGTCGTCCTCTGATCGCTTCATACTAATAATACCAACAGTCTCAATCTCCAGCAAAGAAACCTCGTCAAGATCACTGGGGCTGTCTGCATTGCAGCATACATTGCCACTATCATCGTATACCTCACACACTGCCATCCGATCCATCGGCTATGGCAAGTATATCCATATCCTGATGATGACTGTGCCCTCAATATCTCCAAGTACTTGGCTTTGGTAGTCACGAACGTAACGTGAGTGATCTCCGACGCTGCCCAGTTTCGCTTAAACTATACTCACTAGCCCTCAGTACCGATCTCATGATTCTTTTCATCCCGATGCCTCTGCTATGGAGCGTCCGGCTGCCTTTGCAGAGGAAGCTGCTATATGGATTTTGGCTCTGTACCGGAATCTTCATCATGACTGCGACACTACTCCGTTGCATTTTGTGTCTCCAAGACGTTTCCCAAATCAACGTTGGTACCATATGGTCGATCCGTGAGACGGTACGCTTTCTTCGCCTCTGGTTGCCGCTGCTTGAACTCTACTAATGCATCTCCATAGTTCGTCGGAATTATAGCTGTCAACGCACCCATTCTCAAACCCTTCTTCACTCAGGCCAAGAAAGCTGTTTCATCTGGCAAGCCGTCACACGATAGTTCTGGCAACGCTCTCCCGGATAGCCTCCGTTTGTCGCATGTTGAGAGAAAGGGTAAAAAGAGAACGGTACATGAGATCACGAACATGGATACGACGATGAACGAGAGCGAGGAGCACATCATCAGCCCGGTGGGTAGAGCTTGCAGTGACACCAGTTCAAGAGACGAGAGGGGCGAAGTGTGAAATGATTACTCTGGAAAAAAACCACATGCGACTGTCATAGGTCGTGTCCCTCCAAGTAGAAGTCGATAAGACGCATGGCATGCGTGAAGCAGCGACGTTGACCAAAACTACGCGGAGCCTTTTTCTCCTAGCGAGATGCTTTCTAGTACGGCGATGTCTCACAGGATCCCATCAACTGCCACGCAATGCATCCACATGTGGGCGCTGCCTAGACGTGATCTGCGCACGAACACGAACACGAACCCACGCCAACTGCAACAAAAGCTTGCGGTATTATTCGGTAGATGGAAAGAGAAATAGAGGAAGAAACTCTGATAGCAGAACACCTTGAGTAGGGTGGAACAGAGGGAAAGAGTCTGTGTTTACGAAACACAAACCAAATTACACGATCATGAATCAGGCGCACATACATGCAGCCTCTCATCATATCACTGTCCACTGAGCTTTCTTTTAGTTTTCCTCTTCCAATAGCCTCCTCTCCTCATCGTTAGCAACCTCGATCTTTTTACCCTCCTTTCCACCCGCCTTCTGAAGACTGACCGCAATCGCCGCTCCAATGATAAGCACTGCACCTACTAAGCTCTCGATGGGCGGCGTAGTTCCCCAAATCAACTTTTCGACTACAAGCGCGAATACCAGTTGTAAGTAGGTCAGATTTGTTGCCCTTCCGCCCTTTTCTCTTTGCAGTCCTTCCGTGAGCAGAAACTGCAACAGAAACCCAAAGAGCCCGATGATCGCGATTAACCCCCATTGGCCGAGCGTCTTGGGCATGACGAAATGCAATGAAGGGTGAACCAAGATGAGCAGAAAAGAGGCGATCGTTGCGATGAGCGAGAAGTAATTCACCGAGATCAGCGAGTGTGCACGCTTGCCTATCACGCGGATAGTAGCGTACGCAGTGCTTGCTCCAAAAGTGCCTAGAATAGCAATGAGGATCGCCAATGTCCGTTGTTCGGCCGTTATCGAAGGTAACGTTACTTTTCCGTCCGAGTCTTCGGCTATCGGGTTCATATGCGAAGAGGGAAAGAGCCACGGTGGTCTCGCGACGAAGAGAACGCCGCAGAAAGCGATGAAGCTGCATAGCGCTTCTTTCCAGGTAAATGGCTCGCGCAGCCAGATGAAGCATACGATTGCCGTCATAGTCGGGATAAGAAATGTTATCACCGTTGCATCGGAGATTTCGAGCCAGGATAGGGAGTCTGTGGTTGCGTGTTAGAACTTTCTCATATTTGTTTCTGGTATAGTATGTTCCTTTCTTCCCGTGGGGCCAGCAAGTCAAACGAGAATAGTGGAGAAGAAGCAACACCTACAATATAATCCGAAGAGGCCCACAAATCCCGCAGTACCTCTCAACACAAGCAATCCCTTGATTCCTTTTTGACCGAAAGGAAAGTCAGGCACGGCGTGGTACCAGGAGTAAATCGAGCATATGATCGTCGTGCATAGCATGCGAATAAAGATGATTTGTAAGGCATGAAACTTGATCGATGGGTCATTAGCCAGAAGTTTGGCGGCTGTGTTCATCTGGGATGACTGTTAGTAGCAGCTTCGAACTACATGCAATGACTGCACAGAAGAAAAGATCACACGTACGATAGACCCACAAGTCTGAGCTAAGAATACCAAGAAAAGTCCGAAGTTACGTTCATAAAACATCCTTAAACTTGCCGCTACCCTTCTCCATAGTGCCGGCTGGTGTGCTTCTTCTGCATCTTGCGCAGGGTCTGAAGCTGTAGGTGGTAGGCGTGGTAGAAAATCTACACCTGAATGTCCTGCCGCCGGTGGCGGATCTACTGTTCCATAGGACATCTTTTGTTTGAGCCGATATTGCGATCGCAGAGTCGGAATGGAAGACCGAATGTCGTAGCAAAGAAGAGCAAAATCCGACCATGACCGGTGACCCACTAGTGGGTCGCTCATTTGGCCCGTGTCTAGCCCTGCTTACCTCAGCTGGACCTTTTCAAGTCACAATACACCAATTTACTATCGCTTATTGTAAGACACGATGTACGCAAGCTTTTGAACGATTCTCAAGATATTTAGAAAGCAAAATATTTCCAGGTTGAATAGTTCGTAAAGAATAAAGACACACAGTGTCAGTGAAATATGTACAAGAAGACACACTTTCACGTACTAGCTACGTCCGCGTATGCGCCAGTTCACTGCAACACTATTACATGTAGGCTGCATCAACCCAGTTCTTATGGTCGCTACCCAAAACAGTTGAGATGCTAACAGCAGCGGTAAGCTTCTTCGAGAAGGACGCTCTGGTACCCTTGGATCCATCACCAGTGTTTGCATACTCGCCGTAGGTGACCTTGTCGGTTCTGGGGTCGTCGGTGTTCCAGACCTTCCAGCCCGCGGCATTGATAACGTTGGTCATGCTGGTGTTCTGAACCACGACACGAGAGTAGTTCCTCCATGGGCGGCCAAGGACGTACGCACCCGCGTTGACCGTGTTACCAGGAGCAGCGGCGATCTTCGAGTTGTTGATAACGTAGTACGAGGGGTTAGACTCTGATTCGCGACCATTTGCGGTGATGTAGCCCTGCGACGCTGCAAGAACGCCGATAGAGACGTTTTCGAACCATGCTGTGGCCTTTTGACCGAAGATGAAGTCTGTGGCCCCCTCAATGTAGGACTTGGCGTAGACCTGGTTACCGACCTGGGCGAGAATGGTGTCTTGGTAGCCCTTGAACTGGCATCCGTAGTAGCCTTGCTTGTCGGCATTGGCGCTGAGGGCGAGGGCTTGCGAACCCTGTCCGCGGGTGTTGACCAGATTGATGTTGTAAACCTTCAGGTTTGGGGTCCATGCGCGGAGAGTGGCAGTTTCGTCATTGTTGGGAGCATCGTCCTGACTCTTGCCTTGAGTGATGGTCACGGTGTTGCCGCTGTAGCTGCTGGTGTCTGTAGTCTCGCCGTAGATGGTCAGGGCCGACTTCAGCGGCTTGATGTAGACTTGCTCCTTGTAGGTGCCTTTGGCGATGTAGATGCATTGCGCAGCCGTACCGGAAGCGCTCAGTGCATCAACGGCCGATTGAACAGTCTTGTATTTTCCACTACCGCCCACAGCCAAGCATCCCGCAGGAGCAGATGTGCGTCCAGCCCGTGGCACCAGTGCCGTTGGAGCTGCGACAGCGGATGCTGCGAGCGAAAGAACGAAAGCGAGTGATGCAAGCATGGTGAAGAAGTAACAAGAAGCTGTAAGGAAGGAAAGTGAGCAATTGAATGTCGAATATAGCCTGAAGACACGCGGTATCTATACATGCAACAAGCCCCGAATGCCGGGTATGCAAACTATATTGACGGACTCTCTCGGTCTGACCAAGACCTCGAAACAAACGCCCAGCGAGCTACATCGTCGTCGTTTCCCCGCTACGAAGCTTGTCGAAACAAGTAAAGCAAGCCATCGGAAAATTTATAACGCCTGCACCCCAGACGAAGGATGTCGAGTTGCGGAACGGGTACGCATGTAAGCGGCGCTGGTTGGTGGAAAACTAGTCGTTGTCCGTGCAGTGATTTGGTTTGATTGTAGCGTGTTACAGAGGGCTGATGAAGGGTGGAGAATTGATCCCCGGAGTTACGCCGCATGCACATATCGCATTGCTGGGGGTATTATAACTGACGCGTTGTTGGGACCAGCAGATGCGGCCATGTAATCACAGACCGATGCTCGGGATTGTAATGTGCGAAGCGAAGTTTATGGGGTACAGCAACCAGTGCGATCTAGCCCCGTGCGTCATGTCACGTGACTTGGCGTCGCGCTAAGATCGACTCGTTGCGGTGAGCTATAGCATTCATCCATTGTACGACGCTGGGGCCATTTCCCAACACGCAGCGACACTGATATCGACTATTCACGTTGTGCTACGTTGGTTCTTGACTTGTATTCAGTCCTATCTATATAATGGCGCCATCGGAAACACACCCTGACTGGGATTCTCTCAAAAGCAACAGCTATCAGACAATCGACCTTACTCTTTCTTCCCCAGAACCAGAGCCGGAACCTCGACGACGGCCCCAACCATGGCCACAGCCAAGACTGCCCCAGAGACAAGCTCAACTGTACTTTGGACGCGAGCCGCGTCCGTACGGTGTGTCACACGTTAAGATGGAAGCTAGCCAGCCGATGACTTCCGCGCGAAACCCTGTTGCGCCACAACCAGCGCGTCCCATCAACCCTGAGCATATCAAACAGATCATTAACACAGCGGACCCGCGCGCCCTGCAAAAGGTGCTGCTCGAGCTCTGCCAGGTATCCCCAGCCTTTTCTGGTGCCCTCGTGCGTGGACTTGCGCCTCACTCAACATCCGCACAGGGCATGATCAGTCAGCATCGGATGCGATCGCAGCAGCCTAAAGTTAAGACACAAGATGATGACGATAGCGACGAAATCTACAAAGAGGCGAAGAGGAAGCTAGCTAGGTCTGTACACACGACCCCAAATCACAGCAAGTATCTCGCACAATCTCGCGGAGACAGCCAAAGTCGAGCCCCACAAGAATCTCATGGCTCTTCATCCATACCACAAGTAAAGCGTGAGCCGTATGAACGCTCGGTACCTGGTTGGGACGGTGAGCTGCATGTTCCTGGAGCCTATCCTCGGACTACATCACACTTACCCACACTACGATCGCCAATACGGAATACCCCGAGCCACTCATCAAACTTTAACCAAACTCCCAGGCTACTGACCAAAGTTACTCCACAGCCAACGAGTATCCACAAAGCGTCTATGCCTACCACGAAAACCTGCATTGTATGCCACGAGCCATTCGTGGACGTGGACGCGCCTTGCGTGTCTCACTCTGGGCGCAAGACGCGACAAGGAGATGGGTCGATAATGTGGGATTGTTGCGGCGAAGACGTTGATGATCCGGGTTGTAACTTCTACGGACAACACGTTACCGGAGTAGAGCCCGATGACGATAGTCTCATTCAACGAAGAAGACCGAGTGCATCACCGGGTCCGAGTCGTCCCACACAGAAGAGACCTCGGGCTTTTTAGCGGAGATCCCAGAACTCTGCTAGGTAGCTCATTGTTGCTTGGGCGTAAAACAAAACGCATTAAGTTTGTGCATTCACAATAAGCACAGTAAAAAGGCGGCATCTGGCTCTCCGACTTAACGTGGTTTACAAAAGACTTTGCGTGTCTGTTTTGCCTCACGGGCATAACGCAGGCGTTTTAGACTTGATGATTGAAAAGGCTGCATAGACGTCAGTTGTTGATAGTCTGAGCTTGTGTTCATTCTCACGAATCTCTTCAGGCATATCTTGGGAGTGTCTCATTCTAAAGCACAACACGCATGCTATCAATATCACATCACATAACACCAAGTATCTCATCACGCGTTCATGACTCTTTCCAAGAAAATAGCATGCGGTTTGTTCCCCACCCCAACTTCTCTATAGAAGTTGATGCTGTGCGTATCTTTAGGGTATATTGTTATGATTCATGGTATTGGTTGTGAATAAGACACCCGTAGGTGAGTAACGTGAGTTCACTTACCTGCTGTCTCGTATCATAATAGCACTTTAATATTGGTTAACCATGCCGTGCCCACATTGACGATAACCACCTCTACCCACACCACAACTTAAGCCTCCAAACTTCGACAACTACAACATCACACCTTCTTGCATTCTTAGGTCTACCCCAATGCGGTCATAACCACCGCCACTGCGCTTCTTCCACTGTTGTCCCCGGAACTCAACGCCTTAACTTTCTCATCTTTCCGCTAAGCAATAGTAATTTCGCTCTCCGTCCCTTGTCCTGTAGCCCTGATCTTATGGTAGGTGTTTCTATCCCTCTGTGAGAGACAGCTCCCAGTAGCATCCAAATATGAGTACAATCCTGATTGATCAGTTTGTCATCTAGCGTATGGATGTTACTCATGTTCTTGATCGTTATCTGTGGGAAGTCGATTCTGACTTATTCCTTGCGCGTGATGTCATGCCAAGTCTCTTACCTGCATTATCAGCATTGCGCTAACCTCCTTTCTACCCACTTCTGCGCGCGCCGTCAGAACACAGTACAGATGCAATGATATCTGAACTCCGCGTTACACTAACACGCGATATTGAGCCGAAGATGCGACTATATAAGTCTATCAAGATGCCTTGTGATGGCGCGCTCGAGATCTGTTTCGTTACTAAGCTCCCGCGTCGCCCATTATGAGACTCACATTGTTTCCGCACTTTGCAGCCATTGTCAAAGCATCTACCGTCTTTCAGCTTAATTCAACGTCGTACTATTCCCCGGATCTTGTCGCAACAACTCTTGCTCCTAGCACCGAGTCATGGTCCAATACTCAAGCGGTGCCCATCACCTACCTTTCTTTCACCGAACCTACCATTACTGCGGAGTTATTGGAATCGACCATTACTTCATTTCTCTCCCGCGATGACGTGTACGCAGAACCTTTTCTCTCCACACTGGTGCTTGGCGGTACGGGTACTCTGTCAGACGGCGCACATACGTACGTTGCTTCGCTTGGGTGCAGGAAGATTTATAACGTGATGCATGTCGATTTGAGTTCCGGTCCATACTTGCTTCACCCGTCAAGTGCTGTTACTAGGGTCTATCGACTGTATTGGGATCACAACTTCGCTTTCATGGAGTCCGTCACTGAAGGTCCGAATGGGACTTTCGTTCCTGTCGCAGGTTTGGCTTTGACAGATGCCTATGGAGCTCTTAGTATCGCAGTGCCCTCTCGACTATACTACCCAGCCCCCACAGTAGACAAACCCTTTTCGGGAAAACGCCCCGGAGTCAAAGATATCCACGACCTCAAGGGTGTTCGCACTAGTGGCGGGAACAGAGCGTATCGAGACCTCGTCGACCCTGCCCCCGAGAGTGCGGCAGCGTTGCAGAAGCTGATCGACATGGGTGCTGTAGTGATTGGGAAGACAAAGACCACCCAGTTTGCGCTTGGAGAGCGACCGACTGCGGATTATGTGGATCAGCTAGCTCCTTTTAATCCTAGAGGTGATGGTTACCAGCATCCTCAAGGGTCGTCGGCGGGTTCTGGAGCTGGACTTGCCTCATACGAATGGATGGATATCGCAACTGCATCGGACACAGGTGGATCGGTTCGCCTACCAGCTATGGCGAATAGTCTCTTCGGTATGCGTATCACCAACGCTTCACTGTCGCTCAATGGCATTCTCCCGATCTCGGCAGTTTTCGACACGCCGGGCGTATTGGCTCGGTCAGCGCAGCTGCTAAAGGCCGTACATAGAAGGTGGTTTCCGGCCAAGACATATACGTCTTACCCCAAGCGTATCGTTTTACCCGACTTGTTCTGGCCCACGGTAAATGGTACGAGCATGCACATCTTCAATTCATTCATCTCCCAGCTCGCCACCTTCCTTGATGCCAAATTGACAACTTTCGACGCTAATGTCAGTTTTAATGCATACGCGAACACCTCAGAGGGCCTAGCAACATATCTTGGCTCCACCTACTCTAATATTACCAACGTCGACCAATACCGCGACCTAGGCCTACCCTTTAGAGAGCAGTACATCGCCAAATTCGGCAAAGCACCGTACTGGAACCCACAAACGCGAGCGCGATGGAATCGGGCTGCCAATTTGCCAACCTCCAGTTATACCACTGCTATCGAGCGAACGAGGAAATTTCAATCCTGGTTTCGAGAAACGCTGACACCCACTTGTGAGTCCACGTTGGTGTTATACCCTATGGGGGCTGGAACGGAAGATTACTGTGACATATACACTACTGCACCAGGCGGTATCTTCGCTGCGGGGCTGCCTGGAAACCAGATGTCTGTTTTGGCCGCGCTGCCCGACTATACTGTTCCGATCGGCGAGAGGACGTACTTCAGCAGGGTCACAGAGAGAAACGAGACGCTGCCTATTACAATTGGCGTGGTAGCTGCTGCAGGGTGCGATCACATGCTCATGGATTTGGTTGCTGAACTTGCAGATGCGGGTATTATTCGTGGAGACGTGAAAACAGGCCCCAGCATGTACTGAGGTGAGCGCTGTGGGTGGGAACATCCTCACGGAAGGATAATGCACCGAGTAACCGAGGGCATGCTTGTATCATCTACGCATGCATGCATCCTGTATTACGAGACACTGCATCGCTTTATCCCATACCTGTCTGAGCGCATTCCGCGTTGTGATTGGCGGACTAACGTTCTAGTTTCCTTGTCGATCATGAAGATCTGGGGTAAATTAAAGGAACAATCCACCACGTTTTGTCCACCTAGCCGCGATTCAGGATGCGGTCCGCGAGCAGCAAGCTGCAGTATTAGTAGCTGCTTTTGTCTTTTCGAAGCATGGCGCGTAGTGGGTTTTTATAACAACATATTTCTCTGCCTGTCTTTCTGCTTTTCATCCCGTTTATTGTATCACCGTCGACATGCTTGTTTTCGCTCTTATTCCTTTGCTAGTGAGCTCCGCCACTGCTCTTGCCTTTCCAGGTGCAGAGGGCTTCGGTCGTAACGCAGTCGGCGGTCGTGGCGGTACCGTTTACGTTGTCACGAACCTCAACGACAGTGGTGAAGGCTCGCTTCGTGATGCCGTTTCCCTACCCGACCGCATAGTTGTGTTCGCCATCGGAGGGTTGATCAAGATTACAGAGCGCATGATCGTATCAAAACGCATCTCCATCCTTGGGCAAACAGCACCTGGCGATGGTATCACAGTGTACGGCAATGGCTGGAGTTTCAGCAACGCCGACGATGCAGTCGTCCGGTATCTGCGCATCAGAATGGGAAAAGGAGGCAGTAGTGGCAAAGATGGCATCACGATTGCAGAGGGGAATAACATGATCTTCGACCACATCTCTGTATCCTGGGGTCGCGACGAAACATTTTCGATATCTGGCAACGAAGTCGGTAACATCACTATCCAAAACAGTATCATTGGCCAGGGTCTGCAAACACATTCTTGTGGCGGTTTGATGCAAACAAATGTCGGGAACGGAATCAGTCTGTTCCGTAACTTGTACATTGATAACAAGACAAGAAACCCAAAGGTCAAGGGCACCAATGATTTTACCAACAACGTTGTTTACAACTGGGGCGGAGGCGGTGGATACATCGCTGGAGATTCGAGCGCAGCGAGCGAAGCGAATATCGTCGGAAACTATTTCGTTAGTGGTCCTAGTACTAGCGTAACGGCATTCACGCGGGGAAACACAAACTTTAAGGGATACGTTGAAGGAAACTTCTACGACTCGAACCGCGATGGTGTGTTGGACGGAACGGAGCTCGGTGTGGCGTCTAGCAACTACGGCGGCATGAACATCCAGACAACCAAATTTCCTTTCCCAGCGCCCGAGAAAGTCTTGTCAGCGAAAGATGCATTGACACTTGCTGAAAATTCTGTTGGTGCGAGTAAAGTCCGGGATGCGGTTGATGCGCGACTCATTGATGAGTTGAGGAGTTACGGAACGACGGGAGAGTTGATCAGCGATGAGAATGCTAGCCCTATGGCTGGGCCAGGAACTATCGACGGCGGAGAGAAGTGGGTTGATGCGAATGGCAATGGCATACCTGATGATGTTGAAGATGAGTTCAAGGACGTAGAGGAGTGGGCTAATAGTTTAGTACCCAGTAGCTACTAAGTGAAGTAAGTCTCACTTTTAGCACTGTTTCGCGCGAATCATGTACTAGGTTTGTTTACGATTGGTTCAATTTCAAGACTAGCGACTGCTGTAAAGAATGTGTCCTCCATTCGACGAGAAATCCAGAAATCTGCCCATACCGACAACCCAGGTAGTAGCAGACAAAGTTTTATCCATGCATGTTACATAAACCCCATCCAAACCTGTCTCAAAGCCAGCTATGCCGAGGCGATCTGAGCTCTCAAGAAGATGGGTGCCTGCACAGCAGCCTCGTCTGAGTACATGAGATGCGCAGGCGTAATGATGAGCGTACCGGTGCAAACCAAGTCCCCAGTCTCGCAGTAGATTCTAGTCTTGCTAGTAGGGAAGTTTGGGATCCTTCCTCCATTCTGCAGGTTCTTAGTGTAACCGAACAGCACCACACCCTTGATCTGATTTTGCACGGCAGCACTGAGACCGGGGATCGCGTTGGACATGACAGCAGCGCCTTGAGAGTAACCACCGGCAGTGATGGGGGTGTTGGGGCATTTGCTAGCGGCGAGATTGAAGAGACGTTGAGCTTCGCGGATAGCGGCTTGAGAGGTACCGGCCGGAAGTGTGTTCTCTGCGAGGCCGGCCGTGTAGGGGCCACCTACACCCTGAACCCAGACATTGGATGCTCCGTATGCGCTCTCAAGAGCGCTGGCTGTAAATGGACCAACTAGAGCGCCCTGTGATAGTTAGCTACAATGGATGATTTGTGAGGGGACCTGCTCGTGCTCACCATGTTCCCAGCTTCAGTGCTTCCCCTTGCGAAGATGAAGATTGTCCTTGGGCATGCAGCACTACTTCCAGTCTCAAGCTCATTGCTGGTGGCGCTGGACTGACGAGCTTCGAGTGTAATGAGTTTGGGTTCGTCGGCGGGCGCAGCGACGGGTACCGCGACAGCGATGGGCGAAGTAAGAGCGAGAGAAGCGAAGAGTGAAAGAAGCGCAAAAGACTTCATGTTGGCAATTGTAGTAGCGATAGACTGTGCCTGATGGCTCTGGAGGATATGATGATGTAGAGAAGTTGGAAGTCTGCTGCTTGACCGTGCTGTGTCTCTAATCGTGACACATCCTGTTCCTTTTATGCTCTTTCTTACATGTACAAAATACTATCTTCACACTCATGCCCTCAGTCATTGCCTCGGTATCTGAGTTGTCTAGGATCTTGGAATGCATTCTCGATATTGGCGAACGGACGTGCAGTCCCTAAAGAGTGCTGTCGCCGTTCTCATCTCATCTTTCGGAGATCGACATCTGGTGTTTGGAGTTGAATGTCGACAAGTTGACCAGTAGGCATCTTGGTTGCATCTGAGCTTCCTCGGCCCAGGAAACTGTGCCTGGGATCTATGTCTAGGCATGCATATCGAGGAGGCATGGATGAAGAGTTGATGGTGGGATGGACAGGTCGCGTGGTACGGGGACGAGGATTTGCTGCTGGGTTAGAAGGACACTATCGAGCTTTCCGGTCAAGCTCGAGAATCGAAGCCGAGGCAAGGTTCAATCTACATGGATGAGACGAAGTATTATCCTGGGTGGGATGGTAACTCGTGATGTGGGGTGCATACATAAAAGCTTCCGTTTCGCGGGAACACGTACCCCGCATCACATACACTACGGGACTCAGAGCGCGCTAATGCCCCCAGAAAACGTGTAACGGATGCTTGCGGGGAAGATACCGGACTGTGATGTTTACGGCCTTGACAAGTGTCGACACTTTGGGTGTTGTTTACCGCACTATCGTCGCTAGTGGAAAGAACGGCATGAAGAATTTGTACCTTCCCAAGAGGGAGATTGTGCATTCGACGCATACAGCGGAGAAGTGATCATCTCTGGGTTCAAGATCCTATCTTCTGCATTTTTTGCAGAAGCAAGGATAACTGCTCAAATACGGCTAAAAGGCATTCATTAAGCGCGGGATGTCCCACCTCTCTTCACTATCTACCGTTCCATCGAAACAGCTGCCGCAATCACCTTTTTGGGCGTTCTAGGCCGTCGCTTCGGAGAAGTCAAAGGTACATGAGACATTATGTTTACGCTGGCACATCCAAGCACGAAGACGAACGCATAGAATGCCAGGAGGTTTCGAACTAGGACCAATGTGATCATGCCGTAGATCAAGGTGGAAATCGGCCAGAAGAACTTCTGTACATACAGCCAGGTGCCGAATATGATGCGATGGAGGTTCTTCAGCAGTATTTGGATGTGCGCTCGGTAGGCTTGAAGGTATTCGTCGGTTGTTGGTGGCGCGAGTATTTTCTCCCAATGCTCTCGTCGAGCATCGTGTGTTAACGTACGCACATCAAGAGATGCAGGCGACCTCGTCTCGAGGAGGTACTCCCATACAATCGTCAGCTGCCTGTTCCAGCCATACGGCTTTTCTTGATGCATGAACTTCTCCCACCTCTTCACGGTCCCGATTGCCATCTCTTCAGTAACCTGAAACCATTCCTTGTGTGCCGAGTTGTGTCTGTCGCATTGAAGCGGCGTACAGTGGCTTTCCAGGTCAAGATGCACAAGCTTTTCCAGGCGAGCACAGTTTCCGATTTCGTGATCCGACACGTGGACTACATCGGCCGTGAAGTTGCAGCCTCTCTCGTGCTCAACGATGCGGTCTCTGAACACTCGCGTCGTCCATCCAATCTTGTAACCCGCGGTTCTATTATGTGGGTCACATAATACATAAATCTTGCCTTTCTGGTCACTAGGAGTCAACATCTTCCGTAGCTCCTGATACAAACTATCGTGGGTAGATCTGGCGGTTTTCGGAGTCAGGCCTGCTGAAAGCCTGTCATTCTCTTGATAGGGTTTTCGAGTCGATCTTGTATTTGTGTCAGGGTTTGATAGGGAAGCCGAGGCCCTTGAAGTGGGGGTCATCTACATCCGGATCCGGACTACCATCGGACCGTGGACGTTTACGCGGAATAGACTCATTGGAAGCTTGCACTGCTTCAGTGGCGACTCGTTCTTGACGTGCAAACGGATCAGAGACGATTCGAGTAGGCCGATTGGAACGTTTGTCGCAGGTAGCTGACTTAACTAGGCTACGCGATTGGGTGGTGCCCCTGCTGATAGGTGAGCCAGTGGAGGCTAGAGTAGGGTCGCTCTTGGTGGCCGTGAATCGCTGTCCCGTCTGGGGATAGTTCATTGCGGTGAGATTTGAACCGGTAGGTTCAGTCTTTGTTTCTAGCGGCAGGCTTTGTCTTGATCTCTGCAGCTTAAGAAGTGAAGAGATGTCTGAAAGGATGTGGGGAACCATATATGAGAGGGAAAATGGTGGATAATAGACGGTGTACAATGTAGATGATCTGGTTACGCGGTAGAAGAAAATGCATACACCGGGGGTGCAATTTAAACATGTGAGCTGTGTGCACTGGAGCGCTGAAGGATTGCTTCCCAGCAATTGCAGAGATCGCATGAGCGTACGTGTGGCGGTGCAGAATGTCACTGCTGTATCCTAAGGCTTGGTTTGTTTCGCATGTTTCGTAGAGCATCCTCGCATTAACAACAAGGTAAGAATGGCGCGTTCAGCAACATGAGTCTCGATTGATGCTGGCAATGTTTGTTGTTTGCATCAGTGCAATGATTCGAAGAAGGTTGTTGTGAGCAGCACGCCAGCGATGAACATTGTAGTACCATCTCAGGCACGCTCGATGCCGTCATTTCCAGGTACTGAAATAAGCGAGGGTACACGGGGTGCATCTGCTGCAACAGACGTGCATATTTAGCAGCTGTGCCCATGTCAACACACCTATGAACAGTTACTGCGGCTGCTTGGTGAATGCCAGGCTAATAGCTTTGGCCCCAACATCGCGTTTGCTGTATGCAAGGCTGGGGCTGTGGAAGCCTCGCAGCCTTCCTGAGAGCGGAGCGATATTGCCGCAACCCTGACAATCAAATGTCTAGACTTGCAAGAACTGTAGACTGGACGCATCCAAAATGACCATGTGGCTTTCAATGGCGGTGGCTGATGATCCCATGGAAAAAGTAACGAGTGTGTTTTGGCCACCTAGAGGAAGGAGCGCCAGAGGCAGCGACGTTTCGCGCGTCATCACGCGCTCCTTTCGCATGGTCGAGGCGCCGATATCGAGTGATAGGATTCATCCATCGAAGATGAGATGGGAGTGGAGGATGCAGTGTAACAACACCAAAGTGGTTGAGAAGGAGCACACTGCATGTTTGCTTCGTCTATCCTTGGGTCCTTCTGAGATGGCGACTTTCCTTGGCGCCTTAGCGCGTATTCGCCGGGGAGCACCACGATGTCATCGACCTGTATACCTATCATGGTTTGATCGATGACTGGATTGCATTCTCGAATCTTTCCTGAGGCGATGACGCGTTTCTGCTTCTCGTAACGCGGTAAACAGCCGAATGATTCTGTCGACATGCATCCATGTTCCTGGGCTTGCATATGAGGTGTGGACTTGGTGTTGCCTCACGCAGGAGGAAGGTCATGCTGTGATACTCTGATGCATGCGGCACACCAGATACCTCATACTTGGATGATGCTCTGCTCGTTTCCGAACATCTGCAATGACTATCAGTGGGGTACGCTAGTACGCCCGAAGTTAGTCGCCGCTCCGTTGCGGTTGCCTTTGGAGATGTTCACCGACACTCGCCTCGCTGCCGAACTCTTCCCATTGATGCCAAAGAGCACCGCGTAAGACATTGTCTACATGCTTACTACTGCTCAATCAAGTCTTCATCGGCTGGGGCTCAGGTGGAAGGAAGTGTTGTCTAGATAGGTGGCAACACGCTTATTGCGAGGCAAACATCATGGCATCCTTTCAGATTCCAATGTCTTCGGCTCCAACATTCCCCGATATACCACCAATATCGCATTGCCATCACATCTGGGTCAGTACAGCTTCAAAAAGCGTCTTTGGATATGGCTGACCCCGCTAGGATACAAGAGGAGCACGATTCACGCCATGTGCTCTCCCTTTTGTTGCAACAATACCAGCTATGCTTGCAGCATTAGTCCTGCTCAATTACTCACTACAATTCATAGACGGGTATTGGCCGAAATGGACGAGACCTTTCGTACATGAGGCAAAGGAGAAGCCAAGTGAGGTGGAGACGCCCTTGACGCAACAGCCTGTGACCGGAACATTTGGCCTCTTGGTCCTAGCTACGATTGGCCTCACGTTCCAAATCCTCAATGTCTTTTTTCCCATACGCCAGCCATCAGCTATCTATCCAGCTATTGCATGGGTGCGTAATGTCTGGTATAATTGTGATTGTCGACTAACAATCATTATAGGCCATCGTAGTAGCCATCGTCATCGTGGAGCGCCCAAGAAAAGCTTCTTTGTCGCTGTTGCTTCTTTTCACAGGCCTCTTACTAGAACAGCTGGTCGCATTGTCTCATAGGCAATCCAAATTTCTAGCCAAGGATGTCCCCTGGGTCGTCGCACCCGCGGCCGCTGTATTGGGCATCGTTACGATACTCAACATGCCTCTTAGAGATCCTACGTTACCAAGACAAGACATCAGCCCTGCCTTTGACACCCCCACAATCCAGCTCCGGACTCCTGAAGATAATCTGACTCCCTGGCAGTACATGACGGTGTCTTGGATGGAACCACTTATCAAGAAAGGTGTGACTCGCCAAATGGAAGACGGGGACATATGGGACTTGGGTTGGGAATTTAAGCACGCGCGACTCCACGAGGCGTTCCGAAAACTCCAGGGATCGGTGACCAAAAGAATCTTTGTCGCGAACGGCATGGACTTGATACGCACGACCGTCTTGAACGTGATAAGAATGTGCGCAAGTAAGTCTTGAGCTTTGTTTCTCTGTTTTGATTAGAATGGGTCTAACGCAAGCAGCTCTGCTCACGCCGGTACTCTTACAGCGAGTACTCGCTTCTTTGGAAGACAAGAACAGTAGTGCCACGATCACCTACGCCTGTATCATCCTGGCTGTGCGCCTTATATCCGCTCAGCTGAACATATTCAATCTATGGTACCAGAGGCGAGCGTATGAGAGATGTAGAGGTGAGCTCATCACGATGCTTTACGAGAAGACATTGCATCGCAAGATTCTAGGTGCAAAACAGGAAGTCAAAGAAAACCAGACCAATGGTCACAGTAACCACGAGGCACACGGAACGGATGACGAGAACAGTGACGGTACTGATGAAACGATCAAACCAACACCCGAAAGTTGGCTAGGACGTTTGATGAGTTCGGTTCGATCAGTGTTTACGAAGAATATCAAAACGCAGCCCAAAGATGACAAAGAGGCTGCATCGATGGGAAAGATCCTCAACTTGATGCGCAATGATGCGTACGAGATAGCGCAGCGCTTCTGGGAATTTTCCGATATCATCACTAAGCCTGCAGGTGCCATCTTTGCGACTATACTGATTTGGCGCATGCTGGGTTGGGCATGCCTACTCGGTGTTGTGGCACTGGCAGCTTCGCAGCTACTCAATATCGTCATTGCTCGCTTTCAGGTCCATTACGAGAAGAAGCGTAGAGTGGCGACCGACGAGAAGTTGCAACGTACGAGTCAATTTATAGAGTCAATCCGTCATCTGCGCTGGTACGGCTGGCAAGGCGCATGGTTGGACGGAATACTGGAGTCTCGCCAAAAGGAGCTGCATCTCCGTATCATTAACATCATCTTTTCGACGTCGCTCTCCTTCATTCTGCGATTTGGTTCTGGACTCTTTCCTGCTGTTGCTTTCTATGCCTTCACCAAGTTGGCCGGCCAACACTTGCGTATTGATCTAATCTTCCCTGCATTTGATCTATTCAACCTGCTGGAATCGTATCTTCGGGCATTGCCGCAACTTGTTACTACTTTACTCAATGCATACGTCGCGATGGGCCGTATTGAGGAGTTCATGGCTGAGCCAGACAAGGAAGAGACGGATGTTGTACCGGAAGGTACTGCTGATCTTGGTCTGCACCACGCATCTTTTGCCTGGCCTGGAGTAGACCACAACGTCCTTGAAGATATCACGCTATCTTTTCCACCGGGACTTACCGTGGTATATGGCGAGGTTGCCGCCGGTAAAACAGCGCTGCTGCAAGCTCTCCTTGGCGAGCTCGATACGACAGACGGGGAGCTTGTGCGCCCTGATCAGGTAGTTGCCTACTGTGCGCAAACTCCATGGCTTCAAAGCATGAGTATCCGTGACAATATACTTTTCTCGTACCCTTACGAAGAGAGTCGCTACAAGCAGACCCTGGAGGCATGTGCCCTGTTGCCCGACATGGTGGAGCTCAAGCATGGGGACCTGTCGAATATTGGCGAGAACGGAATTGGATTATCTGGAGGCCAGAAAGCTCGCGTGGCACTAGCGCGAGCTGTCTATAGCCGCGCAAAAGTGCTGCTGCTTGATGATCCGCTGTCAGCTCTAGACCATCAGACGGCCGAGTTCATCGTTGGTAAATTGTTAGCTGGACCGTTGCTCGAAGGCAGAACGACTATTCTTGCCACACATCGAACAGAACTATGTCACGGTATCGCCAAGCAATGGGTTCGTTTGGAGCAGGGTAGAGCTACAATCCACGAACCGAGCCAAATCGAAGATGCGAACGCACTAAAGCGCACTCAGACAAACGAAACCGAGTCGGAAGAAGATGCAAAGAAGCGTGAGGAAGAGCAAGCAGCGGCTGTACCCGACAAGTTCATCGAAGATGAGCATCGTGCAAAGGGAGGTGTCAAATGGAGCGTGTATTGGCGCTACATCAGAGCAGGTACTCTCCGATGGTGGTCCGTTGCTATATTCGTCATGGCACTCTTCCGTGTGCTCGATGTTGCGCAGACCTGGTTCATCAAGTCCTGGGCCGAAAGCTACAACCCGGATGGACACAAGGGTATCTTTGACTTTCTGCCACCAGCAGCGGACGATGTTGTTCCTTGGCTTTGGACTTTCTTTCTGTTCGTTTCCACGACCGCCGTACTTTTTTGGTGGACGAACCTGATCATGTTCGGTGTGGGCTACCATGCTGCTAAGACCATCTTCAGGGAAACTGTTGAACGCGTTGCACACGCCACGTTCAGGTTCTACGATGTAACGCCAGTAGGGAGACTGATGAACCGACTGACTAGCGACATGAATACCATCGATGGCGAACTGAGCAACGCCTTCATCGTATTCGCCTGGCAGATCATAGGCTGGATGAGCGCCGTCGTCATTATCTTGTCTTCAACCCCAGCCTTCTTGGCTTTCGGTCTGCTGCTTGGCTGTGGGTTCGTATACTACTTTTTCCGCTTTCTACCTACGTCGCAGAGCTTAAGACGACTCGAGGTAAGTCATATAGCTTCATTCGGTGTTTCCAGTACTAACGTGGAGACAGATGGTATCGCTATCACCACTCATGAGTAACTTTGGTGCGCTTCTTGAAGGTCTTACCACTGTACGAGCTTTCAATGCACAACAACGGTTTCAAGCTCGTGTTATCGAGGTCGTCGACAACTTTCAGAAGAACGACCATTTTTATTGGTCGCTTCAGGCATGGCTTGCGCTTCGCTTCAGTGTCATGTCGGCTAGTGCTACGCTCGTTATGACACTCATCGCCGTCTATACACATATAAGCCCCGGACTCACTGCGTTCGTGCTCATCACTGCGGGAAAATTCGTTATACACACGGAGTGGATGTGTAGGATCTACGGAACGCTGGAGATGGACTTTACCAGCGTCGAGCGTGTGGTTGAGCTCCTCGACATCGAAACTGAAGCACCCGGCGTTGTCAAGCCGCCCGCACATTGGCCTACGTACAGTGGTGACATTGAGTTCGACGATGTGACCATCCGTTACGCACAGAACCTTGAACCTGCGCTTCAGAACGTCACCCTAAAGATCCCAGCAGGCTCCAACACGGCAGTAATTGGGCGCACGGGTTCTGGCAAGTCCACTCTGGCCCTCTCTCTTCTCGCCACTATCGCGGCTGAAAACGGTAGAATTCTTATTGATGGGATCGATATATCTACCGTGGATAAACAAGCCCTCCGCAGCCGCGTTACTTTCCTGGCTCAAGAGCCTGTCCTCTTCTCGGGAACCATGCGCAAGAACCTAGACCCTCTGTCTGTCTACTCTGACGCTTCTTGTCTATCTGTGCTGCAAAAGATTGGCGGCGACCAATACGACTGGACTCTCACGACCCCCATCGAGGGCGGGGGTAAGGGTCTTTCGCAGGGCCAACGACAGCTTGTCGGATTAGCTAGAGCCATGTTGAGAAGGAGTCCGATACTGATCATGGATGAAGCGACGGCTAGTATCGATTTCGAGACGGCACAGAGGATTCAAAGCGTACTGAGAGAGGAAATGAAGAGTAGTACGGTGGTCACCATTGCACATCGGTTAGAAGCAGTCAAGGAGGCAGACTACTGTGTGGTGCTCGGGAAGGGCAAGTTAGTCAAAGCCGGTAAAGCCGAAGACATGCTTAGGGAAGGTGGGGAATTCCAGGGTATGTTGGCCTAGATGTTGAGGTCCAAAGCCTTGCTCGTTCAAAAAGATTGTCATAAAAGGGTGTATGGTAGGTAAGGTAGATATCGGGTCATGGTCTCGATTTTCAGAAAAGTTTTGGATATAGATTATTTGCATCGTTTAGCTAATGCTTGACAAACCTCTTATCGTCCTATCTTTTCTGAGATGTTACTACGTTGGGCAGGTTGGTCTTGCCGTCGATGACAGTAGTTCCAGCCCGAGGTCCACGGCTATCTGTGACTAGCGCGATATCAAGCTGCCAAGATCAAGGTGAAAGTGAGTATACGATTACTTGTAAACATGGGTTTCCCATTACCGATCTTCCCAAGTGGGAAACAACCCAATAAAGTGTGGATTGCTGTAGTTTCTGACGGACCTTTACGGTCTGTAACGGCCCCGATCCGAGGCTGGATTGTTCTCACCTTAGCATGAGAAGTCTTTGTTACGACATCCTTGAGTCTAACGCATAGTCCTCAAATACAACGAGGGAGCGGAGAACATCAATAGAGGCATGCTAAGAAAAAGACATATGTCAATAATCATATAGTCTTCTGAGTCACTTGAATCCATCATCCAGTTTTTCACCGGTTGTCAGCATTGGAAAACGAATGTGGCTGCTGAAGCCGGGTTCCGGGTTTAAGCATGAGGCTTGCGTGGCACCGCCACGATTTGCGTTAGCAGCAACAAGGATGTGTGATGCGCGCATTGGTCGCAGTGGGAAATCGCGAACGCCGCATCTTCCGCGTCTGTAAAGCCTCACAATCCCTAGTTTGACCTCATATCCGCAGTCATCAGCATGCGGTGACACCCGAAGAACCTCCTCCAAACTTGTACTCAACTTGGAATCGACTTGCCATCTCAACGATCGCGGTACCACGATTCGGAGGTGTCGTAAGCTCCGCAACCAAACAGCATCACGCGGACCCCCGAGATGGCTGCTACGCCATCAGACAGCAACGGAGCCTCTACGGGCGACCATGAACTTGAGGTCATGGCGGACAACAAGCCCAGCCTTCCAGTGGAGGAGGATATCATGCAGTTAGCTCGACTGGGAGAGATCGGGGCTATACAGAAACTCTTCGACAGCGGCAAGTTTGATGCGACATTCAAAGATGAGCAGGGCATAACACCGCTACATGTACGCACAAAAGACTACTTGAGAATACCACAAGGCTAACTGTAAGCAGTGGGCCGCCATCAACAATCACTACGCTCTCTGCCACTTCCTTATCCAAGCCGGTGCGCCCATCAACGCAAAGGGCGGCGATGCCGTTGCAACACCCGTCCTCTGGGCTGCGAAGCGTTGCAACTACTACATTGTCAATCTCCTCCTTGACCACGGCGCCGACCCTCTCCTCACCGACGACCAGGGCTTCAATCTCCTGCACAGCGCGACGCTCGATGGCAATGTGTACCAGATCGTTCTGCTGCTACACCAGGACATACCGGTGGATATCCCAGACCCCCAGAGCCACACCCCACTCATGTGGGCAGCGTACAAGGGCTATCCGTCCTGTGTAGATTTGTTTCTGAGATGGGGTGCGAACGTATATGCGACAGATGACCAGGGTTTCACCGCGCTACATTGGGCGCTCGTAAAGGGAAGCCAAGGATCAATACAGAAGCTGCTAGAGTATGGGGCAGACCGATTCGCCAAGAATAACGATGGCAAGACACCAGAGGTTACGGCACAGGAGATGAACACTACCCGACAATGGCGTCGCGCTCTTATGGAAGCTGGTTTTGACCGAAACGGAAACGCGAGACAGTTCCCGATCCCAGGTGTGAAGGACACGAGGTGGTTTTTGAGCCGATTCATATTCTTCTGGCCGTTTGCTATACTCTTCGCTGCGCTTTTCCTCGTTAGTCATTACCCGGCGTTTATTGGTATACCCTTGGCGTTGATTGTTGCGTACCTCATGCAATGGGGAGCACAGAAGCTTTTGCGATGGGGTCCCTCGAACATGCGAAGCATACATCATACTGTAAGTCTACCGCTGTATCACTTGTGCCTTGCCGCTGACAAGCTTCCAGCCGTTCTTAGCCGGCATCTTCGCTGGCACACTGTTCTGGGTTGGTCTCCGCTGGGCAACAACAGTCCTCCCCTGGACGATTCGGACGAACTTCTTTCTAAACTTTCTATTTGCGGCATTTTACGGACTCACGGCCTATTTCTACTTCTTCACCATGACCGCTGATCCCGGCTTTGTACCCAAGTCGTCGAGCAGGAGTGCCTCCAAGGCGGTTATTGACGAGCTTATGGAGCTACGACAATTTGATGAACGCCACTTCTGTGTAAACTGTATGGTGCGGAAACCCTTGCGCAGCAAACATTGCAAGAGGTGCGAGCGCTGCGTTGCGAAGAGTGATCAGTGAGTAGCCCACATTGGCGGTGTAGGACAGCGCTAACTATGTCAGTCATTGTCCATGGGTGAACAATTGCGTCGCGAACAACAACCACAGACATTTCGTGCTATATGTGTTATCACTAGAACTCGGAATTGTCTGTTTCATAAGGCTAGCGCTTGCTTGTAAGTCAACACCCCTTAGCCTGGCTCGTGAAGCTAATATCGGTAGATTTGGAAATACGTGATGCGCCCAAGGATTTCCCCAAGTGCGCGGTCATCTCACCGGAGCTTTGCAAAGTCCTCAACAAAGACCCATTCACAATTGTACTCTCAATATGGGCCGCCTTCCAGTTGACATGGGTGACCATGCTTCTCTGTGTCCAGCTTCTCCAGATCGCGCGCAATCTTACAACCTACGAAAGCATGCGCGGACATCTTCATGGTGGCACACCTGCCGACGCAATCAACTCCTTCGTGACGACTGGCGATACTAGTCAAGACGTATCTGGTGGTGCAGGCAACGCCCCTACGAACGGTTTCGGCTCCGGCCAAGACACAGGCGATGCCCCACGTCGTCCTCAACCCCAGGCTTCTATTTGGGACCAATGGAAGCGTCTCCTTGGAATCGACACCTTCCTCACTATTGCGCTTCACGGAAGCCAAGGAGAGCAGATAATGCGGCAAAGACGAAGCAACCCCTTTTCACGAGGTATCGTTACGAATTGCAAAGATTTCTGGTGCGATACCAGCCCAATGTTTGGTTCAAAAGAGAGTGGGTTTGCAAGGTTGGGTGGTGAGAGAGTGGATTATACGAGGTTGTATGAGGTGCCCAAGATGAGGTATCAGAGAGGGGGTGGGGATGAGGGAGGGCGATATGAGAATGTGGCTGCGGAAGAGGAGTCATGATCACGATGCAGGTAGCAACAATGTTAATGATGATGAACAGTGTAAGTCGGTGTCTGAACCCAAGTATGTGTAAATACTCATGATGAGGTTTGGGAGGTTTTCCTATCGGCTACTGAAATGTGGCCGAGATCCCTGCAGCTTCACCAGACCGGAAGTCAAAAGCCGAGGCTGCAGCGAAGAAACTCCCCGCGCCACCCTAAACAACCCGTCGTGGGTCGCGCACATGCTTGACGCTCCACAGCCCTATTCAACTTCGTCGTGTGGCTTTGCTGAGCTTTCCTTTTCCACTATGCCATAGACTCAGCTCAAGTTACCTTTTTTCCTACTGTTACATCGCAAGCTTTTAGGCTGCGCGCCGAATGTCGAAAATGACATCATCCGAGGCCCTGAGAGGGTTGAGGACCCTTTCGCGATGCGCTGGCCCGACGCCGAAGAGAATTGCCGTGGGACGCAATCTGGCAGTTGATGGCAAGAGGGCGATTTGCACAAACTGCACAAGAAGACTAAGAGAGGGGAGGAATGCGCCAGGGTATACTGCTGCGCGCACGAGCAACGTTGCCCAGGTGCCGAACAGAGTTTCGTTTGCGCCAGCGGGTTGCAGAGGGTATGCACAGGCTGCGCGTGAGTGTATGTTTCATGATTTAATAAATTACTAAGAGTAATATGAGTGCTGACCTTCACAGATGCAACTGAAGACCCTGAGCGAACCCATGGCCCCATGGCCGAGTACGATGCGCGCGTCGAATCCGGACGATTACGAGACGACGAGCACCAACGCAATATTATCAAAAACCTTCAAGATCTGCACGACATGTTGAAATCCTACGAGCAACCGCCAGTCCAACAACCTACCATCGAGTCCCTCCAACCGCCCAAGAAATCCTTCTTCTCCTTTCTTTCATCATCCAAACCCGCGGGGTCGTCCCTACCACCCATACCGGACTCGCTACCAAAGGGCATGTACATGTTTGGCGATGTAGGCAGTGGAAAGACAATGATGATGGATTTGTTCTACGACACACTTCCACCAAACATCAAGAGAAAGACAAGGATACATTTCCACGCCTTCATGCAGAGCGTACATAAAGATTTACACAAGATGAAGATGCAGCACGGGAACGATATCGACAGCATACCATTTGTGGCAGCGGGCATAGCAGAACGCTCCTCTGTTCTCTGCTTCGACGAGTTCCAATGTACGGACGTTGCTGATGCTATGATCCTCAGGAGGTTAATGGAGAGTTTAATGGCCCATGGGACAGTCGTCGTCACGACGAGTAACAGACACCCAAACGATCTTTACAAGAATGGAATACAAAGGGAGAGTTTCGTACCTTGTATCAATCTCCTAAAAACGAGGCTTACCGTATTGAACCTGGATTCTTCGACAGATTACAGAAAGATCCCACGGCCGCCAAGTGGTGTGTATCACCACCCTCTAGACGCCTCTGCACAAACACACGTAGAGAGATGGTTCCGCTTCCTCGGCGACTTTGAGAACGACCCACCGCACCCGGCCGTTCACGAGGTCTGGGGAAGAGAAGTCCGTGTGCCGAAGGCTAGTGGGAAGTGTGCCGTGTTTAGCTTCGACGACATCATCGGACGCGCTACGGGAGCAGCCGACTATCTGGAACTCACGAGGCAATACGAGGCGTTTGTCATTACAGGGGTGCCTGGGATGAACTACAGGTCAAGAGACTTGGCGCGGAGATTCATCACCTTTATAGATGCCGTGTACGAATCCAGAGTAAGCAAGATACCAGTAGTGTGGGAGCCTGTAAAAAAAGGGCTCGTGATTGGAGTATACTAGACTAACGTAAAACCAGGCCAAGCTAGTAATGACCACAGCTGTTCCCCTAACAGCCCTTTTCCTCGACCAATCCGAATTAAACGACGCTGTAACCGCTACACAGAAAGCTGGGAAACTTCCCACCACCGCTTCCTCTTCGTCCAAACCACCTGCTAAATCTCCCGAAGCAGATGACCATGAAGCTATCTCGGACGTTATGCGTAATCTCATGGATGACCTTGGCATGAACATGGATATGTTGAAGAACAGTAGTATCTTCTCTGGCGACGAAGAACGATTCGCGTTTGCTAGAGCGTTGTCGAGGTTGAGTGAAATGGGAAGTCAGGAATGGGTTGAACGTGGATTGGGTCTTGAAAAGAGAGGTGGAAAGGGAGAGATGGAAGGATGGCAGAAGGTTAGGAGTAGATGGAGAGAGGATAACATGTAGGATGGATCGCTTACATTATACCATACTCTGCTTTTAAAGCAATGCTTTTGAAGCTATCCCATTTCCACTGAACGAGGTATGCCACGAACCCGAGTGTCATACAAAGAGAGAAGCTGATTGTGAATTGAGATGAAGCTCACACGCAGAGGCAGAAAACATTGTGGACAAATTCTCGAAAACAGGGCGCTGTACAACGATGTGCGTAGACTGGATTTGACTTTCCAGCGCATGCCTGTACTTACGGATACGGGTATGCATGGCGAATAGTTGTTACCGCCTGAAGCGGGCGACACTCTTGTCTTTAAAGTGATGTTGTGGAGATGGAGAACAAAGAAGACGATTGCGGAACATGTCTTCGATCTTGATTCAGTGAATATCAAGATAGTCATGATCGACGCATCTCTTGGTAAGGTAAGCCGCGATGTGCAATGCGATCCCTATAGCAGACCATGGTGTACGTGTCATGTCATGAATCGCCGTTATCGTATCAGCGGATGGAAATAATGCGAAATCATGGTGGTGAGCAAGCATGCGGTTGATCGACCCGCTCCAATTGACCGAAACCTGCGGAGCCGCGGTTTGGCCGACATGATGTTCGCTGGCACAGACATGATCGCCTCGTGTTCGCCAATATTGCTCCGCTCCAATATGGTTGTCGGGCAGCAGCGTTGGGGGCTACATTCCGTTTGATACGAACACGGGCTGCATGCTCTGTGAACCATGTGTTATAGGCAAGTAATCTTACAAGTAACGCAGCGGAAACGGCGGAGACGGCAAGTATCGCGTGCCTCACGGATGTGGCTGGAGAGATGTTGCAACGAGGACCATGACTGCGCATGTCTGAGCACGACTAAGGATGTTGGCGGTGAAGGTCGAGGCAACCAATGGGGCGGCTGGTCTCAGCCATCCCAAGTCACATGGGCCTTGGCAGCACGTCATCGCACTGGCGCTAGCAATGGTAGCCGCGATATGCACGAACGCGGGCAAGCGATAACACACTTTCTTGAGCACGCGCATTGTCTGTAGTAACCACATGTTTATGCTGCCTCCCCAACGTGGATATGGAGACTCCACATCCCGTCACCTGTTCTTATCGCGCATCTGCAGCGTCGTGGAGACTTAGGGTGTTGGTGTGGGGAAAGGGTCCTCGTGAGTCTTGTGCTGAAGGGACTAGTCATCAGAGCCTTGGTATCGATCACAGGTTGCGCCGTCTGATATAGACCTTGCTGGCTCTTACATTCCTCCTTCTCCGGTTGAAAGAATTGTACTCTGGGTAGACGGCATGGTCAACTTCACACCCTGGCGGAAGCCGCAAGCAGTTGATGAGAGTGGCGTGGTTTCGACTGCCACATCCACACAAGAGAAGGATGCCCCTCGACGCAGGTGGAATCTGGGAATCCTTAGCGACCCACAGACTGACGAAGTGCCTGGTAAGCAACCCTTTGTATCAGTATATTATAAGCGGGTGGCGGACTAACACCTTCTCACAGGCTCCGTTATCCTCCTTTCCAAAACGCACAACCGCAACGAACCGTTGGGACTCCAACATGCCCACGCACGCACATCGGCTTCGTCTCTACCCACGGCGTACCGTCCCCGGCCTCAGCGGACTGCCTCGCAACCAGGCTCCCGTCAGTCGTCTCGTTCCCGACTGCCGGAGAAGAAGCGTACAAAGGACGGTCGCTTCATTCTGGAACCTCAGCCCGAAGAATCGGCAAACGACCCGCTTAACTGGGCACAAGTGCGACGAGATCTCGCTCTCGTCTCGCTGGGCTTCTACTGCATGATCGGAGGAGGAATGACGCCGTTGTTAGCCGCTGGTTTCAACGACGTTGCTGAGACATACGACGTGACAATTCCTCAGGTGGCATTGACTACAGGCCTGTACATGCTGGGACTTGGTATGGGTAGCGTTTTCGCGTCACCTACTGCCATCCTGTTCGGAAAGCGACCCGTCTATTTGGGTGCCATCATACTATTTACCATCTCCTCAATATGGTGCGCCGTATCACCCAACTACGCCTCCCTGGTGGTGGCTCGCATCGTCCAGGGCTTTGCTGTCTCCCCAGTCGAGTGCCTACCGAGCGCTACCATTGCCGAGATCTTCTTCCTCCACGAAAGAGCCTACCGTCTGGGTATCTACACGCTACTTTTGCTTGGCGGGAAGAATCTGATCCCCTTGGTCAGTGCCGCTATTGTGCAATCGCTGGGATGGCGGTGGGTGTTCTGGATCACGGCCATTATCGTCGGTTTCTGCTTCTTCCTCATTTTCTTCTTCGTGCCCGAAACCTTTTGGGACCGAGCACCAAGGCCAGCTAAGCGACACAATCGCGCTCGTAGCAAGAGTCCAGGGCAACACAATGGACACTTCCATCTACCACACCTGCATCACAAGAAGGCTGTCGATGCATCACGAGCACAGAACGCATCCTCAGTTCCAGCAACACCTTTGCCTACATCGCCTCTGGCATCGCCTAATGAGCTCCCCACCAAACGCCACAAGACTGCACACGTTGGATTTGCCGAGCCAGAGCCCATTGACAAGATTGACCATGCAGATGTTACTGGTGAGACAAGACGACAGGCAAGTGCTCCGCCGACTCCGCGTTCTCCGATGAGCATACATTCCACACCTGGCGAGAACCCGCGTCAGGACTATTTTGGACAGCTCCCAGAAACCACTGTAGCCGACCCGGAGAAGCAAGATAGTCGTGCTGGCAGCGAACACATATCGACTGATCCTGCCGAATCCGACCACGTCTCAGAACAGTTTTCCATCCACTATACCGACTACTATCGTGATGCCCCACGAAAGTCGTATCGTCAGTCGCTCAGGCCATGGAATGGACGTCTCGTCAAGGACAGGTGGCTTCGTGTTGCCATCCGTCCGTTTATCCTCTTTGCCTATCCTGCCGTCCTTTGGTCATCGCTCGTCTACGCTCTTGCTGTTGGTTGGTTGATTGTGCTGTCTGAGTCAGTTGCACACATCTACCACGATACGTCGTATAACTTCACCCCGCTCCAAGTGGGCCTCGTCTATATTTCGCCATTTGTAGGTGGTGTTCTCGGTACCGCAGTAGCAGGTCGAGTTTCCGATCTTGTAGTACGGTTCATGGCGCGTAAGAACGATGGCGTATACGAGCCAGAATTCCGTCTCCTCATGGCGGTACCAATTACCATTAGCACTGTCATCGGACTCATGGGTTTTGGTTGGAGTGCAGAAGAAAGGAACAATTGGATTGTCCCTACCGTCTTCTTTGGCGTCATCAGCTTCGGATGCTCGCTGGCTAGTACCACGGCCATTACTTTCGTCGTTGACAGTTACCGCATGTATGCTGGCGAAGCGCTTGTGACGCTTAATTTTTCGAAGAGTACGTTGAAACCCAAGATACCTGCTTCGGTCACATGGATGCTGACACAATTGAACAGACGTTTTACACGGCTTCATCTTCTCCCTCTTCTTCCCACATTGGCTTGAATCAAGTGGTAGCAAGGATACGTTTTTGGCAATTGGAGGCATTCAATTAGGGTGCATGCTTTTCAGTATTCCCATGTACATATATGGTAAGAGGGCACGGATGTGGACTGTTAGGAAGAACTTGATGGAGAAATTTTAGAGGCGTTTATTAGATGCAGGGGCATGAATAGAATGGACTTGCAAGATGCAGTCATCCCCTTCTAGATCTGTTGTATTCTCTACTCGTCAAGTTGTGAGCAATATTGCCATGCTTAGTGTATCAGTAGGTGCATAGGAACCGTTTGTCACATAACATGGTGCTAGGAATGCCTATTTGGAACCTGCGAGTTGGATAGGCAGTCTTACCATGGTAGATGCAAAGTACGAAATTCTCTTCATTGGTCGCAGAGGATAGCTACGTGCCGTGTGTATGCCAGCTGACAAATCCCGTCGTCTCTTCGAAACTGACAGCTTTGTGTTGTGCCCGACATGAACGTCAATCGATAAACCTAGTACACCGCTCGTTGCTTAGACGACGGTGGCTCACACTTGGCGGCGGGCAGTATTTTGCGCTCGATGCACCAGGCGGCCCACGCTCAGGATACATCTAACAGCCCCTTCAACACCAGATTGAACACTCACACCGCCTATATCACCGTTTTTGGACTTGCTGGATATATTTCTTGTCTCCAAGTAACTCGCAGATTACACCTCACACACAATGGTAAGTAAAGTCTTTTCTTCTTCAGGAACTTGGACCCCGCATCGCTCGTGGCTTCTGGGCAATCGTTGGTTGGCCGCCGCGGCCAGGTCGTCCCTGCCCTGGCGTGCGGGCGATGGGCAGCGGCGACTGGCTGCAACAAAACAGCGCGCGTGCTTCAATCTGTTACACGTGCTGTCAACATTGCACCTTCACATTGCCACCAGCAGCAGCAGCAGCAGCAGCAGCAGGCATCTCGAACGAACGCAACAACAACCCCACTACTAGCGATTTGATAAACGAGAAAAGAACAGCCATGGATAACAATAATCAGGCCTCCACCAACTACCGCGAAGCTTTCCAGCTCTTTGACAAGCGCGGCAACGGCCGTGTCGACCGCGGCGCACTGGGCGACCTTCTCCGCGCATGTGGACAGAACCCTACACTGGCTGAGATTGCCGATCTGGAGCGTGGTGTTGGCGCAGACTGTACGCATCCCATATACCCGCATCCGCCATCCAAGCGTCTTGCACCTGCTGCCTATGGACGTCAAGGCTAACTAACAACTCACTCACAGTCGACTTCGACACCTTCTCCAAGATTCTCAACCGCCCCGGCGGCTTCCGCGAACCCTTTGATATCGAGGAATACATCCGCGGCTTCCAAGTCTTCGACAAGGACCGGAGCGGCTTTGTCGGCAAGGGCCAGATCAAGTACATTCTGACCAACTTGGGCGAGAAGATGAGCGAGGAGGAGGTGGATGAGCTGTTCAAGAGCACCATCGATGCGAGCAATAACGAGGTGGACTACAGGGGTAAGTTTCCACATCCCTGATTGCGCGCGGAGGGACTCTTGACTAATTATTGATTGCAGAGTTCGTCAAGACGATTGCGGAGAACTAATGTTGGTTCTTGCGATTCTTCGTCCCAATCTTCTTCTTCTCTATTGAGATTTTATGCGAGCATGTCTGAAACGGGTCACGGTTTTTTTGCATGCAGATTACGTCGGCGTTGGAATTGTCTTAACATGATATACATATACACTTCTTTGATATCTGCACACTAGGGCAGCAGGGCATAGGAGTCGGATAGCTCGGGAGCAGCGAATCAAGATGCACCGACAATATCGTCATAAGCAAAGACTGAAGTCACGCAAGTAACACACATATGTTCAGGTGACATTTTGATGTAAACAGGGAATGCAACTCTGTTTTTGGATCCATAAGGGACGCTGTCTGTCTGTAAAGATGTAGGCTTCTTTCCTCCTGTAGCATGAGAAGCCTTGCGCGTTCACTAATGGGGTATCTAGATGTGATGATGATGATGATGATGATGATGAAAATGAAATAAAACGTCCCGCTGATCTGCACGTCCAAACTCCAAAAAAGCAACTGAAATCAATAAACGCCGAAACCAAAAATCGTCAGGGAAGGGGGCAATCGTAATCATGATTCCATAAATTCTTGTTGAGGAAACTTGTGCACGCTTCCCCGTGGAGTGAGCAACGGAAGGCGGGGAGCCCCAGAACTCAAACGGCGACGCAGAACGGACGGATCCCGCCTACACCTTGACCTGGGTGACACTGACAGTGCCCATGCCCGCGCCGCCGACTGCTGAGGCGGATGCAGACGCGGTAGCCGCCTTTCCCATAATCATGTCGCTCGTCTTGACGAAACCGCCTGGGAGAAGGAAGACGTAATCCTCTCGCCTACCGGACCGATCGACGGAGAATTGTTGCCAGTCCAACTGGTAGCCTACAACCAGATTGCATCGTCCACAGCGTTGTAGGTATCGCTTCTCGAAGCCCTCGTCGCTGGTGATGATCTCGGCTTGGCGGTCTTGTCGGGTCGAGAGGAGGAGTCCGTAGTGATCCTGCGACAGCGCGTTCTTATTGCGACCAGAAGTGGGTGCTGGCGGAAGCGGCATGATATGTGCGGCATCGCGCGTGTGTTGGCGTTTGGGGAGAGAGGGGAGCGGTGTCGTGGTTGCAAGTAAGAGGTGGTTGCACAGGCAGTGGTAGGTGTAGACTGTGTTGCTGGCCTGGAGGGAGATCTTCTCCTCTGGAGTGGGAGAAGGCATGGCGAAGTAGGCGCGGGAAGTAGTGGCAATATCCATCGTAGAGGTTGTGGGTGTTGGGACGAGTCGGGAAGTTTGATAGTTGTTGGTATCGGGGATTTTATGCTTATGAACTTTAAGAAGCGATGTGGCGAGACCTTATGTAGTCGTCTAGAAGCGATGCGCGGTACCGACCAACGGAAACCGTGGTTCGATGGGGACAGTGAGAACGTGGGCTGGTGCGTGTGTGGTGGTAGTCGCGCTATGTAATCGGGGTGGAAGGTTGTGGAATATGGTATATCCGACTTGGGTCCAGAAGCGCAGAATATCGGAGGTCCGACCCTCTTATACTTGGACCGAAGCAATCTGTAAACGAACCCTGATGCTGGTTCTTACGCTTAAGAAACAAGCGAGCGTGGTGGAACTGTGGGGATCCTTCCTGTCTCGTCGTGCACAATGTACGATCGCCGCAGTGCAGTGTGCCAAGTCAATTAATAGTAGTTTGTGGCTTGTCTGTGCAAAGGCGGGTGAGGCGGAATCGTGTTTGTTCTGGAGGGCAATTTGTTTGAAAGACGGTCCGGGCTCGAAACCCAATACTCCAGCCAAGCTCAGTTATGAGACCCTCTTGGCGTGTCTTGTTGGTGGAGTTGCGGCTGTTCAAGTAAGCTAAGCTGGGAGTCAGAGGTGTGCTATCAGAAAAGGTCTGAGTAAAGGGTCCACTAGGTGCTCCACAGCAGTAACGCGTATTGATAAGAGCAAACCGCGTGCATTGGAGTCACGCAGAGGCTATGTTGGGGAGGTAAGATTTATAGTGTAATAGGTGGCCGGCGGTGGATGAGTAAAAGGCCAGAGGGCGTCGGCGGCGTCATGGCGCCAGCAGGAGAGCGACATGTCAAAAGCACCGGGCAAACCCCACCATGTCTCCCCACGGTGTTGGATCTGGTTGTGCGAATGGATTTGCAGCACCTCACCACGCGTCGCATCGGACGTGTGACAGGTGCTGAGATTGGGCCGAGAACGGGGTCCTCTCCTCTCCTCAAGTCGTCGCCTCGAGTTTCCGGTGTAGCGTCGGCGCTAAAGAGAGTGGGGTGAAGGAGGTATGGCGTGCATACGCAGTAGAAGGCGAGGAAAGTTCCGTGTGGTTTCGGCGCGCCGCCGCCCGCGTCTGCGCCTGCGGTGAGACTGCTTGGCGCCTCAGTACCTGCGACGCCTGTTAGACACGATTTGAGGCGACGAACCGGGGAGAATGCCGCTCACAAAGGATGCCATCAAGTTTGGCACCTTTGTGGTTACGAACCAGGTGCGTTGTACCTATGCGGCCGCTGTTGCACTTCACAAATCACGAGAATAAACAAGTCAAGCTGACTATGTGTACGTAGGTCTTCCACGTAACGCGCCTATCCTTTGCCATAGTCAACCTCAAGCCCCTCCTGCCTGGCCATGTCTTGGTATCACCGCGCCGTATCGTGCCGCGTTTCAACGACCTGTCCTCCGCCGAAGTGCAGGACCTATTCTTGACTGTGCAGCGGGTATCCCGCATGGTGGAGCGAGTCTTCAGTGCCTCATCCCTGAACATCGCCATACAAGATGGCATAGACGCTGGTCAGAGCGTGCCTCATGTCCATGCACACATCATCCCTCGCAAGAAGGACGATCTAGAAGAGAAGGGTGGCACCGACGCTATATACGGTATGATGGAGAGCGAGGATGCGGACCTGAGCAAGCAGCTTGCCGACAAGGAGAGGGCAGCCAGTGCACATCTCGCTGGAGACGAAAAGAAAGGAGGCTTCCCTGCTGTCGACAATGATAGCCGCAAGCCCCGGAGTGACGACGAGATGCAGAAAGAGGCCGAATGGCTGGCAGAGGAGATGGCTAGGGATGGACAAGACGAACAGCCAGTTGCCTGAAAGCTCTCGTTCGTATCGCAGTATCTGCATAGATGCCTGACTATCAGCTGTGGTCTGCACGTTCGAGCCTGAGCCCCGCCTCATACCAGTAGATGATAGACGGTACATATACGGGCACTGGCAGTCCAGACCACTTTGTCCTTTCTGTAGACGAATGCCCTTCGTGGTCACAATCCAGCTAGGTCTCGAGGTTCTTCCTACAGTCCACCTAGGTCTCGAGGTTCTTCCTACAGTCCACCCAATTGGCTCGTGTGCCACCGTACCTTTCCCGCTTTCTTGATGTCGAGTAGACCACTACCTTTGGAAACACCACAAAATCTCTTGTACTTTCCGTTGCATCAGTAATGTCAGGGCTCTCGTCCACGTCTGCACCTTTGTCTGCGGCGTAGTAAACCTGGTCTTGGGGCTGCAGCCTGCACATGTACATCTACGCCCCAACACCGCGCCTTCTTCTGAATCTCTCCTCCAAACGCCACCGCCTATGACAGACTTCCGCCTTCTAGATCTCCCAGCCGAACTCCGATACCACGTATACTCTTTCTTGATCCCACAAAACATGGCGATCACATTCGAACACTGTGGTTGGTTGGAGAGTGGCGAACCTGACTGGACTACCAACGGGTTTCGAAACGGTGAAGACGTCCCCTCTAAGGTAGGAGGTAATCACTTCTACAGGAACACCTCAGTGCGTCGCTGGAACCATATCACGGTTGAGACGCAGCTATTCCGAGTGAACAAATTCGTCTCAAATGAAGCGCTATGTAAGTTCTTCATATGACGCGCATCAACCCTTATTAAGTGCTTCAGCGGTTCTTTACGGATCGAATACATACAAATTCACTGTCCATGGACAAACCATGTGGCCAAAGTCACTACGGAGTCCATTCGTCTTCGGACCTCTTGGCCACCCCGATCGGCTCCCATTACTACGCAATCTACGAAGCATCCATATCGAGGTAATTTCTGATGTCAATAGCCATTGGGCAGTTAAGCGTCAGCGGTCACGATTAGAGTATCTTGTCGAAACCCTAAAAGAGCATGCAGATGACAGCGACCAGAAGCCTCTATTGGACAACCTGAAAGTCGATTTTCAGTTTGTCTCACAAATGACAGTTGAATCTATCTATAGGAACACTGCCGGCCATATCGCGCATCTCTGTATTCCCATGAACATGGAGAAGTTCATTTTCGGTCTCGAAAGCCTCTCATCACTTCGTGGCATCAAGGATGTGGAGATTACTGGGTTACCGGAGTGGTATACGAAGTGTCTACAATTATCGATACAAGGTAAAGGAGGAGATCTTAAAGAGACGGACTGGCTTCTTGTTGGAACCAGGCGTCGTGTGAGCAGGAATAGCGCGCACTGGAAGAAGCAGTTGGTATCGACTCGCAAATGGCATCAGCCCACGCTGGATTGGAAGGAGTTTGCGGAGTGCAATGATGTTACCACTCCAGTTGACATCGACAAGTTCTGGGCAATCGAGAGATAGTTTTGTTTGGTCCTGATTTCCTTTGTGTTGGTCCGCCCATGTTAGTTGTAGAAACAACAGCGATGGTCGAAATGCAGGTAGGAACATGGCAATCGTGAAGTCCAAGGCTGTGCGACGTCCGGAAGAGTGAAGATGACAATTAGCATGTGGCAGAGCTCCTGCGTGCGCTTCACAGCTCATTCAGCAAATGAAGCAACCACGACTGTCAATAAATATTTGATAACGTCTCTGGCTTGAAAGGAAGACTTTGATGACTACACGTACAGTCACAGACGTGTGACTCTCGCTGTCTCACTTCGAGATGCGCAGTTTGCCCCACGTTTGCTGATTGATTGGCTCGCGAGCATGACGCGAACTACGACCATGACCTAATGACTCCCTATCGCGCCGCGGCCTTTATCGCCATCTGTCCCTGAACACATCCTTAATCTGTGGTAGTACTTCTGTGCTCTTGCCTTCTATTCAGGTATCTTGCTTTCTGAACCTGCTAGCATCACTCTCTCTTTAACGCCATCTATACTACTCTTCCCCGTAGTTCGTACCATCATCGCCACCACAATGGCCGTCGGCGATATTCCCTCAAGCCCGCAGCAGGCAAATGCCCCACGTCAACCTATCGATATCGAAGCGTGGACCGAGCAGGCGACTGTTGCGCTCAGCTCTGTGGCTATATCTGCCCCTGGAGACGCGGTTCAAGGTACCTCGGTTACGCTTGCGATCCCGCTCGATGAACACGATGCGCCTGTCACTGCTGCATACCCCGTAGGTGCCTCAGCAGCTGCAAAGGAAGGCGGTTACTATCATCGCAAAGAACCGCTACGCCGCGATAGCTTGAAAAGGCGTGAAGCTCTGTTGAGAGGCAAGGAAGGGACTAGGCGCAGGCAGAGGTGGGAAAATGGTACGTTGACGGTTGCCCCTCCCCCTTCTCTCGGAGACGCTTTACGCATTACAACACGACCCTCTGATCATCACCTGCACTGCGGATAATTCATCGTTTAAAGTACGCGTCGATTGATTTCTAGCCAGACCGCCTCCTGAACAACCCTCACGCCGAGCCTCCACTGCCAAAGGACTGGGAAGTACACCCTACCTATACGGCCAAGAATGTACCCTACTATCTCGCTCCTCTCTGGGACGCAGGCCTCAAGCGCCAGTCCAATGAACGCAAGACTGCTGCTGTCGCCCAGAAGACTGCGACCAAGACCGTAGCCAACAAGCCCACAACTCCCGGCGTCGTGCCCAAGGAGCTGCGCGAGAAGCTCAAGCGATCGCGTGGTGCCAAGGGTCTGCTCATGGACCTCGAGGGCGAGGTACGCAAGTTCGTCGCGGACTGGGAGGAGAAGGAGCGCAAGGCAGAGCAAGATGGCTTACCTGCTGATCCAGACAGCGAGGACGACGAGATTGTCTTCGTTGGAAGGAATGGGCAGATGAACGATCTCCGCTCGCCTACAGAGGCCGAGTCTATCAAGAAGGAGCTTATGCTTTTCGAGACACCCGAGGAAGACGTTGGAGGCAGCTTCGGACGCTGGCTCGTACATCACATCGGTGTCTACTATGGCTTGAAGACGTGGAGTGTTACTGTCGGTAACCCAGCCAGGCGCGAAGCATATGTTGGCTTGAAGGGTGCGAAGCTCAAGGCTGGGAACAATGGCAGTCAGGTCTGTGACACTTTGCCTCGACCGCTCTATGGCTTGGTCTAGTCTGTCCTAGCCTCAAGCTTGTCTCAAGATCTTTAGCGCTCTCGCTGGTCCCTCAGTTGGTCTGCTTTACTCATGTACAATGGATAGTACATGGGCTTGTAATCCGCATGTGTCCGCGGTCTCGAGTTTTCACTGCTCGCATTCGCATCTGCATCTGCATATAGATGGGTGGACTGTTACTCATGAATCGCATCGCATCGCATCGCATCAGCATATATTTGCTTTTAAGTGTGTGCATACACTAGCGGACATGTCATTTTTAAAGAAAGCCTGGCCCAACAGCTAACCGTACTGGTGATCCTCTGCCCAAATAGAATCGCGAGCTGAGTTGGAGTGATGTGGTGTACTAAAACGTGAACCAAACATCCAAAACCAGTTCTGCTGGGAACATTCTTAATAAGATCTGGGACATGATTTGAGCACCCCGGTCTGGAATGAAGATAAATCGAGTAACTACTTGCGCAGGTAGTTGGATGATCTGCCGAGAGGAGCAATTCCGTAGCTACTCTCACTCTAAAGCTCTTCATAGACCATTGCGCATAGCTCAAGTGGTAATAGGCGTTGCATCTTATCGGCGAAGTCTACGTTCCAAACTCGACTGTAAGATCCTACGCTGGCTCCCGCGATTCTTTTGAGAGCGTCCCAGTGTCTTGTAGCCTTCCGGGGTTTGGAAACGAAGCCGAGTGTTTACTCAAACATACCTATTGTATAGAGCAAGTTTTCGTTCCAACGCTCGCATCCGTTGTTGTTGCAAGTCTTCGAGTCGGATGTTGATGACATCTTGTTGTTGCATGGCTCTGCCTGCAAATCAGCCTCTGCACTCATGAAGATGTCAGTCAAATGATACTCTTGTAGATGTTGGTGTGCGCCGGATATCTTCCTTCTGGCGATTTCGGTGGCACCTGCACGCAACCATCTTGTTCAAGCAGAATGTAATACTGCAAGGCGGCGATTTGCTGGCAGTGTGTAAGATTCAGGCATAATTTCAACCAAATCAAAAGAGAGAAGGGAACACGCACAGTGATGTTCACCTAGAATCGTTCTTGACTAAGTAGGCTAGCCACGCGGATACGGCCTCGATGGAGGGAACATACGGCTATCATCAGGGCATTGTGTTGGTGTGTGGCTCTTCTCTACGAATCCAATAGCATCCGGCGATAAAAGCATGCATGTGCGCCACGTGTTTTCATGGGGTTCGATGTTTCCTGAGTATCGTTCATAAAATTGATTCGTGACTATAACATCGTTGGCTGTTCGTGCAATGATAATGAACTATTCAAGTTGACTAGGCAAAGCAATCCTTATTCCATCTCATCTGACACTACTCGAACTTAGCAAAAGCAAGTTCATATGCCAGAGCAAGCGTCATCCGCGCATGCTGAAGCATGTGGTCGAAGCTGAGGTACTCAATTTTGTCCTCGGTTGTGTGAATCTTGTTGTCGCTATACTTGAAATCCGACTCAATGACAAAGGCTGATGGGTAGCCGGCCTTGGACGCGCTGGCATGATCCGAGCAGGCGTAACCACACTTTGTGAGAACATACGGGATACCACAGTAGACGGTGATGATCTGCTTGATGAACTCGGTAAGGCCAGGGTCAACAAAGTCGGTGATGACACCAACAGACTCTGGCTCGCCTGCGTCGAGCGTCTTCTGAACGTAACCAGTCATGTCCTGCTGAAGCATAGCCTTGACTTTGCGAGCCTCCTTCTCGTAGGACTGGAAAATGGCCTGCGATCCCAGAAGACCTCCTTCTTCAGCAGAGTACCAGTGAAACTCAATTGTGTTGTCTGCCTCGCCCTTGAGAATTTCTTCGGACTTGAGAAGTACGCGCAGCGCTTCGAGGATGGTCACGGTACCGCTGCCGTCATCATCGGCACCCGGGGCGGCCAGGAGAGATGGGAAGAAGAGGTTGATGCTGTCTTGATGGGCACCAATGACGATCGTCTTGTCGCTCTTGCCAGGGATGGTGGCGATGATAGAGGACTGGCCCCAGGGGTGGGGAAACGCCTTCACAGAAGCGTTGACAGCGCCTGCATCTGCGATTGTCTTGTTGACTTGACCGAGGAGCCATGCCGAGCTCTCTACGCCGTATTTCGACTTGTAATATCGGGTGTGGAATGAGGTGAAGGTCTCGAGATGCGCTCGCATGTTGTCCTTCTCCAATTTCTTGAGCAGTGGGGCGATGGTCTCATTGTATATAGGCTTTTCAGGGAACTTCACGCTCTCGGTTTTGAGCTGGTGGTTCAGCGTGCCGAGCTCTGCGTTGTGCGTGATATCGAAGAAGTTGATGTTTTGCTGGACGATGTCAGCGGCAGGCTTCAAGATACGCCTCACACAGACAGTTCTCGATGTTGAAAGTTGCGCCATACCTTGCGTAGTTCCCACTTCTCATCTTCGGTGACCCATCTTGTCTCGCCCGGCGACAGCTCAATGAGATACTCATCCGGCTCGGCGATAGTAACCTGCGGCTCTTGCAGGACAACTTGAGGGTCCTTGGGATGCGAAACCGCAGCAGCAAGGGCAGCCGTATATAGAGGCAGCAATAGTGTGGTTGACTTCATGTTTGCTGAGGATGTAGATGGTAGTGGGAGCTATGATATGGTGAAGCCTGGAGGCTTGCCGGTGCTGGGGTTGACGCGGTGATGCGGAGATAGCGGCGGAGCTATTCTAATGCGGCTAGTCCTCTATCACGAGGTCACGCGTCGCGTCCACTTCGTTCCAAAGCTCCTTGTTCGTAACTGGGCACGTTCTTCCTGGCAAAGGATGGACGTTCATATCTATGATTAAGCTCATACCTATATCCAAAGCTTGAGGGTGTTGCAATGACGCTGCTGATGAAAGGTCTAGGAAATGTCCAGCACGCAACGAGTCAACTCCACAACCGAAACCCCCCAGACGCTAATCATTCCCCATCTATCTAGGTATACACACGTTGTTACCTCTGATTAGCAGGAACCACGGCGTCGTCGATTGCCTTGTAAGTCTTGCTCAAGCTGCTGCATTTGATACGCCACCACCATAGCTACACCAGCCAGGAACAAGATGCATCTCTCCCTAGTCTCGGTGAAGATCAATGCACCCACCAATGCAAATGCCACAGCCATAGAACCTGTCATTAATGTTCTGGCGAGGAGCTGGAAGCCTCCATCTGCATTTACATAAACCGGCCGACGATGGTCCTGTATCTTCCTGAAGGCATTTCGAACTCTGTAAGCTCTGTTGACACTGTGCACAGCAGCTGCGAACACCATCGGACGAGCGCCCCCGATCGCATCTTCACTTCGATCATCTATCGTGACTTCGAAAGCGTCGTCGCTATCAGCGTCTATGATACTGCTCATAGCTCGCTTTTTACTTGTCATCCCTTCCCAATATATACGTCGAATGTCGACCTTGGCCTCGCGGCAGATGCGAGGTATCTCCCGTGCAATATGTTTGATTTGGTCTTTATCGAGATCTTCGACTTTCAGCGATAGTCGGAGGTTGATCGACGCTCTCTCCAGTGCATCCTTCCGGAAAGCGGCCTTGCGTTCCTGAGTTTGGTGCTGGTGCAGAGGTCCCAGTTGCACGGTTCGTTTGTAGCTTCGTAGTCGGTCCCATATTAGACATGGTTGCCTCTTTCGTTTCTCGTTGATCTTTTCGCACAGTTGTGTTAGCAAAAATGGTCCACCCTTCTCTGCTAGCAATTCTTCTAAAGAGTTGCAGAGTGCAGTCGTGAAAGAGTTCGGCCCAGGACCAGACGTGAACGATTCCTCAGCTGAGGCTGCTAACAACTGGTAGATCCGTGACCCAACATTTCTGCACTTGGCGGCTGCTGCACTCGCCATGCAACAATCCAATATGACAAGGGCGTCGCCTTCCATCTCGTTCAAAACCGGCACTTCCGCTTTGCGCCAGCTTGCCTTCGCCATATGTCGTCCTCTAGCGTGTGAGGGGTCCTCTTTCCTAATTGACTTAGACTCTCGACTGACACCTGCGGTGAATGACTTACGCTGATAGCTCTAGATACCCCCCTTCCTTGTCTCTGGAACCATGACCCGTGTAGTAAATGATCAGTAAACTATGAGGATCGTCATGCTTATGCACATGATCCAGTATCGCCTTGTTAATGTCGAGCTGTGGACGTTTGCTATCATTGATGGCATGTACAGAGCACTCATAGCCGAACTTATTCTTGAATATCGATTCTAGTCGCTCAATCTATACATCAGGGTAAGCACACGATTGCTGCCACGAAATGAAACAAAACGATGTACTGACCTCCTTAGTGTGACCTTCAAAGTCGTCTATACTTTCATCCCATCGAATAATTTTTACCGCAACTTTCAGGTATCCGATGGGAATCTCCAAAGCCTCGTCCGAGGCTTCTTGGAAGATGGCCTGTCTCACGGCGTCTCGTTTCCGTTCCATGTTTTCCTCTTCCTTTCTGGCGGTTTGGGCGGCGGCAGCATCGTCTGGTATAACGAGCGAGCTCTTGCGAGAGACTTTTGCAGGCGAAGAACTGCGAAAGGCTGTCGGTTCGCCTTGCTGCCCCATTCTGTTAGGTGGATTCTGTTGGTTCGATGTGGTCAGCAACCGTGCGACCTGATGTATGTAAGGCGGCCATTAGAGGACGGGCCCTCTTTTTGAAGTGTCACGACAGGCTGTGCAATCCCAAAGCCATCGTCCTCCATGTGGCTATGCTGTTGTAGCTACACAATCTTGGTGCTCTTCTGTCGCAGGTAATTGTCATGCTAGAGGACCGTTTGCCTGGTAGCTTGCGCAGCCGCTGCCTTCTTTTTGGTTGGTTCTTAGCCCCTGACGTTTGTCCTGCACAGGGCGCCACAAACAAAATCATCCCAATGAGAAGCAAACCCGACCCTCCACTACGATAGTACACCAAGTCATCCATTCGATCGATCGGCAGAGTTGAGGCTTAAAATCCTAACGTGGTACGGCTCATCTGTTTGTGGGGCCAACCGAGTTACAGTTTGGTTGAAGCATGATGCAAGCCTGAACAGATAAAGGGCGCAAGTGAGCCTGCCAGTTCGCCTCGATGCCTCAGGCATTTGCGTCGCAGCAAATCAACGAAGAAGCTCGTTTAATCATAACAACTCCGCTAGTAAGATCTCCTCGATGTCGGACCAGGTGAGATCACACGAACCCCGCCCGCACCACCAGCGGATAAGCCTACTACTGACCGGTCGCGCTTTGCCTCGTACAGAAAGACCTTTCCGACAACGAGCGGAACAAGTCAACTGTGCAGCCCAGTGATGATCCTGCGGGTGTGAGTGAGGGCTGTTTTCATACAAGCTTGCTGTTTAGACTAATAGTTCTGGCCAGCGGAAGCCACAATATGAGAAAGGAGATCCGGTCAAGATGATGGTTGAAGAGCCAGGGAACACGCATTTCAAAACTTTCAATGTGGCTCGTTCTCAATTTGTATCCAATCGTTGGATGTATGAGCTGGAGGATCCTGTCACCAATCTACCCTGGAAAGAAGGCAAATTGTTCCCAGGAACCGATCTCGAAAGTGATGAATGAGGGGTCAAAGGTTCTGCTTATGTTTTGAGTTTTTGATCGGGTAACGTTTCGCAAATTGACCGTAACAGCTCGAAGTTGCGACCTCTTGGCATTCTCAGCCTTCTATATTGGTCTTACTACAAAAGTACCGGCTTATCTCCCCATCTCGAACTGCTTAACCGGTCTCATCCTTGGTTTCTCAAATTATTCGCATTCATGCGACGACGTTCTTCCATCTTTTCTGCCATTCCATTTTCATGAGTCCAAATCACACAATGCATCCAGCAAACACACCCAGCTTTGATATTTCCGATGCGGAGAAAGGGATCGTCCAAAGCCCACAAAGCCCCAGCCGAGCAAGCATTGATGCAAATAGCCGAGCAACAACTTTGGCTCTAAGAGAGACGAATCGAAATGACTTGACGCAATGTCAGGTGGGTAAGGGCATTACTAACGCCAAGCCTACGGCAGCAGAGATCGAACAGGAGATTATGGGGACCAAAACAATACCCTGTACGTGGAGCTCCATTTGTTCCATTGTCCAAACAGCTAAAACCATAGCAGTAGAGGCTTATCCACAGGGTTATCCTCGACAAGCAGCCTTCCAATCCAGCGAGCCGAACTGGTCGATATACCGTGGATTCAACTACCTGCACTCTCGTGTCATCTTGGAACTGCAGGACGAGCTCCGCTGTCTGGAGAAAGGTCTCACCGATATGGACATGCTTGATTCCAAGAATGGCAATGAGAAGCCATTGCGGTCACGAAGCGGTGATCTTGTACAGGCCAAAAGAGCAAAAACTGCAAGCAAGCGTGCGCATATAATCAACGAGATCAGATGCAAACTCGTGAACTACGGTATTTTTTGGCACACATACTTAAGAGCATACAATTAACGCGGTATTAGACGAGATACTGTCGAAAGCACGCGAACTCAACGCCTTCCAACGTCCATCAAGGCGTGATTATCGGAACTTTCGGACATGGTTCTACAACACGAAGCCATTGACTAATGACTCGGAAGAAGAGTTTATAATGCGGAAAGAAGACCTTGTATCACTTCGACATGGCCGCGAATGGTCGGGTTTCGACGGCTTCATCGAATCGTGCCTTCGGAGAGTGCACTGTCCTCTTACTCAGGTAAACCAAGGCTATCAATATTATATTCACATGTCTGACATGCGTAGAAAATGTTCGCAACCAAGGAGCTTCGCGAAAAGACGAGCGATAACTGCATGTTCTACTACTCACAGTCGCGCATCGAGAAGCTCGTTGGACTGATCATCACGCTTATGATATTCGTCTTGCTAGTCTTGCCAGTCGTGGCTATGTATCAGCTAACTTCAATCGGTGATCGCAACTCTACTTTTGATGCTGTTGGTATCTTGGTAGTCTTCACCCTTCTGTTCTCAGCGGCCATGTCGCTTGTCACGAAGGCGAAGCGGCATGAACTCTTCGGAGCTAGTGCAGCATATTGCGCAGTACTTGTCGTTTTCATCAGCAACTTCAACAATGGTGCAAATCACTAGAACGAATGAACCGGTATAAGAAATGTGAGTTATGAGCAGCAATTTCTTTTCAATCTCTTTCGTCGGTGTGTTGCCATAGTACATCTCCTGTTCTTCAACCGGACGCTCTTCGAGAGCTTGCAATGTACACTATCCCGAAAGCTGTGGTAATTTTGGACCTCCTGTAAACGTCAGATTCTATAATCATAGACCATGTAGAGCATGCAGTCAATGCCATCCAATGTTTTCTTGCATGTAGGTAATATCTGATGCTTGTCGTCGATGAACATGTAACGCTATTTGTGGTATCGTCGTGAGAGTACGATTTGCGGAAAATTGATAGTAGGCTAGATCCGCGGTCGGAGGTCGCTACATAACTGATTTACTATGTCCGGCATTGGCGTCATCGCTCCTCGGTGGCTGCGGGGTACCTAGGTAGGTCACAACAAATATACTGCTCTTGTCGAATAATCTCATTCCCATTACACAAAAATACTGCTAGAGTTTAGAGATCTCTTGGAGTAGACCACTTGTTGGTATGTAGTATTGGTGTCGGCGATGCGGGTAGGTTTAACTTCGGATGATGCGCTTTCTCTAAGTGCGGGCCAGGTATCCACATGTGGAGATCTAAGGTTAGTACAAAGAGGGGGGTCCTCTTCAACCAAACAATTAGGATACAGTGACATTCTTCTCGCCTTGCTATTCAAACAAGTCTACCGCCCAATCTTGAGACCTCCTATCCGAAATGACCGACTCGACAATTGTTCTCATTACCGGTGGTAATACCGGCATCGGTTATGAGAGCATCAAGGCTCTATATACTTCGCCACAACCGCACACCATCCTGATGGGCAGTCGATCTCTCGAAAAGGCGAAGGGCTCAATCGCCAGCCTCAAGGGCGAAATTTCAGAGTCCATGTCAGATATCGTACCAATCCAAATCGATATTGAAGACGATGTGTCAATCGAGAAGGCATTCAAAGAAGTCGAGAGCAAGTATGGACGAATCGATACTCTGGTCAACAATGCAGGTAGATGCTGCCCTTTTACTCATCGATACAGTGGGCTGATTCACGATAGGTGGTTCATTTGACGGCATCATGCGCGACGATCCTAGCCCCAAGGGCATCCGTGCAGCTTGGGACAAGGCTTACTCTCTCAATACAACCTCTACCCAAGTGATGACTCATGTATTTGCGCCCCTCTTAATCTCATCTCTTAACCCTAGACTTCTCTTTGTAACCTCCGGTCTGTCCTCCTTGGAGAATTGCTCTGGCGGTTTCGACTCCAAGCTCCTGACCGCGCCGCCACCAAAAGGCTGGCCCAAGCCACCGTCTATGGCCCAAACCGCCTATCGTTCCAGCAAGACTGCCATGAACATGATGATGCTACACTGGGCAAAGACTCTTGGTGTGGATGGCGTCAAGGTATTCGGGATCAGCCCCGGATTCTTGGCAACGGGACTGGGAGGTACCGGGCCGGAGATGATGAAAAAGTGGGGTGCAGGCGATGCTAGTATTGGAGGTATCTTTATCAAGGATGTCATCGAAGGAAAGAGAGACGAGGATAGCGGGAAGGTCATCAACAAAGATGGCGTACAGGCTTGGTAGATGCAATACCTATGATATGATTGGCGATCGCCTGTCGCACAACCTTAGTGGGATCTAATTATATCAGCATCGTACTGCCCGTCCGCGATCGAAGTAAGCCGGGTCTGTGATGCCAACACCTTGTATCGTACTGCTGTTCCGCTAATACATGGGCAATGTTAAATTCATCCTTTAGTGCATATTCGACTCCTTGACTGGTCTTGTCGTCGGAGTGTAGCTCGAAAGATCATGTATCACATTTTACATCATCATAAAGCTGATCTAATTCGTAGATACCTTCCAATACCACCATGCCTTTAAAGGTTCTCCAAACTCCTACTGAAGCACTGTTGTTATGGCAGATAAGATTTCTTCCACCTAGGAAAATCACATCTCATGTGGAATGTTGTATTACGTAGAACCGTTATTCGATATGTGCGCAGTCGTAGCCTTTTCGCCACCCAGCCTTGTGCGTTCACTTACCTATCTCTTAGTCTTCCCCGCCCCCACCACCCAGATGCATAGATCTATCGTTACCGCCCTCGCGCATTAACATGATAGGTTCATTGAAATATGGCACCATGCTGCGCCTGGCCGCTTTTGGTTCTTTCTTTTTTGGGGTCTAGAGTACGCTTTCTTATCTACTAACAAGACGATCTTGCTTGTGCGTGTCTTCTACATGGGTATATTAGACGCCTCAGGATCCAACTATGAGGAATATCGTTTTCTATACCCATCACATAAAGAGTCCTAAACGAGCCTAATATACTTTCAACATATGTAACACTTCAGAACGTTACCATGTCATCTGGATACGAGTCAGTTTACCTTGGAATTTGGACGAATTGGTCTCATGGCTCTGTTGCCGGGTTTACACTTACGACCACGCTGCAAAACGGTGGTTTGCTTATTGCTTTCCTCGCGTTGTTTGTTAGTGAGCGTCTCTATACGAACTGCATGTGAGACATATACCAACTTCGTACTCCTACAAGTAGCTTTCACTGGAACATGTTTCTGGGCTATCGTTACATTTCTCATTCATCAAAACATGAGCCGGGAGGCACCACAGAGTGCGGTGTACCACCAACAGCAAGCGATACTTCGCAACTCCGAAACCAGCACGGCAGCATTGTGGAGGCTGTCAAGAATGTCTTGGACCTGGCGCAAAGTGGTGCCGTTCGCCTTATTGAGATCTGTCTCATTACCACTGGTCCTAAGTTCAGCAACTTTTTGCGCTTTCAGTACTGCTGGAGTGTTCTCTTCGCGGGTAAGACTTTCGATTTACAATCCAAATGTGATGCATACGCTGACTTAGTACATCAAATTCTCGGGTAGCTACATCCAGGGGTGGCGAAGTTCTCGTCATTGGTGACAAATGCGCTACATTGAACACCTCCCTTATCAATGAGGGACAGAACCTCCGTCCGTATCAGTCATATCTCGCCAGTAGAGTCAGATCAAGTGCCAACTACGAATCAGTTTGTTACAGGAATTCTGTATCAGTAGAAAGTTGCTGAACCTTCGTCAAGAACGCCCTTCCTGTAGCGGTCACGAAAGGTATCCCTTGTCCGTTTCCAGGCAAAGATCGAATATGCCACTCGCTAGTAGGAGCTCTCCGTCTAGATTCTGGTTTGCTAAACAGTCACCATGACCTAGGCATCAATTCGCCTGCTTCCTCAAGATTCCTCTATCGAACTGTAAACAGCTGTGCTCCAATACGCACCAAGGGTTATACGCGCTGGAATACAACCACAACCTCCAAAAAGATACAATTCCTCTACGGCGACGATCCTGACTATAACGGAAAAGATGAAGGATATACTGAGCAATTTGATATAACCGGGTTTGGAAACGGAACCGGAAAAACAGCTCGTAACGGGTACGATATCTCGGAAGTCGCACAAAATGACGAATGAATTTGAGAAGTAAGGTTCTTTATAGATGTACCACACGCTATGATGCAAGTGATCCCGATCAAGCTTCCTCGGTCAATTCATGGCAGCCAATTCCAGAACTCTCAGTTGTGGACGCAGATGTTAGTGTGTTTTTCCTCGAGATGAACAACGTCAGGTATTCTACACCTGTCACCGACTTGTGGTTTGCCGCAGAGCTGGGCCCGATTAATGCAACGTCAGCATACAGAAATATCAGTTCCCAATTCTACCAGAGCGATGAGCCAGTGCGAACATTAGCGTGTGTCCAATAATACCAGTTCTGTAATCCTTCCCTGAAGCATGATGAAAGCTGTACGCCGCTACAGGGGATTCTCGAAGCTACCAGAATAGCCGCATCAACAATCTTCTCAAAGTCAAAAGATAGGAATGGATTCCTCTGGTCTTTAGCCGCCATCATGAACATGGCTAACGGTTTCACTGAACTCACCGCCTTCTTGAGAGGTGGATCTCTTTTGGCAAGTGATTGTGTTTCGAACCTTGGACAGGACGGTTTGCCGAGTAACCAGTGGGAACTTGAGCTTGAACATTGGTTCAAGTTTACACTAGCCGATCTACAGCGGGCAATACTTGATCAAGCGATGGGTCCAGTCACGTCAGAGGCCCGATCATTCCACTCACCGCCTACGTCTGCAGAAGCACAAGCAATCTGTGGCAGCCAGAAGATCCGAAGCGACTCCTATACTTCGTTCAATATGCTCGGCCTTACTATAATGTTTTCGATCAGTGGCCTAATCATGGTCATCTCGGCCTGCTTACCCACCGCCACTGCGCGTATGCAGCGACACAAAAGGCCGTTCGCTAGTATCGAATGGGTTACAAACGATACGCTGCAGCTCCAGCGGCTTGCACATGAGGCTGTAGGAGCGGGACGGTGGGAGGGCGCATGCGACGATAATCCGCGGACACGGAATGGTGATCTTCTGGGTGTGCTCGACATCTCCGATAAGAGGCATCCTGTACTCCAAGCTCAAGCAAAGGCTGAAATGGTGAAAGAGTCAACGCAAGCAGAGGGAGAAAGCGAGACAGGGAGTATAGAGGAGCAAATGAGCGACCCGGTCCAGGAGTCCCTGTTGAGGATTGAGCTCCCACGTGTTTCTTTAGAGCTGTCGCATCACTTTGCAACTGAAGCATGTTAGCTTTTGGATGGATAGGTCAACAGGGCACCCCGTCCAAGAAACAAAAATGGATATACGCAGAGATAATGCACATGCCTAGATACTATCGTGCAGTTTACAACAGCAGATCGTAGGAAGCTTTGAAAAAAGTGATAGTATTGTAGACATCCAGGTTGTCGTTTTACATACGGAGCTGCTACGTTACGATTTGTGTAGTAGGCTTAAGAGGAGAGGCGTTTGTATTACTCTCAGATAGGGTATGGGGTTCTCTCAGTCAAGGAAAGACGCGTGTTGTCATAGAACGTTGTACAACTATGAAGTAAGCACGCGGATGGGAACACAACGACGCGCGAGTGCTGATGATGACGTGACGCGATGCCTCGGCTACTCAAGGCGTTATCGATAACACATGCCGTACCTTTAACACTTACAAAGCAGCTCTTCCTATTCACTGCACATAACAATAGACTCTATCAAGAGAGAATACCTACATGCCGACAACACGAGGCCAAAAGCGCGACGCAGAAATGGAAGCAGCTCTCAAACTCTTCTTCTCAAGCCCACGCTTCGCAGTGGCGGGCGCTTCTTCCGACCCATCCAAATACGGGCACAAAAGTACGCTAACATCTATTCGCCCGGCCATATCCTTTATCGCATGATTTCTGATACAATATCATAGTCTTCGCATGGTACCTCCAGCACTCTCTTCCCGCGACGCCTCTAAACCCGAAGAGCCCGAGTGTCACCATCTTGAACCGAGCTCATACTACCGTGCCTTCACCAACCGCTCTCCAAGATCCACCAGCATCAAATTACTCCCTGTCGGTCATCACGCCACCTGCCGTGACGAGGCAGTTGCTCAAGGATGCGAAAGAGGCTGGGATTCCTGCTGTATGGCTGCAGCCTGGGAGCTTTGATGCAGAGGTTCTAGAGTATGCAAAAGCTAACTTCAAGGCGGCCATCGGTGGGACTGGCGGAAGGGGAGGAGAAGGTTGGTGCGTGCTCGTTGATGGAGAAGAAGGGCTAAGGATAGCTGGACGAGAGGCGTCAAGGCTTTGAACTACGTGGAAGGTCGATTATATGGTGTGTCCTTCTCCCTGATCTAGCTCTCGAAAATGCCCCGATAACACACGATTGATCAAAGAGGTTTATGATTACAACGGGCCTTATTACAAATACTTGCACAACTCAATCCTCCTTTCCTCTCATCTGGCTTCTCTCAGCTCTTCTTCCACGCGCTTTCCGTCTCAAGCCAAGTCGAAAAATCTTTCATCCCCGGATTCACCTTCTTGCACCCCTCAATATCCGCGCCAAATCCCACGTCGCGGAACCACTTGAACATATATCCAAGCTCTTTCGACATCCAGAACAATACCCCACCAACAAATCGATAAGTCATTGGAAGCTTCTCTCCAGTCTTCTTCTCGAACGTTTCTTTGAACTGCTGAAAGGACAGTGCCTCGCCTGCGAGCGATATGCTCTTGTTCGTGTATACCGGATCGTCATGTTTGAGAAATGCTTGAGCGGCAAAGAATCCAATGTCACTAGTACTGATGAGCTGTAACTTCTGCTCCTTAGGCATTTTGATCGCCCAACTCGTTGTAAAGACCTTGCCGAAGAAATTCGGTGTCAAGTTTTCAAAGAAAGCTACAGGGCGCAGGACAGTGTATGTCATGCCGCTTTTCCTAGCTTTAGAGAAGAGGTGCTGCTCGATGTTGTGCTTCGTGATGAAGTGTGGGACGACTGTCGGGTCTGTATCCGAGTTTGCGCCGCCGCGGTCCACAGAAGAGAAGATGAAGTGTGATACACCATTCTTGATTGAGGCATCTAAAAGGTCTTTGCCTTGTTTCTCTTCGTTCTTGCTGAGGGCCTGTGAGACTGTTTAGTAAGGCCCAATGGTCAGTGTTCCAAGTGCGCTTACCTGAACGCTGTAGACGCCCCAGATCGGTGCCTTTGTCGACTGTTTGGCTGTCTCGAATATGTCATCGACTGCATCGAGGTTTCCAGTTACGAGCTTGATGTTCGGCGACTTTTGCTGAAGCTTCTTGGATGATGAAGATTGAGCATCCCGTGTAAGTGCTAGGATCTCATAGGGTGCATTCGCTCTAAGTAAGGCATCGACGACTGAGCCGCCTTGCTTGCCAGTTGCGCCTGTGACGAGAACTGTTCTGAGGGCCATTGATGGTTGATGGAGTATTATATGATGAGATGAAGGCGAAGGAAGCGTGGTTTTGACTGTTGTCGATATCAAATTCTAGTCACTCCTGCATACTTTATAAGGACCTGACCTCGTGCGTATACCAAGGCATTATCAAAGCATATGAAATCTAGTTTTAATAAGCATCGCGAGTTCGCATAGTGCTGCGCACAGCGAGCACGCGAGTCGGCATATTGTTCGCCCGCTTTCGGCAGTAGCTGAGATGAACGGCGCTGATTGGTGTTCGGCCTTCCGAACAACGAACGCGAGGCGGCATGACAGATCAATGCCCCCGGCCACAGCTACATCACATTATCTAAGCAAATAAGCAGAGGTAAAGACGCGGTTGCTCGTTGACTAGTCGCGCATTGAAGCGCAAAAAAGGGTATATGTATCTACTAATGTAGCAATTTCTAATGTTCCAAAGTGACATGTATCGCATCGCTCAGTCAAAGACAGTTACATCTCTTTCGCAACAGCCTCTAGAGACTCCTTGAAGATGTTACAGGCCTGGCTCAACTCCTCCTCGCTGATTGTGAGTGGCGGAATGAATCTCAATACGTCGAACACGGAAGTACTGAGAAGAAGCATGTCTCGCTTGACACATTCCTGTACAATCTTCGGTGCTATCTGCGGCTGGCTCTGACTGCTACGCGCAGCGGTGTTTGACGAGTCGCGTTGCAGTTCTGGGTTTGCGAACTGCACACCGACCATGAGACCTGATCCGCGAATGTCTTCGATCAAGTTACCGGCCTTAGTTCCAGAAGACTTGAGATCATTGAGGAATGAGAATATTTGCTTGGAGCGTGCGGCGACGTTATCTAGAATCTTTTCCTCATGGAAGGCTTTGATTGTGGCTGTTGCGGCGGCGCATGCAACTGCGTTACCCGCATACGTTCCACCCATCGATCCAGGTTTTTGGAGATCCATGAGCTTCTTGCTGCTCGCAATACCGGATAGAGGGAACCCGTTGGCAATGCCCTTTGCGAAGATGAGAATATCCGGCCGTACTCCCGACTCCTGGACAAACCACATGTGTCCCGTCCGACCCATGCCAGATTGGACTTCGTCGGCGATGAAAAGGACATTGTGCTCGTCGCATATTTGCCTGACGCCGTGTAGAAACTCTGGAGGGGCTGGGACATAGCCTCCCTCACCCAAAACGGGCTCTAAGATGACAGCAGCAGTGTCTGACGGAGATGTTTGCTGCTGCAGAGTGAGCCTCAACTGAAGCAGTGCCTGGCTCACGAGCTGGTCCTTCGGTGTGTCTGGAGAGAGGCCAAACTGGCTATAGTATGGGAACGCGGACGCAAAGACACCGCCCATGAGCGGGCCATGGCCCTCACCGTAGATAGTCTTTGATCTTGTCATCGAGGCGGTCGCGTTTGTGCGGCCATGGTAGGAACCCTGCATGACGATGATGTTGGGCTTCTTTGTCGCGGCACGGGCCAGTTTGACGGCTGCCTCGACTGCCTCTGCACCCGAATTCCAGAAGAAGACGGTATCGAGTGACTCATGCGGAAGGATTGGAATCAACCCCTTGAGAAGAGCGATTTGTGCGGAGCTGAAGCCAATGTTGACCTGGGCGTGGGTAATCTTATTGCATTGTGCCGCTGCAGCGGCACTGACCTTGGGGTGACAGTGGCCAAGGTTCACGACACCAATGCCAGCGGTCATATCTAGCAGCTTAACGCCCTTGTCCGTGGTAATGAAGGTGCCCTTGCCATCTTCGAAGACATGCTTCGTGAGGCGGCCAATGCCCTTTGCAATGTGTTGCTCGCCGAACGCCGCTGTATCCATATCGGAGGATGCTCGTCGTGTACTAGAAAACGTTCGTAGATTCGTTCGGATAGGTGGTGAAAAAGTGGATGCGAGACTGCGGGACGCTGACAGGCTGCCTCTGGAGAACATGGCGGTCTTCATTATGTATCGTTGAGATGGTACGCTCGAGCGCCGTCGAGTATAATGTGGAGGGGTTCGGCTCAAAACGGCCTGACGTAGCTAGTACGCACCGCTCGTCGTTATCTCCGAAAATAGACGCCTCACACGCGTTCATGTGACCTTTGCGACAATTCACAGTAGTCAACAATTCAACCACGGCATGTCTACTAACTTCTTTAGGCAATACAAGAGACCGTTTCGCCAAGGCTATGTGTATATTCTGCCCAGTAACGGATTATCTACACGCCCTACACGCCTGGTCTCCCAATTAAGTAGAACGGCTAGTAGCTGTTGCTTGGGCAAAATCTATTTGAACTATGACTACGCGCATGTCGCTCTTGACTCAGAGGCCCACCATACATAGTAACTGGGCCGGAGTATACTGATTGGACAGTATCATGAACATTTACGGTTGTTATACAAGTGTGGGGTATATCGAGAGCACAAACGATGAACAGCTTGGACCGCCTTCTTCGGTCCATTTTCGGGTAGAGTAACACTTCTCCACAGCCTCCAGTTCACGGCCATGGACCGTGGATCCGGAGAATCTACAACATAACGGGAGCCCTCCACAATCACATCCAAAGTATAGGAGATATCGATGGCGCACGTTCGCTGTTACTGTCTAGAGCTGGTGCTTCTTTGGCGTCGTTCTCGTTGCAGGCGTGTGGCCTCAGACATGGCTTCGTTCCTTACGATCCCAAGCCATTGACCCTGGATCTCCATGACCTCCAGCAATGGTTGATGTTACTGTAAACTTAGTCTCTTTGATAATGTTCTTCTGCGAATCTCCGTCGCTCTGATCGGCGTCATCGTTGTCGCCTAAGGTCTGAAAAGTGTCCATAGCTATCCCACGCGAGCGCGAGGTGGGCTGCCTGTTGTTCGTTCCGGATTGATACGCTCTTCCATTGGATGCGGCAGGAGTATTGGAGCCCGCGGACACCCTGATGCGAAGGGAGAGGAGAGGGCGAAGGGGAGGTAACGAACCGGCGATGAGGCCGATGCCTACTTCGGTCAGGGACCAGAAGCCGATTTTGCCTGTACTGTACATAAACTCGCCAGGATCACTGTAAAGTGTGAGGTACTTGAGGCGGACGATGGTGGCGCACGACGCACTGGGTGAAGTCAGTTGTTGGTCACACAGTGTGTGGGGTTATGGAGGCCTTACAAAGAAGCGAGCGCTAGCATTACAGCCACTGAAGCTTTGACAGCCCCCTTCATCTGAACATTCCAAAGCAAGATAGCTGGCATGATGGAGAGACTGAAGTCTGCTGCAATCTCGATGGCTGAATAGAATAGACTGACGTTCGTATTGAGCTGCAGATTGCAGGTGCCGTTCGATTCACCCCAAAGAGTGTTGATGGGATGACCTGGTCGAATCGTTAGCAACAGCGTGCACTCCATGTGGAGCAAGTCAACTCACAGATGTTTGCGATACCTATACAGAATACAAGGGCTGCAACGATAGTAGCACCAATTAGCGCCCATAGACCCCATGTGAAGAATCGACGATTGGCAGCGATACGCAGAAGCGCTACGGCAACACTAATCTTGACGAACATGGCGCTGACAGCATAGAAGTACTCCGCGATATAAAAGAGCTGGGTGCTGTCAATATGGGCTGAAGTAGAGGTTCATGGAAAGGATATATGTACTTTTGTTCCTTTGGATATTGTTGCAGTTGGAAGGTCTCGCGAAAACTGACCGGAGCCATAGTAACAACAGACGATGCAAAGAGCGGCTGTGACTGAGAATAGAATCTATCACAAGCTATCAGTTTATGTATCCCATACCGGTGGTGTTGAACTCTTACGGTTCCAACGAACATGAGATAATCATCCATACCCCACGCTTTTCTCCACATCCGAACTCCGATTCGCATGCAGAAAACGATCCAGCTCAACACGAGCAATATGATCGCGCAATACAACAGTGCCACTCCATCTCTAGCCACCTCGACAGTCGTCATACTCCCCACGCAATAGTGATAAACGGGTTAAAGACTGAAAATGAAGCAAGCAGGTGACGAGCAAGAGACCCTGGGGCAGCTTACAGGACGACATATATTGGACGTTTCATCTCTAACACACTGGCACACCGTGCCATAGGAGATTGCCACTTTTCGGTCAATTCATGTCAGCACTGTGAGCCGTGCAAACAGGGCCTTGTGTCGAACTCTCAGGCTGCCGGCGCTAGACGTAAGGAGCTTCGTCTAGATCAGTTCTAATGTGTCACTTAGCCGCGGAAGCTACCATCAGTGGTAGTGTTGGCTCTATGAGTGCCGCGTGGTCCGCATTCAGATCTTCTTCGAGACTGTCGTGTGGAAGTTCGGCTTTCCTCACATGATCCGTTACGGGCCGCGACATGACAAGAGTTGCTCGCATGGAAGAAGCTTTTCGTGTGTTATTTTGCAATTGATTCCAAAGGTCAAGAAGTTATGAAGCGTAGTTGACCCCTTAGCATGATCTGGGTACACAGTACGTGGGTCGCGTGATATTCTTTTCCTGTCGGGCCGTTGCTAGTTTAAGTGGGTCTTGCAGCTTTGACGCCCGTGAGCATGGTTCTAACGCCGGCACTTTGCACACACTACATGAGTAGGAACTGTTCGTTCCAAGACGGCGGGAAAGTTGGAATCGCTCAGGCACGTCTGTTGCCGTCAAGGTGCAGGCTTTGATTAATAACTAGGCAGGCAACGAGGCTTGGCTAGACACTGAGTTTGTGGCTTCTGGGCCGTAGCTCGCTTGCCACGAGCCGCGTCCTTCCCTGCGCTAAAAAATGGGCCTTGTGCGGACGACCTTTCCGAGTTCGTTGTATTCCCTGTAAATCCCCGAAGGCTTCTTAGATCTTGTTTGAGATGATGTTTCTAGGCCCAGAATCCCGGCAGCCTCACAATGCCAGTCCTTGACTCTTCCAAATCAGTTCACTCTTGCATGAGCTTGAGCTCATACGCTCTGATATGCAGGGGGCCCAAAATGTCTGCATATTACCCCTCGTCCTTTCTGGTTTTCGTTCGAAATTTCATTCGTCTACTCTCATCATACCTAATCTCGCCATGACATCGTTCCAAATCCAAGATTCCGACCTAACGGGCTTTCAGGGCAAAGTTGCCGTCATAACGGGTACTTAGATGCCGTCGAATAAGGTTTCAGAATACTGACATCCTCATAGGTGGGTCATCAGGCATCGGCCTCGCCACAGCCGAACTATTGGTCTCTTTAGGCGCACTAGTCGTCACTGGCGATATTCAGGCACCACCGGCGTCTTTGGCTGACTGTCACTTCGTCCAAATCGATGTCAGGCGCTGGAGCGATCTAACGAAACTGTTTAAAGCCACGAAAGAGAAGCATGGCCGAATTGACTTTGTATTCGCCAATGCCGGCATTGGACCAAGGGCCAATTATCTGGCTCTTGAAATCGACGAAAATGGCGACCCCAAGGAACCAAATGAGGACACTCTAGACATCAACCTCGACAGCGTTGTCAAGACTGTGACGCTCGCTGCTCACTACATGAAGAGCCAGGCCGAGGGTGGATCTATCGTCATCATGGGGTCCAGCACCGGCTTGCATCCCGTCCGCGCTGTCGATTATTGTGAGTAACGAGTTCGTCGATCATGTGTAGATCTCCAACTGACAACGCGACTCAGCGACGGCCAAAGCGGGTGTTCTAGGCTTTGGTAGGAGTTTTGCGCTTTTGGTAAAAGCTGCTGGTCTACCTATCCGCGTTAACACACTCGCCCCTTCATGGACGGCAACTCAGGTCTTGCCCGATTTGAAGGGCCTCCTAGACGCGGTCTCGCAGAACTGCCAGTCTACCTCAGTGGTTGCCCGGGCAGCCGCGTATTTGATGGTAGACAAGTCTCGGCATGGTGATCTCATCTTTGCCTGCGATGGTAAATACACAGAGATCGAGAAGGCCGTACTTGCGCCAGCATATGCAACCATCAAAGGAGATGGACTGAGTGACGATGCCGTTCTTGCGAAGGTTATGGCTTTAGGCAGTTAGACAGTTGACGAATTCGAAAGCAAATTTTAATGTATCGAAATGGCTTGAAGCCGCGCCTGCGGCTGGAACAACCATGGAAGACTGTGGTGATATGAGTAGCGATGGCAAAGCCATGGATCCGGAAGAACAACTGACCCCTGCCAAGACGCTACCTATTATCCCGCTTCTGATTAGGCATCCAAACAATGTGGGTGCATTGCAAATCATGTTGGCAGTAACGGGAACTTCTTCATACGAGCTATCTACGTCTAAACACACTGACTATAGTAGTCGCCATTCGCCTTGCATGTTGACCCACTCGCACAGTTCGTACATCCACTGTACGTCATACCACCACACTGCGCATACTTTGCTACTTGGCATGCAGGTGCAGTCGGCACAGCAGCTACGCTGGTTACCAAGGTAGTGGGGGATGCTGGTGCAGCTGTTGGTGTAGCAGATGGCGCCGGGGCAGGAGCATTTCCCGTACCGTCCCAGACAGCAGGGCCTGGAATAGGGTATGTGGTTGCTTTCATAGCGTCGGGGGAGTCGATGTTGAAAGCAATGCCGGGTTCTGTTCCGGTGTAGGCACCGGGGAAAGATACGAGTGCAGATGCTGGAGGGGAGGCTGTCCCAGAACCTGTTACGGTGAACTGAGCGCATTCAGGGTAGACTAGAGGGTGTCAGCTGAAGTTACGATATACGAGCATCGAACAAGAAGCTTACACTGTGGGTTATTCGCCTGGTGAACAGCGATGAGCTCATGGCGGACCAGATAGTTGCCTGCTGCGAGTGTGGCTGGAATGGTGACCGTGGCATATAGAGTATCAAGGATAGCATCACCCGCCCAGATTCCCGCGTTTTCAGTTCCAGATATGAGGCCTTGCTCAAAGATCTTGACTGTGGTTGCATGAGCGACGTTAACCAGTTAAGGGAGAGCTACACGTACACCAGACCTTGCCGGCTCCATCAAAGCTGTCACAAGATCCTGGACATTTCGCCATGTATACGAGAAGTGAAGTCGGCCTATGAGTCCATTGCTTCCAGTGTGTCTTCAGCTTTGCGCCCGCGGCAATGGTGCCTGACACGCCTGTACCAAGAGCGCCATTGTTGTTGCAACGGATGTTGACTGTCTATGAAGTGTTAGCTTTTGCCTAATCTACGTTGTTGCAAAATCTTACAGAGAGATCCTTGATGTACATGGGGTCGTAGGATGAGTATTGTCGCTGAATAGTCTTTTGACCAGAAGCTGAGTTATACGGCGACCAACTTGGCCTTGTTAGAATGTGTAATGAGCAGATATGATAAGGTCAATGTACCCTTGATATGTTGTGTCTCCCACGATATACTGATCAACTCCGCCATGCGCAGTCGTGGTTGCTAGCAGCGAAGCAGCTGCTGTGAATGCTGTAGAAAACCTCATGTTGCTTTATGATATTGATGCAGAAAGATGCAGGAAGGGTTGTTTGGCCGTGTGAGAAGACCGGAAGTCGTACAGACTGGGAGTGCATCATCTCATATACGCTTCGTCTGCCCCTGCAAGCCATACCAGCGCGTATCGCGTAACAATACCGGGTATTGTGTTTCGTCGCGAAGGCAAATCTCCCCATGTACCATAGATTGATGTCTACTGCTAGACCACATGCTTCGTTTGTTATAGCCGCATGGCGCCTCGACCTAGGGTGAAGCTTGTGTTACCGGGCCAGATCCGGGGAAGACCATTTAATCTTTTCAGTCGACCAATGATGCGAGAAGACGAATGAGGCCTTTTGGATAGTTTGACGGAGGAGGCAGCCGTTGCGGACGTGTATAGATGAATTTCGCAGGGATGTTAATAGCCGGAGGTCACGGTTCGCGGGGAAAGCGGTAGCGTGTGCCCGTGACTTCGATGCTTGGTATATGAGGTGTGGGTCATCTATATTTCGAAAAAAATCTTGAATCAGAGATGGTCGATGCTTGATTGACTGTGGAGACTGCCTAGGTGAAGTCCAAAGCTTGAGTCGTATGGTTGTCTGGGGTTTACCTCGAAACAACTCTGGTAATCGACATCAAAGAAATGTTATTCTTACAAAACTTGTTAAAGATTGATGATGCAAACATTCGTCCAATTACCGATCTGAAGAGCCATTGTCCGAATAGCTGATTACTCGCTTATGCACGTCACGACAGCGTTCGTTGCACATGCAGATCTACGGACTATGCTGAGCGATATGGAAACCTGGTCGAGAAGCTTGGCCATGTCAACATCGCATGTCAGTCCCAGGATACGATAGCTTGTCTGCGTAACGAAGGCTAGACGGTGAACAGGATATGGTCAAAACATACAGCGCCTCGGTAGCTAACGCCCTCGTCACTAGTAAAGGTGGGTAACGTTGTAAGATCGAGGTATTGGATAGGCTGTCTACTTAATGTGGTCGCCTGACAAGACGATATAGTGTTCGATAGCGCCATGCAATGATGCCCATCGTTGGATAAGCGTTGATATGCGAGAGGTGCCATCCTGTATTGAGCGGGCCCCAGGGTTGATAAATGAAGGCCAATCCGAAGACCAGGTCCGAAAGCGCCTCTCAGACACGGAGTGGCGCCCAAAGCTTCGGCTAAGGCCTTTAGCAAGTTAGAGACGATTCAATGGTTGCTGGCCGTCCGAAGAAGCTCGTTTCTAAAAGGTTGTACCCCTAAATACCGAGATGCAACCTAAAAGTAAACGGAATAGTCTGCGTTACAACTATACCAGAGAAGTAACAGTGTATATCTCTAGGGTCTTTTCTAGTGTCTGTTCTAGTGTCCGCCTAGATAGGACACAATCCATGAGCTTCTTCGTACGTCCATCGAAGTTATCGATGTACTGTGGGAAGAGATAGTATAACAAGAAAAGACTTTTATGCATTACCTGATTCCACAAGCGCTATAATGATGGCTCTGAGATAGATCGGTACCTAAATAATGAAAAGCAAAAATCAGAGTGGTGAATGATATAAAACCTCAAATCGGGTGTCATGCAGACCCAGCCTTTTTACCTCAGTAGTGACCGATAAATGCACCATGTGTGCCGCTTGGGGTATGTCGTAGGAATAGATGAGCAAATCAGCCCTAGACTCGAATCCGCCGTAGAATGCAAAATCCCACCTTGGTTCAGATTCCCTATGAACAGCAATCTTTTTCTCAGATAAGACATGTGCCAAGCCAAACTACTGTAGGTAGCTCCCGGAAGAGCACTTCTGAAGTGTGACGAGGAGGTCGTAGAAGTCCTTCCTCCAGTCCACACACTCGAGGTATTCCCACCAGAGGCGAAGCGCAGGCGCCTCATCCATATCAGACTGTATTTGGTTAGCTCCCATACTCCCTTGTATCTTAGCACAACTTACCGCGTCGAAAGCTTCAAGGATAGACTGCTTCTTGATCATGGCAGTCTTCATGTTGGCCTCCCTCTCCCACTCGCGAAGTTTCTCAGCGTACTTGCGCACATCCCTAGTCATCTTCTCTGTGCACTCAATCTCTTTCTCGGTGTCAACAGTGGTTTCCTGATCGGGTGCAGCAAAGAGACGACCATCGTACTCGGGCTTGCGAAAGAAATGATTTTTGAGCTCTTCGGTAACCCACTCCTCGCGCGTTGCCGATGTGAGCTCTTCAGCCCAGTAATTCTTGACGTGCTGAGGTACCCTAGCTGTCATGGTGTCATAGTCCAACTTATCAGACCAGCGCGTCTGGGAATAGTTTCCGTAGTACATGTAGCGTTTGCCCACAAGAACAAACATTGGTACACCCTCGTACGAATTGGAATCGTCATCGAGTAGGTCGGCAAACTCCTCCTCCGGAGCCTTATTGAAGAACGCGGTGAGCTTTGCACCATGGCTGCCAGGCGCCTCGGGAAGATACGGTTCGTTCCGCGGATCTAGCTGGTAGTACGTGCGGTTCTTGAGGATACATGGGCCCTTGCCTTTGATAAAGCGTAGGCCAGGTGACCAAGAAGCTCCGCCTAAGGTGTTGGCGAGGAAGTCAGGATGAAACGTGATGGCGGTATCGCCTGGGAGAATTTGTCCCGAAAATGCGGCTAGGGTTGTTAGATGGTAGGGCTTCCAGGCCTGTTCTAAGGAAAGGCGTTCGAGAGACAGCGCTTGGTCCTGGACAATAGTCTCTGGTGAGGCAGGCGGGCTTGGGGCTGGCATATGAATTCGCTTGGCCGATGAATTGGTTTGGGTATTGCTGGTGAAACGGTCCTTGGATTGGATTCCTGCGAGCTGTTCCTTGATACTGTATCCTCGTCAGTTTCGAGTGATCCAAGACGTGCCGAGTATTATCACGCATGTAGGCGGTAGACTCACCTGTGGTTATTGCTAGACTCGACCTTCTTGCCGCGCAAGTGTGGAGGAAGAGAACTCTTTATTTTACCGCCGCTAGTTACACTGGCAGCCCTCAGATGGGGAGGCGTACTGCCAGTCCTCTTGGAGGTCGTCATACCGTTCGCCTTTTCCACGTCAGCGCCGCCGTGCACAGATCCTTGTACCTCGTTTTTGAGGCTCTCCAGCTCTGACCGGAACTGTACAGCATTCTGGCGTGATATCTTTGCATCCACCTCTTGAAACGGGTCAACATGTACTGGCCAGCCCTCTTTCTTCAGCTTTTCGACGGAGAAGGAGAGAACCCGGTACAGTTCCCGGAGACCGTTGACGTCGTCGAGCAAGTTTGCATGCCCCTCTTCCAGATTGAGAACCCGTGCCTCCAGGTATAGTGAGGAAGGAGTGCTCACCTGGCTGGTTGTGCCATTCTGCTGAGGACCGGTCGGAGCGAAGTTGTTGGCTGCGGGGTTCATCATGTACTGTGGAAAATACGGGCCGTGAAAGACTGGATCACGGTTAGACATTGTACTGCGAACTCACCGGACCACTTCAAACCAAGTTGACCTGTGAATCTTTGATGACTTGACGTTGTCTAGACTGTAAGCCAGTTTCAGTTTATGATAAATGTAAGGGTGCAAGAGCCGAATCTTACCGTACGCTAATGTACTATCGTTGTGAGCAGCCCTGATTGAGTAAGACGTGCTAGGGAAGATACACCAGAGAAAAGTAATGTGGAGGAGACAGAAGGAGGGATGGTTGGGAACCTTGGAAGAATTGCTTATATAGGCCACAACTGAGAGCCGTCAACTGAGAGTACAGAATCGGCGGTAAAGCGACACCTTTCGTGCTGCCTCGGGTGAGAGAAACGAGGGCGCTGTCACATCCGTCGATAGCGAGGTTTGCTGAGAGGCATGAAGTAAAGTTCGTCCCATCGAGAACATCAGTACTGCCCTCATGTATGGCGCTGATGGTATGTTACTAGGCATTTGAAGTCACCCTGCCGAAGTGGATGATCCCTCCTATGCCCTACGCTCAGACTAGAAGTTATTGGAGGCTTGGTCAATGACCATGGTCGAGCCGAGCACTAATCATGTCTTCTAGCATCTGATGTGATACTCTTACCGTGTTGTCCAGCATGTGATAGACAAGCACATATCGCGCACCTGCCGCAGCAACAGTTGAGCTATGGCACTAGCTTTCCCGTACTGTGGCTCCTTCCTCAACATCCAGGCTGGCCGGATTTGATGCCTACGCATTGGTACCTGCCAGGCATCGAGTTGAGCTAATCGCAAGATACGGGTATCCGGCTCCCGAGGTCTCTCCGACTCAAGTTGACGCCTGCTCTTTCTCTGCACTCTGCCAACCACTCACAACGACGCCGGCAAATTTCTCTCGCTCCGTGGCCTTCGCTTATCGTGGTTCCAGTTCCTGGATCTTGGTACCCCGCGCTTACAAGGTCGACGAACGTCCTGTCGGAACGCGCTTCCAGAGGCCTGATGCTTACAGTCTTTCTGGCCACTGATGTACTGCTAGATACTGAAGCCAATGGAACGCCTTACACACCATAGCGCGCCTCTCCAAAGTCAACTCCACACTTCAATACCAGAAATGGACCATCTCATATCAGGGTCGATCGAGCCTAGGGAATATTTTCCGGCCATCCGCATCGTCGAGCTTTATCTGCAAGGCTTCAACTCGTCATGTCTGGACAAGTACCCGGTGCTGCCATTTCGGGATGCACTACGCGAGCGACCGGGATGGTGAGGGTAAGCTGCCGAGCGACACGCGACATACGCGACACAGCGTGAAGTATGAGACAGCATCCGAGCGTGTCGCCAAAACAGTCCGAAGCGTAGACATACTGGAGGGCGATGTATCATCCCATAGATAACACGTCGAGATTGGAAGGAGCTCGTAGTAGCTTGGCCTAATGCAGGGGAAGGGAAAGGAGGACCCTGACCGAGAAGCGCGCCAACGTCATTGCGCGCATGGGCCCTGCCCGTCATTTTGCTCTCCATCTCGCTGGCGATCAGTACTCGACCACTGCATGCTCATCTTCGCGAAACACTTACGGACCCCTACAAGCTTCAGAGAAAACGCCAGCATATTTCATTTCCTGTCGCAATACGCCATTGGTCCACCAAGATGCCGCCAAAACGCACTCATACTCACGACGAGGCGCACACCTCACTTAAGGACAAACTACAGAACCTCCAGGGCTCGAACGCGCGGGGCGGTCGTCGTACCGGTGGTCCACATGTCGCAAACGGCAGCAACCTGAAAGAAGTAGACAATGCTTCTACCAACAGTGGCCAGACCTCGACCGATCTCAGCTCGTCAGGAAACGTTCGTCGCGCCCTTGTCCTCACTATTTTGACGTCCACATCTGCGGTCGCTGACACATGACCTCTACAATAGATTAAATGGTCATCGCAAGACTCGTCCGTCCTCCAAGGCTACCGAAGAGCCTATCGACTCGACTGCCCGTCCAGCTTCAAGAACCCGCTCAGCCACGTCGTATTGAATCAGGGCATTGGACGAATGTCCCCGACCATGGCACGACCGAAAGGAAAACGACGTGTTCACAAGGACCAGCTAGGCATGGCTGTCAAGAAAAGCTTCAACTCTCAGGCTGTCACAGAGAGCGACGTTATTGTCGACTGGCTCTACAAGTCGAAACATCAGGGTAAGGCGTCCAGACATGGTCCGACACCTTTCCTTTGCTGATCCATATGACAGACAAGGAGTTCAGAGTACGATTCGCACCTCAAAGGAAGTGATTGGATCACTCCGCGCATACACATGGCAGCATTTCCAACTTTCTTCGACGATACCCCTCTTTGGCACGATAGCCACCACTTTTTACATACGCAACACACGCATTGAGCAGGAGTTTGGGATACTGGGCATTAATGAATAGGGAACGGTTATGCATTACGGATCGGTCTGATCTATACATACAAGGTAAAGCATGGCATATACAGACATGAGGATTATTGATAATGAGTATTTGGTAATGCTGGGAGTTGGGCTCAAGGTTGCGGATGCGCCTACGGCGTATGAGGTCCATAGCATGTTTACCACGTGCCTCTCACATGGCGAACCGAGGGTAGATGGTAGAGCCAATGGTATCATGTGCAAAGACCAGCCGTAATATATGCATCTGTTTGTTTATCTGCCTCCGGCTTTTCCTTGAGCGGCAGTCGCGTCGTGGTAAACTCTCGAAGCTTCGACGCGCTCTTTACCGAGGGCGACCAATGATGGTGCGTCACCGGCCCGTGCCCGCAAAAAGTTGTCAATTGTCGGCTTATACATCACAGGTCGAAGCGGATAGCGAAAAGCAGCATCAACACACTCTTTGCCATCCCCAGATCGTTTCAAGATGAGTTTTGCTGGTCCCATGCCGTTCAAGGCGGTGGCTCCTGTACGCATTGCCAGTTCGAGATCTTTCGCCAAATGTCAGCGCCGATGTATAGCGACGCAGGCCTCGCAACCACAATCGCGGAGACCGTCAATCGCACAGAAGCAGCAACACCATAATGCGCAATCAATACGAGTACGTATCCCTATCTGTGTCTTTTCTCGACTATAAACTCTAACAGGCTATATACAGTTCTTCCACGTCTCCCCCCCGTCCTTCGCCATGGCCGACCCGTATAAGACACTCGGAGTCAGTAAAGACGCATCTGCCGCCGACATAAAGAAGGCCTACTACGGTATGGCTAAAAAGTACCACCCCGACACAAACAAAGACGCCGGCGCGAAAGAGAAGTTTGCCGCCGCACAATCCGCATACGAAGTTCTCTCGGACGCCGAAAAGAAGAAGGCTTTCGACTCGTACGGTGCCGGTGCTTTCGATGCAAACGGCGGCTTCAACCCTGGGGCTAGCGCGGGAGGACCAGGAGGAAACCCATTCGGAGGAGGCTTCGGCGGTTTCGGTGGATTTGGTGGTGCCCAAGGCGCAGGAGGATTCCAGGATATCAACTTTGAGGATTTGTTCGGAGCATTCACGGGTGGACGACGAGGAAGAGGCGGAGGTGGGAGAAGGAATCCCTTTGAAGAAGAGATCATGGTGGGTGACAACATCGAGGTGCAAACGAACATCTCGTTCTTGGATGCGGCGAGGGGCGTCAAGAAGGACATTCACATCAGCCCCATGGCAGAGTGTGGGACATGTAGTGGCAGTGGTCTCAAGCAGGGTGCTAAGAGAGCAGAGTGTAAGAGCTGTGGAGGTACCGGACAAAGGGTGACGAGCATGGGCGGCTTCCACATGAGCGCAACCTGCTCATCTTGCGGAGGGTCTGGATTCGCGATACCCAGAGGCTCGTCTTGCGGCACTTGCGGCGGCGATGGAGCGGTCAAAGAGCGGAAAACCATCACTATTGACATACCAGGTGGCGTAGAAGATGGTATGCGGTTGCGTGTCAACGGCGAGGGAGATGCACCGCTGACGGGACACGCCATGTCTTCTGGCTCTGTCCGCGGTCAGAAAGGTGATCTCTACGTCCTTATCCGCGTAGCAACCGACTCGAAGTTCAAGCGTAACGGATCCGATATTCTTCACACCGCCACCATCCCGTTCACCACTGCCGTGCTCGGAGGAGAGATCAAAGTCCCTACCCTCGACGGCGAAGTCAAAGTCAAGGTTCCTACCGGATCTGGAACCGGCGATCGCGTCACGCTGTCTGGTATGGGTATGAAAGTGCTGTCCGGCCGACGAGGCGGCAAGGGCGATCTTCGTGTTGAGTTCAAGGTCAACATGCCCAAATATCTCAGTGTTAACCAGCGGACAATTCTTGAGATGCTAGCGGATGAGATGGGAGACAAGAACGCGCAACGCGTCATCAACCCCGGAAAGATGAAGGATGAACATGGCAACAGCGTAGGAGATGATCACACCAACGAAGGCTTTCTGAAGAGCGCGTGGCATAACCTCACAGGACAGCATAAGCATTTGGATCCAGAGGAGAGGAGGAAGGCGGAAGAAGATGAGAAGAAGAGAGGGTCTGGGTGAGCATGTGATGATGTTGCGAGGTGTTGTATAAGAGGGTCGGCGTACAGGGCGACTCATGCGACTCATGTTTTCATGTTTGCAGCAAGACGATTGAAAGCATTTGATGGCGTATATGAAGACGGCTTGGACATGATGTATAGAAGTATCTGTATTTGGCCTCTCGACTCAAGGCTTGTATAATATTACGCTGTTCATGATCAACCAAAGAAATTCATTCGGGTCTAATCAGTCGTCGATGATGAAAAAAAAGGGTAGTTTCCCAGTGTTCTTGAGATGCTTCACTAGCGCTATAGCCAATATCGCGGGCGCGTAACAAACGCCAGATTCGGCCTCCTTGCATGGTAATTGGTCGACGCGAGCCGCACAGCTGGGGTCGGCTTTGCGGTTTCCATAGATTGTCGCGACGGTGTGACGAGCTTGAAGAGTCACATATCGATAGCGGTCTGACTCTCGTGGCGTACCTGAGGCGTGATAGGCGGGTGTGAAGGAGTAAGTCGCAGCTCTGGTGTTGCTTATGCATGTTGCCTGCGTCTTCCCCACCAACATCGCTCGCACCCTCCGAGCTCACCGTCGACATCAGACATCGTCTACATTGTTACCACGTAGACTTTTAAGCTTTCACTGCGCCGCAAGACAATCGTTGCCAGGACTCGGATTGACTAGACTGTGCCTCATGCGGCTGTTTCCCTGCGAACGCCTGACTAGGTGAACAGCCACCCGACCAACGCATCGTCCCGCTGTGCATATCCCTACTTTCGACGCCATCTGCTGCATGATCCATCTACTACTCCAGCACCATTCACTGTATCTATACAAGAGTACTAGGCAGAAAGATTGCCAGCTACCGTCCTAGCGTGCCATCCGAGGCCCACGACAGCCCACTTCCCACGTTGTCACCTACGCCATTGTCGCCCATCACCGCACCTGCAAGCCCAAAGAACCAATCCTCACGGCGATACTCCTTCAGAAAGCGTGCCCAGCAGCGGCCTACTCAGCGCAAGCATCGCCCATCATGACGACGCAGATACCCATGATCTCAGTGCCGCTGAAGCAGACCAGCGAGATCGACTGGACAACCCCGTTGAAGCAGTACATACGCGCCACATATGGCGACGACCCAGAGCGCTATAACGAGGAATGTGGAACGCTGAATCGCCTGCGCCAGGATATGAGAGGAGCCGGCAAGGACAGTGCAGCCGGCCGGGATCTACTCTACAGATACTACGGACAGTTGGAACTCCTAGACTTGAGATTCCCCGTGGATGAGAACCACATCAAGATTAGTTTTACATGGTACGTCCTGAGTCTTGCGGGTAGAATGAGCGGAGTAGAGGATAAGCAAGACTAACAAATGCCAGGTTCGATGCCTTTACACACAAACCTACCTCTCAGTACTCTCTCGCATACGAAAAGGCTAGCATCATCTTCAACATCTCTGCTGTCCTATCTTGCCACGCCGCACATCAGAACCGCCATGAAGATGTCGGGCTCAAGACCTCATATCATTCATTCCAGGCCTCGGCCGGCATGTTCACATACATCAACGAGAACTTCCTACACGCACCATCGACCGACCTTAGCCGCGAGACGGTCAAAACCCTGATAGCGATTATGCTGGCACAAGCGCAAGAGGTGTTTCTGGAGAAGCAGATTGCCGACGGGAAGAAGGTTGGCTTGCTGGCAAAACTGGCCAGTCAGGCCGCATTTCTGTATACACAGGCAACGGAAGGTGCGCAGGAAAACGTCACAAACGCCGTCTTCGAGAAGGTCTGGCTATTGGTTTGCCAGGTGAGAAGATCACAACAACGGGTGCAAATGGAAACTGACTGTCTGACAGATCAAATCGCATCACATGGCTTCGCTAGCCCAATACTATCAGGCTTTGGCCGATGACGACGCGAACACCCACGGTGTAGCCATCTGCAGGCTACAAGTGGCCGAAACGCATGCCAAAGACGCCAATCGAGCAGCTCATAGCTTCCCGAACAATGCGCCGGCGAACTCGAATCTGACTTCGGAGACTGGGGGCATATTAGCAGAGATGACGAAAAAACATCTAGCCAACGTTCAGGAAAAACTGGCGGAGTTTTCCAAAGACAACGACTTTATCTACCACCAAGGCATTCCGAATGAAGCGGCATTGACGCCAGTCCCAAAAATGCCTGCGGCCAAAGCGATACCTGTCAGCGAGTTATACCAGGGTCAGGATATCCAAAGGATCATCGGTCCAGACATCTTCCAGAAAATCGTACCACTCGCTGTTACTGAATCAGCTAGTTTGTACGATGAAGAGAAGGCTAAGCTGATACGCGCTGAGAGTGAACGTGTCGAGGTCGCCAACGATGAGATGGCGGCTAGCCTGGACTACCTCAAACTACCTGATAGTCTCAATGTGCTGCGAGGAGGTATGGACCAAGATAATCATGTCGATAACGAATTCCGAATGTGGTGCGAAGAGCTCGCTGGGCACCAATCGTTCGGTCCTGCGTTCGAGCAATTGGACAGGGACAAGTCCGAGATATTAGGCTCACTTGATGCCAGCATGAAACAACTAGATATGGAAGAGAGTGTCTGTGAGAAGATGAGATCCAAGTACGGACCCGACTGGACACAGCAGCCTAGCTCTCGATTAACATCCACACTGCGAGACGATATTAGAAACTATCGGGGTGCCGTTCAAGAGGCAAGCACTAGTGATGCACAACTATACAACACCTTCAGGCAATGTGAAGCCGACTTTGACGAGATGCGATCAGCTGGCGAGACGGATGAAGCCGATGTGTTGTACTCAAGAGCTATGGTCAAGGCAGGCGCAAGTAAGGGCAAGAGTCCTAGGCCAACCGAAGGCAATCTCATCGATGATGACATTGACGAGGGACCATCGGTTACAGATCAGATTGCGGCTGTCGAGGATATCTTGCGGAAGCTGAACCTTGTCAAGAAGGAGAGGACGCAGATACTGAAGGACCTCAAAGACAAGGTATGTAACCACCGACGCTCAAATATGCTATGTATTGACTTTGACAGGTTCATTCTGATGACATCTCCAATGTATTAATTCTGAACAAGAAAGCTATTGCGAACCAGGAGTCGCAGTTGTTCAAAGCTGAGTTGGAGAAATTCAGACCACACCAAAATCGCATACTACAGGCCAATCACAAACAAGCTTCGTTCTTGAAAGAGCTCACTCGAACTTACTCAGACCTACTCAAAGACAAACGCGTACGATCCGAGCAAAGCAAATATGAGGCCTTTTCAAGACAACGAAACATTGTCATGACGAAATATCGCAGAGTATACCAAAGCTTCAATGATCTTGTCGCTGGATTGACGCGCGCCCAAACCTTTTATTCGGAGATGAAGGACACAGTGTTAAGCCTACAAAAGAATGTTGAAACTTTTGTAAACAACAGACGCAGTGAGGGCGGACAGCTTTTGACCAAGATTGAGGAGCGCAACAAGACACAGGGCGCAGATCAGGAACAGCACAGAATGAAGGAACTCATGGAGAGAATGTCACTGGAACCTTCAGGCTCACCTGTATCACAAGGTGGAGGCCGCAAGAAGAGCATACCACCTCCACTATCTTCTACGCCTGGTTATCCGTCAACATCAGGGGCTAGCCATTCGGCATATAATCCTGCAGCTTCACCACCTGTTACGCCGCGCTACCCGATGACCACAGGCCCGGGCCAACAGTTCATGTCGCCACAGCAATCCTATGGCCAACCCTCAAATAGCTACAACCAGCAGCCACCCCCACGACGGGAAAGCTATGGACAGCAATATCCCACGCACCAAGCCCAGAACTCGCAGGGCTCATCAGCTTATAACCCCGCGATCCACAATCAATACAACCCCACCTCACCACCAGCACATCAACAGTTCTTCTCTCCACCGCCTGCGCAACACCAACCGCATCAGCCATGGGGTCAGCCTCCTTCAAACCAACAGCAACAATGGGGTGGTACACCTCAGAACAATCTACCACAGGGTTATGTTCCACCGCCACCTCCACCAGGACCACCGCCAAGTCAATATCAGCAAGATTATAGTCACTTCAGCCAAGGAGGCTATCCAAATGGACCTGGGGGATACGCGAACCCGCAGAGACCGGCACAAGGACAGGGTCAGAATGGGAACGATCCATGGGCGGGATTAAGTGGTTGGAAATGAGGAATCCAGGGAGATGGAGGGGATATTATCATCACGTAGGATACAGTGATAAAAAGAAGAGTAGGGGCTGGTTTGTAAATTCAGTTTATTCGGCATTGGTTATCTGAGGAGTGAACTCCAGATAACATCGGCGTATTGCCAAGGTAGGTGTAGATAAATGGAAACATCGTATATCGTACATGGCGATCTTCACGGACGTGGGCCTTTGGGTCAATCTCAACTCTAATATGATTGCTTATAACCCTTGGCAGTGTAGAGCAAAGCGCTAGGTGTCAGTAGGATATTCAGCATTCTGTTTTCCTTTGACTCGCAGCCATGGATGAAACACCATCCAGTATTTGTGTCAAGTCAAGCCCTTGCTATTCACCAACAAAGTCATACACCATCCTCACTCTCAGCTCTTCACCTTTCTCATTACTGACCCTCACCCTTCTTGTATGTCTCCTCTCTCCATCAACAACCTCAACCCCCCAAAGGTGACTAGCCTCCCACTGATCCTCCTTCTTTCCCTCCGCGTGTATCAATTTGCCATCGCTATCCCCATCGATCCACTCCCCCTCGCCTTCGCCAACTACGCCCGTCTTCCTTCCCTCCTCAACACTGACCCATCGACTCCTTCCTGAGATCTCGCCGAAGAAACTGTCCTGGTTGGTTCGCCACTCATAGTCCAAGGTGTACTCTTCGGTTGTGCCCGGGATGTTTCCGGTTGTAATTGATTGCGCCATGTTGATGTGTTGGTCGTCTGGTTGACTGATTTTCAGATGAATGGATGCTACAGTGGCTGTCTTGCAGATTAGGACGTTGACGCCTTGGAGTGCGAGGACTGATGCGAAGTCATCGGAGCAGGCTTTGTTCAGTTGCCATTTCCCCGATAGGGACTGGAGAGTCTTGTTGGGAGGTGCGGCCATGGTTTGTAATGTTCACAAGAGGCAATAAGGTTCAAAATCTTTGATTATTGTTGTACAGACTATCATGAACAGCTCTGTCAAGTCTTGGATGATGCGAGGCGTCATTTCGTGGTTCGGAATCGTGTCGTCACCACCTACGTCGTTCATGTCCAACTCCTTTCTAATGCAGTACTTCATTATCAAGCATTAGTGTAGTTCATACTGTTAGCCTTTCCCCGCGACAGGCTCTGCGACAACACGAGGATGTTCTGTATCTAAATATGCGGTTGTGTAGAGTTGCACTTCATCAGCGGACGTGGATTGCATTGGCTCTGAAATTTGGCAGTACCACCTCTTTCCACGGTCCTGTTTATCTGCATCCCTCGCACAACATGATTCCCATCAACGAAACAAAGCGCGCGGCATCGAGCCTGAGACATTCTATCCGTAAGCGGGATGCGACATAGGCTTGGGATTCAAGGATCTCCCCACGTCCCTGCCAACCTCGATAGGGCGGTATTACAGCGCCGGTGCCCTTGACATCATCTCGGACAATACGGCACCATTGAACTATTGCGGACAGCCATCCTCGTTACATCGCCCCAACACCTTGCTAGGGAGCACATACGAGATAATAAAAGTTGCGAGGTATAGTTGCATTATAGGTGGCTCTGAGTGGCGATTGATGGTAGGCTAAATGACGATGGACGCATAGCGCTGCGGCTGAACGCGCTGACGGGGAGGTTGGCCCTACCAGCTACCCACATTGACATCACACTCACAGGCATCATGCAGTAGGGCGCAGGAATGCTTATATAGTATCGCGCGCTTCTAACATCGTGAGGCTGATCACCAGCGATCAGAACCGCGTTCACGTACATTTACCTCTACACTAGAACCTCTCTGGCAGTTATTGAACATATTGTCACCATGTTGCACACTTCAACTACTTTGCTCGCTGTTGCCTTCTGCTCGTTGACATCTGCGCTGCCCACGTCGAATACCGTTGCTCGGGCAGGCGGACCTGCGATTGTGCCTATACCTTCGACCTGCACTGTTACGGATCCTCTGTCCACCGAGTCAAACACATCTTACGTGCCATCACCAGCTGCCCACGACGATATCCTATACAGCTCCTACTACCCTTCCTACACATCAAACACAACTGCCATGGCACAACAGTGTCTTCAGCAATGTTACGGCTACGGATATCACGTCGAGTGCAAGACAGCATACTGGGCAGAGAACGTGGTGGTACCAGCAGGATACTATGGCACAGCTGGCGGACAGCTTGAGACGGCTTGCTTGATGTTTAGTAGAGCACTGACAAGCGACGACTTCGTGGCTGTACCAGAAGGCCAGGGCACGAGTGCGACTGCCAGCAACATTGCTTGCTGAATGCGCCATTCATGTCGACCGAAGTTTATTCAAGCCAAACGGCCCGTCAGTCATGAGAAACGATTTAAAACATGGAGTTTTTGGGAGTCTGGCGTTACGTCATGGGGTAAACATGAGGATATACAGTAATAGCCTTTGGCAAGACAGGGTCACCGATGTAGGCGGGGTTTCGCCTTTTCTTTAGAGCAAACATTGAACGAAATCAGACGATAGACGCTACGTAATTATTCAGCTGCTCTTATATTGTTGTCAACAAGGCCGTCACCAGGGTTATGATAGTGCACTGTGATTGCTGGTGTTGTAACTACTAGGATTACAGAATGATTGAAGGAAAAGGCTAGACCCTGAATCCCTCTTAGTATTTTACCCATGAACTCGTGACATTTAAACACTTGTCTCAAGAACTCAGCAAACAATAAATCCAACAATGTCGTCATTCCATCCAACAAATTCGCGAGGTAGTATTATGCGGGAGAGCCTATTTTTGGGGTGACACGAACGGTAACGTCCGATCTCGCAAAAAGTGAACATGGAAAACAATCAAGCTTTCCACATCTGAAGCCTCCGCGGCATCGTTCCACAAAGAAGCAAATAGTATAGATACGGGCAGCTAGTCCCAGGTTGCTCGTCTATTCTTACCTCTTCGCTTCGCCCGTGTTGCCTAGCTATGGCGGATTCCCAATGCACATTATGGTGGGGCAAGAAAAAATGCTGGGAGGCAAGCAGTTGGTGCGTTGGCGTGGTGGGCCCCTCCAGCCGTCGCGCGGAATGCCTTGCATTTACGAGGTCACGCCCGTACCGCGCCTTTCATGCATCGTCTCGCCTGTTCGCTCCATGTTATATGCTAGCGTCTTGAAAGCGCACATGGGTGCGTCGAATGGTCTACCTAACTTGGACAAGGTGAGATACCAATGCGTCCCAAGAGCATGGCTGTGGTTAGCCAAGCTTTTCATGGCGTTATCCTTAACAGGCACACTTGCTTGATGAGCTATAGGTTAGGAACCTTCGTATTCAATCACATTACTCAGGTAGTAAGACCCTCTCAGTGCGTAGATACTGGCTGTGAATTATCGTCGCACTTGCCTCTAGACTTTGGGAAGATGGTCTCATCGCGGTGAAAGGCAATGCACGTGCAGCAACGTTCATGGCGGGCCGGTCATCCGGGTACCTGACCCGCAGTACTTCGCCCGCCCCTTCAAAACCCTCCTCATGTCAGGTGTATCTCCTCGAATCTAGCCATCGCCATACATGGTTGATTGTTGCGTTAGGGAATCGTTAGTACGCAAGCAGGACTGAACCCCATATGTTACTGCACATGCTACGATTGTTGCATTGCTCCACACCAAAGTCTATCGAACGGTCGCTTCGCTATGGTCACATTCCAGCTCATTGGATGCCACCGGCATAGCTATTTTCAAGGTCCTCGCCAGAATTTCCCTGTTTGTTATCGACCCTTGTTATACCACAGTGATATTTTGGGGGCTGGTTAGAACGAGCATACCCGGACCGGAGCTTTTGGGACGTTCATTGGTGGCATTACGGAGATCTTTGGAGAGTGGGGCTACTGCTGACGGACCGGCTTCCTATATCGGAATTTTAACTGATCTTGTTGGGAATATGGGGGGGAGTGGGGGCTAGGACGATACTGCTCGAGGTAGATGTTCTCACGTTTATTCCCCATATGTGTATCACGCAACGGACGCAGGGCCCAGAAGCTCATGATGTGTACGATTTTGGTTCGTAGCGGATACAAGTTGGTATTAGATACTATCTGTGATAGATTGGCCGTATCTTCATCAGTCATGAAGGTATAGTGAGAGATGGAGCCAGCTGCAATGGTCAGCTCGCTTGCTATGAAACTAGCAATTCAGAGTTCCATGGTAGGTGCCATGTTACAAAAGAAAAAGCAAGCACCGCTTCCAAAAGTGCCCAAGACATACAGCCCAATGACCGCTAATTGCAACGCAAAAGCAAAAAGAGTATAGACAAGAAGCGAAGTCTGAATCAAGGAAAAGAGTTACCCCATGTCTGGCTATCCGCAGGCTAGGATATCTCTGTTTTCACTGGCGCCATTCCTTTGAACTCCCCATGTAATATATCCAGGAGCTTGCGGAGAGTATCCGAGTTGCTCCCTCGCCTGCGGGTAACAGTCCCTTCCTCATCATCACCCTCTGCATCGTCGTCCTGTGTGAGAAGCTCGATTGTCCTTCGAAGCTTTTCGTAGGCAGCATTGAGCTCTGTGTGAGATGCTTCGAGCTTGGTGTATTTGTCGTTCAGAATTGATAGCTGAGCTTCAAGATCTCTGGCGTGCTTTTCTTTGCGCTCTCGAAACGCACGTTGAGCGGCGCGATTTTGAGCTCTTCGGCGCTACTCGCATGTTAGTTTGAGCTTGTATATGTAAAGTAACGGATACATACCCCTGAGGTAGTGTGATTTCGTTCCGCTGGTGCAGGTGTGTGGATAGTTCCGAAAGGAGGTTCAGTGTGCTGTAATGGCCGCGGACTGCAGTATGGGCTATCGTGATCTGATCCAAAATCGGAGGGAGTCATTGGCATGGGATATGATCCGAACTGCATGGGCTCGTCGACAATGTGAGGGTAGTAAGCTTGGTGGAGAGGTGCAGGAAATTGGTCGTATGTAGATGAGACCTTTGAAAGGTTAATTTGCGAACTCCAAAGGCCCTAGATGTAATCCTTACAGGTGATCCGCTCAGACTCGGAACTTTAGAGAGGTCTGGAGGCATCTCGAATACGGCTGTCTGGTGTGGTGGAGCAATATAGTTGCCTTGTGCCATCCAGTAATCGAATGATTGAGAATCCATTGCGCTCGATTTGCGATTGTATGAAGGTGAGAACAGGAGAGTCGATACGTCCTTGTACTAGGTGAAAAGGTGTGTAGAGATGAGTGTTGATATTCTCTTAAGGGTAGGGTCTATGTCAGAGGCGGCTATTGATATGATGTGTAAGTGCTGCGTCACTTCGGGTTGAGATACTTGTGTGGTGGAGATAGCTTACACAACAGTGGGCAAGGTGAGATCTTATACACCGTGCGGACGTTGCGCATCTCTGCGTTGGAATCGCGTCGAGTCACATGAGATTGCGGCCAGTGGCTTGAGCAGGGGTTCATCCTGTCATGCAACTATGTCAACAACTAACTTCAACGGCTATGGTGGACCCTAGAAATGTGGCTTTCAGCGGGAATACGTGCAGAAGATAGCTTGAACTGCATGCTCATACAGCTTTCTACCGGCACACGCGTCCGAAGCACGGTCCATCAATGCAGCAAGCACATCAACTGTTGTTATTCTCGTCTTCGAGTGGTTCCCAGAGTTACACAACCAATGGCCATGGGACAGGGGTCTGTACAGGGCGTGCGCTAGACTGTTTCGAGTCCTTGATAAAAGGTTGGCATGCTTGCTGAGCTAAACCGCAACGATTTCCCGCCAACCGGACATACGGTTGCCGGTTTAGTCAGTTGTCACGACCTTAGTAAGAGTCAAAGGTACCCGGCGCTGTCTTTTCGAAGAGGAGCCCCACTTCAGGATTATCGTCCCGCCCACGATGCATGGTAGGGCTGTATTTTTTCAAGTCCGGAAATCCTTGGCTATCGTGGAACATTCCGAAGGATCAATCGAACAACATCCGTCTTGCAGTGAGATGTTCACACAGCTCGACATAGTTGCTTTATTGTGCGTGAGCCTAGGGAACTCAACTAGGTTACGACATCAGGGCGGCATCCTGACCCAAGGTTACGTTCAGCTGGCCTGATGGGCTTTCGGTTCAAGAGCCATGGGCCGAAGTTCGGTCGTAGTGAAGTGTCGTTCGTGCTAGCCGCGACCAGTGTAAGGTGCATTCCAATTCTGTCACCGCTTTTCCTCGCTCAGGGTTGCGAAGAACACCGACCTGGGGGCTATTGGCTACCATTGAAATAGCCTGCTCGATGTTGCGCCCTTCATAGGGAACTGGCTACCGCCAGCCTCGAAGCCTTCGAGATCGGGTGCTCCATAATATCGAGTTATGACCATCGAAGAGGAGCGCCATCTCATACTTCGCTAGCTTGATGAGAAAGGACAGAGTGTTTGGCAAGCCCTTTCACATGTCTTATCGTGCAGCTATTAAGCGAGGTTGATGGGTAATCGGTGAGTGGTCGGGTACAACTACCTAGGATGCGGAAAAGAAACCCTATGGCGGCAACACGTGGTACGCTAAGTTAGCGAAAAGTCTACGTAAGCGCGATTGCCTCGACTTATCAGTTGTCCATGTTAACATTCCCAAGCGACTACCACCATCGCCGATTGCTCGGCGGCGTGAGGTAATATAACACCACCATATTGCATCTGAGCAGGCAATGTGGTGCAGCCCTGCTTGCGTGATGGAGATCCCAAGACTATCGAAGCCAAATGTATATTATTGCAAAATCAGGCTGTGGACAAGACCTCATTTGTCCCAAGGCGTGATTCCTACATATCACGCCCAAGTGGTAGGGAAAATGTCGCGCCTTACGGCGTTCTGCTGCGACTACGCTGGACTGCTTACTCAAAGGAGTAATTCTGCACTTCAAAATCTAGTGGCGCACTAGTGACGTGCGCGGGGAGAGCTGGCCGGACCTGCCCCAGAGCTTCTTCTGCGAAACGTGCATGAAGGCTGAAATTCGACCCGGTCTTACGCATCCTTGACCGGATCCTCTTGGGGGCTGTGCGATCTAACTTTGTACAGCATCGATCATCGGCCGATACATACGCAAGCGAGACCGTATATCTTATCTGATGGCCCTTCTTCTAGCGATAGGCGACACGTACCACCGTCAAGCATGCCCATTCGGAGCTCGTACAGACTTGGTCTGGGCGCTGCAAGACATTAGCTCGCCATCCATAAGTGGCAACACATCACCCCTGCCTCGCTGCTGACACAGCTCGTTTTCCGCAACATGAAGCTCCGGATTCGCTTCATGAGCCTACGAGATGTCGAGGCTAGCTAACCGGTTAAACGGTCAGCAACAGTGGAGGAGGTGATGCTATGAGCCGGTGGATACGACCGACGTACAGGTTCAACTTCATTTGATCCCGCATGATGGTACAGCCGCTCCGAAAACCATACACAGCGCTAGGTCGAAGTCGTCGAATGTTAATGCAAATACTCTGCATTATCTTCACAAGATAGCCAAGACCGTCCAATTGTAAAGGTGTTCGCCATGTCTTCGCTTATCCCAAGAACTACAAGATGCGGAGCAACATGTTGATTGCCTGCTGCACCACCACGTCGTCTCATGACATGGGCATGGATCAACTGTCTCAGTCAAATCAAATCTCTCCGTTCCAGGGTCATCTTATCACGATCCCAAAGCGTAATAGTGTTATAGAATGGATGTCAGGGTCCAGCGCTTGTAGATCCTAGCGGACACTAGCAGCCCTACGGGAATCATGGCTGGCTTTAGCCCCGCTCCCTTACCAAAGCACGACCGTTCAGATCTATCGTACGATGTAAGATCATTGTACATATGCCGAGTCTAGATGGGCGGAAGACCGAGCAGATATCGGGGAATCATGATGGCCTCCGCTTGCAACATGCCGGTCTGTCTATCTGAGAACGGCGCTTGTTAATGTAAGGTCGGCTTCCCAATCGCTACAATACATCTGGAGTATACTGTAGACCCACATACATACGTATATCCTAGTCTCCGAAAGGTTCCGTACATCGTCATGTTCTCCAAGTGCAAAAAAGCAACTCTCAAGCTTCTTACTGTGTATCCAAGCGGATCCGAATTGCCACCGAAGACACCACCACCACTACCACCATGGCGCTGACTGCGCATCCGTCTCACGTAGGCCATCCAGCACCAATCAGACGACAATCTGTATACTTCGGACCCGATCCAAGGCCTATTCTTTTCGGTACCCAATGAGCTTGGGTTGCACATACGTCAGTGCGCATTCTGTAGGGTTTCTAGAACGATGACTGCCTCCGCTTGGACGCTGGGGAAGGTTCGGAGAAGCCTAAGCGCCAGAGCCTCATAACCACCTGACATAGGGCTGCAGATACGAAGACTTTCATATGAGAGGCTTGATAAGGCTTCCTTAGCGGCTCGTTCCTGCTGATGTATACACCGGTTGTTGGCTAGACACAATTACAAAGTCTGTACAGCCACTCACCAGCCTCTCTTGTCCCTGGACGACAAGTGATGTCACTGAGCACAGGCTACCTCACTACGTCACTGTTGCAACACTCCATATCCCGTCGGTGTCCAGTCACGAGCATTTATCCGGTCTAACCCATATACTGTCTTTAAAAAGCAGAGAGCACGAGCTTCTGTGCATGGCATTCGTCTTGCATTCGCTATATACGCTGGCGAGCTTACATGGTATACACCCTACAACGCGTCACTCTCAAACATTCCGTACAAAGGCCGACACGACCTTGACTGTGCGACTTGTGTTTCTTTGTCCATAACTAGGAATCGGCCCAGATGTGTGGATATGAATTGTCCATCACGAGAAACCACCTTGTTGCTGTATTGAAGGGCTCAAAACAAGGGCAATGAACAAAAGGCAAGTTATATGGCAATAATGTTTAAATTATATATCAAAGCTCTATATGCAGAATTTGCCTTCCTTAGATCACACCTACTCATATCATGTGTTAGTGTTCTTCTAGTCACACATCGAACAACATGTAACATCTCATGACACCCTGTATGATGGGTCTACGGTTAGGAATTCCATTGTTAGGTATGTGCTTTGGGTATCAAGACGTATACGCAATGCATGCCACCGTTAACCTCTGTAAGCTTCGCAAACATAAACGAAGCATCACAGAAGGGACGAGTGAGCGTGGATGTGCAGGGGAGCTATTGGGCCTCGGGAAGGTTTAAATGCATGGAGCAAAGGTCGGTCAAAGGAAGGCTTGGGCGCAAGGTCTATATCTGGGTGTATGGTGCAGTGGTCCGGGTGGTTGACGTCGTTTGATGGGCTGTTTGCTAGGGCCAATGTTGCGTAGGTTGGGAGTACCAAAATCCGACTAGGGTTGTATGGCCTGGATGTCGCAAGGAAACTAGTGTTGGAGATGGCGCAACGGCTTGCTGCTTGGAGATATTTGTCGCAAGGCGGATCGACAATTGCTTCGGGGTAGTCGATCGTGTTGCAATGGGGCTTACCTTCACACTTCACCTAGACACCACTCATCTCCATGTGGGCCAACGAAGCTGAACATCTAGGTGTTCAAGTACTACAAATGATTAGCAGGCGGACTCCCAAACTCCTCCCATTTTGGGTTCCTTTAACACCGTATCGCTATGCAAGACAAGAAAATTATGGGAATACTTTATAGTGTCCACAGACCGCTGCGTCGCTTGCCCATAGGGTAGACAAGAAGAGCAGCCATGAACAACCCAACAGTGATGCCGATAGCGATCTGGATCATCGACGCAGCGACGTTGAAGACGATTGCATTCAGGCTGTCGGTTGTGGTCTGCATTACGTCAGTGATAAGTTTGGCTCGGGATGAAGAACTGCTCACGTCGGCCACTCCTCCGGATCCCTTGATCAGGGCTGATGCTGTTTGAAGAGCAGAGTTGATGCTGCCACTCGACGCGAGAGATCCTGGAACTTGGACGTATACTGCAGGCAGGAGGACGGCTGCTGCAACTCCGTGACGCAACCGACTGTAGAGGTTTGCCAGAACACCAATGGTGAAAGCACCAAATGTGTAGGCAATGGGCGCTGACGATGAGAACTTCATTCCAGCGTAGAAGTTGACTATGTAGCCAGCAAAAGCGATGACAATCATGGCTGGCATCTGCTTGTACTTGGCCTGCACGGTAAATGTCGTGAAGAAGACGTAGAGCGGAACCATGAGGAAATTCCAGTATGGGTTCATCGGGTTCTGGCACTGGGTCGAATTGGTCGCGTTAGAGTCGATAGCACCATATATGGCTGTGCCCACGGTAATGCCGTATCCGAGGAAAAGCGAGTAGATGATGGCGAAGACAAGCCGGATAGAACCAGGTACGATAGCGCGAGACTGAAGCTCAAGGGCTGAGCTGAGCACCAACCATCCAGGAAGGATCAACGCGATGGCGCTCTGTGCAATAGCCGAGAAGCAGAATAGGTTCCCATTGTTAATACTACCGAACGCGCGCGCAAGGAAGCTCATGAGGATGGTTGCAGTGATCTCGAAAACGGTGCTGTATGTCTTGGACAGAGGGGCGATGACAAGTTGAAGCAAGCCTAGGACGATTCCGAGGACGAAGATGACAGGCATATCGATGGGGCGGGCTTTGAAGAAGCAAGAGACGGCGGCGCTAGCTAAACCGTACATTAGGACAGTCAACCACCGAGGATGACGGTCCTTTGCATTGATGACCTCGTCCAAGCGAGCGAGAGCTTCATCCAGGCTGATGACATCGTGCAAAACCTCCTTGTAGATGTCGTGGGTGTCCTTGAGCTTGCCAAGGTTGACACCTTGGGCGGTACGGACAATCTTGACTTCAGCCGTGTGGGTGAGATTGTCGTCAAAGGAGATGATCATGCAGCCGGGGATGTAGAGGAATTGGCTGTTGATCTCGAGGACCTTGGCAGTGGTCGCAAGGTACTCTTCGAGGCGATGTGTAGGCGCACCGAAGAGCATGAGGGCGCGGCACATGCGGATGATGTATTGTTGTCGCTTGAGAATATTCGCAACGTGGATCTTAATCTTTGCATCCTGGTCTTCCTTTGCTTTCCAGACCTTGGCGATGATTCCGGCACTGCTAGTTCGCTTGTGATGGCGCGGGCGTATAGGAATGTCCTTCTTCTCGTCCTTAGGGTTCGCCAGCTTGGCCGAGGCTCCGATAAGAGTTGCCAGTGTTTCTGTGGACTGCATGGGCTTGTTTGCATTGTACCATTTCCGCTTGGAAGGGGTGCCGGCGCCTGAAGAAGACCCGGGCCGTTGTGAAGGTGATGTCTCGCTGGCTTCTGACGATGTGTCTGTGTAACCACGCACCGGTGTCTTGTAGGCTTGGAGGAGTTGGTAGAAGACGCCTCCGTTGTTGTTGCCGGTAACGGTATATGCGCCATCAGGGTCCACCTCGCTCAACGGCAGCGCATTGAGGTTTTGCGCATTGACACCCTCACCAGCGTTGTGCGCATTGAGGAGTTCTTCAGCATCGACCGTGTGCTGGTTCGTGGTGATTTCATTGGAACCAGACTCGCTGACGCGGCTGTAACTGCGGATTTGTTCGAGAGGCGGTGGAGGGACTTCGACGTTGGCAGAGCTGTTGAACCGCACTCTTGTCTTGCCTGTTGCTTGTTCGGGTTGTATCGATGGTGATGGGTATGTGGGTTGTATTTGCTGCATCTCGTGAGAGTCGACGTGGGTCTGCTCTGACGAATTGGTTGAACTGGGTTCCATTGCGACAGCTGCTGCGTAGGAGAGTATCGCGATGTTGTGTTAGAGTACTTTGCGAAAGACGAAGAGAAGAGAAGAGAAGTGAGCAACAGTCATGTTAGAGGGCGTCATGGGACTTGAATACCACGGCTACCAAGCGTCGGCATTTCCTCGTGGCGTAATTCTCGCCGGACCGGTATTCCCAAAATACTTTCACGTTCGGTCGCGACTTGGCTGTGGATCCGGAATGAGGGCCACCGGGTAGAAGCGATCAAAGGGGTCGCCGAAACAGGAAGCACACTTGCATATGGAGCCCAAACGCGTCGTCGTGGTCGAGCAATGATGCAACGCCGACGTTCGAGAGCGACACCATGTGTCAAGGAATTGCTGTCATTGGTGTGTTCCCTGACTAGAACAAGTCCGTTATATCCGTGCCATCTTTGAAATATGGATCTTTGCATCAGCTCTTGAAGAGCGGCGCGCGTCCCCGAACTCAACATTGTCAATCCCCATGGGGCGTGCGCATAAGCGTGTACCCAATCCTTCTGTTCTTTGGTGGTGCGTCGGATGAACAGCAAGCGTAGGGACTTCCGAGTCATGGGGGTAGAAAATATCCTTCGTCACTTGACGCGACCATAGCGTCAACATATCTCTCGTCTAGCAGCATAGTATGGAGTATACGTTGGGGTACGAGCTGCGTCTAGCATGCACCTCATTCACTTTGTCCATAAATGCCCGGGTTTTCGAGCCTCACTATGTTGAAGAAGATGACGCATAGCGGATTAGTCAGCCACGACCATTCTATCGCAACTTGCACCTTGCTTGCACATTCCGTCATGTCACTCGTCATTTCACTGCGTCGAAGTGTTAGAAGCCTGCCTGTCTCATGTCACTCGTACGATCTCTGTCGGATGAAGGCGACGTCAAAGACACAGTACCAGATGCTGACTTGCTCCAGCTTACGCCAAGGTTTGGACAATAGTACACTGCAGAATCAAATCAACCATTCATCATGTAGAAGCAGGTGCAATGTGGTTGCAATCATACCTTGTCATGCACGTCCTGCGAGCAACATGCTACTTGGACTCATCACTCTTCACAGCATCCTGCGACTGAGGCCACCTGCCATCATCTTCTGAACACTCTATACACTCACCTTCAGGTCCAGCATTAGCACGTACGTTACCGCAATGGAGACTACACAGAAGACCTGCGTGACCTATGTGGCAGCAGACTGTGGTTCTATCATCCCGGGGAAGTCCGGGGCAGCCACGGCTTTCAAAGCAGTCAAGGTTCGCCAAAAACTGCTTCAAGCAGATGTGGATGTTGTTGATAGTGGAATATGGGGTTACCATGATGCGTCCCAGCAACTAGATGTGCTCGAAGAAACCATGACTTACCAGCCAAGTCCCTTCGTACCACGCGACATCCGCAACAGAGCTGACAATCTGGAGCTCCTTCGCCAAGTGCGACGGAAGATGATCAAGAACTTCGGACAAGAGCCCAGTGCTTTCCAATTGATTCTTGGTGGCGAATGCTGCATGCTGCCGGTCATCCTCTCCCACGTTAAAAGACAGTATCGATCCTACGGCACGGACGTGGGTCTCATGTATATCGATGCAGATACTGATATGCATTCACCAGGGGACGCCGATTGGAACGGCTACTTTGCGAGCATGGTGAGTAACACTCATGTACAGACTGGGTATGACACATGCTGAATTCGTAATCAACCCTTAGACCATGACGCAGCTCATGGCGCGTCCCGGGGCACTCGTCGACTCGAATGCCGATCCCGTACTCAGTCGCGATATGCTCTGCGATGCTACCAACACCGTCTTCTTCAGCACAAATCTCCTTCACCCTGGGAACAAGCGTGAGCACCTAGCTTATCTCAATGAAGAGCACTCTCAAGTTTTCTCGTCAGAAGCAGTCGCATTCCATCCGCAGGCGCGTGCGTGTGACGCTTTGTAACACCTGGAGCGCAACCACAAAGCTATCTGGATGCATCTGGATGTTGATTCTATCGATCCAGGCGAATTTCCGTTGGCAAACGTCCCCAACTTCACGGGAGTGACGTTTCCGAACATGATGTCGGCCTTGGAGGTTTTCTTGGGTAGCGAGAGTGTGATTGGGATGATAGTCGCAGAGGTCAACCCAGATCATGATCCTGGCTTAATGATGACGAAGAGATTGGCAGACGGAATTGTGGCTATGCTTGTGAGAAGGAGATCGTCGTGAAGACCCTAAAGAGTGCAGAATTACGGCGAAACACCTAGAGATTTGAAGGTAGCATTGACATAGACGGCTAGGACTATCAGGTTTAGAAGCAGTTCAGCGCTGCTCTATTGTGGCATCATCTGTCGTCTGGGCTCATAAACACAAGCAACTTCTTCGTACATTTCTCCGTTCACAACCAACCTGATTCTGCCCCTTTCTGTGAACCCAGCTTTCTGATAAAATGTCTCCATCGCCTCAACGGTACTATCCAAACACGCAGGTACACTCTCTTTCTCGCACAAGTCAAGACCCCAGCGCAGCAACGATGTACCTATTCCCTGGCGAGCATAATCAGATGATACAGCGAGCCAGGTAAGATCTGTAACACGAATTAGTCCGTTGCGAAGGCCGTCTCCATGGGCTTAAAATCACCCACCATAATGTGGCGTATCTCCAATAACCTCATGCGAAACCTTCGCAGCAGCTGCTAACCAAGGCCTCAAGACACTCCAATCAGTACCCTCTGGCAACTTCCAAGCCGGCGGTTTCCACCCTTTCTCTTCTGCTCCTACAGGATGGTACCATACTGCGTAACCTACAATCTTACCTTGCCCTTCTTCTCTGATATCGGCCTTGTCAATGTACCGGGCGGCCAGTACCGTGATATTGGGATCGTGCATGTCAGCCATGAACTTGTCTTCTACACTGCTCTGGAATGCTGTCCAGATAGCAGGGGTGGGGTAGATGGCTCGCATGAGGACGTTTGAACTGAAGGCTTGGACATGGAGGGCGGCGATGTGGGCTGCGTCTTTGGGTTGTGCGGGTGAGATGGAAACGGTCATTGTGTTGGGTATTCTGATTCTGCAGTGGGTAGAGCTCAAGTGCTCGTTGCAATGTTTGATTTGCAAGGCTGCGGCGCACGTGTGCGAACGTGGCCGAGCTGGATTCAATGGTTGGGAAGGGTCATGGGCTAATTCTCATCCTCGTGTGCCGCATCCCATGGTCTCACGAGCGACACAGTTTGATCAAGCACAAGTAATGGACGCAGTCATCTAGCTCCGTGTTGCTGCCCAAATTTGCCCAAGCAAAGGAAGAGTCTTGCAGTCCGTGGTACACGAGCGCACAGCTTCCTGCCTTGCCCCTGCTTTTCTCTCATTTCTTTACGCACCGAAAGGCATTTCTAAAGGGAGGAGAGGAAATTGCACGTTGCCTCAAACGGGCTACCTATTCAGCAGCAAAAAATGAGAAGTCTGGATTGGGATAAATGACTCGTAGCTCCACCAGCAAACCCCTTTCAAACTACCGTATGCAATGCACCGAGATTGTTAGGTCTTCACCACCACCGCGCCCCGAAAATTTTGGGTGCGACGCTGCTCGATTTGTTGCCGGCTATGAGGTCAATCCTCTGATGCCCCTTGACGTCGACGGCGAGGGTCTCGTAGTCGTAATCATTCTGACTTGGTCTTTTGGTCAAATGCACATGGACGACGCCTTGTCCCAGTGGACCTTCGACATAGAACCTAAAGCGCAGATGTTCCGTGCCCCACTTGTCCGTCTCTTCAGTGCTGCTGAGATAGCGGTTGCGCGCCCATCGCGACCAAGATCCTTCACCGAATGCAGCAATTTCAGCGCCGGGACCGAGGAGTTTCTGACATCGGGCGTCCTGACGTATGAGGGTGGTCGCGCGGTTGAAGTAAGCGGTCTTGGAAGAGGGGCTGAAGACATCCGAGAAAAGAAAGTAGCCTACGCCACCCTGGACTTGTTGTTAGTATTGCGCTTCCAAAGAGGGATCTGCTGAGGGGAAGCTGTACGGTTGCTACTATGCCTACCAGGACTACCACAAAGTTGAAACTCTGCTGGGTTGTCCGCACTGCCTTTTCGCCCGGTGATAGATCAGACCATCGGACTTGTCCCGTGTCGCCTGTCAATGAAATAGACTTCCTCTGCGGTTTTGGAGTCGGACTGCTCGTCGAGGTTTGTGTAGCCTGTGCATGGTGGGTAGTGGAGAAGGCGATGCGCCCGACATGCGCCCTTCGACTTGAGCCATGTATACGCGGTAATAGGAATGTTGGGCGGAGGAGAGCAATCGCTTCTGTAGGTTTGTATATGGCAGCCATGGTGACTATGGTTGTGTGTGTGAATTGTGTCGTTCAAGGTATGCGGCGATGCGATGCGGAGCGGAGCTCGTATGACGCCGGAGGTGGTTGTAGCCGCGGCTGCAGGTTCCATAGTTGTGGCGTGCCGATTCCAGGTCAGGAACCTTAGTTTTGGTATCGACAACGCACGCTCTAGCAACTCGCAGACCCGGCATTCGCTCTCGGAGCACAATCCCACGCCATTCTCGTATCATAAAGCACCTCTAAAAGTACAATTAAGCCAATATGAGCTCGAACAAGAAGAGTAGCCTCACCGGCTATCTTCCAGACATCCTCATGGCAGCTGCTGCAGTAGGTCCATTCCCACGAATGCGCCATATCCTCCCCCACACCTACTATACCCCTCGCTGTCTTACAAAGCACCTTCTAAGTCCCCCATAGCCCCTGATAGCCTACTTCGTCATCCGCAACCTCCTCACGCGCCTCGACCCTGAAGCCCAACAAAAAGAAGAAGCCCGCGCCAAAGCCTCAGCTGCAACCCGTAAACTCGACGCTATCCTCACAAGCAAACGACGGAAAAGCTATGGCGAGTACGACAGTGAAGATGAGGAAGATACAGAGTCGAGGCCCCGACGGCCGAGAATACAGGATCTCCATCTGAATACCTACGAACAGACCATTGCCATGGAAGTTGTTGCGCCCGAGGAGATTCCTGTGAGCTTCGAGGGTACGTCACAAACTCATTCAAGCTTTGTTCCATACGTTGTCGCGTCTGGCGCACGCGAATTGGTATGCTTGAAGCCTAGGCGCAATGGAAAGCTGACACGTTCTAGACATTGGCGGCCTCGATTCCATAATTGAAGAGCTCAAGGAGTCCGTCATCTACCCTCTTACCATGCCCCACCTCTACTCGCACTCTTCCTCGCTTCTCAGCGCACCCAGCGGTGTCCTCCTATACGGCCCTCCCGGTTGCGGAAAGACTATGCTCGCAAAAGCCCTCGCGCACGAATCAGGTGCCTGCTTCATCAACCTGCACATCTCTACCTTGACGGAAAAGTGGTACGGCGACAGCAACAAGCTCGTAAACGCCGTGTTCAGTCTGGCAAGAAAACTGCAACCAAGTATCGTCTTTATCGATGAGATTGACGCAGTTCTGGGACAGAGGAGAAGCGGCGAACACGAAGCCAGCGGCATGGTGAAAGCTGAGTACGTTCGCATATCTCTCTACTAGGGTGCCATTCACCTTGCGACCACAGGAAGACTAACCCTCGCCAGATTCATGACCCACTGGGACGGCCTCGCCTCCAGCACCTCCTCCGGTACATCAACCCCCCAGCGGATATGTATCCTCGGCGCCACAAACCGCATCCAAGACATTGACGAAGCCATCCTCCGACGCATGCCCAAGAAATTCCCTGTCGCTCTCCCTTCAGCCACACAACGCCATAACATCTTCTCCCTTATTCTGCGCGGCACCAAAATCGACCAGCAGAACTTCGATTTAAACTACCTGGTCCGTGTTTCGGCTGGAATGAGCGGTTCCGACATCAAAGAGGCGTGTAGAGATGCGGCCATGGGCCCAGTCAGGGAGTACATCAGGAGAAAGAAGGCAGACGGCACGCTGAGAAGCAGTAAAGGAATGGCGCAGGGTGATGTTCGTGGACTAAGGACAGAGGACTTCTTTGGTCGGGGAAAGGGCCTGCGCGAGATGGAGTCTGTCGACGATACACGCGACGAGATGAACGCACGCGTACGCAGCAGAGTGCACACCACATCAGAGGAGTCCGTGTCCGAGGAAGCGAGTAGCAGCGACAGCACAGCGAGTGGCGAAGACAAATTCCGCGATTCAGCGTACCAAGGTGCAGCCAACGAGGCAGTCGTGCGGTAAAGCAAGTCTCCTACCACCGTCTGGCATGCAAGTATTGTAAAAATGTCTGTACATGTTGGAATGTTATGAAAGACGACACGAACGTATATATCGGCGGCGATGGGCGTTACTATGGACTAGACATGTGCTTTTAGGAAGAGAGGCGATACCACGTCACATGATGCTACAATACATTATCACAACTTCAATCAGGACATGTGCTGAACATCTATATCATTGTATCGTTTTCCGTTACCGTACGTACGCTACGTGTAGCAACCACACAGCAAAAACCCAATTGCAGCTAGAATGCATCCACCAAGCACAGAAGTACTCTACTCAGGCATCTACTTCTCCTCTTCACTCTCTTCCTCCTCCTCCTCGTCTTCCTCGTCGTCTTCCTCCTCATCTTCGTCTTCCTCGGCGTCAGCAGCAATCTCCTCATCCGCATCCTCCGCCTCTGCGTCGTCCTCCTGAATCAGAAGATCCTCCACAGTTCCTCCTTCCTTCTCCAACCGCAGATACTCATCCCACTCAGGGAACATCTCGGCGTCGCCCTCACCGTCTTGAGGTGGCGCACCCAGGAGTCTAGCGACCTTTGTCTTGTTCTCCTTCTCCAGAGACTCCTTCCATTGCTTGACAAGGCCGGCCGTGGCGCTTGGCTTGTAAGTTTGCGAGAAAAGGACGGCCTCGGCGAGGCGGTTGGTCTTCACAAGTAGTTCAATGCACGCCTGGACATCGCCAATTTGCCAGAGCGCCGAGAAGGCTACATTGTTTGCTGTGGCATTCTCAGCCAGCTCAGCGAGTTCACGGAGACCTGCGGTGTCAGATGTCGCACTGTAGAGGAGCAGGAGAGAACCCAGATCCTTGGCCTTCACAAAGCACTCTTGCGCGAGCTTGACATCCCAGTTTGTAAGGGCAGCGTCTCCAACAGTCTTCCACTTGTGTTCCGTGTCCTGCTCGCGAGCAATCGCAACAGCCTGCTGCAGATCGCCGAGAGACAAGGCAAGGTCGAAACGGTGTTCAGGGTCGGTGGCAACCTTGAGCGCCATTTCCTTGTAGCCTTGACCTTCCAAGAATCGAGCGATCTTGTTGTTCTGGTCCTTGGGCACAGAAGGAAGCGTCTCCTCAGCGGCTTCGAGATCACCTCGGAGGATAAGCGTTTGGTACTCAACAACTGCCAGAGACAGGGCGAAGGAGACCACGTTGACATCCTTGTCGGCAATGTAAATCCTGGAATCACGGGGTAGATACCCAAGGACGTAGTGGGGGGAGTCAAAGTGGGAGATGGTGTATGTTTGATCACCAACCAGGTAGTTCAGGCGGTTCGTGCTGTTTGTGTAAATGAAGCAGTCTCCGACCCAGGTACCAGTGCGGACGCTGTTAGGTTGTTAGTTTGAGGGTTTAGTGATGACTTCTTTGAACGTACCTCTCGTTGATGTCGCAAACTACCTCGAATGCAGATTCGGCGCCATCCTCATCGACTTCGCCGTTTTGCACAGCTTCAAGATAGTTCTCCCTGGAGTATCGTAGGACGTAGAATGTGTCTTCTGTGGCCAGAGTGACCAGTTCTCCACTCTCGGACCAGTATACGCTCTTAGGCTCGACCTCTATCCGTCGGACCAGAGCGCCAGAATCCCAATCGAACAATCCAATGCCACCTTGACCCTTCACACCTAGGAGTACACCGCCACTCAAGCCGTCAGCTGAGAAGCCTACGTTCAGGACACTCCGCTCCTTGAAGTTGCGGAATATCTTGACGCTAGTGGAAGATTCTCGGATGGCGTAGTCTTTGTCGTGTTCTTTCGAGGCCCAGCAAAAGTCGAGTGCGCTACCGAAAGCTTGGTTTCGAAGAGCAAGCGCAGTGTAGATGATGTATTCGCCATCACCGCATACTGCAACGAACCGTCCATTGGGCGAGTGGAGCAATGCCTGTGGGTAGAGCTCAGTGGAGCCAAGATCCTTGCTGGGAAGGGAGAGGCGCTCTCCGTCCTTGAGCTGATCGCTGCCCTTGATCACCGAGGTGAGAATGTCGTTGTTCTTTGCCCAGAGCAACTTTCCGCTACCATCCATACTGACAGCCGGCTCTTCGCGACCCATGGTGATGACAACAGCGCCATCATCGAATCCGAGCGCGACGCCATTCCTTCCCTTCTGATAGGATACACACCATGCGCGCTCCAGGCCATAGTTTAGGGATTGTTCTAATCGGTAGGTCGACGAGTGCCAGATCTTAATGGTGCCATCTTCAGATCCAGAGATGATAACGGGGAGCTCGGGATGGTATACGGCGAAACTGACGTTGGAGGTATGGCCTTCCAGTGTCGCGATTAGCGCTTTTGTGGTGTAATCCCAAACCTTTACCGTTCGGTCGTCGGAGGTTGTGAGGAGGTATGGTTTGTCCGACTGGGGGTAGTAGTCGATAAAGTTGACGCCCTTGGTCTCGTGCGCCTCGAGGGTAAAGTTGGGGGTTGAGCTGCCGAGCGACCATATTTTGACGGTCCGATCGAGACACGCGGAGGCGAATGTGTTTGGGTCTTTAGGATTTATCGCGATGCCCATAACGTAGTGTTGATGGCCAGCGAATTCTTGGACACCTACAATATGTCAGCGCACGCCATAATCTGTGGTACAGCAGGTCCACATACACTTCCATGACTTGTCCCAATCCCAGAGCTTTATTGTCATGTCATCCTGAAGCTATATTAGCTTGATCCTTGCATTCCTCGAAGTTGTTACCCACACTGGCAGTAAGAACGAAAGGTTGTGTTGGGTGCACAGCAATTGCGCGAATATAATCGGGATGTGCCTCGAAAGATGTGACCTTTTCCGAAGTGTTGTAGTTGTAGACGCGCAGTTGGAAGTCATCGGAACCTGAACGGTCATGTCAGCCTCTCTTTCTGCGGATCTGAATTGCTCAGGCCCTTACCTGCTACTATCCAGTTCTTTCTCGCGATGAAGCGACCGGCGCGTACGGGTACGTCAGTGAGCTCAAAAGTTTTGACGATTGATTGCGATATGTACGACCAGATATGGACGTGTCCTGCTTTTGTCAGCGCACCGTCTGTGTTATGGGTTCCCAGCTATGCATACCGCTGTACAAGGTCGTGAGGATCCATGGCTCGGTTGGATGGAAGTCTTTGGGCAGGTTTAGTGGCGAACGTCTTCAGTAGAGTTGGTGTTCCTACCAATGCCTATGATATGTCAGTATACGTTCTGGTAGTTGATGTGCGTCTATCGAGACTGCCTACCTTTGACACGCTCCGACCGTGCGAAGAGCTGCCTCTATAATCATAGCCGAGTTAGGTTTACCCTTTGCTGCGGGAATATCCAAGGGCGCATTGTTGCGTACCTTTACGTCCAGACGCATCGTTGTAGCTTAAGTGTATATGCTGCGGAGGGGTGGATTATAGGAACGTGGCTTTAGTAGCCAGTCCGCAGATGGGCAGGCAGACGCCGAAAGACTCGAGGATGAGTAAAGAGGTATCGATTGTGTATATGGTCGGGAAGGAAGAAAGGATAGTCGCGGGAAAAGCTGGCGTGTAACTGCCTGTTGTCCTCCGCAATGTGTTCGATGTTCGGCGGAGCTGCGCCAAGACAGCGACAGGGTTCACGTCGCTACTTCCCCAACGTGGTAGTTCGGAAAACCATCGATGGCAGACGAAATGCGCAACATTACCGCCTCCGCTCACTGCGCGCTGTAGATCCCACACCAAAGGAGAAGCCACAAAGTCAAGCTTATACATCGTCATTGTCCAATACGAGCCGTCCATTGACGTTGCGGCTATACAGAGCCTTGCGAATTCACATCTGCACATCTTCACGCCACATATATTCTTGGTTCTCAGCGAGTAAGTGAAATTTTCAGTTCCGACCCTACAACTATATACTTGGAACAACAGCCTCCCCACAAGTGCCCCCTGCGCTGCCGCCCATGCATGCACAACGCATAATGAAGATTCTGCGTACACTCCAAACCTTCCACCCGTGGCAAATATAGCCATTCCATATATCGACAAATCGACGAGAGGAAAAAACGGTCTAGCTTGTCCGCAAGCATAGACTGGTATCTTAGAAGAGAAATACAGTGAAAGGAGAATATATGTTAAAGTATAGTGGTAAGTTTATGGTGGTTTGAGCGAAAGTGTCCGAACGATAGTGATGAGAGAGAGAGAGAGAGAGAGAGAGATGGTCTGCGGCTAGATCCTGTCAAGGCACTAGCTTGGCTGAGGTCGGTACAATAGATGGTCGTAGATATGAGACAAAGCGGGTCGCCATAATGTAAACACATGGGAAGGCTTTTTGTCAACAATGCGTGTTGATGAGCCACTCCCGTCCAGTATATGGTACAACCACACAGAATCGGTGTGGGGATGAAACAGTCGGGAGTGCCTTAGTTCCAGCCAAGAGAGTTCTCAGCCATGACCGGAGCTGAAATCTGTTGTGTCCGAATACTGCGTCCCTGCGTGCTGCTGCTGCCTTGACTGCCGCGACTACCAGGCGTCATTCGCCCATTCCGGGCACCGTGCATCCAAGCAGCAGCGCCACCGGGAATCGAGCCGTAAGTCATGCGGCTTGTGCTGGGCACAGAGCTTGCGCGCTGGTGGGCCATGCGCTTGTTTCTGTATCTGCGAGCAACGAAGAACATGGCCGCACCGTAGGCAATAGCACCGACAATGGCGCTGCTGGCGACGATGGCACTGGTCGAGTTAACCTTGCGGCTGGCGCCGATGTCGCCTCCCATGGCACCACCATCACCAGATCCACCAGTGGAAGTAGCACCTGGCTCGGCGGCCGCATTAGCAGGGCTGTTGTCACCAGGAAGCTTGCCAGCGGGGAGAGGGCATGCCGTGTTGATCAGGGTGGTAAGATCGTTTACCGTCGAGTTCTTATTGTTCCAGAAGGCATCCGCAGGGTTGCGAAGCTGAGCTGCAAGCTTCGTCTGCAGGTCCGCAGGAATGGTGAACAAAGCCAGGGTGGTGATGAAACCCTGGTATTCCATGGTGTTGAGAGGCTTGAGTCCGAAGTTCTTGACTTCAGTAGACGAGATGTTCAAACCGTCAGCGATAGCCAGAGGCAGGTAGTGGAAAATCTGCTGTCCACCATCGTTCGCAGAAACGAAGGGGTAGTTGAGTGGCCACTTGAAGCACACTTGGCCCATGAAGCTGTTTTGCGGGATCTCTGGAGGAACTCCTCCAGGCGGCGCAATCATCCTGGGCAAGTTTGATGGGATAGTGCTGGCGGTAGGGCTAGGGGTTGGCATTGTGGAAGCCTCTACAATGATGCTAGTACCAACGATGAGAGAAGTTGCGCTGTCTGTGGCAGTAGGCTTGAGGGAAAAGATCGGCGGTGCCGTGCTGGTGGGAGTTGGGGTCACTGGGATGGGAATACTGGCAGATTCAGTCTTGGTCGATGTAGGCGTCTCGGATGTTGGCGGTGGTGTAGACTTTGCGGAAGATGACGGCACAACCGAGCCGGTGCTGAACACCGATGTGGGAGCATCGCTGAGTGTGGCATTACCAGAGCTTGAAGGAGTCAAGGTAGCTGCAGCACTGCTAGGCGAGGCAGTCGAAGTAGCCGACGAAGGCTCTTCTGAGGCTGGGACGCTGAGTGAGCTGCCCGAGGAAGTTGGAACCGCTGATGCGGATGTTCCAACAGAGCCTGTACCAGAAGGAGTGATGCCCGAGCTTATAGTGCCTGAAGGTAAGACGCTTCCAGAGAATGTCGCCGAGGGTGTAACGCTGGCAGTTTCTGAGGGTGTAGGCACAACGCTCTCGGAGGCAGGCACACCAGACGAAGACACGACCTCAGAGGTGGGAGTGGGCACAGCGCCGGATGGCAAAAGACCCGAAGAAGGAAGTACGCCAGATGAAGGAAGAATACCTGAAGAAATTGGCAGACCTGAAGAGGGCAATAGGCCGGAAGATGGTAGGACGCCAGAGGAAGGGAGCGCTCCTGAGGATGACAATACACCGGATGATGGTAGGATTCCTGAAGACAGTAGGCTTGAAGGCAAGATGGTCGGGATAATGACAGGACCAGTGCCGGTGGGAAGAGCGGAGTCCAAACCTGACAGGATGCTCGACAAAGCACTGGGCACAGCAGATGCTGGGAGATCTGAAACAGCCGATGACAAGAGCGAAGAAAGCGCTGGAGGAAGGAGGCCAGACGCGCTAGCAGATGGTACTGGAGTAGGCGCAGTGGACGCGAGACCGCTACCGGTAGGCAGAACACCAGGCAGTTCCGACACGACCGACGAGAGAAGACCTGGAATATCAAGTATTCCAGAGCTAGTAGCTGCAGTCTCTGAGGTAGGAATGGCTCCAGAGCTCAGGAGGGTTGGTGTCGCAGTAAGAGCAGCAGATTCTCCAGTGCCCAAGGCAGTGGTGATTCCAATAACGATGCCAGATGATGGCAAAAGCGGTGATCCGCTTGAACCAGAGGCAGCAACACTCGTAGGAAGGACCACGCTTTCAGGAATACCTCCAGTGGAGCCTACCTGGGAGGTAGCTGTGGGAGTTTCCGAGGCGAGGAGCGAGGACAAAAGACCACCGACGAGGCCGCCAGATGACGTAGGCTGCACAATTGTCTCGGGAACGCCTCCAGTAGAACCAACCTCGGAAGTGGCCGCAGGGGGAAGGATCGATGAAAGTAGGCCACCAACCAAACCACCAGACGAAGTCGGCTGTACAATAGTCTCAGGAATGCCTCCGGTGGAGCCAACCTCCGAAGTAGGTACAGGCGCAAGAACGGACGAAAGGAGACCACTAACAAGACCGCCGGAAGAGGTAGGCTGTACGATAGTCTCAGGAATGCCACCAGTCGATCCAGGGACAATGAAAGGCCCGAGGAAGCTTGATGCATCAGGAGAGCTTGGTGCAGCAGAAGAAGCAGGAGACGCAGTGGGTGTCACGATAGTCTCCGGAATGCCTCCAGTAGAACCGACAGCCTGCTCCGATGACTGAGGAACAGTCGATGAAGCGGCCTGGGTAGGCTGAACAACGGATGTGGGAACCCCACCAGTGGAACCGATGATGGGGTTGAGGAGCGACGAGAGAAGTCCGCCAACGAGACCAGCAGAGGTTGGTGTCGCGGTAGGCGATTCAACAACTGATGATGAAGGCTGAACGATAACATCGGGCAATCCGCCTGTCGAGGCAGGGGTGTTCTCGATACCAGGAGGCTTAGAGGTAGGCACAGTGGAAGTTGGCTGTACGACAACATCCGGAATGCCACCAGAAGAAGCGGGCGCGTTGTTTACCACAGATGAGGATGGCTGGACAATGGTCTCCGGGAGCCCACCAGTAGGAGCAGCAGCTGAACTCTGGATCGTTGAAGTTGGCAGCACGATAGTCTCGGGAATGCTGCCTGTGGAAGCTGGCTTGCTGTCAACAGCGGAAGATGATGGCTGGACAATCACGTCGGGCAGTCCTCCGGTGGAGGTAACTGCTGAGCTCTGGACAGTCGAGGTAGTCGGTACAACGACACTGGGCACATCAGAAGAGGCCGGGGTGTTGTCGACGGCAGAGGACGTAACAGCGGCTGAGCTTGAAGCAGCAGAGGTTGGCGGGACAATAATGTCAGGGAGTAGACCAGTAGAGCCAAGGATAGGACCCAGAATAGGGCTATCGGCTTTAGTGGAAGACGCAGCGCTGCTCTGCGCGGTGGGTGTAGGCTGAACAATGGTCTCGGAAAGGCCGCTGGTGGTACCAATTTCTGCCGCGGGTGGTGCAGAGGACTGAGCAGCTGATGAGGAAACAACAGTGGTTGGGTTCGGCTCAGGAATGGGTTCAGGCGACGAGGTAGGCTGAATAATTGTCTCGGGAAGACCGCTGGTGGAGCCAACCGGAGGGTTTTCTACAATGGGAGTCTCGGCTGGCTTCTCACTTTTCGGCGCCTCGGGAGTGGGTGTTGAGGCAGCCTCAGATGTTGGCACGACGATGGACTCCTGGGCTTGGCTTGACGATTCAACGCTGGAGCTTGACGGGGCTGGAGGCGGAGGGGGTGGGGAAAGGACGCTGCTTTTTGAGGCAGATGCAGTAGATGAGCCCTCGGGCAGTGTTGTTGGGAGATCGTCCAATGTAGAAGTCAGAGTGCTGGTCGTGTCGGCATCGCTGGTGCTAACGTCTGAAGAGGAGGCGAGCGCCGAGGTGTCGGAACTGCCACGGAACAGCGACTCAATGAAGGATGGGAAGTCCATCTGACGCGATGAAAGTTGCTCAGAATAGCTGCTTGACTCGGGCTCAGGAGACGGAGATGGGGTAGCCGCTGGGGTAGTCGAGTTTGTAACGATTTGTCGCTTCACTTGCCTAGGGAAGTAGTATCTGGGACGGCCTTGGGTTTGTTGAGGTCCTGGTGCAGGCATAGCCTCTGCTGTCGTGAGGAGCGGAGAGCCAGAAAGACTGGCCAGAACGAGGGCGGCCGCCCATACTGTGGTTGAGCGCGGCATGTTTACGATTATATTCCCGGTTAAGTAGGATTGGGTGTCTTGAGGGTGTCGAAGGCGATATACGTAGAAGCCTGCTGTTGTGTCAGACATGGTGTTTGCAGCGAAAGTCAGAAAACGTACTGTCAGGGCTTTGGTAAACGAGTGTACTTGACGATTGTCAATGATGGGTAAAGAATGGACCTATAGCCTGTCAGTCTCGTCGAAGAAGGCGCGTCGCTGAGCTGGGTGACTCACTAGACTGTCGGTGCAGCTAGGAATAGACGACGATGCAGTTACGGCGTCGTCGCAATGTATTCGATGTCGTCGCGGGTCTACGCTGTCATGTTTGACACTACCAGGTACCGGAGAATAGTCGTCGCGTGGTCTAGAAGCACGCGGTACCGGACCAAGGCCGATTGGAGGTTGGTACACACGTGGATGTCAGCCAGGAAACAAATGCGCAACAAAGAATTGTAGCGGTCGGACGAAGTGGTTGTCGTTGCTGTCGATTAAGCAGAATTCGTAGCGGGAGCGGTTTCTTTGTTCCTGAGTAACGGGTGAACGTGCGCGTCGTGGTAGGGCCAGCGGGGTTGGGGGCGCGTTTTCGTAGGTGGTGTGCGATGCTAAAACGAGCGGCGACGACGTTGATAGGCAACGGTCAAATTACTAGTAATTGCAACGGTGGAGCGATATTGCTTTTCAAAGAGTGGTCGTGATTCGGAGAATCGTGCAAGGGAGCGTAAGGCCTGGTGCGACGTGGAGAAGAGTGCTTGTCGGTTGGGAGAGAGAGCCACGGGGAGCCACGGGCGGGGAATGCGCAGAGTCGATATATGAATGCGCCCGTTGGGGGGGGGTTGTCGGCGGGTGGTGGAGAAGAGGTCGGCTTGGGGCGTGGATGACGGGTAGTGAAGAAGAAGAAGAAGACCGGGCAAGCGTCAGCAGCAGCACTCGCCCAGGTGTCCAGGCCAAAACGGCGGCAGGCAGGGGCGAGGGGCAGAAGAGGGCAAGCGCAATGGGCTGCGAGTCGCTAACGTGTGCTCCCTGCAGGAGAACCAACTGCTCACCACTAGTGCGAGCGTCCACGACGGGGAAAGGCAGGGTTTCGGGCGGCGGGCCTCTGCGTTCGATAGTCGCGAAATAGAACGGCGCTTGCTGGAGAGGGAGTAGTCGAGTATTGACGTTAATGGTGCATGCAATGGAGGAGGTTTAACATGACAAGAGACTGAAAACCTCAGAGACGCTGGCAACGAAAAGGCAAAGGCAAAGTGGACATTGTGTCTCCATCAGCAGCAGATTGCGCATGCCGCCACGATGCGCCTGTGGATTAATTTGCATCTGGCCGCGAGGCCCTGGTCGTGCAGACGGCTGTGTGCTCAAACGGCACTAGCCATGGGTAATATATACCCCGGTTATCCCACTTGAATGTCCAGGACACGGTATCCCTTGCTCACGATACTGCAATCAACCCCCAAAGTCTAGAGAGACGTAAAGACGACAGAAGATACAGTCTTGCTGTCCATCTCCAGCGCCTTCCTCTCCACCGTCGATGCGGAGGGTTCTGAGCAAGGAGCAACCACCAGGCGGCCAATGAGAGAAGGCGCTGCCCTTGCCCTTGCCCAGCCCTTCATTTCGGCATAACACGGGTCCCACTCGCATGCGAATGATGATGATCGCTCACCACCACGCCTCATGCTGCACCTGCACCTGCACCCGTGGACATGCTTTGATTGTCCATCCTCGGAAGCAATATCGCGGGACTTCCCCAGTGGCCTTGCAGACTGTTATTCCAACGTCTCTACCGCTCGCTACTTGGCACCACGACAACTCTCGGCTGACATTCAAGGAATGCAGGGCTGTGTATCGCCTGCAGCCACACAATTCCTTTCACTACTCTGCAAGCGTTTTTGCCGGCCTCGTGTCCACAGTCATTCCGAAGTGCGACCAACTGCTGCATTGATCACGCTATCGTTTTTGACTGCCAGTTGCGCTTCGCCCATATCGTCGTCGCTACGACTCGCCAAAGTTCGTCCTAGGGCAGACGGCCGGTTTCGACTTTCTGCTCGCCGCCTCCACGCTTGCGTCCCAGGGAACGACATGAACTTTACAGGTGCCCTAGGTAGGAAGTATGCCTGCCATCAGCCCCTGTCCGTGCCTAGCCTTCACCCAGACTACAGCCTCGACTATGGCTGCTAGTACCGGTACCTTCTGGCTGGACTGCCCTTCATCTCTTAAGTCAGCTTGACCATGACTGACGCCATTCTATCGACGCCTCAACTTCACATCGCGTGCTCTAACGTTTCACTTTTCCCACTCGGTCTATGACGGCCTGCCACAGCTATAATTGGCCCTCTGTGTTTGTTCTACAAGCATTCAAACCCGTCATTGCCGAGGTTCGCGGGTTTGTGACTCGTTTCAACTTTTGCGTATGACTGTACGAGGAAGGCGCGAACATTGAGAGCAAACCCGTGGACAAGCCTTGGCCGATCCAATAGTCTAGCCAATGCACCGCGGCATCGGGCTGTCCCCTTGCCCACGGGGATTCCCCTATCCATCGCAAGGAGATTTCCGCCTCGACGGTTAAAGACGTGATTTATCTCGATCGAAGTTGGTTCATTGCACGCGCCTTATACAGTAGTATTGAGCGATATGCTACAATGCCAGTGTCGTTCAATATGCCGAAACTAGTCTTGCCAGCATGCGCTTGAACGTTTCGAAACCACTCCCGTCAACAGAAGGAAGAACATTTCTTAGCCACCACAACATATAGCCCCGCACGTACATTAGGCACGGTTATCACGTTCATGCTATATTTCTTCTCCTATACTCTACCTTCGCTTGATGCCGATCCATGTGATCATGTTCTCATGTCAATCACCAGCGTTCTCTGATTCGTTTTGGTCTTATTCCAACTTATGCGTTTGTTTCCTGTCAGATCCACATTTGGCGGCTCCTCACAAGGTCACTGTTCATGGACTCGACGTCCCGAAACGTGTTCTGTGTCGCTATCGCGAGGATCGGTGGGGCGTAACGGCACGCATGAACCCAGAACTCCAACTCCACTTTTTTATTTGGTATATGTGGTTCTTACGAGTTTCCAGAAGTCCTGAGCCAGGCTCGTGTACAATTTACATTTGCACGCTGTATGGTACTCCACAGAAAGCTGGCATAGACAGTAGGAAACCACGCAGACTTTAATGTCCCAACACCAGATATAGTCTTTGTTGACTAACTAGAGGGACCCTAACGCTTGACATGGTTCTGCAGTCATCCACAGAAGATCTACGCAAGATCCACGATAAGAGTTTTTTCGCCTTCAACTAAACCCTGACCCCCAACGACAGCTGCGTTGACACTCGTCATAGTCGCTTTCCTCTCTCGTCCCAACACATATAGTACCCATGACCAGACCCAGACAGACAGCATCAGCACAATACCAACGCGTCTGTCGTCACGACACACAGCGTCATACCCCCATTCTAACCAGAACCAGCTCCTTTGCTCGACCCCTCTCGCTGAGTGAATATGCCCGCAGACATGCAGTTGTGGTTTGGCCCTCCACAGTTCTCTCTGAAGGTGAGCACAGCCATGTAAGTAAGACGGGTTCGAAGGTGAAGAGTCGAGGTGGCCTCTAGCTGGGCCATGTGTGACAAGTATGTCTGTTGCTTCAGGGACGGTGTTGCTCCATATATCTTCCCTGTCTGGGTATTGGAACGCCCAGTTGCCATATTGCGGTGTCATGGGATTGCCATAGATACGGTAACTCCTACCACGGACATCGAGAGTAGCAGATGATCTGCAGATGTAGGTGATGGAGCCCCAGCGTAGTTCCTGCAGCTGCTTCTCATTTGCGAGACCTACAAGTCGCGGGTTGCGGGAGAAGAATGTCTGATCGAGAAGTAGATCGTGGTTTCCTGCTACTACAATCTTGTGTTGGTGCGGTAAGCTACTTAACCAGTCCAGTTGAACCTGTAGTTCCTTGAACGTTCCATTCACTGTCAGGTCGCCGGCGTGAATGAGGATGTCGCCAAATGGTAGGTCGCGTGGTTGTTCGTTGTGAGTGTCGGATATGCATACCACCTTCACTGGAAAAGCAGTGGGGTTTGGAATCGATTTGGGCGGCTGATGGGTATACAGCCATTGCGCTATAGAGAGCGTTGGGTTGCGCCGCAAGCGCTGCCATACTGATGGTACTTCTGGCGCGAAGATGTTGGACTTGTCAAACATAGACCGTGTATTGGTAGCCATGTTGCGGTGGTGTGTGTCTAGATAATTCGTTGATATTTGGATGTACGATCTTAGGTGAAAATCTACAGCGTTTATGTACTTGTCTACTACACATGAGCATGTGGCCACATTTCCAGGCAGCAATTTATCGTACACTGGCAACCACGACTAGTGACGTTAACTACTCCTGTTGAATGGTGATGCCAACTGCCCTACATGGCGGCGGTGATTACGTTGTACCAAAGTATGCTTTTGAGAACCATGGGTCATATGCTCGATTAAGACCCTATAATTTTACTATGTGATGAAGGATCCATGAATTCAGCAACACCAACTGAATGGGTTATATACTGCGCCAACAACGCCTCTCTTGCTTTGCTCCAATATAGCGCCTCAGTAAATCTCATCAATCTCAGAGATCCTACCCTCTTTCCGTGACTGGCACAATAGCAACTGCAGTCGCATAATCGCCGTCGTGGCTGATACTAAGCTCACACAGCTGCCCGTCAAGTTCGCTCACATCAACGAGTGTCGACATTACGTGTTGCATTGCGACACGTGCATCGGCAGAATTCTCTGCGTCACTTGGAGCTGGTGCGTATGGCTCGTAGACCTTGTCCAGTATCAAGCCCTGGGGCCGTGAAGATTGGTGCTTATTGCGGTCCACTGAGTTGACGGGTAGAATCATGATATGCTTGAAGCCTCGTGCGTTGCTGTCCAGTTGCTCGCATGCTTTGCGACAAGCCTCCTTCGCCGCAAATCTTTCATCATATAAGCCTTTTGCCCATATTTGTGGTATGATGTATACATACCTGCCAGCAAGGAATTGAGAGACTGAATCTATCTTTTTGGAAATGGTTTCTTCTGGCCCAAAACGATTCCAGAAGTACTGGCGCTCGTGATCGGTAAGAACTCGTCTCAAGTATTGGTGCAGAGGTCGTAAAGGCTCGCCGCCATAGTGGCGTGTGAGAACGGCTCGTAGTCTCGAGATATTACAGACATCAGTGCCCACTCGGAAGGGGAACGGAAAAGGTCGCAGTGGCATAGGGTACGTCGGTTGGTCATGAAGTGTTCAAGCCGTAAAGTGCACGTATGCCGAAATAAGCTTGGCAGGGTAAACCTTCAGAGAACGGCTTTTCCTTTCGCAGCTGATAGAGCACAGGATTGCAAAAATTATACGTTCAAGCAGAAGCTGCCTTCCAACAGAACCACAGAGAGCAAAAAAGACGACGTTGGCCAGATTCGAACTGACGCTCCCGAAGGAACAAGATTTCTAGTCTTGCGCGATAACCACTCCGCCACAACGCCTGAGGTTGCTATCGAATACTTCGATGAAGAAACGAGAAGTTACTTCATTAATGTAAATAACAGATAACGATCTGGGCACGACGTCGAGTCGTCTGCCTGCCCACACCAAAAGCGTCCTGTTTCAACCTTACTAACAGCTCGTCCTGCCCCACTGCTCCGCTTGCACGTGTACAATACTCCAAGAGCTTAAAAGAGATTGTGCTTTTGCGTATGGCTTTGCTGTGTGTTTGATGCGACAGGTCCTTCTATTCAAGTTCTCATGCGTGGCAAAAGACGCACAGTCCGTCGATACGGACGACATGCTTTCGTTCCCTTGATCGCGTGAAGAGCCGCGTCCTCGTCCTTCGGAGTTGGGAATGAGGCGACGAAGATACTCCCCGAAACAACCCCGCCGGATTCCGACAACCAGTAATTTCCATTGAGCCTCGCGTTCCATCTCTTTGATTCGCTTGCGCCGCGCATCCTACAGGACCTTAGTACCCGACGCCATTGCTGCTGACTGCAACCCACGCCAAGGTGTCCGCGACACTCCAGGGAATACATTGGATGCAAACGGCACCAAAACCGTCCCATGGGTTGTGTAGGTAAGGGGCCCCGGGACGTGCGACGCTGTTCTAGGATCTTGGTGGTACAGGACCATATGCCTCAAGCTACGGTTGGCTCGCGTTGTGCGAGTCCGGCCTTGGAACAAAGAGCTGGGGTATAATGGCTGATGTACATGCGACCATGCGCTGGTGAGATGCTTCTGATGGGTGTCGCGGGGTGCGGTGATGTTCAAATGCGGTCGGTTCCTCGATGATTGTTTTCCTTGTATGTGTCCTTCACTCTATCATATACCGTTTTGAGTAGTGCACGCAATCCAATGCAAACACAAACCTCTCCACGTCTACCCGGCGTCCACCTCCTGAAACTTGACTCTACCGGGCCTGAATACTCTCGCTGGCGACGTAGCGTCAAATTCGCGCTTGAAATGAAAGATACCTGGAATTACTGTAATGGCGCTTTAGCTATGCCTATGCCGGGTCCAAGGCTAGCTTCGACCATCTCCGTAAGGGAGACGAAAGACATGCAACCGAGCCTGCTCGAAGAGCGGAGATCATGGGTACGGCGAGGTCGAGAGGTCAAGCTCGACATCTTTCTCTCGCTGGCAGAGGAAGTGATGCTGGAACTGTTTGAAGTCGGGCCACCGTTACCTCCGTCCAACTACAGCTCGCAGGAGATACTACAGGCGCTGGATGAGCGATTCACCGTGTTCAACTTTTCTGGATACCACCACGCGTTCTGCCACTTCCTGAACTTGCACATCGATCAATATGCAAGCATCGAAGATTTCAACAGCGAGTTCACAACGGTACTGGAAGATCTGACCGATTACGGTCATCCACTTTCTAATACCCAAGCATGTTCCGCCTACTTTTCAAAGCTCCGATGCACCCAGAATCCATGGGTCGCAAAGAAATTGGATGAATGGGACACACTGCCAGCAGTACCTGATATCTACGAGCTTATGCGAGAATCACTGCCATGGGCATGCATTCGACCACTGCGCAAGTCGTCTCAAAGCCTTCCTGCACCACCGATATCAGAAGATCACCTAGGAGATACTTGGAGTCATCTCCACAGCGAAATACCGGGGCTTTCGGATAGTAAAACTGCATCATCCGACGGCTCTCACTCAAGGCAGCTCTCTAAACAAGTAACTCATTCTCAGATGATCGATGGGCAGGTCTCAAACGAGGATATCGAACTCGACCCACAGGACTTGCGTGAAGCAATCGAGAAGCTTCTCACCTCTGCCGAAGCTGAGCATTCCAGCTTGAAGATTGATGCACTAGCAACATCAGTATGCGCCACCCCAGACTGGTTGAACGCACAGCAGAAGGTTGCCCCGAGGACACTGTCAATACCAGGACCACCGCCTCCTACTGCGTCGCGGGCTCTTCACAAAACTTCCACCACACGCGCACGATCCGCATCCCCGCGTCTTCCATCCAATTTGTCTAGAAGCTTGTCACAAGCAAGTCTGACAGTACCAACAACGATGACACGTCCACACACAGTAGATATACCACATAACATAGCCAGGTCATCCCAAAGTCTCCCACCAGTACGGTCAAGAACACCAACATATCCACCGCCCCCACTGTCAGACCACCCAGCTTTTCGAGACAACCCCTTTCTTCTAACAGAGCAGGCTCAAAGAGACTTAGTTTCCACAGACTACTTCAGCAGACCACAACCAGAACGCAGAGATACTGTACAACCTCATTCCACAGCACTGTATTCGCCGTACCAGCAATCCGTCTATTCGTCAAGCAACAGCAGTGCAATGAGCTTGCCACTGCAAGGAACCAGCGAGTCATCATGGTGCTACACAAAGGATGACGGAGAAGACATCCAAGACCGCTCCATACCACTCATCACGTCGTCTATGTTCCTCCAACGTCGGAACCCAGACATTACCACCCAGCAAAGCAAGGCATCTCTACAATCCTCAGCCGCGGACATTGCTGCTCTACCATCCTTTACCTCAGATTTGGGCAACTTGATCCCGCCGCTACCAAAAAGGAACATCCTGCGTAAAGCGTCATCTAGTATGGACATACTAAAACGGCTTAGTGGGGACAGCCTCCTCGAGTCGAGCGACGAAGTACGGGAACGCGAGGAGAAGAAGAATAAGAGGGAGAAAGAAAGGAAGGGTACCAGCTGGAATATTGGGGTTAATATTGCGAGGTTCACACATAGTAAGGGTGTTAAGTAGGCGAATGTACTTGCAAGGCTTTGGAGAACGCGATGAAGGTCATGAGAATGTCGAAAAAGGTGCTCGGCCAGTTTGTACAGAAACGAGGAACGGTAGTTACTGTAATAAAACTCTCATATCTCTACCTTGGTACTACTCTTTTGTGTAATTGCTCGTCTGATTCGTCTGGCACTGCGTACACAACCTCGAATGCTTATCTTTGGTCTCCGTACATTGAGATGCGAGGTAGTTCAACGCAGCACTTGCACTTAGTCTCCTCTAGAACAGCTGCACACCTTTTTTCCTTCATGTCATGCATAGCCACTCATAATTTAGTATCGCTATCAATAGCAACATCCTCGTTGTCCTACTGCAAATTCAATTATATACCAATTTCCATTCTTGCCATGCATCCAATTTGTCCTTGAACCGTTCAAGCAGAACACGTCTCAACTTCGTGTATTCGCAATCCACAAAAGGGTGAAGAGACTTCGATACCGCCGGCTGAGCCGTTGTGGTTGTTCGTTCGATGAAGTTGAGTGGCTACTCGGGTTCGTTGTAGGAGTTGTTCATTGTCCAAGGCGAAGAGATGGATGTCGATGTTCATATCCTTGATGCGTGTATCACTGTTGTTGTGCTTCGTTGGAGGGCCTCATGATATCGCCTTGCCACACGAAATGTCGGGGAAATGGTAAGTGCTTGTGCTACTAGACATATTGGTCCCTCTGTAGGGTTTGTATAGCGGGATTGTGAAGCTTTCGTGTTACTAGCAAGAGCGACCCTGATCTACAATAGAACGCGGTCACAGCTCAAAAAGGAAACCCTGGGAATTTTGTCCTCGTAGGATTAGGGTAGGAGCTCTGGCTTGGTAGTTTCGAGCTATTGCGAGGTACTTCAGACTGTGGGCACGGAGTATGATGCAGCGATAATCTGTGATTGGTTCTGCATACTAGCTATTTTCCTGCCGTTTGTCGGGATTTAGATTAGTTATTTGGTTTGTTGTTGGGTGATGTGTATGAGCTGTACACTCTGTGTTGATGTAACTGTGCTACTATGACTACCACGTTGCAAGCCATAGTAAATACTACAGACGCGTATATACGCGTTGATCAACCGAAGAGCTATTATCTATGGGTGTTCACTAGGGCGATGTGCGTACATAGTCCATTCGCGCAGTTGCTCAAGTGGAACGGGACCTCTGCATTATGTTAAAGCCTTAGAGAACGAAGTCAAGGCTCCGAATGAGGTGAGGATTTAGTCTATGCTAGCTCTTCTATCTCGTATATTCGTAACACATTCCTGGTTTCGGCCTTGTCCTGGCTAGTAGACCCCTGTAGAGTCTTTACGAGATGCTATATCCCTTGAACGCCACGACTCTACTGTGTCTCCCGCACGACCTTGTCAACAGCCTTGGCAAAGTAGTCAATGTTGTGCGTGTTCAGACCAGCCATGGAGATACGACCGTTCTTGGTCATGTATACATGCGAGTCTTCCCGAATCTTCAGCACCTGCTGTTCTGTCAAGCCGGTGAAGCTGAACATGCCGATCTGCTCTGTAATATGGTTCCATGTGCCTGGTGTGCCCATCTCCTCGAGCTTGCTGCGAAGCGCCTTGCGCATCTCCTTTATACGACCGGACATTGTACGAAGGTTGTCTTCCCACTCAGCGAAGAGCTGGGGGTCGTTGAGGATGGTCGAGGCGATGCGGGCGCCGTAGGCGGGAGGATTTGAGATCTCAGAGCGCTGGAGGATGGCGAGCTGTGAGGCGATGCGTTTGATGGTGTTCTCGGCATCGGATGAGGGGGAGGTGACGAAGTGGAAGCAGCCTGCTCGCTCGCCGTACAGGCCAAAGTTCTTCGCGTACGACTGGGCAATGCAGAGCTCGAAGCCTTGCTCGACAAAGTAGCGGATCGCCCAGCCGTCGGTTGCGAGGTCGCCTGAAGCGAAGCCCTGGTATGCTGTGTCGAAGAAGGGGAAGTGCTTCTTCGACTTGATCACCTCGGCAATCTTCTTCCACTGCTCCTGTGTAGCGTCGACACCGGTGGGGTTGTGGGCACAAGCATGCAGTACGATGATACTGCCCTCGGCAGCATCCTGCAGAGCTCCGATCATGCCATCAAAGTCGAGACCCTTGGTCTTCTTGGAGAAGTAGGGGTATGTCTTGTATTCGAGGCCGACATTGGAGAAGATCTGGAAGTGGTTCGCCCATGTCGGGTCTGAGAAGTAGACGGTTCGCTGGCTCTTGGTCTTGTAGAACTTGGCGAGGAAGAGGGCGCCCAAGTGGACAGCACCGGTACCGGAGATGGTCTGCAAGCTGGCGACCTGTGTGGTGTGAGCTCAAGTCATGACGTGGTGGAGTGATATCCTCACCCGCTTCTCTTTGATGGCGGGGCTGTCACCACCGAGCACCAGCTTCTGGGAAGCGGTTGTGAACTCTGCGAGACCAGCGATGGGTAGGTACTCGTGGTTGAGGTTGGGGTCGTCGCGGAGTCTGTCGTCGGCCTGTGCATTGTCAGCTCATGTTGAACAAGGATATGAGGAAGGCGCGGTGGGCGTACCTTCTTAACGACGGGCAGAATCCAGGGCTTTGCATTGTCGTCTCGGTAAGCTCCAATGCCCAGGTCGACTTTCTGGGGGTCCTCATCGCGGCGGAAGGCAGCCATCAGCCCGAACAGCGGGTCTTCAGGCGCCTGGGGGACGACATTCGCGTCGAAAGCGGTAGCAGCCATTGGTTCGATGTGTGAGGATATCTGGGAGAGTCGGGTCGTGGAAGAAGTCTGGGTGGAAGTAGTGGAAGGAGACGAGGTGAGTGGCTTGGGGACAGGTGAGTCTGGCATGATGAGTACGCCGTATGAGCTCTCCCACGTTTACGTTTCACCGCTGCCGCCGCTTAATCAAGGGAAGCCGCGTCCAGCCCGCGCTAAACCCCGCAGTTTGCTTTTGAAGATGCGATGCGGAGAACCGGGAGGCCGGCTCGAGACGATGGAACAAGAGTTGGCTGACATGGTGACGGCACTCAGCCAGCGCATTATATAGAGTTGAAGCTCGGAAGGTCTGCCGTAGGGTCGTGTGAGCAAGCAAGCCGAGGCACAAGCTGCCGCTTCCGCAATCATGCCGGCCAAACCACCCTTCTCACATGCAGGGCCTTTGCCATCATAATGCTTCGTCGATGAGTAAACTTGCTGCCGCGTAGCGGGCCATGAACGGTAGTGGGTCTGCATAGCTGCTGGTTCAAGTATGCCGACCCCACATGGCTGTCATTGCTGCTTCTGGAAATTTGGTCCACTCAGAGCACACGGGATACTAACAGACGTAGCGCGATATATTCACATGTTGGCTAGCTACCCAGATCACCACGCCATCTTGTTCCACGCTTAAATGAACAAGTCCCACAAGACAAGTGTCGTGCAGAATATGCTTGTAGCCCAGAACAGCTTCTGCGCCGTACTGCCCCGCTCCGTCGCACGCTTGAGCTCCTTGTTTCCACTCCCAACATTCTCCGTCGTATTGAACGAGTCCTCGATGAGCTGGTTGATGTGTGTCTCCTGCATGCTGAGGTTAGATGCGAGCGTCGAGTGTAGTTCCGAGATGTCCATGAGCGACTTTTCCGTTGCACTGCCCGTGTCAGTAGCTGTTCGAGACGAGCATTTCGCAGCACGTACCGGACTTTGTCGAGCTGGTCCTCGTACTGCTTGAGCATGTCCTGGTTCTCCTGCGCAAACAGCTGGAGCTGCTCTGGGTCCAACTGCTTCTCAATCGCCGCGCTCGACTCGTCCGGGTTGTACGTCGACTTGGCTCGATAATCTCCAGACTCGCTTCCTGCATTGTGGCTACCGTTGATACCACCATAGTCGCTGCTGCCTGGCCCTGTAGTCCTCGCCTTGTATAACACGCTCTTGCTCTTCTCCACCTCGCGCATGTGCCTAATCTCCATCATGTCGGTCTGGAACAGGACACACTGCTCCAGCTGCAAATCCAACGTCCATATTATGCCCCTTCTATGCTCCTTGATCGTGTTCGCCTTGGCCTCCTCAATCTCCTCCTCGACGCTCTTCGCTGTGATCGCCCCGCCGGCTGCCCATCGTCCAAGTGCACCGAGGCCCTGCTTTGCGCGCTTCTTGAGGGCGACCTGCGTCTGCGTCTCCTGCCGCACCTGCTCGGCAGCTCCTAGCTTTTCAATGGCATCTTTCAGCTGGTGTATCGATAGTTTTGCCTGAGCATCGATCTCGTTGCGCTGTGAGTCGCTAAGGTACTTGGCATCTTTGTCTGCAGAGACGGATGATGCGCCTGTTCGTGCGTATTGCTTCCGGCGCGGAGCATGTGCGGTCGAGAGATAGCTTTGCCGTATCGACTTCAAGTCTGCATGTAGCTTTGCAATGTGCCGTCGCTGTGCCAGTTAGCTTTCACCTTGGCCAGGTCCAGGCGCGCAACGTGGCCTACAATGCGGTATGCCTCTCTCACAAAGCCGTCGAGGGCCTCGACGCGAAACACAGGAGGCTCAATCGGACGCGCATCGTGCTTCGCGAGCACCTGATTGAATATCGGCGTGATGTCCATTGTGTTGGGGTGCAGTCAACTTGCTCATGTGGAATGACGATGCTCCCCGCGGGAGTGTCATGCTGGTCTTTCGCTTCCCAGCCAATGACGCACGCACCCGATCGGACGTCCAGAACATGACTATGTTGCCGATCACGAGCATCTTCCGAGCAGCCAAAGGCTCACCTGGTGCTCGGGATCCTGAGTACCATCACTAAATCGAATCCAATCTTACGACACAAACAACTCGACACAAGACTACATGTTGCGTACTACCAACGGAGACATCTGACACTCGCCCCGCAAACATCGCTTTGTCTTCAATATTAGTCCTTCACTATGTGGCTCCATCTATTGGTCGTACCACCCAACGCCTGGAGCTCAGCTTATACCAAGGCCCGCCCAATGGCGCCTTCAGCCGCAAGGCCACCTTGATTGAACCTCGCGGACTGGCCATGTTCTGTTTGTACGGCCACACTTCACCAATTCCTCTTGTCCTGCGCAGGATACCCCAGTGAATGACTGTTTTGCTATCGTTCGTTTACCCTGTCTGTTCCTTTTAAGCATATACTCCTCCAACCTCTACTACTTCTTTCTTCTCCTCCCTACACCCAAACAAATATCAAGTGCTCAGGTCAACTTGATACTACCTTGTCGGTGGGATCAACGATCACAACACTTCCTAGCCTCATTATCAATACCAACTCCCATTTCTCCCTACAATCAGAATCACACGCTCGAGATGCTTTTCTCAATCATCCTCTCGGCAGTGTTTGTCACTGCTGCCATGACCGCACCTGCCAGCCTTGACGGCCGTGGCGATGAAGACTGCGTCCCTATCTCTTACACTATTTCAAACTACAAGCTAGTCACTTCTCCCACCTCTGGAAGCGTCGACTTCACTTTCAAATCTTTCTTCCCCATGGCCAACGTTGACGACCCCGTTCAGGCCGGCGCTCATTGCAGTGGCTCCGGTGCCTCTGTCCCCAACAACAACGAGTGTCAGGTCTCCAACCGTCGTCTTCTCTTCGACCTCCGTGGACCTCAAGACCAGGCCTACTACCAGATCAGCCATTCCTGGACCTGCTTTGGGTAAGTTTACTACTGTCGTTACTTTAGGCACAATAATTAATACAACAATAGCAACCAGTGGATGTCTGGCAACGCAGTAAAGGTCGACTCACTAGACTGCCACAACGAGGGTGATGAGCGCGTCTGCACCAGTGGACCCCAAACCTTTGCTCCTCAGAACGTGCGCAAGATCTGCAATTTGCCTCAGTGCTAGATGGCTTCAACTAGCTTCTCATATTTTCCAAGTTAAGCCACAGCTCCATCTTTGGGAGGGATTACTTCCTGCAAGGAAAATCAACGACTTTGGGTTTTCATGGGAATAGGTCGGCTTTTTTATGACTTTGGCTTTCTTTTCTGGACTTTCCTCTGCTCTCATTTGTATTAATCTGGGCATAGTATCACTCTCATTCACATCAGCGTGGTATGATATGCCTGAATACTTGTTTGTGTGGTGGTTTTGCCGTCCGAGTACAAGAGGTCGACCGTGTTTGTTTTCCCACATGTGGAAGAAGCTAGGCGAATGTAGATGTGATAGGTATGTAGCAAATATTGCTTATCGCTTTTTCCTTGCCGCCTCTTGCGCCACAAGTTGCGGCGCTTGCATAGATAGGATTATAAAGAAATTATACTAACAAGAATTTGAGTAACGTTCTTGATTCGTCAAGTTCTGACGCATGTGCAACTGGTTGCTACATGAGGGTTCGAGTAGATGAAGAGAATATGCATGAAAACATCGTACCTACTACGTGGTAGTAGGTCATGTCTAGTCCTTTATTATAGAAGTGTCTATATGAAAGATGGGTATAACGCAGAGAAGCAAACTTCGTTTAGCCATAAAAAGCTCGGTACAGTGTCCTAATGCTGCATGTTCTAAGACAGCGTAGCTGACTACTCACCTCATCCAGCAGCGCGCAACTGCTCCATGTTCTTAACTAGATTCCTGCGTTTGACATTGATACTGGACAGGGTTGCAGCTTCACCCCCGTTGGCTGCAGCTCGCTCGAAGAACGCTTGCGCTGCTAGTAGCTCTTGATGCGCCTTTGCAAGTCGTTTCAGCTGGCCTGGAACTGAACTTGAGTATGTAGATGGATCCACGTCACAGTCCTCATCTGAGCCCAGTTTTCCCATGGTGAGATCACCTATCCATAAGGCGACATTGCCGCGGAGTTCCAAAAGACTTGGTTGTCTGTCAAAGGGTGGTGACATGATGACCTGATCGAGGCGTTCTGCAATCTCCAGAGCTTGGGTGAGTTCCTCCATTTGGATCGCCTCTTCTTTCGCAGAGAAGTCGTCTGGCCCCTTACTAAAGTCACTATCAACAGACATACTTGGAGAAGAGCGCAATTGATTCGCGATGTCATCACGCAGCGCTATTTTTGCGCGCTTGCTCTTTTCGCAGACCTCGTAGATCCATAGTGAGAACATGGGTGGGTAGAATGTTCTCTCGTCAACAGCATGAGGCTGCAGCTTCCGGTTCGGGTGTTGTATGATCATACGATTATAATATTCACGAGCAAGCTCAAAGCCTTCTTCAGAGAATCTGTGCTCATTCAGTGCTTGTGGTCCGCGGCGCAGGGCTATTTCAGCACCAATGCCCCAACGTCCGTGGTTACGAGGATCCACAGGGCGCCCACCAGCAACCTGCGTCCGCAAGATCATGCCCCACGCTCTCCCCGCGCGCTCATAATCTCCCTTGAGCAGACAGCAATGCATCAGCGTGGACAAAGAATCTAGATGCGCTCTCTTCTGCGCCTCTGGTTGGCCTTGAACCGCACCAGTTTTGGAGGTGGCATTGACGGCGTAGAGGCGTGAAGGCGGCCTGGCCATTTCCTCTTGGACTTTAGCAGGTGCATGATGTGGTTTGGATACGCTCACAGGCGCATGAGGGAAGGGTGCTGGAGGGACTTCGTTCTCTTGGCTGGGCAATAGGCCTGCGACACGCAGCTGAGCTATTCCGGGCGCGGTAGACGAGGCGTACGATTGGACTATGGCGTCTGGCTGCGTTTCGTCCTCTCCCTCTAGGTCGAAAGGTGATTCATCTTCCTTCCTTTTATCTTTATTTCTTCTCGACTTGCGGAACTGACTCGCGCGCAACGAGCGTGTCCTGTTCTGCTCATCGCGCAGCTGCGTGGTGAAGTGCTGCATGTCTGGTGATGACGCAGGACTGCACGCTCATGCGGCTGTCTGAGCTGCAACGGCCCCTGCTTAGAGGCCCGAGACGCAGCGGTGAGGCTATGCAGCGGTAGCGGCCACGCACACACTGAGGGGAGGGAAGGGGAAATTGGAGTTTGTAGAATAAAGGTGCGGCGAGCAGTTTCAGTAATAGACTCGAGGCAAGAGCAACAGACGGCGGTAGCTCCATGCCGTTAGCGCCGTGACTGATGGGGAAGGCTCGGCTGCGCCATACATCACCGCCCTGCCGCCGCCGGACCTCGTTGCTCTGACCGAAGACACATCGACCCGAGGACACCCTCTCCGACCGTTTCTATTCTCGAGGCGCGCCTTCCTCGCCGGACGGCCTCACAACATGGGCCAGGCAAACTCGACGGGCGCTGCGGATGCGCAAACACGGCGGCGATCGCGCCCGCTGTCATGGGCGCCTGGGTTATTGGCCTCGTCCCAGCCTGCCAACGACACGGTGCCAGAGTTGCTGCAGAGAGCCCCGGACACGCCCTCACGACCCCGATCCAGTACTACGAGACTCTCCAACCGCCTCTCCTCTCACTTTGGGCGCCACGATGCTGGCCCGTCAGCGCCCGAAGATGCCCCGATGCCCAGTCGCTCGCGGTCGCGGCTGCACCGGGCACGCTCTTCGCTCAGCTCCATGACGGGCTTGCTGTCTAGACGGCCGCCGCTGCCTGCCCGCAATACCGAGCCCACGACCGGCTTCGCTGCACCCAGTACACCCAACAACAATAACAACACCACGCCAAGCCGCTCCGCTTTGAGACATACCACAAGCGATCGAGGGCCCTTCCTTCCCCGTGTACAGGTACCGGAATTAGGACTAGACTTTGACCAGCTGCTGCGGACCAACTCACATGCCGAGCGGCCAGACGGACACAGACCGCGACCGCTGGTTCCTTTGAGCCCATTGCGACGGGATGGACGGTCCCTCGGCATCATTCCCTCGCAGCGGCGACTACGCAACATGATAGGACACCCGCGGAGGAGACGATCGCTCTGGCAGGATGGAGAGAACATGGACAATGTCCAGCAGCTGAGGCAGGGCGAAGATCAGGCCGACGTGCTGTCAAGACTGCTATCGCTGGCTGCAGCTGCCACGGCAGCCTCTCTGGTCGGCGACGACAACCAAGCTGCAACCCGAGACGGCACATTCGATACCTTCCTACAGTCACTTCAGAACGGCAGCATAGCATCAGCGCTCCGGGGCAACGAGGAGGGGCAAGGTGGCGATACCCCCGGAGCCGCACAGGCACCCCTCAATTTCTTCAGGATGTTCAGGTTCGGCACCAGCACCGACAACGGAACCAACGACACTGGTGGGCGCCGTGGCAGTGCATCAGGGAACGGCGGAGCAGAAGGCGAGGAAGATGGGGAAGGCAGGATGGTGCCCATCATTATTGTAGGCATCAGATCTATACAGCCGGGAAGTGGCACTGGTCAAGAAGATGCGAGCATACCGCCCTTCCTCGACGCCCTCTCTAGTTTCCCCACACCTCCCACGTCACCGGGCGATGCCAACGCAAACATTTTGCAACCGCCGCAAAACGGAACCCGCTTCAGCCACAGACGGCGAGCCTCGATGGGCGGCTTCAACTTTCCTTCGAACTACGACAGCCAAAGGCATCACCGCGGCTCGACACAAGAGCGCCCTCGTCCATGGTCATCCCTCACAGACTCTCCTCCAGGACCGCTTCCTCCACCCTCCACACCTGCTACGACGCTGAACTTCTCAGCCGGCCCATCAGGCGCAACGACGCCGGCGACGTCTACCTCCCCGCCTTCACCGACCACACAATCCTCAGCACCCTCACGGCGGAACAGCTTCGTCCGCAGAGCTGCCGGATCGACTCTCGAGCCCACTGCAGAAGAGCCACAAACCCATACGCGTAATGCTCGGCCACGGCGCTTGAGCGAGTCAGATTTCACAAGATATGGCTCAGGCGCACCTCGTAGAAGAGGCGTCGTGGAGCCAGATAACAATCCTGGGGAGGGTTCGCGGAGCTGGATCATCTATGTGCTGGGTGGAAGCTATCCTGAGAACCACCCGATTCTTACCACTCCCAGTCTGTTCACCGACTCGCCCACTTACGAAGATATGATGTTGCTTTCATCTATACTCGGTCCCGCCAAACCCCCAGTTGCGAGTGAAGAGGACGTGGCTTCGGCTCCAGGCCTCTTCAGGATACGCGGTGATGCTGGTGCTCTTGTAGCTGAAGCTGTTGTGGGTGCGGAGACAATTAACCTTGTTGCGGGTGCGCGCTGTCTCGTCTGCCTATGCGATTTCGAAGTGGACGAGGAGGCGCGGAAGCTGATCAAGTGCGAACACATGTTCCACAAGATCTGCATTGATCAGGTGAGTTACTATCCTCGATTCGTGGGATCGCGCGTGCTGACTTATTCTAGTGGTTGACGACTGGACGCAACTCATGTCCGCTCTGCAGAGGTGAGGGCGTACATGAAACGGTTAAAGAATCCGATACCACCCAAGATGCCGCTACGCCTTCTGTGCCGCAAGCAGCTGCTTGACCAAAACTCACTTGCAGCAGGCCAGGTTTGGTTCTTCACCGCGAGGGCTTCACTCAATTCTTCACATATACCCCTTTCTTATATGATTGGCTACTCTACCCGACTTATTGGATACGAAGGATTATCGTATCAGGCTGTTTTCTATATTTCGTACAAACTGGAGCGTTCATGGCGTCCGCAATCTATCACTTGGATCTTGGCATATTTGGCATTACGGCATCTCAGGGAAAAAGGGATGGGATTTCGATTACTTTCCTAGCGGGCAGCATCTCAATGACTTGCTACGAATCTCTCACTGTATATGCGGTAGGAGGAGATGGGGGAAGTGATCTAGCTTCTGAAGCTATATCAGGCAGTTGTGACGAACTGCTGCGCTTGTGCTCAAGACAGCCGGGCAAGCAGCAATAATGACAAAGAACGTTGTTTCGGCACATTACTTTTCCGAGTTGCGTCTCCCACAGATGCATATATAGGGATGCATAATCCTTCACATAGGTCTGCATCATGCTATGCTTCACGTACCTCGGTGGCTTAGTTGAGGTGATATAGATGCCCATCAACCGCCTGGGTGCGACGAGTCGCCCAAACGTTACGGAACGCGTCGTGCCGGCCAATATTCGGTCTTAGTAACCCGAGATGTCTGAATCATTTCACCTCACGGTCAGACGGATTGGTGTGTACTAGGCCAGCGTATAGATATACGGCGGAACGTTTACGGGAAACGACGAAGAAGCACAGGACGAGTCTTCGTTCTGGAACGTGTGGTGCTGACCCGACCTGCATCGTAGGAGTAATGATTGCCGGGGCGGGCGGCCGCCACAACCGTAGTAATCATACGATGTCGGTGAACTGACCAGAGGGAGGTCCACACATATGTATATCAGTGCACACACCTTTGGCTGATGGCCCACGCCTTCTTACTGGCAGCCGCCATATTCACGGTAGTTAGCGTCCGGGTATTTCTGATTAGGGCGTAGACTGGTGATGGTCTCCTTGTCGCTGCCTCCGCGGAGCGCTGAAGGAGTTATGATGAGTGAACAGCTTCGCTTGATATAGCTTGATATAGGCTGTGTGGAGACTGGGTTGGAGATGGATGGGTACAGAAACCGAAAATGGCGTGCGCCTTGATCTCGGGACAGTGGGAGTCGTTGGTGATCGTACTGGATATGCGCGCTGGAATTTGGAATCCGGATGTGTGCCTAGTTTCGTTATCGCGCGGCATGTGTGTGGCTGCGGCGGAATTGCAGACCCTGCATATCGTGGAGTATGGAATGTATACACGTTAGGCGGGCCTCCATCTGACGACCTTTGCGATCTGTCACCCAGTTCAGAATTCACATTCTTAATGTCACCATCTATGAACAAGCTGTTCATTTGCTGCAGCTCGTATATACTAGATGAATAGACATGGGCCTATAGGTAAAGAAGAGGCAATAGTCACAAATGATTCTTGTGCAGACATAAGGATCATCCAAGATGGTGGTTGATGATTCAAGACCACTGCCCGACACAGGATGCACATTCGTCGCGTTACGTCAGGGTACACTCCTAGGTCATCCTGGCAGCATTCTACCAGTCGTTCTCCCAGCAAATCGGCGGATCCCAGTCAATACGAAGGGCGGACCGTTGCGTGATGTCGTGTCTAGATGGTCTTCCAAGCCGCCGCAAGCAGGTTATCTGTTCGCCATCTGAGGACGCTCACAGGTTGGTGTCCCAGGCAGCAGGCACCGATGGCCAAATCCCTAACGGTTGCGTGTCTAGGATCGCTAGTCCACCGAACAGCTCGGAGATGAGGTTTCCGTTTCAGGAAGAAACAACGTTTCTCGCTCTATACGGAAGGAACTATTGTAGCTCATGATCTCTTACAGCCTTGCGGATACTCCATAGCTACGCACAGGATTGTCCCTAGTCTAGGTAACCTAGGTCTTCACGTTTCACTCGGGGCCACTTAACAGTCGATTTGCATGATAAATACAAGTGGAGAAGATCGATAGTGTTTATCGAAGGCAGGTGGAAATGACGTTAATGCTGGGAACATGACACTGTAGGATTTCGCAGGGATAGACTGCAGTCACACATGATGCGTTTGGTAGTAGACTCTAGTTTTTCTAGGCTTACTCAAGGTCAGCAGTAGTTGTTCCTTGGTAGACAGACAGAGAGTACTATTGGAAGTGTTGTCGGCGACGTGCCAGAAAGCGTAGAATTCACGAGAGACTCTGCTGCAGAGAGGCTACGGAACGTTTCGAAGCCGGCTTACATATTATTCTTGTTTCATGCCGGATCTCTGGATCGTCTTCTTTTTTCGAAGTGAGCATAACCCTGCCAGCTTCACGTGGGTCCGTTGCCGTGGAATAGTGCATTTCGAAGTCGCACCTTCTGTGGTGAGTCGTCCCGTCTGAGCCTGCTCTTCCTCCAACGACGGCAAAAAAGCTCGACAGCCACCCCACCCCACCTCACTTTTTGCCGTAGCATCCAGCCCGCCATTCGCGGCATGCAAGACGCAAGCCACCGGCACATGCAGACCGCGATTGGCATGCCGTGGGCGGCTTTGGAGCTGCGGCAAGGTTTGCGACAATGGACTTCCAAGGTCGTACCAGACATTGCACAGCACATCTAGACCCCGTCGGTATATGGGCCTCTTCAGCTGCAAAGCAAATGAGATGTGGTGTCAATCATCTCGACATCCACCTAAAAAGGCCCGCCGCTCGCATGACGCACAGCAACTGCACGGTCGCGTCCCGCTCTTTCGCTCGCTCAAGGTCCACCAGTCAGCTGCTGCCGGATTCGCGATTACAGCCTCCGCCATCTACCATGCTGGTATAGGGCAGAACACGACATCAAACCTCTGTAAGGTCTCACTGTCTATCAGGGCCCTTGATGATATCAAATCCTGCCCCCGCCTTGGTTGAGTCTGCAGTTGCGGCGCACGGGCCAGACAGTCGTCTCCTGTTGGTCACTCCTGCATGGCACGACACAGAGACAGTTACCTCATAGTGCCTCCAAAGGAATCAGTCTGACAGTAGAGGAAACGCGTCTTCATGCCATGTGTCCCAAGTGCTGCTGGGCGACAAAGGGCAGATGAGACGATCCTGATCATGCCACTTAGCTCTGCATTTGCGCGCCAATCTTCCCGCGGCATGCCAGCAGCATCGTCAACGTGCAGACAGCCGTGGCGCCTCCATGCCCTGGGGAGATGCAGGCATCCAAGAGCTACCATTGTTATGGGACAGGGACCCAGGGCTGAGCTCGATGATGCTGATAGTGGTTAGCAAATAGGGTCGCCATCTTCTCGAAGCAGGCTGTATTTTCCCGTCAACGGCCTGGTCGACTCAGTACGAAGGAGTCAGTGGCGCTGCATGGCTGGCTAATTTGTGGCCATCCTCGCTAGCCGCGTTTGTGAGATCAAATATCAATTTGATATTCTTCCTAACAGGCACATTGATGAGGCTTGAAAGTCTAAAGGCTGCCACCGGGCAATTGCACTGCATTGCATCGGGGCACTCCCCACTTCAGGAGAGTGGAGTTCACGGAAATGTCCATGGATATACCGGCCCTGCCCTATACTCAACGACACCCTCAGGCAGTCCCGAGTAAGGGCTTTCATGTGTAGCGCGTACGAGTGTGTGCACTAACTCTGACAGCCGCTTCCTGCGCAGCTTCACATTCAGGCCTCATTCGCTGACGATTGACCTAGCCCCGTGGCTTCTCTGAACGCCCCACATGCCTCACCACCTTGGTGAAATCGGGGCCGGTGCACATCATGTCCAAATTTGTGCTTGTCTTCTGTTAGGCTGGGTCCGTCTACTGCAAAGGCGATCCACGACTTCCCTCGAGCCGTAGCTGACTGCAGTTTATAATCGTCATGGCAGCACGCCTAAGAGTAGTTGACAGGCGGGATCAACGGCGGGGATGTGCCAAAAAAATGACCCTATACGGCATTTTGGAGCGACTATTCCGGGCAGACCCTTCTATTCTCCCCAGAATTCATCCCATGTGGATGCTGGCGAGTGGACCAGTTCGCACGGTGATCAGGAGCGATCAGACCTGGGATCGCAGAGCGTGTCTTGCAAGGAGCTAATCCATGGCTGCGCGGAAGGCGGAAGCGTTTAGGTGCACGGCCATAGCATAGCGGCCTGGGAGACAACTCAGCGGCTTATGGCTTGCTTTTTCCCCTTCACTGCACCCCGGCTTTAGATGCAGACGTTTGATGAACATTGAGACTATCCATTCCTGGCATTGGACATTGCTTCTTTGTCCGAACTAAACACAAGCCTCCTGTCACGGGCTGACTCTCACACGACCTCTGCATGCGGCTGCTGTGCTCTCTTCCTCAACGTTGTCCAGTTTCAGTCTCAGACTGGTACTGCACACGCTTCCATCATCAGCAACTGTGGTGCGGTGGACCGACTTGCTCCTTTGCGGACAAGATCCCGGTCTATCGCATACTTCTTCAAGGCCGCTTGGTCTAGGTACTAGCTGGCGCCAACACCCGCGCGCCCAAATCAGCGTGCATTGAACTAAATCACGGCTTCGATCCTGCAAGCGTGCTTCTACAAGTATAACCCTCCAAAATCCCGTACCTGGCGCCCGAGCCATTGTCACACCCGTGGACACGGCGATCGACCTCGGACCCTTGCAATTGGATGACGTTGATCCTTTTACGGCAAGCTTACCGTCCACGGCTCACCAACATTTACCAATACAAACAACCTACACTCCATCGTTCTTCTACCCTTTCCAATCCTCTTAGGCATGTCTGGATATTATCCTCCTCCAGGGCACAACATTCCGCCTCAGTACTACAACCTCGATCCCAACGCGATCCCCAATTCCAACATTCAGCATGCCCCACCAACTATAATCTCGCATGGCTCATATGCACCCACTTTGCCAGACAACCCGTTTCAACCTGGTGTCCCTGGACCATTTGTACAATACGAAAACATCGGTCAGCCAAACTACGTCGATCAATATGAGGATGTATCTGGCCCCCTGGGCTCAGCGCATGGTGCGAACAGCCGTGCGCGAAGGAGGCCAGCGCCTGGCGAGCAGGTGAAGCATCGCAGGACTCGGAGCGGCTGTTTTACCTGCAGGCAAAGAAGAGTCAAGGTATGCGCTTTACCTCCTAAGATGGCGACTTGGCTGATGGGTAACAGTGCGACGAAAACCATCCTGTGTGTGAACGTGAGTACCTGCGCTTGCTTTTACACGCTCAAAAACTGTATAGTCTGACGATATTTGCTAGGATGCCGCAAGGGGAGCCGCGAGTGCATCTACCCAGACTCACAGTCCAGTCAGAAATCGACCCGCAGTGGGTCGAAGTCGGGCAAGTCTACATCCGCGGACGATCAATCTTCGCCCGAAGACCATGAAGGAGAGGACAAGGAGCGTCTTCCTGCGATCATGGATGAAGACGAAGAGGACGATTACGTCGAGTATGATGACGACGACGACATGTCAAGGAGCCAAGATGCTCGCGACTCTTCACATACACCAGGCTCTTTCCTCGATCAAAGTACTTCTCCATCCACTGAAGCATCCTCGATACCGCCTACGATACGACCATCTATGTCTCGGAAAGGCAGCGTGCAAACTACCAAGACCGGTCCAGCAACCAAGGGCACATCGGCTATGGCGCGAGACCTTCAGTTTTACTTGAACTACTTTCGGAACCATATGAGTGTACATCATTACTCTCTGAAACGTGATACACATGGCTTCCTCAAAGGTGACTTTTTGAGTTGGGCGACCAAGTTTGAGCCATTAAAGTACGCTGTAGCTGGTTACGCGGCGTACTTCCATACGCTTGCACAACCGGATGGTCGCATGTCCAACTTCCTCCAATTCTACAACGAGTCTGTCTCACGACTGAGGATAGCCATCACAAAGAACAAGAAGCAGGGGCTCGCGACCTTTTTGACTATATTACAACTTGCAAGTATTGAGGTATAGAGCCTTTCGGAAAAGCAATTCCCTTGTGCTGACACCCGTTTCAGGAGATGCTTGGTGACTGGGTCAACCTCATGGGTCATCAGAAAGCTGCCTTCGAAATGCTCACTCGCCTATACACGCCCGAGACCATCACCAAATCTAATTTCCTTTGCAAGGTACTACTCTGGTACATTCGATTCGACCTGTTCGTTGGCTTCCAGTCTGGTGGTGAAGCAGTGCTTGGTCGCGAGTGGTACGTGGCGGTACATGAATGCTACGTTGAGAAAGTACGCGACAAGCCAGATGACATCGACATGCTGTATGAAGAGCGCTTTGCGCATTCACGACTGGTAGCGAAAGATTCGAATGACCTGTTCGCGAGAACTGCCAAAGGTCTCGTCAATCCTCAGGATTTCATGACCCAACTACCAATACTAAAGGAGAGGGTGGAGTCGTTGCAAAGAAACCTAGGCGCCGCTTTGACTGATCCTAGTAACAAGGTCCACCATATCCCAGGAGAGCCAGACCCAGAAGACTTTGTCAATCCTTACGAACCGGATGTCATATATGGTGGTCCGTTGTGGACGTCGAATTACCTGCTGTTGGATACATGGGGTATCCAGTTCATGTTCAACATTTCATCTTCTATGGCGTTGAAGGTGCCTCTTGATCCAGATGTTACAAAAGAAGCGTTCAAGGCGGTGCAGGTCTTTGAGGCTATGTGTGCATATCCTGACGCTCCCCCCGGCGCACTACTAGAGGCACAGGTCAGTTTCGCGATTGCGACTCTGTTCCTACCGAAAGACCAGAAGACTGTGCAGTGGCTTCGAAGGTCGTTTGCGAAGATCGAAGCAGCAGGGTAAGTGGAGCATTTTGCTTGTACGACGACGGGCGATTAGGACGTTTTGTTCTAGGTGTAGACCACGGACAGACAAGCTTCTTCCAAGCCTCTGCTAACCAGAGCAACAGGTACATCTATTCTGATGTTCTTCGAAATCGCATGCTCGAATCTATGGGCCTCAGCCCATCAGACTGGTGGCTCCCCAACGACGAAGGCTGTCCACCAATAATTCGATCCATCAAAGACTTCATCAAAGAGCGCACACAGGCTCCTAAAGACCAAGTTTCGGACGACCTACGAGAGATGCGAGGCATTTTCAGCTCCCTAACCATCTCGGACTCACCACCATCCGATAACATGACGGTAACGAGCGCCGATGGCTTAGGTTCAACATATGGTTCTCCGGATTGGCAGTCATCAGGCTACGGAAGTAGCCGCAAGTCGTCAAGCGTAGAGGCCTATCCGCCGGGGTCATAGCAACAATACGCTGTGCGGTAACCATGTCTCGTGCACAAGAAACATTGGAGTCATTCAGCAATGTTGCAATAAAACATTAGGACTGGTGCCCATCATCCGCAATGCCACGTCCGCAGTGCATACGCCCACGTTCCCTAGACGACGGTTGCGTGCATCGCAGCAGAGAGTCTTTCTTACCTGAAACGCTCTATCAGCCCTGTCCTGTCACCATCTATCGCCGAGATGGCCTTCCGAGAGGCGTCCTGTGCTACGTTGATGCACAGATCTGGCATGGCTTGGCTTGGCTCTAGGTATTACTGCCGAAGTGTACAGCATCCCATCTTCGTGTCCAGATGTTGAGGCAGGTTAATACCGAAGAGGAAGAATCGAGCGACAGGCAAGACACGTCATGTGGTGTGACGTTTGTCGGTGCTACTGGGCCGCATGTTAGTTTCAACGTCTCATAGAGATCGGGAGTTCGCTGCCCTATCGATGGAAGCACGAAGAAGCAAAGGCGGACCACATGCATATTGATGGAAAGTTTACTCATGATGGAGGAAGCGATCAACGTGTCATGTGGACTTGATGTGAGGCAGGGTGGTGGAAACATGCTAGGTACACATATCGTCACAACAGCGCATTGTGGTTCACATGCAATTTGTACAAACCTGGGAGTGCACGATAGGCTACGGCAGATATAAACCAAATTTAGTGAGTTCGCATATGATGGCCGTGAAAGCCATGCATGTCATCAATCTATATCTCAGTGAAGTTGACCCGCACCTGGTTCTCTTGGGGTCCAAGACATGGCGCATATGGCCTCTGATGTCAATGCCACATGTTCAAGTCTTGGTGGTTATGCCTTGACAGAGCAACTCTAGAGTTGGCAACTCACTGTCGTGATGCCGTGCTCTTTCAAGCTTTGTCGAGTGCGGAAGTGGGAGGGGGAGCGTTGGGGATGACCCGAAGAAGCCTAGTGTTGAATGCAGGGATGATGCGCGGCCCTGACAGGAGCGGGCAGCGGAGACACATGAAAGTCGCGAGAGCACCTCGACCACCACGCCCTAGCCAGAAGACGCAAACAAGGCTTTGATAACACGATACACATTATTCGCCATGGAGAACCTCGGAAAGATTTCGGCGTTCGGAAAGAACATATCGTATGCTTTTTCCCGCAGTGTCGACCTGCGAGCTGTGCAAGATTGGGTACAGGGTCGAGATATGCTGACATGGCTTTTACAGCGCTTCTTTCACACCTTGGGCTGCCAGGACGCAGCAGTATGTCAAGGAGCAAGTCGGCAATGTCGAGGACAAGGTGCGGCTACCCTGTCTGGCTCGCTGCCATGTCGCGACGAGGCTCCATGGCAGCCAACGAAAGCAATACTGATACGGGCCGTGACAGACTCAACTCCCCCCGGACTACATCGAGCTCGAGAAGCGCGTCGATGCGCTGAAGAAGGTGCACACAACCATGCTGCAGGTGACGTACGACACCCTCTGCCACGCCCTAGTGCTTGGCCTGGCTGACTGTATAGCTCACAATACGCCAACGAAGCCTACGACTACCCAGCCAACATCCGCGAATCCTTCAACGACCTCGGACGCACCGTCTCTGAGAAGGTCAACCTCCTCTCCAGCGCCACCTCGCCCGCCGAAGCCCAGGCTGCCCTCACTGCTCCCCCCTCGGCAAAGCCCCAGCCCAAGACGTTCAACCATGCCATTGCCCGCGCCGCCCTCAACTCGTCGCACATGCTCACATCCGAGCAAACAGGCTCGAGTGAAGACCCCCTTGCTACCGCTCTCGAGAAGTACGCCATTGCCAGCGAGAAGGTTGGTGAGGCGCGATTGGCGCAGGACGCCCAGATCCAGAGCCGCTTCCTGGCCGGCTGGAGTACCACCCTCAACACCAACATCCAGTTTGCCACACGTGCTCGCAAGGCAGTGGAGAACTCGAGGTTGAGCCTGGATGCGACCAAGGCCAATGCAAAGGGTCCTGCTTTCACTCTGCCTGGTCAGGCTCCAAAGACGGCCATGGACGACGACATCAGTGAAGAGGCGAGAGCCAAGATTGAGCAGGCTGAGGATGAGTTTGTTGGCCAGACTGAGGAGGCCGTCGGTGTCATGAAGAATGTACGATCGCATCCCTCAGCCTACATCGTCGTGTACTGGCACCCTCACACTAACTCACTAATAGGTTCTCGACACCCCCGAGCCCCTCCGCAACCTCGCCGAACTCATCGCCGCCCAGCTCGAGTACCACAAGAAGGCATACGAGATCCTGTCAGAGCTGGCTCCTGTCGTCGAGCAGCTGCAGGTTGAACAGGAGGTGCGTAGACATCAGTCGTCGGATTACTAGCAAGTCTTCACTGGACCTAACTAATGCATTGCATTGATAGGCCAACTACCGTAGGGCTCGTGAGGAGTTGTAGGACGGCTCCGACGCAGAGGGCCAAGCGGCAGGAGAGATTAGAGACAAACATTAGCTTGCAGACTGGTCCATTTCTTGGACGTGAAATTGCCGTGAGTTTTGTCACGTCACGGTGTGCTTTACCGACGTTGTTAGGGGTTTGCTTCACATTCGGACGGGATCTATTCTATCAACTCAGTCAATGCTTTCTCTGTTCAACCATTCCATTGCTGGGACGCGACATGTCAGTGCGCCGTGACTGCCATATCGATATGTTATTGAAACACTCCACTCTCATCCTTAAATTCAGCCGCCTGCCCTCTAGCAAACTCTGCCATCTTTTCCCTCTCTGCCTCCTTCCCCTCATCCTCCTCCTCAGCCGGGATATACATCCTCATCACATCCCTCACATAGCCCTCTGGCACCCCCAGCTTCATCGCATCAGCAATCCCCTGATTCATCCGGTATACATACTCGTCCCGCGGCGTATCCGGTGAAACACGGTTCCTATCGATATAAACTAGCATGCCCCTTTTCTTTTCCGGGTCCTTGCCAGTATCAACTTTGTGCTCTGTATCAGAAGGCCAGAAATCGCATTCTAGCGTTTCCTTTGTGTAAGCCATGGGTACGCCTTCGTTCTTGTCTAGTCTCTTTTCGTCTTCTGCCTGAAGTGAATAGACAAGACCGAAGACTACGTCGCCGTAAGAAGATAAGGATGTGTTTTGCTTGTCAGCTGATTCGACGACATTGGCGTAGCCCCGGTCGTTTATGATCCAGTGGTAGTTTGGTAGGCGAGCGACTCCTAGGTACGTCGAGGTTGGGCACCGCGTCGTCATTTGGTGAAGCCAGAGATTTGAACCGTAGCCAAAATATATTGTGGGGGATATGGAAGATGTGATGGGTAGTTGAGGGCTTGCCATGTTGAGATCGAGGTCGACAGCTTTGAAGATTGTTGATGGGTGTGATGTCGTTCTTCAGCACTAACTTGGTGGTTCAAATTGCGGAATCTTCTCACGCTCATGAATGCCTAGAAGCGATGTGTTCTATGAGGAGGAACCGATTTGTTTGTTTGTGTTGCCGAGTAGAGTATGGGAATCCATGCGACTTTGTTCTATACTTGGGGTGAAAGTGGTAGACTATGCCTTTCTGGGCGTTCCGAGGCTGACAGATTGCATCATACGTCTCGCGTTCGCGACCAAATTTTTGGAATGAACGCGGGACGCGCTTAACCAGTTCGCAGATACCTTTCCAAGTGCGTCTATTACGCCTAGGTATATTCGTAGACCATTCCTATCCTCGCACAGTCTACAGTCTAGTAGTTTTACTGGTAGAGTAGGACTTGTCTTTTGAAGGTACCCCGCTACATGTTCTAGCTGTCTTTGCTACTCATCCATAACAAAACACCACATAGCTACACACGCCGCGATATATCAAACGTGCAGCAACTATAAAAATATGCCGTACTCTCATCACAGCCATTCCGGCCAGTTCTGTGGACATGCGCAGAACACGCTCGAGGAAGTTGTCCAGGCAGCAATAGCCAAAGGCTTCCACACCTTCTCCTTGACGGAGCATATACCCAGACCATTTGAAGACTTTTATCCCGAAGAAGCCGACTCCCACACCGTGGACAGTCTCGCGAAGCTGTTCGATGACTTTATCATCGAGGCCCACCGGCTACGAGACGTATACTCAAACCAGATACAGATCCTCATTGGTTTCGAAACCGAATACATCCGTCCATCCACGCTTCAAATCATTCGCAGCATCCTCGACAAGTATACTTTTGATTTCTTCATGGGCTCTGTCCACCACACACACACAATACCGATCGACTACGACCGCACCATGTATGAACAGGCTAGAGATAAAGCAGGTGGGACGGACGAGCGGCTTTTTGAAGACTACTTCGACTCTCAGTACGAGATGCTTCAAGAGCTACGGCCACCAGTGGTCGGACATTTTGATCTTATTCGCCTACTTAGCGATCATCGCGATGCCGATTTCAAGGACATGGCTGGTGTTTGGGACAAGATACAGCGAAACTTGGAATTCGTAGCCTCGTATGGCGCTCTTCTCGAATTGAACTCGTCCGGGCTGCGAAAAGGTTTGGCCGAGCCATATCCGTGCTTGCCCATATGTCAGGTCAGTCACACCGCTATATGCCCGAACTCGGCGTCGAGTTTACTAATGTATGTCACAGATGTTCTTAGCCATGGGAGGTGGTTTCGTCATGTCTGACGACAGTCATGGAATCGACCAGATAGGTACAAACTATGTGCGGCTATTGGCCTTCATACAAAAGGCAGGGATAGACCGGATACATTACGCTGACCGGGCCGGTGTGCGCAAAGACAGCCGCTTCCCCAATGCGGGCTTCTCTAGTGTTGCTGTAACCGACCTGGCGCAATCACCATTCTGGGCGAACATAAGGTGAAATCATCTTCGACATGGGTAGCGCTTCGGTAGTCAGAGGCGCCATTGAAATACTCCTTGTTGAAAGTTTCGGGCCATAATGCCGGGGCCACACTATCAAGGAACTCTTGTCAACGGTTGGTACGAGTGCCTACATGCAGCGCGCATTACTTGTCGGATATTTAATCGAAGCGAAAATGCCTGTTGGTAAGGCAATGTGCAGTTGGTGTAGTTCGTGATAGCAGAGAATGTAGCCACAGTTGACTAGTGATATGATGCTGCACTCCAGGTGCGTGGAGCTTCTCCACGACTCAGTTGCCGCTGCAAGCGCAGTCAAACCAGCCAATGCAAAGCGTACAATGATCCCAGACCACGCTGTTGGGCTCCCGGCTCAACGCACAGGGCTCGCGATTGTCTTCATCGTAAGCTAGCTGATGGGCTGAGAAGGGATGGCTGAAGCACGGTCAAAAGACCACGTGTAATGGCCATCGGATTTACTCTTTAGCCCCACACTACTTGCGCTTTGTTACCCTGGTACAAAATAATTGTTCGTTTGCCGCGAGAAGCACGATAACCAGCAATTCCGCATTTGGTCCCCTCGACGAACCGCTGCAAATACGGTTGTTCTTCGGGTGGGTCTAGCACCGTACGGCAGCCGGATGTGTTCCCGCTACGCCTCTGATTGGCAAGCTATAACAGACTTGAAAGCAGAAATATAGCGAGGTTCTTGGACCCGCATCTTACACATGGGTTGGAGACATTGATGAGGAAAGATGGTCTTCAGCTCGTACATTAAGAGCGTGATCACAGCACCGAGGAGGATCAGACGAACAATTAAGTTGGAGAAGAGCGAAAGCATCATTAGATATCTGAAACCGTGGGGGTGCATCTACCATGAATGACCGAACATTACTTTTCTGAGAACGGTCCTACGTTCCCTTGCATGCACGCCACCCTTGTCCATACCCATCCCCAAATCTGTATGACCGCCACTTGCTTCCTCTGAGCTTGAAGGGGGTTTTGCAACCAGATTGTCTTGGGCCCTACACACGCATGATAACAGTCAGTTTATGCAGGTCCTGATGTGTTGCCGAATCAAAGTTTGCGCACAGTCCTCTGTGATGGTGTAGTGCAGCGGTCGTGTCCTATTTGACGAGACCAAATTTTGCTGCGTCAGAGGCGCTTTTCCTTTTTACTTCCATCGTGCGACTACTGATGAGTTAGGGACCATGGCCGGCTTATTTGCGCCTTCCGGTTCTTTAGACGGGATTAAGGTTCTGGCGCCAACGCCATGCGCACATTTCATCGTGGTGACGGTCACCGCACTTCGCAAGTTTGACCGTGGTCTCTTGCAACCCACCACCGTGCTTCGCTTCATTGTCCTATCAGCCTAATTACACACAGACATACTCATCATCGTACTGGTGTCGACCTAGGAATGAAGCTATCGTCGAATGCAATTAAACCCGTGTCGTCACAAAACAAACATCGGTAACGAAATTGGCAGGCCGCTCGGTAGTCGCGGGAAAGTTTAGTACGGGTACAACCTTCCACCATGTCAAATGTGGAGCCCCAATCGCGTGTCAGCTGGGATGCTGCAGAAGAAGAGCGGTTTGGAAGGGCTAGACCAACCTTACTTCTGACATTCCAAACGGCCTGAGCTTCGGGCAGGATTCCCCGAGAGACGGACACGTTCTGACGGCTGTGGGTCGTACCATACGTAGCCCGCAATTACCTTGGAGGCAAAGATGTGGAACATGCGCATCTGCGAAGGGGCTAAAAAGTATGCTTGACGTATCCGAGCAGGCCAATCTGTTGCACAGCTTCGCGGCAAACCCTGGTATGCTTTTGGTCGAAGCAAAAGCTATGTAATACTTAGCTCCAGTCAGAGCATCTACGGAACTTCCTACTCTTGGATTCACATATCGGCACCACTATTAAAACCTGGGGTTCACCCACTTCCCGACCTACTCCTCCATCTTTGCATATTCTCGACTCCTAACAAACACCACAGCTCTTTGACCAGCATCAAAGGAAGTGGATACCCTACATAGTCTGCATACCATCCGCTTCGAGCTTCACAGTTTTAAAGAAAAGAAAGAATAAAAACTACCTTAGACGCTATCCATGCTCGACTCGTTCAACATGGGCGTAGAGAAGCTCGTTATCAGACCGGGCAATGGTACAGACATTCCCAAGAAACACGATGAAGTCTCTATGGAATACACTGGTAAGAAAAGTGATTAACCTAATGACAATATCTGACGGCAATTCAGGATGGTTATTCGACGACGATGCTCCAGACCACAAAGGTGGACAGTAAGCGAATCCGCAGGGTCCATGCTTTGGACTTCGGATAAAACGCCGTATTGATCATATCCCAGATTCGATACTTCTGTAGGTCGGGGTGACCTAATCACTCCCATCGGCGCAGGCCGAGTTATCAAAGGTGTGCTCTTGCTGCCCGAACCACTCCGCTTCGTACCTAATGCATACGCATCCTACGAATCTAGATATGCATTCTGACTGACGCTCATGCACAGGATGGGATGAGGGAATTCTGGGCTCCGCGGAAGCATCACCTATGACACTGGGAGAGAAGGCAACTCTAATCATAACACCGTACGTAATGGTGCGACCGGTATGTCTTTTCGAGTACACTGTGCTAATGATACGTGCGATACAGTGATTACGCATACGGCCCTCGGTAAGTTCGATTTGCATTTCATACATTCCGTGATTGGGACGGAAACCAGCAAAACGAGAGGCTACCGAAGTATACACGCCACCACGGCTACGGACGCCTGATAGAGCCAAGGATTAGTACGGCCTACGATGTTCCGAGAATCCTTTGAGCCGTTCTGCTCCAAACTTCCCACACTCATGCCGCCGCAACCGCCGATCTTGTACGACACGAATGTCCGCAGCCTATGACATCTCCTAATCTTTGAACCTCGATGATCTGATAAGATCATGGGATGCAATTACTGACTATGCGGACAACAGTGGCTTTCCCGGACATATCCCTGCGAATGCCAAATTAATCTTGTAAGTGCCTAATTCTATTTCGCGCATCGTTGGAGACACTTCAGCATGCTGGCAACGCCTCGTCTGTGTGTCACAAGCGTGTGCCGTTCCTCTAGACGACGCACGGCTCGCTAGCCATCTCTTTCATCGTGCTATCGTTGAACCTGTGTATGGGTTACAAGATAGGAAAGCTAATGCCATCACAGTGACGTCGAGCTTAAGGCCATCAACGGAAAGAAAGCATAGAGTGCTCCCACACCAGTAGAAATCATTGCGCCACCCACTGAGCACCTTGGTCGACATATACCCCGTTACTACCCGGCCCTCCCGCCAGCCATTCGTGGCGCTTGTATCTTCATAATTGAGGTCGGCACATGTGAGAACAGGAAACATCTCTTTTACACTGAAAATCAGCGCATGTGCTGCGTCAACTACCCCCAATTCTTAATGATCCTTCCTATGCGTGCAGACGCAAACGCTTTTTGGTTTCTTTGGTCTCTCGGTGTTTGGCGCTTGGTAGAGGTACAAGAGTACAGCAGACTCAGTTCAACCAGAGCTGTCTTAGTGGATGTATACATATGTTACTTGTAGTAGGGCTGAAGAAAGCTCATGTTTTGTATCCTATGAACCATGTCTTTCCACACCCTTTGCGTTACTGCAGCTTTCGGACTCTCTTTCTCTTCTCGCCTGAAGTCAAACCGCTCATTGATCTTGGCGATGGCTTGGTTGTAGAGGATGATCCGCAGAAAACTTACATATTGCTCGAGTTCAAATGTCCGTCAATCAAAAGCAAGCGCTCCGCTCCATGTCGTAAACATCTCGATCTCCAACCCCTCGTGCCTGAATACGCTTCTCAAATGATATAAAAATAACCATACTACTTTGGACGAGTTGTACGCAGTGATCCAGGTCAGAGGTTCGCCTCGACGCGGGATAATAGTCGGCTGAACACCATACGGCACGAGCCGGGAGCAGAGTTCCACACCGACATTCCTCTCTTCAATCTTACTGGACCGCATTTCCGAAGCCAGATACAGCCCGTTGTCGGTATGCCGAAGACCAGCAGCATGACTCAGATCTCAAGTCTTCCGTTGGCTGGCGGTTGTGGCGGCTTACGTTTAATCCGGCAGATATGGTGTTGTGTCACCGCAACCTTCACGCTTGTTTATCAAAATGGACTACCGCGGAACCTGAATAACCTCTGACTTTACCGTTTCTTGCCACGGGTGGGGAAAGTTGCCACACAGTTTCCAGGCAAAAGACATCCCACAAAGGGCGCCCCGTACTTGACCCAGCAAGATAACCCATTCGTCGTTCAAAGGAGGACCTCTACGGGAAGCGGCTTTCTAAATGTTTGAGATCAGATCTATTATTCCAATACCAGCTTACAGTTTCCAAATCTTAGAATCTAGATGGGTTCTCGACAAGCCACTCAACACTTTGCATCGCATACAACCGGCGCACGAAATCACCGATAAGGAAGCGGATATATACCCTTATAGGAGTCTCGTCACGGCATGTACCATGTCAAAATCTAGACACCCCGTATCTCAAGTTTACCTAGATACCGATCACGGGCCGTGACCGTTCGATCCGCCCTTGGACGCTCCCGGCCGTACCGAATGCGGATACGGCTCTTACATTACATGTATCCGCAAAGAGGGTTATCTCTCAAGGAAAACAAGGTGAATAAGATGGTTGTAAGCGGCATGTGTTAGGTGCATGTGGCGTTGGTCCCGTGCAGCTGCATCAGGCACGACTCGATCATGCGCGTGCGTGGCACAGCAATGGTGCGGGTCGGATTTACACGGGGTTCAAGTGCGCGAATATGCAGTACTACTCGACTTCCTAGTTGTCGGTCTGATAGTGAAAATCCCCAAGGCCATCCGCCAAGCCGTTGCTTGCGCTCTACGCGAGCCGCTCCTCACAGGTCGCATTCTGGTGATTTGATGGGTATTGAGATACGCCGCTGCTACCTTCAGTAGCGCCAGCAACTTTGGACTGTCTGTTATTCCAGTACTGGCCCATGGTCATGCCATCTAGACTATTAAACCATAGTGATACTATGACGTTCTCGTACCCCAAAGAAGAGTTGAATGTTTGGAGGAAGGGGCGCGTGTAGACGGACAGACCATGTTCAACATTGTACATTGGTTTCGTGGCTTCCAAAATCCTGCTCCTCATCCTCTCGAGGTATTGGTGCAACTGCGCAACTATATTGCCAACGAGCAATGGATCGCCGCCGCTTCGTTGAACCATGACTTCGTCTCATACAGTTGCTGGTCTCCCCGGATTCTCTTTGGGCACATCTTGGCCCCAATCATATTCCCTTAGGATTTCGGCAGCAAAATAAGGTTTTCTTACACTAAGGTTTGACGCAGGCTCCAAGGCGACAGGATGATCTTCGAGAAAGGTGTCGCCTCCGGCGCTAGATTCGAAAGACAGTTTGCGACACAGATAGATGATATGTCGTCAAAGATGGACCATCATAAGCGAGCAAAAGCGTTCTGGTTTAGGGCAGCCATCGCGATGTCATTACCGGTGTACACGCGCTATTGTAGAATTTTACGAACACTTACCTAGACTATCTATTATCAGTTAGTGCCGCTACAGATTGAGTGATGCAATGCAATGTTATATGCAATTGCGTGCATAGAAGAACGTGCACATGATGCTCTAGAAAACGCATTATTTTATCCTTGCTTAGGCAAGATACAGAACTATTGGTGTATATCGACGATGGTTGACGGGATTATACCAGAATTGACTTGCGGCTGTTATGGCTACTTTTCCAAGGTTGGTTGAGTATGTCCAACACCGTGCATGCCTTACACAGTACAAGGATCCTATACGTGCATTGACTGCGGAAGATTTCTTTCGCGACAATCGCTTCCTCAATCACAAGCTTCGAATGTACCCATGGTATGCTAGTGTGGTCCTTCAAACTGCCGCGTCTTTAACTTCTGGTTATTGCGGCCCAATCTGATTTTCTATTGGAGCCTGCGGTTGGTAGCGCCGGTTCATTTGCCTTTGTTCCCGGTTTTACCGTCCATTGAGGAACCTGCGAATACAGTCTTTTGCGTAAAGTTCACCGTTCGACGCGCCAAGTGATTCCTTGAATCGAACCGATGGGATGCAATGCATGATTTCGCGGACGAAGGACTAACATATGAGGGGCAGAATCAAGGACAGATGTCCAAGGATAAGCGCAACAATCGTAGGATGCTGCTAAGGCGGCTAACTCGTCACCGGCGGTGGAGGATCGAGAAGATGATGCTCAAACCGTTGGAGCATCCCATTTTGGTACGCCCAGATCCCATGATATCATTGTCAGCTTTTGAACAGTAACAGAAGCGTCAAGACGATGCATTCATGGGCTTGCGCTGGCAAAATCCGATCGGTTCATCCTTTCCGCGGAGAAACAAGGACTTGATAAAGATCTAGATAACAAAGAAGAGATAAACTGCGCCAAAGATGCACCCTGGATGCAACAAGACCGCATCTATACCGTCACTTCGGAGACGGCTGCAAAGATAACGTGAAATCGACCGACGAGCAGCATAACCATTACCGCAACACGGCAAGAACGGTACCCACTGCGCCTGAACAGATAAGCATGCGGCTTCCTTCAGCTACTTGCAGAGCCACGTGCTATACGTGGCATGAAAACGCATCCGCTCGTTGCAATGATTTAGTGTGAACTAAGTGCTTTGCTTCTAAATAGCTTCTGTAGTGAGCGTTTGATCTTCGTGTGAAGCAACTAGCTAGAGCCTTCCAGAACGGTCATGAAGCTTGTATCTCACAATTGTGTCTCGCAACCAAAGTATCAACCAACGCAGAGGTATACGCGATACAGTAGATGGTGCGACCGCATGTTTGTCGTGGCCGGTATCTGAAAGTATTCCGTTGGCATAGATGGAACTGACTTTGAAGCATATCAGCAGTCCGACTGACGTGGTGCCACGGCAGACTGGAAGCGTCATTGCTTGGGTAGTTGAGTGGGGGCGAATACAGCTGCCGCTCATTACTGCAATTTACCAGTATCGAGTCTAGCCTGAGTGTGGGCGTGATCTGTAGTGTGGCCGACGTACGGCTCGCTGAACACCGGCCTCAGAGAGTACGACGAAGGCGTGAAGAACCTGAGATCTTCCTAGTTAGATAGAAAACGGAGCCTTTGCTCGGTCGATCATGCCGACGCAGATATTGCCCTTCAAGTTTCCTACCAGTATCTCCTGTAACGCACACAACTGGTGTATCCGTTTTCTCAAGGAGGCAAGATACCACGCGTGTTGGTCGATTACCGGCGAAACAACTAGAACATAAAAATCTCGACATTCCATAGAGTCGTTCCGTTCACGTGGCCGGATCTCATCCAAACATGAGGAAACTCGAAGTCGGAAGGAACATATACCCATAACTTGGTAAGGTATAAGGTGATCCATCTGGGAGCTGGCCGCGCCTGACTTTAGCGTATGTCGATTTTGACTGCTGTCCAGTAGTCGATGGTCGTGATGTCGTACCATGGCTCGAGTGGGCCGTGGAACGTTACTCATCGCGTCATCGGGTAAGACACGCTTCTATTCTGACCTCAAGCCTTTAGCTCCGTGTGTGCCAATCGGTATGGGCGCAAGTCACATGGCACAAGTTTGGTCTTTAAATCGACGTCGTGAAGTACCCCGTGCTTGACATAGTAACCACTAAGACATTGCCTGCGTGGACTCAGTGTATGAATGGTACGTCTGAGCCATAAATTCTTCTGACACGATCCAGAGCAGAAGAACGAAAGAACATGCATCAGACTGCTGCGCACCTATGCGGTGTATCATACCTAGGTACTTAAACTTGCACTGTGAAGGCTTCCGAGTAGATGCGAGACGGATTGACGAGGCAAGCAGGCGAGATGTCTTCTTGCGAAAGGAGGACCTGAGGAAATAGTTTCCATCTTCTAAAAAGGGTTGCCGTTGGCTGTACTATCAGCTGTTTCTCGTTTTCGAGAATCTTTATCGAACAAACATGACAGTGGTACAGGAAGCTGTTGGACGAGGAAGCAGATCTCTGGTGAGCGGACTTTTGTCACGTGTCGACTAAAAGGGCCCCACAAGAACTTTTCTCGTGGCTCTCAACCAAAGTGACTATGTAAAGTCAGGCAGATGACAATGCTTCTTGACAAGTTGCACAACTGGAGCACAACTATGGACGACTCACTGGTAGATTGCTCTGCATATGAATCGCGTCGCCGAGATGGTCTAGTCGACGGGCGACGACATTCGTCGCACGCTTCACAACGCTACGCTCCACCTCCAAGCCAGCCAAGGTCAGTCTGTGTTTGCTTCGATTCAGTGCAGTGGAGTGCAACAAAGAACAAAGAGCTGTCATCTGTGGCTGTATTGATCTCATCTTGCACCGCCTATCGTGGGAGACTTCCGGTTGGCGACTCCGGGAAATTACAAGTGGGGATGAGCCCTTCCTAATGGTTCAAACTACCGGCTTTCTGCAACATGGCGACAACGCACTGGCCTGGACCTCGCACTTGTCGATGCATGTTCCTGCTACACATCCTCGACTGGTCATCGCAAAGGATCGCGCAACTCAACGGCTCCAGCAGAATCATGACAGCTGTTTTACGACTTGTCCTTACATACTGTGTGACTATGATTCAACGATCCAACAACTTGCGGCAGACGATCATACTCCTACGGGAGTGACGAGGCCTGGACACAGCCCCTATTCAAGCCTTGCGAACGGGAGATGGATCGCTTAAGAGAATAGCTAGGCTCGCCAAGCGGATTCATCTCGGTTTTTTACACCACCAACTTGAAGACTTCCACATCGCGCACCACAACAATGGAGCGCCCAACTTCGTCAATGAGCCAAGCAACTGCTTGCGTCTATGTTGTAGGTGGTGTAGGACGCGCCCAAGAAGCTGCCTCGTTTCAACCGAAAAATTCTGCAGCCAGTGCAAGCCAGGAGGACAGCAACGTCGATCGGCGGCATCCCTGTTGTAATTTACGCTGCTTTCGTGCTTTACCCGACATGAGATGGTCAAAGTTACTACCACTCGCAGTGTGACTGCCCTGACGATCAGGCACCGTGCTTGGCCGATTGGATCGCCCCTTACCCAGCTTGTTCAGAACCGATCTGTTCGCGGTTAGCACGCTGTCCCATGCTTGTTCTCCGGATTAGCCACGACGTTTAGCCCCGTCCTAAAGAAGTCCACGCCGTGGCGACGACTAGTTCCATGGCGGACGGGCTTCGAAGTGGGCCTGGGCTGCGTGGACTAGGATGCAGCCATCTTATTTACTTGCGCATCCCCCAGGTCCCAAACTCCTTCTCTACCGCCTAAGCAAGACTTCGTCACCCACGTTCATTCGCTGAATAACTTCACTCTTTCAGGTGTTCAGCAGTCATTCCTTCGATCGATCTCTTCGGGTCTTCAACGTTTCCTCAAATATCATACCGGTCCAATTCTATAACGATGCAGCTCATTACCCTTATTTCTGCGGCCTCGGCCATGGTCGCGACCACGTCGGCCACCGCCTCCCTCAGGAGCGCTGTCACCTTGAACAAGGAATGCAACACGAACAAGCCCTACGCTCGTATCATCAACCGTTGCGACTACGACGTTCACCTTTGGTCCGTCTACAAGGGCGATGGTTGCCCCGAGGATGGCATGGTCACTTTGAAGACTGGCGAGACCTACTCCGAGAACTACCCCCCTGCCACTTCCGACAAGACCGGAGTGTCTATCAAGATTTCAAAGACGCAACAGTGCAAGGGTGTTGATATTACCCAACTGGAGTACTATCTCGAAACCTCCGGTGACGCCAAGTACCACAACAACTACCTCGACGTTTCCTACGTGGACTGCCTTAGCGAGGAATGCCCCACCAGACAGGAGGGATACTACCTTGTTGCAGGCAACCAGACTGGCACAGCGGTCGCGGCTGCTTCTAACACTTGGTGCCCAATCCTTTCCTGCCACGACCCTGTGTCCTGCAGCAAGATTTCCTACGTCCTCCCTGACGACGTTCAGACCAAGACTTGCGACCTCCAGTCCAGTATGGACTTCTACATGTGCGGTGGAGAGGCGCCCTCTGGTGACTACGGCTCTTCTCCTAGCGAGCCCGAATCTTCTGCCGAGCCTTCGTCCAGCTCCACCAAGCAGGCCGAGTACTCCGCTGCTAAGCCTACTTCCACGTCCGCTTCTTCGGCTTCCGATGAGGAGGACTCTTACACAGCGGATATCGAGATTGCTGCTGCCGCCGTCACCCCTGCGCCCCAAAAACAAGACGAGAACCCTTACCAGGGACTCACCAAGACCAAGGTTGTCTACGTTACTGCGTACGAGTACGTCAACGCAAAGAGGCACGTCCACGACCACGCCCGCCGTCACCAGCCTTTCCACGCATAAGCTTCACATGTCACTTTTATAATATGGCATTGGTGTTTGAGGGACTGGTTTCTTCCATATTCCACGAGCCGATAATTCAGAATACCAATTTCGCGATATACCCAGAAAAGCTAGGAAGAGGAGATTAGAGTTGATCCAACTCGAGTAATGACAGAGGTAGACAGTGTCGCAGGCCTAATCTATTCATTTCTACACCACATTATCGACCCGTACCTGTCATGCTTGATTTTGTCATCTTCACTCTGATTCCTCGCCTACCATGTTCTCCGAAGGATACATTGGGTGTGTTGCCTGGCCATCTTGGAGGCTGGCGTCTCCGCTTTCTCGCTCGCACTTTTTTTTTTCACGAAGTCACGATACAGGATACCATCTTGGGGTTCTAGCCCTCAGGCGGGCTAGCGGGATACATTTGTTTCATTCATTCGCTTCGTCGAGGACTTTTGGCTCCTTTTTAGTTGAACACGGACGTGGGGTTGTATGCAAAGACGTCTTGGCTTGTTGAACTTATTTGTAGCTTGAAAATAGATCCATTCACTATTATCTCACCGACGCTCCTTGCTTTGTGAACTTGACTAATTTCGGATGCATGCGTGGCTGATTCGTGTCGCATTGCGCAGCTCCTCGAACTAGGTGCATCATTGTAACAGATGTTTGTACAAATTGCTGGGTGACATGTAGTTTCTTTTCGTGTCGCAAGAATCGAATATGCTGTGTTTCAAGCTGAGTCGTGATGTTAAGAATACATTTTGAAACAACGTCACATGCTTATTCGATTGCGCTGCTTCCTGGTATGTTTGGACCACGCGATCACCTCGCGCATCACATCGCAAGCGGAAGCCAATTCAGGTTCCGATTGCTCTGATCAACACGTCCATTGAGCTAGTGCATCAGGCCAATCTGTGGCTATCAACGAACATGTTCGCAAAACCAATTCATGTCGCAACCACGCTCCAACCCCCCTCTGAACGGCACGCATCACCCGCATGAGCAACGTCCCCGCGACTGACAGCGGCCGGGTCGGTTATGGGTAGCTTGTTGCGCACCAGCCAAATACCGGCCACGCAGCCATACCTCCGTTCCGAGCCACAGTTGAGAATTCTACGTTGCAGGTTCGCATGCCACATCCAAGATTCTAGAAAGCTGGGCGCTCAGGCCCGCCCTCCGCGACCCGTGAGTCGACGTCCATTGCGTCACTCCTTCGCCATGGACCAGCTTATAGTTTGCCGACAACTGCCGGTACCTTACATTCTGCAGGACTAAGACGATCGTTGGGGAGCCGTTCAATCGATCAAGCATTTAGGTGACATTATGGGCCAACTGCAGCCGGGCTGGAGTTTGTGAGCCGAGCCTTTGTTGAACCACGTAGCGACCATCGCATCCGTCGAGCCGCGTAGTTAGCCTGCTCTCGCAACCATTTGCGCACAATAAAAGCAGCAGGCTTTACACTAGATTTTGCGTCGTCATATAGTAGCTCGACATTCTAGAACCAGAGCAGGATTGGTAACTATGCTCCACTTTTCCACTCTTTCGTCCACTATGCCCACATACACCTGCCGATATCGATATCGATTAGGTGCATCTGTCGGTGCGACTCCGCACAAACGTACGTCAACATTGCCTTTGCTGAGTTATCTCGCTCGTTACGGTCCACAAATTGGGGGAAGGGGGAGGGGGGACCAACGGATGAATTGCTAAAGTCAAGGAGGTCTCTGGTTCAGTGAACCATGGGATTCTGGGTTGTTGACACTGTTCTTGACGCAGACACTCAGCGTCTCTAGGGAAATAATCTTGCACTCTGATCAGACGACATCCCGAACGCGGTGGATGGGCGTACGGGCAAATGAGCTAACCCATTACTCCAGGGATACGCGACGGCGATCTCAAGATCATGAGGGGTTTTGCTGTTATGAAACCCTGCGCTCACGACCGTAGAACATGTGGAAGATGTGCAGCTGAGATAGCAGCTGATATAAATCATTCCCTCTCTACTCACTAAAGCCTAGTTTTTCCTCCACGAAAGTAACCATCTAGCTTTCCGCGGGCCTTTCTCTCGGATATGATTGCCTGTTTCTGGGGCGTCCACCCATTGAACTGGATCTCTTCCACCAACCACTTCGATTCCCCAACGAACCTCGCCGTCCCTGTCTTTGAACCAACCCAGCATTGTTTGAACTTCCCTATCTTTCTTCAGTGAGACGCCGCGCTCTTGCACCAACTCTAAGAAGTTGTCGCTGCCGCCTACGAGAACCAGCATATCGGCGATGAGCTGTACATCGCGGAGCATTGAGCTTGTATACTTCCGCTGTAAACATATGATGATGAAGGTTGTGCCCGTGAGCCATGTGAGTATTGCGGCCGACAGGTATGTTGCAACGGTGTTCATATGTAGAACGCGGATGCGGGTCGACACTGACGCCGAGATACTCCGTGACGGGACACTCTCACGTTTCAATATGACTGTGCCATTTGCGTCGATTGGTCGGGTAAGATTTTCCATGGTTTTGTCGTTCACCGGTTGGTACGTGAAGCCGCCCTCCGCCAATGACAACCCGCTATTGACAAACTGCTGGAAGAACATCTGGAATGTGCGGTCGGCCAACTCTGTAAAGGTTGTATAGTCGAGTAGTGCTTCCGCATCTTTGCCGGCCATAGCATACATTGTATTGGTCATGAGGTCTATGTCGATGCCACGCTCTTTGTCTCGAAACACAAAGGCATTGTCATCAAAATTTCGGTTTGCAGACCCTAATATTGAGCCCAGAAAAAGTATACCGAAAGATGTGGTAATGTTCATTGGCCCTTTGTAAGACTTGTTGACGAATGCTGGGGTGTGGCCAGGGATCTCATGCCGCGTGAAAGCATCGGACCATGCAAGGTTCATCGGCTCTACCGGACCTTCAACTTTCCAGGAAAGAATAGCCCCAGACTCAGCATCTACACCTATGGTAGCTCCTGTAGTCTCGATTATTGGTTGACAATTGGCAGCCTGCATTCGAGGTTCTTCTCTGAAATATAGGTTTTTGTGTCCGTTGAAGTTTTCGATACTGATGGGCTTCCCGACGATCCATTTTGGAACAACAGAGAGCGGCCACGAAACATGTTCGTCGTACGGAGGTCGGGCTCCAACAGCAGACCAGTAGCCTATGACACTCTGATGCGGTTGCTCAATAGTTCCATTGGCGCAGCACGGTTCATAAGTTGGTGGTGAGAAGGTTGGAGTCGCGGACGAGCTGTTCTCAAAGATACCGATTGACAACGTGTAAAGCTGAAGCCCCCCCGTACTCTCAAGCCGTGCAATGTCCTCTGGCAGTATACTCTCGCCTCTAGTAAGGTTGGCAGGCTCGAGCCATGATGATACGTTGGAGATTTCCTCGATGGAGTTGCATTCCAGTCGTGCGCGGATAGCAGGTACTTGAAGGCTTACGTTAGTCGAGGCGATTGCTGGACTGCTGTAGGTGTCCTGTAGGGGTTGTGAATCTGTAGTGTTTGAAATATGCGACAAATCGACCGGTAAAAAGCTCCAACCCCCTGATGACCAGGGCAGTTGGGAGCCGTTGAATGATTGTTGTATCCCTGCCCCGTATAGCCAGTTCTTACGAGCGTCAAGATACAACTCGTCCAAAACACTTTGGGAAACGCTGTACGGCACGTCGCCTAGGTGTATTTTTATTTCTGATACCAATGCATCATTGCGAATTTCCAGATTCTGGAGCAGCTTTACCTGCTTTGTAGTGTTCGTAGATCTCCTCTCGAACAAAGCAGACATGGAGACAGTAAGAACCTGGGCCAGAACAGAGCCAACGGCAACCATGAAAAGGACCCAATGCCGGAAGCGCGCAGCTTTAAAGGCTGCACCGACCCAAGTCTTAGACTTGTACGTTAATCCTGCTCCAGTACTAACTGGCGTCGGGCCTTGAGACATTGATATATAGGGCTGGAGTGTCCTAAATGTCATGTCTAGCTGGTCCCACCAGAGTCCGATCACGATACTAGCAACAGTCGGTGCGATGGAAATAGGTGCAAATGTCGGGAAGCTAAGATTCAGCTTTGAGATGTCAGCCTCGTAGGTAAAGCCGACCTGAGATAGTAGTGACTGCGCGGAGAAGGCGTTCAGAGTCAAAATCGCGGCCATGATTGACGTAAGTAAAACACTTAAAGCGAGAAGCATCCGTACGTGGATCACACGCGGTCTCCAATCAGATCTCGCTTTGATGAGTGGTGGGATGGATGCTGTACGTCCAATATTAGCAAGTTCGTTATATGGCATTGAACAATGTCTTAACATACTGGGTTGTACGCTACTTTGGATTAGATATCGGTCCGACATCAAGTAATTCTCCCTTCGTAACGAGTTGTAGAAGTCGCTCCTTGATGCGGCGTGTAAGTTTCTTAAGGTAGCGGTTCGAACCAGGCGAGACTGTAGCAGAAGACTTAGACCAACGATACTAGAAGGATCCGAGTGAAGATTGAGCGGTCGGTGGGGTAAGCGAGACACCCAAAGTAGCACAGCGAGAAACACAGCTGAAGCGTAGAATAATGCCGCTAGTGTAAATCCAATTTCGGTCAAAACAACCACCCTTTCTTGAACGACTGTAGCTGTTCCTTGGAATTTCTCTGCTTGAACAAAGTCAGGTAAATCGAACACCTCACGTATCGTCTCAGTAAAGAACCGTCCCTTGACTTTTGCTGCAGTCTGAGTGATATTGGGGTCGTTGATCAAGGCGGTCAGATTGAAACCTGAGAGTGCGGCAAGCATGGGCGCCATCCCAGAATATCCTGGCAGCTTTCCGGCCTCCGCTGGGGTACCCGGAGCCGACCCTCCAGCCCTGTCGGCATCGGTTTCCATGCTACTTGAATCGAAGTATGTTCTCCAGTTGTCTTGCATGCTTGTTGCCTGGAAGATGGAAACGTCAACCAGGTTGTCAGGAAGTCCCTGGCTACTCGATTCGAATTCAGAGCTTGCGTTGAGGTAGTGGTCTGGGCTTCCAGAACTAGTGACACTTGTAATATTTGTAGACATAGAGTACTGGGAACTGCACAGCATGCCTCGCATACGAAATTCGGATGAGCGCTCGTACGTCATGTTGTCGGAAATGAATGGACCAATCTCCGTAGCATTCAAAGAGGCGGTCCACGGAGTGTTCATGAGAATAATGTCGTGGTTATTGCATTCTTGCGTAGCGTTGACCCGTGCGTATACGTGCGTGGAAGTAACATTAGGCGCGATGACTCTGCCACCAAAAGCGAGTACTCGGCCAAGAGTAGTAGGGAAAAAAGTAGTCGCATTGGACCATGTCATGCCTCCATTGTAAGCGAGGTCGGAAAAGGGGTGTATCTTCAACTCGTATCTGCACCCTTGATCGGAGTCCAGTACGAAAGTGACCATAGGTTGCGTTCCCTTGTAGGGTCCGTGTTGCTGTACCGAATATACATCTGAGTACCGCTCCTCGCTCAAGCCTGCACTTTCGAGTTTCATATCGTGGCAAATATAATTTGACCGTAATGTGGTAGTTTCTGCATTCCATGCACTGTATGTAGATGTCAGTTTGGGACCGAATTGAGCCGGCTCCGACGATGGCCAAAACGGGAGCGTTAAGGAGGTATCGGTGACCCAGACTGACGTTGACACGTTCCTCATAAGTGCAGCCATTGTCCGAAAGTAAGTATCCCTAGTCGCAATTGCCGGAAGCTGGACGGCGTCTTTAGGTACAAGTCTCGTGAATTCGATAGGTCCAGGAATAATGGCTTCCTCAGTTGTGAGTAGGGCCGAGGAAAGAGGTGATATAATTAGCAGTGCAACGAGATTGACGAGTGCAGCGCATATCAAACTCCAGCTGGTTTTGCCAATTCGCTTTCGATAGAAACAGATGTCCATAAAGATGGACCACCATGCTCTTGGGGTCTGGAGAATGGTACCATATGCACTTGTGCCTTGCGTCGGCGCTTTAGCAAGTCGCGCAAATGGCTCTGTCCTTTTGACATCCTCAAACAATATGACAGTCATCTGTGCGTAAAGCACGGCGATGAGAGTAGGAGTGAAGCGCCACCCGAAGAGTATCATCGACGAGCCGTCATTATCGCCCAGTCCATGGTTCTTCCTGGATTGGCAGCTGAGCCAAACGATTAGGGAGCCCAGAATTAGACCGAGGTTAGCTAGCACGACCAGGTAGTACCATCTAAGAGTAAAGGGAAGCCACGAGGTGCTTCCCACCCGGTGTGGTGCTGCTCAATGGTCAACATCGTACCTATAATTTCTTCGAGTTATTTGCTTACTGGGAGACGCAACTAGTTGACCGTCACTTGAAGATCTGTCTAGCGATAGTCCGGTGGTCGCGCTGCTGTCCAAGCGCACCTCGGGTGGTGCTTCGTCTACCGGAGATATCGAGCCAAATCGATATTGAGCCATAGCGACTAATCACAGGATCGCGTCCTTCGTATCGAACCAGTGCGATAGAGTTCTTCTACCATCATGTTGATGGGTACTTCGAGGTACTTAAAGGTTCACCTCGAACCGCCCGAACAACTTCGAAGACACCCAAGGCCCCCATATTAGACATTGCGGCGCGGTCCTCAGCAGAAAGATAGTTACACACCAGTACAGTTAGTCAAACCCGACATTCTGGACGCGACAATGTTTCAGATGCGTCGTGCAATAGCATAGTTAGTTAAGCGCCCGGGTGGAAAAGAGCAGTTGATGAAGCGGTTGCGCTAATGAACCAGCGTTAAACACGCGCCAAGGTGGGGACCTTCTACTCAAATGTCGAATGGGATGAAGCCCTCAAGGGTTGTTTGCTTGCTAGGCATGTTATAAGAAACATACAGAGGCCGGATGGAAAAGCAGGTTGGCGCGCGTTCGTCCATTTTGGGGAGAACTACCTAGGTACCTGGCGCCTCTTTTACAATCCCTGTGGAAGTTTCCAGTAGCCACTAACTCAGAATGGCGTAGCGTCACCTCCCATGACCAGATCAAGCTCTTGGGACTGAGCGCCAGAACGACCACCTGGGCAGGCGATGCTAGAGGCCGTGTTCAATCAGCATCTGAAAGACAGTAGTAAAGTGAAAGGTGGAAATAGAAAGCACGGTTTTAAAAGTCAGTGCAGGCAGAGAGGACTAGTCAGCATCTAAGACAGGTTGCCAACTGCCTAATCTGATTGATTCGATGACTAAAGTTTGTCTCTCGAGCTCTTGTACTATTTACCTGGCCTAAAGAAGAGACTCTTTGCAGCTGCGTGACGTATTGTTGAAAGGCGGTGCTGCGCATAGATTGGCAACCCAATAGTGTCGCACTACGCGGCTGCCGGAATCCATGCCACCTGCGCCCTCGCTTGCATTCTCAGGCTTCAACCACGACTGATGCTTCAACCCGCGTACCTGCGTTGTGAGAAAGCCTTAACATCGCCAAATTCCCGATTACGTTCAACATTTTCTTACATGTTTCATCGCAATGCTGCGTCGCGTTATGTGTTAGGGAACTCTGCTTGCTATTGACGACGCGTCGAAGTGCTCAAATATTCAACGCGAAGTTATAGACCAAGGGTCAACATGCCTGCATGGTGCGCTGCTCATCAAGCGTTCCACCGAAATATCGTCCTTTGAGCCGTTCTTGTCCACTAACGGCAAGTCAAGACTTGCCCTCTTTTTGACCCGATAGTGATTGAGACAACCCTGCGTCCTCTATTTTCTTCTAACAGCTTCCTGCAATGATGAGCCGAAGCGTCACGGTTCACAAAGATCTCCAATTCTTTGCCGGATTCATGACTTCGGCTGTCTGAGTACTTCTGAAGCTTAACACCATCATCGGACTCCCAGTCGTCTCGATGAGCTTTGGCATACAGTGTCCGTGCACCCAACGCCCGGAGTCACTGAACGCCCGGCACGCAACATCTACACAGTATTTCAACGCGTAACAACTCAACAACCATGCCAGGCCTGCAAGATGCGCTTGCAGAGATTCGTAATTTAGACCCAGGCGATAAACTTGTCTATACAAATATTGCTCAAAAACACAGTGTTTCGCGCACAACGTTGTCCCGCGCGCACCGCGGTGTGCAGGTCCCTCAGGGCGTCGCTGACCTAAACCAACGAAAGCTCACCCCACAACAAGAAGCAGACCTTGTGCAGTATATAGAAACACTTTCAGCGCGTCACTTGCCACCTACGAGAGCTATAGTACAAAATTTCGCGTCTAAAGTAGCCTAGGATCCTTGCTCTAATAGCTGGGTTACACGCTTCCTGCACCGTCACCGCGACCGACTTACCTGCCACTAGGCGACGGGTATGGACTCTAATCGCCATAACGCTGAGTCTGGATATAAGTATAAGCTTTACTTTAACCTACTGCAGCAGAATATCACTGAGTATAACGTTGAGCTAGAGAATACGTACAATATAGATGAGAAGGGCTTCGCAATTGGGGTACTTGGAAGGTCGAAGCGCATCTTCAGTAGGCGTCAATATAAGAAGAAGGAGGTTAGGCAGGCTCGTTAAGATGGCTCACGTGAGTGGGTGAGCTTGTTAGCTACAATCTGCGCAGATAGTACTGCTCTGCCTCCTGGCATCATATTCGCATCAAAAAACTCCACAATCCAGAGCCATTGGGTGGCCGATATTGAGGCAGGAACACACCTAATTCACGTAGCTTCTTCGCCTACTAGCTGGACAAATAATAATATTAGATTAGCTTAGCTTGAACAGGTATTTAACCGCTATACAAAGCTAAAGGCGCGCAGAAGTTACAGGCTTTTAATAGTAGATAGCCACGGGAGTTACCTAACGCAGGACTTCATTAACTACTGCGATCAAAATCGAATTATACTCGCTGTGTTGCTACCTCATAGTACACAGACGCTGCAGCCGTTGGATGTAGTCTGCTTCAAGCCACTCTCCTCCGCCTACGCCTCCGAGCTCGATGACTACCTCCAGAAGTCTCAAGGCCTATCGCCATTGACGAAAGGTGACTTCTTCCACCTATTCTGGCCTGCCTGGGTGCACACATTTGAGGAAGAGCTTATACAAAACGCCTTCACTGCCACAGGGATAAGCCCGATGAACCCTGACGTTATACTGGATAGATTCCGCCACGCAACACCTAGCGACTCAGGCTCAGTTTCTTCTAGTTCTACAGCCTATTCTGCAGAGGATTAGCTTAGAGCTTGCACTACACTGCATGCAGAGGTGAAGGATCCTCGCAGTGCAGGTGCACGGAAGCTTGGCCAAACTATCCACCACCTATCGACACAGGTAGAGCTCCTTCACAACGAACTAGAAGGCTTGCGGCAGAAGCTATACCTAAAACAGAAGCGTCAGAAGCAACCTAGCAGGCAATTAGACTTGCAACAGCACTAGGAGTATCACGGCGGGGCGATGGTGTGGTCTCCTCGAGCTATTTAAGAGGCGCGCGTCCGCATGGCAGTTACTGAGCAAGAGAAGGAGGAAGAAGAGCTAAGAAAGGCAGAGATGAAGGAGTTAGCAGCTGCTAATAAGCTATACAAGGAGAAGATTGAGGAAGAGAAGCGTCAAAAGCGGGCGAGGGAGAAGGAAGAGCGTGCAAAGGTTAAGGCAGAGGAACGCCGAGCAATAGACGCGCAGAAGGCTGCCAGAGCCGCTGCTAAACAGGCTCGCGACTCTGCAAAAGGTATACAACAGTCCCAAAGAGGCAAATCTACAACCTCAAAAGCTTCTGTAGTCAAACCAAAGCCTGCGCGTCGTGCTGTAGGTGCTCGTAGTCGCCCGAAGCCTGCGACGCCTCCTCCGCCCGTGCGAACCCACACTACACGTAGCGGCCGCACCGCCACCTTATATAAATAATATATATAGAGGAACTTGATCGCATATGTCTATAGAGTACTCCACCAAAGACTTTCGTAGTAATAACTATTGTACGTGGCTCTGTAGCCTCATCTCTGTGATGGGCTTCAAGGCTCGGAGCGGGCGTCCGGTGACTCCGGGCGTTGGGTGCACGGACACTGTACGGGCCGACCGGTTAAACTCGAACGAGTCCCTGGAGCTGCCCAGTGCTACTTCGTTGCGGAACACCACGCTGTTAAGCTATTCGTCGTTCTTGGGGTGGAAGAAATCTCACTTCTGGATATGATCAGGCAATACTCCCTCAAGCGAAGTTCTTCTCCAACTTCTCGCCATCATACCATATTGGTATGAACAGAACGTCAACAGCCGGAAGATGGCATTCAAAGAACTCCAGGAAGAGATACTTTATCTGCGTGGTCACTCGGATCTCATCCGTGAAAGCGACGACTCGTAGATTAGATGCATTCTGGGGACGATCCAGCTACGCATTGGAAGTGAAAGTGAAAATGACGGTGAAGGTGCGATTTTAAGGGCGCAGAAGAGCGGAGAGGTCTGATCGACGTTGTGGTTCGATCGTGAATCGCCTCTTCCTATAAATCAAATAGATAATATTCAATTTCTCGAGCTCTCATAGGCTTGTGGCAGGCGGGTCATGTGTCGGTGAAAGGCTCCAGGCTACGCACAGACCGACAAACTGCTAGCATCACACTGGGATCTACATAAACTACACCCTCCTGACCTTCTTTGCTCCTTCGACAACGAACTTCAACAGCTCACCCAATCCATTATAACAAGGCCTTTCTCCACTCCGCTTCCATGCGGCCTTATCCAACTATATATCCACTTTCTCTAAAGTAAGAACCTTGTATGACCTCCGGGCTATTTTTTGTAGTATCCGATGCTGGTTTTCTTGCAGTTTGACCCTACTTTTTTGTCCAATCATTACCCTGAGCGCAAGGTAGTCGTTACGGCCTGGTGCCGTGCGCTGCTGCGGGCTCAGTGTATCAGGTCTTGAGAAGCCTATATCATCATTTCGCTGGAAGTGTTGACCAAAACCTCATCCAGTCGGCGCGCATACGAGAAGATGGGTTTGGATGCTGGCAGTGATGAGATTAGTCTGAGTCGGCATTGGCAAGTCTAAGAAGGAGAGCGGGGTCCTCCTTCGTTGGGTTGTGCAGCTTGCTGTTGGCTTGAAGAAGGGACGTGAAGAATAGTAGTTGGTGATTTTCTGGGAATTCAGTCGTTTTCCTCGGCTCGGTCTTATACATACCTGGCAGTTGGAAGAAATATCATACGAGCTTTGATCTCTCAAAGCTGCATTGATCACCGTGGTTCATATAACCTCCCCAGGCCTGCCTCCTCATACATACTTCTGGATCGCCAGAGGTACTACTTGGTACTACGTATAATGCAACCTTGTATACATTTGGTCAATATAACTATGCAAAAACGCGAGACCATCCCGGGTACAGCGCAAAGTGATACTATACCTGTACACTAACTCTACGACACCTGTACTGCAATCGTCTCACCTGCCAACTGTCTTAGACGAGAAGCGTCCAATAATTGCGACTAATTCGTTATGGTTTTAACCATACAATGGGAAGAGCTTACTAACACTATGTCGTCGCCCGCCGAAGTGAAAGTTCACCATGACGCTCACACACCCTTTCAGACAAATGGCCAAGTCCAAAACATGTCTCTTTTCAGGCTCGCTTGCTGGAAACCATCAAACAAATACACATCCACGGCATCTGAAAGCGGATAAAAATACGCCGAATGCGTTCCACACGACCCCACCTTGTGCACGCCACCGCAACTCCTCTCCATACTTTCGCCAGCTCTGCCGTCCCCGTCGCCGCTCTCGCCGTCATCGAATGGTGCATCCTTGACAGTCATATGCACAAATATGTCGTGGATATGTATAACGCCACCGGCTATGGTAGCGTAGCTACCAAACACGGTATATCTTGGAGCTAAGGAGGTGGGGTCCAACATGGTATGAGGAGCGGAAGACAGTGAGACCTTGCGAGTGTCAGTGTCTCTGTATGAACCGCATATAAGACAGATACTTACTTCGTACACCCACGTCTAGTGTACACTAGGACCGAAAGAGAAGAACTAAAGAAGAAAGAATTGGGTAGGAATGACTTTGAACAAGGTGGGCGAGGCATGTCAGGCAGATCCAGTGGAAGAGGAACTAGAAGATATAGAGAGACAGGCTATGAAGGTTAGCTTTTATAAACTTCTGGGGTGGAAGTTTGGTGAAGAGGTTGTGGGGGCTGTGATGGACTGATCAGGTAGAAAGGAATGAGTGTGTATAGGTCTGTCAAGGTTTCATGGATCAGTTTAGAGATTCCGGAAAGACTTAGCTAAATGCATGCGATCGGAGGTGAGCTTTCAGAGTGGTTCAATCTCGTTTGTCTACTCCAGAAGTCGTTATATAAGATCTGAGTACTCTACGCGCTCGCAAACAACGATAATGTACACGAATGTACTTGCGAATCCTCTGGCACAACAAACCCCAAGGTGTATGTCTGTCTCTACACCCTCCCTTCAATAGTGGAGTTCTGCGGCTCCTGCACTTCCTTGTGCTGCATCCATCCTACCATCTAAGTGAAAGAGGCTTGAAGTATTTGCTAGTTTCAATCTCATTTTCACCTTCGCTTTGCTGGTCGTAGCGACGCATTGCCCCCATTGCTTACCTAACACTGCATGGACATCATTCAATCCACTCGGAGGGCTGAGCGGGCTTAGCTTTCACGTGGCGGACTCTTACAGCGCGTTTATTTGGCATCTGACCTTCAATCTCGCGTGCCTTTCTAGACTTATCAACTTCCACTCTTGTCCCTGCTCACGACTTGAACTTTGGAATCCTTTCACCATCTGCAACACGAGAAGTGACACTATCAATAGTCTCAAGAAAACCGCCTCGCAAAGGAAAATTCACGTACCAGCTACAATAAAGGTCTTGCCAGCGGTCGATGTGCTTCAGGCTAACAACGAATTTATCCCCACGTTGACGCGCAACGCTTAGCAGACCTGTGAGCCACAATCGCAGAACAGGGCCCGGGAGAAGTTTGCGGAAGCCGTGGTATCGGAACCGGAAGATGATCGTGCCAGAATACTACGTGAACAGGACGAAAGCTTAGTGCGGCTTCTCTCGAAGCAGGTCCAGGCGAGACCGGTATCGAACGAACTCATTTTCGAGTTTGAGAAGAAGAGAAAAATGTAAGAAATTCCATACCAACACCATTCCGACAACGGATGCTAACACTTCCAGTTCTGCCGACTTTATTGCCAAGCAACAGACGGTCGATGTGGGCGATTTGCAGGCGAAAGGTGCAGAAGTCACGCGCTTCAAGATCCATCAAGCAAGCAAAAACGTTCTCAGCTTCAAGCGGAAGGTCGACGACGCTCGACGTGGACATCCTACCCGACCTTTCCTGAGCCGAGAGCTAGCTGTAGAACACTGTGCCTTTGTGCGCAACGCCACCAGAGAAGGCTCGATCATCGACTTAATCGAGTATGAAGATGATATAGTCGACAGCACTGTTACACAATTTATCGCCTGCATCTCGCCTGCGCCTCGACCTGCCCTGCCCTGCCCACTCACGATATTGTCGAGATCTTTGACACAGGTCACCGGGACTTACGAGCCACAAAGATACAGTGGTCGATGCAAAAGCTGGAAGATCTCTACATGTTTGCACATACAATCGGAGCTTTCGATGTGTGCGATATGGTTATCGACCAAGTTCATGGGGTGTTACATGACCGCCAGCAGCACCTGGTACACTCCACGAGAGGTATGATGGCAGACTTCAACATCCTCGGTGTTAGCCCTGCATTCCTGAACTTGCTTTCGAAGAAAGACAAGAAAGGCTTCGACTTCTTCGCTGACGTTCTTACCATGAATGCTGAAGACACTCTAGCGTTACTGAAGACGACCGGGCTTGGTAATTGGCGCCAGCGAGTCAAGCGCACCCTGATCGAGAAGCTGGAGTCTGACGAAACATTCGAAGTTAGCAAGAACGACGCAGTGGCGATTTGTTCGAAGTACCATCATCATCAAGGTTCAGGGAAAGGATGCTATAAGTTGGAAGTGCCTGAATGACGAACGGGCCAACACAAGGCTCCAGAAGCCGCAACAAGAGATCTATGACGACTACAAGGAGTACCTGGAAACCGCTGGCTCTGAGCACTCATCAGACGATGAAGGCTGCAACGCGACTGTTTTTCACCTTCCCGAGGTGTACAGCAAGACCCGTGATCTATTCCGAAACAGCACTGGAAGTTATGGAGAACCGTTCGAATACACCCAGCTTCCATTCTATTCGAAGGAGAGGAGACGGGCTACGCGAAACGTAGATGGTTTGAAGTATCGAGGTGAGGGAATGAAGCTTGTCAAGGACACCGCGAAGATGCAGCGCAAGAAGGTAGCAATCGTGAAGGAGAGGCTGCAAATGTTTCACGACTATGGTTATGGTTCGGACAGTGAGAAGACTCGAGGGCGAGCAGAAGACCGTGTCTAGGATGGCAAGCGAAGACGATGAAATGACGGACGAGGATGAAGGTGACTAATAGGACTGGAACACTTGTTAGAGTAGCAAAGCAACAAAGTTGGTGGTCATCCAAGTCAGAATGCTTGTGTTGGCGTTGGGCGATCTTGGACATTCTGGTAATAGCGTCCGGTGGCCTTCCGCGTCTGCAGAAAGACGTGGAGTGTGTCGCTATCCGCAATTAGCAGGACGAGGCATTATACATGAACAAACCCTTCACTTGTTCAAGCGACTCATCGCCCTGATTCCCCGGAAAGCTTCCACAACCTTCATCAAAGTTTGAAGAATATGCACCCAGAGTCGACATATCCAGACATAATCCACGATTACGATGCCAACGTCCTCAATGAGCGACATATAGTGGGTATCCAGCACTTTGATCTAACCTTTACAAAGACTAACTGAAATGCTCAACATGCGCAAGCCGTTTCAAAAACATACCTATAGCAGAGTTTTAGGTCGTTCGTATAGTCATGAGAGTGTGTCATCGGGTCGAAGGGATTGATGTGCCTGGAAACTACTACATAGCAGTTGTGATTCCCCCAGGATAGATCCAGCAGTCGGCCGCGGGAACAGGGCCTGCCCGGTGCATCTGAAGAGGTTGCTCTCAGCAGCTTGCTTGATGTTGTACACTAGAAAACGAAGAACCTAGTGCCCCCAAGGTGCAGTTTCTATCAGTTAAAGGGCGACGATTAATGGAGCTTCGGTGGTGTCGTTGTGAAGATAGTGATCTGTACCTAGGTGCCTCGGGGATTTACGCGCGTATCGAGGCGTGATCAAGAAGATACGGAGTGTCGGTCAAATTGTTGACAAGTCCAGCCCACTAACCTTCGGTCTTCTGCTCCAGAGCACATATCTGACGTTTCCAAGAGTTGCGAAGAACGTGCAGGCGTTGATTGAGGCCCCACACAGGTGCGCAAACGTCATCAGACCCCGGCCAGATTCGCGTCCCCTTTATGTGAACCTGCCCACTTCCTGAGCCTACGAACAATCTTAGTACAAACACGCTCGCCACAACTGCCGACCACTACACAAGATGTCGATAACATCCCAAGGCTACGACAAATCCGAATACCACAAATGGCGATAGCGCCTCGAATGTAACCCCGGAATACAGCCGGTGGGGCAGCTAGGCGCATTAATCTAGAAGATTGCGCCGTAAATTGTCAGTCTGAAGTAGATCGCAGGTCTGTGCAGGGTACAACGATGATACTCAGGTACATATTCATGGTATAAGTATACTCTCGTTGGTACATCGTTTGCCATTTCAGTATTCCAGCTTCACGTTTCGTTACACTTCTTCAACATGCGCTTCACCATCCTCGCCTCTGCAGTGCTTGCACCTCTAGCTGTTCTGGCTGCTCCAGCCGAGTTACATAGCAGATCAGACGTACTCGCGGCCCGCCAGGCGCGCCCTACAAAGCCAGCACCATGCGTACGTGTGATGAACACAACCGAATTACAGACAGCGAAACGCGCTGATGCCTTCGCACAAGCCTTTATCTACAAGCAAGATATCAGTGAGGCGTTTAAGTACATCTCGAAAGACTATATTGTAAGAGAGTCATGACTTTTACAAAAGGATCAACGACAGCTAACCAAACCACGTATAGAACCACAACCCTCTTGCACAGAACGGGTCTGACTCCGCATGGAACATTCTCTCCCCAATTTGGGCTTCGCAGAACATTACACCGTTACGTACAGCTTTTAAGAACCCACAAAGCTGGCTCAACTACCAAACCGGGAGTTTTGGGGAGGTTGTTGACCGGTTTCGTTGGGAAGGCGGATGCATCGTTGAGCACGTAAGTCTTGCGCTGGTGCTGAAAAAGAACGCTTACTAACTTTGCAATTTGTAGTGGGACCAAGGAGAGAGGTTTCCAGCGCAATACGCTTAGAACGACGACAGTAGAGACGCTCGGTTTGCGATCGCCCGAGCGAGAACGTGTACATATAGGAAGTCAAATAAACTACGCAAACGCAAATCGATCGCGAATGAACCCAAAGTACCATAGCAGATCCAATAAAGAGATATGTTATATATCTAGTTCGCCTTCATCAAGCCTCGTGGCGCCAAAGCCATCCTGCTAGGTCTTTGACGAGCCACCACATCCGTGTGTGGGCATCGGTTCCAAACATCCCCAATATCGCTACATCAGTTCCTCTCCCTTCCCCATCAGACTCAGGAGTTTTGTCGCACGAACAGCGTAGACCTAGAGCGCTGACTATACCAAGCCACTGCTCATACATCGATGATGGATTTCCCTTCACCTTCACCCTTGTCGTCACACTCGGGGCGTAGCTGCTCCTCGGAAGGCCTAGCGCTTGTATCGATGTAGTGCTCCGCGTCGGCATCAGTATCAAGGTAGTCCTCCCCACGCAGTAGACTGTACCGCTCTCCACTCTTGCTCGTCTCCTTGATCTGCGGGACGCCTACTGTGAAGTTGTTGTGGCAGTTAGGACATTCATGCACCTGTGGAGCAGCGAACGAAGACCATATCGATCGGGCGTTGTAGGCGAAGAAGTAAGAGTGAACGAACCTGTCAAGATATTAGCCAATGATCTGCCTGCTAAGCTAACGTTCCAATTGACCTACATGTTGACGATCATGGGAGAAGTTGTGTATCCAGCTAACAAGCCATATCCTGGTGCGCCCAGGTCGCCAACCTCGACTGCCCAGATCGGAATGAGTATCGCAAAATACATGATACAAGCCAACCCGTCTAGAATACTGAACCTGGGTCCTGGTACGGTACCACGCCTTCGTTGATGAACCATGCTCACGGTAGACGCAACGGCGGTCATGGCGAGTGGAATATAACCAAAGCAAAACGCTGTTACATCGCGATGGCTATACCAGTATGGGGACTCTAGGGATATGACTGTCGTGGCAATGAGAAGAGGTAGTGCGAGAGCGCTAGTAAGAAGAGTGAGAATGCGAAGAGGTCGTTCCTGAGCCATGGCCATTTTGCCTACTGAGTAAACTTTGGAGGTTCGTGGATGCGGGTTGATATGAGTAGTGCTGTTGTTGGAAAGAAGTAAATGGTACTGTACAGCGGAAACAAGTTGAAGTCTGCCAGCCTGATAAGTCCAACTATGAAGCATAAAGCCGTCGCACTATCCCCCAGGCAACAACAAAACTACTTGTGGCCGCAGCTGTATCAACGCCGCGTGTACATACAGAGAGCCTTGTGGCACCGCCATCCAATCGATCGGTCTCTTCGGAACTGCGACGGCAACACTTAGCAATAGTGAGACAACAAGATTTTGTGTCTGTTACCCCGAGTACGGGTCCTGACCAATGAACGAAGCGCAGGAAGTGGCTATGCTGGCTAGATTCGGCATAGCGCAAGTGGACGGACTACTCGGGTCCTGCCAAACTTGCTACTTAGTGCCGCAGTGCGTGGGTGCATGGTCTTCGTGAAACTGCCTTGCGAAGCAGATTACTGATGTTTGTTGCTCCGTACTGCATTTCCCTAGCTACTACGGAACCCTGGAAGGCTGTACGGATCACGTGACGTCACAGCCTCGATTCCAGTGTCGCGGTTACGAAGAAGCTTGTTTCAGTCAGAGTTTTGCCACGATTCCAGGAACAATGGTCTCAGCGCCCATGGCGCTTTCTCCAAGGTCTTGCAGTAAGGGCTGTGAGGCATGTTCGCCCTCGCTAATGCATGCGACGTGTTACCTAGGCAAGTAGGAAGCCAAGAGAAAAAAGAACCGTCAGCGACATCGAGGCTGGTAAGTAGCGTGTGGTTTCTGCGACTGATTGAATGACGAAGTCGATACTGAAAGTATGTATCTTCTTCGCATGTACGCAAGCATGCAAAGACCATCGAGTTTTACAATAGGGGGCCTTTCGCCATTACGACGAACCCATCGACCATCGTAGCTTCTAGAGTCGACTCACCCGTCTTTGTAGGACTGGGAACGTATCAGACCGCGTCCGAGTATCTCGCGTACTTCGAGCATGCGACGCACCGTTTCAATCAACAAGACGAGCCTGGCGCCTACGATAGCGAAGCCACAATATCCATGTTCCGCCCTGTCATCGGCGTGGCCACAGACGACTTGGCCGAAACTCCAGGCCATCGTTCTAGATGTTCTGCTTTGATCTGCCCTGCAATCTCCAACATTCTGCCTGGGGCACCGCCTACGGAGCGTCCTCCACCTTGCCCGATGATGACGATAGATTGTTCATGAGAAGATATGGAGCACGAGCCGCTTGCGAGACTTATGACTTCTCCCATTGATGCGACAGGACGGGTCGAGCATCTTAAGATCGTAACGAGGATGGCCCTACAAACTTGATCATCGGAATTGAATAATAAAAACAAAGTTACATGCGTGTCGGGCTTTTCGAAGTGGTGTTCCAGTAGAGGACTATCCGTTTTCCAATGGAGAGTTCTACCGCGAGTACTGGTTTTGTTTAGGTGCACCAGAATACGGGGATCATGCCCACATCTTTCTGAATAGTTCCATTCGAGAAACAGTAGCGAAGGACAAATATTATTCCATGAATGACGTTCGGGCGGTAGTTGTCGTTGGCGAAGTTCCGCGAGCAGCAATCGAAAAGCTGGAAAACCTGCTCCGGCGGACTCTGGAACTGGATCATATCAGGATGCCGAACGATACGGATGCAGCTCTTGTCAGCTCTTGTCAGCTCGTTCGGCGCAGCTGCGCTTGCTTTACATACTCAAGTCGATACTGAAGCCTATGAAGTGCATGGATCGACTATATAAGAAAGAATGCAGGATGGGTTGTAATCGACACGTGTGTGCAATCATAGTCAAACTATCACTGCTATCCAAAAGAACTGTATATCAGTCATGCATCCTACATCACAGAACCTTCAAGTGTGGTACAAATTGGCTTGCAACTGGATTCAAATATATACAACTTGCGAATCCTGCTACCAAAGTCCCTCTGAACCACCTTACCAAGGATTGTCACAAAGAGTAACTGGATTCAAATATATACAACTTGCGAATCCTGCTACCAATGTCCCTCTGAACCGCCTTGCCAAGGATTGTAACAAAGAGCTACTTAACCACGGGTCAGAGTGAGTCCGTAAGCTGACAGGATCTCGTTGACGGGCTGGAAGTAGGTTGTTCCGCCGCTCTGGCAGTTGCCAGAGCCTCCGGAGGTGACACCCTGGGCTTGAGCACCAGAGTAGACTAAATGTTGACGAACGAAGTCAGTATATGTATCAATCGCAGTTATTATGGGGTTATTGCTTACAAGAACCGCCAGAGTCGCCGGGCTCGGCGCAGACACTGGTCTGGGTGAGACCAGTAACACGCCCCTCAGCGTAAGAGACGGTGGCTCCCAGAGAGCGGACGGTGCCACAGAAGACACCGGTGGTGGAACCGGAGCGGCAGATGCTGGCTCCAGTGGCGGCAGCGGTGCTGCCTGAAACAGGAAGTGTACCGCCGTTGTAGTTGTTGATTCTGCCAGTGTAGGTGTTTCCAGTAGTACCGCGAATGTAAGCGTAGTCGCCGTTTCCTGGGAAGACTGAACCCGCGAAGGTTCCAATAGTAGCACCGGCGGTGGTAGAGGCAGTGTTGCCAGTAGTGCCGCAGTGGCCAGCAGAAACGAAACCGCCAGTGACAGAGAAGCCGACAGAGCATCGTCCGGCGCGGTTGATGAGGTAGGCGTCACCACCGCGAATGGTGGCGAATGTGGTCGGCAAAGCCTGAACGGTCTTGACTTCGAACTCGGCCTCAGTGAGGCCGACTTGCTTGGCCAGCTCCTCAGCCTGAGCGGTGCTGTCGGCAAGGGCCTCAAGTACGAGCTTGTTGGCGGCGATGTCAACATAGTAAGCCGCAATTCCGTTTGCGGCCTCTGAGCGCTTGCCAAGGGCTGACTCAATGTCCAGGTTGTCAAGTGCCTTCTGGGCTTCCTGGAGCTTGGAGAGAGGAGTTGAAACAACCAAGGCGGTGGCACCAGCATCAGCGACATCAGATGTCAAGGCCTCGTCAGTGACGGCGACCTTGAGCTCGCCATCGACGAGCCAGGCGCCACCGAAGGAGCTACCAGCCTTGGTACGTAGCTGCTCGATGACCTCAGTGGCCTTGAGCTCGCGGGCAACACGGACATGCGCCTGCTCAGCATCGAGTCCCAAATCGCGCTTCATGGCAGCGAGGATCTCGGGGTGTAGGCTGTTGGCGGCCGTGGTAGGGGCACCGTAGACGATAGGCAGGAAGACTGCCAGGGCAGCGAGGAATCCGGTGAGCTCCATGGCGATGGTTTCGAGAACAAGACTGAAGAGACGAGGCGTAGATGTTACAGAGGCGAGATGCTAAGAAGATGCTGATGGAGTGATTGAACTTGGACAAGAACACACGTCTATACTTATACTTACTCCAGCTTCAGCGTTGCGACTTGTATTATGCCTTGGCCATCAGTATCCAAGATAGAATCCCAACTTGGATCCGGCGCTACGAAAAGTCTCCTTCCTCATCGGCTGCAAGGTGTTGTTACGTGATCCAGCGGTATCACAAAGGTAGTCCCTAATAGGCATTTCACAAGAGTTCCAAATTGCATCCGCCGCTACCAAAAGATCTCCTTCCTCATCCGCTGCCAGATGTTGTTACGTGTTTCAGCAGTATCGGAATGATGATCACCGAAGGGCATTCCACAAGACGCCTGCCCATGGTGTTAATCCCCAAAAGGCACTTGACAAGACATTCGCCCCCGGGTGTTGCGTCGTATCGAAACAGCACCTGTCGACAGGAAAATGGACAGGCTGCATGTACCCCTACGCTACACGATGCAAGTGGCCTAAAAGGAAGGAGGTAGAGATACGGTAGAGTTCCGGTGATATTGGAGTAGGAAGTCGCTCGGATCATGTGCCAGCCTTAGGCCATCACCCCCGCACGGACGAATCGTAGATGGAGAACCCCTACACACCTCTTTACCATACCTTCCCAATCGAACATAAATTCCGTTGCCAAGAGCCAAGACCTTTATCGCTTGCAATATCGAAATGATGTCTAGTAGATAGGAGCTTTTCCGTGGCTGTTGTGATTGGTTGAGCCCGTATGGCGTCATATTCGGGCGTTTCATCCTCTTGGCGGATCTCGAAGGCATAGTCGACCTCGGTGTTTAGTGTCTTGTTAACAGTAAGTTCCGCCTATAGCAGCAGTAGCTATGCATTGTATCTGCGACGATCGCGCTACACACCAAGTGAAGATCCTGGGAGGCTTGATTGCAGCATGATGCCCGCTTTGGCCGACCAAGGCGGTTCGAGGGTGTGCGAGGTCCATCGCCTCTCACGCCTTTCAAGGCTAGCCAAGTACTGGATTGAGCTTCTCATACTGCGCCTCAGTGAACGTCCTCCGAAAGCGCGGCCTTACCCGCAATGATCACCCAGTAGTTTTTGAGCATGCTAAACACGCTCTTTCTACTGCCTGCGTAAGAGCAAAAATGATGCGCCGTAGATTTATTGGAGGTTGACAATGCGACATCATGATGGATTGCGCGGGCACGAAGTGGGATGTTGAAGGCATAAATGCACTTGTGCGCGTCGAGCCATTTGCGCCGGAAGGAACCATGGAAGACCCCGGCCCCACAGCCTTTGCCGTGCGGGCTGCGCCGCTGCGGGCTTCACCTTATCGCATCCTGCTCATCACTTCCAGGCTACCTCGAGATGATGAGGCTTGTCCTAGGTCTCACATGGACCAATGAAATATGAGATGTGAAGAAATGTGGCCAGGCTTCTATCAGCAATGGCGGTTGTTAGCTGCATGTGCTTCCATCCGCACAGCAAGCTTCGACTGTATGACTACCTGCACGATTTCCATGCCTGGCACTATGCTGACTATTCCGTCTTGAGACTACCGTTGTACTGACTCGCAGCAGACGGTGGTTCGCGAGTGTCCCTGATCTGACGGCCTGCAACCTGGCCGGAGTCTTCGAGACCGCAAATGAGGGCACCTCCTTTGTCTGCGTTCTTGTTCCAATCCACCTCTGTGGCGTAGTCGTCGTCTCAGAAAGCAACAATAGGGCGTAGTTCGGTGGACCCAACCTCGTAGAATACTGTCAGAAATGTCGACCCAATATAATCACCAGGAAGGGACGCTTTAGTCCATGTACCACCATAACATGGCACGCACACCTGAAAACATGCATGACCAGTGTCTATCCCATGCTTATCCAATACAAAGTAACTATGTACAAACGTGTAGCAGCGAAGGATTCGAACAACGGGATGGCGAACGTCAGAGAGCTACAACATCAATATCTGGTCTGTGTCTTGAGCAAGTTTTCAAAGAAGCATGTGTTGCGATTATAAACAACCTCATCTCTCACCTGCGGCGTGAAAACGGTGTGCATGTTACATACCCGTACACAACGTCAAGCCAGAAGTAGTGGCAACAGGTATTCGCGAATATTTCGGCGTCAGATGAGGGGTACGAAATTCCATGTCGCCAGCTGGCTAGTGCTTGTCTGCTCAGTCTGTCAGCCTTTTCCTCAAACTACTTGTGCTATAGGAGAGGGTCTGTATCAGGTCCGTAGCAGTTCAACAGGTACCGTGCGGCTTCAGGTATGAGACATCCCTCAGGCGGATATCGATAGTAATGGCTTGATACTGGTGGCAAGAAGCTGTGAGCTTACGGAGGTCTAGTAGAGGACTGGAATGATCGGTGATCGTTTCGTCTGCATGAAGCCTCGTCTATGGCAGTTAGTATTGCAGTTATAGGTTTGGCGAGGCGTTTGAGAGAAACGGTTCTACATGCGGTCAAAGACTGCGCTGGTTGTACGGCCTAGGTGTGGTTGCAGAGCACAGGAACTTATGCGCATCCGCCCTATAGCAAGGAAGGGCTGGGGTTCTTCGCGCAAATGACGACCGACGGAATACAGTTTGATTGTCGCGTAGTCCCTGAATGAGGTAGCAGGGATAATGCGGAATGACCGCGCGACAATGAGGGTCTCGTTATGATCAGATTCTGGCATGTCGGTGCCTGCTTCAATCGTGAATACTAGACGCGTCCCTAGCGCGTTTCGAAAAGTGGGGCATCCGGGTCGTTCTTCCATCTCCCTCGCGTGGCTAACCTCATCATTCATCTGATCCATTGCCCTTGTCGTCAGCATACGGCTGATCCCATTCGATTCAACTGCTTTCTCGATCCCAATCGTCGTTCTTCGTGTCTCTCCAAGCGTCTCCTACCTATCTGCAATACTCGCAGCGTTCAATGCGCATGTGCTACGGGATCGTGTCCGTTGGCTTCGATCATACAACATCCAGTTTTGCCCGCGCACTGCAACCGGACTCTAGCTATCGTCGAGTCCGTGGAAACAGTGCAGTTCCTATAAATATCTCTTTATAGCACTACACTCCACATAATCATCACAAATAACGTAAGTTTTCCTCAATCCTAATGGCATTCCTTTATCAAAAGCCCACGTTGAGTCTGAGGACAGGCACATGTCACAGCAATCTACCAGAAAACCTACGGCGCTTATGTCATGAAAACTCCCTGCTTGTTTGTCGCCTTCTTCTAGCAACTAAGATGCTGCGATGCATGCCTTACGTTTGCTGTAGACATTGACATGGCTGCCGCACATTTCCCTCGGCCGTCTACATTGATCGAGTCGTACGAGGATATTCACTCCAAGTCCCGATCGAGATCTATTCGCTGTTATGTTTATCATGCCTGCTGAATTTGCCTTTGAATTTCAATATATATCCATTCTACATTGGCTGTGTGAGCACTAGGCTCTAGCAAACTAACCAACAAGAGAGAAAGGTACGACAGCTCTCCCGAAAGTGCGGAAAAGTATTGTGTATCGAAGCCAGCAAGACCGTTCAGAAGGGAGACGCTAGTCAACCATCGCAGGCGTTGATGAATTGCTGAGGGGCTCTCGTCTCAACACCGCTCCAGGTACCTGACTGGGTTGGTGAGTAGCTGACCAATGAAGAAAGGGCAAGATGGCTACTCGAATCGATACGATACCTCCACATGTCTGGCGGTATGTGGTCGCCTGCTCTTTCACTTTGCGCACTAGCTGCGCCTTTGCCCACTAGCTGCGCCTTTGCCCATGAAGATTTATCTCTCACCTTCTTGCGCCTCCCTCACAGACCCTTACTCCCACCAAATTACTAGCACTCCTGCCTAGCTGCTTCGTTCCATATAAGCCCGCACTCCCTTGCCACAAATTCTTCTCCACCACGCCTCCTACTCGCTCTCTCCACCCCTTCCTCGACCCTTGTTCTTCTATCGCCCTCCCCACCATCAGAGCAATTGCGAACGACGATTGTGGCTTCAGAAGATGCGGCTGCCAATCTTCGCATTACTGGGGCTGGCCGCCATCGGTTGCTACGCCAGTAGCTTCCCGTCCACTATCATCGACCGATACGACAGTGTAAGCTCAGCTCCAACATGCGACGCAAACAGGGACAGGCGTCAGGTTGCATACCACCAAACTTCAAACCATCGCTGTGATCTCATCCGGCCCGGCGGTATTGATGCGTCCAGCTACACCCATGCAATGCTCGCTTTCGCTGTCTTCGATCAGGAGACCTTTGCCGTTCGTATGGAGAATCCTGACGACGGCGAAGTCTATCGACAGTTTTTTCAGTTGCCAGACAAGGTGCATAAAGGAATTGTAAGTTCCGCGCTTCATCTATGTAGGACATAAGCTAACCGAAACAGGCAATCAGTGGTCCAACTCCCTACGCATGGTCGATCATGTCGAGCACCAAGACCAACAGGGCGGCCTTCATCGAATCGTTGAAGGAATTTCTCGCCACGTGGAAGTTCACCGGAATCGAGATTAACTGGGGGTGGCTGGATGCTTCAGATCGCAGAAGCAATGTCGCTGGTACCCAGAACGAGGTCGACCTCATGCACGAGTTGCGCGAAGCCTTAGGCAAGGACTTCAGCATCTCGGTCGTCACCCTAGCGCAGTCCGAGTATCTCAACACTACACACTTGAAGGATATGCAAGACGCGGTGGATTGGTTGACCGTTCTTGCCTACACCCTTGACGACCAGCCACACGCGGACCCCACAAATGTCGATACCTCGTTGAACCTCCTCTGGTCTGCCAACCTTGAGCCAGCTAAAATCAATGTGGCTATCGTTAATCGCGACGTGGATACACGGGCCCTGGAACTGGACCTTGCTAACAAGCACTGCCTCGGAGGTACTTCGCTCTGGGTCACCAATTGTGATGAAAACAACGCCCCTCCGCAACAGCCTGATGGCCTGGATAGTTTAGGCCCTTCACTTGTTGTGCATCCCAGATCCCCCCAAGGTATACCGACAGATCCGATTGTGGTCACGACATCTGCACGCGGTACTGGCATCCGGCCTTCCATCACCTACAGCAATCCGCCAGTTATCTCGAGCGTCGTTGTTCCATCTCACCACATCATAACATCTGTACAAGGTTCTGCGAAGCCATCTTCTGTGGTCTGGAGCAGCCAGCCAACGTCTCAGGCTGCGTCGTCCCTGTGGGTATCTTCGGTGCAAGCGCCTGCTCCGCCATCTTCAGCTGCCTCGTCTCATTGGGCATCCTCGGTACAAGCATCTGCTCTACCGTCCTCCGCAGCTTGGAGCAGCCAATCAAATTCGCACGCTGCATCATCCCAGTGGGTATCCTTAGTGCCAGCCCCTGCTCCGCCACCTTCTGCGGCCTGGAGCAGTCGATCCACTTCCCAAGCTGCCTCGTCCCCGTGGTCGCCTGCTCCGTCGTCTTCCACAGCCTGGAGCAATCAACCGTCTTCTCTAGCCGGCTCAAGTGGTGTCGTCCCATCCCACACTGCATCTTCGGTCCCAGAAAGTTCAGCTGTACCATCTTCTGGAGCCTCTTCTGTTGCTGCTTCCTCTGGAGCTGCAACCTCTTCAAACGCGTGGTCATCGGCGCGGTCTAGTACTGCGAGTGGCTCTGTGTCATCTTCTGGCGTTACAGCAAGCTCAGTCGGTGGGTCATCTGTTGCCGCGTCCTCTGGAGTGTGGAGCTCTCCTGGTGGCTCTGCCTCGCCTTCGAGTGTCTGGAGTAACCCTGCCGGTAGCACTACAACTGCTTGGTTTTCTGGGCCACCTGCTAGCTCTGTGCTAGTACCTGGATCATCCGTCCGGCCTTCTGGTTCCATTTCCACGGCCCAATCTAGTGCTCAAGGCAGTTCCGTTGCACAGACCTCGGGAGTCGCAGTCCCAAGCAATAGTCTGACTTCGGTCCACGGTAGCAGCACTCCAGGAGGTACCATCGTCTTCCCTCCCGGTAGCTTGACCAGCAGCAACCCATCAGTTACCCCCATCATCCCTCCTGGTATTTCTGGTAGCAGCACCCATGGAAGCATCAACTCCCCGATTCCAATTGGAACTTTGAGCAGTAACACTCCAAGCGGCGTTGTTCCCGTTCCGATTAGAACGCCGACTAGCAGTACTCCGGGTGGTTTTGGCCCGTTCCCTATCGGTACACCGACTAGCAGCACTCCGAGAGGAGTTGTTCCTAAACCTACTGGGACTTCGAGCAGCCTCCGTCCTGTGCCCACCACGACAGGTTGTCCCAAGGAGTGCGGGAGCCTCGACTGGTGCAAGATCTACTGTGAAAACTGGCCGTTTCCCCGGCCGATCGATGAACAGCCGCCACACGAATGTCTACTTCCCGAGAATATCCCCTGGTGTCACCCATGGTGGTTTAGTCCGATCGATGTCGACGGTAGTGATGGCGATCCAGACTCTCACACGGATACCGACCCGGATTGCAAAGAGAACAATTGTGTTGCTGAATGTTCCACGTGGAGGATCGCGACTTTCCTGTTCTTCAAGCGACCTGTATGCCCATGTATCCCAAAGAAGTGCGACAAGGATGGTGATAGCGACAGTCCAAGCGACAGCGACAAGGACGATCCGAAGGGAGTTAAACCAAAACCAACGTCATACCCCAAACCCGACAACAAAAAGTGCAAACTTCTCGGTTGCGGATGCGGGTGGATGGGTTTGGGCTATGGACCTGGCTGCCCTGGAAATGACTCCGAGCTGAACATCCCGTGTGGTATCTTCGGATGTAACCCCTGCACCTTCTTCGGTAGTTGTCCAGGTGCCAAGCAACCCGACGACTCCATCTTAGGCTACGGCGGATACTGTCGAGGGGCAGGATGCGATCCTTGCCCACCGGAGCTCTGCAACCGTCCAGGATGTACGATTCCAGGAGGTTGTGGACCGAAGCCTGGTCCTGCGCCAACTAGGCCCTCGAACGAACCGGATCCAGACAACTGCGAGGATAGCCAGCGTACTGTCATTACTGATCGTTTCATCATGTGCACAAAAGGATTTGATGTTTCGGCCATACCTTCGACCATGTGGGGTACTGGTAGCACATCATCCACGATGGTTACATCAGTATGTTTACCAATAATCGATGCCACTCAGACCATCTGCGGGCCGGCTCAGGGCTTCGATACCACAACAACAAAGACAGGCACCAACACGCTCACCTCCGATGCCCCAGCATGCACTCGAGCGCCACTCTCTCTGGATGATGATGAGGGAAACAACAATCCCGATGATTCGTTGTTCGATACGTCGAGCATATTTGCTAGCAACACCACAATGTTTGCAAGTTCGACTTCCAAGGTCATCTCCAGTATGACTTCTAGACGCTCTGCATCATCGACCTCTTCAGCAGGGCCTGCTCCTAGCCATAAACCTATGAATAGGAATGGTCACTGGAAGGTGGAGATTTCTCAATGGATGTGGGACGACTATTCGGAAGTTTCTTGGAAGCTGTACGATCCCAACGGCTTCCACGCTGGCCAGCACAATACGCGTGGGAACAAGCTTGAGAAAATGACGGACTACATCCAGTCGGTCAATCGTCCCTTTGGTGACTCCATGCCTTTTGGAGTCGACATGACCGTCTCAAAACGTAAGTAAAACTATTCAACTTTGTCTTTCTTGTACTAAGTCTTTCCAGCGCACGACCACGATCGTTCCAGAATTAACCTTGAGATTAAAAAGAAGGTCTCAGGCTGTGATTACATGAAGGGCGTGGAGTGTAGGCCCTACATGACGACAGAGGACTACATCGAGAGTCAGCCGTTTGCGTTCCAGACTTGCGGGAAGTCTTGTTCAGGTAACGGTAAAACTAGTCCTTTGGGAGGTCTAGAGGACTTGTGGTGCGATAATCTCAACACGGCTGATTGGGAGGCGTTGGCGAACGGATGGAAACGCAGCTTCAGCTGTGGATGGAAGGGTTATGACTGAGAGCTTCATCATTTTTGAGTGACCGCTATAGAGCACGTGGACGGTGGAAAGCTTTTTATATAATCAATCAAGAGCTGTATGTACCAAGGACTTAGAAGCGTAAGAACGTGGTGATCTAAGTGGCAATTGTCTGAATCCTCGAACTTGCTCCACTGTGTATGGTGTCATGATTTCTTCAAACGGAGCTAGCTAGCACGAAAAGCATTTCAATATCTATCTGTATGAGTAGCTATGGGTGACCTCGTGCAAATTTCGCGAAAGCCAAACATCCAAGTCTCCGTAGATGTTGACCGCAATACCAGAGTATACGCTACCCGCCAAGTCAAATGGTTCGATGCACACTACGTAAACTGCATGTGCACTCGCGTCAAGCTGCGAATGACAGGAGTTCTCGCACCGCTACCTCAGTGACGGGGGATGTTCCCAGTTGTAGTAGTAGTGCTAGCTTTCGGTGGTATATTTTTTGGTGTCACTTTCGCGTTTAGCTATAACTCTCGACTACTTGAATTTTCTTCATCTTCACGGAGCCGCTTGAAAAAGGTGGAACTGCATCTTAGAAAATCTTGATGGGAGTGCAGGTATCAAGTCAGGGTTGACCGGTTATCATGAGGAAGGTAGAATGTTGAATGATAACCGTCCAAGTCTGGACAAGAGATAGGACTTCATTGTATGGGATGACACGCTCTTCAATTGCCTTCTCTTCTCTGCTTCTCTTCTCCCTTGATGTTCTTGCGATCAACGTACTCCATGCCTGTACCTGAGTGTGTGTTACTCCCACTGTTTGAATGTTCTTTCTGCGCCTCGTAGTCTTCTTGATCACGCGCTGCCTTCTGAGGCGTCTTGGCTGACTTTTGAACACCGAAGGTGTCTTTTTCATGGGAAGGGTCGTTGACTTGATCTAAAATCCTGGGTGTTAGCGAAGAAGCACGAATGCAGGTGGCATGGAGGCCTTGCGGGAGACAACGTACCGGGCATGGTTGCTGTCAATGGACTGTGGTTGTTACGTGGATTATACAGGACACTGCGTTGATGTAAGCTTTGAAGGAGCCTTTGGGAGTACTGAGGCTCCTTTTTATGGCACTGTGTAGACGTCATGAGAACGTGGGGTCTCGTAAACGTCAACATGACGGATCGCGAGTCATTCCAAGGTCACTTCCCCGCATCAACACATTCCAACACACCTCACATGAGGAGAGAGCTTAACATCTGCAATGTAAATCATGTTTTGCTCAAACGTTTCCGCTAATTTGTTCTCGCGCACTCGCTGACCCAGCGAGATGCATTGTTCCTAGGCGTTCCTGATCGACAGCCCTAACCCCGCATCTGCCAGCCACCTCATTCCTGAAGCATATCAACCTTTCTTCTCCTGTCCCTTGCCATCGTCCTTTTTGTCTCCGTCTTTCTTCGATGAATCCCCCTTGTCGCCTGACGTTTGGGGAGCTGGTGCACCACCACCGCCACCAGAGTTCATGAACTTGTCGTCGAGTTGGTCTACGAGATGATTAGCTATGAGAACATGCAATACCGAATACCGGAGGCGTACCAGACATGTTGCAAGGTGTGTAGAAGAGGTGAAGTACGGTTGAGTTCGCTGTGAAGGCTGTCCTTGTTGGGAAGAGGAAAAGGAAGAGAGGATGATCCGACTTCGAGATGCGGACTTGCAATACCTGTCTTGTGGTACAGCATGCGACATGACGTTGTTGCGCCTTTCCCCACATTTGACGAGTAGACTGGAACCTAGATGCTGCAGGGTGTTAGTCTGGCCGTTTAGCCGTTCTAGGATTCCTGAGCCATGTCGGAAGAGGTAACATCACGAGAAAGTGGAAGGCTGGGAATGAGTCAATTTGTACTTCAGGGTGCTGTCTATTTCCCATGTGAAGCTAAATATTGCGCGAATATCATCGCAATCTACAATTGACCAGAAAACTCAACACTGGTTAGCGACGGCCTCTACTACCACGCGGCCCGCGACCACCCCTACCACCCCTACCACCTCTACCACCGTGACCGCCCCTGTTCGGGAAGAAGGACGGCTTTTGCCAACTACGGTCGCGAAACCACCGCCGGTCATGATATGTGACAATCACATCTTCGGAGACCTCCACATGAGGTTCCTTGGCTTGACGCATGAGGTAGAGCTGGCTCTGGGTCAACGGCATAATCGAGTAACCAGCGTTGATACTGTCAGTAATGGTACGGCGCAGGAATGTCGTGAATTGAGACTGAGAAGGCAGTTGCTTGAGACCCATCTTGGCCAAGAATTGCGGGAAGGTGCTAAACTCGTGGATCTCACGAATGTCTTCGGCCATGCGTGTTGATGTGCCAGTCGGAGGGGCTCCATGCGCGTCGAAGAAGGAGTTGCGGAGCTCAATGAGAGTCTTGTTGGGCGGGCGAGCTGCTGAGCTGAAAAGCTTCATGAACATCATGAGGCGATATGAGGTGGGTGATGCGGCGTATGTCATGTTGGTACGGTATCTAGAGATTGCAGAAGGCTCCAAATACGCGAGCTCAGCCATACCAGCGCCTTTGTAGTCGAGCATCCAGACAACGTTGCGTAGGATCGCTTCCTTTATGACTTCGTACGTCAACTCTTCGGTCAAACCCGCGTCGCAGATAAGAGTCGCTACCAGCACGTGGCCAAGATCAGGGAAGTGCGCCTTCGTACGCGGACCGGCCATGAAGCGCTGGATTATGTTGTTGGCGCTAGCGATGATCTCTTTGTGCTCGGTCGCGAGACATAGCAGAAGATGAAAGAGACCAAAGTATGCGTCAACGGCCTTTTCCGACGCATGGCTCAGGGTGCTGCGCGCATCAGGACCATTGTAGCCCTTCTCTGCGTCGGATGAGAACTGGACAACGACAGTATTCATGGTGTGATACAATACATCCACATAGTAGGGCTCATAGCTCGCCATGTTCGCCGTGGTGTGAATGTCCTGAATGCATGCCATCGCATCTGTCTTGACTTGGTTCCAATGGCGTCGGTTGAGCGGTAGAGGTAGCCACTTGTCGAAAGAAACACCCTGAACGCTGTGTCGCACACCATGCGTGTAGTATGCCTCCCAACTCAACAAGTCAAACTCGGATCGGAAGACTGGTCGATTACCGTCCTTGATGGAGATGCCTACTCCAAGCTTGGTGTTCAAAAACGATCGCTTGAGACAAAAGCATTGCAGTTCGCGAATCCGAATGAAGTCGTATGAGTTGATCATGGTCTTGATGGAAGGAACAGCATCGGCAAAGGCCAAAACGTCACGGGTCTTGGACTCAGTGAGTATCGCGAGAACAATCTCATCTGGCAGCGTGAACAACCTCGAAAGCCGGTTCGGATATTGAACCTGAGGCAAGGTGACGACAGTCGACGGGGGCGCGAAGTCGACCTCCATTTCATCAGCCGGTGTTGGCGGCGAATTCGTTCCAAACCCACACAAAGAGCATGCAAAATTATCTGCACGTCTACCACACATCTGAGTAGTCTCCTGCCGGTATTGAGTCAGATCAATAGTACCATTACCATGGTCTTGCTCTAGCGAGTCGCTGCAGAAGAAACTCAATAATTGGATGACGATACCTTTCAAGGTATAAGCTGGCGTCCAACCCTCTTCGGTATTGAGCATCGTAGCACAAATGTATTCATTGAACACGTTGGGATGATTGATGCGGCTTTGGATGGTGATGTTTGGCGCAATTAGTGGATATCGGCCTGGAAAGTTGATCTTGAGATGAAGCGGCTTCTGTCCTTCCGGGGTGAGGATGAGGCACGCCTTTGTTATGTCGTTATCATCGAACTCGATGTGGACATTTGGGTATGGGTCTTGCTTGATCTCCGCGATATCTTGTAGGAGCCGACGACGCAGTGAGTTTGATCGAATTATATTAGCATGATACTGTGCCATGACTGCAACGAAGTAGTATGAGGTTGAGATTGGCAAGTTGCAATCTAGTCGAGATTATGACAAAGGAGATTCTGAAAGGGAAGGGAGAGATTATAGTAACGTGCGAGGGAGCTGTCAGTTTATAGTCGGGCTGAATCACGCACACACGTGACTAGGCAGCGACAACAAGCGAAAGGAAGTGTGGGCCATGACGCCCTTCTGAGCAAGCTAACAAATCAAAGTCCTATTGTTTCATTGGAGATTTATCACTAAGGCTAGATAGCCACAGCACCTAGGCGTGTTCCTAGTAATTTTCTGTGTCACCGTGAACAAGCGAAGTACGTGAGCGCTATACGCGACACGCGCAACACTTCAACGACATAGTTTTCAAAAGAAAGAGATAGGTAGACATAGAGTTAATCTCCATCGCCATAGTCTGCCTAATGGTTTATCATTACGCCCTTCAGCTGCTAAAGTTAAAAAAGGGCGTTTAAGGTACCTACTTAGGCAGCCTCTAGCAAGCCACTAGTCACTACTATCTCTAGTCTGATTCTTTGAAGTTGCCGGGTTCTGTAAATCTGTGCGTTCGTTCCAAGATTCAGTTGAGTTGGAGAGATGGGGAGGTAGAAGTAAAGGTGAAAGTAAGGTTAGCGCATAGGGACATGCCGTTGCTTATGTGATATGACCCCATCAAGCAGTTACCATCTTTATGGATATTTGTTTCGAAAGCTTTACCATAAATATATCGCTTAGGTCGACCTAAGCATTTCGCCCCCAAATTTTGCGTTTGGGGCCAAATCGAACGTTGGAACCGATACGAGTAGCGAAATTAAAGCTGAACGCTTGTGCAGCTAGACACGGTGCAAGTTGGTATGTATAGAAAGAGGAATGCGAGCAAAGCGAGCATATATTGTATAGTTTAGTATATGAAGCCATTTTCATTGGGTTAATTTGGCGTGTAACTATTTGCCAAGAACGCTTAAAATATAGGGTGATGAAGAGATTCAGACCGCACGGCCATCCCTGCATCGCGCGACTAAGGAACACGAAGAATGCGAGAGCAAGTTGACATTGCCAGGTAGAATATGATTGCATATCTGAGGTATAAGAAGCCTTTCGCAGCCGCCTACCTGAATCATTCACCAGACCAAGACCTCATCGTAATATCATCAAAAAAGCATCAAACTCAAATCATCATGAAGGTCACAGCCCTCGCCCTCGCTTTCCTTACCTCGACTGCCTTCGCTCTAGACCCTACAGTCGCCCGTCGCGACCCTGCCGCTGAGATGGAGAAACGCGCCGTCGTCGGCGCAACAGTCCTTGTAGACGGTCTACGTTACCGTACATGCCCGAAGACGAGCTGCACAGCTCCGGGCCAGTACGCCAAAGGTACCAAGATCAAGTTGAGCTGCTATACCAGGACGGATACGACTACCGTAAATGGCGACAAGTAAGTAGCAGCGTCGATTGATCCGAGATTATACTGGGTCAAGCTAATGCGAGCGAAGGGGCTGGGCCAAGGTCTCCGGTGGCGTTGGTAATGGAAGATGGGTTGCAATGGCTAAGGGTACTTATGTGACGTGGGATGGTACGTTGCTTCCGTATCTGACATTAAGTGGAAGCTGTTCACTAACTTGGGAAAGCGCCATTGAATGCTTGCTGAGAATAGGATCCGTGTAAAGAGGCAATGGAGCTACCATGCGGCCTCGCTCGCTTATTGTCGCGACGAACTTCGCGATAGGTTCGCTGTCAACTGGCTGAGAGTGTGATTGGTAACTATCTTTACAATTGCAGAACCTATATCAGGACTCCCGCCTCTCCCCAAGTAACTTGTTCATCAGAGGTTGATCGTGCTACGAGCTTGTGACCCGTGATGGCTACGTTCTTCCACTTCAGACTTGTGCAGTTAATTGTGCCTTTGAACTTGCGACAGTCGTTTCCAGAGAAGACAATATATCCTAGTTCTGTTTCGTGACCACCAGCCTCTTTGGACGCACTTTGAGCAAAGTTCGTAGGTTCGCCGCTCCATCGAAACCAGAACTTTGGTGAGCGGAAGCTGTTCTTCTCGAACGTCTCGAAGCGACTCCTTTCGGGAGACTCAGGCTCAATGTTATCGCTATCCTCTTCTTCCTCGTCATCATCTTCATCTTCATCATCCTCTTCGTTCGATTCAACTGGCTCCACTTCTGTAATTGCCCGCCTAAGACTGTCACGACTGCCAGCTAAGATGACCGACGCTTGTAACACTCCCGGTAAAGATAGTTGGCCAATAACACCCTCGCCGCCTTCAGTCAGACGATACAGTTCCAGTGATGCGTCTTGTTCCGGTTGAGCATCCTCGTTAGTGCTCAAGGCCTTCTGCCATGCTGGACATTTGACTGAATAGCTTGCAAATGTTTTGCGTACGTCGAACGCGGCCGTATGTTTGGACTTGCTGCCGCGACCATTGCGATTGTGCATATGTCGTGATGAGAAGGCGGCATCTTGCCAGTCGTCCATGGTGAGTGTATGAGAATTGTCTGGATATCAGCTTCAGAGTTTGTTCGGATGGTTTTCGTGGACTCGCGTGCCTCGTCGCCAAAGAGAGATTGACGTCATAGACTAATTGGAGAATAGCCCTGGGTCCTTGAGAAAGCAGGCAATCAGCTACTCGTGACCCACCAAAGTTGCTGAACGAGTGAAAGACATGATTACCAGTGATATCCAATGCGAGGGTATCGCGGGGTATGCATACTCCGCACTTCCAACCTGCTTATATTGGCATCTCTACCTCAATGCAAGCCATGTGCCTATGAATAGGCCAATGAGCTGAGGTCTTGCGTGGCAGAGTCGCTAAATTCTGTCTTCTCCAGTAGGTTTCATTGTATTGTCCCACAATGCTCTGGTTGGACACGATGTTAGGTGGCATGGTGATATTAGTAGTGACAAGCGTTGAAAATCGTTCCTGCGGTCATGTACCCATGTTTGAAGATCTGGTTCCATAAGGAGACGATTGTGCCATTTTAGACCTGAAGATGAATGTACCTAAGTGTCATCGCCCACATGGGCATGGTGCTTTGCAGTGGGCCCCACGTGAACAGGCGTCGGCGGGAAAACGGGAGTCGCGAATCGCTCCGTCAGCGCAGCCCCAACTAACAGACACCAACGATGCCACCCAAAGGGACCAAGAAGTCAGCGCCTGCACCGCCAAACAAGACGCTCGTTCTTGACAATGGCGCATACTCAATCAAGGCCGGTCTCGTCCCTGCCGCTTCCGAATGTACATATGACGACTGCAGCGTGATTCCAAACTGCATCGCGCGCAGCACACGCGACAAGCGCACTTACGTTGGTGCCGAGCTTGACTCTTGCAAGGATTTCGGAGAGTTGGCATTCCGGCGTCCGGTGGAAAAAGGCTTCATCGTCAACTGGGAGGCAGAGAAGGCGATATGGGAGCACGAGTTTATGGGCGACGCCGTGGGGGAGGGGTTGAGGGTGGGTACGCACAGCCGCGAGCTCACGAAGGATATACTGGCTGACAGTAGACAGTGTGACCCAAAAGATACAAACTTGCTTTTAACAGAGAAGCCAAACTGTCCAAAAGAACTCCAGAAGAATTGCGACGAGATCATCTTCGAACAGTTTGAATTCGCTGCGTACTACCGATGCGTGGGCGCGACACTAAACGCCTACACCACTCCCACTGCGTCCTCGTTGTCATCGCTGCCGCAAGAGTGCCTCCTCATCATCGATACTTCGTACTCAGACACGACTATCCTACCCCTCTACAACGGGAAGCTCATACAGTCGGCCGTGCGGCGCCTCACAGTGGGGGGGAAGCTGCTCACAAACTACCTGAAAGAGCTCTCCTCGCTGCGACACTACAACATGATGGAAGAGACGTATCTGCTCAACGAGATTAAAGAGGCGGTGTCGTACGTCGTGCCCTCGTCGCAGCAATTTGCCACGGATCTAGAGCAGACATGGAAGGGACGGCTGGGGAATAAAAGAAAGCTGGATTCGAGCATTGTAGTTGACTACGTGCTGCCGGATTACGAGAATGCGATACACGGCCATGCGCGGCCCCACGACCCTGCAAAGTCACGCATGCGCCGCGGGCTGCAACCGTTACAAGGACCAAGGGAGGATCTGCTGCCTCTGGGGAACGAGCGCTTCGCTGTGCCAGAGTTGCTCTTCAATCCCTCGGATATTGGCATTCAGGAAGATGGTATACCCGGCGCCATCATGGAGTCGCTGAGCGTACTACCAGAAGCTCTGAGAATAGGTCTGCTGGCGAATGTTGTTGTAGTAGGCGGGAACTCGTTAATTACTGGCTTTATGGAACGACTGCAGACAGATTTGAGGGCTCTGGTACCGGCAGAGTATCCGCTGAAGGTAGTACGGGCAGACGATCCGATCAAGCATACATGGCTAGGAGGAGCAAATGTCGCTAGCCAGCCCGAGTTGCTGAAGGACTTGCTTGTGACCAAGGCCGAGTATGATGAGAGGGGCTCTACTTGGCTAGTAAAGAAGTTTTGCTGAGAGGCGATTCAGTATAAAGACAAATCAAATCAGTCTCAACCATCTCATACTGATCCAAGTCATCAGGGCGACAAGACAACCTGCATGTTCTGAGTGCTACAAAACTGCGCGCTCCTACAGTGCTCGGGGCTGCTGTGGCTGTGATTGGCTCATGTCCGGCGGCTTGGCGTGTTCGTCGATATGTCGAAGGAATTTCCGCTCCACGGGCATCACCCGCATCTCGAACCCAATGCGCCGAATACCGCGCCCCTCGCGGGCAATTGATCCCTCACATCCATTTTCTGCTTCGATACGGCAAACATTATCGCCATTGCCTTGCCGCTCTGCTCTGTCGCCCTGCACCCACCTCCGCACCGCAACCGCCGCTTTCTCCACGACCGCGCCCCAGTCATTCCTCCTTCCGGGTAAACAGGACAAGCGGAAGCACCAGCAGTTTGTGCGAAGATGGCAGAAACGTCTTCTCGGCGACTCGGAACCTATTGGCGCACATGTTGACCCATACGATCCCACATCGCCAGTCCGGATAGCACCCGAAGACCAGGGCGAATATGAAGAGGTGCTTGAGGATGAAGCCTCCAACTTCCCCATGTACAGGCCAGCGAAGCACGCAGGCGACCTTCAGCGGGTTGGTGGCGAGGACTGGCTCAGACAAAAGGTCGAAAAAGACATAGCCAAGGAATTCGAGAAACTAACACTACGGACATACACGCCGCTGACACTGGGCATGGCCGATGAAATCGAAGAGCTGACGGGCACACCATACACTCTCAAGGATGAGAACCTGATGATGGCGCAGACGATGCACGAGAAAACCAACTGGCCGTATACCCAGTACAACTTCGGTCTCCATTCCAAAGCTGCCCGAGTCACCGACATGCGCGCTCGTTTCACGCAAGCTGTTGCCGAGATCTACGCTCTGAGGCAGGCTGGTCTCGATATGGACTTCTCCAAGTTCGCCAACCGAGGTGTTTACGATCGGCCACGCTGGGTCAAGGACATCAAGCTAGTTAGGACAGAAAGCGGCGAACTTGCTCTTGCCTTCCCGGAGCACAAGAGCCTGGATGACCTTCTGACGACGATGCAAATGGCACCTTCTTGGGAAGCTGAGCCAGACGAGCTCCTTGTGGAGGAGGTTGTTGAAGAGCTCGAGGGTGCCAACCTTTCCCAGGAGCAGGTACCGACCATGGATCCAGAAACACCAGCATACAAGAGGGCGGCAGTGGTCAAGCAGGATGCCGAGAAGCCGTTTGACTTCATGTCGAACCGTCCTGTGCCTCGCGCGAAGCCAGTTGAAGAACCAGTCAAGCAGCCAGTTGTTGAGGAAGTGGTGGTTCAAGAAACCGCACCTCCTCAAGATACTCCTGACGCAGCCCTAAACACTCCTCCCGCCCATGCAGCGGACCCAGAGCCCATTAACGAAATCGCCCCAGCAGCAGCGAGCGAGTCGCGACATGCTATTCTTGAGGAAAGAGCGCAGCGCTCGGCCGCCGACTTTGCAGCTCTGAAGAAATCGCTTCAGCAAAGCAAGGGACAGTCTTCTGCTATCAAGCCCGAAGAGACCAAGTGGCGACACATCCCCGTTGCTGACATTGACGTCAAGTTCGCTGTACGTCTACCCAAAAATTCTGCTTGATATCTGCTGACATTTATAGCTTTTCAAACGGCTTTACCAACTGACTGGCTGCCGCATCTCCGACCCGCACCTCTCTTCAGCGAACACTCTAGGCGATCTATACAGTTACCTCTTGGAGGCCGCCAAACCTCAACCTACCAGTCTTTACTCTGCTATCCACATAGAAGGCCAGAAGGCACGTGAACGAGCGAAGCAGCAAGCCGCATCTGAAGTTGTTACTAAGCGGAGGGCTGACCTGGGCGACTTAATCAACATGGGCAATGTCGAGCTACGTCGCGTCAAGGCTAACAAGACCGAGAAGCGCAGCAAGACTGGTCTGGACAAGGTGGTGAGCTATGCTCTGTGGGAGCGTGGTCTGGGCAGTGGAACACCATCCAGGATCCTCGAGATTAAAAGGAGAAAAGCACGTGGTGTAAGACATGCGCGGACACAGCGTGAGCTTGTCAGTCCTTTAAGCAGTAAGGCTGCCAATTTTTTGGCAAGTAAGACGAAATCAGCACAACCGTCGGCCGTCTAGATGGGACCATGAATACACCTCCACTCAGTCCAGGGCTTATAGCATGCTGTGTGTTGAATGGTTCAAATACATTGTATAGTATGTACTCTATAGGCAGAATTTGGAATGCATAAAGTTGTGCTTCTGCCGGAGCGTTCATCAGCACGCACTCATAGACTTCATGAAACAGACACTGAGCATACACTATGAATTACAATGCTACTATATGGCAGGTAACCACGTTGCATAAGTTTCCGGGATTTCTGCATCGCGCCTCAAGTATCGCGTACCTGCCTCGAAAATGCAAAATATTCATACTCTACACGCGTAATACGAAAACGGCACCGTATCGTCAAGCTAATCAACCCAGGATAAAGGTAGCGGCAATTGCGGGGGCCAACTCGTGATAAGCTGGCCACCACATGCAGGGCTCATACACAAGATCCCTACCGAGGGAATAGACAATGATTGCCGGCAGGCTAAGCTTTGCCCAGAAGTGCTTGTCAAAGATAAGAGTGGATCTACTAGTTCTTGCAAGCCGCACAAGCTAAGCGGCATACGGCAACTCTTTTTTCTCGCGCACCCTGCCACCGGCGTCAAAATGGCTTCTCATGACGCGGCGGGAGCCGAGTGTGCGCGGTAGGTGGGTGGGGTAGCTGGCTACTAAAAAGCGAGAATGTTTCGCTCGTCGCAGACCCTGGATGGCTCATAACTTCCTTGTGATTACTACTACTACTACTACTACTACTACTACTACTACTACTACTACTACTACTACTACTACTACTACTACTTTTGTACCATCCTTCTGAGTATTCGTTACACACGGTTTCCATGATGTTTTCGGCTGAAAAGGCCCAGGATGAGGCCAGTGTCTCAACCGACAGCGGGAGAATTGGCGATGCGACCGTCACCCGCGAAACGGGATTTCTAGCCAAGCTACGCAGATTTGAAGAAAGATTGGATGCGAAACTGGGAATCGAATCAGAAGCCATCAGTCGGAAACTGCCAGAAGAAAAGGGCCACGTGCCATGGCATCAGCAACTCAACATGTTCTTTTTGTGGGCGTCCGGAACGATGAACACGTCTTGTTTTGCCACTGGTCTGCTTGGACATGAATTCGGGTTGAGTAAGAATCTTGTTCTTCCCTCGCCCTTGCGGACTGCTCGACTGATTCGTTTTGTGTGCCTATAGCGCTTCGCCAGAGCATCGTCATCACCATCTTTGCGTCTATCCTTGGTGGCGCTGCGACGGGGTTCGCGGCCACTTTTGGTGCGCCGACTGGATTGAGACAAATCTCTGTGTCAAGATATGCGTTTGGATGGTGGCCTAACAAGCTCATTGCTGCCCTTAACACTATTGTGCAGATTGGCTGGGCGTCTGTGGCATGCATAACGGGTGGTTTGGCACTGACTGCTGTAGCGGATGGCCATATCTCCCTGATCGTTGGCATAGTCATCCTGGCTGTAGTTGCCACATTCATTTCCTTCGTCGGTCTGCGAGCCATCCTGGTGTACGAACGCTATGCGTGGTTCGTCTTCTTCATCATCTTCATCATCTTCTTCGCAGAGACTGGCAAGTACGCGGACAACAGCAATACGACCCAACTAAAAGGCGCGGACCTCAGTGGACAGGTTCTGAGCTTGATTGCTATTGTCTATGGTAGCTCAGCATCGTGGCAGACTATGGCTTCAGATTACTACGTCCACTACCCGGTCAATGTCTCTCGTTGGAAAGTCTTTCTCATGACAACCTTCGGTATCGCGATTCCCACTTCCATCGGCATGTTAGCAGGCTGTGTGGTAGGATCCGGCATGAACAACCGACCAGAGTGGCAAGAGATAAACGACAATGAGGGTCTCGGCTTCCTCATCCAGGCCATGCTCTACCCACGCGGTTTCGCAAAGCTGATTCTCACTCTCCTTGTCCTCTCAGGTATAAACGTCAACGTCATTTCCATTTACAGCGCCGCCATCTCTTGCCAGCAGTTCGCCCGTCCTTTCGCGCGCGTCCCCCGCTTCATCTGGATCCTAGTATGTTTCGCCGCCATCCTTGGTCTCGCTATCGGCGGTCGCGAGCAACTAAGTGTCTACCTTGAGAACTTTCTTAGTCTCCTCGGCTACTGGACTACCCAGTATTTTGTCATCCTCTGCAGCGAGCACGTCATCTTCCGTCGCATGAGCTTCGACAACTACGATCTGGATGCATGGAACGACCCCAGTCGTCTACCGCTTGGTATCGCTGCTGGCACAGCTTTCGTCATCGGTATCGTTGCATGGATTATGGGTATGGTGGAAACTTGGTACGTTGGACCGCTTGGAGGGCTTATTGGAGCCGATGGTGGTGATATCGCGAACGAGTTCACGTTCATTGTAACAGCGATTGTGTATATACCTGCGCGGTACCTTGAGAAGAAGATTGTTGGGAGGTAGGGATCTGGCTTGAGGAAGAGATAGTGTTTTATAGTATGTGACTGCAGCGTTGCCAGTAGGGTTTCCGAACATACACATAGCGAAGAATTCACAGCGCATTTCTTGATTGGTCGAATCGTTTGACGACGATAAGGTGATGTCCCAGATATAGGAGAACTGCCCTTGATCAGCAGTTACAAAATTGGTTGCAAAAAAGCCACTCGGCTACCGGTCTCTTTCACTTACAAATTACAAGAAGTCTGTATGCACTTTTAGAATTCCCACGCCCTCTTCGCCACGTCAAACGTGGCGTCTCCTTCCAAGAATCCAACCATCCATTCGGTTTCTTCAGAGAGGAGTGCCTTCCCGGCAGTAATCACAGCCCACTGAACGACAGGAGAAGCAAAGTCCATGTCTCCACGCGCACGTTTGTGCTGTAAGTAGTCCTTGACGCAGCGGGCGACATCCAGCCCTGCTGCATGGATGATGGGGTAGTAAGAACTCTCGGTGATGATATTTGCGTCTGCACCTCCTTGTAAGACATCGTTCGGGCTACGGTAAGGACTGTGCTGTGTAACTTCCAATGTAGCCATGATTCTGAGTACGTAGATCAGAGCTGTGTTGTACAACATCAACATCCGCGCGACTGAGTCGTTCATGAACCTGTAAATAGTACGTGACGGTGTCCCAGCTGTGTCCGTTTCGACATAATCTTCTTCGATATAGAAGTTCTCTTCATTATTATCCCATCTGAGTTTCCAGGCTCCGAGAAATGACAGCAATTCCTGGCATCTGCACTGGATTTCCATTCGTCGTCGTGAATATCCTGAGCCAGATACATGCCGAGATTTGAAAAGCTCATCGCTAATGGCCATTAGCACCGAGCAATCTGCGAGCACATCGTGTAAATCTTGTTCTTCCGGAGTTTCCAACGAAAGTGCTGTCCTCAATACAGTCTTCCACTGCGGTCGCGCAAAGATAGAAGGTGTTCTGTTCCTCAAGGATGCAATCAGTATCATGTGTCGCACACCTTTGTACAGCTCCAGCGTTCGAAACGATGCATATACCAAAGATTCCGGATCACGTAACGCCAGAAGCTGTTCCAATCCAAGCATGTGTTTGAGCCAGTTCTTAGGGCCAGTAGGTATGAAGAGTTCAAGCATTGTCAGAATGACAACGGAAACGATGACATCGTCGTGCGTACGGCGTTCTGGTAGACCCAAAGCTTGATTCAGTCGTTTGAGAGCTACACCGTGTATAGCGTAGCCCTGGGTGAGAATCTCTTTTTGTTGATATCGCGAACCGAAGAAGAGGGTAGCGAAACTAAGCGAAGCTTGGACAAATAGTGGAGCATCTGCTGTTTTTGTCGATGGATACTCTATGCCGATGTCCGGGGCTTGGAGCTCCTGGAGCCCTAGGTCGATGGGACCATTGGGGAGCAGATGGCGGCGCAAATAGCAGATGTAGACCTCATTCTTGTTGAGCCTGATCTTGACTTCGGGAATTGTAAGATGGTGGTCAGGAGAGGCCGATGTCGATTCTTCCACGCTTTGCCTTCTCCATACTGTCGTAGTATCTGTGTCTGCCACGCTGCTCTTTGGCTTCTGCGACCTTCTAGACTTGACAATCTTACCTTGTATGAAGACGGTCGTTTGTGGTCCATCGCAATGGAAACCAGCCTTTTCACATCTTTGACAAGTAGGATGGGTCTCGTCTTTGATATTGTCAGCCTAACATCCAATATGCAGACGGTCGGCGCTTACCGCACTTGACACGGCGTCTGCGGCAGGTTGAGCATCCTTTCGAACGGCCAGCTACATTGACCATGGCCCGAACCTGGTTTTCATGAGATACATACACCTGGAACGAATGCAGTACATTGAACGAGATGGCTGAACAGGAAGGTGGGAATAGAGATGGGCTGACTGCATCTCGGCCGAATACAGGGTCAACCTTAACCGCTTGCGGCTCATTGGGCGAGATAAGAACCCCTCACACCTGCACGCAACGCCCCGTTCTAGTCTCTCCCATCACGACTTTAATACTGAGTTCCTCGTGCGCCACATGCAATGCCAACATAGCCCTGCAAAAAGGCCTCGTGTGCATGCCCGCGTATTGAGCCGCAAAGGGTTTAGCGATGTATTCGCTAGGCGACTCCAGCTATAGACATGTATGCACAAAAAGGCTGACACAGTTTTCAATATATAACAGTGGTCCAGTACACCATCTTCTCTCATCACTACTAAACTCAATCTCGCCTTCATAACACTGAGCTAAGATCATCAACCTGCTCAATCACCATCGCTTTCCAACTACTACTTGACAGCCATGACGGTCACAGCAAGCATTGACATTGCATCCCCACCAGAAAGCGTCCGCGCAAAGTTCCTCGACTTCGCATCCCTTCCCAAATACCACAAAGGATTCTTCACTTCTATAAGCCCACTCGGTCCTGTTGAATCAGGAAACAAGATACGCGTCGTCTTCGCATCTGGACAAACAATAGACGCCTCGATTGAAGTAGGTGACTACCAGACTCTAGTTGAGCATCATCTAAGACAGTTACAGCACAACACACCTATCTCATTTGCATGGACTGGTTCATTACCGTATGTGTTCACAGGCACGCACTCTTTCACTTTCGAGCCCAGCAACACCATCCCTGGTGGCACGAAGTTTACGCAAGAAGAAGTGTTCAGCGGCGCACTGGCCTTCATCATGGGCGAGAACGTTATAGCCCGACAATTTGGTTTCCCAGAGAAGACGAAGAAAATGTGGGAAGGCTACAACGAAGACTTGAAAGCGTGGTGTGAGGGACAATGATGTGCTTGAGTGTGAATTTCCTTCCTGTGACGAACATTTGGAATTGAATAAACCCTTTCTAATATATATTACATAGACTTTTCATGATAACTTCTTTACCATCTGCGTGGTGTAGCTATCCACATGCCTTATGCTCTGACCATAACCTTCCATCCCTTGAATGCCACCCGCGCAGTGACAAGCAGCACCGCGCTTCCGAATAGCAAACATCCTCCGAAAACCCAAAGACTATCGAAACCGCTATGACCTTGGATCGCGCCTCCGATTGGAGTTCCGACAAGTAAACCGATAGCCACGACACCGAAACTCTGACCTAGTCTTGTGCCAATCTTGTCTCGCGCGTCGGTGCTTAGATGGACAATGATGGTGGGTGGTAGCGAGACGAAAGATCCAGAGAAGAAACCATAACATGCCATGAGGACGACTATACCAGCGGTAGATGAGACAGCTATGAAGCATATACAGAGGAGACCCGATATGATAGTGCAAGGAATCACTACGTTGAAAGGGCCGACTTTATCGGAGAACTGTTTTGAACAAAAGTTAGCAAACTGTAACCACTAGATGCAATGGCTTTGGGCTTACCAAGTTGGGTACTATACGACCAAAAACGCTCGTACTGTTCATAACAGCAAGGAGATAAAAGGCCATACTCTCGTTCGTGATGTGTTCCTGGATAGCGTAGACTTGTGCGTAGAAGAACGGCATATATAATCCCATGAAACCGAGGAAGAATCCAGCGACTTGGAGACTATACGCCGGCATCAAGAAGGCGCGCAAATCGAGGAGAGAGCGGGATTTTGCTGGTAGAACGCGAACGCGCATGCAAACATTGGGTATGATCATCGTCGCCAGAATAATAAACCCCAAAACCCTTGTCGTCCAAGCAAATCCGATCTGGGGGAGAAGCTTGTGGAACACGATAGGATAGATGACACCTCCAAACGACGACCCAGATGCGGCGAGTCCAATCGCAGTTCCGATCCTGGTAGAAAAGTACGTGGAAAGAATAGCCACGCTAGGGATGAACAAACAGCCTGTTCCAATACCGATGCAGAAAGCTTGCGCGAGGAGCACTTGCCAGTACGCATGGCACAGGCTGAGCATCATCTGGCCCAAAACCAACATGACACTTCCGACAATGAGTAATTCGCGGAAGTAACCTGCGTCGTATATCGGACCAGTGAGTGCGCCGACCAAGAGAAGGAGGAAAGCTTGAATAGAACCGATCCATGAGATGGAAGAGGGACTCGAATCGGCGAGTAGGTTGGTCTCGTAGTATGCTTGATAGGATCCGAATGTGTTGATGATGCCCCAAGAATTAAACAGCAGGAAAAATCCACCAACCACCTGTAACCACGCCCATAACCCTCCATTTGGTATCTTGGACACATCCTTCACACTAGGATGCGCTGACCGAACAGGCTCCAACGTCGTCCCTAAACCTGCAGCGCCTTCGTCATTCGTAGCTTCGGTCACGTGCTGGCCTTTCTCATGATCCTGATTCGCCACAGAGTTATGCGCGCTGTGCAATGAAGCAAGAGACGCCTGATGACTTGGTTTCTCATCGAAAGTCGTTGACGCATCCGATGCCGCTGCTGTTTGTGTATCGCGTTCTAGCGACAAGATGTTGGTAGGTTCCATTCCTAGTCCCGTGGCTGCAACTGTCGTGATCGACAGCGCTGGCAATCTTTCTCAGTATCACCACGGCGGATTGATTCGGTCGGTAGTAAGGGTCGAATTAGTTTATTTCCCGAGGATCTGGTCGCTATAACGGCTCAGCCGATCTACTGCGCCCAAGAAACACACAAGAAAAAGGGAGTGACAAGATTGTAATAGAGTTGACGGCACCGCGCACGCGAAAGAGATCGCAAAGAGATCTGAAGAAGACAAGCGGGTCCGGCAGATCATATACTAAATTTCGGAAAGCCTGACTGGGGCCTACGTCTAGACGGTTCTCAATACAAATACGGGCTGCACCACACGCCCTCCTCCTTACTCAAGCTTCTCCACCATTAGCAACTCGCTCGAAGTTAAGACCGAGCAACACTTGGCGAAACGTGCTTGCTGCAGGACTTCTACTTTTGCGGGTTCGGGGTCCCGTTAGGGGTTTCTGTTATTAATAATGTCTGGTGCTTTAGCCGAAGTTTAGGAAGTACAAACAACGGCGTGCGGCGACAAGCACGTCACGAAACGTGCTGGTCATTATTTCCGTCTAATAGCCGTCTGTTTAACCGAGGTAATCCCTGCTGAGATGGATCACTAGGCTTTGCTGTTCTGTACCAACGTCGATATAGAATTCCACATTTTACATTTGGGCGATTCGTTAACTACCATGAATACTATTTTCCCGCCTTGCGTGCGCTCTATCTAAACCTTCAGATCTCGTCCTTCACAATTGTATACCAGGCAGCGCCTAGATTCGACACATTTGCCCTAGACGCCATCATCATAGAGAAAGGGAAACATGCCGTAATGATGTACAAAACAAAGTCAAGCTGCCATACTGTCGTGATCTTGGGGGAATATGCTTCGTCATGTCGTGTCGTACTTTTGGTGACCGAAGGAAAGGTCATGGTGGAAGGACTCGCTCACAACGCCTGCGTGAACGCCCATGAATGCTCACTATGCTATACACCCTAAGGAAAGAACCTACCCGATTTGTATGTATCCGGCCCGAAAAGGCGTGCCGATATCGAATGTTGACATGAGAAAGACATAACGTCGTTGAGGCTCCACTTGTTCGGACGGCCCCTCAAGTCTCACCAGCGACCCGTTTTGTCGCCAACCGATGGCCGGAAGGATGAAGAGGCGATGGCTCGACCTGTTCCACGCGCTCCTCAAGATACACGTTGTCTAACAGCCCGTCAGGGATCGTGCCATCTTGAGTCGGCTTCAACTGGCTTCGCGAAGCTATCTGGCGCCGGTTTTCGCGCTCGTTGATGACATCCCGTAAGATCTTAGTAACACCAGTCCAGCCGATCTGGTTAGCTGTCGCACGATGATTAAAGAGGCGCTCTACGAGTGGAAGTGGCAGCGATAGAAGAATGGTCGACAACACGACAGTCGCATGGCTGGGCTGGTGGTCCTCTTCCGTCGGCGCATCACCAAAGCGAATCTTGCTTAGCCGTGGATTATGCGCGGCCTGGCGATTTTCGACGACCGTGGGCAGACGCGGGGCGTCGGAGAATTCAGGTGCTATCGAGTAGAGCTTGAAGTCAACCGGGAAGGTGAAGGCGACGAACTCGAGAGCGTAGTTCAGCAACGTTGAGATGAAGGGGTCATCCGTATCAGGACCTTCGGCTCTCGGCCGTGGTCCAGGGCTGGCTTGCAGTGTGTATTGCAAGACCTGCTCCACAGTGTCCCATCGGAGAAGCATCCTTGCAATCTCGATGCCACGTGCTTGCATGCTAGGTATCTGGAAAGTCCTCGCTGCCGCGATGTAGCTCAGAACTTGTTGCATGCGCCGGCGAGCATCGTTGGAGGGGGACGCTTGCTCACTCTCGTACATATAAGGTGCGAGACCATACAGGAAAGTCTGGGCGGAAAGAAGTGGGGCACCATACAGGACTCTGACAGTTTCTTCCAGGGATTCGCTGGTGGTGAAAGGGTCTAGTGCAAGGACATCGACCAGCCGACGCGCATCCCTGCTACGATGACTTGGGGCAGGACTACGACGGATGGCTTCTGCTATGACTGGGCTGCGTACGACTACGATGCCGTGCACCGGTACTGACACCAGGACCGATTCCGGCGACCGAACTTGGAGGACAAAATCAGCGAATTCGGGGTTCCCGAACTGTGTAGACAGATATCCCGCAAGCTCGAAAGGCGACTCCTCCAGACGTTCGGCAGGAGGTGCAGTACCGTTTTGGTAAGACAAGGCATGATGCTCATCGCCATGCTCTGAAGTCGGTACTGCTTCGCCAAATCGTGCTTTGCTCGGTGACTGCGAGTGCGAGGTGAGGGTACCATTTCCGACAAAAGTTGCCTGTTCCGGCGAAAAATGACTATTGTAAGGGTTCGGGTAGCCGTTCGGACCGCTGGGGAACTGTGAAAGGCGAAATTCAGAGCCGTTTGTGTATGTGGGTTCAGGCGGCGCAACTGTGTGCGGGGGCATGTGCCAGGGCGCTCCTGCCTCTGAGGGATGTTGAGCATGACCTGGAAAATAGGGCGCGAATTGCTGGGGACCAAAGCCAGGCGGCGGACGAGGCAGCGAGTGCTGTTCGTGCGGATGCAGTTCTGGCTCTTGAGATGTCACAGGAGGTGCTGGTGACTCATTTGCGCTCTGGAAGACCAGGGCGCCTGCACTGAGCTGGTGTCGGTGCGACAGAGTGTCACTCCCCTCTGCTGGCGGCGTATCGGTCTTATTCGAAGGATAGAAGGGCGGGGGCAGATGAGCGGGTATGGTCAACTTGCGATGCACCCCATTCACGGCTGGCTTCGGTTCGGCGCTGGGCTCCGTCGGCGGGGGAGGCTTCTCGTCGGTATGTCCGTTGGCATGGCCGTTGACGTGGGTTTCTGTATCTTCGAAACTTAGTATGTGCTCAACATGGGAAGCGGCCCATAGCGAATACCCACCATGAGCGTCTGCTGATGCTTTGTGTCCATTCTGCGATGGACTAGCCAAGGCGTCTGCTGGCAATTCTCTCTTTACGGCGCCAGAAACGTTCGACTCGGGCGTAAGAGGAGTTTGTACGGGCTCTGCATGCTTCTGTTCGGCTTGCTCTTCTACCTGCTTCTCCGGCACTGGTTGCGGCTCCGGCTGCGGCTCAGATGGCTGAGCGGCGGTGCCTTTGTTGGAGCCTTCTGGCGTGATGGGTCTTGCAGATGGCTGGGATTTAGACAGACGGTATGGGATGGCAGGCACGATGCGCGATCCTGGGCGGCGGTGCTGCTTCTGCGCGAAGCCTGTGCGTGCGGCGGTGTCGGCCATGATTGTTGGGAAGGTGCTGGTGAAAGTGCGGGTGCGAATGCGGAAGCGGCTCCAGGTAATTGCAGCTTCGCGGTTCTTGCCAATTATCCTGGAGCGCCCTGGAACGGGAGAAGTGTGCGGCGAGGGTATTTGCTAGGTGGGGTTAGTCGACAGCAGAGAAGTCCAGGCAGAGATGGAGAGATGGCTTCCCCACCAATTTTAGCTCTAAGCACCTCTGAGGTCATGGCCCTAGCTTAAGCTCCATTTGTCATCTTCCCCCAGCCCTCATGAAACACCACAACTTTCCTTTGTTGAATTCCATCGTAGCTACGGCGCGACGGTGTTGTGAAGGGATGAGGATTCCTAGCCACCGAGTATCACGGTTGTTAGTTTGTTCTGATGTGCCGACTGCAGGCACTGATGCCATGACATTGGGCAATATGTGGTGTTTGCCTAGTAGAAGTGTCCATCTTTTATAATTCAGGTTATTGATCAATGCCATTTAGCTTGTACAGGATGCGATTCAGTAACCCACCATTTGTGCAGATAATTCTCTGCGCGGTCCTGTCAACCTCGAAGTCGAGATGGAAGACCGCACACCAACCTCATCAATATCTATGTCGGCCTCGGGTTGCACCGGTCGTGCCTTCCTCGCGAAGGTTCTCAGTAGTGTTCTCGGATTGGAGAACATTTCTGCCAAGTGCTACGCCGGGAAGGCTTGACCATAGGCATGGTTGCACAGCCAGCGCTTCCTTCCTCTGTAGAAACACCCCTCTGTCACATGGCACGATCAACGCTATGGCTATCTTACGCATACTCCATTTCATTCCCTCCTACCACACGTCACAACACCGAAATCCTGAACCTACGATCCCGTCATCTTCTTCTCGTTTGCCCTATATTTCCTAGTCTAACATCGCCTTTCGTTACACCGCTAGCATGATTCTAGGAAAGGCTCAGCCATCCTACCATGACAAAACCTCCACGCGAGTCTCCAAGCTTGCGCGTCCCTCAAAAGACGGTCGCTGCTCCGATTGTCGAGTACGCGACACTAGAGCCATCTCCGCCAAACACTGCTTGACGACTTGTGTTCATCAGCATGATTTTACTCCTACTCGTACGTTGGCTTCCAGATAGATCCTATTGGACAACTCCTAAGTTATTGTAGCGAACAGATTTAGTATCTTAGCAGAGCTGGACCAGTCGCCCACTGAGCCGAAATAGAATTTCGATTTCGTACCCACCCCGACTGGAAGCAAAAGACGGCGAGGCAAGCGGGGTGGAAACCGCCATGAGGGCAAAGGAACTTCTAGTAAGACCGCAGAAGGATGCCATAAAAGAGGTATTAGCGCGTTGTGTAAGACAATTGCTGCGTTACGTCTCGACGATGAACAGCCGCCCCGACCACGGATGGCAGATTCATACACCCATATTCGAAGCGCCGCACCTACAAAACCTACCTACTTTGATGTTGACAGGCCTCGTTGGGCACCACAGTTTCTGCCGAACTCAATGGCCGCTGCAAGAAATCCCGCGCGAACAGCGTTGAGACCGGAGGAGTGCACGCCGCCTAGCGAGTCGCAGCCATGGCAGATCAAAGCAATGCCATCTCGACGCTCTTTGAGTGGCCCAAAGCCTGAGCGAAAGAAGTCACGATTTTTTCCAGTCTCCGCGTTTCTTGCCTGCCCAGATTCATCAGGACGGTATCCATCCAAATCCAGATTTCTGGAAGCGAAGTGTGTTCAGAAAGACTTGCATTGTTCGGAGTTCTCCATCACATCTACATCTTCGTCTCACGCACAGAACGCAGCAACAATCGCAGCATACCGTGCACTCGCGTCGAAGAGTCTTCAAACAGTCTCTGTCCCACCCACCCACGACTCAGATATTCAGCAAGAGAAATCAGCGCCTTTGTCGACACCGATACAAACTACAAGTACGTCTTATCCTGTGATCCTCGACTCTCCTACAAAAGCGAACATGCCACCCACCATGTCTACGACCCCCTGGATGCACTTGGCGCACGCTGCTCTACTTGCCGAACATGAGACAGCGAATGGCCAGATTCAAGCTCCGTCCTTAGCCTATGGCTTTGCAGGAGAACGGCCCTACCTCGACGATGCACGTACAATCGTCAATTCACGTTTCCATGGCCGTTGGCAACGTCCTGTGGTAGTTGCTTTAGATACGCCTCTCACATGCAGTGATATACCTCCACAGCCTAGGAAAAGGTCAAGGTTTTTCGCCGATGGGGAACTCATCTGGTATGGCAGCAGTTCCGCAGCCCAGCGACCTGTGGCTGAGGGTCCAGCTCTTACATCCAAGGATGTAGCTACAGATACTGACATAAGCACCCCTACGGCCCCTGGGAACTCTTCTCAGTCACCCTTCATAGCCCCATACGATGGGCTGGAGGCAGAGCATGCGTGGAATACCTATCCTACTCCAGGTGTGCGGTCAGCAAGTTTCGCAACAGCAGATGTATCCTCATTGGATACTGCTACCTGGCCTGGTACCCACGACGGTGACGACCTCCCGCAGCACATGTCACCACTACTCCAGCCCAACTGCGTAGACTTAGATCCGCCCATACAGGATTATCGCCGTCCCATTTTCAACACTGTCTGCCGCCTGGAAACTGACATCGAAAAGAGCATCCCGGATTTAAATGCCGCTGAATACGATTTCGTCAGTACAATCTGCAGCCAGGATTCTTGGGAAGTGCTTCCCACACCTCCGCATTCCAACTTCGACATCGAATCCATCAACGACGATAAAAGTGATGAAGACAACTACGAGAAATCTTACTATGAGTCTAACTAGGCGGAGACTCCTACTGTACCTACAAACGATACTCGATGGACGCACGATGGAGCAAACATGAGTGCAGTAGAATGGCCCACTGTGTAAGAGGCGATGAAGTTGAAACACACTGGAGTTGCCGGGAGTCCAAGCTCGACGAGGAATGATAATTACTTCAACGACTGGGATGGTGTTACCGATTGGTTCATGTGATTTCTTGTTCTCTGGGTCGTCAATGGGTATGCTTCGTGTTGGGGGTGCTGCGATGATGGTAGTCTGGGCCTGAGAGTTGGTACGAGCCTGCTTAACTCGTGTTTTTTTCTGGAGCGTTTGAGACCCTATGTCTACCTCTGCGATTGTTCCGGCATCACATAACGGTGTCTTCCAAAGCTCCCATAATAGATGTACGTAGGCCAATGGTAGATGCATGGAATGTCTATAGCTTTCTTAAAACAATATTAAATAATGAATTAACCATCTAGATGTCCCTGAATACCTCCCCTTCAAACTCCTTACATATATCATCCCATGGCAGCCACTCGTTCTTATCCGACTTCGCTCCACCCTTATCCGCAATCGGACTCCACCACGCTTGCTCCCTCCCCTCGTCATCATGCACCACAGCGACAGGACCAACTGACCCAGCAGCATTCGACTCGTACAACTTCCTAGAGTAGTTGAAGTACCACATGCGATCCCAGACCGAGACGCGCAGCGACTTGAGCCCGTCTCGATGGGCGTTGTGATGAATCAGGCCAGGGACGACGCTCGTCCACATGTTGGTGTAGAGAGGGACGTCACGCCAGGTCTTATCTCCAGGAAAGATGGAACCGGGGGCGACGACTGCTGGACGGAATGGTGGCTGCGAGTCTGTAATGTCTTGGGCGAGGTCGTGGACGCGTACTGGCGCGATGTTGAGCTCGGCAGAAGCTTGCGCAATAGACTTGGGGTCATTATATGTGACCCATGCTGAATCCTCTTCTGCAAACACGGTTGGGTGACCGAGTAGACTAGCATAGTCTAACCCGATACCAAACTCATCCGGTTTTCCTTGTTTGTGCTCGCGCATGCGTCGCTCAGACTGCGGGTTGAGGATGCTCTTCCTCCCGGTCGACCAATCTCCCACTTTCTGGAACACACTTCGATGCCGCTGCCTCATGACCTCTCGCTGAAACTCCTGGTCTCCAAAAATCTCACTAAAAATCTTTTGATCGCTACCGAAGTTCCGGTCTTTCTCTGCCTTCTCCATCGCCCGCTCGAAGAGCGCTTTCATCGCCCCTACGCGACCCATTGCATCTCCAGAGTTGAGATAGCGTTGCCGAAACTTCACATAGGGGTTCTTCTCGAATCCAATATCGGTATCCGTTTCCGGGCCGTAAATGTCGTCTGGCAGCGAGGACTGCGGTACAGCGTAGCACGGCGGATCTTCTGGTTTCCAAGGCCAGCAGCGTTTCTGCGCAGAGAAGATGATGTTCTGACTTATGCCTTCTGCGGCCGCTGCTTTCGAGCCCATGGTCTGCCGTATCCGTGTGTTCGCCGCGTTGTTGATGGCGTGGAAGCGCGATATCAACGCACTGGGACGCAATTGAAACCAGATATCATACCCATCCACAAGCAGTAACAGGTCGTCGTCGCGCTCCGGTCCAAGTGTACGCAGATACTCGAGCACACCACTGATCTTGGCCAGATGAGAGCCTCCAGCCACAAGCGACTTATCGTCGAATTTAGCGCCCCAGTTGATCAGCGTTGGCGTTGGATACCCAGCCACTGCAGCGCTGAGCATCGTTTTGCAAAGATTTACATCTTTGCGGTCTGCGGGGATGAGCAGATGGAGGTTGGCAGATGGTTTTGGGTTGCTTTTCTCGCCAGACGATGAAGAGGAGAAGGATGAGGGTATAGAAGCTGGAACAAAGTGACGGGCACCGTTGGCAGCAAAGAGTAAAGCGACAAGGAGTATGAAAGTCGTTGCGACGAGTACCCGGCGCCGTCGACTCAGAGTCGGTAGTCGTCCGACTGCGGCGTCCAGGTACTCAGTTGAGACTTGCTTGTATCCACGCATCGATTATACAAATGCAGTCACACGGCTGGAGTGCCGTTGTGACAGGGCCGAGGTTGACAATGCACTTGAACTTGAGCAAGGGCATGGCGCGTGCTGGCAATGAACCATGTGTGATATCAGTTCGTCTTGCTAGTATGCAACCTTGCATTGGAGCTAGTCGGATCGCATAGCCGTGCCGCGGCGGTGGATGTGATGCTTGCTAGTGTGTTGTTGGTGCCACTCCGGGCAGTGGCGGATGGACGTGCAGCGTGTGGCTATGGTTGCAGGCATCGGAACAGGTCTGCCGAAAAGGTGCGTAGTTTCTCCACGGCTTTTGACACCTATTTGGTAAGTTACCATAGCAAGCGCAGGATTTCCAGTAAGGAACGTGAACACGAGTTGGTGTGGACACCGAAATTGGGCTTATGTTTGTCAAAGATACCATGTGGCGTGATTCAACGATTTCGTGTAAAAGATGGATACTGATATCGAGATGTAATTAATAGAACGCCCGCTGCTTCAGGTCTCAACGATATATAACCTCCGCAAATGAAACATCCTCAGATTCTGGCTCTCCACTGTACAAAGCACGCTCGTGTGAACCGCAAAGGGATTCCCACGAGAGCGCTTCTCCCTCATCACTCCAAGCTCCTGATTTCTCTTCTGACTCGCGTTCTTTCCTATCATATAGCATGTTCTTCATCCACGAGACCCCATTGATGGGATCTGATCCGATCTTTCGATCATGTACCTGAGCTGATGCACGTTGAAGGCGCTCAGCCTCTTTAAGATACCACATTCGAGGCCACCAATTATCCCGCAGGGACTTGTCGCCTGTAAAGTGCAGCAGTGAAAAAGCCTGACCAGTAACAGTGTTGAAGCCGAGAGACACATTTCGCCATGAAGTCTCCATCAACGCTGCATCGTCGGAAATGGCAGCAAACGGCTTCTTAGATTGTAGCACGTCTTCCTGTAGATCGATCCGGTACGGCTCTATAGATGTCGATGTTGAAGGAAGCGAGGAACGGTTTGTCGTCATCCACGCCAAATAGTTCCTGTATCCAGCGGCTGTTTGAAACAAGCTTGATCGGTAATCTAGGCCAATGTGATATTCAGTTTCCTGACCTTCCTCAAGCGTCGGTAGACCAACTTCTTGGACCTCTTCAGGTATCCCGTAAGGCATATCTCCATGCGACAATATACGCGAATATTCCTGGTCACCCCATACGTCCGCCAAATACTTCTGATCAGAGTTGCGCAGCACATACTCGGGATCATACGTCTTGTCGATTTTCTTTTGGGTCGCACGAAACATATCTCGCATTTCAGCAGCGGGTCCCATAATGGTGCCGGAGTTCAACCAGCGTGGTCTTGCGTGTTGCATGTCCCCCCAACCGTCGGTAAAAGGGCCAAATGCGTCGGGCTGGAGAGGCGATTGGGGTACAATCCAGCATGCTAAACGCTGTATATCTTCAGGGAAGCAGGTCTTATCCGGCCCGAAAAGGATGCTGTTGTAGACGTTGTGTTTGCGCACATGCCTTTTGCCATACTGGGCGATCAAACGCTCGTTTGCAGCAGCCGTTTCTTCGAAGTACCGTTTCAACAGAATATCCGGGCCGAGCTGGAAGGTGACGTCGAATCCATCTAGGAGAAGGACTATGTCGGTGTCCTGTATGGCGGTAAGATTCTCGAGGTAGCGAAGAGGACCTGCGATCTTCGCAAGGTGGGTTTCTGCAGCATTGAATGCACCCTCTCCAGCCCAGTCAATCAAAACCGGAGTTGGATACGAGAGAATAGAGGCGGAGAGGAGAAGGCGGCATAAATCAAGGCCGCTGCTGGTAGCTACTACGAGCAGGTGAAGACGGGACTCTTTGATGTTGCTTGTGAGCGCATCTTGTGTTGTGGCTGCGTGTACGGCGTCGAAGGACCCAAGATGTAGCGCAGTCCAAAGATAGACCACGGTCGCAAAAGCTAGGATTCCAGCAACGAGAGTCCTAGGACGAAGCATAGCGCATGTGTGTTGAGCCACAACCTTCTAGAGTTGACTATGATATGATCAATGGTAAGTGGGTGCTAATTTTAGTCCGCTCGCAGTTAAGCAACGCTCGCCTTTCGCTGGATGCCGTGTACCCCCGTGGCAAGGCATGGTGTGGCGTCACCCATGGCAATCTAGTATGGTTTTGCACGATTTGCATGATCCCAAAAGAGGTTTATGGAGCGAGGCAGACTCGGCAGGGAAAACGGGAAGAACGGAACGTTGGCGCTTCGCTTTGACCCAAGCGATCGGTCAGACGTGCACATCTGGGATCGTGACTAGCGCGCCACGCTAAGAGAAGTGTGACGCGAGAATTCATTCGCTCATCCATTGGCTCTTGCCTTTGTCCTAAGCTCTATGCTACTGTACCACGCTCCGCCTGCCAAAGCCAGAAGTATGCCGGCTCCATTCATGGGGCTGATAGGCACGTCCCACAGAAATGCTCCCAATACGATAGTTAGACATTGCTTCAAGTTCGCGCATATAGTCAAAGTCAGTGCGCCTGCAAGCTTATTCGTCTCGAAAGACGCGACGTTGAGGCCGAACGCGAGTAGGCCGTTACCTGAGACTGTCAAAACCCTCTCCATTGTCAAATGCCCAGCATTGACGAAACTGAGGAACTCTGAGAACTCGCCGATGAGTACGGAGTAGAGCAGAGATTGCACAGCAGCCAAGGGACCCATGCGGAGAAGCAGCTCCAGTGCGGGTAGTCGCAGGCGTCCTGTCATCAAACGGTTGGTAACGACCGTCTATTTTGACTGTTAGCATCCTTCACGAGTAATGTTCACGATCCTTCGGGGTTTGCGCACCTTTATGGCAGCGAGGACCACACCGATAAGAGTTAGAGTGAAACCCAGGGCGGTGAAGTAGTAGTCGCCCTGAGGGTTGGTGTACGAAGTCAGTATATGTCTCATATGCGGTTCGTACAAAGATATTACTAACGAAGGTTGCTAGGCCGACACCCAGCATTACAGGAACGATGGATAGATATGTGATCATAGCATATCTCCTGGAGAAAACGAGGCGATATATTAGGATCGTAAAGAGTGGACACGTTGCCCGCATGATCTGATGGAAAGGAACCGACACCATGGCTCTATAAGCCCTCGTTAGTGATTGACTTTGAGTTGAAGGTGAGCCCATGGTTACTTACAGCGACAGATTCGACATTGCGATGTTCAAAGTGAATAGGAGCGAGAACATAAAATGTACCAGGTGCTCGCGGGGTGTCAGTCGCGTCAACTGGAAATGCCCGAACATCAAGAAGGCCGAACTTCCAAGAGCAGCACTCCCGGTGTGTACTGCTGTCAGAATCCATGGGAATGGGAACTGTATGCTCTATTAACTCCATGGTTGTACCCGATCTGATGCGTGCTACATACCGAACCCATGACTGCTTTGTTGTAGAAGGTAAGACTCAAGTTCATCAGGAAATAAGCTGCCAGGAACACGAATGTCTTCGTCCTACTGGCGGCCGGCTCAGTCGCTCGATGAGCAAGTTCCTGCTTTCCCCCATATTGACCCTCGAGATCCAGCAGCGGTTCGTGCTCTCTGAAAGGCTGTTCAGCAATATATTCCTCTTCACCATTGATCGGTTGCGTTGACACTGGCTCGGCGTGAGCTATTTCGGTTTCTTCCATGGTGCTGTTGTGTTTGTTGATCGACGTTGAGGAGAGTCGTGTCCGGTCTGGTGATATGGCTGTGTACAGTGAAAGATTCATTCAAATTGAGCTGACTGAGCCGGTATCTGGGCCGACAGGGGTTAGTAGAGAAACACTATAGCGTCACTGAGGCTATGACAGACAAAGCTGCTTCGCTTCCAGTTCTCGGTTTCGGAAACTACCACGGTTGGCTGACGCCTTAGCCTCACCACATACGTGTCTGTCCGCGCCCCGCAAAGCATGATGTATGCCGTGTCACACGATGAATCCTAGTAGCTTGAGACGGAGATGGACCGGATCTGAGTACTGTATCTCCAGTGTGAGTAAATAGGGTGTAATGGCTGCCTCTATGTGCTGGCCCCCCAATCAGATGATTACCATCAACTGCGCCATGGTGCCTAGTCCAGCCATTATCTAGGCACACTGTCTCAACTCGTTGTGATTATGCGGTGCCGAGTTCCGGTATTAGCAGGCTGAACATGATCTATTTTTGTTAGTGTTTCGTAGCACTTTGCTCCTCTGCGCTGTCTTCGGACCGGATGGAGAAAAGTCGAGCAACCTGGCGTGAATCTAGAAATTTTGCAATGGAACTAATCGGAAGTATGAACGCATAGGCGCACTTTGCTCAACCCCAGCAGCAAAAGCCAAACCTCGCCGAGTATTGTGGGGTTCCCATACTAAGGATTACATCACAGGCTTTACATCCGACGTTGCTAAGGCTGGCTTGGCAGGCACACCATTAATGGGCGTGGCGACCCCGGCACTTCCGTTGCGACAGTGCTCAACTCCTAAACAAACGCTTTCAGACCGTCCAATCCGCCAAGGCCCATCCTCGGCAGCTGTAAGCGCCAAAACGGGATTGTGTAAACGATAGTAGAAGATGCCGATAGCCGTCCAGACGAGCATGAGTTTGTGCGGTCGCTCAGTACTTGTCCGTGGTTTGTGGATATCTCATTCGAGAGCTCGATAGCCTTGTGTACCTATAGGTATCTTTCAGACTTCCACAGCCACTTTTTCAATTATCGTTCAACTGAACAGAACAGTTGGGTCTTACTTCACATTCATTTCTCCCAATTCTCTCATGCTTCTCATGTCTACTCATACACGGCAAGATGCGCCCACTCCGGCACCTTCATACCGCCCTTGCATCGAGTCCAAAACATTTGGCCGCATAACTAAGATATGTTGCGTTGGTGCAGGATATGTGGGAGGGCCAACTTCGGCAGTCATGGCGAACGCGAATCCGGACATTCAGGTAACGGTAGTCGATTACGACAGCAAGCGCATTGCTGCATGGCAATCAGATGACCTCCCCATATACGAACCTGGCCTCATGGATATGGTCAAACCATCGCGCGATGGCATTCCAAACAAGAGGGCGCCCAACCTCATCTTCTCCACCGACGTCGACCGCGGCATTGCCGAAGCTGAGCTCATCTTGTTGAGTGTCAATACCCCAACCAAGACATTGGGTCAGGGTGCAGGACATGCGAGCGAACTGTCCTATTTGGAGTCTGCTGTCCGAAAGATTGGGGCTGTAGCGACGGACAACAAGATTATCGTAGAGAAGAGCACTGTACCGTGCCGAGCGGCGGACACACTTCGAGATGTTCTAAGAGCAACAAGCAAACCTGGAGTAGAGTTTGAGATATTGTCGAACCCCGAATTTTTGGCCGAAGGAACCGCCATTCAAAACCTCTCGAATCCCGATCGTGTACTGATCGGCTCCCTAAAGACACCTCAGGGACTGGCGGCTGCACGAGCCCTAGCCCAGATTTACTCTGCTTGGGTCAGCGCGGATCGCATCATCACAATCAACCTGTTCAGCTCGGAGTTGGCCAAGTTGGCCGCAAACGCTCTGCTTGCTCAACGAATCAGCAGTGTCAATGCGTTGGGTGCCATGTGCGAAGCCGTGGGTGCCGACATCGATGAGGTATCCTACGCCGTCGGACTAGACAAGCGCATTGGGTCTCGAATGCTTAAAGCATCGGTCGGTTTCGGTGGTTCTTGCTTCCGCAAAGACATTCTGTCCCTGGCATACATCGCAGAGTCACTGAACTTGTTCGAAGTCGCTGCCTACTGGCGATCAGTAGTGGACATCAACGAGTACCAAAAGGATCGATTTACCCGCCGCATCGTGCGATGTTTGTACAACTCACTCTCGAATAAGACACTTGCGATTCTCGGCTTTGCGTACAAAAAGGACACAGGAGACACCCGCGAATCAGCAGCCATCACAGTCGTCAACAACCTTCTTGCAGAAGGTGCCAACGTCAGAATCTATGATCCTCAAGTCAAGGAATCGCAGATACGTCAGGATATCGAGACCAGTAATCCACACCCGAAAAGCATCAAGGATAGGCTTACAGTCTGCTCGTCGACTTATGACGCATGTACCGATGCCGACGCCGTGGTCATATTGACAGAATGGGACGAATTCAGCAACAAGGGAAGTCCCGTACATGTTCGCGGAGACTCAGTACATAGTGGCGACGTGGATTTAATGCGCAAGGAAATATCATGGAAGCGCATCTCGCAGGTGATGCGGCGGCCCATGTACGTGTTCGATGGGCGTAATATCGTTGACCCTGTGCCTCTGGAGGCACTAGGTTTCCGTTACGAAGGCGTCGGTAAGTCGAGGGAGTTGTACTCATTCTAGTTCTTTTTTCTTTCCAAGATATCCAGTTCAGGTAGAATAATCGGTACGATACATGACTAGTACCTGGGATACGGCGTTAGTTCATGCAGACGTTAGGAATGAAAGCCTAGTAATAATATCGCGATTACGATGATATCGATCGGACATGGTGTGCGTTGTTACTGTTCTTTATTTTTGAATGCTATCCTACGTGCCCCTCGCTTCCGTCATGTTTTAGGTTTGCGCTGGTGGCTGGTCCTGGGGAGGCCGGGGGCAGTTTCCCGCCTTGCGCTTTTTCGCAAAGTACGACAGCATGAGCTTCGTTACGTGAATGCCGGGCAAAGCTTTCGAAAAGATGTCACTCGAAGTCTAACTCACACGCACGAAGATGACCAACAGTGTATGTGAGATTGTTGATACTTATTCATCCAGGGCTCAGTTTCCCCTGCCGCCGTACAGCTTCTACCTGCGCGCGTCACGTTGCCAATTTGCAGTTCCTCATCCTGTTTTGTCCAGACTTGTTCCTAGTTCTTCCTGAACCTGTGAATATCTCTCAGATGCAAATTTACTCTCCACCGTGGCGGCTGCCTCTTGGCGTATCACACGGCATCCTTCGCGCTTCGATTGTACGCGCCATCAGCGAATTACTGTTGCCGCCACCCATGTCGATGCATCACAAGTTGTCGCAGCCTTGCTGCGCCGTCACCCTGCAGAAATCCTGTCTTTTTGGAGGCCCCGCGATGACTTCTTCTTGCGGCTTGCCCCTTGTCTACGTTTTCTTTGTCTTCAGCTAGTCTTCCCATTCTACCCGCAACGCCATGGCGGAACTCGCAGCTCTTAGTGTCGCTGCTAGCATTCTTCAAGTTATCGATATCAGCGTTAGAGTCGCTGAGCGTCTCAATGAATATCGCAAGAAAGAGGACAGTCTGCCGGATGCGCTCAAACATGTCAGCACTCGACTACCTGTTTTTGTTCTTGCGCTTCGAAATACGAATGCAAAAATCGAGAATCTGACAGACGATGCAAGGAGGGCATTGAAGCCCGCGATTGAGGAGTGTTTTGATCAAATTAAGAAGCTGGAGACAATAATTGACAAGGTTTTGTTCAAGCCTGGCGATGGAGGAGCCATACGTGGGTGGAAGTCTATTGTAAGCGTGAAATACGACAGCGATGTGAGCGAGGCGGACAAAGTCATTCGAAGATACATCGAGGCGATGCATTATGGGCTGTCAAACGTGACACCACCTTCGGCCAGTATGTGTATACTATTCTTCGACACTCTTCCAGAAACATAGGCTAATGTCTTCTCTGCAGATGAGATTTCTTCACCACAACCGACAAGCACTTGTCCATTCGAGCGAGAAGCAGACTTCGTGGAGCGAGGCGTGATGTATGATGTTATGACTCGATGTCAACCTGGGTCAAGATCGGCTTTGATAGGTATTGGCGGCGTCGGGTACGTGCTCGAATGATGCTGGCAGTGGAAGATCCTGCCATGATCCAGTGCATGTCTTTGACTGACAGCTGTTTTAGCAAGTCTCGCATAGCCATCGAATACAGCTATCGCGTACGAAAAGCCGCACCGGACACTTGGGTGTTCTGGGTGACATTTAATACGCCGGCTGCTGTCGCCCAGGACTTCCGGAAGATAGCAAAAGCAGTCGGTCTTCGAGGCTGGGACGAGAAGGCGGTAGATATCTTTACTATGGTGCGCGATTGGTTGAAAGACGAATCGAATGGTCCGTGGACCATGATCCTCGACAATGTCGACTCTGTTGACGTCCTGACTGCGCCTGCACCAAAAGTCGCATCCAGTATCAGCGTCGACGATGCTTCACCCATACCACAGATTCGCAACTTCATTACCACTTCGACAAGAGGGTCTGTTCTCGTTACATCAAGGAATACTGAGGCTGCGCAGATGATTACTGGAAACTGCGCATACCACATCGATGTGGATGAGATGAATGAATCTGAAGCGATTGCTCTGCTGAAGAAGAAACTCAACAGCAAAGTCACTTATACCGAAGCTGAAGCTGCGGAGCTTGTTAAGACGGTCGACTTCATGCCACTAGCAATATCTCAGATTGCGACAAACATCAGCATAAACTACCCACGCCTCACAATTTCGAAAGCTATTGAGAGGATCCGGACGCCGAGTGAAGAAACAGTGCAGCTCTTGGAAACAAGTGCCCACGAAACGAGTCGGGACACCAACAGGACGAATTCGATCGTTAAGACATGGCATCTGTCCCTCCAGTATGTGCGCCAGACAAATCCTTCGGCTGCAAGACTCCTGTCGCTGATGTGTTTGTTTGGTCGACAGAGCATTCCGGAGACGCTTCTCACCGGTCAATATGGCGAGGAAGTAACCGCCTCAACAACTCCGTTCCAGCCCCGCTTCAATTGGTGGAACCAAAGCAGACGGCAGCGGTTTTATCTTAGGCGGCGCCAGCGTGCGGCTCAGCAGAGAGAAGCTGGTGATAAAACGATCAAATCTGCTTGTTTCGACGAGGATTGGAGGGTACTTTCAAACTTTGCGCTCATCAAAACGAACGTCGACGGATGCCATTTCAATATGCACAGGCTAGTGCAATACACTACCAAGAGGTGGTTGGAGATCAATGGCGAGCTGAAAGCTTGGATGCAAAAATACGTCGCTATCATCAGGGACTATTTTCCGAAGCCAGAACACGATAACTGGAAGGTCTGCCAATACCTCTTCCCGCACGCTCGGCAGGCCGCCAACTACCGCCCAGAAGATAGGGCCCTGCTTGTGACATGGGCACGCCTTATCCAGATGGTATCACGGTTTGCATACGTCATAGGGGACCATACCTCGGCGGAGAATCTGGGTCGTACGGCACTGGCAGCACTCGAGGAGGTTCAAGGTTCTCATTGCGAAGATACCCTTTGCAGCTATCATCAGCTTGGCTTAGCGATCAGCGTTCTCAATCGATACAACGAGTCGGAGAAGATGTTTCGAAGAGCGTATGAAGGCAGACTGGCTTTGCTGGGTCCCGACCACTTGGACACCCTGGACAGCGCAAATAACTTGGGAGCACGATTGAACAAACAGAAAAAGTACGAAGAAGGCGAGGCCATGCATATGCGCGCGGTCGAGGGATATGAACGAGTTTATGGACCTGGCAGCGTCGAGATACAGTCGCTCATGGCCGGACTTGTGCTCACATACATGACCAACGAGCGTGTTGAACAGGCTACGGCGATCCATCGACGAGTGCACGGTATACGGAAAGAAGCTTACGGCGAAGAAACTGATGACGCATACCATGGTTTGCGTGCCTTAGGCGCTTTGCTCAACATGCAAGGCAAAGCTGCCGAAGCCGAGGATATACATCGTCGGGTTGTGGACTACAGGTCGAAAAGATCTGGATTTGACCACTCGGAGACAATCAAAAGTGTGAATTTTCTGTGCGGAGCGCTCATTAAGCAACGCAAGCTCGAGGAGGCGGTAACGCGATACCGTAGCGTCATCGACTTATATACCGACCTTGACGAGAAGGCACGGCATGAAGCCTTGCTGACCATGAACAGCCTCGCTGAAACGCTTATTCAACAAGGCCACCTCGAAGAAGCGGAAACTGTCTGCCGCCGCCTCGTTTTAGAGAGCGAAAGACTCCTAGGAGCTGATGACTGTGATACATTGGTCGGCGTTCATACACTTGCAGACATCCTCGCCAAGCAAAACCGATATGAAGAGGCTCTAACATCATATGAGCGGGCTTACGTCGGTACTGAGAAGCGTTGTGGCGCGGGTCACCCTGACACGAAGGAATTTCTGGAGGACTTCAATCATGCGAAGAAGAATATACCCGTGTAGTTGATTGATGCTAACTATTTCGTTGCGCTACTTGGCCCTCTGGTGGTTTCTTCACGTACAATCCTCACAACTCAAATATTCGTGTATCCGAAACTTTCATTACACATGCTGCACACTTTTGCTCCTCGCCCCGGTGCACACTGTGAAGCCTTCCTCCAGTCGCTAGAAAGCTCTTCCTCCACCTTAGTCAAACATTTCCTGTGGGTCTATGGAAGACACGAAGAGGATTTCATGCAAAAGGTGCCTGTTCGCCATTTATATCGTTCAAGAACGTGACGTAAGCCAAAGTGAATGTGACTTAAATGTAAGAAAAACGCCATTGTGGAAGCGAACCGAAAACCCATGGACCCTTGCACCTGACCTGAACGCTGCAGTTCCCATGTTCTTCAATACCAACATTACGAAGCACCAAAAGAGATACGTTCGTCGCTACAGCATCCTCAACTCTTGGTACCAGCTTTTCGCTCTCGACTTCAACTTTCTGTCACCCAGCCGTTTTTCAAGAACCAAGCCTACATCTACCTTGGTCGTGCGGCCGAAGCTCATGGTGACACTGTCCCAAAAGATCGAACCTAAAGCCTCTGCGCTCTTCCTGTCATATGAGCTCTCACTCTACAAACACTGACGTAAGACCGTCCTCAACGTCGCCAAACTAGACGATGACTACCTCCTCCTTCCAACCGCATTCGAATACATGGACTTCCAAGAGTGGCGCGCAAAACAGCGCGCTAAACTTGATGGAGCTCCAGATGCAGAGGAAAAGTCGCCAAAAGCGTCGTTTGCGGGTTTTGTACTGGCAGAGCGTTGCGGACACCCACTACACCCTCGGGATCCCCGTTTAGAAGCTCAAGATCAGCGGGAGGATGAGTCGGACGAAGAGGGCAAGGAGCGCGATACGATCGCTTGGTGTCCTATGTGCACTTTGCAGATCCATCTCAAGCTTCTAGGTGAGCTATGGGAGAAGTGGATGGAATCTGGCGGCCCCTGGCGTATCTTGCCTCTGGATGCTACTAGTGAGAACTTCCAAGTCGGAAAGCGGGCATACTACAAGCGGAAAACCGATTTAGTCAACAACGTCGATGACCTGGAGGATATCGCGCGTTTGGAAGCTTCATGGGAGGCTGCGAATCCCACTGTGGACACCGAGTTCGCGCGCTCGTATAGCGCAGACAGCTGTGGAAGGGTATGCAAAGGGCGTCCAGTTTCCTGCACGCTTAGCAGCAGCTGACCAAATCTTCCCTCGGACACGGACACACAAGGGAGTAAAGGAGCGCCTCTCGTACTCGCCAGACACAACGAAGGATACTCGACATCGTTCAAGCGGCCTTTACGCTCGGAACTACCCCTGCTACGATCCTGACTCCCCATACCGTTGTCCTAAAGATGATGGTTGGGCTGAGACTTCGTTTAAAAATAGCTGGGAATACAATGTATGGCAATGCCGCACCTTACTATGCGACAAAGAACCCTCTCAACCGGACGTCACTTACCGCGAACTCACCGACGACGATTCCAAGGACAATCTCATCAAGGGTATTGAAGAGTGGTTTAGTAAAATGGAGGAGGATCGGAAAGTGCCCTGGATCAACATACTGCTTACCACAACTGACATCTTCGTTGTCTGGAGAGGCCCATCTTTCCTTGACAAGCCGGACGGCGAATTTGACAACTGGGACAGGGTTGAAACACTTTTGGGAACAAGTCTGGAAGCCTATGCTCGACAGATTGGCGATATCATAGATGAAGGCTCTGAGGCAGAGACGAGCTCCGATGGCCAGCTAGTCGCAGGAGAAGATGTTGAAGCCTTTTTCGAGCAAGGCTCTCTAGCATCTGATCCCGAGTCTGACGAAGAGCGCGAATTGCCAGATGCCATGGTTCGAGAAAAGGATGATAATGATGTGGTCATTGACATTGTTGGGCAAGAACAACAACCTGGTCCCGTGACACTGGAGGAGGTCACTGGAACAGGGAGTTGTCGGCCTGACGAAGTAGGTGAGCGCTAGGTATAGGTGCCATTAGCATAGATGTGTACTTAGAAGTACGAAATGTATTGTTCGTATAGAGTGTAAATGGTATGCAAGATTACTTGTCTCGACTACGAAGTCCAGTTGTGAACGCCCCGATAAGGTCAAGAAGCCAGCAAAGCGAACCTAGTATTTACATAACGATGCAGCACGAGTTCTGCTTTTTGGCCTGAAACCGGTGTTAGTTTCCAACCGCGTCGCTTTACGGTATTCTTGACATACCTGTGTGTAGAACATCTTACTCTGAGCGCTCAACCCGTCACTCTTCTGAACCAAGTTGTCAATCTTCTCTCCACGCTCCAACACACTCTCGATAGTCTTGTGCAGCACAATCTTGGTCTCATCCAACTCCTTCTGAATCTTCATGATACTGTCTGCCTGTTGTGGGTCCTGGTACTTTTGTATGTAGTCCTTCAGCTCGGGAAAAGACATTTGTGGGCTCTCCTTCGTAGCGGAGGTATAGGCGGATTTTGGGTATTTGGATACGAATTCGTCGAGAACTTTGGAGAGGAGCTGATGCGCGACAAGCTTGGGGTATTCGAAATCGGTAATTATGATGCCGCAAACGCCTTCTGAGCGGCTGTAGGCGTGAAAGATGTAGTCTGACAGCGCTGTTAGACAGGGAGCACGTAGGGATGTCATGTGTCGTACCTTTCTCTTCCACATCTTGTCTCTGACCTGGTCTTGTTCGCTCGGCAACTTGGCCCGCGAAGAAAGACATCTACGCGTCCCATCAGCTTGACTGTCGTTCCCATGCTGCTATCGTCCTAGGTTATGTGCTGGGCCTCGTCACGTACGAACTCGCTGATGCTTCCTCGTGTGAAGCGGCTGTAGGAGCTGAGCTCGCGCTCACATGTCAACTCAACGCTAGGTTTCGTCTCATTCTTCCAGACCTAAATGCATTGTTAGCGACTTTAGACGGTTTCTTGAAGGCGGTGAGTGAGTGAGTGGGTGGGTGGGTGCTTACACCGATATAGACGACCTTCATGTTAGCGGTTTGTTGTATGAGATTGTAGGTAAAGGTGCTGGTACAGATAGGCGACAAAAGAGAGTGTAGTAAGTGTGGGCCTTGCGACTATCTGATCTCGAAAGAGGTGCCTGCGACCGGCCCGTGATAGCGCATCATGCGTCGGTCCCGCCAGCAAGGCGCGGCGCTCCTGATTATGTCATAGCGCTAATGCGTGGGGGCGGGGCAAGTCCAGCCGAATGCAGCCCAGTCATCCATCATCGATTCTGCCAAGCCTGACGAAGAGGCAAACCACGCCCTCTTTCCTGAAGAGCGGTCAAACAGGCTGACCTCTGTCACATCGACGACAACCTCTAAACAAGTCGCAATCATGTCGCCCGCCATCGAGGACGCCCAGGTGCAATGGCTCGAGCAACTCGATGCTATGCGCAAAGCCATTGCCGAACTCAATCTCCCTGCTGATGCTGAAAAGGCGCCAGCATACGGAGATGATCTTGAACTCAACGACGACGACTTCTCTGGAACTGCCAGCGGTGAAGATATCTGGGATGTCATCAGTGATGAGTACGAGGAAGAGTACAGCAGTGACCACCTGGACCAATTCCTGGACGGGCAAGCTACAGGAGAGGTTTATAGCCAGCAATGGCTAGCAGAGAAATGTTCTGAAGTAGCTCGAAGCAGTTCTGGTCTGGATTCTGGAGCGTTGAAGGAGCAGATTACAGCGATCTTGTCCAGTGACAGCAACGGTAAGGCTTCGTACCAACGACCAATATACTTGATATACTGACTACGCTTAGACGAAGAGTTGCAAATGATGCTCGCGGACATTGTGGGATATGGGGAGCTGGATCTGGTGGCGGACCTTATATCACATCGAAAGGACATAATGAGATCCCTACATGAACCCACTCCAGCTCAGGGCAGTGGTGTCATGGGTCGTTTGCAGACTCGAGCCGAACGCGAAGAAGCGTTGCGCCGCGCAGACTGGGAACACAAGACAGCTACTTTAGCGCCTGCTATGGACCGAACAGGTCCCCAATATCCTCACGTGTATCGGACTCACGAAGCCGGTAACAAGCTTTCAGCTTATGGCAAGAAGTACGCGCTACCTCCGGACACTGTACACCGCGATAACAACCTCTACGAAGAATATGAGATCCCTGCAGTAGCTGTAGGTACTGTTGGCGTAGGTCGAAGGCTGCTAGAGATCCAAGAACTGGACGGTCTTTGTCAGCGTACCTTTAAAGGCTACAAGTCACTCAACCGGATGCAGAGTCTTGTATACCCAGTTGCATACAAAACTAGTGAGAACATGCTGATCTGCGCACCTACGGGTGCTGGTAAAACAGATGCTGCCATGCTCACAATCCTCAACACCGTGGCCAAGAACGTTGTGCCGAATCCAATCGACGAGCCGGAAGCCACCGACTTTACTGTCATGACGGAGGACTTCAAGATTATCTATGTCGCACCCATGAAGGCGCTCGCTGCTGAGGTTACTGAGAAGCTTGGAAAGCGCCTAGCGTGGTTGGGTATCAAGGCTCGCGAACTCACTGGTGATATGCATCTTACCAAGGCTGAGATCTTGGATACGCAAATCATAGTCACTACACCAGAAAAGTGGGATGTGGTGACAAGGAAAAGCACAGGAGATACCGAACTGGTACAGAAAGTACGACTGCTCATCATCGACGAGGTTCACATGCTGCACGATGAGCGTGGAGCTGTTCTGGAAAGTTTAGTGGCCCGCACCCAACGACAAGTCGAGAGTACACAGTCACTCATCCGGATCGTCGGTCTCTCAGCGACACTTCCGAACTACGTCGACGTGGCTGACTTTCTTCGAGTGAATAAGATGGCCGGCCTTTTCTACTTTGACGCTTCATTCCGTCCTGTACCCCTGGAGCAGCACTTCATTGGCGCAAAGGGGAAGCCGGGTTCTGCAAAGTCACGCGAAAATGTGGAAAAAGTGGCTTTCGACAAGGTTGTGGAAATGCTCAAGCTGGGTCATCAAATAATGGTGTTCGTGCATTCAAGGAAAGATACAGTCAAGACTGCTAGGCGGTTGTATGACATGGCTATGGAGGAACAGTGCACCGATCTATTCGACCCGCAAGATCATCCCCGGTATGAGAATGCTGTGCGCGACATGAAACAGTCAAAAGGTCGAGAACTACGCGAGCTACTTGGAAAAGGCATGGGTACTCACCACGCCGGTATGCCTCGTTCTGACAGAAACTTGATCGAGCGTCTCTTTTCCGAGGGCGTGTTGAAGGTGCTCTGCTGTACAGCGACGCTTGCTTGGGGTGTCAACTTGCCCGCTGCAGCGGTCCTCATTAAGGGTACCCAAGTCTACAACGCCCAGGAAGGTAAATTCACCGACCTTGGTATTTTGGACGTTTTGCAAATTTTTGGTCGTGCTGGTCGACCTCAGTTCCAGGACACTGGTATCGGCTTTATCTGTACCACGCACGATAGGCTTGATCACTATATGCGCGCTGTGACTGAGCAACAGCCTATTGAGTCAAGATTTTCCGCAAAATTGATAGATAACCTCAATGCTGAAATCTCATTGGGTACAGTAACGACCGTGTCCGAAGCTGTCACGTGGCTTGGTTACTCGTACCTGTTCGTACGGATGCAGAAAAGCCCGCTGATGTATGGCATTGAATGGTCGGAGATCCGCGACGACCCACAGCTCGTGGGAAGACGCCGGAAGCTTATTATCGACGCCGCACGAATCCTACAGAGGAGCCAGATGATAATCTTCAACGAGACCACTGAAGATCTTCGAGCGAAGGATGTCGGACGAATCGCGAGTCAGTATTACGTTCAGCAATCGAGTATAGAAATCTTCAACACTATGATGCGGCCTCGTAGTACGGACGCGGATGCTTTGGCTATGGTCAGCATGAGTGGCGAGTTTGACCAGGTGCAATCACGCGAATCCGAGGAGAAGGAGCTGTCAGCGCTTAAAGAAGAAGGACATGTCATCACACAAGTCAAGGATGGATATGCCACATCGCACGGAAAGACAAATTACCTCCTTCAAGCTCACATCTCACGAGCACGACTAGAAGACTTCACACTCATTTCAGACACAAACTACGTAACCCAGAATGCCGCGCGTATTGCGCGTGCGCTTTTCATGATTGCGCTTAATCGGCGTTGGGGTTACCAGTGTCGCGTACTTCTCAGCCTTTGTCAGTCTATTGAACACCGATGCTGGTCTTTTCAGCATCCATTGCATCAGTATGACCTCCCACAGCCGGTCTTGCGTGCGCTCGACCACAAGTATCCTTCAATACAGACTCTGCGCGACATGGATTCAACGGAGATAGGAGACATGGTCCATAATAAGAAGATGGGCGGCGTGATCTCGAAGCTCATGAACAACTTCCCGACCTTGAGCATTGAATCTGAGATCGCTCCGCTCAACAGAGATGTACTACGAATACAGCTGTTTCTCACACCCGATTTCGTCTGGAATGATCGCCACCATGGTACTTCCGAGTCGTTCTGGATTTGGGTAGAGAACTCCGAGACATCTGAGATCTATCACCACGAGTTCTTCATCCTCTCGCGGAGGAAGTTGTACGATGATCACGAACTCAACTTCACGATCCCGCTGTCTGATCCTTTGCCGACGCAGGTATACGTTCGCGCCTTGTCTGATCGTTGGCTGGGCGCAGAGACGGTTCATCCCATATCTTTCCAGCATCTTATCCGACCGGACACCGAGAGCGTTTACACAGATCTACTGAATCTCCAGCCTCTACCCATCGCTGCACTGAAAAACCCTTTGCTGGAGGAAGTCTACGCGCAACGCTTTCAATATTTCAACCCTATGCAATCGCAGATCTTCCACTGCCTATATCATACACCCGCTAATGTTCTACTTGGATCGCCGACAGGTAGTGGCAAGACCGTTGCAGCTGAGCTTGCAATGTGGTGGGCATTCCGCGAGAAGCCAGGCTCAAAGGTTGTGTACATTGCGCCTATGAAGGCACTTGTCCGCGAGCGTGTACAAGATTGGGGCAAGCGACTTGCTGGTCCGATGGGGCTCAAGCTTGTTGAACTGACTGGTGACAACACTCCAGACACACGCACTATTCGTGATGCTGATATCATCATCACGACTCCAGAGAAGTGGGACGGTATCAGTCGTAGTTGGCAAACTCGCGGTTATGTTCGCCAAGTCAGCTTGGTCATTATTGACGAGATTCATTTGTTGGGTGGAGACCGTGGTCCAATTCTGGAAATCATCGTCTCACGTATGAACTATATCGCATCGCAGAAGAAAGATGGCTCTATTCGCCTGCTTGGCATGTCAACAGCCTGCGCCAACGCATCGGACCTTGGAAATTGGCTGGGTGTCAAAGAGGGCTTGTTCAACTTCCGGCATTCTGTTCGCCCAGTACCGTTGGAGATCTTCATCGACGGCTTCCCAGAGCAGCGGGGCTTTTGTCCGCTTATGCAGTCGATGAACCGGCCGACGTTCCTTGCAATCAAAGCCCACTCGCCAGAGAAGCCAGTTATCGTCTTCGTAGCTTCGCGTCGCCAGACTCGTCTAACAGCTCGCGATCTCATCAACTTCTGTGGTATGGAAGATAATCCAAGGCGCTTCCTGCGCATGTCTGAAGACGACCTGGCCGTCAATCTCGATCGGGTCAAAGACGATTCGCTACGTGAGGCACTGAGCTTTGGCATTGGCCTGCATCACGCTGGTCTTGTCGAGACCGATCGATCACTCTCTGAAGAGCTCTTTGCAAACAACAAGATTCAAATTCTCGTCGCGACCAGTACACTTGCTTGGGGCGTGAACTTACCGGCCCATCTCGTCGTGGTAAAAGGCACACAGTTCTTCGATGCAAAAACCGAAGGGTACAAAGACATGGATCTGACAGATGTTCTGCAGATGTTGGGTCGTGCTGGCCGTCCTCAGTTCGACGACTCGGGTATCGCACGTATCTTCACGCAAGACGCAAAGAAGGAGTTCTACAAGCACTTCCTGCATACCGGATTTCCCGTCGAATCGTCACTTCACAAGGTGCTCGACAATCATTTGGGTGCTGAAATCTCTGCCGGTACCATTGCTACAAAGCAAGACGCATTGGACTACCTAACTTGGACGTTTTTCTTCCGCCGTCTACATAAGAATCCTTCCTTCTATGGGCTTGAGATTTCGGCTGAAGAGCACAATACGATAGCTGCACAATCCCTCGCAAACGACTACATGGTCGAACTGGTGGAAACCTCTCTCAGTGAACTAGACGAGTCGTCTTGCGCGGTCGTAGAGCCAACAGGCGAAGTTGAACCAACTCCACTCGGCAAGATCATGAGTTACTACTATCTCAGCCATAAGACAATCCGCTACCTTGTAAAGAATGTCAAGCGCAACGCAACCTTTTCGGATGCTCTTTCATGGATCTCGCACGCTACCGAGTACGATGAGTTACCCGTTCGTCATAATGAAGACCTCATCAATGCCGAGCTGTCGAAAGCCCTCCCAATCCCTGCAGACGACTTTGGTCTACCCATGTGGGATCCACACGTCAAGTCGTTCCTGCTCCTGCAAGCCCACTTCTCGCGCATCGACTTGCCAATATCGGATTACGTCGGTGATCTGAACAGTGTATTGGATCAGAGCATTCGTATCGTGCAGGCATCAATTGATGTGCTAACTGAACTTGGCTATCTCTCTTCATGCGAGATGATGATCTCGATCCTCCAGGCTATCAAGTCCGCTCGCTGGCCAACCGACGGACCATTGTCAATTTTCCCAGGCGTGGAAGTTGACAAGGAGAAAAAACGTCTCGAACATCCCAAAGCCAGTCCGAAGACACTGATCGAGACCACCACTACATCTTCCGCGGTGCTTGAGCGTTCAGCTAAATTTGCTGGTGTCCCGCATACTGGTATTAAGCGCTTCATCGAGCCGGTATCTCGCCTACCCATCCTGAAGCTCGATCTAGGCAACGTCAACGCACTCGGTCTGGACTTCAGAATCTCACGCCAGAACCCAGCTAGAATGCAACAAGGCGGCATACGCATCTTTGCTCCACGCTACCCCAAGCCGCAGACTGAAGGCTTTTTCGCCATCATCTCGTACTCCAATACCGACGAAATCATCGCTTTGAAGCGTGTCAATTGGCCTGACCCTAATAGGAACGGTGGTCATGGACGAGGTGGGCGCGGCGCAAATGCATCTGGAGGCGCACACTCGAGATTGCAGGCTTCTACCAAGGTCTCGCTGCCACCCGAGGCACAGGGTAAGAGGGTGGATATTAGCGTGCTGAGTGATTCGTACCCTGATATGAGGTGGAAGATTGAGGGTGTCGAAGTGCCTGAAGCACCTTTGGTGGATGCTTACGGGAAGGGCAAGGAAAAGGCGTAGTAATGCAGATGCAGTAGACTGCTTTCTAAATCACAGACGCGCAACGTCAGAGGCGTGCATAACATCAGTGCGTATATATAGTTCAATGTACAATTCAAAACAGTAAACACTGTACCACCTCATCGTTTTCTCTTCCAAGTCTCTCCAAATCGCTTCTGTAGTCCAAAACATCAACATGCTCCTGCCCCAACAACCTTCCCCCCTCTCTATATACCCTCTCGTACAGATGTCTCGCGTCACCTCTCCTCCCAGCCTTCTCCACCACAAAACCCAAGGTCCACACACTTTCTACCGTCTCTTGCTGCATTCTCCCCAAAATTTTCTCTCTTATCTTCAATGTCTTTCTCGCCAATGCCTCCGCTTCTCGTACCGTGCGAGATGTACCCTGACACGCCAGACTATATGCAAGCTCATTGGTAATCTGCAACAACTCTCTGTTCTCCTCTGGAAACAGCCGCCTATAGCCATCAAGTGCACGCCGGAAGTACGCCTCTGCGTCCACGTATTTGCTCTGAGCGACCAGCGCTCTCGCAATCCCGACAAGAGATTCATACACTCTTTTGTTGCCGTGTGGAAGTGTCCTTTCCTTATACGCAAGCGCTTCTTGGAGGTACGTTTCAGCTTCTGCGGAGCGGTTGTGGATATGCAGGCTTAGACCAATAAGTTCGAGAGCGTTGCACCACTCAACGTCGTGAACAGTGGGAGGTGTGTTGCGATGCCAGAAGGCTGCGTTCCATGCTTCGTAGGCATCAGGGTAGTCATCTGCTCTGAGGGCCCAGAAGGCGAGTTCGTTGCAGCAGTCCTGGACGTCAAAGCCGAGAGCATCGAGTGCAGATGTTACGTAAGACGCGGCCATGGTGCCTAGAGGTAATGGTGCAGGTACGATGTCGCGGAGATGAAGGCACCTGTGAGAGGGGCAAGCAATGACTTTTCGAAAATGAAAAGAATCATGGAAATGGATGCGCGCGTGTCAAGATAACGAACTACTGTCATTGATGATAGATGAGTGCCTTTACTATCACTCATATACGTGCTATGAAGTCTGTTGCTTCTCTTCACGTTCCTACCGCGAATCGAAATCTGCCAACCATTATTTGGTACCTGCTTATGTCCTTCGCCTATATCGTCCTCATTGGACATCGTTCTTCACGTCTCTGCACCGTGCATCTTCTCTCGTTGGTATTTATACGCTTCGTAATTATCGCTTCATAGTATGCGGCGCACTGCTCGTGGTGGTCATGTGGTAGTGGGTGAGTATTGGGCCGCTGTGAATCAGCTCAGTCATCGCCAAAGACGATAAAGCTCGCCTCTTCCTCGATTTCAAAATATATACCATCACCCTCGCCACATTCATCACCATATTCAGAGCTTTCGTCGCCAGAGTCAATGTCTTCCCAGTCACTATTCTCGTCATCGTCTTCGATCTCGTCGATTGAGTCAAAGACCGGCCGTGACTCCTCTTCATTGGAAAGCAGACTTTCGTTGACCGACTCTTCTGTTTCACCAACATGATGGATCTTGACTTGGGAGTAGTCTTCCGAATCTTCTGAGATTTGGTCCTCTTCTGGTTCGTCTTGTTCCGCAACTGTATATTTCCCAGGTTCATATCGAGGTGATCGTCGGTGGAAGTAAGGGTTGGGTCGTCCGGGCGCAAAGTCGGTATCTTGAGCGAAGACTACAGCAGTGTGCTTTTTGGAGCGCGGTAGCCTTTCCAAGCAACCAGTTGTTTCTGACCAGTATAGCTCCACCGCCTTCGCTGCGGTTTGCGTCTCTTCGTGACTGGTCTCCGGGTGCTGCGCGGACCATCTAGCCTCTTCTTCAGCCATGGTCTCTAGTCTCGACAGCTCCTTGAGTGTACTAATCTTCCCCTTGCACCAAGCGCTGTACACTATGTCCTGGTGTTCAGAGCTGGTGAGTGTACAAGAGGGAGCGCGACCACCAGCACTTTTAAGTGCCTCGGACAGGACGTTCATGTATCTGACATGCAACTCAACAATACAGACGGGACATCGTGATTGTGGCTGGCCCGCTGCTACGGGATGCATCGCATGCTGACATATCGATGCGACTGGTGAGTTGAACGAAGATGACGTTGTTTCAGAACCACAATGTGAGATGTGACCGGTGATATCATCGAATATGTCTGAGAAGTATCCAGAGTCTTGTCGCTTCAGCCACTGGTGAAAATCTTCGTATTCGTGTGCTGTAGGAATGTAGCCTTGCTCAGCTGGTCTGACGTTGGTGTGCAAGCACTGCCATCGCTTGTATTGCTTCAGCTCCCGGGGCGGCATGATGACGCTTGCCGGTATCTTTGTGCAACTCATGATGGCGTCGTGTGATGCGTGGTAGTGATGGGTTTTGTGGCTGCTTGTGTGGTGTGGTGCTGCCCTTGCGGTGAGGATGTCGCCGGAAGGCGTAAATCGACTTTATAAGACCGAAAGTGTGCAAGGTCTCGTCCGGTAGATGAAGTACGTAGTCAGCGAGGAAAGTCAGGGGTGTGCGACAACCACGGTTGAGCGGTTCGTTTGCGGGGAATGTGACCGCTGGTACCGGAGAAACCCTTGGAGGCGCAGGTATGCTTCCAAAGAGCTTCTGTTCGGCCACTGCTGCGAGCACTGTCGTGATGATTGAGCACGCGCCGTAAACGGTGAATGTGAAGGCTGTTTCGGATGGCGCGGACGTCCTTTGTCACAAATCAAGACTTGTGAAGGCGGCTGTCGCTATGTTTCCGCTTCAAGCGTCTCTCTTCAATGTCTGCCCTTCTCGCCAGTAGGCTCCAGGTGTATAGAGATATCCGGAGTTCAAATATCGCGTTCAAACGCGGTGACCAGTGCTGACGACGTCGCCCAACTTCGCAATCTTAGGGAGATTCGAGTACCAGAAAAAGGCCATGATTCTAGGGCAGATATAATCCATTCCTGTCGCTTTGCGGGTTGGTGTGAATATTTCGCGATGTGTCGCGCGGGTGTTGCCGTTCACTTGGGCCGGCGTCGGATGCTGATGTGGGGGAGACGGCGACTTTAAAGGAAGGCGGGGCAGACGCGTCTGCTATGAATGAGGTGTGTGCGAGGGTCTTCTGCTAGGCTTCACTGTCGATCGCGAGTGATTTCGCGTCTCCAGTGTGGGTAGGGGTGTAGGTCCGTTTGGGTGTGAAAGGGTCAAATGGCTTTCGTGGGCTGGGCTTCGATGGTGCGGACAATTGTGCGTCATGACCCTGACTCATTTAGGAGACACTGTGGCTGAGCTGTGGCTGTGCGATGGGCTCGGCCACTTATTCACTCGACATATCTCAGGTGATTCCTCACAAACAAACTTATTTTCTGTAACAATTATATGCGAAACTATCACCACGAGACCCATCATCGAGCACAGTCCCGGCTAGCTCAAAGGCCTGGCCGCTCTGGCAATGAAACACTGGATTTGGCACACCTCCTCGCTCAGCAGCTCAATCTCGAGGTTTTCCTGTAGAACCTCGAATTTGAAATCAACCAAGCCAGCCTTCTCCATCAACGCCTTTATATCGCCCTCCTTTTGTTGCGGATGTTTTGCTTGGCCTGACTCTTGAACAGCTTCACTACTCACGTGGCTATACAGATCCTGGATGAGCAGGACCCCGCCAGGCTTCAACCGCTCACCCAAGAGTCTAACAGCGTTTTCCGCGGACGGAAAGTGATGCAGGGCTGATCCGACTGTGATGAAATCGAAATGCTGATATTCTTCACTAGCCAGGAGAGAAGGTTCAGGTGGGTCCGACAGTAAGTTTCCGACCATAACTGCGACCTTTTCGCAAGCAAGGCCAAACTCGTTCATGTTGTTTTTGTACTTTTCGATCATGGCGGCGGATGCATCAACTGCGTGGATCGAAGATACATATGGTCCGAAGATCTGAATTGCAGTCAGCAAAAGAAATTCCATTTGCTTTCGAGCTCTACACACTTTACTGAGAAACCCAGGGCCGCACGCATAGTCCAGCATGCGAACCTTACTGCCTGCTTGTGTGCCTTCAGGAAACTTAGCCCAATCGACGCCAGCAAAGAGGACTCTGTCGCCTGTCATTCGGGCGAGCTTTTGACGACTGGTCTTATTGATTGGGCGCTCCTCGAACCAATCTGATACTTGCCTGTCACATTATTAGCTTCTTCTGTGGTACTACAGCGTCTTCGAGTGGTACTGCTTACCCCATATCGTCTTCCTGCGGTAGAGAAGTCATTCCGTCTGCAGATGCTCTATCATACAGTCCTGTATTAATCTGCACATAGCTATGTGCCGATGGAGCGCACTTTATACAGAATCAGTGGATATTACTTGTTAATGAGTATCCCATTGAGTTTTCCTTGAGTTTGCAACAAGTCTCCGTCTCCATGGTCGTCGGCGACTTTCAGAACCATGCTCGGATACTTGAGGGCTCCACTAGAGCTACACAGGAAGTGTCTGGCTGACAGCATAGAGTATTCAAGCCAGGTAAACTGAGGGTCTGACTGTTCGTGGAGACATATTGGGTATACTGGATTGTACGACAGAAAGAGCGTTCCTGGTGCTTGCTCAACCGGAAGCTCTTACAGAGTGGATCAACATCAACATCAGCCAGCACACATTCGGAAGTCCCTTCAATACTAACTCTAACAGATACTGCCGCCCTTACAATCTCGAACCTTCAGTCTTCTTTCAGCGTCATCTGCTTTGGTTCCAGACGAGTCGGACAGAGGAATCCTTTCCGGACCCCCGGGTTATTGCATTGGTGTCCGTTGAGCCGCACAGCTTCTTTGTGTGCCCTCCTCATGTCCCGGTTTATGCATCGTATTCACTGTTGGTGCGTCATTCTGCCGTACGTTGCTGATGGTCCCTTCATTGACAGGATCGGCATCGGTACACCATTCGGTCCTCCTACCATTCCTAGGTATTGTGCGCCTAACGGTAAGCTGCGGACTACCAATGAGCCACCACGCCTCGTGGAACCTCAATCTGCAAAGATGAGCTCAGCCCGAGATACGGTTCGAGCGCGAACTTCCCGAGTCGTCGCAACGCTGCTTACCCATGTCTATGAACCCAGAGTGGCCTTGCCAGCTAACAAGTGAGGCATCTTCCAATATTTACATCGGTAAGGGCCGTAGCGCGGCACATTGTTTGGGAACATTGTCCTCTCCCTGTTGTTACTCAAGTGCGACTTCAGATTCTGGGGTCAAGCCGCGGGGTTTTCGGAATCCTCCCGCACTTCGCTACACCTCCAAAGAAAGACTTACCGGTTGATCCACCACACCTGTATATCAACAAGCGAGTAGGGCTTATCTTCTCCAGCTGATATGCGCTCGGCATCTCCGGGCTAAGAGGAAGTGCATGCATTAGTTTTGGGCTCGGCGAATCATCAACCTAATATTAGTTCAGCTCTCAGCCCTGGATTAGGGTCAGGGCTGAGCTCTGGCCTCCAGAGAAAGCCACAATGCTGTATCTACGATGAGAATGCCATACTATTTTGCCGGATATCTACAAGGCGGCTGTATCATACGGTGGGGCTGTGCCGCGCGACTATTATTGGACAATCGCATTTCCCTCCAATCCCTCGGGCCATGGTACACTTACATTAGATCTTCAACCGTCGGATTCATCGCATGCTCGGTTCCTTTCCGACCATGTATGTATCTGATCGAAGTATAGCTAACACATAACGAATGACAGCGCCGTCGCCCAACATCATCCGGTTACGGTGATGCTGACAGAACGCCTTGCGAACCCCGATTGGTTCTTTCCATAGCTACATATTAAACTGCTGTGCTTACTGTTGTGCAGGAGACAGGCATTAGCGTACGTGCGGACGATCCATAGTCCAGAAGTATACGGGCGCAGTTAGGCGTGCAGGCTACCCTGTTCCTACCTTTCAGAGACCCTTTCCCACATTTCTTTGAGGCGCAGCCGCATCGGGCTCATACCACTTGACCAGGCTCAAGGACTTGGATCTCTCCGTTCAGATTCCGACCCACCCTCCATACCTAGTCTTCTCATTGAGCAAGATGGACTACCGTGACCAACACCGTGACGATATAAGCAGTCCCCGGAGCTATACCGATAGTCAATGGAGCCCTCCTCCACCGGGTTTCCATGAGCACGATCAGATATATGCAGCCGAGGGCTCGCCTCATACCTACTCTAACGCAAACTCACCAGCAGCTGTGTCCCCTCCTCTACCGTATGAACATGAGTATCACCAACATCCTCAACCACAAAACCATGAAACTTATCAGCAAGGGTATGTCATCTTCGCTGAGTTAACAAATTCATCCGATAGAACTGAGCCGCTTCTCCACCCAGCCTTTTGATCTGATTGTTTAATAGGTATTCAACGGAGAAGGAGATCCCATACGCCACAGCTGTTCCAGTCGGCAAACCTACTCCAGATTTCGAGGGACCTCAGGTGTAAGTATCCTTGTTCTAACTGCCTATGAGGCATGTGCTGACTTTATACACCAATATGTAGAGTACCGGGCCAGTTCAGTCATTACCCTCATGGAGGCCGACCGATGTCACCTTCGTCACATGGAGGCACTACCATTACCTCTCCGCACATCCGGCCATATGGATTCAAGGAGCATGTCGACCCGTACGATAATCCTCAAGCTGGTCCTCCACCAGTGCCACCGAAGGAGGATCGAAAATGCGGCATGAAGAAGCGGACGTTCTTTATTCTCATTGGAGTCATTATCATTGCGATTATCGGTCTCGCCTTAGGACTCGGTCTGGGATTGGGATTACAGAAAAAAGACTCGTAGGTTCACAATGCATGTATCTTTGCCTTATAATTAAGGCGCTAACAATACACAGAGATGAGAACACAGTTCATCCCTTCTGTCGTGATAATCCTGAGTCATGTATTGGCGGCTCTCTCAATGCCGACTACCTGTCGACAAAGGGTGTTTTCAGTAAGTTGATTTTACGAGACATGTACGAAACGAACGCTGACTTGAGACTTACTGCTTTGCAGACGGTACAGGTATCGCTCTAGCTGGAGAATCTTGGAATAAAGGCCAACGACGGATTTTCACGCTTTACTTTCAGCACCATACAGGCGATATTAGATTCATGCAATATACTACGGACAGAAAATGGATTGGTGGGGGTAAAGCTCAAACTGTTGCTGGTGATGCGAAAAGTGCATCACCTATATCTGCAGTCTCCTTTGCCCTCAATGAGACTCAATATGTGAGTATGATCGAATAAACTTTTCCGCAGATCGCGACTCCGCGATCGAACTCAGGTAACCTCCTCATTCTAAAGCACTATCCTGACTATGGACAGTTCCATATCTTCTACATCGACAAAAATAACACCGTCAAGCAACTGATCCAGTCCAACACAAGCGACATCTGGCAACCAGGTCCGCTCAGCGACCTCAATCTCAAAGCCTTCGACTCGCCAACCACTGGTTTACAGGCTTGCTACAAGGGGAACTTTTACGGAGATTCCGACTTCACGAAATTTCCTACAGCGTCTGGCCTCAATAACACAGACCCCTTTGAGGGACAAACAGGCATGGTAAGTTTGAGATGTACAAACTACTTCAAAGACATACACTGACCGCATCATCATCGCCACAGAACATATGGTTTGCTGTCGACGAATCCACCTTTCATCAGTACGCCTGGTACAGCGGTCAAACAGAGGACGTATGGGTACTCATCGAACCATGGTCTGGTTTCAACGGCCATGCCGGTGTAGGCTGCTACAGCTGGGGCGCAGGCACCACATCCTACGCCATGTTAAATAACAAGGACAATGACGTGGAGTTCTGGTGGAAAGATACGAATGAGACCGCCACGTCCACGCCGACCCACCCCATCAACTCCTGGACAAACGCCAGTATGGGCGCCATCAAAGACGTGTACCCCATCACGTCTCTTGGCTACACAACGTACTTTTACGCGCAAATGGCGGATCGAAGTATCAAGGGGTACAATGTTACGTACCAAGCTGAAAACACAACGTTCATTGAAGACCAGACGTTTACCGTTACTGATGTAGCGGGTTCGGTGGTGGGGCTTGGGGGTACGCATCTTACTGTTACAGCATTTGCTGAGAAGCGTGGAGAGGAGACGTTGTGGGACAGCTTGTATGTGTTCTTCCAGACGGAAGGAGATGACATTACGGCTTTCACAAGAGGTAAGTTGTGATTGTGCGAGATGCGTGTGGGATATGCACTGACTTTACCTCTGCAGGTTTGAATGGTGGCGAGTGGACAAAGGGGTCTTTAAGCATTCCGGATGAGTAAGGTTGAGATAGGATCACGCACTTGTCGATTTTCACTTCATGTCAGGCTGCGATGGGTCTACTTTTATGGCTTCTCTACGACGATAGATGTCGGGCGTTTTCACTGTGATACCTGCTGTATTCGATTGGTTATTTAGTAATCTATGAATACTACGACTGAACCCCTCACTCTCTTGTTCACTCTGCACAAAGCTCGCACTTGGTGATGCGAGACTTTCTGCTATCAACCTAAACACTCGTGCAAGCCCATAGACGAATACAGGTCTTGAGTGTATTTGTAGATGTATTGCTCAATATACAGCCTAATTGCATGGTCCTGTGTATGTCTCTATAGGAACACCGTGCTATGCAAACGCAAAATATCACGCGAGCATCTCAAGGCGGAACTAGCTCTTGTCCTTCCAAGCACCAGCACCATAACCAGCCGTAGGCAGTTTTCCTGGAGACGAAAATGGTAAGCGACGGAGCCGTACACAGCGGGCGAATGGTAGTCTTATCGGAGAGCGATTGTGTCGATCAATCTTTGAGCCGCGTACCTGCAATATCTTCCTGGGCGTCTCTGACGAGGAAGCTTGGGGAATCGTTAGCCCTAATCACCTACAAGATACGACGTGACCATTCAACTTACTTGTACCACAAAATAGTCGGCAGAACCGTACCCAAATGCCACAGGCTATGCGCATCAATCATGCCCTTCCAAGGCGGGAAATCCAACAACTCCAGACTCATAGCCAAGATAATCCAGGCGACACACAGACCAGGCCAGACAGCCCATGCCCTCCCAATCTTCTGGTACTGGAGGTAACTGAAGCCACTCCAGAGCAAGTTGGCTACGACGCCAACAGCAACATTGGCAGCCATGTTGTACGTATAATCCCAAGACCAGAGCGAGAGGTACAGGACATGTAGCGTATACAAGGTAATGCAAACTCCCGTCCAAAGCCTCAGCAAGCTCTGTTTCCTCGGCTCCTTCCTATCGAGTCTGAAGACCCTGATGGGCGCGTAATACAGCCCATACAGCACGTTCGCGCCAGCAGCGAAGTAATCCAACTTTTCCGTAACGCCAAAATCCCTCGTGTGGAAGATCATGCTGAACGTCCAGCTTGCCAGGCCCACGTATCCAAACCACAGGTAGTATTTTCGCAGCGGGTACGAAGCGGGGATTTTGTCGCGGAGCTGCGACATGCCCCAGTCATGCGCAAGGTAGTTGAAGAGGGAGAAGATGACGCTGAATGGCTCTTGCATGCCCATGAAGCGGTAAAAAGGCCATTTGCCGTGGAATTGGTAGATGGGCTGCATGTATGGAGGGTCGCGGGCGAGGCGTTGGGCAGTTACAATGTGTTGGCATGTGTAATCGCATTCGGAGGGACAGTCCCAGAGAAGGAGACGGCGGTGGAAGGCTGCGCGAGTTGTGAGTACCAGGCACGAGACTAGAATTTCGGGATGGATATGGGTGGCATACGTATCGACGGACCATCTGGGCCGCAATTGGCTTCTTTACAAACCTGTGGACTTCGTGTTAGCGAACGCGCCTAGAAGTCTCCAAGAATCAGCTCCCATATCTACACGTACCTGTACACAGTCCTTGAAGTCGGGCAATCTGTCGCCCAAAGAAGCCTGCGCTGCTCCGCCCAGCAGAAGCAAAACGGCGAGGGTGTGCCATGCGGAGGCTATTCGTAATTTCATTGTTCACCAGTGTGGGACAATTGCGGCTGCCATGCACTTGTGTCTTGCGTATCCTCGAGAAGTTCCCAAGTCGCGTGTCGGAGACGAATGGATCGACAGGGTCTTGGCGGGCCGGTAAATCCGTCGTCTCCCCTGGCTAAGGCAGGTGGTCGAGGACATGTATCGGATAGGTACAACAAAGTCCAAGAGACGTATTTGACGATGCGCAGTGCCCAGGTCGATCGATGCTTCTGCTCCCCGTTGTCGCATTGTCTTGTCGGCTGAACATCAATCTTACGGCCTTGCACCGTCGCAACGGCAAAGTGACAGCTCGGGCAGCGATCGGCATCTTTCGGCAACCCCATATGCCAATACTCCACATCACGTATCTACAAAACTTGCCTCGGGGCGTTCTTGTCAGATGTATGGGAAACCACCTACAATATAATGCATCCAAATCACGTTCTTTCATAAATCACCAGGGGCGTGTGGCTCAGTGGTAGAGCGTCCGCTTTGCAAATTTTCGACTTTGATTGCGGAAGGTCCGGGTTTCGATCACCCGCCCGTCCATTGTTTTTTTGGCTCGTAGTGGCTCTCACTGGGTGGGAGGTCTGGATTTCATGTGTCCATAACATATGAACTGGGGCGGACGCTTGGATTGGCTGATCTAAGCTGTGCTCTCATTGGCTGGACATGATTATGGTAATCACGGCAGTCGGCATTTGGGGTCGCCTGTGTGAGAACATCAAATCTTCGAGCGTGGGCGCAGCGAAGCAGGGGGCGTCTTTGTGCTATAAGGAACGAATCCGGGTTATAGAGTAACGAGTCTCTGGGCTCGCCCACCTTTTTGCCAATTTTTGCAGCTGTGGCTGCATATCGAATTCGTTGGAGGAAACATCTTCTAACCGGCTCCTATCAAATCGATTTATGCCAAGATGTCAGTTCTACTATACGTATCACAGCATATTATTATTCTTTCCTTCCAAATCATAACTTTGTTATACTCTCTAATAAGGGCTTTAATCATCTAAGTGTCCATTTCGTTGCACATCGCCCTTTCTCCGTCATCCCATTTGTTCTTAGGTGCTTAATCAACCATGGCAGTTTGACTTCCCTCAAGGATACGAGTTTCTAAAACACTACCACAGAGTAGTTGTAGAAGGAAAACACGCCAACAAGAAACCAAACGATAGGCGTGGTCGACACGAAAACATGACCATGTACTTTTTCATTTCTGCATTCTCACTCATGATCTAGCTGAAAAGCATTCGCATTACCACGGAACTACCAAAAAGGTGTAGTCCGACAAAACCGTATTCGCCGCCCATGACCCTACGTTGCCTCCCAGAAGACGAGATAGACGTCTAAGCCTGGATGGCACGTCCCAAAGCACCACCAGTGAACTGCTGATTCCTTCCACCCCTTGGTCCGCCTCCTCCACGACCACCACCGCCACGGCCGCCTCCTCGGCCACCGCGGTTACCGCGTCCACCTTGCCTCTCAAAGGCGTTGGCGGTACCTTGTGTGCGTTGCTCCAGCGTCTTCTCGTTCGACTCGATGAGGCCTGATGCCTTGTCTGATAAGCTCAGTGCGAGGGTCTGGAGTCTCGACAACTCAACACCCTTCCTGAAGATGATGGCCGAGTTGACCTGGTCGAGAGCGGCAGCGAGCTCCTCGTGTGAGATCATCTTTGAGACGACCGCGGAAACCTTGCGCTCTGACAGCTCGAACATGCCCGCTAGTGTGGAGATGGAGAGAGTGTCGTAGAAGGGTGCATATGTGAAGAGGTATGTGCGGAGACCCTCCTCTTGGATCTGCGAGGACAGCATGTCCTTGATCTTCTCCGCGTCGGCCATGAGCTCCCAGATCTTAATCGAGTTGATGAACTCAGCTGCCTTTTTCCATTCACCAGCAGAGAGTGCCTTCGAAGCTTGCATGACGTGATCACGCGTGTTCTCAGGCGGGCCAGTGAAGATCTGGCGCTCATGGTACTCTAAGAGACGGCGGTAGGTCTTGCTAATCACCCGCTTCCTAAGGTCTGGTGATGAGCCGAGTTGTGCGAGGAGAGGAATCTCAAGTAACATGGAGCAAGTCAAGTAGACGCACTCTAGCAGCTCAAGGTTGATGTGCATGTGGAAGGGAAGTTGTCGTTGACGCTCGAGACGCTCTTGCTCGGGCGAGATCTGGGAGTATCGCTGCATTTGCAGACCTTGTGCGAGTAGCTCCTTCTGCCTGTTGCTACCGCAGATCTCTTGTAGCGAAGTTTGCGCCTCGTAGACGAGACCGGCGCGGAAAGCGCAGAGACCGACCTGGACCAATGCACGGTTGAACAAGATCTGTGTGTTGACGTCGAAGTTGCTGATAGTCTCTTGCAAATGAGACATGAGCATCATATCGCGAGCCTTGTAATACTGGTCGTGCAGAGACAAGAAGTAGATCTGGCACAACATGGCGCGAGCACGAATGATGCCCTCGCTGTTCTGGAACAAGTATGTGCATAGGGTTTGTACGAGGGAGGCGGTGTCGTTGGAGATGGCGCGGGGGGTGATCTCAGAGTCAAGGTTCTCTGGGATCGCCTTCCAAACATTGTTCTCGAGGATAGTGATGACTTGCGAGGGCTGGGCATGTTAGCATGAGCAGGTATACAAGAGTGGAACATTTGCGTACCTTGAAGTAGACGTGTTCCAATCTCCGCATAACAATGCGGTTCAATGGATCTTGTGGAAGTTCCAGGCTTGGGTTCTTCTTCATGCTCTCAACGTATACCAAGGTGCGGACGAGCTGAGCGTACAGCAGGGCCTCGTCGGTCAACCGCTCAATGTACTCTGACGTGTGTGGGTCGATGTGCTGCAGCGAGCGAGTGAGCTCGTCGTCGAGCCTCTCAACGAAAGAGACGATGCTTCCTGGAATACGGAAGATCTCGCCAGGTGTGATGGTGGGTAGCTTGTCGTCGTCCTCCCATTCCTCGGCGTTCTCAATGACAACAATTTCGTTGCTGTTCTCAAGGATTTGGAGGAGCTTTCCGAATTCTTGGTCGGCACTAGACAGTGTTAGCAAATAGCGGCCATGTATCGGTTCAGCAATACTCACAGCTTCCACTGCTCCTGGTGCATGTGGCTGGCAGTACCAGACGTCAAATCGAAGCGCGTCGAGATGAGAGTCAAAAGAACGCGGACCTTTTGGTAGTCGTTGACGGCTACGTCGAACAACTTCTCCAGTGTCCGGATGTGCTCCAGCTTGTCCGAGTTCTTGCGACCACGCTGCTCGACAATCGCACGCAAGTGCTTGAGGATACCCTCAGCGGTGTACAGGACAGCCTTGCCACCAGCTCCAACTGTGATGAAGCCATCGTCAGTTGCCTCCTCGACGACCTCGGTGCCGAGTTGAGGGATCTTGTTCTTCTTCTTCTTTTCCTTGGGTGCCTGAGTAACCTCCTCCTCCTCGCGCATAAAGTCCTCCTTGTTCTCCCGGTACGCGTTGATGTCCTTCTCAAAGTCGCGGTTGTGCTTCTTGATCTTTTGACGGACAGCGTTGAACCCGCGACCGTTGACAGCGTTCATCTTCTTGGGGGTGACCTTCTGCTTCTCGTGTGTCTCGACCACAACCGTCTCGAGGTCGGCAACGGCCTGAATGTACAGCTTGGGGACCTTGCCATCGTTCTGCTTGGTGAGAGTTGGCACCTGGCGGATGAGCTTGTCGAACTCTGTATACCCGTAATGTCAGCACTGTTCATGTACCCCGCCACCATCGCCCATGCCCCTTCCAGGGCTATTTCTAGAGTGAACGTACGTTCGGAAATGACAGCCCAGTCGTTGATCTTCTGCGCATTCTCAATGAGCCTGATCGTCGCCTCCAACTCGTCGAAGCGCTTGTCCTTGGCACTCTTCAGCACCTTGTTCACATCCTCGTCGTCGCTCTCGCTGTCACTGGAGGCGTCCTTCAAGAAGCGGTTGGCACCGGTTTCTGAACCAGAGTCCGAAGAGTCATCGTCATCGGACTCGTCGTCGGAATCCTTGTCGCTGTCTTCCTGTTCGGACTCCTCGTCGTTGGAGTAGAGCTCCTCCTCGCTGGACTCGTCCGAGGAGCTGTCGCTGGCGGCAAAGAATCGGGACGCCATGATTGCTGTTCTCGAGAGTTGGGATTTGCCGGAGGGGTCGGGGGCAATATATGTGGCAGGCGCCGTTGTGGGTTGACCAGAATCACTGCCGCCTTGTTTGAACTTTCCGCAACCGAATTTCGAGCCAGCGCCAAGCCATGACTGTGTGCCCCGCGCCTAACCCTAAACAGACGCGAACACATTCACCCCAGTCGCACGCTAGGCGCGCCAACGCCTATCCGATTTTGAGATGATGCAACAACAAATGATCATTGTACAGTCACTAAGAGTAGACTGATGTCTAGAATACTTATCATTTGAGTTTCGTCTTTACTAGGATTCTGTACTTGTTAATACTCCAAGTCTGCCCCGTTCTGACCATGTCCCATCATCGAAACCATCCATCACATAAACAACAATAGTGATAGCTAAATGCGCAAGTTATTGGCCACAAAGACGCAACCAAAAGAGTTTATGAGAAGTTACTAAAAGTACAATTGCTGCCATACACCACTTCCCCAAGGGCTGGGCGCTTTTGAGTCATGGCTCGACATTCGGCGACAACAGTCATGCTATTGAACATGCATCTCTTCCGTCCTGTTGTGTATCTTCCAATCGAGGTCCAGCTTACCTCGCTCGATTAATCCCAGTGCAGGTTGTAGAGTCATCAATCTGGCCCACCAGGGGACGTGTCTGAAGCCAGTTTAAGACGCTGAGCATCATTGGGTCGTAGTACAATTTGAGCAGACCGTTGTGAACGATATGCGGCCCGCGCGGTCATTCGAGTATGGCTCCACCCGTTGATAGCATGATACCGCTTGCCAGTGTCTCAGACGACCATAACGACGGAAGCACCATGAGGAGAAATGGGCATCAAGGAGAACTCAGAACGCCGCGACTCATCCACCGTCAGATCTCCACGCTGTGCAAAGCGTTATTTTCGTAATATGAGAACTACTCATCGGAGCCATCCCCTCACTGCCAATGATTCTGACCCATGAAACCCTCTTCAAGTGTCCGGTCTTCCAAATTTCGCACAAAATTCTGGTTACGGTTCGAATTGCCTGCTCGCGACCCTCTTCTCCTGGCGGCACTGCTCGCACTTTCTGGGGCACCATCAGGCGGTGGTGGGTAATATGCTGGTGACGGTTGCAAACGGACGGGCGCATTTGGATCCAGATGACTCATAACCCTCTGGAGCGCAGGAGGGATGCCTGATTGTCCCGACTGTTGCTGATCCATTGTCGTTGCTCGTTGTCGACCCGCGCGGGTTGTAGCTTGGGCGTACAGGTTTTGGGGCTGGTTGTATTGCCGCGGCTGCTGTGGCTGCATCATGTTCATCGGCTGGCCATATTGTGCTGCCTGCGCAGGGTAAGGTGGAGGGGCGCCCTGGTGGTTCGGAGGGTACATATTGTACGGATTTTGCGGAGCCTGCGGGCTTTGTGCAGCGGCATATTGGTTCATCTGCATATTCGCATACGCAGCGTGTTGGGCGGCTTGGGCCTGTTGTTGCTGTGCAACGGCCTGCTGTTGTTGCTGCTGTCGCTGTCTGCTCATGCCCTCGTATCGCTGCTGCTCCTGGACGCCAGGTGCTGGGGATCTGCTTGAGCCGGACTTCAGAGTCATAGGGGGTACAAACGGCCCAGTAAACTTTGCTTGGGTTATGAAAGGGTGCAACTTGGCTTGAGCAGGAGTCCAACGTTCCAGAGGGTTGAGGTTTAGCAGACCTTGAGCGAAGTCGATGAAGGCAGCTCGGTTGGCCATTTCTATGGAACGTTAGCTGTGACGGCAACTGCGTTGATTCGCTTGCTTACCTCGCTCGATCTCGTTTGGCTTCATGTTCTTCCGCGGCATGGGGTAGTTTTTGATAATGTCGGGCAGGGTCGTAGCAGAGAAGTATTTCTTGCTGGGCTGCTCTTTCGTGCCATGCTCCCGTGAATACTGCTCCATTGACTTGAGTCGGTACTGCTTACGGCCGTACTCATCCTGCGACTTCTCGTAAAACTCTCCCGACTGCTTGCCCATCTCGAGCATCCAATGAGGTGGTAGTCCAAGCATTTCTGTTATCCTTGACACCTGGTTATACTCCGACGAGCCAGGGAACAGAGGTAGACCGAGGAACAGCTCAACCACAATACAACCTAGTGACCACATATCAATCGCGGCGGAGTATGGTAGACCGAGTAGGACTTCGGGAGATCGGTAGAATCGCGATTGAATGTAAGTGTACACAGTCTGACGCTCGTCGCACGCGGAACCGAAATCGATAATCTTGATAATAGGGCTCTCAAGGCTGTCACTGGGTCAGTGTATGCACGCCACCACCAAATTTGTTACGTACTTTTTCAGAAGAATGTTCTCAGGCTTCAAGTCGCAATGTATCAGCTTTGCCTTTCCAAGCAATGCCAGACCGTTGATTAGCTGCTGTGCGAACACGCGTACCAGCGTTGTGGACAATCCGCGGAACTGGTTCTGTTTGATTAGCTCGTACAGGTTGACGCTCAGCAGCTCAAACACCAGACACAGATGTTGCCTGTGGATGAAAGTGTCCTTTAGTCGCAGAAGATGGTGGTCATCATTCTTGTCCATCTGCTTGTTCAACTGCGTCACATTAGTCCCGCCAGTACTTCCTTATAGCAGAACACTCACCAGATCAAGGACAGACACCTCCATCATACTCTGGTTGAAGTATGCTGTCCGGTTCTTGATAACCTTTACTGCGACAACCTCCTGTGTCTTCAAGTTCTGGCACTTGACGACCTGTCCGAAGGTACCCTGACCCAGCACATCCAGAATTAGATAACGATTCTTGTGCCCGGACTCTTCCGACCCCAGAATATCGTTCACGTAGAGAATGTAATCGCTGTCCTCGTTGTCGTATCCATCGTTCTTGACACCCTTGCTCGGTTTCGTGAGTACTCTGCGAGGATTGCGCGACGACTGGTAGTTGAAGCCGCCATTGCACAGCTTGTAGGTCATGGGCAGATGCGCAGTGAGCGCTTGTAGAGGCTAGACGTTGCTGTTAGCATATGATTTTTATATTATGCTGCTCAACTTACGCTGATAAATCCACCTTCTGGATTGGCGCGACGAAAAGGCGGCTGGGCGTTGATCTTAGGCTGCAAGTCGGCAGTGTTGACACACTTTTCGAATTTTGGTACCGGCCCTCGTCCCATGGGAGGGAGTTGCGGAGGAGGGTTAGAGTTGGAAGATGCGCGCGGCGACCGAGCCTCTCTGTTGTATACTGCGTTCAATTGCGCCGTTGCAGATTGCGGGTAGAAACTCTCTGGGCTCATGTTGGACTGTATGGGTGGCAGTTGAGGCGCATGCGGTCGGGAGGCTAAAGTGATGCTAGTCAGTATCAGGGCGCTAGGACAGGAGTATATCGAAACACAGAATGAACGTACATGGCGGAGAGTAGTAGTTGTTGGGCGGCGATATGTAGGGATTGTTGCGCGTCGGGCTCTGTCGGTTGCCTTGACTCTGCGCTTGGGCCTGAGGGGTAAAGCTGGTGTAGTTCTGTCCACCCTGCTGTGCACCACCCGAGTATGGCGAGGTGGGCGAAAGGTTCATAGGCGAGTATCTGCGTGCGGCAGTACTTTCCTCTTGCTGCAGGTACTGCTGCGAATGCCTCTGTTGTTGGGTTGGGCGCGCCATATTGTTCAGCCGTGGCTTGTATGCATCCTCCATGGGCACATCACCATCTCCGTCGTTGTATTCGGGTCCGCGGCTAGCAGTGCCGGTGGGCGATTGTAGAGGCATTGAATTCTGTCGTGACGGCGTTGCGTACGGGTCCGGTTTGATCTGCGAAGACACGCTGGCGTCTCTCGAGGCGTGTGGAGAGGAAGTCATGCTGTGCGAGTAGCGATTGCCCGGTGCCTCTGAATAGGCTGTCCACTGCGGCTCCATAGCAACCGGGAATTGCGGGTGCGAAGGGTTGGGAAGCGACTGTGTCGCGGGAGGAGACGCCAATCAGTCCTCACTGCGGGTGTTGCATGCCGAGGGTACGCGCTGGCTGGGGAAGTGGGCTGAGCTACGTCAAACAGCGACTGCGGCGCAGCACTGGAGTCGTGATTGCAAAAGGCGTAGGCTGAAGGGGAGCGCACTTGTTGTGGCCGTACGAGACTCGAGGTGACGGGGGTGCTTCGTTTGGCTGTTGCGGGGTGGTGTTACGTGGTCAGCGGCCGTACGCTGTTCGCAGCAGGACCTGGAGCAGCCGCAGAGGAACAGACGCGCAGATTGGTGCGCAAGAGGGGATATTCACAGGCAGAGGGAAAGGATGGGTGTGAGGTCAGCGTAGCGCTGATGTTGGCGCCATTGCAACATCCATGGAATTGGGCTCTTTCCTTGGTTGCGCTAGTGACGAAAGCAGCCAGCCTCCTCACGCCCATGATCGTGGGGTGATTGCTGTAATTCACTCTACTCATCGTTCCTTCCTGGCTACCGTCTGCTCATCGAGACTCATGCAGTAGCTACACCAAGCTCGACTCCCAGAGTCACGTTGTGCTCATCGTCGGGCCGCTTCAATTTCCAGGGTCCTCAAACAGGAAGGCACGACCCTGAATGCTACTTAGGCACTGATATCAATGCCAAACAAGGATTGCTTTTTCTGCTCGCCATATCCACCGCGCACAACATGAAATGCAAGAGTGAGATTTGGACTTTAAGCGACAAGTAGATAAGCGACACGCTTTGGCACAAAGTTGGAATGGTCAAAGACGTCATAGTAGTTGAAGCAAGTAAAGGAGAAGATTACCTATGTACCTTTTTTTCCCAAAGCGCGAGCCATTACCGCTGATCACTCGCGCACCTCGTACCCTCCCAGCACATCACCATTGTCCCACTTGGCAGGCTTCTCAAAGATGCCCCTCACCATCTCACCTCCCCTTGTCGCAAGCACCGAAAGAAGGGTATCGCTCAACTGTCGTCATCATTAGCACCTCTCGCACCTCACCAATAAGACGGGACAATACTTACACCATGCGTGGTTTCACAGCAGCCTTGCAACCAGACACCTGCAT